TTTATTGCTGGATAAATAATGGGACTTCTATTTGGTGTGTCAAGAGTGAAAACACCAATGCTACCGTAAACAAGCAATTTTCCAGCTGCAGCTGAGAGTGCTGGTGGGCACTTTCTGGATGGCCAGCAGCATGGCCAGAGTTTCAATCAGCTTTTGATCAGAAGAAATGAAGATCACACACGGTTTGTCCAAGTCTGTAAACATCCCCACTGAGAATATAGTCTGCAAGGATGTGATCCAGCCTTACAGAAATAAACACAATGCACATACAAAGATATACACATACAGTGGCGGCAGCATTGTTGATGTGCTTGTGTCTTCATCCTGGATCTCAAACCACTGAGCCCTGCAGCATTTACAGAATACATCATCTGTGAGGTATTACATGAATTGTTGATTTGACATCTTTCAATATATCTTTAGTGTGCAGGTTTTATGAATGCGTGTTCTGTGTGTGTGTTTTGCCAGTCAGCGTGGTAGCAGTAATGCCACATCAACACACAGACAGTATGTCAGGCCATACACAAAGAAAAGTATGTGTGCTTGACTTCCTGCAGAGTATTTAGTTAGTAGTTTTGGAAGCAATGTGAACATTTTAATGACTGAATTTCTAAGGAGGTGTCATCATAAGAAGATGAGAATAAGTTTGGAAGAACTTTATTGATCCCTGAAGGGCAATTCAATTGTCTGGAGCCACATGTCTCATGTCATCTGCTATTTACGGAAGAATTTATCAGTCTGATGGCTGTGGGTACAAAAGATCTTCTAAATCTTTCCACCACATTGGCCCTTTGGTCCATCAAGGTGTTGTGAAGTGGATGATCAATGCTCTCTAGAATAACTGATGTCTCTATAGAGAAAAATTCAGCTTTGATTTGAAGAAGAGAAATCAGCAGAGCACTGATATGATGCTAAAGATTATTAAGTAACTTTAAAGAATCTTTTTTTTCTGCAAAGATTTTTTTCAAAAGGAAATTCTAATTTTTCTAAATTTCATAATGTTTTTTTTTTCTCACATTACAGGTCTTGTCTGGTGCCAAACCTAACCACACAATGCCTACATTGTGAGTGTTTTTTATTTCTTTAGTCCAAACATTCAAGTTAATTTTAACTTCATGTTTGAGAGGCAGAGAAAATGAAAGTGCCGCCTTCTCTTTCTGATATCTCATCTGAAAACACCATGAAGATGCCTCAGTAATTACCTGTCCGGGGTGCTGCTATCGCATCATCTCTGCACTCAGTCACTTTGGTCTCATTAATTCCTTGTCTCTTTACTGTAAATGTGTGGCGGTCAAACTGAAGAGTGTATGAGAGCTCTCAGACAGACGAGTTATTCAGAACTGAAGATGGCAAGCACGCAAGTGCACGTCTGACACTGGACCTATAAGAATGGAAATCAGGGCAAATCAAGAAACTAATCCAAGGCTGATCACGGGGCCATCACCCACTGTGAACACCATGTGATACATAATTCACATGTTATAAAATGACCAGGAATTCTTAAGGATACATTACAAATTCCTCTGTGTTAAAGCCCCATTAAAATTACAAGAGAAATAGCCTTGTGTTTGTGAAAGTTAGTCTTTCCTCAAAAGTCTCCTTGCAAATGAAGTGTAATGACTCGAGGATTAAGCATATGCCTTCAATTTAAGAGCTGTGAATGAATCTCTGACATGCAATTTTTAATTTTCCTGTTCTCCAGCACAGCCAGCAGCTCTGTTTTTTTTTTCTGTTTCTGTCTTTATTTCCACAATTCTAGAAATAAGACCTCTGCCCTGCAACAGCATGACAAGAAACTGAAGAATCTACCATGATGCGTTATTGTGGACCGTGATTATTATTCAACAGCCAAAATAATGGTACTTTGTCCTTCAGCAGCTAAGAGGGAGTCATTGGATTCAGCAGCACTGAGAATGATGGGCTGAGGACATTAAGAACAGTGACCATGCTGGAGACTTTTACAGAAATACAAAATGAACAACTACATATCACAAATCTCATCTCGAATCATAGTTGTGGTGTTTGAATTTTAATAACCCTTTTATCATTTCTTTCTTGGAAATTTTTGAACAATGTGTGCTTAAGTTCAAGGACACATCTCTAACTAATGCTTTGGCTCGACCCTAAAAACAAATTTTGCAATCTCATATCTCTTTTTCTACATCATCTTAATTCTCAAAAAAAAGAGAAACAAAAAAATGTAACACGAAATACATACAGCACAAAGGCTAAACAGCAACCGAAACATATCTAGTCCTCTGCTCTAGTTGCATCAGTTTGATTACTATCATTTGTGCCATTTTAAACATTGTAATTTCATCAAGCTCTCCCTTAAGTAAGATGTCTTTATCCGGACAGCCACCTGTCAACTGCAACAAATGTACACAGAAAAATGCAGAAAAAGACATGATCAGTGGAGATGTCATTGCTGATTTTACGATACATGTTCGTCTTTTCAACATATCTTTAAAGTGTAGCTCTATGTGACATGACTCCTTTTTAAGATCTCTGCTAAATGCAATCAAAAGCTGAAGTCTAAAAGCAAAGAAAGTGGCTCTAATAAGGTGGATACCTCATTTAAATGAAGAATACAAAAGGACTCAATAGAAGATACCATGCTGTTAAATGAGGAAAATCCCCTACACATTACTCTTCAGACAAGATCATGAGAACACAAAAACTCACTTGGGGAGTGTACACTTAGCAAAGCTCATGGCTATTGGACCTGAGAGTATCTTCATGTATAACCACATGTCAGAACTCTAGAGGTCTAAGATGACCACAACCCCTCAAGAACAATGAAATTGTCTTTGGAGAGTTATCAAATGTTATGGATATCCATCAATCCATTTTTTAAAGCTCCTTCTCATAATTGAGAGCATATAATGGTGAATTATAGGATATAAGTGGGGTTTTATGCAGGTTGTTGCATATTTAAAATGTAAAAACACATCAAAATTTCTTCACAATGTGTCCGACAATTAATGGGATTCCAAGTAAAGCACAGGACAAAGTGAACGATCGGCTTAAGTCTATAACCATACCTATAGCTGTTTAGACAAAACCAAATGTAAACTTTTTTAATTTCGGCCTGTCAGAAATCCAGCTTATATCCACCGAAAAACAGCTGCAGGTGCACACATTTGCTCAGGTGCAACATCTCATTTTCCATCCTCCTGTCAGGTGGCTGTGGGTCTGCCTCTAAGTGGCCCTGAGAGGTGGATATGCAAGGTTGTAATTCATCCTGACTCACTTTAGTCATTGTCTTCTCAGCAACAGAGGCTGAGATCTGTCATGTCTTACTGTAATAATTATATCAGGCAGGGCTGAGAATAGTTACCTGGTAAACAGCAAAGTACCTCAACAGGTCTGCTGATCCAGGAATCAAACACAAACACATCAACTCTACCATCACATGGCTTTGAATGTCAAGTTCAAATGAAGCAGGGTGAAAGTTCTCACTCTGCAAACTACTTCTAATTTTTCTGATTAACATTTTGTCCAATTAATTCCTAAATCACTATTAATTCAACATTATCTGTCTTTCTCCCACATTCACTTTCTCCCTACTATCACACTCTTTAAGCCTTTATCTTTAGCTGTAGACATTACCCAGCATGAGACACAGGATCCTGAACCTGTAGCGAGGAAGGAAGGGGGGACACAGAGGGTGCCACTGCCACTAGAGATGAAGCCCCAGCTTTAGTGGGGAAACAGAGGGGGGTATCACAGTTATAATCATCTAGAAATTCCACAGCACCACAGGGCAGGAAACCGATGAATGCACACACACACACACACACAACACAATTGCGCACACAACGCATGTTGATGTTCGTACACGCATGCACGTGGCATGGCATGTGAATGAGCATTTACAGCACACATAACAAGCACCACCTGTGTAAAAATTTTAAATGTTTAACAACATGAGGTTTTCATAAAAATGACTTGATTGTTATCCACTCCACAGCAGGATCGAGCAAACATCTTCATAAATGTTTTCATGTTTCAAATAATTATGCTTTCATTTCAATAAGCACAACACACGTCCCACCTTTGACAAAGAAATAAACTCTGGGTAGGTTTTTGAGGTGACACCTGGGTGGCCAATCAGTTCACAAGGAGAGCCTAGGCCACTCCCACTCACCTGTCTGTGCACCCCCTACACCTAGGGCGCAGTAGAACCCTTAAAATCATATGTTTGTAAACACACCGACATGTAAAACTCATGTTCATAAATAATGCATCAGATTTCATATAGCGCTTTATCAGAGACCCTCAAAGCGCTTTACATTGGATACATCATTCATTCACTCACACAGTCACACCCTGGTGATGGTAAACTACCTAAGTAGTCACAGCTGCCCTGGGGCAGATTGATGGAAACATGGCTGCCAGTTTGCGCTTACCGCCTTTCCGACCACCACCACACAATATTCACAATCATACACCAGTGGAGGACACACACTGGGAGCAAGGTGGGTTAAGCGTCTTGGCCAAGGAGACAACAGACAGACTAGGGTTAGGGGGGAATCAAACCGCCAACCTTCCAGATATTGGACAAGTGCTCTACCACCTGAGGTACTGCCGCCCACTGTTAACACTGACACTTTTAATGAGAGCATATACATGTTTTCAATATGCTTGTGCATCTCCTGCACACGGATTTGTTCACTTACACTAAAAGGAGAAATCTGAAGAAAGGTGTAAACAGCCAATTTGACAATAAACTGTATATTTAAAACTAATATTCGAGAAAATTTACCATCTCACACTCTGCCCATGTATATGCTATATTGCTAAAGCATATAGGTCTACCATATTTCCATTCAATAAGATATTACTGTATACAGCTGTGAACAATGTACCAAAACAAAAAACAAAACAGCCTTGAAGAAAAGTTGGGTGTTATTGTCAATATTCAGAGTATAGTTTGAGTTCTCTTACCGATAAGAGACACAGAGGCAGAGATATGCATTAGTATCAGTATTTCATACTCACTCCCATTCCTTCCGTCGCGCCTGTGGTGTGCTCTGAATCTTGTGAGCCTGGTGGGCTTTGACGATGTCCCTCTGCTCAATCAGGCCTCCTCGACGGCGCTTGATCACGTTGGGACTGACGGCCAAATCTCCGTCCACCCCCGGCAGTCCCCCTCCAACCTCAAAGGCTGAAGCCACATCCAAAGACAGGCCCAGACGGTTTGGGTGTAGAGGAGGGGTGTGGCTGGACATATGAGGGAGGTAGAGGGTGTCATAACTGGTTGAGAGGCTGTGGGGCTCCAGGAGGGACTCAGGAAACAGGCTGGACCCTCCAGCAAGTCCTGCACGATGCTTCTGCCAGTCCTCACAGTCTTCTGATGATGAAGGGAGTATGTGGTGCCTTGGAGTGCTGCTCCCACATCTCGTCCCGACTCCCAGTCCCACCCCTGGACACTCTGGCTCGGCTGGGGCTCGAGGTAGCCCCAAAGCATTGTGGTCCCCTGTCAGAGACCGAGAGCTGACAGAATATGAGCCCAATTCCAACATGGTAGGAAGGCTGCCTGGGATCTCAGCATAGTGCTGTGGGAAAGAGAAGGAACAGAGAAAGAAGAGTGGAAGGAAAGAAAAAGATACATGATATTAATGTAACATTAAAAAGGCACCAGAAGACTCAGAACACATAATGTCCACTGCAACAAGACTGGCTGTACTCAAAAACCCTGCCTTCTTCGTGTTAAAAGGTGGAACTTGTCATACTGACTACCACTCAGTGAGCAGGCTATTAATTGATGATATCAACAATCAGTTGCCAGTTTTCACAGTACATGATATCAACTTCAAGAATTATCGCAATAACAGAAAAACGGAGTGTAAAAAATCAGACACCATCAAACACCATTTTCAAAATTGCAGACCTGTCTCTTTGCTACCATAATTCTCTTAAATACTGAAAAAACGTTTTCAACAAAAGATAACAAAAACACAAAATACGATCAGTCAATATGGGTTCAAAACAGATAGATCAACATTATAACCACAACGTATTGATCAACAAACTGGAAGTGTGACATCAGGGGGTGAAACTGGATTGAGGAAGGAGCTATGTGGTGGCCTCAACAACCATCTTGTGTTAGTATTTCTTTGTCTTTAGGTTTCAGTAAATTAGTTTCAGTTTAGAAAAATCACATTACACACTTTTTTTATTGAAATAAATTCACTTTTATTGCATTTATGGCAGTTGTTTCTAATTTGGGTGCACACAATTTAGTTTACAAACTGTCACATAGTATAATTTTCTACATCATGATTTAATTTGCGTTTATGTCATTTCAAAGCAATACTTACCTTTTTATTTTTCTTTGTTTGAGCTCACCTGGCAAAAGACTGTCTGAAGCTCCAAGATGGCCTCTTAAGCCCCACCCACAGGAAGTGGGACAGACCATCAAGGGGGAAGCAAGGAGAAGCTTGGACTTTTGATTCTTTATAAAACTTTTGTCTTTATTCTTTCAGTTAGAACAGAGTTTTTAGTTTTTCTACAAAAACATTGGTTTGGATATTTTGATGGTGTTTTTCTGAGTTTGTCAGATGTTTAGTTCGTAGTCACTTTGGTTTCCCCCTTGTGTTTATATTGGACTAGACCTTTGTCTATTTAAACTCCCTGATGTGTATCGCTTGGTAGGTCTGTTTGATTATGTTTGTTAGGTTGTAGCTTTAGTTCTTTTTTGCTGAGTTTCTTTTAGTGTGGGCCCAGATTTTGTTGATTTTCTACCATATTAAGTTGGAAATTTTGTTATTGAGTTCTGTTTTTTGAGTAAAATGAAAGGATCAAGATCTTTTTCCACACCTCTGTCTTTTGCCTGGTTGCTTGGTCCCTTACAAGCTACTACAGTCACAGAAAACTGTTTGTGAAACTCTGTGATTTTGTTGCCCGTGTTTAAACTTTGCATGTGGTGTACCTCAGGGATGAGTATTAGACCCTAAATAGCTTATTCTGTAATAGCTTATTCTTATTCTGTAAAAGTTTGTAAATGACATCTAAAAAGTATCGAATGTATCACATGTAATCTTATCTGCAAATGACACCAGTCTTTTTTTGTACTGGTAAAAATCTGCAAAGATTACTGAAGGACATCCCCTCAGAAATGTGTAGAATGAAACTGCTGCTACTGCAGCTTTTTTTACTGGATTGGCTGAGTCAGAGAGGAACAGTGAGAGGAAATGAAACAAACACTGACATGAAAGTCATTGAAATTTCCTGAACAGTGAGGGTCTGCTTCAGATTAAAACAAGCATTTGTTCTGCTGTTGACTGTACTTTAACATTTGGTGTTTAGGTGAGCAGAAAACACTGAGGCTCCATCAGATCATCGGATCATCGGATTATCAATCAGTTTTCCCCAACCTGACTTGGGGAAGTGAGGAAATGCTATCATAACATCATAACAGCTAAACTAAAAAGGTAGGTCTTGCATTTGCTTTTGAAAATATTTGTGCCATCCTCAGGTCCACAAAATGGGTCTTTGTTTTGATGCACAGTTGATCATCTTTAGAGTCTTTTACACGTTCGGGTCTTTGGAGATAAGGGCTCATGTTTTCACATTTTTCAATAGGCACTTTTTCTTTCAAATATGGTGGGTTGCAAATCAGTGAACGACAAAATACTGAAAACTTGGCGGTGGACATGACTGGTAGAGACAGAAGTTATTTAAAAACCATCATGCAGACTCGATAAAACAGCATCTTTTTAAACTTGCAAGTGGAGATTCCACTATGCTTGAATATTGGATTATAAGTCAAACTCCTGAAGACCTCCTGTGTCTCCTGCTAACCCTTAGAGGCACTTTGCCATTGGCCCAATATTTCTCACTGTCCTCCAACATTTTAAGTATAAGTCGTCCTTTGAGCATCAGAACCAATTAGATAAGCTATAACACAACTCTCAGAACAAATAATCATGCAATACTACCCGTGCTGTGGTTAATGGTGCAATTAGAAAGAGGGAAGAAAGACAGAGAGGGAAATTTTATTAATTTAGTGCCTTCTTTAATAAGAAACACTGATGACTAGTCTTGTTATGGGTTCCCGCGAAGCAAGACACGCACATGATACATGTTATTGCCTGACATGCTGCAAAAATCTCTGCTCCTGCTGTAGCTTTATGGAGCTTTCTGCATTTAAGCAAGCCGAATAATATATTTCTAGTTTTAGAGTACCTTTGAGAGAGGAGGCTCTACACTAAATAACCTGTGAGGTGAAGATATTGAGCAGCAAAAAGAGGAGGTTGTTGAAGGTATAGCTCTAAAGAGTAGACAGGATGGCAAGGTCGAAGCTTTTTCAGTGTCTTGAGCATCAGCTCAAAATCCATCAGACCACTTAAACATCCTGAGAGCTATTAATTAGACTGCTGTCAATATGTGGACAGCAGCTATAAATGAGGTTTTAATGGCCTGATACTCTGTCCGTGATAATAAAGATTGCATCAATTGGAGAAGAAAAGCTGTACCACATTGATTTGAAGAGGTCATCACAGAAAGACATTTTTGTACAAAATGAAATGACACCCTGCTTGATTTGCTTGTGTAGATGGAGGACAAGGCCCCAGAATTACAACAAGCCCTGAGGGAGAGGGAAACAGCGGAAGAAATTAAAAAATGAATGTTTTTTTTTTTTTTTCCCTTTGGATTTTGTGCAGCTACAAACTGATTCATCAAATTATCATGCAGAAGTTAGAGAAAGAATTTAGGATAAAAAAGAACAAATGTTGCAAAGAAAATGAGTAACTGCAAACTGAGCTTCACATTTTTTTCTAGGGCAAATATAGCGGGCTAGCCTAGACCCAAAGAAAATGGATTATTGTGTTTACATATGATGGAAAGTATCGTTTCACTGAATAAGTCCCACACCATCGACTGTCTTTTAATATTATTACTTTCAATGTTTTGGTTTAGCAGTCATCAATTTTATTCAATTGCTTTTGACCTCTTTTATTATCAATCTGTTTTAGAGAAAAAAGTCCTAAAAATCGGTTAAAAATCTGCGACCTGCTCATCACCAAAAAGCAGAAAGAAAAAAGTTAGCATGTTAGAGCTAGCTAAAAGCAACAAGCTTAAAAAGCCTGATTTATCTCTCTCTGGAGTTAGTGGACACAAATGCAAACTCACCGCAAAAAACACGACTTCTTATCAGTGCTAATGCTACTCTGTAACTGTGGTGTATGTGTTCACCGTCCGCTGTTAGCTGGCAGCCCGCTACTCACCACACAAACTAACCATTAGCCTAAAAAGCTGATGGTGTCTGAATAACTTATCATCATGTATCAAAGAGACAAAGTTTCCTGCAAGATTGACTGAACAAACTTCAAAAACAGAAACATCAAATTTACTCAGTCAAAACAAATCTTTTGACCCCATTTGAAGGTTTCTAATTAATATAAAACTTTTCACGAGCAGTAACACTGTACTTGGAAAAAAAATTAAAAAGCCACCATCATTTCTAGAAAAGTGATTAAGTTAAGTGATTAAAAATTCCACTCAACTTTGAAATGTCAGCTCTTATTTCTTCATGATGAATCTTTGAGTTATGTAATTTATAAAAGGCCTTATCATTAGAAACAAAAAACCAATAGTGTACAAGCATGAGGCAGGTTCAATATTTACTATAGATGAAGTTACACACCCCCTTGAAAGAACAAATCAAATTAATGCAGGACTGAACATACTGCACTGCAGGTAGCCATATAAATATGCCCTCTTTGGAAAAAGGACACATCACAACAGGGACCTCTCTGATTAAAATGACCTTCCCTGCATAAAATTAGTAATAAGTGCATTATTAAAGCCCATTTTGAGGGTTTTTAAGGCAATCAGTGATTATTGTAGTGATATCTGATTGACCGAGCAACCATCTCTGCAGACGGTGAACAAATAAATAATGAAATTCTCGCTGCTCAGGAAACCTGAGAGCAACAGGTCTGTAGGCAAATTGACTAACTGCAGCTAGTTAATGAATATGACTCCAAATGAAACATAACACAGCTGATGCAGCTGAGCCCTGCCCTCCCCAGCTTTGATTGCAAAAAGTAATTTCCTGCCAGTAAGACTCATTCAAAAGGGCCAGCAACATAGACATGAATATATGTATGTGCTGTACATACAGTTGTTGATTGTACGGTTCCTGGCAGAACAAACTCTGTCCGGGTGATAGCAAAAGAAATTCCATTGATCCTGTGCTTTCTAAATCCATTTTGTAAATTATGTTTCAAACTGGCTGAATGGGAGTGCCAACACGATTAGCTGATATATTGGGATGGGTGAGTGCAGACAGTTTTAGCAGATGATAATACTCCCAGAAAAACAAAGCAACATGAGGAAGAGAGGACCAAGAATAACAAAAGATGTGACTCTGTACTGGGATCATTAGCTGTTGTTGGTATGTGGTTTAATGGCAAACAAACCTCTTCCAGAAAACAAAAGCTGCTACATCTGACACCGAAATGGATGCTGGAGGAAAGGGATTAACAGCGATAAACATTTCGTGCTCTATGCTACCAGCACAATTATGCTTCCATTAAGTGACTGCAAATCTTAACTGCAAACAAAGACTGAATTTGGCCCCTATGGATGCACAAAGCTATTTGGAGTGTTATCCATAAGCTGCCATGTACATACAGCATATTCTAATGTATATTAATGTGACATGTTTATGGTCATCTCTGGTCTCCTACAGACATTTGTTTGTTTGCATAATGAAAGACAAATAGCTCCTCTAAATAGTCCCCTGTGTGATTCTCCCGTCGTCGCGATGCTAATGCTGCTTGAGTGATCTATCTAAACTCTAAACAATTTGCATAATTGCTTTCTCGCAAAGACTAAGACTAGAGGACCTATATCACTCTTGTGTGTGATTGTTATATCTAATATTACAGCCAACAGCTAGATTGCTTTGCTTAGCATAAGAGCTGGAAACGTTGGGGAACAGCCGGCCTCCGTCAAAAGTTATAAGCATCCACCTTAATCTTTAAAGGTCACAAAATAACTGGTTGTATTTTATTTGTGTTCAGTGGACTTGAAAGAAAAAGATAGAGTGGGTTTTTTTGTACTTCTGGACAGAGCCAGGCTATATTCAGCCATTATAAGAACAACCACACCCATACCACCACTTCAAACACAGACCTGCACCACACAGCTCTGATAACGCCTACATGCTTTGCAAAGTCTCAAACATCAAGACTCAGCTGCTACGTCTGCAGTCCACAGAGTCTGGTCGCTCCACACATTTATCAATATCACACAGCCAAGAACTGACTGTGGTTTGACATAACGCTGCTAATTAGTTGCCATTATCTGTTCACAATCATCTAATGTGTTGAACACAGCTGTATGATCCCTGCCATTAACTTACTGAAGAGAAAAAGCTGACCACAGACAGGGGGCCAGAATAGACACTAAATCACAAAATTTTGAGGAGCCAAGCTGCTTTAACACTCTTTGTTGGAAAGCCAGGTGTTTGCAAGGTTACTAATGAGGAGTGAAGAAGAGACTTGGGCAGGCAAGCAACCTTTCAAACACCTGCTGCCCCTCAGCAGCCCACACAAGTGCGCGATCACAAGTCATTTTTCACCGTATCCTTTCCTCAGCATAGACATCAACCTGGTAAGCAGCCAAATACATGTCAGAAAGTGTTAGCTATGTCACCTTACATTGGATTATGATGCTCAATGAATCTGCAAAGAAACAGGGCATGAAAATTGACCTGGCTGAAAACAACCATCATGATTTAGCAGCGTACAGGTACAATGTGAAAAAAAAGACAGTTTCAAAAGTCTGAAGGGAGACTCAGAAGCACACAATCCACACCAGAGAAATCCAGCATGATCACAACTGCAGGAATCTAGCTTTGCCATCTCCTAACTATTAATAATGTCTTTACTTATTAAAATTTCTATAAACTGAAAAATTAAAAAATGTAGCAATAAAAAGGCAGGGAAGAAATTGTATTCATCAGCAGCATAAGAAATCTTTTTTATGCATGTGTCACCCAGAGGAGTGAAGCAGCACAATGTAGAAGAACAGAGGGCACAGAATGCTTTTCTGAACACCCATATAACCAATGAATCATTTGTGGTTGAGCTGTATGCTATGGGTTATTGTACTGTGGTAGCCTATCTGCACAGTGTATGAATGACTCAAAAATGAAGCAGCAAACAGTTATAATTCTGCATCAAACACAGTGCACCATGTGGTGCCACCATATACATTTTAAATTTACAACTCTATATGTTATTGAGTGGTACAGTCAGCAAATGACTGGGAAAATATGTTAATGTCTAGACTTCTGAGTAAACTGTGAATGAGGCTGAATGATGCAGCACTTTACAAAAAGACTGAAATGAATTCTGCTAACATGCTCACAGCCATTGTACCGTGTGTTTACCTGCTGACGCAAAGCAGGCAAAACGGGTACGATGTGTGTATTGACACTGGCACCGCCACTCGGTTTTAGGTGTTTACTAATGGAACAAAGTAATGGGAATTTTATATAAATGACCCTGTCCATTTGTTCATTCATTACCTTACAGCTTATCCCTTCTGGGGTGGGGTGGGGAGGGGGGTCTCTCTAAGCTGTCAATTGGTGAAATGTAGAGTACAAAGGTCACCAGTCTACCCCAGGGCTAACAAAGACAAAGAACCGATTACACAAATACTCACACCTATGAGCAATTCATAGCAACCAACCCAATTTACATGTCGACTCACCAATGCACATGGAGAACATGCAAACTCCATACAGAAAGGCCCCTGACACTCAGGTATTTGAACCAGAAATCTTGCTGTGAAGCAACAGCACGAACCACTGTGTAGCTCTAATTGACATGATGGTTGAGGTAGTTTCTGGAGAGAAAGGGAAAGAAAATTCCACCATCTTTTTATTTACACATCTGTTCATAGTCTTACTCACACCAAGTCCAAATGGAGTACTTCTGCATTTGTAGAACCATGGACAGTACTTAGCCATGACCCAAATTGTTTATAACTGGTAGCCTTGATAAATTAAACCTAATCGCTGTCAAAACAAGCTCATCCTTGCACAGTATAAATAGGCTACAAAATTATAAATATATTTCTGAACAATACTGTAAATATCTTTAATTATGCTGTTAAAAAAATTGCCTTTTAATATATTTAACCTTTTGAGGTTTTCTTGACTGCTAGTCCTTCTTGTTGAACTGCATTGGCTTCATTTTCCAACCATCAGTTGCCACTTTTGTAAAACAAGTTCCAGAGATAATCCTGCATTATCTCAAGTGATGACAGTTGAATCACTTTGGGTTTAAAGACAACAGCTTTCAAATGAACAATTCAGAGAAATTTGCAGGAAAAACTATCTCAACCATCAACAGTTGTTAAGTTGCATTGTGGGTAATAGAGGCCTCAAACATTGCTTGTCAACATTGTGATGTTCCATTAAAATCTGATAAAGTTCATCTTAAAAACTTTTCTTCAGCACCCTGCCAGTGCTTATTTCACCTACAGCCATATCCCCCTGCTTTTTTCTTATCTCTACATCATTATTCAATCTTCTTTCTAGCCAAATAAAAACATGATGTTCTCTGTAGACCAGAATTTATTTATCACAACCTATAAATCTGCCATACCAATGAAACGCATAATGTTTGTATTCTAATGAAAATCATAATCTAATGCAACCTTTCTCTTTTCTCTCTTCTGCTCTTTTCTCTGAGTTAATATTGTTTTTAATGTTTACGTGCACTGTTTGGATCCGTGTCATAAAGACTGTTATATATTTCATTTTTATTTTATTTTCATAGATTTTTTTTAAGCATACATCTCATTTGTTTGGTTAATTCATACATTTCTGCTCAGTTCATAGTGCTGTGATGTGTCTGAATCATTTTTTGAATAAATTTGCTTAATTCATATTCATATCTGTTTTTTGGGCTGCATCCCATCACTATAATGTGTTATTTTTTAACAACAGCCACCTAATGTCCCTGGATCTATTGGTTTATTAAAGTTTCATATTAGCATTATGTAACAGCGTCAAATTACCTCAGTTTGATTAGATGCCTGTTTCAGAGTACATAAAGCGTAGTCTACAGGTTTTCAGAGCATTTAATTTTGCACTGATGGTATTTATGAGCTTTAAAAAGCACTCAGTTACTATTGAATTGGCTTTCTGCATCAGACCTGCTGTTAGATAAGAATTAGTTCTTAATTTTTCTTCTTTGTGCTAATGTCTGTGACTCATTTTATGAAGATATATAAAGTTGTCTTTTAAATTTGTCTTTGACTTTAATCAGGTATACCATGACATGCAGCCTTCAGATGATGAAAAGACACTTCTCAAAGAGATCCTGCTGCTGTGATGACCTTCTAAGAAAATTACATAACAGCACTGGCACATCAACTCAGTAATGATCAACACTGCTAATAGGACAGCCACACTGTTATGATCCGATCACTTGAAGGTAAAGTGGCCTCATGAGGACAGCCTAGAGGTTGGGCAATTTTCTGCAGCCCTGTGCTGTAATTATATTTTGGACATCATATACTGGGACCTAAACATTTTGAGAAAGTGTTAAAATAAAACAGGAAAGTAATGCAAGGAGAAAAAAACTGAAGCAAAAGGCATCAATCACTCTTTTGGGTTGTTTTTCTGGCCCACTACTCTATTATGAATGATTTGCCCCAAAGAAGAAATGAAGAGAACAAAAAGGTGAAATGTAAAACAGAATGCAGTTTACCTTTTTTGTGAATGCCTTATGAAGGTTAAGTAAGGTTTAGATGATTATCATCTTTTATGCCTGGAACCCAGTGAGAAATATGAGATTATGGCCAATAAAAGAGATTAACTGTCTTTTATAGGCTGTAGACGGCATGTTAATTATACCAAGTACTGAGTTAGCCCTAAAATGTGTGAAAGATAATGAAAAGGACAGCTTCGCATTCAGATACTGGAACTCAGTTGCAGCAAGCACAGTTGTTTATTACAAATCAATGCTTCACTTCACATTTTGTTACTTTTGAACAACTTGCCTGATTCTTTGCAATGCAAACTAAATAATAAATCGGTATAAACCATAAATAGTCGATTTAGGTTGATACCACCACTAAAGAACAGTAATGGAGTTGGGTGAAAAGGAACAGTTTGACATTAAAAAAGAAGACGAAACGGCTTTGGGTGCATCTACAGCCTTCCATCCCTGTATATGATCTTTGTAAGAACATCTTGCATGTTCACATAATGACTGCACAAAGTTTCCAACAGGCAAAACACAGTCGTAAAACCATTAATTTACATTTTTTAAGTATAAATTAACATGGCTGAGGGAAAACAACATAGGATTTGGAAAAGGGTAACGTGAACTGATTAAAATACTCTACAAACTTTTCTATCTTTCATGTTTACCCTTTTAAATCAGAACACATCATTATGCACAGAGCCATAAAACAAAACTTCAGTAATTGAAACTTGTAAACTGGCGCAGCTTCAGAAACATTATTCAGCGAGTCAAACCACTTCAGTTTTGACTATCAGGAGAAAATCCACAAAAACAAACAAACAAAAAACAGGTATGTGTACAACTGGTTGATGTCATTTTTTCAAGTTTGATCTCAGCAACAGTCATAATTCCTGCCAAAGTATCACAGAGAAAAGGCTTCAGAGTGAGGCTGACTCACTTGTTCAAGATAACCACAGCAGCAGCAGCAGCAGCAGCACTTGGGTAACCAATTAAGAACCCGCTTTATATAAAATGCTTTGCTGTTCAATGCAGATCTGGTTATATCAGAGGATAACATCTGCTTTTGTCAAGACACCTAAAGTGCAAAAAAATGACTCATATTTATTGGAAGAGAGAAGAAACAAATGTTGACATCTGAATAAGGCTCATAGTATAAGATGAGTTCTACTTTCTTGACAAGTTACATATTGTGCAACATTATGCTGCATGTCAATAACATAAGTGTGCATCTCAGATTCAGCAGATTTATTTCAATTCATGCCAAATTTCCATTTCAAGAGATCAGACACAGTAGGAATTATACAGCTCTGGTGTTCATTCCCTAAAGGATTTAAGGATTTGTTAGTTTTCAATGCATTTGCCCGAAGGATGGTACATTTTTTACACTAGCTTAGAATTTCAAAGGCAGACTGACAGTATGTAGTAATTAGACATGAATGTAGTGGGCTTCTTCAGTGTTGAATAGATAGGATTAATCATCTTTGTTAATGATGAATCACTATTAATAATTCTCTTATTGTATGAGGTCCAGAGAACATACTGCTTGTTTCGGTTCAAGAGGTACAGTCAGGTTCCGCTTTATGCTGAACAGAGGCACTAATTTATACACTATGAAAAACAATTTGCACCCTTTCCAACGAGAGTGGTGTTATTCAACCGGGACAATCAGAGCACTTGACAGGAAAAGATTACCACAAGACAACAGCAGGCAAAAAAAATGTAGCCTAACTCGCCATAGGGAGGTGAGTGACAAATGTTAATGTGATGAAATAATTAAAGAGACAGCCCAAAGGAGTCAGATTGATCCGAGTAACGGTCCATTTGCCCTGATTCAAAGGAAGATCATTCAATCAGTTCTTTCACAAAGCTAATCACATGCCTATTGAACGGCTTACTAGGTGTAACTAGATGATGGCAGGATTGTAGTTTGAAGACCTAATTTTCAGGAAGAGGAAGACTTGAAGTGATTAAATTGACTTGTAATGTGGTATCTTGCCTCCAGCAGCCTGTCATCTTTAACCCAAACGATGATTATTCGCACCTTCAGTAACACCAAACTCCTGTAGCTTATAAAAACAGGCTGTTATTTTATACTTCTAATGTATTAGCACTCCAAATTATATTCTAAGAGATAAGAATTTAGCTCAAAAAAGATAGAAAAGATAGAGAGAAATACATGTAAGGCCAGGGAAAGTCCTGACAACAGGTGGATGACGGGCAAATCCCAACATTTCCTCAGGTAAAATCCCATCTGAACATATATATTAAGTGCAGCAAATCGCATCTTAAATTAACCATTTCCTCTTTAAGATAAAGCTCAGCTCTTTGCCCAACCACTGTGATCTATCTGGGGAAATTTAAACTACCTATATTGCAACTGAAATGTCTGCATTTTCTGTTCAAAACATAACTCAAGCCTCCTGTCATCATATACTTAGACTCGCCCCAGAAGCAGTCACACAAAGTCTTAAATTGGTAGTCACCATTTCTATAATGTTGCAGAGATTATCACTTGGTCATGGCCTTAGCATATGCCCTTTTGATCACGTTTTGTTAGCCAATAAAGTATGCAGCAAGCCAAGTGGGTGAAATTCAAACACACCCACCTGTCAAGACCACAAAAAGTTGTCTTTCTAAATTCTGCTAGACACAAGGGACGTTTACCTAAAATGCAAATAAAAGTCTCACCTATAAACGTCCAATAAATTAAATCCACCCCAGGGAGTGTGGCACTGTTACATAAAGCACGTTCTCCCCTCGGAAAACCTGTATGTGTTTAATGTTTCAAGTGTAAAAGCAGACCCACGACCCTCCATAAATCTCACTGGGGAGCATTTTAAATACAGACTGATGGGAGACCTCTCATAGATTTCTGCACCCAGTTCCTCTGGGTGGCACACAGCCATCCTCTCTGCCAGAAAAAGCTGTAGTTGTGCGATTAAGCTTACAGGAACAGCTGGAGTCGTCTGTTTCTAATGAACACCTGTTGGTAAATATGAATCCAGAAGTAAAATGAACCCAGAAGAAAGAATTTCTTACCTAAAAAGAGAGAACTCCTTTCCATGTCGTTCACCTCTCCTTTAGAAAATGAAATTGTGGCAGCAGATACACGCACGTCCACCGTACTTCCCCTGCCAGACTTGAGAAAAAGAGAAAGGGAAGACAGAGAGAGGAGGGACGCGGGGGAGAGAGAGGGAGCGAGACAGAGAGAGGGAGGGAGCGAGCCAGGGGGGAGTTCTCCTTGCCAACACCTTTTGTTGAAAAAGACGCAAATAACAATGATTGTGTACATCTTGATTTAAAAAAAAAACATCATATAATCATTCGTGAAAACAAAGCTATAGCTGACGCGTGGGTAACCTTGTTGCTGCCTAATGCATAATTAAAAAGCTTCCATAACCTGAGGACCTATATTTCTGGCCCTACCCTGTATCAGTTTATATTTATGGCTCATTTGCCCACTGTGTGCACATATCTTTGAAACGCACCATTTCACTGAGGTCTACTGGGCAGCCTACACTCCATCAAATGCCACCAATAGAAAAGCGGTCTCCTCCTCAACCCACAAAATATCCATCAAAGTAACAGTCTCATCGACACAAATCTCCCCGAGTCTCGCTAAGGGGGGTTGAGTAGCATATTTGGGCACTGTGGAGCATTCAAGGTGAGGTGCTGAGATGAGGGAAACTTTATTTCTGGGTGTGGTGCACACTCATACCGCTAGGTGGCAATAAATGCATGTCGGATTTTACAGCTTTTACTTGCCAAATTTTTTTTTAGAGATGATAAGTAAATTTACTTTAAGAATTACTTACACTTTGCTCCATATGCTGTCATCTGTATGATGCTGGAGGAAACAACTCTCTCTCTCTCTACCCCAGCCCTCCCTCACCTTCTCTCTCCCTAAATAACAGTCACTTCTTCACATTCATGTGTATTTTTATCTATTATACACTATTCAACTGGTACAATAATTCTTCTAATTATTATTGCATATAACTACTAAAAAGCTGTTTTGTAAAAAGCCATTTTAAAATAAGAATGCCTCTAAGTGATTCAGAACATTCACAACTGTATTTTTGAAATGCCCATCTCCTAATTATTCGGTCACATGATCAATTTCTTTTACCATTTCCAAGCAACAGGGAGTGGCTCAACTTACCCTTTGGCTCATCTTATCCCACTCCCCCCTAGTTGTCCTAAAGCAGTCTTAAAAGCAACATAATGATTGATCAGGCTAGATTCCCCTGCCTTATATTTCATGGAAATATAAAACATAACCTCCATTCAGAAAATACATGTTCTTGATATCCTTGTCAAACAGCTTTCAGATACTTAAGTTGCACTTCTGAATTGTTGTTTTTGAATTTACTTTGAGAGAAGTGACCAGGACAGATAATCGAATAAAAAAAGGTGAATTGGAATAAAAACTAAAGTCTTGGATTGTAGTTACACATAGTTTAATAAAAGTCCTGGAGTGATCTACGGGAGTGATGCTTTTTCCAACCACAGATATGTGCATATTCCATGTTCCGACATGTTTCCCGTGACCAAAACCTCGCGATATTTCAGTCTCAGTTAACGTTACCTACTGGTCTTGGATACTCCAGTTTCGCCCACCGACAAGTAACATCAACACGGTTACCGGGAAAAGCTACCTTAGAGGCGGGTTGCGACATTTCTCTCCCTGAACCTCCGCAGCTGACATGGATATCTTGTTGCCCGGGAAACATTGAAGACAAAAACAATGGGTACATGCCGCTAGAAAAAGTTGCTAGCTTAATTGGCACAACTGCGAGCTAACAGTTAGCCGCTAACGTTAGCCGGCTAACGTTAGCAAACAGACAGCTGAAGGAGAAGTGTGTAGAAGTTTGGATATTATTTGTCGCTGAGACATCAAGATTGATGCGGCTTTCTGGAGACGGCGAACCCTTTCATTGAAGGTACGTATCGTTTAATCCCGGAGAGGCGTTAAACTGAGATACATGAACACTTAACTGTCAGTCGGTAACATTTACTCTTTGGAGTTGGCGGCTCCGACTACACACCGGACCGAAAACATTTTTTAAAAAGAGTCGTCCCGAAACGGATGTTATATATGGTCGATTATACATTACAATATATTTCTATGAGTCGTACTAGAAATTCGGAATGGTTGCTTAATCGTGTAGATAATTGTGCAATGTATTCGGCTAAAAAGTTAAATTTCAGCAGTTCGTAGTTCACGCCCGACCGACTTACGTTGGCGATGGGCTGGGTCAGTGTATTTCCTGGGTAGGACATCACAGCTACAAGCTTGGACATACATTCCTTTAAGTTTATTTTTTGTAATTTGATATTTATTGATTGAAATGAAGTGCTGTTTATGTCAAAAGTTAGCTTTAGAGAAACGTTTGTCTTGTAATACAGGTACCGTTCCGTGTCAGTCTACTTACTCCAAGCTCTCTCTCTTTTTCATTACATTGTACCACATATGCGACGAATAGAAACTTCATAGTACTCAAACCAGTGACAAAGTAGCGACGTCGAGTAACTATGTGGAGATATGAAACGGTTCAAAACGAGGGAGTGTTTGAGATAAAAGTTAAAGTCAGTGCAGTCCCTGTAAAGTCGAAGTCGGCAGTGTTTCTTCCTCGTCTCATTGTGGGGGTCTTCACTGGGAGCCCTTTGCACGGTGGTGACCTCGGTGTTTAGAAGCTGTACTGCAAAAGTGAAACCCCTCTTTACGTGTCATGCAGTGTCCACCGGATGACTACTGCCTTGTAATTCCCGATGTAGTGTAGGGAGAAAGCTATTCTTTATCTTGGCTTTCATATGGGCTACATTTGCACTCATGGAAATCAACCACCCTGCATGAGAGCATTTTGCCTTTATATCACTTTATAATGCTTGCCAGACACTGCCCATATTGTACCTCACAGAGCAGTGTTAGAGTTATTTGCCCTGTGACAAGGTGTGTTTTGTTAAGTTGTGTTAATTTTGACATCCTCTGTGGACAGAGATGTATATCAGTACCTCTTTGCTGTTTTTGTCTTGTGTTTGCCAAGGTAGTGTTTTCTTATGTAGCCTTAAAAACATAAACATGTAAAGGCAGTTTCTTTAGCACATTGTCAATCACCTAGTCTGATATGTACCCTCTTGCAAATGTTACAGGCATATAAAACTACATTTGAATTAATATCAGTTGTATAGCTGATAGTCCTGCCTGCTTCTGTTGGTCATAATTAAATTATATGTAAACCATTAGTCAGACTGAAATTGTAATTATTCAAGTTTCTCTTTGTGGGAGTGAGTTAGCTTGACAATTTAGTTTAAGATCTTGTATGTGTTCACCTCAGTCAGACCCATATAGACCCACTTCACAACACATTGCTGGACCAAAAGAACCAATGGTGGTGGACGGCTCCTCTCTTTTCGCTGCAGGACAGAAAGAATCAGAAGATCTTTTGTACCAACAGCCATCAGACTTTATAACTCTTGTGTAAATAGTAGATAACTTTTAGAGACATATTATGTGAGACAACAGACAATAGAATTTCCTTTTGGGGATTAATAAAGTTCCTATTATTATTATTCTTATATTGATTATGTGCATACTCTACAGTTTAAATGCCAACTTTGACTCAGATGATACCCTGTAGTGATCAAAACCTCAATAAAAAAAGTGGGTATGTAAAAAAAGAAAAAAGACAAAACTGTGGTTTTGTATTGTACATATGAAAGGCAAAAAGTTATGAAAGTGTCCATATTTCCATCATGGGACTTAATAAACAGTTATCTTGTTGGTAACTTGTTTGTCAGTAGTTTTGGTTTGTAATGTCATAGGTAAACATGTTATATGAGGTCAATGGGGTAATATCGCTGCCTGGCGTAGTGGAGTCAGAACTATTCTCGTCAATAAATTAGTTCTGGATTGGTGCTTGTGTACTGGGTCAAGGACAGTAATCCAGTTAAATTATAGATCAAACTGTAACCTTAGTTCAACTCATCTGTGCATGTAAACATAACAAATATTTTTTCAAACAGTTTGACAACCAGTTACAAACTCCTCCACAGGGGCCTCATATGTCGGTAGTCAAGGTCAACCCTGAATATGTTAGTTTCCTTGTATATGTTGTGGTACATCCATTCAAGCTGTTCTTGGCTCTTCTACAACAAATTTGGCTTCAGTCTGGATTCAGATAAAAGCACATATCCAGTGAGCCTCCAGGAATCTGTTCTAGTATACATCATATGACCTTTTCTTCTTTTACAAGTGAACTCCACCTCTATGACACATTGATTCCTCCTCTCCAGGAGGGCTTCATTCTGCTGTGGTAGAAACAGAGAGGAATTCATTTTCTCCCTGTTTGAACCCTCCTCCTGATTTTATCACCTTGGGCAGTGTCATGTGATTGTTGTTTATAAAATGCAGGACTTGTACAAACCCCCCTGTGTGACACAAAGCAGTTGAATAATGTAACTGCAAAACCCAGACTGTGAGCAAACTATCAAAGTTAGCCCTGCACAGAGACCAATAGCACGGTAATAGTACAGAACCCATTTGACAGTCTTTGACACTTAAAAAAAACCAATGCAGTTGTAGGAAGTGGATTTTCTTAGCCAAACAAATCTGTCAAACAATATTTTGTTGCTGACTTAATTAGGTAGTACCAAAGTGATACTAGACACCCGTACACGAGCTCTTCAGGCGACGTGTTTTAGGTAAACATCACATAGCTGACGTAGCAGTTCTGCTTACCTTCCTTCATGGAAACCTTCAGAGGTATGTGCTGTTGTCTGACCGGTTTTTAAGAGTTGGGTGACATTAATAAGCAAACGAGGAGCTGACAAATGATGCTGGCTACTCAAGTAATTAATTAGGATCAACATGTTTTTATGTAGTTTAATTGGATCAAAGCCTCAGGACGTGCTTGACAGAATTGGTGTCTCTAGGGCTTGTTTCTGTCTGTTCGTCTTTAAATGTGCCCGCTTTTGTTCCTCTATATTATTCCTTGTTGTGGTTTAAGTTAACATCTGAATTTTTATGTGCCTGAATACTCATTTGTTCCTGCCTCTCTATTACAGTGTTTATTTCTTTTTTGGTGCAGGAGTCTAGGTGAAGATACTGTAAAAAAATTATGTTCTGTACTTATTTATTTATTTGCTTCTGTCTCATCTTGGCTACAGGTGAATGGGAGAGATGAAGAGCAGTAGGAAGACTGAGGTTTTCTCTGCTCAGCAGCTCAACAATCCAAGTATTGGCCCAGGTTCGTCTAAAATTTTTTATTCCCACCCAGAAAAAGCTTAAGTGTTGTTGTGTATTTATTCTTATAGACGTTATCTCAACTATTTTCAATTGTGCTCTGAAATTCATCAATTTGTGGAAAATTTTTCCATCAAATTGAAACAGATTTTTGTCTTTCTCTTTCAGAGCTGTCAACTGCATGGAAAAGTTTGGTTCAGACCAAAGCTGCAGTAAGTCCATCTGCAACCTCCCTGAGAGGATTTCCATTTTGTAGTCGTGCAAAAAACACTGCAACAAGATTTTTGTTATTTTTATATACTCATAACTCAAGATATCTCCTTTTTCTTCCTCTGTAGTTGCGGCACATAGAGAACCGCCTAGAGGCGACCCCGGGGACAGGGGTTCTGATGGAGTCTGTCATGGACCCTCCCAAGAAGAAATCCACCCGAACGGTTCACTGCAGGGGTGAGTTGTTGCAAATTGTAGAGCAACATTTTTTCATTATAAGGCTCACTTTGGTTTATTCTGCTGAATCTATAACTCTGTTACAATTGATTTTTCTATTACAGATGGACAACAAGCTGACAGCAGTGGAGGGTCTTCAAAGCGCAGGGGGCATAGTCAGCAGAGTCCAGAGAAGAGCAGCTCCCGCAGCCCCCTGAGAAATAGCACCCAGGACAGCAATGTCCGCAGGAACAACAGTGTGGAATTCAGAGAACCGCTGGCCTCCTACAGGTACAGATTTGGAATTTAAACCCAATCCCAAACCCCCCTTTTTCCAGATCTTTTCTATGTTTATGGGAAGATTTGCTTTTAATGAGTATCTATCCTAGTTGATGCTTAAAATTTCCACTTTAGTACGAATACAAAGGCAAAGTTACTTAAACAACTAATTTAATATATATATATTTTTTTAACAACGAGGTAATGCTTTATGTGTTCTGTGTTTATATTCTGTAAAGTGACAACATATTGGGATTTTTGTGATTGCTAATATAACTTTTGAGCTGTGATACTTCCATGCGAAATGCTGCATTATGTCATTTTTTTTTTAGCTTGATACAACAGGAGAGCTCTCTCAACTCAATGACTGTCCTCCTCCCTCTCTGTCTGACTGTTAAGGCTTCCACTCAGATACCACATGTTCTTGACATCTTTTTCAAACAGCTCAGCGCTGAATGACTATCAGATACTTCAGTCACCCGAGGCTCCAGTCCTTTTCTACTAAAACAGCAAAACCAAAATGTTCAGAACCATAGAATTCATTGATGTCCATTGAGTTCATGATGTTCATTGTGATAAAGGCTTTAAATCATCAGTGTTTCAATTTGGTCCTTCAAAGTGTCTCTTGTGACTGTCATAAAAATCATAACTTTTCAGGATTGATAATTTTGAAATGTGGAACATGATTGCTTTAATTGGAACATTTGCAAAGACTTCAGCCCTTGATTTAGAGGCAATTTAATGGCAACCCGAGCTTCACAGGCTTTTGAAATACATAGATGAGCTTTCAGACCAACAATTTCATGGTTTCATGGAAGCATTTTCCTAATAGTTGGCAAAAGAAAAGGTTTTAATAGGCCATGTCTTCATTGGTTGGATATTTACACACATACACACACACACAAAACAATTCTAAAAAATATATGCAAATGGTGAATGTTGTCAAGATCTAGTATTGTTGCTACCAGATAGAAACAGCTGGCAACTAGCTGGTAAATGTAATTCACAAGGATGCCTAATGTTAACAGCATCATCCTGGTATTGGCAAATAAAGACTTGATCAGTAGATCGTCCTTAGTTGTAGACTGGTACTAAAATTTTACCTGATAAACAGCTGATGAGGTGACATATCAGTTGTGCATACATTGATCTGATTATGCGTGTTGACCGTATGGCAGTGTTTTGTTGTGAAGGAAACAGACAGCATTATAGCTGTTTGCAATGCTAAGTGCAGGTGACAGGAGGAGTACCAAAAGAGCATTTTCCACTTTAGTGATTCAGTCACTCTAAGAAAAAAGTGGTAAACAGGAAAATCATTGAATTCACTGATAACCAGCTATTCAGTGCAGTGGGAGATGAAACTTCTGCAGCATTGTGGTGTATTGTTGATCTTTATTAGTGAGTGTTAATACTAGTTAATGTCATTCAGGTTCAGCCTTTTGGTTTGAAGAGGGAGCCTTCAGTTCTTTGCTGTCATGTCAGTCATAGTGGGGCGTAAGGTGCATTTCCAAACCTCAACATTCTGCAGTTATTCTCATTAATGCTGCAATTATAAAGTTGTCTTAACTGTGAAACTCAGATAAATTGGGTAAGAGTGTCACTCCGTCATTCTCTCCCTTTTGACCATAAAATGTGCTGTTCTGTATACTCGGTGTGTTGTAAATTAAGAGTAAGGCTTGATCCTCTTCCTGATCCCATGTAATCTGGTTTATGTACAGAGAGGCCACCCCTCCACCACATCCCTCGTCTCAGCTGGAGGCCTACAGTCTACAGTCGGTGCCAGGGTCCTTGCACCCTTCCTCTCCAGCCTCCTCAGATCCTCTACTCAGCCAGCTGGTCTACCAGAGAGACACCAGGGACAAACAGACAGACAGAGACCTGGAAAGCACACACTCCTCAGCTCTGGAGAGCACAGAGGTTCGCTACCTCAATGACCAGCCAGCCCCAGTCACCCTGAGGACTATTGTAAACCAGTCACCTCTCACAGGTGTAGAGGGGGCTGAGGAGGAAAGAACTCCTAAAGCACACGTTGGAATGGATAGCCAAAAACAAAGCTTGTTTGAAACTCCAGCCCAAGGCTCCGTACAGCGAGCGGAGAGCACCCCTTCCTCCAGCCCTGGTTCAGCATCTCAGCGGCTGGAGAATCTAAGGCGACATCAGCCAGACGATAAACTGGAAAAGCTCAAAGAGCGCATTCGCAGGCAGAGACAACATCTGGAGGAGGCAGCAGAGAAAGAGAAACTGCTGGGTTATCTGGAGCAGCCTATTACGGCAGCAGTAGGGAGCAACAGCACTGGCACTGCCAGTAGGGCTACAGCAAAAATACGTAAAGTGGCTGCTGCACCACCTGCACCCGTATACAAAGGTACCATGAGTGTTTGATGCATTGACAACTAGAGCGTACTCAGTATTTGATCTTTTGTTGGTCATTTGAGGCTTAGAAATAGAAAATGAGATGCTACAGCTTACTGGTCTTTAAATCCTTCAGGTTTCAACAGCACTGAGACAAAGATCCGGACTCCTGATGGGAGAGTGTGGAAAGAGGAGGATTTTCATAACCTCAGTAGAGAGATATACAGAGACCTGTCACAGCAGTTTGCTGGTAAGCACAGGCCACTATCTTTTACCTTTTTCAGTGTGTACCACCTTTTTTAGTCATGACTCGAGTTTGTTTTTATTAACCAGCTGACACTTGACAATTTAATCAGAAAAATCTTCATGTATCTATGTTTCTGTCTTCTCATTACAGAGACCACAAGATCCAAGAATCTGCAGCAGAGAGAACAGAGAGCAGACAGGTCCAAAGAGAGGAGACCCCCAAAACCAGTCAGGAAGGTCCACAGAGCTGCCCCTTCCTCTGACCTAAATGCAAAACCAGGTATAATAATCCCCTTTCATGTGAGAGGGCCAACCCACCCTCTGATCTATTTTTAATTAGTGACAGTAGGAAAGCTAAGCATGTGGAACAGTCTGGTAGGATTTTATCATGGTTCAGTGCACATGGTCCCAAACCGAGAGCTCCAAATGTTAAACAGCCTCATTTCTTTCTAACTGGCTTTGCTGGTTTGGGGTTGTGCCTTTTTGAGTCATGTGCATTCTTCTTTGATTTTCTACTTTCATATCTTTGTTTATACCAGTTTATTGATATCTTTTCCTGAATGACTGTTACATTTATGACAGTTGTTGAATAATGTTGCTGCAACCTTTTCTTTGCCATTTTGGAGACTTATGTGTAATCATGTCTTGACAACATTATTTACATTTCAGACAAATTTTGCAACACAAATAAACAAAAAGGTTACTTATTTTAATCCAGAAGACGTATTTTTATAGATATCTTGGGCAGACTGCTTGAATAAGTGTTCAGACAACAGTACTCGGTGTGTTCTTTCCATATCCTCAGTCGTGCTATACTGAGCCTGTGTGTGTTTCAGTGCATGAACTAAATACATTGTTTACTTGTGAGACTGTATGGTAGGTCTTAAATCTCTGAAGAAATGTCAAGTATGTGTGACATGCAGTTTTGGACCTGTGAGTAGCAAACAGAGAACTACATTTAATAACTAAAGCTTCATACCACTGTAACCTGGGACAGCTGAGAAAACTCCCCCTTTGTTATATGCAAAAATCCTTCCGGGTGCAAACCAGTACACAAAATGTAAAGCTGCCATCATCTCTGTGTCCTGAAAGATAATGGTTTTAGTGCCTAGCGCTCCACCTTGATTAATCCAATAAATGATTTAGTGTCGTTGCAAAATCTGTGATATATTAAAGTAAAACAGATTAAGTCTAATTATCCTGAAAGTGAAAAACACGTGTTTTTCTCATTGGCTCTTTGGCTGGTGTCAACTTGTGTTTTTTCTAACTTTTGGTTGCCTCCGATGTCTGCACTGCTCTCTCTCTGTCATGCTGGCACAGCACTATAAATAGCACTCTGGTTCAATTGGCTCATCCGCATGGTACCATCAGCTGCTTGCTTTGTCCATGTTCAGTTTCATTACCAGGAACTGCAATTCTATAGAACCACGTCAAAGTGAAAAGCACACCAGAGGTCATCTCAAGTGAGGACATTTGGGTGTTTCTAGAATGTCATTTCTGGCATCTGAGCACCACAGAGTAATACTAAGCTATAAGAAAGTTTGCAGCGAAGACAAGTAGAAACCACTGGGTAAAATCCTGTAATAATGATTCACTTAGTAGATGCTAGTGACCAAAAAAGTTGGTTAAATTGTGAATTTTAAGTTGTTTGATGGTTACCTCTGCCACAAAACAACCGTAATAACTTACTCAGAGTAAGCATTTCTTTTTATGTTATTGAATTTCTATAAGGAGTGACTTATATCAGTAAAGCAAATGCTGTTCTTGTATGTGTTTTTCCTAAAGCTGAGAATTTCAGGACGTTCGTAGACATAAATGTGATGATGGCTTCAAACTTAATGTTTTTGTTGAGCCTGAAACTGAACTTGTTGTTTTAAATGGACACTGGTGGGCAAATGTATCTATTTTTGTTTATTTGCAAGGTTTGTATGTATGTCACGACAACAAAAAGCTGCCCACTATTAAGACATTAAATTGATCTGTGTTTATGATATGCCTATGATGCAGTTTCAGTTAGCTTTTTGTTTCTGTGTGTCTTTGTAATGCAGAGTGTACAAAGATTTCATGTCACTGAGGTCTGAAGCTCTGTAGCAATATCCAAATTTAGATAATTCTCACTATTTAACTGTATACATACTACATAGTCATTTTTGCGTAAAGTGATCAGCTTTGCAGCTGTCTCTCCGTCTCTCTCTTTTCCCCTAAAAATATAAATTTTCTGTCCTTTGCAGTGATAAATACTTCATCGTGGCGAGAGGGTCAAAAGCTTGTAAAGATGGTACTGGGTCCATTTCCTAAGTCTCCCATGGAAGAGAGACCCCAACCTGCTGATGGACAGAGTCGAACAGGTGGGACCTGAAGTAATGAAGTCATATGAAATACAGAAAAATATTGCATATCGGGGAACCACACAGAGTAGTAAAAAAACAGACAGACAACAGAGCCAGACAAAGATGATCAATAAATAAAGAGTCTTTGACTGCTGCTTTGCATAGACTATATCTCACAGTCCCTCCTAAAAGCACACTACCAGCATCCACCTCTGTCTCTGCTCGCTGCATCGGGACTGGGCACCACTGACCAGACGGAATAGAGATTGACATGCTGTTCTGGTTGGGTGCACAATTAGACATGGCCTCATTTCCAGAGGTTGCCCCTAGTACAGGATGCATGTACTCTGGAAGGGGGAAGTGGCCCAGAGAGGGGATGAGGCTCACAGCAGCCATGGTTTGAAAAAAACACTGTCTGGATTAGACAGTGTAAAATCTGCATAGGAATGATCAGTTTGCCACAGATTAGAGTTGGCATGTAAGCCCGCCCACAGGCCCTCTTTAGTTTTTGCTTTCTATCTGGGTCTGGTGCCTAATCTGTGGAGGGTTTTTGAAAAACCCTTTTCAGTCCCTTGTAAGCATTTATTTACATTTGTGCTGACATTTCTAACCATTTTTTAAAAATGTATAACTGCCTCAAGCTTTCAAACATTATCATTATCCTATACAGAAGCCATATATAAAATAGTTTGATATTTATAATGCTCAAAGTGCTGTTTTCTTGTACTCAATTTAAATGTCAATTTATCACCGCTTACTAACATTTGATAATCTTTCACTAATTTTTGTTCAAATTTTTCATGCAATTTCAGCTACACATCATCACTTCAGTTCAGAACCACGCACAGAAGCAAAACCCAGATCTCGCCCAAACAGCAGAGAGAGGCTTACTAGTAGTGGTCAGGGGCGTTCAAAAAGCCGCTACACTAATCCAACAACCCCTTCATCTGCGGATCAGGACAGAGAGCCAGAGCGTGCAGGTGCAGACTTGTTGTCATCAGACATCCAGGGGATACTTGATGACCTCCAGCTGGAGTGCAGAGCAGCTGAGAGGGAGGAGAGGGCCCGGCAAAGATCTCGGTGTAGTAACAGTAGCAGGAGAGGGGGATCAGGATCACGTACAAGAGCTCCAATATCTGCTTGGGGGACTACTTTGGCAACCGGTTCTTCTTCAAGGGGATGCCGCAGTGCCAGCCCCACCATACACCGGCCTCACACTGCGAGCACGGCTGACACGGGGAACAAAAAGCGACACTATGATGCAGATTCTGTTCGGCAGTACATTTTAAAGCAGCAGGAGGAGAGAAAGAAGCGTCGAGCAGAAGAGAAGAGGACACTGAGGGAGGAAACTGAGAGGAGAAATCAGAGACTGCAGGAGCTCTACAGGAAACAAAGAGAAGCAGCCAAAACTGTGACCCATGCAAGTGAGGCCCCTGTGGCCCCTGTGCAAAAGCGACTACAGGAGACCTATACCAAACTCCTGGAGGAGGTCCAGCAGGGGATGGAGACCACTCAGACGCTACCTACTGCTCCATCTAGTCATATGGTATTATACATTACCACATCACTTAGTTACCCCTTTTTTTCACTAATAATCAAGCTGTATGAGTTACCAGGATATGTTATTTTCTGTTTGCTTACAGAGACCAGTGTACCAGCCCTCAGGAGAGTCAGACAAAGAAAACAAAAGGCTCGAGACACCCCTGAGTCCTTCCAGCAGTGATAGATCTTTCAACGATCAGCCGGCTCCTCCTCCTTTGTCCAGGTACGCACTCACACAGACGCTTTCAGGAGAAATAAAAAAGCTGGCATTTGACTTGTTGGCAAGGATGAACAAAAACATCTCTTAGCAGAATGTCTTAATACACTTTTGGCAAAAATTTCCAGAAAAATCACCTGATTGGTGCAAATAAAGAAAGTGTTCTTTCTAAGATGGTTATTTTTGTTACTGAACAGCACCCCTGAAGCCTTTTGCCCTTTATTTTAGTACAGGATTAAAGAAGATATTCAGAGGCACTTAACAGTCACTGAAGCCTGTTTAGAGGCATTTAAAAGGACTTCCTGGAAACTCTGATAACGGAGGATAAAGCTTTACTTGTGAAACAGATAGAATGAGCATCTCTGTGTTAATACTGAGTGATTACAGATATTCTTGTACTTTTCCATGCAGATGAAGCATGCATTTGATCATGCTTTCGATTCACTGTTATGTAAATGAGTAGTTCATGCAGTAATCCAGCTGTAAATATGCTGCTATGATAAAGGTGTCGTTTCGAAGGAGCATATGACGTGTGTGGTCTCCTTTATTCCAAAAACAGCATGATAAAATTGTTATTGTTATAAGAGGAAGCTGCCTTCACTGTCAGGATCTTTCTCTTCTCCCTCCTGTAACTTCAAAATTCTCTCTTTGCCTCTTGCAGGAATGATCTGGATGTTGGAGTTGCGTCTTTGCTTCAGCCGGATCGACTGAGTCCTGCTGTTCGACCTATGATTGGTCCGAGCAGTTCACTTACTCCTTTTGGTGACCCCTTCCTCTCTCAGCTGCTCGGGCTGGAGTCTGCCATGGCAGCCGGTAATATTCAACAAACCCAGCGGCCCGCCACAGCACCTTCTAGCAGGTCGCGGTCCAAGATGTCCCGAATTGAGGCCCTCAAGGCCACAGCAACATCCCTCTCAAACCGTATAGAGAGTGAAGCAAGGAAGCTTGCTGGTGAAGGGATCAATTATGGTGCAAAAACTTCAATGGATGATGACATTGTTTTGACTCCCAGGCCCTCCACAGCTAATGCTGATGGATGCTGGACAGCTGCTACAGAAAATAATGATGCTGCTCTGAAGTTCCAGAGGAGTTTGACTAACGCAGGTCCGAGTTCATATGACCCCCAAGTCCTACCAGGTGTGGGTAATCTGCACACCTTCAGTGGAAAGAAAAAGACAAAGGGTGCTTACACCAGTTTTACAAAACCACATACAACTCCAGCTGATGTAACAGGGCCTAATCTCACTGGTTTTACCCATGAAAGGAGCAAACTTGTCAACGGCTTTAGGGAGGAAGACAGAATGGCACAAAGAAGTGAATATGGACTGATGGACGAGAAGAATCTGACAGATCTCCATGACTCAAGTGCAGGTTCCATCAGCGAGGGTCCTCTTCTGAGTGAAGGAAGTTTTTCTGAGGATGAAGCCGGCCCTCCCCGATCCTCCAACAATCGTGCGCCTAAATCAGCTGATCATCCGGCTGCAGTGAACAACCGTGCAGAGCAAAGGGGGGATTCCCAGCGGTTATCAGAGTTCCAGAGAGAAGCTGCGAGGTGCTCAGCCCTCAGTTCACCTTTTGCTCAGCATGAGGGCAGCAAAGCAGCCTGGGAGGAGTTAAACAAAGGAAGCCCTTTGAGTGTTATCAACATCTACATAAAGAACTTATATGACCATGCCAAAGGTTAGTCCCAATATGAAACTCTTTCACCATGAAAGATATATCAGTCAAGTTTTGTAAAACTTGTAAAACTACATAAGCAGTACAAATGAAATAGTCAAAATGATGTTTTGATTTAAGTTCCTCTTTGTAAATGTATTATTTCTATTCTTACATCTTTACTATCAGTCATATTAAAATCAGATGCTTTAGCTAAAGGAACATGCACTGAATCCAAGTTAAAGGTATTTCTTTTCTTTTTCATCATTTTTTTTTTCTGCAGCGAATGAGAGGATGTCTGAGAAGACACCCCCCTCAGCCCACTCTATGGGCCTTGGGAATGGCCCTGTGGACACACCTGTCTATGAAGACGACTTTGTGTCATCACATAGCAGTGGACAGTTAAAAAGAAGCCCTCATTTACACAGGTAAAAAAAAACCCAACAACCTTCAATTTTCAGAATGGCCACTGGATGGCATTCATGTCACACCAAGAGAAAGCCCACAAAGTGTTTTCGAACAGCAACCCTAATTTTGTACTCATGGGTTCAAAGATTACCCCACTTCACTTCTGTAGTATTCTATGTGTTGGTGTGTGCCTTCACATATTAAGAATTTAATTCAAGGTCATTTAAATCACACTTTTCTCCCTTCCTTATAAGTGTGAACACTCATTTTGAGGAGCTGATGAGGAGGTCTCCTTATGAAAAAAGCACAGGAGGTGCCAATTCCAACCATTCATCCTTCCTCTCATCTGTTCACTCACCACATCCTTCGTCCGGTTCAACATCTTGCTCTTCACCCTTTTCTAAACACTCCAGCAGAAAAAGAGGTGAGAGCTCTTAAGTTTGTTTTTCACTATTACAGATTTGTGTTTGTTTTTAAATTAATATTTTTTAATCACACAATAGAAATATTCTCTGTCTGACAATAACTCCTTATTTCCACTTCAGGTACAGTGTCAGACCAGAGTGATGCTACTCTGGTGGGAGAGCAGAGAAACTCCTGCTCACCTCCCTCTGATGCATTATCCTCCGACTCCAGGAAGAGAGGCTCAGAAAAAAGCCCTGCTGACAGCCACGCCAAAAGTTTCCACTCTCATGATGCTTTAGGGGAAACTTCTCAACAAAGGTAATGATCTCCAGCAGACTAGATTAATGAGGTTTGATACTCCAAGGAGAGAAAACAAAAACTTCCATATGCAGGGTCTCGGAGTATTTCTAAGAGTATACAAGCATGCTGTGTTGTGCCATAATGGTGACTAAAAGGTCAAAAGTGTTTACATTTTCCACATATTCAGATTTTTAAGGTATTTTCTTTCTTTATTCTAGGGGTGCAGGCACAAATTTTCACTGGGGTGTTTTATATGCTGCCTTATTATAATAGGTTTTTATTTGGGTCACAGCATGATCATTATTATTATTTTTATTTCCTAGTGCAATTTTTTTGGATTGAAGATTCATTTAATTTGCATCTCGAGTTTTCACTATACGATATAATTTCATTTTGAAAGTAGTTCACTAAGCCACACAATTTCCTCTTCTCATTTCTTCCAAGCTAATCTGAAATGGAATGGTGTATTTATGGATATTTTAGATGTTTTTAGTTTTAGGTTTACTCACTTGTTGCTGTTCCAAAAAACTCCACTTAGTACAAACCATTTTTACTTTAAGGTCAATTTATTTGGACATGAAAAATCACTCAAGTATGCTTAGAGAGACCAAGTTAAGGCTTTTGGCTGGCTCTCCTGTTGAAGGCATGAGGCCCTCAGTACTCTTGAACAGCCCACCAGCAGAGGGAGGTCTTTAACCCAAGACAGAAAACACTAGCTGTCTTGTGATGGGGGCCTGTAGGGTAGTTTGATGGATCAGCCAGCTTCACCACAGCTTGGGCCTGATGCCAGAGAAAAAGAGAGGAATTTTTTTTTCCCCTCTCAATCTCAGTGCCCAGTATAGACATTTTAGTGCTCTAATGGTACGCTGAAGCCCAGGTGGCAGACTGCTTCCACTTTGTGTAGTTTGTGTCTCTTATAAGATAGATAGGATTGTGTTCATTTTATCGCAATCACTTTAGCTGGATGTTTAAGTTCATCAGTCCAAAATTTTTTTAAATGTCTCTGTACATTTCAGCTTCCTTGCATTTGACAGGGTATTTGTAAAGTATTAGGACAACGGTAATATCGTCACATCCTTTCAGTTGAATCCAGCTGTGTCCCTGAAATATTGTATCCCCAGAATGGGAGAGCATATCCTGATCCTTTAGGACATCGCCCTTGGTCTCTCAGCAGCACAATATATCCATTCATAGTCTGGGCCTCTTACAGCTGGGATATGCTGGCTCAGCAAGTCCTGAGGTGTGCACAACCAGGGGCCCCTTCTTTCTTAATCATTTGGTGGCGGCCTTATCTGCTATTCCAAATGTTCAACAGTCTGCATCCTACAGTGCATGTAACTTTACACCAAGTTATGTTTGATTTAGATAAATAAAATAAATAGATGTGCCTCTCCAAAACATCTGGATTAATGTTTGAGCTGTTCAAGAAAAAGTTTAAAAATACCTTGAATGTGGTACTTTTTACATTTATTATGGTACACTAAAGCATACATACCTGAACGCCTCAAATGTCTTGACTCTTGGGGAGTTGTTTGCTGGTCTCACAGCTGTATTTTATCTTGCAAAAGCTTTATACCTGAACTTTTTTTTCCTGTCTCTCTCTCTCTTTTTTTTCAAAATCTCTTTCTAGTTTGGTGGTTGACAGTAAAAAGTCCTTCGTAGTCAGGCCAAAACACACTTCTTCACATGGCTCTCCAGATTCTGGTTCTCCTCCAGGATCAAACTCCCCCAGTGAGGCTGTAAGAAGGGGATCATTTAGGGCGAACAGCCCAAACACTAGCACTAACGCTCGCAGTGGCAGAGCAGAGAACAGGACTGCTGGTAAATAATACTCACATTTAAATATAAGACAACCAGATGTTTACTTGGACTTATTTCTCATATCTAATATTCTCAAATATCCCCCTTTTCCTCCCTTCATTCAATTTTCTCTCTCACTCTCTCAACCTTTTCTACCTCCCAGGTCAACTTCAGTATTCACCAGCTGTTTTGCAAATGCGTATGGCAGCAGAGCTCCAGTACCTGGAGTCTATCGAGGAGTCTGTCCGACAACTGGGGGATGTGGAGAGGTTGATGGGGGTATCCATGGCTCAGCAGGAGAGTGCTTCACTGGCCCAGATGCTCAAGGTGAAGAAGGAGGGGAAGGAAGTGGCTGTTGTTAGATAGGAGTATTTCAAGTAACAAAATCTACATTTTACTCAATGTGCCATGCAGACGTGAATAAAACCAAAAAAATTACCAACCAAGTGTTTTTATCAGTGGCTTGAAAAAAACTATTGATACAGCATGATATTTAAATGGCAAAGCTTTTTCAGCCCCATAAATTTCAGTGACTTACTACCCGTCGAATGTCTGTATTGATGCACCATATTGACCCCCTTTCTGATCTTTGACCCTGCAGGCCAAGCAGCAGAACCATGAGCGTGACCTCTACGAGCTGAAGATCAAGGCTGAGAGGGAGGCTCTGGAGGCACAACTCCAGATTGAGGAAAACAGGCAGAGAGCAGCCAGGGTACTGCTGCACACAAAGAAAAGCTCACTCTCACCAATAATACACTGTGTATGTGCAATTGAAAATTATTATTGAATGTTCATGCTCTGCTCTTTTTTTTTTTTTTTACTCAGGCTCACACTGAGCTGCAGGAAAGCTTGGCTGGGACTCAAAAAGAGACATTGGAGGGCCTCCAGGAGGCAACTGCAAAGATGATGAGTCAACAGGCTGAGACAGCACGGTACACAGCCGAAACTGCCCGACACATCAAAGAGGTAAGCAATCACTGCCCTCTTCTCTGCCTGGAAAACAGCCTGTGTCTTCATTTTTGGCAAAAGTTGATTGACTGTTGAGTTGCAGTAAAGATCAAAACAATCAATGCTGGAGATAAAAGCTCAATATACTGTGTTTTACTCATCAAAACCAACACAAATGTGTTTTTTTTCTCCGCCAGATGACTGAAATGGCTCGGTCTCAGATAGCAGGAGCTTTGGTTGTTCCACCTGCTGTAACAAGTTATTCTGTTTCGGATGACCAAAGGAATCAGCAGAGCTCTTTTTCACCGCAGCGACAGGATGAATCTGACAGGTGAACCTAAAGCACATTTATTAAGGGTTTTTTGACTATTGATACATCTAGTCCTCTTGTCCTCCTTACATAGATTCAGAATGGTTTCAAAGCATTAGAAATCTGGAATAATGCCATACGACGAGGGTTGTTGTGATCAGGTTTTTTGGCCCCAGGTTCCAACCTAAATATTTCACAATGAGTATCTGCTGATACGGGGTCCCATTCCAATACTTGTTTTTGACTCGATTGTTGAGCTGCACTCAATTTTTCTTTGTGTTGTTTTATTGTCCACAAAAGAACAGAATTTAACAAACCAGCTAAAACATGTCTTAAGCTTATCCCATTTACCTTAGTTCTGTTAGTACTGTTGTAGAAACCACATAAAACCTGTTTTAGCATCCTATGCGGTATGAAAGCTGTGAATCTGGAGTGTATCTACCACAGCACACTTACACATTGATGTTAAAGCTATTATTTCCTTGTTTCTGTTCCTAAGTATTGTAGGCTAACCCAGAGTGTTTCGTTATACTTATCAAGTTGTATAATTGCTTTCTGTGCAAATTGTACTCAGTGATGGCTAATGTAGATAATCAGGCAAGATGATATCTCAAATTGCCAGCACATCATTAAAAAAAATGCCAACATCAGCTCCGCACTGATAGTAGAGGTTGGGATTAGGACATCCTTAACTGCCACTGAAAATGAAGCCTTCTGTCACCACTTAGCATTCTGATCTATGAAGTCAGAGGGGTAAATGCTCTTGATTTCATGCTTTCCTACAGCTTCCTGAGTCATGAGTCGAGCAGAAGAACTGGGCCAGAGGAGTCCCTGTCTCCACTCAACAGCCTCAGCCACTCTGACTCTCAATCTTTCAGAAGACCCAACTTCAGGTATCAGCCAGGCCTCTCATGTAGCAGTACTTTGAGTGCTCTGTACTGGATTTGTATAAATTCTGAATCTGTTCTCTTTTTCTTCTCACAGTGGAGCAGACTCAAGCAGCCACCATAGCCCATCATGTTCCACTTCAGATCAGAAAGAAAGAACTAAAAAAGAAGCAGCAGAAGGGAAAGGGAGAAAGGAGGGAACTGAAGTGAAAGAGGCAGCCAGCAGCTCCATAGAAGAAGAAGCCATTACAGCGGCTAATGACTCTCTCTGCAGTGACAGCATCCAGTCCGTGTTGGAAGAGAAAGGTAAGTAATCCGCTTTTGCATATTCATTTCCATCAGCAGTTAAACATGTGCGAATACAGCCTTATGTATTTATACCAACAGATAAAAATATAGTTGAAAAGTTCTTTGTGCCCTTACCTTTTCTTACTTTTGGCCCAACAGCTGACAGTACATCCGTGGCAACAGAGTATTCCTTCAAGTTTGATGAGTCAATGACAGAGGATGAGATAGAAGAGCGTTCTTTCCGCTCTCTGCTGCCTTCAGAGGCTCATCGCCGGGGAACCAAGGACAAGAAGTCCAGACATCGTGAGGAGTCAGAGGATGATGAAGCCAATCATGGCAAGACAACAATTTCAGGAGCACACAATATCTTAAAAGTGAGTGGGCAGTGGTGGTATTGAAGATATTTGCATTACTTTAAGAGCTAGTGGGAGAAGGATTCAACCACTGGTGGTGAAACACACCCCCTAAAAAAGTTTGACTGTTCTTTATTCAAGTGCTTTAAGCCCTCTCATGTAAAATAACCTCCAGTTTCTGCGATTTTCCCTTATTCCGCTATTTATCTCCCGTCAGTGGATCGTCTCGTTCAATCACATTTAACCTCCACATTTTCCTGTTGGCTCTCCTTCAGGATGCAAAAATGGCCTTCTCTGGTGGACAGGACAGCTTTTGTCAGTTCACCATGGATATGGTGCGTCAGTACATGAAGGATGGGGAGGTCCGACTGCAGCACCAGAGCTCCCTGCTGCATCTTCGCCAAAAAGCGCTCAAAGACAAGACCAGGGCCGAGCTTGCCTGGCTTGAGCACCAGAAGAAGAGACTGCGGGACAAGGGGGAGGATGACAAAATGCCACCCATTAGGAAGAAGCAGAGGGGCCTCCTGATAAAGCTCCAGCAGGAACAGGTACATAACACAGGGACATTTTCACACCTGTAGCTTTTTTTTTTTTTTTTTCGCTTGGTTCCAAATCATCAAGTAAAGTAGACTAAAATGTGTGTTATGCCTTTTTGAGCGGCCTCAGTACAGTTGTTAGATCTGCACCAGGGTTTGAGTGACAGTTTTCACCCCAGTGCAAATAAACCGCACTAACTTGGCAAACAGATTTAAGGTCATTTTAATCACCAATCAGGTTTGGTGTGAAAGCACCATCAGTGTTGGTTGAGCTTTAGAGTGCAATTTACTGGCTATTAAACTGTCTTCTGCGCTCGTCGTGCTGCTAGGCTGAAATCAAGCGACTTCAGGAGGCCAACAAAGCAGCCAGGAAGGAGAGGCAGCTGTTGCTGAAGCAGCAGGAGGAGATTGAGCGCATGAGAAATTCCACACTCAGACTGAAGGAGCGTCTCAAGTGTGCTGGGAGTGAAGCACCACCAGTAAGTAATGCAACAGTCATCAATCACTTTCACAGCCTGTACAGAGAGACAGATAGATTTAAGAGATGTGTATTCATTGTTATTGTTCATGTTTCATAGTCTGACTGTTAAAAAGTGCTGCATGTTCACCTGTTGCACTTCTTACTGGCTTCAGTCACTCTTAAGTAGCTAAATGGACCATTAAATCATCCTCTAGGAGACCCCTGTGTCAGAAGCCCTTCTGTCTGAGTCAGCGTCCACCAACATAGGACATGCAGAGGATGGACGCAGCCCCTCTCCCTCACTCTCCATCTCTGGGAGTGAGACAAGCAGCATCATGCAGAAGCTCAAGAAGATGCGCTGTCACATGGATGAAAAGTAAAGTCTTTCACTTTATTTTTCTAAGTGTTTGTGGATTGTTTTGAACAGTGTGTGTGTTCAAGCTGCTTCTTTTATTTTGATTGACATATTCTCTTAAGAAGTGAACAGCTGATGAACTTTTTTTTTTTTTTGCTTTGCGTTCTGATCAAATTCTTGGTTATATCACCTTGAGTTTGTGTTTTACAATCTTTGGTCTGTTTTAACTTCTTCATTGCTTACGACTGCAAAATACACACGTGGACAAAATTGTTGGTACCCCTCAGTTAAAGAAGGAAAAACCCACAATTCTCACTGAAATCACTTGAAACCTACAAAAGTAACAATAAATAAAAATTTATTGAAAATTAAATAATCAAAATCAGCCATTACGTTTGAAATGTTGATTAACATAATTATTTAAAAAAAACAAACTAATGAAATAGGGCTGGACAAAAATGATGGTACCTCTATAAAAGATTGAAAACTATTTGACCAGAGTGACATGATTAACTCAGGTGTGTCCTTTAATTGACATCACAGGTGTTTCCAAACTCATAATCAGTCAGTCTGCCTATTTAAAGGGAGACAAGTAGTCACTCTGCTGTTTGGTGAAAAGGTGTGTACCACACTGAACATGGACAACAGAAAGCGAAGGAGAGAATTGTCCCAGGACATCCGAAAAAATTATAGACAAACATCTTAAAGGTGCAGGCTATAAGACCATCTCTAAACAGCTTGAAGTTCCTGTGACAACAGTGGCTCATATTATTCAGAAGTTCAAGACCCACGGGACAGTAGCCAACCTCCCTGGACGTGGCCGCAAGAGGAAAATTGATGACAGATTGAAGAGACAGATCGTTCGAATTGTATCCAAAGAGCCCAGGACAACCTCCAAAGAAATTAAAGGTGAACTCCAAGGCCAAGGTACATCAGTGTCAGATCGCACCATTCGTCGTTGTTTGAGCCAAAGTGGACTTCATGGGAGACGACCAAGGAGGACACCACTGCTGAAAAAAATCATAAAAAGCGAGACTGGAATTTGCAAAAATGCATGTTGACAAGCCACAAAGCTTCTGGGAGAATGTCCTTTGGACAGATGAGACCAAACTGGAGCTTTTTGGTAAGGCACATCAACTCTATGTTCATAGACTCAAAAACCAAGCATACGAAGAAAAGAACACTGTCCCTACGGTGAAACATGGAGGAGGCTCAGCAATGTTTTGGGGCTGCTTTGCTGCATCTGGCACAGGGTGTCTTGAATGTGTGCAAGGTAAAATGAAATCTGACGACTATCAAGGCATTCTGGAGAGAAATGTGCTGCCTAGTGTCAGAAAGCTTGGTCTCAGTCGCAGGTCATGGGTCTTCCAACAGGACAACGATCCAAAACACACAGCCAAAAACACCCAAGAATGGCTGAGAGAAAAGCGTTGGACTATTCTAAAGTGGCCTTCCATGAGCCCAGATCTGAATCCCATTGAACATCTGTGGAAGGAGCTGAAACATGCTATTTGGAGAAGACACCCATCAAACCTGAGACAACTGGAGCAGTTTGCTCATGAGGAGTGGGCCAAAATACCTGTTGACAGCTGCAGAACGCTCATTGACAAATACAGAAATCGTTTAATTGCAGTGATTGCCTCAAAAGGTTGTGCAAAAAAATATTAAGTTATGGGTACCATCATTTTTGTCCAGCCCTATTTCATTAGTTTGTTTTTTTTAAATAATTATGTTAATCAACAATTCAAAAGTAATGGCTGATTTTGATTATTTAATTTTCAATAAATTTTTATTTATTGTTACTTTTGTAGGTTTCAAGTGATTTCAGTGAGAATTGTGGGTTTTTCCTTCTTTAACTGAGGGGTACCAACAATTTTGTCCACGTGTGTAGCTTGCACTGAGTGGGGCAGTGTTTTCATCATTTCTGGCATTCCTTTTTAATGAACCAAAAGTCTCATTTATTTTGATTCTCATTTCAACTAATGACTAATATTGTAAAAACTAACCTTTCCTTGTTTTTCTGAAGTTTTGTGGGTGTGTGAATCTGTGGATGTGAAGATAAGCATGGTTACCTCTTTACTCTCTCTAACAAAGTAACCCTCCTGAGGTTAAAATTTCATGATTGGCCTTCCTATTGTTTGAGGACAATTATATTTAATACTGAACAGTATCCAAAAAAAAACATACTTTGTGTTACCATAACACAGGCATAGACTGTATATAGAATGGACGCCATCTGCCTTTTTGCTTGGTGAAGCCACTCCGAGAACAGCACCCTCTGGTGACGGGCTGCAGTATAGGTCATAAATTCTGCTTCCGCCAGCAAAGCTTATGGAGCTGTGGACAAACTTTAGAAACTTATTACACAGAATATAATTTTTTCTCCCCCCTGCTTGCGTAGCTCACTCAGGGGGATACACTGTTTGAGCCCAGCGTCATCACAGCAACTCTTGGCGACTCTCCCACTGAAAAATTGCGGAAATACCGAGAGCTTTTTGGCTTCGTATATTGGCAGAAGGCGGAACCAAGTTGTCCATAGTATATACAGTCTATGAACACGGGACATAATGACTCCAGCTGCAAGTTTATTTCTCTGCTTGTTCTTTCCATCCTTCTTCTATAACTTCACTTTCTGTTATTTTGTAAAGTTTCTGTGCGAGTATGGACTTCCTGCTGGCCATCAAAGATCTTAGAGTTGGCTAAAAGCTTTGGTCAGGTGGCAGTAGAGCTCCTCATGACCTACTAGCTCCAACATTGGATTAATTGTTCTGGGATTTAGGATTTACAGCTGTATTGTTACACACTGGCTGATTTGCCGCACTTGAGCATTTTTGCAGATTTCTGAAATTTGATACGCTTAAAAATTGCTTGTGTGTTGATACATGATTCAATTGGGAAACCCACAAAATTAGGCCCAGATCACTATAAAATATGATTATACAATAATTTCAGAGAAACCTAAAATATTTAGCACGTTTCTTGATGCTCATATATCATCAGCTTGCTTGCTGTGATTTTATTTTTTCTAGATAAGCCATTGTTTGTCTCTTCCCCCTCTATCTGTTCTTACCCATAACTACTTCCTTGCTGTTTATCACAGCCCTAGAGACTGTATGCTTGAGTTTCCTCCTGACATAACATACTAACACAGTTTGACGTGCTTCTCTGAGGCTTTTATTTGTTTCAAAATCAGCGTGACAGCCTCATGGCCCCTGTAACTCTAAAATTGGTCACTTTTCAAAGTAATCAGAAACCTGACACAGCTTACACCTGAGATGCATTAAAACCACATTTGCTCATATGGCTTTTCTTTCTCCCTTTCTCTGTACTTGTTCCTCTCTTTTCATGTTTTTAATATTCCCTCCCTTTACAATATGTGTGTGCGTATGTGTGTGTGTGTGTGTTGTTGCTGTTTGTTTCCATACCCACATCTGTGTGCTGCTTTTGACTCTTGTCTGTTGCGTGCTTGTGTGTTGTAGACACTGTTCTCCCGTCCACTACTTCTTCTCTGTGTTCACGGCCCACCACTGGGCCTCCCTCAGTGTCTGTCTTCCCAAACTCCACCCTAAATTCCAGCTCTTTATCTACAACCAGTTGGTCAGGTACTGTACAGCGCTCTCTACTTTTTCCCCGAGCCCTATCCTGCCCCTGAAACCCAATTCCACCCCACCCCACAGAACATGCTTGTGTTCTTCCTCTGGCACTGGGACCTTGTTGGGGTGGGGGTGGTGAATGATGAGTGATTGGATGTGTTGGTTTGTTTTGGGTTTTCTCTATTTCCAGGACGATTTTGTGGGGAAGGAACTCCAGTGAGAGCTTGAGGAGTGCCCAAGGAAAGCTACCCTGTTGAAATAAATCTAACCTTTAAGCGGCTTCACTTCGCTGTAAACTCAGTTTTATGGCAACAATTTCATCTGTCAGTGAAATATGAATCACATTGGCTGAAGTGTTTGCATTAAAACACAATGGCTGCAGAGCAGTCTTGGATGAAAACAATGACACACTGAGACACTATTTCTGTGAAGTCTAAAGGTAGGACTTATTTCACCAGGAGGCCTCCTTGCTAAGTGGCAAAAATCCCAAGTCACAGAAACCCCAAGCATGGGTTTCACAGATTTCTGTGGTGTTGATTTTTTTTTTACTCTCCCTGTCTTTTCTCTTGCTATTTTCCAAGAGTGTTGCGGTGTCTTTCAAACTGTGGCTGCTGGTCGCTCAGCTCCAGCTCGGCTACTTTACAAAATTTTTTGAGATCGAACCCCACACTGTGACATGGATGTAAAAGACCTTTGTAGAGAACTGTAGATGGAGTGGTCTATCTCTTTAACGAGCCCAGTAAATCTTAACTAGCCCCTCTTTATAAGAGAACTGTTGCATAGGATTGAATAATAAGTACAAATGACCATTGGCTCTAATAGAGTTTGGGAAGGCACTAAAAGAAAGCCCACGTCTGGTACTTCACTATCTGTCCTGTCATCAGTTTACATTAGGTCAAGAGAAAGGCCTCTAAATTGAATCAATGCTGAATAATACTGTACTGTAATGGCACCCGTAGCTGTGGGAGACCACATTACACAACCTCTATACTTTATTTGGATGGACATGTGCAGAGATATCTAAGTATATGAAGCCCAATAAAAGAGAGATTTCGTTCTTAGAGATTCTGTAGGCTTTAAAAGGAAGAGTTGAATTTTCCAAATTGTCATTGGTTTAGGGAGAACAGGTGTTAAAGGTGTGCGTGGTCGTATCCAATCAGCATTCAGCCCCTGGGTTTCAGTCTGATGCATGAATCTGACATCCTCACCTTTATTTTCCCTCTCTTTTTTTCTCCTGAGTGACATGTCACCACTTTATGCCTGCTTACTTAACAGGTGCTTGTTGGCTATCATATTTGGATGATTATTTCAGGGCAAAAAAAAAACTGGTAAAGCATGTTTTGAGTAGGTTTGGGTGCATTTGCTTCAATCAATGTTTGATGGGATGTTTCAGGTAAGTTTGCAGTGGTAACAGGATGAAGAGGTGATCTGGTTTGGCTTGCTTCTGCGATATCATGCTGTGACTTTACCTGATCTTAATGTCTCTGTTTTACTTCCCTTCTCTCTCCTGCCTTTGCTACCTCTCCATACCCCTCACCTATTCCTTCTTCTTTTTTGCTTGCCTTTTCTCTCTCATCTCTCTATGATCTTTCTTTTCATCTCTTTTTTCTTTCCTTACTTTGCCTCTTCCCTCCTTTTTTCTACTGCATTACCACCCCTTTTCTCCAGGTTCCTGACAAAGAGGGAGCAGCAGCTGATGCAGAGGCGTCATCATGCCGAGGAGCTGCTGCAGTGGAAACAGCGGCTGGACCAGGAAGAGGCTGAGGTGTGCAGGATGGAAAAAGAGGCCCTAGCTGTGTGGGAAAGAAACACTCCAAAGGACACGAAAGGGGAAATGTCCGACACTAGCCCAAGTGCCAGACACCATCAAAGCACAGAGCCTCGAACTGACAGTGAAAAAGGTGAAGCAGCAGATACCTAGCTGGTCCTGGCCGGTTCTACTGACAGAATAGATACGAACTTTGATGAATGATGTCAAAATTAATATGTAGAAACACAGTAATCTTCATGATTGATTGTTTTATGGGTTTTCAGAGTATGCAAGTGAGGGTGACGGCTTCTCTCCAACATCTGAGTCCAGTATACACACAGAAGGGCCCGGATCCCAGCAACTAGGAAGCCCGTCAGGACAACCTGCATCAGCCCATGAAACACCTTTGGCCTCTGTCCAAAGCAGCCCTGCAAATTACACTCAGGACTTTACCTCGGCTTCCCACTCACTGAGTAGACAAGTAAGCAGAGATGCGGTTTTCCTCCTCAGTCATTTATGTTGCGCAAGGTGCCGTTTCTTTAATGGTAGTTGATATCATCTGAGTTTTAAGTGTAGCCACTGGGGGTAGTTTACGCTGTAGTGCGCAGGCTTCAGACCATTTCTTTGTTAATAAATCTGTCGATGTTACTCAAGGGTTATCATCGAAACTTGATGTTGTGTTCCAGCCCTGCAAGAGCCTAGCCACTCATTTGCTAGTTTACTTTGTGTGTAAAATATTTATCCAGGCTTACCTCCATCAGTCCATCTTACTGTGATGTTACATTCTTAAGTATTATTCCTCTCTCTCCCCCTCCCCCTCTTCCTTCCAAGTCGGTCCAGTCTCCATTCAAAGGCAGCCACAGCCCTTCTGCCTCTCCTTCAGATGGCAGCAGCAAAACCAGGATGCATCCTCGCTTCCCTTCCCGCACCCCAAACCAGGCCCACACTCAGCAGACTGACTCACTGATGGCCACACAGACAGGTGAGTAACAAGTGACTTTTAACGATAGTATATTTGATGATTTTGGAGTGTTAACAGTTTGTAATAGTTTTCAGAGAAGGCAGGAGATAGAAAGTAGAGGGACTGAATGTAATACAGCTATAATGCTGGCTCTTTGTAGTCAGGCATAATGTGATGCTGCCAGGGATACATTATGCAAGCACTTCCCTGATACCTAACCTGCTTCGCTGTCTGATAGTGGTGGAGAATGCTTTGCATTGCACTAAGTTATCACAAGAAACTCTTCTGCTGCCCTAGTATTGCAGCTGGATGTGTTGAATCCATTGTCAGGCCACTCTTAAAACCATGAATCCTCACAATACTGATGGTTCATTGATTAGTGGCCAAAGAAGGAGTGAAAAAATTCTCTGCACAATTCTTGGTAAAGAAGTGTACGCTAATCTCTGAAAGAATTGGGAGTTCAAATGGGCACAAAGTTGGATTACTCCCCGCTAATCAAGAGGCCTGGCACGGGTTTCACATTATAACTGCGATTATTTATCTAAATTTACCCACAGAACCCATTTCAGACCAGAGCGACATTGAGAGCCGTATCAAGGCCTTGAAGGAAGAACTCAGGAAACGAAAGTTTATGGCCTACCAGCTGAAGAAAGAGCAGAAGAAGAGGCACAAGGAGCGATTAAAGGCACAGGAGGCCAGCCTACTTAAGCAGCTGGAGGTAAATGCGTTAGTTTGCGTCCATTGTTGCATTTATCTTTGAAGTGTATAAGTAAATTTCATTCTGATCTGATTTGTTAAAATCTTTTTTTTTTTCTTTTCAGAGCTATGACAACTTCATCGAGAAAACTAAGGCAGAACTGAACAAGGAGCCGGACTCGACGCCTGATTCAAGGTCTCTGATCAAAGACTCCACCTCAATCTCTGAGCAATCGAGTATTAAACCAGCTAGTCACAGGTACCACCCAGTTGTAAACATGACATAATATTAACTTAACTATATTTAAATTTCAAAACTGCTGTTTACTAAAAGTTAATCCTCTTCTCTCAGGTCTGAAACCAGCAAAATCTCTGAGCCTGAAAGGAGGCCAACTGATGCTTCTCGAGAAAACAGTGGGTGATATTCTTACTATAGCCGACACAAACACTACATGAACTATTTATTGCATATTCATGTGGGTTTGGTCCCTTATAAATTGATTTGTCCTTTTACACCAGATTTGCATCCTCAACTTGGTGATAGTAGATCAACCTCAGTGCCTGAAGAATTTTCTGATGAAGACCCACCAACAGTCACTCCAACTCCTGTTCAGAGCAGCCCAGAGTGCCCAGGTCTTAAGAGGCCTTCCTCTCACAAAGCCCATACATCTATGAATGAGTCGGAAGAGGAGGGCAATCTGTTTCATCTGAAATCTGGAATTCAGGAGGAGCGAGAAGTGAACGTGAGCTCACAGTTAGAGGATCAGCAATTTCAACATCTTCAAGAACAAGGAAAGGAAGACACTATCGACTCTCAACGGAAACTGTCTAAAACCGCCTCCCCTTCCAGTAGTGAAGAAAAGCTGTATTCGCCGTCTGTTAGCATAGAGCAAGGTAATCAAATAAAGCCAAGCGAAACGTCCAGAGCTGAAGAAGCAATAAAATCTAGCAGTATTGCATCCAGTAGGCCACATTCTGCTCTAATGGACCTCAAAACTTCCTCACAACGCCTGAGCTCTTCATCTAGTAATTACTCCTGCTCTCCGGACTCGGTCGTATGCACCTCAAAGAACGAGGCACATGTAAAGGATGACGACACCGCTTCTCCTATAGCGGATTGTTATCAAGTCGACTTTGAGTCCTCAGTGGATTGTTCGGCCAGAGGAGAGCTTCAAAAATCAAAGCCAGCCTCTCAAACCTCAACGTCAATAACAGAGAAGACGGGCTCAAGAAAAGGCAGCCAGAATGACGAGGTAGAGGAGGAGATAGCTGAAGACCTGAGTCATCATTCAGGGATTAGTGTTAACAGCATCCAGTCTGGAAGAATGTCAGATCTTGATACGCTCACAGGAGACTCAGCCCATGACAAAAAGGACAGAGTTCAAACCAGCCGCTCACCATCCACTTCCCCTCCTCACCGAGATGAAATGCCCAGTTTTGACGTCGGTGACAGGGTTCTTGTTGGCGGTGTTCAGCCTGGCATTCTGAGATTCAAAGGCCCAACCAGCTTCGCCAACGGCTTTTGGGCTGGCGTGGAGTTGGACAAGTCCGAGGGGAACAACAACGGCACTTACGATAATATTGAATACTTTAAGTGCAGCGAGAGTCACGGTATCTTCGCTCCTCCAGACAAGATCACACACCTGCCAGAGATGTTTGAGATCTATCCAGACACTACAGAGGATGAGGACTCATTCTTCGATGATCTGTCAGATAAAAGTGGGAATAAACAAAAGGCAGGTCGGGACAAAAACAAAAACCTGAAGAATAAAAGAGAAGCGACATCCATCAAGACCTCTGGTTCTGGAGATAAGAAGATTACAGAGGAGCCCGTTCACAAAGATGGATCCACCCTCAATTCAGAGCACAATAAAGAATCAGAGCAGCTCAATCATAATGGCAGCACTGCAGACATATTGTTGGATAATGAAGAGGCACCACTTAACCTCCTCATCATCGGCACGGACAAAGGTGACTTGCAGAATCACAATCAGAAGGAGAGTGCTGCTGTTGTTGAGAGAAGGGATGTAGGCCATCCCTGTCAGCTTATTCCCGCGGATCTGTCCACAGACATCAGAAAACAAGATAAGGACAGAGACTTGCTGGACACATGTGCAGACAAGCTCCTCCAGAGCTTTGTGAAGGACGCTGTCGAGCAGTTCGCTCAAATCAAAAAGACGAAAGATAAGAAGATACAAGCTGCGAACCAGATGAATGGAGAGTTGTTTGGTGAACATGCTGAAGAAGAGGAGGAGGGTTTCCCCTCTGTGGAGCAAAAAGATGGTCTACCCTTTTTCCTGGCCACAGAAAAGGAGGAGCTGTCATCTCCAGAGCTGTATAACAGACCGGTCAGTGTACCTTTGATTCTTTATTGAGCTGTTTATAAAAGTTTCATCATCTATTTTTCTTCTTTAAGAAATGAGGATGAGTAAAAACTATTGGATTGTGATCGTGTTGACATGTTTGAAATATCTGATTCTCACTGTGGGGAAATGATATAATCAAGTCACTGACAAACAGTACTTGTTGATTTGACCTGTTGGTACAGCCAAAGTCCACTTTGATGTTGACAGACTGTGTAGAGTTTGGTCTTTTTTTGCTGAGAGCGGTGATGTGTCTGAAACCACACAGAGATAAAAAAAAAAACAACTTAAGTTCCAGATCTTAAGCATAAACCCATCATCATGTGTCATGGTTTAGTGATATTTGTGGATGGTTCTAGCTTCAAATTATGTTTAATTTCTTTCTTTATTTCCCTCAAAACAGGAGAGTCCAGTGCTGGGGGCCAGTGGTCAAGAAGAGCTGGCCAAGAGACTAGCAGAGCTGGAACTGAGCCGCGAACTGCTCAACGACCTGGGTGACGATCAGGACTGGTTCGATGAGGACTTTGGCCTGAGCTCCCGCAGAGAACAGCAGCGACTCAAACAACAGCAGAGACAGGAGGAGGAAGAGGCAAGGCTGGGGAGGCCAGGCTCATCAGCTGGCACTGCCCTGGGGGGGCTCACCCCTTCACCAAGTGGGGAACTGCAAGTTAAGACCCCACCCAGGCCAGAGCCACCTCTTCCTCTGCCTCCCAAACTGCCTGAGCAGCCTGCTATGGTGGTGCCCCACTCAGCCACAGAGGTGGAGAAGATGGTCCATGCCGCCACTCAGGAGATCTGGCACAGTTGTGGCTTGGGGAAGGAGGGAGTACTCGCCTTTACCCAACTGTCAAACCCCCAGCCTTCACAAGAGTATCTGGGTAAAGAGAGCAGCAGCCAGGACCAGAAGGCTCTCTCTATCCGCAGCTACAGAAAGGTGAACAGGAGAACTTTGAAGGCGTATAAGAAGTGTAGAAAAGAGAGACATCAGTAAAGAGAGCCCAGTGAAAACACAACTACAACACAAGACACACATAGAGCCTTTATTTCCTTTATACACTCTCAACAATCATGGTATCATTTTTCTACCTCTGTAGTACTAAGACAACATCTGTAGGCTTGAAATAACTAAAGCTGTATGCAAGCTGACTTCACACGATTCAGCAGATTTCCTTTGATGTAGTGTTTTTCTATCTGCATTTTTATTTCAGTCTCTTTGGTGACATTTGGAAATTATTTCCATTATTTAATGTCTTACTTTAAGAAAGTACCAGCAGCTGTAAGCTCTGTTTCATTGAATTCCACTTACTCAGATACTCTCTGTTCTGTTTATAGGCTGTGTATGACCTGACATGGGAGATGCTGCAGGAGATCTATGCTGAGGACCCCAATACTGATCAGCCTCAGTGGGTCAAACCACGCCGCATCAAGTCCTCCTTCCATAGAGTAAAGACAGCTGGAGACATCGCAAAGGTCCAGGTAGAGTACTGCAGGAAATTCACTTCCAATGGAAAGAGACTCCATATTTATTTTACTTGACAAGTTCTTACAGTATTAAAACAATGTTACCATGACAACCTGGTCTGACTATATTGAAGGTGTAGTTTTGCTGTAGTAAGAGCTTCAGTCTTATCTGTGGCTGGAAGAATAAACAGACTTCACAGTGTGGCTTTAGTCAAATCATTTGCTTATCAGTTCAGTGATAAATTACTGAACAGTTACACAAATTTTAACGCAGTACCATACCACTCACACTTGTAGTTATATATTGTTTAATTTATTCCTTTGATCTTGTGTATCAGGAATTCATCACAACGGAAGTCTTGAACCTGTACGGCCTGACAAAAGACCAATGCCAGAAAAATGACTGGCAGAAGATGCTCAAATTTGGCAGAAAGAAACGAGACAGAGTCGATCACATACTGGTGGGTTCTTATGAGTTTTGTGCATTATTTTTACGGGCAGCAGTTTCTCAAATGCAGAAGTTTTCAGCTGACTTTTTCATGTCCTTTTCATGTCATCCTATATCTGTTTTATTTTTCTTTTGGAAAATCTGAACCAGTTTTTTCCTTCTCCCTTCCTTTTCCTTGTGGGGGCAGTAACACTTAAATGAAAGTTCATATTGAAGTTTTATGGTTGACAGACTTGATTTAAAATTAAGACCTTTAAAAAAACATTTTTAATATGAATCTGTTAGCAGCTTACAGCTTTTTTTATTGTAGGATGTTAACATTTCAGTTAAAATGTTTCGCTTTTTTGAGTCTCTAGCCGAAACATGAACATGTGATGTGAGTGCAGGACTTGACTTTCTCTGTCTTCCAGGTTCAGGAGCTGCATGAGGAGGAGGCTCAGTGGGTAAACTATGATGAGGATGAACTATTTGTTAAGATGCAGCTGGCAGATAGTATCTTTGACGCTCTGCTAAAGGACACTGCAAACGTGCTTACGCTAATCTACGACAAGAGGGCCAAAGTTGACGCCCTCTCCTGACAGTTTTCCTGCTTTTGATATTGAAACTACAACCTCTAGCTCAACCCCCGTCTTCCCTCACCACAGTGAACTCCACCCAACCCAACTACTGCTGCTCAGTCTTCCACCAGCTGATGTGCCAACAGCAACCATCAGATGCCTTTAGTCCCAGCATTACCTCTCAGCTAAACAACTGTTTCTGTGACATTAATTTGCTGAATTTTGCTTCAGCTAGTGTAGTTTTCTAATAATTTTTCAACACACAAATCCTTAACTCCGTCAAGTCTCACTTGTCACCTTCTGGACTGGTCCTTTTCAACACCAGTTGGAGAAAATAAATGTAGTTCGATCGGACTGACTGTGCCATTTGTTAGCATTTCAAATCCATAAATGCTGCTAAGTTATTGGTTCCACTGAGGACTTGAATATTTAAAATCCACCTGGAACAAATGCTGGTTGTTATATTTTATGATTAATCTGAAAGTAAATATTATTTCTGGATTTAAAAATTTTAAAAGAGGAACAGATAAAAACAAATGATTGAACAGTGACATGCTGTTTTCTATAAAGCTCATAAACTTTAAAAGAACTTGAGCTCAAGTCTGACTGATGGACATCATCTAGCTTAAACTAGGGTGATGGAATTGAATTTTGTCACAGATCAGAAATTGTCAGACTGCACTGTACTAAATCACTGAGATCAGATATTGTACAAACATTTTTCTTCTGTTTATATTTTATTTATTATGTGCTAATGTTTAATGAGAGGAAAGAGGATCATTCTGAATTGTAAATGACTGTCAACATGTAAAAAAAATAACATTGAATGAAACTGTAAAAAGCACAAACTGAAATGTGAATGTGAACTTGGCAATATATTATATAGGAGGTTTGAAGAGTTTTATTGTAACAAGATTCTGGTGGGGGGAAACAGTTGTAATATATAATTTTTGTAGAGTTGACGATTCAATCAAAACTGTTGTTAGTACTTTTTCATGGCCACGGCTGCTCAGATGGTTAACACAGTCCTGCGTGTCCCTCTCTTATACTAAGCCTCAAGTGTGTTAATTGAAATGGTTCAAATGTTACTGTTGAATAGATGTTGAGATTTCATTCAGTCTCTTTACTTTATGAGCCTAAACATACTGAGTTTGTTGTCTGAGAAGAGGGCACACAAGACCAGCAGTGGGCCTAACTTGGTAGTCTAAGAATCAAATGATAGGACAGTACTGAAATGCTGGATTTGAGCCCTACTGATCCCACAGTCCTGAAAAAAAAATGCCTGTTGTTATCTTTCATTGATATGTAGTCCTGGGTAACTTGTTAAAGCATTAGTCACATAGCAGCATTATTCCACGACCTGCAGTGGATCTTGACTGACGATTGGCAAGTTCAAACCAGCCAGCTGACTGGAATGTAGCCTGGTGATGTAGTCAGACAGTAACAGTAGTTTTTCCTCAGCTTTTAGTTCAAGTGCCTCTTTATGTTGAGTTGCAGATTTATAATAGACTTTGTTGACGTCTCAACATCCTTTGGACCTAATTTCTTTGAATGTCCCTTTCAACTGCTGTATACCACCTTTTTCTGATCCTTAAATGACCGCCTTTCCGTCTGACCGGTTTGCCGATATTTCAGTTTCTGCCTTATCACTCTTTTTGTGCGTAAGTTAGCTGTGGTGTTTTTTAAACCTCACTTTCCTCTGCGTCAGACTTTTGTAACAAAAATGTCATCAGCTTAATGTCCCTGTTGTCAAGCATATAGACACAGTTGAGTCATTTTATTGGCAAATATGTCAAGAACTAGTTTGTAGACACTCCACCCACACAGGCTGCACACTGTGTAACATGGAGCTGGCGAGGCTGAGCACGTAGGACTGGATACATCTAAGGGCTAATTTTGGTCCTCACTGCTAGTGCTGCTTTCGACTAACTAACTGTGTACAAACTGGTTCTGGCACGTGCGGCAGAGTTTGTTAATCTTCATTGACAGTTTGGTACTGAAGTGACCTTAAACTTAGGACACAGTCTTTCTTCTACTGTCAGTGTTTGGGTTTCTAACTTGTATGTTCAAACTGTAAATTATATAATGTGGAAAAGACCAAAAACATTTGACACTGACCTCCTCAAAGCTGTATGACTTGTACATCTGCTCCTTAGTCATATGTAACTGTAATTGTAACCTGATTAGAAACACTTTTGCAAGCCTTTATAACAATCCCTCTTGGATTGTCCTCTTGAATTGATTGTACGTGGAACATTGCTCAGTTCCCCTCTGTAACTATGCAGTACTTGGTCTCGTGCATTGTTTTCTATGTGTGTACCAAACAGCTGAGACTTTTGCTGTCGTCTGTAGATTGAACAAGTCTTCAAGAAGCTTGAAGCTGTTTGGTTTAGGATGGAGTTTCTACTCTGTGCTGCAGAGGTCCGTTTTCATCAGTAAAGAGATGAAGCAAATAACCTGGTCAGAGAGTACTGAGAACTAAAAGAGAAAAAAAATTGGCACGAATGATTTGATCATCAAACTGAACTCTGTCTGTCCTACATTTTTCCCTTTTGTCTTTTGAAAGTTTATGAGTATTTATAATAATATGCTGTGAGAGTGCGCTAATTGCACTTGAAGACTTGTACAATTCTTTTATGGGTGTAAATATACTGTCTATCCAATCTGACCCACTGTTACTGTAACATTAATGATTGTTGTAATAAACACTGTTTACTTTGCAAATATGTGCATAGTATATATTTGTTATCTAACTGAACTTGTATGAAATTGTAAATAAAGCTTTCATTGTTTATAAGAGAAAGCTGACTTAAAATGTGTTCTGGTTCATTCAGAGTCAGCACTGACAGCCGGACAACAGATCTAACGTTAAGCGGTGTGTATTGGGAGATAAGCAGAGATAATGTTCTTAAAATATTCCTTAGTTTTGTCGACAGATTTGTGTGTGTGGGGGAGAGTGGGGTAAGATGAGCCATTTTTGATATTTCTGATCACTACATCGAGGCAATCATAGTTTCGTCTCTAACTAGTGTATCTGCATATATTTCAATATGTTGTGCATCCCTGCAAACCAACAGAATGAGTGTAAACATAACTGTCTTGATAAAATAGCATGCCAAAATAAAAGTGGGGAAAGTTGAGCTGTATCCCTACTACCCCCCCACTCTCCATCCCAGCCCTCCCTCACCTTCTCTCTCCCTGAATGGCAGTCAGTTCTTCACATTCATGTGTATTTGTATCTATTTTACGCTATTCAACTGGTACAATAATTCTTTTTATTATGTTTGCATATAGCTGCTGTAAAACTGTTTTGTAAAAAGCCATTTTAACATGAGAATGTCTTTAAGTGATTCAGAACATTCACAGCTGTATTTTTGAAGTTGAGCCACTGGCTCACCTTACCCCAGGACTGCTATGATGACTTTATTAGTCCTCTAAGCTAAAATGGTGGACCTTTATGCTAGGTTTTTGACCTCATGTTGTAGCTCATAGATACAACAATTGATGTATAAAACTAATTTAAAATGATCTTTTTTGGTCTGAACACAATTCTAATAAAACTTATGACAGACTAAATTCACTTTCAAGAGAGAAAAATATATATATTTTTTGTAAATAAATGTCTAACCCCTTCACGCCTTCACCCATGTGCTTCTAACCTTCACAGACTCCATTTATTGTTGCCCATCTCCTAAATATTTGGTCACATGATCAATTTATTTTACCATTTCCAAGCAACAGGGGTGGCTCAACTTACCCCAGTCTGCCCTATTTTTCCTTCTACATTTATTCACTAAATCTAATCTTAATAAAACTTAAATTTGAGGCCGGCCATGTTGTTTCTCATTTTTCTTTTAGTAATAATTTGGAAAAATTAGTCAGTATCGATGTCTTCCATTGGCCAACCTGCACTCTTTTTATCAGTATTGGCATTGACCCTTAAAATACTGATATCGGTCGACCTCCATGTGTGTAAGTATGAATATGTGTATGTTTATTAAATTATTTTGAGTCAAAGCAATGGCGTTTTTACGGAATGAACTTTTTCTCGAAGGTTAACTCTTTTCTCTCAAGTACCAAAAAGGTCCTCGCGCGTCACCTTAACTCACCTGGAATAGAGACGGATCGGTGCAGGTTCAAAGAATGAATCTCGTGTGTGTGAGTGGGGAGGGTGTGTTTCTTTGTCGAGAGTGGTGTTTTGGTCAGGCAGCAGTAGGATGACGGGGGAGGAGGACCCGTGAAAAAGAAGTGGAGGAAAAGTTGTGAGTGAACTTCTGTGGCACTGAGGTGGAGACTCGCCTCGAGAGGATCGACGCTCGGTTAGCTGCTGCAGCTCACACCGAGGAGGAGGAAGATGGCGCGGTGCTGCAGCCGTGCCACGTCTCGGTTTACTCATGAAGTTCACAAAGGTTTTAGTAAGATACCAGTATCTACAGTTTGGATGTGTTTCTGTCTTCTTTTCCTCTCCGCCGCGGAGGCTGGACTGTACTCCGCTTCTGACCAGATCATCTTGTTGAGTAAAGAGACTGTTGAACCAGTTTTGGTGAACTCCACAGCAGCTTTGGTCGTGGAGTTTTATGCTTCATGGTGTGGGCACTGTATCTCCTTTTCTCCGGTTTACAGAAGTCTTGCTCGAGACATTGCAGGTATGTGGCCTCCCTGCAACAAGTCACGTAGCTGTATTGGTTTTCACCAGATGTTCGTCTGTTTTATTGATAGATAATGTTGAAGCATCGCCTCTGATATTTACAGTTGTTTTGTTTACATAAAAGCCAGGTCTACATTTAGAGACTATGTTGTGAAGTTCCCTTTCTCTTTTTTCAACATTGTCATGGAAACATCTTTCATTTTAATCATCTTAAGCGCACTAAATTGTAGTTTTTCTCTCTGACAATTGGAGCATATGATTTAATAAATGTGTTGATATTCTGGTAAGCACTGAAGCTCTCCATCACATCCTCCAGCTGAGTTTTTGTTTCTGTAGCTCATGGGCTAAAAAAAATAATCACACAGCCATGAGAATAAATGTTTGCAGGACTCAGGCCTCAGTCATAAAAGTATTTCAGTCCTGTGTTTCATATCCCTGACTCACACTAAGTCAGCTGCAGCAAATGATATCTAAAGTTACCTCCTTTTTGGTACAATAAACCTGCTGATGACATGTTGTCTGTTTCTAGAAACTGTTCGCTTAAACCCACTGAAGAAACTACATGTGGTCAAATTAGTGCCTTTGCTTGTAAATTGTTTTATAGATGGTGGGAATTAGTATCTCTAAATGCTTATTTGTTCACTGAAACACTTACTCTTTAATGACTACTTAAGTATCAGCACACGTCGCAAAAGTACAACAGGACCTCCACTTACATAAAAAGTCGTAACACTGAATATTTGCTGTGCCTCTCTCTCCATTTATTTGATGTTTCTTCAGAGTGGAAAACAGCTGTGGACCTCGCAGCCATAGACTGTGCTGAGAGGGCCAACAAGAGGGTCTGCAATGAGTACCAAGTGACAGGGTATCCCACTTTAAAGGTATAAAACAGCTGTTTAAACACATATCTACATGTATTTTTTTGTTTGTCCTCGTGGCTAATAAATGAGAGCTAGATTACCTATTTAGGAAATTTATTGACTCCTCAAGGAGACATACCCATGTGACTGACAGATGAGAAACAGGTTTGTGTCCTGGGTCAGCTGTTTTAGACTTAAGAGTCTAGAAAAAGTCTTGTATGTGTTCTTTTTCCCCTCAATGTGAATATTTCAAATAATTCTCACACTGTTACATCTGTGATTTTATAGCTGAGATGATTTTGTAATAAAAAAAAAGAACAGCCAGCAAAGTTTCTAAGTTTTATATAAATTAATCAGTTCAGTGATGAGCTGATGAGTGGAAATACCACAAAAATAAACTTATTGCAGCTTCTCAATTAATCTTTGCTTTTCACAACCGTCCGTGACACTGACCTACTTTATTACGGAAAGAATGGACAATTTGGAGAAGTGTAATTTAATTTAAAAGATCATTATCAAGACAGTGTCATTTGATGTTTTCTCCAATTAATCAAGAGGGTTGCATACGGAGGCCAGACCAGGAATGTACACAGCTTTGCTTGTGTCTGCCCAGGAGCTCGTCTTTTTTTGTCTCAGCACTGATACTGTATGTTTGATTTTCATTAGCATGGAGGGTAGAATGAACTAAAAGCATTTGTCATCAGTTGCTTTACAAATAGACAAACACATGAGTCAGGAATTAACCACGCTTTATCTTTCCTCTCTTTCCTCTCATTTTTAAGAGTTTGACAAGCCGTCACCGCCTAAAATTTCTCTGTGCTGTTTTTTGTTGTTTCTGAAGCCATAGAAAATTACGTTAAAAAATTTCTGAAGGAGCTCAGTGAAGTAAATATCAGTACATATGTCATAAGAAGACAGAATAAGTAAAAACAATCAGCTCTAGGCATCAAAAGCTCTATGATCTACTTTGCAAAAGTTTTGTTGTGGCTCTAGCTTTTTGTCAGATGAATAATTTAAATTCAGTGCCCTCCAATTGTGTGAAGGGGGCTCCTTTTTAGGACAGCTGATGTCCTGGTTTAATATTTGCCATCAGCTCGTACTGTGCAATGAACCGATGTTGGTTTGTACCCGCTGTCTTTTGTCAGTGTAATTCTGGTGTGCTCAGCTAAGAGGTAATAAAATAACATAAGGATTAACTCTAGGTAAATTGTTATTGTAAAGCTCAATGGCATGGTGTAATGGTATATTGTCTTGATTTTCATAAGGGTTCATCTGTCCTATCTTTTAAAGGTGACAATATGACACAGTGGGGTACACAGTATATATTTTATTAATGTATCTGTTTAGTTACATGGACAGTACATGCAGACATTGTTACATCTAATCAAAGAGCAGCCGATGCTGTGTATACAGGACTGTGTATACAAGACGTCTAGTCATGGCTAATTTGCAGTTCTTGTCCCTGGTTACACAGCTGTAAATACAGCACACACTTACATATACTGAAACTATAATTAATACTTAAAATAACTTACATTATAGCAAGCGCAGACAAGTGATTATTTATTTGCATAAAAACCAACAGCAAAGCAGACATAAAACAAGCAATCACTTCTATGCACAAAAACCTAACAATGGATGTGACACAGATAGGTAGTCATGTATAAACAGTATGTGGGAGCTAACAGTTAATCTAACGTAATATTCATACACATAAACGTGGATACACACAAATACACTTACATGCACACAAATACATGTAAAAATCCAACAGTCTAACCCCTGTCCACTTCCACTTGCATGATCAGCGGCCAATATGCTAAAGTGCACAGACTTTCGACATCTTCATTTCTATTTGTGTCACATCTGATGGGTCAGCATTAATGTGTGTTTGCTCACTGTCCCTGTCTCTCCTCACTGTCACCCAGCGAAAGTCTCTGAAACAAAGAGCTCCTTCTTTTTGAACACACAATGAAGCTTTAACATCTGGGCCTCATTTTAACCAGGAAGGATTCAGGGGTCAGCACAGGCAGAGGCGAAAGCAGCCCCCCCACCACCAAACATTACACAACATGGCTTTGGTTCTCTCACGACCATGTGAGGGCCGTCTCATCAGGTTTCTCTTCCTTTTTTTCTGTCCACTTCCTTTGTAACCCAAACCTGTTTTATCTCCCTCTATACAGTTCTTCCATGCTTATTCCAAACCTGGAGCTCTTGGACAGTCTTTTAAAGGTACTATTAGCGCTTTTTACATCACCACAAACACTCATTTAGTTTTTGCACCAAATCACTTTACAGATAAAATTCCAGCTACAGGATGATATCTTGAAATTATTTGTTCTCATGCTGAGGTCACCATAAGTGTGTTTTTTTCTTCCTCCAGGTTTCTCTCGGGATATTATGGGACTCCGTCACAAGATCATAGATAAACTAGAGAGTCATGGGGAGCTTTGGCCCCCAGCGTGCCCCCCACTGGAGCCCATCAGGTAAAAACACAAAAGAAGAAATCTCCATTATCAGTTTAATATAGTTGTTTTATTTTTTCTAGTGAGTGCAGGTTTATTTGGCTTCACACAGATGGTTCAGAATTAAATTTGATCAGCTATAGAGTTTATAACGGCAAAAACTATTTCAAACCTCAAGAAAAAAACTGGTCAGCAAATTTTTGCATTCATCAGACAGTTTTTTTTAACATAATGAGCAAGTTTTCGTTATTCTAAGGCTTAAAGTTACAGATGGATGTCACTTCAGGAGAAAGGTGGAGGTTGTCTGCTGAATGGGAATGGGTTTATGTAACTTCCCCTACTTGATTTGTTTGTGCATCCAGATATAGTGATCCAGATTGAAGGCTGACCCTCTGTCACAGTGGCTTGTGGTTGTTTAAGTGGTGATAAATATAAAGCTAGACTCTCTTGACCCAGCCTGTCTCTGACTTTTTGTTTCATGGTAAAGGACAAGTGGTCATTTAAATACCACTTCCCCCGAGCCCTCATCCCAATACTTTTAGCCAGCTGATAAGTTACACAACATATCGTATCGTCATAAATGACTGCAACCATCCCACATGCATTGTTGCCTTCAGCAGATCCAGGGCCTGTTTACCAATCTCCAGGTACTGATAATGCTGAAGATCCTGTTATGGTTTATTGGTTACATCATAAGTTTCTCCAGGACCTACAAAGTCCGGGTCTCAAGACGTGTTTGCTCTTTTTCTGCCTCTCTCTCCTCAGCCAAGCAGAATTGGAAAGCTTCTTTGAGACCATCAGTGTTCGACATCTCGCTCTGATCTTTGAGATGAACGACTCCTATGTCGGCCGAGAGGTATCAGCCGTTAATAATCATCTTAACAATTAAAAATATAACTTTATTTAGGTAGTGAATAAATGATTATGAGTCAGGCCAGACAGAAAGAAGTCGATAGAGAATTCAAGCAACACAAGAAAATGATGGTTTGTTTGGGAATAAAACCTTCCCTCATGGCCTGGGCTGCATTGGATAACTGTGTATTTCAAAATAAGAAGTTGAATAACTTTTTGCACTTGCGTACTGTTTTTCAGGTCACGCTGGATCTGTTGCATTTTGAGAACATCGAGGTTCGAAGAGTCTTGAGCACCGAGGTGGGTCTGGTTACCAAACTGGGCGTGACTGATTTCCCATCCTGCTACCTCTACTATCCTGGAGGCAACTTCACCAAACTCAAAGTGTGAGTGTTTGCACTATTTATGAGCATGACACAGTCGTTCGTGTCTTCTGCTATTTTATTATACAAATACTATCCTGAATAGTTAGATAACAACTTCCTTGGAACTGGATCTGCCAAACCTGTTCATAAATGCTTCAGTAATAGTCTTTACAAACATCAACTCATTCTTAATCCCTATTTAAGGATGTGTTACAGTAACATTTGACGTGACAAGGGATCAGTGAACTTAGAATTAAGGTTATTCTCTGAAAAGACAAAGGTATAGAGATCTTTGAGGAACTAATGAAGTCTGGGGCACATTTGCCACAAATTGTCAGCTGAAACAGGATGGTTTCTTCTATTTAAAAGGACCCATCTACTAACTTCAGAGCGGTCATTTACTTGTATTGTAAGAATGTGTTCAAAGGTTGTGTGGGTACAGATGTTGCATGATGGACATAACGAAAACATATCTTCCCTCTTGTAACTTTTATTCCAGTGGAAGTGGTAATATGATTGTGGGTGTGTGACTTCTGACTCAACAGCAGTCTGTGTTTTTAACACAACCTCATAAAAAGGCAGTTTATTTATTTTGTGTTTCTGTGCTGCTAATGAAAGTAACAGAAGAATGAGGTCAGTGTCAGTGCCGACCGAAAGTTTTATTGTCCTCCACTTTCCACAGAAGCTGCTTTGTGTCGGCACAAACCCTCTATGTAAATATGCAAATACGAGAGAGCAGATTGGGACATGACCCTGGCTAACCAGGAACAAGGATGTAATATTTAACTTTACTCAGGAACAGGATTGTTGATTGTGTTCAGTGACGTACAGGATGAGTCATGGTTGAAGAACAGCGTTGCTACTGTCCTTGCATTTTTTCCATCCATCATTGTTGTTTAGTTTATTTGTTCTTCTCACTTGAGTTTTATTGTGATCTGGGATTGTCTGACAGAGGCCTCTGTCCATGAGGCCTTCAACTCCCGCCTCCAGAGGGATTTCTTAAGCATTCCAGGGAAGTTGGGGACGTTGACTCTGAATGGGCCATGTTCAAAGCCTCCATTGTAGAGGCGGCTGCCAGAGGTTGAAGGCTGTGTGGGTGCTGCTTGACCTGGTGGTGGATACCGGTGGTAAGGGGGGCTGTCAGGCTGAGAAAGCAGGCCTCTAGGGTTCAGCAGGCTCAGGAGTCTCTGGAAGAAGTTGACAGGTACCCTGGTCAGGGAGGAGGAGTTTGGGGAGGCTATGGAGAGGGACTTTCAGTTGACCTTGAAGCTCTGGCTGACTGTCAGGGGACTCGGGAAGGGAAAGTAGGGCTTGACTCAGACACTTTTAGAATCTCCTTAAACTAGCTGGCACATCATCTTTGGAGGCGGTGGAGTCTGAGAGGCCAGAGGAAGCCTCGTCTATATCCGAGGCAGAGGTCGCTGAAGTAATCCAAAAGCCCGCATTGAGATACCTAAAGCTCTGGTCGTTGTAGGATTGTGTTTTTCATCCTGGCTGTGGTACAGAGGAACTTTTTATCCATGCAAGGCTTCTGGAGGAGGCATGGAACTTGGCCTGTCTAGTCTACATGTGTTTTGTAAACCTGAAAAGGCTTGCGATTATATGACAGGGGGTGCCGGGGCTGCTTCTCCAAGCGATCCGGTCTCTGTTCGACCACTGTGAGAGCTGTGTGTGCACACTAACCCATACTGTTTTTATTTTACAATATCTATTTTTCTCGTAAAGGTGGCTGCAATCTTTTTTGTAGAGAGCTTCTTGCCAACATGCCAAACACTTTACAAAAGTTGTCATTTGGCTTGATTTGGAGAGGGGGGAAAAAAACAATCATTTTAAATCCCTTTGGTTTCTATTGTTCCAGGAGTGACAACTTTGCTTTCTGCAGGAAAACCTTTACCATGTGCTCATTATCTGAACCCTATTCATGAGAATACTTTTAAACATCTGGCCTCTTAATGGGATCAGAGCATCAAAATCTCTCCCATTATTCACTTTCATACAGCGTTGCTGATCATTCCTCACCTTGCAAATTCATCTGCTGTTCTCGGCTTCTTTGTTTGGCTGTTTCAATAACTTGGCATGCAAAGAGGACTCTTTTGAGTTGACAAATGCAAAAAAGGAAATGATTTATTGCTGATTTATTTATTCACCCTCCATCTCTCCCCTTCCAGCCCCCCTCATCTCCATCACTGTACAGAGGGGAGGTTTTTTAATTTCTTGCATGAAAACAATGCCATTGCTTTTCTGGCTTCACCTGCCAAACAAGCCCCCAGCCGCACACGGCGACAGATGGCCTCCCATCATCACTGAATGTCTGATTGATCCTGGGAGAGTGGAGTGTGGCTCTGTGTGTGTGTGTGTATTAGTGTGTGTGTGTGTGTGTGTGTGTGTGCGCGCAGGGGCGTCTCACATCTGTCATGCGTGTAATGTGTGCTGGTCCCAGGTGAATGCATCCCCCTCCAAGCCCACCCTGTTGCCTGCCAGCCCCTGGGATCACTGGATGAATGGCTCTCCCTTCACATCTGTACACTCCCACCAGACACGCAGGTGTAATTGAGTCCCGGGCTGGTGTGAGCGAGCGTTGGCTCCGAGTATTCATCCTCCTTATTGCCATCCTGCTCTAGTTTTACGGTGCCCTCCCTTTCTCTCTGCCTTTTCTCTCTCTCTGCCCCTGACAAGCAGAGGAAGCAAATGGGTGGAGGATATGAGGGGTGGAGGTGTACAGAAAGAGAGAGAGAGAGAGAGCGAGGTAAAGAGAGAGAGAGAGCTTAATGGCCACGGTTCCAGTTGCAGCGTTATCACATGGCTTAATGACCAGCGATCTCTCACTCTCAGTTCCATGTTTCCTCTGGCACCATCTGTTCAGTATTTGAAATGCATTCCCGTAAGTGTGTTAAATATACGGTTGCAAAAATGAGTGGTCATAAAACTGTTTTATAGCAGTGGGCTGCAGAAACAAAAGGTTGGAATTAAAAAAGTGTAAAAACTATTGCTCACTGTATGGCCAAAAGTTTCTGGCCAGCCGAACATTTTTACCTTCATGTTATTCTGACAATTAATACTAAGAAGACAGCTTTCCTCCTCTGTGTGGATTAGACAGAATTCCCCTTTATCATCGTCATCATCATCATCATGAAGGTATTGGGATAAAGTTTGAGGTGTACAGTATTAAGATGTCTAATAACAGGAATTAAGGGCTCCAGCTTCACTTACTCCTCTGTGTGTGTTTCGTTTTGTGTGCTCAAAGTGTCCATCTCGCTTGTCCTTTCCCCTCAGCAACATTGAGGCTCGTGTTTTCTACTCTTATGCCCTCAAGAGGCTACCGGGGGTGGTGCGATCAGGAAAGCCTCCACCAGTCATCAAGGATGTTCACACCAACAGTACAGAAGAACCCTGGAGACCCTTCAACAGGTATGAACGAATACAAGGACACTAAACTGTATATTTGCCTTTAATCTTTTTATTGTTGAAGGTTCTATGGATAAGGTAAATACTATTTTAATCCCTACTTATTTTTAATATTTGCCCACTTAAAGTTCGTGTTTGCTTTTGCTCAGTTCCAGGGTGTACATGGCCGACCTGGAGTCAACGCTGCACTACTCTCTGCGTGTGGAGTTATCTGCTCATCCTGTCATCAGAGGACAAGCCTTGAGGGCTCTGAAGATGTACATTTCAGTTCTCGTTAAGGTAAAGCTACCATGAAAGCCCTGGATAAAACAAAAACTGGACACACATGTTAACCAAATGCTATAAAAACATAATGATGACTCCTTCATTTCTTTTTAATTTTTGATGACTATTCTGGATCCTAGAAATTACGAAAACAGTTCAACACGAGACAGTCATAAAAAAAATCCACATTTAATTCAACTGAAAAAAAAAAATACATGCAGCAGTAGATTTATATATTTTTATAGCACATGTTCCAAAGCTTACACTTAACTGTCTATTATCTGAAACTTTTCTCCTCATTGCTTTTGTCACCAGAGGATTGCTTTAGTACACGGTTCCAGTCAGGGCAGATATTTCATATTTTTTAGGGCTGCAAAAGTGAATCAGAATCCACACTTTGAGAATCTGTTTCCAAGTGTGTTGTTTCTTTTGTGAAAATAAAATCAAACTGATGATCTTCGAAGTCTAAAGGGAGAGAAAAACCTCCACAGGCAGCAGCGGTTTGTAGTTACAGCCTCTCATCAGTAGATGGAGATTGAGACAGCAGAATCTGTGTTCACACTGCACTTTTCTGCTGGTGTTTGGTTACATTTGGCCCACAATTAACTCTTCCTCCTCCATGTTTTAATTTTTATGAAATCCTTCAGATTCTCACTCAAATTTCCCCAACCATTTTTTCCCTCAATTGCACTTTTGTCTTTCCACCAAACACAGAAGCACACTCATACACATCATTGAAAACTGGAGTGGATGTCATTGACTAGAGCAGGAGCACAAAGGCTCTCTTGGGTATTGTTGACCCTCTTGATGTTGGCTCCTGTGGGGATTGAAGCGTGGCTACCAACCACTTGCCGCCCACAGAGTAAACACAGAGTGAAAACCAGAAAACCTCCTTTAAACCTGCCCGTGGTTCCATTCTGCTTCATAATGCAGTATTCCCATTTTCAGTTTCACACACATCTCTGAAAATATTCGTGGATGTGACGGCAAACAACCTACCTTGCGAATTTTCCTTTTAATGTTTATCCTCTTGTCTTCCATCTTCAATTTCATTCTTACTATTTTCACTATAAGAGATACAAATGTCTCATTATCATATTCTTTCAATCTGTTTATTTAATTAGCTTAAATTCATACTTTTCCTGTCTCTAGCCCTCTACCTTTAGCTTTCTCTACAACTTATCCCACGTTCACCTCACCCTCTTTTTTTCCTCCTGTCCTGCTGTAGTGTGCCAGCCATGCAAACATGTTGTGATGATGAGGCCTGACCTGCTAGCCCTGTCCCTATTGGCTCTGCACCAGGCTGTCTCACTTCTCCAGTCTGCCACCAATCTCTCTGATTATCTCTCTCTCTCTAGGGAGGTGTTGTAGCAAGCAAGAGTGTTTCAGTGCTTGAGTGCATATGAGTCTGTAAGTGTGCGTGTGTGTATTTGTGTGTTTATGTGGGGGAGATACCATGGCCTCCCATTAGCTCCAGTTTGTATAGCCAATAGCAGCAAGTCCCTGTGGTATTTTTAGACAGTCCCCCCCTACCAGAGCGGCCCCGCTGTTTAGCGCGGCGTCGCACAGCTGAGCAGGCTGTCATTGTCGCAGCTGACTTGTGACAGTTCTCATTGTCTTTTGACGGAGCGATACCACAAAGAGGCCGAATCTTCTGTCGCCTGGCTTGTTAGGAACAGTTTATGTAGGACGAGCGAGCAGGTTGTGAAACAACATTAAAGGAATTGAAGGCAAGTGGATGACACTCGTAGGAATACAAGATGCATATACGCCACTGTGTGAATGTTGACAAGCAAACACATTAATGGAAAAGATTTTTGGGGGGAATCAAATGATGCACGAAATAAAAGAAATAAACCTGTGTTCAGACCTTTAACTCCTGAACACTCTCTTTTAGTTTTCATTCACATTAATTTAACTGCAGTTTGATTAAGAAATATTCTTATTTTTGTTGTCCTGATAACCAAAACAATCTATAAAATCTGATGCATGAACTCTTTGAGTGGTCATGTGACTAGATTAGATTAGAGAGAAGGTGAGTCATGACACTCAAACCTCAGTGTGTGTGTGTGTGTGTGTGTGTGTGTGTGTGTGTGTGTGTGTGTGTGTGTGTGTGTTGTGTGTGTGTGTGTGTGTGTGTGTGTGTGTGTGTGTGTGTGTGTGTGTGTGTGTGTGTGTCATCACTTCATGTAAATGACACATTTCCTTACTCATGATGCCGGTTAATTCTAACCAAACAAAATGATCAGTGGTTAGTGCCTTTGCATACATTACTGCAAAGTGTCTATTTGCATATTTATGGTCCTGGTGTGTGAGGCTGATGTCAGTTGTCGGGAAATATAACATCTTCAGATCACTTTTTTAATTTTTCTGTGGTTTCAGGGAAAAGAAAACACATTTAAGAGGAAGGAATAATCTGGTTAAAATTATTTTAAAAAATCAAAATAGTTCATAAACAAATGGACTAACCATTGTGACACCTTCAGCAGATATGTCTGTAATTAAATGTATTTTTTCTTTATCTCTCTGTGATTAATTTAATGTAAATCTGTTTGGTCTGAGTTGTTTATTTTCTCTTCTTTCCACAATCCGCCCAACATGACATGTCCTCCTGTATCTCATCCCTAACATCTGAACATGTGACATTTTGTTTTCTTCTTCTCTTTTTGTCCTTTGCACCCAGCCGTTATTTTTACTGGATTTACTGTCTTGTCAGGCTGAAGCCGGATTTATGAATCCTCTACATGTATATGAGGATTAAAAAAGTGGATCTTGGGAGGCATGAGAGCATTACAGCGAGGTTTTTAAGGATTACACCTCTATCCTGCTTTTCTTGAAAGAAGCCCTTCAGCCCAGAGGGGACAGAGGGGCCAGGGAATAAAACAAAGAATTAAGAGAGGGGCTTTGGTCTAAAAGGACAGCCTTCACCCTTCTCACGCCAGAGCTCAGTCATGTCATGATGTTCACATAATACTAGACATGCTAACTGTTTTTACCAATACCAGCTGTCCATGTAATCATGGATGTTATTGCTGTTTTAATAGGCAAATCCCCCAAAAGAAATGTTGATTGTTTGTCAGTTTTAGCTGTAGTTTCCTCTTAGTGACAGTTACAAAAAAAAAAAAAGTCTTGCCTGGTTTCTATTCTGGGGCATGTGTCTGCAGAGTCTGGTCTGGTCCAGTCTGCCTCGCTGAAGCCAACAGATGCCTCCCTCTTGGGACCCTTACCACAAGGAGCTTGTGGTTTCTCAAGTGCTGCTGATACTAATCGGATCACAGATGACATATTGCTGGGGTGAAGGGGATTGTCATGGTCTAACTGGGATGGGGGGCAGGAGGGACACAGGGTTAGCCAAGGGGATGTGTGTGTGTGTTTGTGAGGTGTGTGTGTGGGGGGGTGCATGTTTATATGTGTGTGAGTGTGTGTGTTTGTTTTCTTATGATTGAGACACCAAAATAAACCAATATGTAGTTCTGACGTAGAAGGGAAATGTTACAGAATATTTATGATAGAAAAGGAATCAATTCAAGTGCTCAAAATATTCTTAATACTGAAGTTTACTTAATAATTATAAAGGATATATCACATTTTAGAAAAGTTGGGAAAAGTTAAATTAATTGATAGGTACTTTTTTTTTTACAATTTTTACAGGAGCTAAAATCACAGTCAAGACGTCAAATCCCTAAAAAAACAAAAGTATTTAGACAGTGAAAGAAAAACAGAGAAATACCTCAGAAAACAATTCAATTATACATACTTGACAATGTAAGATAAATGTTACAAAACAAAATATTCACTTTTCAAAAGCTTCCAGTAATTCAGGTGAATATAAACAAACTTATTTAAATCTGTGATCATGTGTTTAATTTAATTTTTTTTATAATATTCTTTACTTGACATTGGTTTCCTTTGGTTCACCTTTTTATAACCATCACATTTGTTGAGTGTCTGACAAGGAGATTCAGAAAAAGAGAAATGAATGTTAGTTTATGGAGACAGCAGTAAGGCAGTGCATTGTAACAATGAGTGGAAATACTCTTTGTTCAAATCCAGAGTTGAGCAGCTCTTGTTTTCTTAGGTGGTCATCAGGCCAGAGGAACTCATGAATAGTGTTGCTTTGGTGATGCTGAGTTAAACCCATTAGCTGGAAACACCTGCGTTTTCTCTTCTGCTTAAATTCATATGGCTCTTTAATGAGCTTTTCTGACTGGTTGGCACCCAGACCTCAGATCCAGACCTAAACCTATTATATCACTCCCCCAGCAGTGAGCAGAACCCATGAGAGGCCTTTGTCTGATCGTACGCTGCTTTCTTTAGTGTTGTGTTTGTGTGTGTGGTGGGAATATTTTCACTTTTGGTGTCAAAGAATTTAGTTATAGTTGAATGTTTTTCTTTGAAATTACCAATGTACCTGATTTACAGTCATGTAGAGCGGCTGGTTTTGTGCTGATGATCACTTGACAAGTTAACTTTGAATACGCAAAAATACCAAACTTTTAAGAAAATAAGTGAAATCATTCACAGGTATGAACATCGTAATTTTAACCTATCCGTGTAAATTTAGCTTCTTATACACAGAAACAGTTTTCTGTGGGCCATGTTTACGTATGAAAGGGTCCTTGTTTAGTAAAGGGTGCACTGGTGCACATGGAGGGCCACAGACAGAGCAGGACTCTGTTAGCCTTGGACCAGGAGGTTTTAGTAAATCACTGGGGGTCTGGTCTGGGTGTAACAATCAGATCCTGTTAGACGGTGGTGGACAGAGGGCTGAGCTGCAGTGTGTGTGTGTGTGAAAGTGAGAGCATGAGCACAAGTTCACAGCTGTGTTCTGATGTGTTTGAGTGGACCAGTGATTGAAGCCATTTGCGAACAATTCAGACTTCTTTTCTTGTTTTTTTCTTGTATTTGTCACTTCTAGTGCATCACAGCTTAGTCCATCAAAGAGTGGTTTTTCAGGCTTTTGCTTTTCATTGTGATTTAAAAGATAAAATATGGACATCTGTAAGAATAAGAATACGAAGAACTTTAGTAATCCCCGAAGGGAGATTCAATTGTCTCACTTGACTTAACTTAAAAGTTATCTACTATTTACTGTATGTTTGGGAAATTAAAATAAGACATTAAGAAGGACCTTATCTTGGAGTCTGGGAAGTTATAACTAGAATTTTACTGTTTTCTGACGTTTAATGGATAAAATGATACATCAGAGAAGAAAAACAGAAAAATTATCAGATATTCAGCAGATACTAAAAAACCTACTTGTTACCATGGAAGGACTCTGTTTGTCTTTTCTTTAAGACTTGAAAAAACTTGATCCATCTGCTGTGTCTATTTCTGGGAAACAGGACCATCATGATTTACCGTCGGCTTACAGTGAGAATAAGAAGCACATTTAGATGAAATTTATTTAAGCACTCTTTTGTCTCTTACTGTCAAAAGACCGAGGACATCAGCTGTTTCTGTTGTCAGCACTGTGTGGGTGAAGACACGATCGTCTGTGTCTGTCTGCACTCTGTCATCACCGGTCTCAGACACCCATCAGCTGGATATCCTCTTTCTCTTATTTTCCTAACTCTGCTAGTTACAGTGTCGTGTTTCCTCCCAGTTGCGGTTGTAACCATGGTTTTTTGAAAAGATGCAGCTACATGGCAGGAGCACACGAGTAACTAACCGGTTGTTAGTGGCTTAGGAAATGGATCCTAATAGAGGAAGAGGCTTAAGCTCAGCTGCTGTCTCATTCACTTGGTGTCTTACAGATGCTTGGGAGGAAAACATAAACATAATGATTATGGGTATCCTAGCATATGTCCTTTAGACACCCAGTGTGTTTTAGTAATCAAATTTCTGCCTAGCGACCAAAACATGCAATGATACCTTTAAATCATGTGCTCAAAACAAAGAATGGTTAAATTGAAGCGTGGCTCACATGTAATCTGACAACAATTTAATGTCAATGTTTAAAGGTAATATCTTTACCTCTCTCTCTCTATTTCTTTTTAATGAACAGTACTTTCCAGGCCGGCCAATTGTGATGAACCTTCTGAAAGCTGTCAACTCTTGGCTGAAGCAGTCCAGTAGTGAAGTATCCTATGAGGAACTCAGTGCCATATTAGATAACACAGCACAGGTGAGTCTGAACAGAGCAGCACATGCAAAAAAAAAGTTTAGACCATAACTGTGCTGACCTTCTTGTTCCTTTTAGTCTACTCTACATACATGTAACTTTAGTCTGGATAACTTTATTTTCTTTGGTGTGTAACTTTGATATTCATGGGTTTTAGAAGTGATTCCACTGAGCAATAGATGGCTATTGACGTCTAGTTTTTTAAGACCTAATTTCAACCATCTAGATTTTGTATATTTTTAGATTGAATTTAGACGTTGCACTTTAACCCATAATTCGATAACTATTTATTTCAAAAAGCAACTCTGAGTTGCATAACTGATCTCCAAGTACTTAACCAAAGTAATTATAATAGCCATTGAGCAATTTACAATGTAGTATAGATATGGCCCAGATTTAGACTTGGTCTGAACTTGGTCTCAATTTAGACATCTGAAAAAAATTTAATTTTTAGAGCTGTAGTAGCCTGATTTTAGACCAGTCGTCTAGGCTACATTTAGCTGTCTTTTAGACCTCTTCTAGACCAAAAACTGCTCAGTGGGATATGTCCTCTACATATGGTATTGAGGAAGGAGGTAAATGCTAATTGTAACTTTTGTAAGAACAGACTTTGTGTTTCAAAAGCCACAGCAAGGCTGATCAGACCAGATAAGCAGTTTCAGAGAAAAACAGAAAGCAGGGCTTCAAACAATGCACCCCCAGACTGATGTGAGGTGAGGACAGCTGTGGGAGAACAGCATGTTTCTCCTCTGACAAACCAAGGTCACCTGTCAGTCTAGCCACTTAATCAGCTCAAAACCACCTCTGAGGCCACAAAGTGATGCCTGCTCTGTTGAAGATTGTGTGTTGTTGTTTTTAATCAACGTTTTTGGTAAAATACATGATATGCGGAGATAAATTAATTCAGGTATATCAAAATCTACTTTGTTCTTGTGTCTGTGCCAGCATATACAGCTTAGGATCTATGTGCTGTTGTCTTTGGACTGAAGCCTGCATGCCTCCAGTTTACGCCCCCATGCAAATTGAAAGAGTCACTTACTTGCATCATTAGCTTTTAGCAGGCAAATCAATTGATCAATGAATCGATGGGATGGTATGAATAGACTACAGCCCAGAGGAAATGGACTCTGCACACACGCATACACACATGGAAAATCTTTACTATTGACATGTGAGTAACCCTGTCAATCACACAAGTGATGGCAACGCCGTGTAGCGAGAGAAACGACTTTATGTCAGAGAAAATATGTTATCGGATTCAACTGTGGCTCGTGGTTAGAGATCTGGATAGCTTCTGTTCATTAGTGGAGGGCTGAGCCATTAACCTGAGATTGACTTCTTATTGATCAAGGGAACTACACAGAGCAGCTTTCATTAAGTTGCACAGGTTGGGTTGATGTTGTAAAGACTCTACTTTTTTAGAGTCTCTTGGATTTAGGGAAACCTCATTTGGAGATTTTTCTTGTTCGTTGCATCTTTGTAATTAATGACAATCCAATGAAAAACTTCTGTCTCTCAATACTTACTTTCTCACTGCACTGTCCAATTCTGTGCTCCTTACAGTAATGCACATGTTCTCTTGGTGAGAATATGTCAAGTAGACCCTGTAAATATTGGCCTTAATTTTTAAAGTTTTTTTTTTTTGTAAAATTAAATAGTTTGAAATTATTGGGACTTTTTTTAAAATTGTTATACGGTCGTCAAGGGATCTCCTTTTGTCACAGCAGACACTTAAAAAGATGGAGGGAAACTAGCAAATTAACCACAGAGAAAGTAGCTGTTGATTGAAAACTACAATTACAAACACTGTAAATATTGTCATTTGAAACATTTTAAATATCTACTTAAAGTTACACATTAACAGTCAAAATAGCTGGCTAAGGTTATGCTAAATTAGTTTAAATAGCTATGTGCGTTTATGGGTAAACAGTTGAAATAGCTATCTATAATTAATACATCAACAGTTAAATTAGCTAGTATGATTAATACAATAATGGCTGAAATTGCTAGCTATAATTAATCTGCAATGGTATAACTAGCCAGCTATGATTAATACGTTGACTGTTGAAATAGCGAGCTAAAATTAATAAGTAATTCATGTAGCCATAGTAATGCATAAATACAAACAGTTAAACAATAAGTGTTCATTTGTTGCATTTTTAGTTCTTTTTGATTTGTTGAAATTAAAAATAAAAAATGTAAATGATGATCATGAGATTACTGAGATTTATCAGTAATTTGTGGTTGTTGACTCGTTTGTCTTTCGCTTCTCAGTCTCCAGACACAGCTTTGCCCGACGGTGTGCGGTGGGTCGCCTGTCAGAGCTCTCAACCCCACCTGAGACGTTACCCATGCGGTGTTTGGACTCTTTTCCATGTTCTTACGGTCCAGGCCTATAATAATCACAGCACAGGTACAGACACACATGCAAAGATAACATATATATTCAGAAGGGCTAGACTGACGATGAGAGCTTAGGTAGACTCTGTAAGCAAACTAGTTCAGGAATGTTTATTTTTATACACTAAACTAAATAGACAGACAAGAAACAGCAACCTACAGTATACAGCATATATGTTGAGGTTTATTCCCCCCCTGTATTTATTGTTGTGTTTGTCCTGTGTGTGTTTTGTCATTTTGTTTTTGTCAGCTAAAATTGAGCCTAATTGTGGCTGTGTGAAAAGGGATTATGTTAGATTAGTGGAATGTGAGTGGTTAATAAAACAGGCAGATGACCAGAGGCTCCAGTTCTGTCAAGGACAATAATCTCCCTCCAACTCAAGCACACACACAAAAACATACACACACGCACATACACACACACACACACAAAGGTTAATCCCGAGGTTTAAGGACCATCATGTGACCTGCAGATGGACTGGCCAAAGTGGGCGTCCATCTGGCCCGCCACAGACCACCAGCAAAACACACTCACACACTGTACAAAATTGGCTGTAACATAAAACTCTCTTCATCAATATTCTCCCGCTCACAGAGTATTCAGTTAGTGAAGACATAAGTAAACGTTTGAACTCTTTTCTGATGCAAGCCGAGCGTATTTTCATAAACAGCACACACCCAGACACACTCCCGTTTTCACTTCGGTTCATCTAAAGGTCCCGCTAAGCTCAGAACAAAAGCGAACAGGTTCAGGAAAATATGTTTGCATACTGTCAAAGCCCTGAGACAACAGCCTGGCCACCATTCACACAGAGGGTTTATGGCCTTTAATCTCCAGATTGGGTTATCCTCTCCGTATAGTGTATTCATCTCAATATGGGTTAACCCAGCTCTCTGTGACTCCTGGCCCACATAACCGTGGGAATCCAGGAAACTGTGGACTTGCTCTTCCATTAGCAAGCTTTCAGGATACAGCACTTTTCAATGTATGGAAACCACCAGTTACAGTCGCATGTGATTGATAATGCTTCATGTAGGAGATAATAACTTGTTGTTTTGTTGGTTGAAAGGGGGCTATCTGTGAGATTTACCTTGAAACACACTCTTCTCTCCTGTTTAAAGAAACACTATCCGGGCTCAGAATCAGTGATCAAAATGAGCCTGGAAATAAATTTGTAATGTTTTATCAACAATTCAGATTACCCACTCCATCCATTAAATGTCTTTCCCCTTTAGATCCTGAGGAGGTACTCAGTGCGATGAGAAACTACGTTCACAGCTTCTTCGGCTGCAGGCAATGTGCAGAGCACTTTGAGAACATGGCGAGGGAGAGCATCTTGGAGGTCAACACCTTGATGTCAGCGGTCATGTGGCTCTGGTCAAGACACAATCGTGTCAACAACAGACTAGCGGGTAAGACCCAACACAATCATCAGAAGATGGTTCATGCAAACTTTAGGAGGTATCTCATAATCTTCTGGATTTTATTAGACTGCTTGTTGGAGTGAAAGCTGTGATACACTGTTTTTGTTGAGGGGTTTTCTTGACATTGCAGGAGAAACGCTGTTGTCTACTTTTTAAGCGACTAACATGTGTGGCATATTTGTAATAAAGTAAGTGACACGGCTTTATTATTGATGGGACAAAATAGAGCAGACACTGACTTTATCAGTTATTACCAGAGTGTTACCGATAAAAACCCTCAAAGTGTGGCGTGTCTGATGACCTTATTCTAATGTGTACTGTGGCCAAACATGACTGTATGAATATGCAAATAATCCCTCTCCACCTTACACACCCTTTTCGGGCTGATGTCACAATTATGTCATGGTAATACCAGGAGGTGTAAAGAAATAAAACTGGAAGCAAACAAGAATCACCTCCCTAGAGCAAAAGGAAACACGGGATTCCTAAAATATTATCTTTCAGGGTTGTTTATTCCAGAACAGTAAGAACAATAATATAAATCAAAGACGACTTTGGTTAAACGTGATAAGACGAAAAGATTGGATGAAGATTATCATTAAAAATATTAGTGTGCACAGTGCACACTTAATATAGCACAACATTTCTGTTGGATAGATAAGTTATGTCGTGTATATTGAGGGCTATTAAGAGGAGTATCAGTTTTCTCTGTCACATTTTAGCACACAGGCTACTGTTAGCTTTGCTAGCAAAACAAACAGGTAGAAACCGGTTATGTGTCATCGTCCTTTATGCTATTACCATAGTTAGCAACCACAAGTATAAAGACAGCTAAGCATTCATACTCCTTCAGTTTGTCTTTACAACACACTTGGTTTTTATAATAATAACAATGCGGAAGAATTTATAGAGCTTTTTATCAGAGACCCCTAAAGCGCTTTTCATTGGATACAACATTCATTCATTCACTCACACAGTCACACCTTGGTGATGGTAAACTACCTTAGTAGTCACAGCTGCCCTGGGGCAGACTGATGGAAACATGGCTGCCAATTCACGTCAACCACCAAACATCACTCACAATCATACACCAGTGGAGGACAAGGTGGAGAAAGATGGGTTAAGTGTCTTGCCAATGACAACAATAGACAGACTAGGGATTGGGGGGAATTGAACCTCCAACCTTCCAGTTGTTTGACAACTGCTCTACCTCCTGAGCTACTCCCACTCAGTCCTGTAGAGCAGGTGACCTCATTTATGCTGAGATGTTTCTTTACCCGTGGGTAGTGTTCAAACCAGTGAGACGATAAGTCTCTAAAAAAAAAACTGATCAGCAACATTTTATGATTTCATACTAAAGAAGAAGCATGTGTCTCTATATAAGACACTACTCCAAAGATATATTGTGTAACTCTGATGGAATTTGTGGAGTCAGGGTCCATCTCGTTGTACATTCATGACACACACTGTATTGTGCTAAGCCATCTGAGTCCTTCCACTTTTCCCAGCACATCCTTTCTTCTCACCTCTTCTCTGTGTCCGTTTGGCATCCTACCTATTTTCACACCAAGTTCTTGGGGGAGATTTTTTGTGGACCTCTTATAGTCGGTCTTTCTAATACGACTGAGAGGGTGAGGGGAGGAGGAAGAACAGATCCTCAGATCAGACACCAGCTGTCACCCCGTCTTAGTCCTTCAAGTATCATCTGCTTCTGCTTCACCCATTTTCTCCTGACCCCCCTTCTGCAACCTTCCATCCTTCTCACACCCTCATCATCCTTCACACACACCCTACACCGCCCCCCACTAAAGTCTTAGGAGTCACTGACCATCCTTACCCACAATTCCCCCACCAAACTGCTTTTGATAACTTCACATGGAAACTCTACACCTGTATTCCACTTCATAAGATAATCTTTTAAAGCTGAACTCAGGTCTGTCACACATAGAGATGGAAACTTCAGATCTTGTAGTTCGCATCAGATTTTGATTTCATTTCTGATCTCAGACTTTCCTTTCTTTTCTTTCTTCACCAATAAATGCTTGAAGGTATTCTCTCTGTTTTGACTGTGCTGTATCGGCAGTGTTAAACAGCTCCTCAGCGTCCCTCCTCCCTAGTCTGTGCTCCTATGATTTTATTGGGCATGTCATTAACAGCCCACTTTGTTAAATCACTATCTTTTGTTTGTGTTGACTGCCCCCTTTCCTAAACCAGGGACAGCTTGTGTCCTGAACAGCAGGGGCCAGAAGGACACCCGTCCCTGCGTGTGCGTCTGCTCCCCAGACATTTAAACACTACTCAACCCTCCACCTTCATCCATCCGTCTTCTCTCTCTTCCTGTTCCTCCTCTCTCTTTCCATGCGGCATCCCCGGGGACTCATATCCTCCGCTTGACAAGTAATAGCAAAGCATTCTCGCTGGATGAGTCCCCCAGGATCCAGCTCTCTCTGCCCACACACACACACACAAACACACATGCTATTCCCAAGGTATTGTGTGACAGCAGGTGGCAAACACCATGACACAAGCCATGCACACGCTCCTCCTCTTTTTCTTCCTCCATCCTAACACACACACACACAGCCTTACCAGGCACGGGTCAAGTCGTGGCGTGTGGCAGGGGGAGTTAGTCATGCTGGAGGGTGAGTTGGGGTCCACAGGGGATAAGGCGGATGAATCAGAAGGCAACAGAGGGAGGAGTCGAGAGTTTGGCTGCATTTGTAGCAATGAGCGTCGGCGTCTCCCTGAAAAGAGCACACTCCATCCACTCAACCCCTCCTCTCCTCTTTGCCTAAAGTGGAGCTCTTTAGCAGCCCCCCTCCCACCCCTCCTTTCAGGAGCAGCCATGCATGAAAGAGCAGCTATTTGTAAAGCAGCCCAACAATTAATTTAGCTGGCAACAAAGAGGCCCCAGGGCCCATGGCCTCCTCGCAGCAGCAGAATTAAGAGCGGTGGCAGCTCAGTCCTGTTGCTGCTTGTCAACAGGCTGAGACTAATTCACATTTCTACAGTCGAAAAAGCTCAGCAGGCAGAGCCACTCCAAGGAATGTTTTTTTCCCCCCTGCACTTCTCGGTATAGTCAATATTAATACAGAACAGAAACAACATCAATTTTCATGGTTTCAGTCCATTTGACTTGGTTTGTTGTGTTTTTCTTTCTACTCCTTGTGGTCTTCTACTTTTTGGATATTCCCACTTCACTTGATTTTAGCGTTTTAGTCTGCATTACTTCCTCATTCAGTACTATTGTTGAGAACAATCCAACATCAGTGCTTCAGCAGTATTATGTTAGATATCAGTCGTGCATGTTACTCTCTTTATATAGCCATGACGTGCACTCATATGTGAAAAATATTATTTAGATACCAGTTATAATTTGACATGTTTAGACTCGTTAGTTATTTTTCTGGTAACGTAAGCAACAGTTTGACTATGATATAATTTGTCTTGAAAGTTTTTCATACTTTAGAATTATTTGCATGTACATGTACAGTTCAAGGGTTTTTTAAACCAACTTAAGACACTTCACCCACTGAGCATTTTTTGATCTAAAAGAGGTCTAATAGACGTCTAAATGTAGCCTAGATGACTGCTCTAAGATCAGGCTACCACATGTCTAAAAATGAAAGTTTTTTAGACGTCTAAATTCAGACCAAGTCTTAATCTGGACTATATCAATACTACACTGTATATTGCTCAATGGCTATCATAATTATTTGGTTAAGTACTTGGAGATCAGTTACGCAACTCACAGTTGGTTTTTGAAATAAATAGTTATCGAATAATGGGTCAAAGTGCAACGTCTAAATCCAGTTTAAAAATATACAGAATCTAGATGTTTGAAATTAGGTAAACAAAAAAAAAAACAAGTTAGCTGCAGTAGTGTTGGGCTTCAGGTCTGTGCCACATGATTAAAAAAAACAGCAGCTGGTTCCTCCTAAAGACAAAGCGTTTACATTTAATGTGGTGCGTAATATTCATGACACCAAAACCCTTGTGTGTGTTAAACGCTACATTAGATAGCTGTCCCTTCATGTTTATTTGTGCGAGAACTCGAGGGCGGAGTCTCTGAGGAAACCATAGAAGTTAAATTTGTTGCACCAGAATCAGAATTGTTCAAGTAGCTTTGCAGGAGATCTCTTCCTTTGTTTACTCTTTTTTTATCCTGATCCTGTGCTCAGCTGGGGTACAATGTTCCCACTATCCGCCTTCTATGTTTAATATAGACCAGGTTATACTACCAGATAGTTTAAGATTATATGTGCCTGTGTGTTTCAGACATTTTCATGAAAGCACTGATAGGCCAAGAGTTTGATCCTATAAACAAAATCCCCGTTTCGGGTTTTTGTCACAATAATTTAAATGAGCATAAAATGTCTGACATCATATCTTCGCCCCTGCAGCCGTGATGGCTCCGTATACCGGGCGGTGTAGCTGATCCTCACTTACAGAATTAGTGCTGAGGAAGCTAGTTTGACGCGCTGAACAATACATATTTATACCTGATGAATATGTATGAGTGGCGGTGATGACATCTCAGTGACAGGCCATTGTGGCAATCTCAATCTGGCTGCTATGGCTAAAGTCACCCTGGCCGCAAACGTGGCAAGCTGATTAGAATAAGGAACGAGAAATCGGAGGCATCGAGGAGAACGTGTGTGCATGTGCTCTCACCTGCTGAAAAGTATAAAAAAAAAACACACACACGCACACATCCACAGGCTGCAGCCCATCCAGGACACAGTAAAATTGATGTATTCTTTATGTAAAGTACTGTATGCAGAGTACATACACACATGCATATGACTGAGATTAATCTTGAGCGGCGGAAGGAGGGAGGGAGGGAGGAGGATGGAGGTGGTGGAGGATGTAAATTGACAGCGTTGTAAAGTGACAGACCTGCTGCTGCTGCTGCTGCTTTACCTTTTCCCCTATTTTCACACATGCACACACATGCACAGCAGCCTTTTGGTGACAACAGCCAATTTATTACCAGATACTACCTTGCGCTTGTGTTCTTGTAGGCATACAGAACGTGCCGTGTGTGTCTGATGCTCTGCGAGTCTGTTTGTAAAGATGCAGCATGTGTGCGCATGTGTGCGTGTGTGTTTGTTGTTAGTTGGCAAAGTGGTTGAGAGAGAAAGTTTCCAATTCATTAGAAGAGCAGCTCCCCTCTGAGGTTTCTGTGGCTCTCATGTTCAATTTGGAGATTGGACTTTGCTTTCAAAGGGGTGTGAGGGGACGAGACAGGTGCACCAAGGTCTGCCGCCTGAAAACAAGAAGTGTGTGTGCATGTGTGTGTGTGTGTGTTTGTGTATATACATGTGGGGAAGCTGTCCACTTTGGCCACATCTATTATCTCACCACCCCTCCCACTGGGACATCCCAGAAGCCCATTGATCATTGTTAGACCCTGTCACACACATGCACACACACACTCACACACGCAAATATCAATCCCTAGATTACATGCTCTCAAACATGGACAGATGATTTACATATACACACTTAAAACACATACATACACATATGCATATAGGCACTTAGTTTTTACGAGCACTGTGACAAGATCAAATGGGTTCAGCACAGATTGCATCCAGTCGTCAAAGCACTTACGTCCTTGTGTCAACGCACCAACAAGGGGAATAAAAGAAACAATAGGTAACGACACTGGTTGGGTGTTTTTTTGCGGTGTGTTTCTTTAATGTGGTGATAAATCTGGATCCTTGTAGTGGTTTCTGACCTTTAATCTAATCTACTAGAAGTTTGAGAAGAGTTTATCAGTTTGTCAGAGTGAGAAAGACTTCAACAGAGCATAAAAATGTGTGTCTTTAGTAAAGAACTGAATCCCAAAAAGAGTGTTAGAGCCTTAATGTGTGACTGATCCTCCCTCGGTGGTGAGGACCCTGTCTCACACTGTAGTAACTTTACCTTTTCGTGTACCCCCACAGGCGCTCTGAGTGAAGACCCTAATTTCCCAAAGATCCAGTGGCCGTCGCCTGATATGTGTCCTTCCTGCCACACGGTGAAACCAAACGGGGACCACAGGTGGAACAACGACCGTGTTTTTCCCTTCCTCTTGTCCTTCTTCTCATCCAGCAGTATCCTCCCAGGTACAGGCTCAAGTTTTGTTTCTAGAGAGTTCATATGACAAATCAAAAGATCCTTAAAGATCCATGAAATATAACCGTCTATTCTCTTTCCAAAAAAATGTTTGTTGTGCTGTATTAAAATAGAAAACAAAAACTGATGGTTACTTGGGTTTAAAAATCATAATATCAGAGTTTGAAGGTGTGAATCAGAAAAACAAAAGGTGAATTACAGCTTAAATTATGTCAGATCTACTCTAAATATGTGACTTGCTATGTATACTAGATATTTTTCAATGAGTCATACAGTCTGAATATAAAAAGATTTGGAAGAATCCAGTAATCTTCTAATCAGAGGTGTCTTTCTTCTCCCTGCTCTGTCAGATTATCTAGAGAGTGAAGACCACGTCCTGGAAAAACAAAGACAAAAACACGCCGATCGACAGCAAGCGTTACAGGCTCAGAAACATGAGAGAAAAATCAGGGAGGCTGCAGGCTCCATCACAGATCCGCCGCCATCACCACCTGCTGTACAGGAAGAGGAGGAGGAGGAGGTGGAAGAGGAAGAGGGACCTCAGGATGAAGCCGTGGCGAATATGAGGCAGGAAGATGGAGAAGCAGCAGAGATGGAGACTAAGCCAACCCCCTGGTCTAAACTTGAAATGAACGTGGGTCGACGCCAGCAGCGGGGCCATGGGAGACGAAGCATTGTGGGGATGAAGATGCGGGAGCTGCCGGAGGACATTGTAGATCTTGACTCATTCGTCAATCAGCACTACAAGGCCAAGGCGCTGCAGTTGGCCGCTGCACGGGTCAGACAGCGTAGCCTGCAGAGGAAGGAGGAGCAGGAGCCAGGGCCGGTGTTAGGGCTCGGCTTGGAGCTGGACGTGGGGCTCGGGATGGTCGGCCTGCAGCCGATGAATGAGCGCATTGAGCAGAGAAGGAAGCGAGAACTGACAGGTCAATACTTTGAGGAGGAGGCCGAGTTAAACCACAGGGGACGCTGGATGATGTCTGTGCTGAGCATCGGATTCTCCAAAGTGGACATCAGCCTGTGTGTCATTCTTTACTTCCTGTCCTGCATGTGTCTTCTGGCCATGTACCTTTTCTTCAAAAACCGCCTCAGGCTACGGCGAGTGAAAGTATCTTTAACCTAAACCAAAGTGGATCTAAATTTGACCTGAGAGGGCAAATGATCAACATTCATTAGGGTCATGAAGGCTAAGATTCATGTTAAGGGGATATGTCAAGATTAGCGCCATCTTAGGACGTCCACTTAACTGTTACCTGCAGCCAGAGCCGGGGCTAGGGTGTTCGAGCCTGAAATTTGTAGATGAGCTTCTGACTAGAGCGGGAGGGGAGGGGATAAATTAAAGGAATGACCTGAAATCTTTGAAAATTAGCAGATATTCAGTCTGACTCTTTATCTGTCTGTTTTCAGGCAGCACACTAACAGTGGAAAAATCTAAAAACCTTTACTGTCACGAGTGAGTTGGTGTTTGAGGCGTTTCGCTGGTGTTTAGGATAATTAATGAAGATATTGATTATGTTTGATGAAGGATTAAACCCAACAGAGTTTTAATTTGTCTGAAATTAATGCAGCTGAAGTGATTTTTGTTGCTTTACTGACATCCGTGGAGTTTGTCCAGAATGTGATTTTTTTTTTCTTCTATATGGAGCAGGAAAGATCTCCATCATTTATACCCAGAAGGTTTTAATTTAAATTCAAGTTATCATGTTACATTCATGAGTATCTGAATCTCATGGAGCCTTATTTAGTCGATGAAGAAAGTGATTGTTTTTCAATGTAGCTGAAGCTATAGATGAACGTGTCGTCTGCGGCGTCTGTATCGTCTCATATTTCTGTGTTTGATTGCAGTTATCAGATAGTTTTATCAAAGGAAGCAGGGTTTGTTTTGTTTGTTTTTTAATTTGTTAGACAGTGATGGTTAGATGTTTTAATTGAATAATGTGACTCAACAGGTAGCTCCACGCTCACCTTGGAAGAGCGGATCACTTATTTTGGTTTATTGCTCTTTTTACAGGCTGCTCCTCGAACAATACGCCGTCTGTCACGTCTTTGAATATTACATCACACTGATGAGTGCACATAACACAAAGCCACTCTGTTTTTTTTTGTGAAGTGTTGTGGAGCAACGCCAATGTTCACACTGGACCAGGTTTTAGAGTAACCATGATAATAACACTAGATCAAGTTTAGGATTATCAGTCTCAATAACACTGATTTACTGTTTGTGTTCATGCTTGTCTGAATCAATAAAGTTATTTTTGATAAGGAGCCTTTGCTTTCTCTGTCCCTGAAATAAGTTTTCTGACTATGTGTTTACTATAGACTGTATATCGAATGGACGCCGTCTGCCTCAGAGAACAGCACCCTCTGTTGACGGGCTGCAGTATAGGTCATAATCCTGCCTTCACCAGCAAAGTTTATGGAGCTGTGGACAAACTTTATAAATTTATTACACAGAACATAAATTTTTCTCCCCCCTGCTTGCGATGTTGACATGTAGTTATTGTAAGACTGGTTTGTGCTCAAGTCCTCTTTTTTTTTTCTGTGAAGCTCCGTTTTTAAAAGTTATTAGGGGGTTCATGTTTGCTATGATTGACACCTGGTACAGCCTATGGGCGTTCAGGGATTGAGTAGCTCTCCCGGCGGTTAGCTGTTTGAGCCGAGCGTCATCACAGTGACTCTCTGCGACTGCGCGGCCGAATGCGAACAACGCAACTGCACAGCGCTGGTTTCAGGAAATGAAGAAAAATCCCGGAAATACCGAGAATTTTTTGGCTTCAAATCCGTATACAGGCGGTAGGTTGAACCAGGTTGTTCATAGTATATACAGTCGATGGTGTTTACAGACTCTTTCAGATTGACTTTACTCCCGGTTTGACAAAAATAATTTCCAAGAGGTTTATTTTTGTTTTTTTGTCTTGGCCCAGACTTCAGGGAGGGCAAACCCAGGATGCTACATGTCAAAGGATGGGGGTTCAAGCGAGCAAGGTTGAAGGAAAAAGCCTGTTGCCATCTGCTGTGCAGCGCAAGCTAAATCCTAACAATTTCATTGGGATTATAGCAAGTGAGTAATCCAGCTTTCCTTTAGGACTAGAGGGAGAGATTACCCTCGAGGATTAGCTCCACATAGATAATAAACTTTATTAAAACGCAATCGGCTTTCATGCGGCTTCTTCCCTCACACACTTGAAGGTGGTCTCTGTAGGGAGAGGTTTGGCAGGGACCCTCTGGGTGGGTACCATGCAGGGAGAAGTAGATGAAAGATGAGGGGTGGGATTCAGGGATGGAGGACAAGGGTTTGATGTCGCACGGATTACAAGAAGCTCATCTGAAGGGCAGGGGAGGTTTGATCTTGAGCTTTGTGTTTCCTGGAATGATGCTTTGAATTCCCCTGACTCCTGTCCTCTACCTTCACCCCCCACAAGTCACATGCAAATACGCAGACGTATACAAAAGCACACAGTCTGAGCTTGACTCAAGACCTTGCTTTATCTCTTGATCCAAAGCATCGGCCCTGTGACAGGTTTTGATGGTGAATTAGTCAAGTTAGGGCAGTCAATTTCCCCAACACACACACACACACACATACAAAAGGCTGATTAATGGCCCTACATTAAAGCTGAGGAGCTTCAGGACTGAGCAGCTGTGGCTGTGTGACTTAATCAAACTCTGATACTTTAAATTAGACCCTCGGTGACACTTTATGATCACCAAAATAGATGAGAAAGAGACACTTTGTTATGGAGAAGCTTCTATATTGTATTTTTCAAACATCACCTCATTTGTCAGCTCACATTTTTTATATCAGGGTAGGTTTTATTTTTATTGGAAAAACTGTCACGCCATGAGAAACAGTGTTTATTCTTAAACTTTTTTGTGTGTCTTTAAGTATTTGAGTAACGTATGGTGCTGTATTTTTTTACATTTTCATATTAAAACATGACTTGACTTTTGGTCTCAGTGCATCTCTGCCACACCTCTGATCCATTAATCTGTTTAAATGTTTACCTGTGTTTGTTATAGGATTGGAGTCAGCATTGCTCTGCGCTGCTTACGCTACAGAAGCCTTTTATCAGGAGCCCACAGCCTAAGTGAGCTGTTAGCGTTCTGCTGGTTCAGACTAATGATGCTTAATGAGGAAATTGGCAGCAATGTAATATCTGTCTTCAGCTCTGCCAAGGCAGAGGTGAGCAGTTCACACCGAGGACAGAGGCTTCAAATCTAAATCAAGACACATTTAAGGATGTCGGTGGTCCTAATCTGTCTGAATTCAGGAGCAGATTTAGTTTTTTCATCTTTATGAAAAAGGGATTTAACCTGAAGGATAATCAGCTTTTACAGTGAGCACACCGAGGAAAACAAAAGGCAAATGAAAGAAACAAACATAAACAGAGGAAGACAAAAGACGACAGAAGCAAAGTCAGAGTGATGACAAAGCAACAAGATAGAATTTATGGTGAGATGACACCAGCAACATAAGAATTATTTTAAAGATACACTGACCATCATCCACATGGTTGTAGTACTCCTTTTATTTAGAAATAATGACAATAACAACAAAGTGATCATCTACTTCATTACTGTCATTATTATCACCATCACCAGCACTATTCCCTTTTTTTGTCATACGATCCACCATCATCAATTACTATTACTCATCAGAAACACCATGGTTGGGCTAGTTAGGGGAGATAAAAGCTTTAAGAGTTAAAGTGTTTCAAGATGACTTTTAAAATCTCTAACAAAGAGGAGGATCAGACAGTGGGGGAATAGTTCCGCAGTTTTGGGGCACAGATGGAAAAGGCCCTGTCTCTGTAACAGTCAACTCATATGACTAAAATCTTTTGTCTCCAAATATCCAGGACTAAGTTCTATGATGTGGGGGCATGGCTTCGGTAAGAACTGATTTAAAATCAATTTTAGGGGAGGCAAGAAATGGAGTAACATGGTCCCTGGTTTTTGGCCCTGTAGTCAGAATTCTGGCTGCTGCATTTTGGACTATTTGAAGACATGATACACATGACTAGATGATACCAAAATAAAAGGAGTTGCAATTAATAAGATAGGATTATATGAATGCATGGATGATTATGAGTATTTTTAGATGCAAGGGTAGGTTGTTAATAAAATCTTGAGCCTGTCAAACACATTTATGCTCACATTTAGTAAAATTTATGTTTGAGTTTGTGCTTACTCTCTATATTGAGGTTTTTAATTCAAAGTATAAAATGCAAGTTTTAAATGAGTGGCAACCTCCAGGTGTTAAACTATGAGACCAGTGTGGAAGTGCAAAATAACACAGATTCTCAAGACTGGCTTTTATTGCAAAACTGAACATGTTTACAGCCTGGTAGAAAAAATAAACGAATGAATAAAAACTGTTTTAGTCTAAATAGCACATTTCATTATTTGTACACATCAAAACTCTTCCATTTTAATCATTTTGAGACGGAATTATGCAGTGATTTACATTATTCGATCATGTAAAGGCATGATGCTGTTTGTTTTGTGTGGCCTGCCTCGGGGTGACTGAAAGTTAGGTTGCAGCAACAAAAAAGATTTAAAGACATCTCATTCATTAACACATGTGCAGCTTGCAGTCTTATAGAAAATTTTTAACAAAAGGTTGTGAATCTACTTTGAAAGTGAAAATGTAGAAGAGAAATTTATGCACCAAGTTCAACTTAATGAAGCTCATGCAGCTAAATATTAGCCGACTAAAACTTCCACACAACAACTTGTTATGCAAGAAACGACCATCCCTCTTTCTGCGAAGCCTTTCATTCAAGAAAGTGCAGATTACCTCAAACTTTTTGTGTCTTTTCCCTGTTTAACAAATGTTGTGCACAGAGATGCTGTTGTGTTATGAGACACAAAGACTGAAGGGTAAAAAGCTCACCTTGCTGCCCTGTTGTTGTCTTCCATAAATTAGACAATGTGGGCTTTTATAGTCGCTCCTCTCCTGCGTGCGCTCTGCCTCCATGTTTATTACCTCTCTGGTATTGATATTAAAATGCAGGAGGGCCTTGATGCATTTTTCTGTCATCTCTCTTTCTGACTTTAATAATACTATAAAGCTTCCTGCTGTGGATGGAGGGGGTGAATAAATTATGAAAAAGAGGTTAATATATGGTATTGGTATATATCACATCCAAACTAAGCCAGATCCCCTTTTGCTTTCAAACGTACAGCCTTTTAAAGGAAGGAGTCAAGCAGGGTCAGATCCATCTCATTTTACTGCTGTGGCCCCTCCCCCATCCATGTGCATGCTCATCTGCTGCTCAAACATCTCATGCAGGGGTTATGATTGCTGTAATGTCAGTTTGTATGGCTTAATTTCAGCACATCTCTACTGTTCATCTGAGCAGAGGCATGGACAGGAAAGAGGAAATGCATTTAAACCTCTATAATCGTCTCCGCTCCACTATTTTATTTTCAACACTAACCTGACCTTTCGCTCCTTCTGTGTCTGCTTCTTTATGCTCAGCTGTATGTAACCAAGCAGCAATTGTAAGAGTTAAAAATGAAGCCAAAGCAGAAATGCTGAAGACTCCATTACCTATGGGGCTGCATAACATTGAAAAATTTCATATTGGGACTTTTTTCTCTCCTGAAATTCATATTGCAATATGTAAAAAGGAAACAACAACAATGATAATCATAATAATAATCAACAACAGGAAGTGCTTTGAAGCAATTTAAAGAATTCAGTAGCAAAATTAGGCTTTCTATAATTTGTATGTTTCAGTTTATTTTCTGCTTTCAATCAAACTCTCTCCTGACATTTGCATTGGCCCAGCCATTTAGCCTCTGCACTAACAGCTACAATGTGCACACTAGGGGTGGGAAACACAAATGGCCCCAGGATATGATATTATCACGATACTTGGACCACAATACAATATTATTGTGTTTTTTAACATTTTGCAATACAGTGAGTATTGCGATACAATATATTGCGATTTATACAATTGTTCTAACTGTTAAGCTAATTTAGCATTTGTCTTTCCTTTATGTTTGTCTTATTTACGCTGTATTTTATTTTCATGTAACACATCTTGCAAACCTTGTGTGTCAGGTCCATCTCATTTGCACCCTGTTTGCATTCCTAATATCTGGACAAGACAAACAGTTAATTTTCTTTTTCCATTATCATAGATTTGACTTGACATTGGCAATTAATTTGAAAAAATTGATACTGAGTAAATGTGACGATATGATATGTCACCAGTCAAAATATCCCGATACTACCCTGTATCGATTGTCTCTCCCACCCTTAGTGCACACCTGTCAGTCAATTCATCTGTGTCCCAACTGTGTGTTGTGCATAACTCATAACCTTAATATAAGGAATGAGTCATGAACAAAAACAATCCTCCTCATATGGTGTGTACAAACAGTGCATGGGTGTCCGTGGGCTTTGTAGCCAGTTTCAAGTGAACCTGAGAACCTGCAGTGTTTTAATCCTCCCACGTTGGCTTCATTTATGAACATTAGGGGCTGCTGCTGCTGCTGCTGCTGGTGACCATTGTTCCACTGAGACTATGCTCCTGTTTTACATAGTCTATGAATACAGCTTACAGGAAGTATAGGTTGTTAAGCTGGAGAGGATCCAGCACTTGTCCGTCACATAGTTTTAATTCACTCAGCTGACATGTTCCTGTCAGTGAAGTGGGAAGATTCACGTTTCACTTTCACCGGACAATCTGGAGTTCATGCCAAGTGGCTTTTGAAAGAATTTGTTAGCTGTAAAAGGGGCTTTAGGTCATCTACCTTAAATCCTTATCTTCACTGTAGATAGCAAAATACAGAGCTAAGTGTACAATAAGTGAACAACATTGAAGTTATTTTCTTTTATTACTGGAAGAGAGTAGTCAGAGTAAAGATGATGGACACGTCTAATCTGAAGCGTATTGTATGGTCTTTATCAGACTTTGGTTGGTTAAATTGCTGATAGCTTTATTTTCCAAGCTGTCCTTTGAAACAGACTAAAGACTACTGCTGCCTGAAGAAAATCCCAAACAACCCAAAGCTTGAAAGAAAACTACAAAATAACTGCTTGTTTGAAGGCTAGATTTTGAGACCTCACCCTAAGTTAAAGTTGATGATACACATATTTTTCAATCACACTCGGACATTTATTCTTTTTATATTTTCCTAAAACCATTTGGACTGATGCTTCTTGCACATTAATCAGTCATCAATCCTAAATTTTATCAATGAGATAATCTGCTTTCCTAATCTCAAAATGATGAAAGTTGAGCTTAGTTGTGTAAAAAGGCTCCTTACTGGTAAAAATAATTGAATAATTAAGTTTAAGTTTATTTGTTTATTCGAACAGATTAAAAGAAAATACAAAATAAATTCAATATACAATGTGGTTTGGTAGAAAAACAATTAAAGAGACAATGAAGTTCTGAAGCTCTGTAGCAACATAGATAATCATACTTGGTGTAGGATGAAGTTGATAAAACCTATCTAGTCCTAACCCTTTATTCTTGTGTTTCTATAATGTAATCAGTCAGAGCATGTGTAGGAATAACAGCACAGAAGAAAGAAAATATATTAGAAAAAAGGCACGTTGCCAGTTGTTACAAATTCATGTTTTTGTTTCTCTGCTGTTCCACAGATTAACTCCTTTGACTGATGTACAGAGCATCTTTCTGTTAATGTACAGGTTGTTTTTTAAAAATGCATATTCCCCTGAGATTATGTTTGTTTTCTCTTATTTGAAACAACCTTTGGATGCCCTGTGTAACTGATTCTGATTTGCTTTGTACATGATCTGAATTGAACTTTAGTGCCTTCAGTTTGATGAGGAGTGGGTTTGATGGTTCTCTGTAGGTAATAATTCATTTTAACTAAGATTTTTCCCCCTCCTTGTTTCGCTTAAGAACACATCAGAACTTTAGTAACTAATTTCTCCATTTGTGAAATTAAAAGAATAATAGTCATAGGTTTGCCTTCTTGAGAAATATTACATTTTTGTAATAATTTCATTAACAAGTAGCACAACTAAAAGTCCCACAACGTATTTTTTCAATCAGAAGACTCTCTCAGGTTGTTCTTAAGGTTTACCCTTCCACCATACACGCAGCTCTGTCTGTCCTCCTGCAGCTCTTGTTGTTTGAGTCAAATGAGCCCATTACAGCCAAAGGGCCGTGACAAAGCGTCGCTAGGTGACGACCTGAGCTGCTGATTACCGCCTCGTGTTAGCAGCGCAGGGCCAGGTTCAATCAGGGGAATTGGAAAATATCATTTCTGACGGGAATAGATTTGGTTTGTTCAACCAATCTCTTCTACTAATTACCCAAATGGACAGGAGCTGTCAGGAGACAATAACTATTCCGTAATAGAATTTGCCCCCCAAGTGCAATTTAATTTTCTCCTCCGTGCTCTCTGCTCAGGTTTCTGCCTCTCTCCCTCTCTCTCTGCTCCTCTTTCGGACCAAATGCTCAGGGACACACGGTGCCTCTTCTACCTCGTGTTGTTTTTGTCACTGGATGTTGTAGAAAGTGAAGACTGACTGCTGCCGTTTGTCTCTGCGAGCTCCGGTGTTCATCCTGCTGACCGAAAAGATCTGAGCAGCATGGAGAAGGGGAGGAAGAGGAGGAGGAGGAGGAGGGAGAGAGAGAGAGAGAGAGAGAGGGAAGCAGACATCCGCCTCTGCTGTAGTGAATCGGTAGGTCTGCACGCTGATCGTGCAAATGCAGCTCTATGAAAATACTGAGAATTGAGCCTTAAATTTGTAACAAACATACGCGTCAATCGCACGTGTTGCTTGCGGCGATTGCACTCGAAATGTACATGCTGTTGACGTCATTCACGCGTTCACCGTGCGTAAAGTGCATTTAATTTAGCTATTACTGCGCTTTTGTTTCATTTGTTTTTTTGTGTGGACATGATTGACCCTATGAAAAAATAATTATAATAATCAGTTAGTGTAAAAATGAATTAATTGAACCTTAATTTACACACATAGAAATATTAAATGTGGTGCATTTCATGTCTGGTGTTTTGGCGTGCTGCAGAGTTTTTAGTCTGAAAATGATGATGAATTATACTCCATGAAAAACCTGCTCATCCCGCATAGATGGATGTGTTTTTGTATTTGTTACTCCCTGCTCTCTAAGATGGATTTGTGAATCTCAGGTGTCAATGAGCTCGTGCACTGAAATATTAGATCTAATTAGAGGTGGCTGGGTCACCGCTGTGGCAAAGGAGTCGCCCTCTGCTTGAGTTATTGCCCAGGAGCTGATTCCTCTGCTGCTTTTTTCCCACATATACAGCACCTTCTTATGGGTGAAAAGGTGTAATTTCACCTCGCTCAGGGGGTGCTGAATCTCAGTAACCTCATCGTTCATTTGACTTATTCTGTTACTTTAAAATCGTGTATTTTGAATTAGATTTTTAAACACATCCTGACAATTTATTCAAATTTTACAACATATTTTCCCTTTTTTTTCCAAAAGCCTCACATTTTTTTGTCATTTGTTGAAGTATGGATATCGTTTGTAAATAAATGGCACTCCCTCTCTGTTTTTGCAGTCCCATTACGCTGCGTAAAAATGCGTCTGAACCAGTTGTGCGCGCTCTCATCTTTTCTCTTTCTGCATTTTTGCATCCGTCAATTATTCTAATTGTTCTGCCCTTTGCTGACAGGTTAAGAGCATTTCTATCTGCATTGTTTTCCAGGGCAGCTTAAGGCTCTCGATTCCAACAATCAGAGTAATTGAATAGTTGAATAAATTGAATGATCTTGAGGGGAAAAGTGTATAATGAAAATAAAGTGGGAGCAGATGATTCTTGAGGCGCGTGGATTGATGTGTGGATGGATGGATGGATGGATAGATGGATGGATAGGGCACCTGGCCTTCAGACTACAGCTTTGTAAGGGCTTGGATAAAGTTCCTGTAATATCCCAGCCTCCTTTTTTTTTAATCAGCTTGATGTGTGTTTTCATTTTACCAAATTACATTTGAAACATTACCCACACTGAGGAGAGGATTATGGGATTTCCGGTCCCTTCAGTGTATAAACGGTGCGCAACAATAGAATGAACAGTGCGTTGTTGGAAATGCGGTAAAAGATGGGGGGATAAATCAGCATAATGTAGCAGGAGAAATGTTGGCTGTGTTGTGTTTCGTATTTGAATTGGAGACACACAGAATATCTTACGTTGTCAAAGCACAATAAGGGAGTTTCCCATACGACAGTTTTCTTTGAATCTGCAAACACGCTACAATTACATTTCTATATTTTATATTTATTTTTGGAAATATTCACCACGAAAAACAAGATTTTTTAACCCTGAATTATTGTGTAACAGTAATTTTTTGAGTCTGGTTTATTAATAAGCGATAGAATTCAGGTTGGACTGACATGGTGATGGTGATTTCAGGTGGGCCCCTGTCTAAAACGTCTGAAATTTTCTTGTGTTTAACCCAATTCCACTCTCAAAGGCTTGGTTGGTGTTGTAGGTTGGACCAGTCTCCTCCTGTGCAGATGCTCAGTGCGCTTGGCCCCCCCTGCACACGGACTAACTGTTGATGGAAACACCCTACATTGTTTAAAAACGCCTCTGTGCGCTTTTCTTTCCTCGCTTGAAGTAAATTGGAAGCGAAGATTGAGTTCATCTAGCTTGAACTAGCGGCCCTCCGGAGGGAATATCTTATCCGGGAGAGCAGTCTCGCAGGCGATGGGCTCTGAAATGAGGAGTGTCAGGAGGACTGCGCCCAGACTCCTAATCCCACCTGTCACTGAAAGAAACAGCTGCATGGGTACTGCATGTCACCCCAACAGCCGAGGAGAAGTCTGCAGGTCAGACAGAGGGAGAGGTGCGCTGGAATGATCCCACTTTGGCGAGTTATTTTGCTGCTTTTGGTGTCTGGACGCAATTTTTGTGTCCATAACCCTTTTTTCTTGGTTTGATTTCGTTCAGAAAATGGAGCAAGAAAGAAAAATATGTTAAAAAGTTGAAGTGTCTGGAGGTATTTTAGACAGCATTCATGCTTTTCTGTATAGATTTTTCGTTTCTGGCTGCGTGGGACCCTCTTTCTGATCTCCCCCGGCCCTTCAGAGAGCCACTGCAGTGAGCTATTTATGTTCTCCACAGTAACCAGGTCCCGCCTCTCCGGAGACATTTTCATAAACCGTGTCAGACGCCTCCTCTCTCCCATCCTTCTCTTCTCCTTTCCCTCCTCGCTTGTACACCTAAAGGAGGATGCTTTTCCGCCTCTGGGGGCCTCCCCTTCCTGCGCTCCCATTGGCCCGCGGTGCGCTTCAGCCGCGTTGACGTCAGACTCAGCCGCCCCTGCAGCGCTGAATGGACCTCGGAGCCTGTCTGATTCACTCCAAACCTGCTCGGCACGGCACGGACATCACCCCGGGAATAGAGACATAACAGGGGACAGAGGGAGCTGCTGTAGAAAGAGGGAGAAAGAGAGGGAGAGGAAGAGAGAGAGAGAGAGAGAGAGGCCTCAACACCAGAAGAAAGACACCCTCATTTTTTTTCTGCACAAGACTGGACGGGGGAGTGCGCCCACCGTGTTGCGGGTGTATGCGCGTGCGTTTGTGTCCCGGTTTGGATCACGATGATGCAAAGTGCGGCGGTCCTACCGACAGAGAGTCCTGTTAAGAGTTTACCTGAGATTCTCGGAGTGCCACTGCAACGTAAGACATCTTTTACTTCCCTCCTTTATTTTCCCTGTGGTTTATGATTCCGGATAAAGACATTGGCGCGTACATCCTGTGCTGCAGGGTTCTTCTGTATGTGGAGAGGGTTTGGGAAGAGTAACCCGGCCAAAGAGGAGGAAAGGAAAGGAAAGGATAGGAGGACGGGGCTCCTAGCTATAGACTGTCACGTACAGGCCACTGATGTGTCATGCGGATTCTATATTTTAGGACAGAAAAACGTCAAATTCATAGAGATATTTGGTCTAAAAGTAAGAGGTGTCAATCTAATCTTTGCATTTTCAAACATCTGGAGACTATATTCTGCTTTAGCGCGCACAGGATGACAGACAATGAATGCTATCCTTTAAAAAAAGTAAATAAAATAGATCAAATGTAAGGCATCAGCAGGTTTTCCTTCCTTAGGTTGTTGGACTTCTATCGAGCCTTCAGGCAGCTGTGAATTTGTAAACGAGCATCGTGGTCAAGAGATCAGACACAGTTGTCATCAGCCATCCGACAAACACACTTTGACTTTGACTGACATCATTACACACTCCAAGAAGTGCCAGAAACACTTGGTTTTTGTTTGTCTCTGGAGAAAGGCCCAGACATCAGTTTATTACATTGATCAGATCTATAATTCAAGACGGTTTGAGTGTTTTTGATAGTTCAGGCTCATGATAATGCAAAATAAGATCAGATGTTTATTAGTATTTTCATCCACACTAAAGGCGAGAATCTCCCTGAGAAGTGTTGGTCCGGCGTGTTAATCTGTGGCAGGCCTTTTATAATCTGATCGTGCTGTCAAGATTAAACTGCAACGGGATACATGTCTGCTTTGACCTCATTTACAAGAATCACTAAACTGTACAGAAAAAAAAAAAAATCAGCAAAATTGGAGATAATAATATTTTTGGCATCAAAAGACGAAGAATAAAAGATGAAGCTTTTCTGCTCAATTAACCCTTCAATACGAATTATAACAAATATTATTTTAATTTTACAATACTGCAGCTGTAAATAATAAGGGCAACACTAAAGCAAAACCATCTGATCCAAATTTTAATCCCCAAAACCTTCTTCGGTTTGTCTCAAGGAAAAATGGTCTAAGTGTGCTCGGTTTATGCTCTTTAATTTCAAAACCCAGATTAAAAGATTGGATAAGGATCCTGCCACTCAGCCTTCCTCCCCCTGGATTTAAATCTGGATTATAAAAGCAGCAGATAATTCATCCAAACATATTTTAGTATATCCTGGACAGAGTTCTCTGCTGACTCAGGGCAATTACATCCAAACCTTAACCTGTGGGCTGTTAGTCTGCGAGACAAAGTGTTTACTTCACGTTTAATTACCACAAATCATTGGACAATTGGAAGCATGAGAGGCTGCCAGAGTGCAATCCTTCTTCTATAAGAAAAAAAAAATAACAAGAGAGCCTGTTAGAGCTGTTAAGCAGCTGGACTTGAATCTCTTTCACTTAAGGATTGAAATGAGGTGATGAGACTGAGTGTTATGAGGAGAGAGAGAGAGAGAGAGAGGAAACAACAGATACAGAGATATGAGGAGGAGGCACGAGGAGGGTTACTCTGCATCTCTCTCTGACACACACACACAGAAAGAGAGAGAGAGAGAGAGAGAGAGAGAGAGAGACTGCACACACACACAGTAGCTGGACGCTCGGTCGTTGCCAAACTCGTGCTGCTTTCCTTTCAGCACTACTTCATCCACACACACACACACACACACACACACACACACACACACACACACACACACACACACACACACACACACACACACACACACAGTGATCGTCAGATTTAAAAACAGCTGTACTTTGATAAAAAAAAAGTAAAGTAAATAAACAAAATTCAAGCCCAATCTTACAAAAAGATAAATAAAAAAAATTATGATAATAATAAAAAATATCCCACTTACCGGCACAAATAAAAAAAAATATTTTAATAAATTGTATTAAATTCTCACGTTAAGTGATTAAAAAGACGTCCTACTTATATGTGTAGACATGCTGAATCACTGAATTTCTTCCGTGAAAACGAATCTAATTTAATAGATTCCTTACTTGAGTTTACCTCTTCATTTAATAACCTTAGTACAACACTATCACAGATAAACCAGCATAATATCTTTATATTACTAATTTATAATCTAATCTTTTTACCACTTCAAAATCAGGTCATCCTGAACCCACGTGGGCACGCTGCTTTACAACTTTACGCACGTTTCCTCCTGAAATATTGGCATAGGCCTTTATAATGGTTTTGTGCTGCTGTTCATTTTTCATGTTTTATTTTTGCTCGTGAGAACATGCATGTGTGTGTGTGTGCACGTGTGTGTCTCAGTCTGTCCACTTCTTCATATTGATTTTTCATTATCGGATATCATGTGGACGTTTGAGTAAGAGAGGCCGACAAAGAAAATAAAGGATAGCTTAATTTCACGGTATTTGCAGGATAAGATGAAACGCAAAGATGATGGCGTTTGCTGTCGGTTTTTAGATCGGGCCGTTTTACGTCAATCACCTAGCTCTTTGTTTAATATAATGGAGCAGTTAAATGGAGCAGTATATATACAGTTATCATCTTGATTTGTTTTCACATTATAGGTTATTGAAAAATGGGCTAAAACGTGGCTATTAATTCAGACTAATCCCAAAATCTGTTATTGTGTTTTTAATCGATGGGTGTCATAGTTTGGTGATAAAAGGAAACTAATGATGGTATTTCTGTGAACCTTGTTTGTGTTCTTCACAATGAAGTCTAATCTCGTCTTGAACCTAGTTTACAGGTTAGCAGTGTACCAACCCAAAATGGAGAAACGACCAGGCATGAATGAACAGAGCAGTAGAAAAGAGAGTGTATACGGGTTACAGAAATGGAAAAACAATACAAGTCTATATCAGCTCCAAGTTCAGCACCACAGACAGTGACGGACTATTTCACTATTTCACACAGCACACCAAACAAAGCAAAGCTTTCATAGCCGAATTAAATCCCTGAACAAAGAAAGCAAAATAAAACTCAACCTTCTACGCTACTACTTAATAAAAAAATATTAAGGCATTATGGGAAAAAACGGTCAAATATACCATCCCAGACAAAAAAGGACGCATTACCAAATAGACGTTGAAAGGACAGTTCGGGTCAAGCATTTTCTACAACATCATATCGTATCTTATTTTTCTTGATTTTAAGAGTGCAACAATAATTTTCCTCAAACCTATCATAAACTTAAAAAAAATATATACAGTCAACGTGTCTTCTCTTTTATTTTTCCTGACTAAACTGTAAACTGAGGCGTGATCGTGTTCAAAATCAGTGGTGATCAAGTGCACACTGTGACTGAATTCATCCTCTTCGCTTCCGTATCGGTGTGGACTACAAAATCGTCTTATTTCGTCTATAATAGGAAAGAGCTCTGTTATGAAACACGAGGCCTATTTCTGAGGACATGAGGTGTGGTATAAAGGCTGTGCCCATCTGACCTGGTGCTCTCCTGTCCACTGTCCCCGCAGAGATCCCTCAGTGTGCCGGCTGCAGTCAGCACATCCTGGACAAGTTCATCCTGAAGGTGCTGGACAGACACTGGCACTCCAAGTGCCTCAAGTGCGCCGACTGTCAGACCCCGCTGGCCGATAAATGTTTCTCCAGGGCCGGAAGCGTCTACTGCAAAGAGGATTTCTTCAAGTCAGTGCACTTTTTCTGCTTCGCTTTCTAATTCCCTCTGTCTCGATTACCCTTTCCCCCATTTCTTTCTTTCTTTCTTTCTTTCTTTCTTTCTTTCTTTCTTTCTTTCTTTCTTTCTTGCAGCGATGTTAATTGTGATAGAAATAGACTACATGACTAATATTGATGGTTTGCTCCATAAATCACTTCCAATTTAGGTTCTGTCAGCTCGAGCTTCATCTTCACAGTGGGTTAGAAAATAAAGAACATGAAATAAAATAGGAATAAAACATTTAAAGAAATGATCTAATATATTAATTATTAGCCTGAGTGTTTTTGGGAGTTTTTTTTTCGTAAAGCTTTTACTAAGTCTATTATTATTATTATTATTATTATTATTATTATTATTATTACTACTACTACAACGATTATTATTATTATTATTATTATTATTATTATTAATAATAATACTTTCATCATTATCATCATTTTTCTTATTATTATAATTACTATTATCATTTTTATTATTTTTGTTGTGGCGGTAATGTTGTCACAGAGGGTAATTTTGGATAAACTTTTCCCACATTTAATAAGATTTTTTTTTTTTAATTCTGAATTGAAATAGGATTAGTTATAAGAGCAAGTTAACATCTTGTTGCCTGTATTGAAGTGGTCGGTTCTATGGGTTGCATCTACCTGTTTGTATTCTATTTCAAACACCTGGACTCATTCTAAAGTCTTTACTCTTGTATTTAATTAATGCATTAGCTTATGCTACTTAAAAAACTAATTTCATGCCTGAATCTGAATTCTCACAGGCTGTTATTGTTTTTTTGGCAACATCATAAGAGAGCAAAAAAGAGCTCAATAAGCCCCTTTCTATTTTTTTTATATTTTGCACTTTCTTTCCTCTTTTCTTTCTGTCTTTCTTTCTTGCGGTTGGATCTCGTAAGCATTACAGAACAAAATTGAGTTTGACTTTTATCCAAAACAGGATCAGCAGATCTGGGCTTTTTCCTAAATCATGTTTGAAAGGTTTTAATGCTCAAAGCCTGAATGGGACCTAAAGAGCTCTGCAGTCTCACTGGGGTCTAACTCTGTTAGGTGACCCAGGGGACAGGGGGGTGGGGGGGTTTGGCGTTTGCATGTTCGAGATGTAGTGGGGGGAACATGTGCGTCTGGAGAACACACACACACAAATGCTTGAACACAGAAAAGGATGGATGCAGAGAGATTCAGTGGCGTGTGCTTCCCAGCAGTGATTTGGAAGCCTCACCTTGCTCTTTTTATTTCTGTGCGTTGGCTGTGTGATTTAAAGCCTCTCCTGAGTCAGTGTTTTATTGGTTCTCCTCAGGGTGTGTTTACTGTGAGCACTCCTCCTCCTCCTCCTCCTCTTTCTCTTCTTCTTCTTCCTCTTTCTCCTCTTCTCTAGCTCTCAGTGCTCCATCTGAAAACACATAAACATGCAAACATGCACACACTCGCAAAGACACACACCGCGCACAGTGCATTGATCCTCTCCATCCATCAGCCTCAGACAGGTCTATCATTAACAGAAATGCATTCCAGTGCTGATTTTACCCTCTACAACAGCTGGAGCTCAGACTATTAATACAGACACTGTGCCATCATTCTTGGCTGCAGCTGAAGAAATGGCTGTCTAGCATGTGAATTTTTAATCTGGGCTGGTCTCACCATCTCCATCAGGCTGTAAAATGGCTTTAAAGAGGAGACGGATGTCAGTCAACCCCGCTTGTGTTAGCATTAAACCGTCTGATGGCAGTTCTTGTCTTTTTTTTGTTCTTCTGCAGGCGATTTGGAACAAAATGTGCGTCGTGCCAGCAGGGGATCCCTCCCACACAGGTAGTGCGGAAGGCGCAGGACTTTGTGTATCACCTGCACTGCTTCGCCTGCATCATGTGCAGCCGGCAGTTGGCCACAGGGGATGAGTTTTACCTCATGGAGGATGGGAGGCTGGTGTGCAAGGTGGATTATGAGACGGCCAAACAGAACGGTAGGCCTGCATGCATGTCAAAGGAAAATAATATCAATTTACTTTTAAAGGAAGACATCCATGACCTGAAAATAATTTGTTTTTATCCGTGCGGTCTGTCACAGTCTGTGTGATTCAGTGCTGTGGCTTTACCTGTGTGTCAGATTCACAGTGGACGATATGACAGCTCTGTGAACTGTATAATGCAGCGAAATGACTCCTGACTGTGGATCTATGTTGTTTGTCGTCTGGGTGGGGATGCTGCCTCTCTCCCTCTCCTCTGAGGTTTCCATGAATCTCTGATTGGTTATGTAAAGCAATGCATTGCTCTTTTACAGTGCAGCCCCAATAACTCGGCTCCTCTGGCATTTGAGCTGAGTAGATTTATGTCCTCTGCTGTGGGAGAGAGAAAGATGCACAAGGACAATAATCTGCTTCCATATGTGACCGTTCACTTCATTTAACATGCATGTATTCAACACAAAAGGCCGTAGGAGGACTACCTGGTAAAACAACGTGACAAATGTAGAAGGAAGTCACTCACACTTGTTGATGGTGATGTTTTTCAGACGACTCAGAGGCGGGGACCAAGCGACCGAGGACCACCATCACAGCCAAGCAGTTAGAGACTCTCAAAAGTGCCTACAAAAACTCACCCAAGCCGGCTCGCCACGTCAGAGAGCAGCTGTCCTCAGAGACGGGACTGGACATGAGAGTAGTGCAGGTGCAGAGTTTTTACTTTCTCCAGATGGTTTCAGGTGTCTTTTTTCAGAGATCTGCACCAAACACAGCAGCTCCGTTATTCATCCTGATTTCAGCTTCTTTAAAACTAGCTCACATCTGTTATTATTAAGCAGCCTTGTTAATGTAATGTTGGTAATTAGGCCTTTATTTTTTAAGGTTTTTAGGCTTTAGGGTAGCATCCTCAAATTGGACTGTGTTTGATCAAAAAGAGGATACAAGGATGGGCGTTAAATAAATCTAAATCTAATGAATTGTTCATATGTTTGCTTTCATAAAAGGACTTGACTGTAGTTATGTGAATTTCCCAGTTTGGGATCAATAAAGTATATCTATCTATCTATCTAACGCCCCTTTAATTCTCTTTGATCAACTTAAACCTTCTTATTATAAAGTGTGAATCTTTTTGTGGTACTATTTTGAGTAGTCTTCACTTTTTATGATCGTACACCAAGCTGGTCATGATGCTTCATGTGTCAAAGGCTTTTAAGTGAATGATAAATTCTTATTTTGAATCAAACACAGTGGATCAAAGAGATGAACACCTAAAAAAAAAAGTTTTGAATGAATGAAACTAAACATAAAAAAATGCTGTTATGATCATTATCTTTGTCCTTCTTATCGTTATGAAGCTTAACTTTATCTTGTTTATCATCTCCATCAGGTTTGGTTCCAGAACCGACGAGCGAAGGAAAAGCGTCTAAAGAAGGATGCAGGTCGACATCGCTGGACCCAGTTTTACAAAAGCGTGAAACGTAACCGAGGAGGGACGAAAGTGGAGAAGGAAAGTTCGGCTGACGATGCAGGGCTGAGCGACAGCGAGCTGAGCTTCAGAGGTACAGACTGAAGAACTTGAACCCACATGTCTGTTATTGACAGGAAAGGTTCCTGAGAGGGAACTGTCAGTGTTAGTGTTGTGCTAATGGCATTAAAGGGGCCTATAAGCTGCTGAAAGACATAGCTCTGAACACAGCAGCAGCAGCAGCAGCAGGGATTGAATGTGTCTTTGTGGCATTTTTAGATGTTTTCTTCTGTTGTTCTGGTGCACTGTTCCACTTATTCAAAATGGCATCCTAATTTTATATTCCCTCCACATCCCCTCATGACGCATCCTTCTGCCTCCGTTTGTTGCCGTGATGGAGCATATTGGAAACGAGAGAGGGTCCTTAGTGGGATGCAAATGACATTTTAGACATCCCCATGTTATTTAATGTTCACAGAGCCCGTTTTGGAAAGTCATAAAAGTCTTCCAGGCACTTTTAAAAAGAAGGCCATTTTTATGAGAAATGAAAACATGGTGACAGAAACTCTATAAAGCATGTGAGGCTTTTAGCCAATTAGAGTGGAAGTGCTGTGAGGCTCTGTTGTTATTGAATCCACCCAGGGGAAAGATGGAGATGGAAACAAATACTTTGCGCTGTCGTAATTGCACACATATAGATCACCTTTAGAGATAAGCATTTGTTGATAATTTCTCACTAACAAATGCTTGTTAAATACTTCTGCAGCTCTGTTGTCCACTTACCGTGCCTTCTTTGAATCCACATAATGTTGCCACAATAAATCTCTCTCATAAAAGCACTTAACTGTATTGAAATATAACAACTATATAATGCTGCTGCAGCTGACAGTACTGATGATGTTAAAGTTTTCACTCCCCTCTTGCTAAGTGACTGTCTCTCTTCCACAGATGACCAGGTCCTGTCAGATCTTGGACACACCAACGGGCTCTATGGGAGCGTCAGTGATGTGACCAATAGCGGCGTGCTGAACGGCAGCTTCTCCGTTGACGCAGCGGGACAGCCGTACCATGACATCCGAGCAGGCAGCCCCTACGGTCTTCCTCAGTCGCCCTCCTCCATTGCCTCCCTGCCTGGCCACACCCCCCTCCTCAACAATCTGGGCTTCAGCATGGACAGTCTGGTGGTACAGGGTGGGCCGGGCGGCGTGGGACAGGCGCTGAGGGCCATGGCTGGGGGCCCGACGTCAGACCTCTCGACAGGCAGCAGTACAGGATATCCTGACTTCCCCACCAGCCCCGCGTCATGGCTGGACGAGATGGACCATTCTCAGTTTTGAGTGTAAAACCTGCTGGAAGATCTCTGTGGGGATATGACGAAACAGACACTCATGGCTTTTTACATTTCTTTTAATCACCCAGTGAGACTGGTGCTGTGAGATTTTGGGTGAAGAGAAGACAGAGGAGAAGAGTGACTCTCAGTCCTTCAGCAGTCAGAACCGGGTCAGGTTGTGTAGTCCAGACAAAAGCAGCGACTAAAACCTCGACTCTGTTTAAAATTCAATCTCAACACTGTATCATACAATCCTTTGTGATCAACTGACTTTAATTTATCACCCATTCAGAAAAAGAGACTGGATTTCCAATTAGTCTATGGATTTTTTTTTCTAACGGGGAAGACCCCAAAATACAAACCCCCTGTCTATCAGCTACAACATTAGGGCTACATCCGAGTCCCTGTGAGACCCAGGAGGCACCTGCATGCTTCTGATCAATAAAGAATGGGACTGCTGTCTGGTCATATCAAAGCCTTTACATTGGCGATGCACTTTACTCTCCTCTTCTTTTACATGCGTGGACTGAAACACAGAGAGAGGAGCAGCGAGAAAGAGGAGAGACATATGCACAAGGCAAAAACACAGTGTTTCATTGGGAGTGAAATTTACAAGAACAGTGGCACAAGTGTGAATTTTGAACCATGCGGATGTTTTTTAATGTACTGCTGAAGCTTACAAGTCATTGGAGAGTAGATGGTCCGTCTGTCCGTCTGTGGAAACGATGTCTCCTCCTGTTGAGGTGGAGCAAACACAGCAGGTCTCTCTTCTATATTTATAGTTGCTTGACTTGTTCTTGTCTGTTTAGAAGCTGTTTGAGCAGATATCCGTCAGTATTAAGTTTCCAGACTCACCAGGCATCAATGTGTTGGAGAAGGGTCCGGAGAGATTAAACTTCAATCCTTCTCGTAATCATATCACACGTCTAAATTATTAACTTATTTTTGAATGCACAGATGTGAAACAAAGAGATTTTTACACGTGAGAAAAGTAAAAGGCCACACACACACATGCTCGGATCAGCTGGCATTCAAATCACCGTGAAGTATTAGCGGGAGTAATGCTAAACTTTTGCTTCGTTTTAGCTCTTCTTTTCCTTGGTCTGATCAAGGCTTGTCTCTGTAATCTACTCAGTCCAGCAGAGCTCCAGCTTTGCCTGCGATCAACCTACTTACTGACCCCCAGATGTGTCGCCAGTCTGTTCTCTCCTCTGCCTGGCCTCCATGTCAGAGGGATTACCACAGAGCCCCCCATTATCAGTGCTGATACTCTGTGCTGTAGCTTCACTGCAGACACGACTGTAGGGTCGATGTTACAGTTCAGGCCACAACAGCTTCATCCTAAATCCCCACATGATAGCCGATTCACCGAAAGAACCCCTGTTGATGAACCGAACTTGTCCTACAGCTGAGAGAGAGCAGCTGCTAGTTTGGTTTCACCCGGGCCGGCATGTCAAATTATTTTGATTTGAGAGGAGGAGGTTTGCAAAAAACTCACCTTTACTTGTCTTTCTGTTTATCAAATGTAGAAAAAAGATCAAATCTTATTTATGTGGTCATCAATTTGTTAAAGATTGCCAAATTCATCATTCAAGAATGTCCTTTTTATGAGTCCAAAAAGACAGGCAGGTAGATTCAAGATTCAAGCTTTTCTATCATCAGTTTCTGTGAGTACATAGATAGGTAACACTCTTCATTACAGCCTACAAATTACACTGTGACTTAATTTAATATAAATGGCACAAATAATAATCATAATAAAAAATGTTAACCTCGCTCAGATGAGAAGTAAATTTAATGGAAGTGGATATAGTTTGGAAACAAGAGTGTGTCTCATGCTCTTATTACTTAAATTATACATTTCTTTAAATCAGATGATATTTTTAACTTCATGGGTGACCGTAGTTATACTAAATTAAGCATGGAGCTGCTAAAATTAGGATGCACTGTTTAGTATTTCGAAGAATTAGTAAGCGTTTGCTTGGTTTTAAATTTAATCATTCGAGAAAAGGTTTTAAAGTACATGTTAGGATGTAGATTACTGTTGCTGCTGCAAAAGAAAACATCCAAAGTATTCAAAAAGTACCAAACTTACAGTACATTTCCAAAACCCAGCAGGGAGTTTTATTTGTACGTCCTTTATACTTGATAAAAACAGTGCAATTTGTGGGCTGTATCTTAAAGTGTTACATATCATTTACACACAAATGCTCTGCCAGGATGGTTTTGTTCAGTCTGTGTTGCCTCACAAATTTGCATCTTAATTGTTGTAAATTTTGTACAGTTTGAAAACGTGTTGATCGTCTTGTTTCATGAGCGCTATTTATTATTGCCATGTGTCTTTGAAAAAGATGTAAAAGAGAGCACTGAATTTATTCATTTATGCCTTCTGTGTAATGGTATGAACTGTGTACAGTCAAATCTATATGAGGAAAATAAAGCTGAATTGTCTTTGGGTTACCCTTTGGTGCATTTCTCTTCAGTGTAGCTCTGGCCTGCTGTGATGAATGCGAGAGTCCAGATTTCAGCTGAACTTTGATTTTAATACATCAGAAGAAAAATATCTGCTGTAGGTGTTTTTATTATTTTGCCTTATCGGAACGCTCTTAGGGCGAGTTAACCCGCAAATTCATTTACCCATTGAGAGCATTTACCACACACTTAGGCCTCTATTCAATTGTGGAGATCCATTTAGTACCACCAACAGACAGTGGTCAGTCAGTTAACAGTGATTGATGCTGCTTTCCTCCCTTGCTCTCAGGGTGGGGGGGTGACAAGAAAGATACATGAAGAGGGAGGAGAAGGAGAGAAAAAACAACAAGTGGAGAAACAGATGCCCGGCTGGATTCACTGATCCTCTCAGTGCTAAAGACACACACAGCAGCAGATTGCAGCGCACTGTTAAATCTCTTCTTAATCCCTCTGCTGTTAACTAATTGTGGGGTGCTTTGTGAAATGTGGCCAAATATGCTTTGTGGTCAGAAAAAGTAGGAATATCGCCCGTGTGCAGATAGTTAGCGCCAAGCTAGCATATAATCAGAGCTGTAGAAAGAGTTAAGGAGGTCAGGGATGCTCAGGTACACAACGTAGACTGAAGATGTGGCTGGGGCATTTTAAGAGAGACGGGAAATATGGGGAGCGGGGAGCAGAGAGTGGAAGGAGACATACAGCAAAGGGTCATGGACAGAAGTCAAGTGAGTGACTGCTATGAAGAGGACAACAGTTCCTACACATGGGGAGCACACTTATACAAACAAACTAGGGCCCTGTAATCTGAACGCTTTTAAGATTGCACTGTTAGGCCTAAACTGTAATCCCAAAAGTAAGTGGCAAAAGTATCTAAATCAGCCTTAAAAACACCACCTATAGGAACTAGCAGTATGTGTGTTAAAAGCCCCAATCATATACCACATTGTAATGGGTCATTGTTTAGCAACGAGTCCAGGTAATGTGTTTTTTATTCTTTTCCTATCTTTCCTGGCATCTACAGTTGTCCCCAAAATACTCAAATCCATGTACATCCACGAAATCAGAATCCTATTCATGTCTTAGATCGCAGATGTTCCAGAGACTAAACAGTAGAAGGGACCCCAGGATCCTCAGTTGTAGCTATAACCCCAGTGATTAAGTGTATGTGAGTACCGGTGTTCTTAATGTGGTTGCTGCATTACTAGTACCTCTCAGGTTACAGTGGATTTATTCCCTGTAACTATGGTGTCACCTAACTATGCATAGAATTATAATGAAATTACACCACAGCGTACATCTGTATGAAACTCATTTGTATGCAGCAACATGCAGCACTTGCCTAAGAGCACGCCAATGTTACCCAAACTTAAGTGTTATCGATTCCTTTGTGTTTTAGCTATTCCTGTTGCATTATAAAAACAAAAAGCAGAGAGTCAGCCTGGTTGGTGTTTGCACGTTTGCATAAAACGCTACAAATTGAGCTGATTTTTATATAAGCATTGATTGTCTAAGCTATGGGCAATAATGGATAGGCTCTAATAGTACTGCCTTACAAAGATAAAAAGCCACACAGACAGTTAGGATAATTTACACGCCACTTACAGCACTAGTATACAAATAAATCTGAGGAAACTCCACCACTGTTGCTTTTGCGAAGATGACAAACACAAGCACAAATACCATTATCATTGATCTCCAGGCTTTTATTACAAACTTCCTGAAGGAAACTGTTTTTTTCTTCCTCTAAAGCAAAATAGAATAAATTAACATGCAAAATAGACAGGATTTGTTTTGCGCTGAAAGTCAATCTTGCAGCTTGGAGACAGGGCATTTTTCTCCCCAAACCACTCCACCGGGGTCTGCAGTGAACAATGATCCACAGGATGACTGAGTGGGTCTTAAAGCAGAGCTGGAGTCAAATAGAGGCCCTCTCAATGACACCCTCAAGGTTGGGAGCTCAATGCTCTTTTAATATGAAACCAGGTTCCCTTTTCCTCTTTATAATTATCTCTCTGCACCTATACCAGGTGGATGACAGGTAACCAGAGGAAGAGGTTTCATGAGCCTGCTGTGATAACCATGTGTGGACTCGTTAGACTCTCTGACCGTTACTGGTCAGTCATATTGTATTATCTGCTTTTACTGACACATTGTCTGTCTGCCATTATTTATCGCTCTCTTAAAGTCGCTCCCTCTTCCCCTCATTTTTGGCAGATGGCTGTTCACCACCAGATCTGCTTTTGGTTTCAGATTTCTGCCATTTAAAAAGAAGTTTTGGTAACACTTTATTTGACGCCTATCTCTATAAATATAAATATAAATATATGTATAATGTGTTATAACCATGTTATAGCACTGTATAACTATAGTTATAAACACTCATTAATGATCATAATGCTTTATAGCAATAATCATCATTTATCATGACTTACAAGATCAGGTATTATAATGTGTTATAACTATTAACAACTCACTTACAATGCTCACATAGATAATGCAATGCAATTGTTGTTAACAGTTATAACACATTTTATCATGACTTACAAGGTAAGGTATTATACCTGACCTTGTAAGTCATGATAAAATGCTTTATAATGTGTTATGATTATTGCTTTAAAGCATTATGATCATTTATGAGTGTTTAGAACTATAGTTATACAGTGCTATAATGTGATTATAACGCATTACAATTATTTTTTAATGCGTTATACAGAAAGGCATCAAATAAAGTGTTAATGAAGTTTTTATTTGCAACTGTGGACTAGTGGAATTTCCCCCCGTGGGACTAATAAAGGTATAGCTTATCTTATCTTAGTGTTTGCTCATTGTTGGGGTTCTCTTGAGTAAATAACAAGATGGTAGTCTAGACCCCCTTCATTTGTTAAGTGTCATTACATAACTGGTCGTGATGTAGTGATAAACTGGTTCATTAGAGTTGACTGTAATGTGGGTCAGTGAATCTCCAGTGGTAGTCCTCTAGTGGACAGTGACTCTTCATTAGACCCAGTGCTGTTTGTTAGATTATCTTGAGTCTGAAAGTTTAGGTCTTAAGTGCTAAATGATAGCAGAAATGCTTGTTCATAGTCATAAACCACACACAGTCTTGGACAGCAGTGAATGAGCTTGGGATATTACTGAGAAGTGTTTGAGCAGCAGAGGGATTTCTGCTTACTGTTGGGTTCCCAGTTGGCGGCTCCCACATGGTGTGTGTGTGTATGTGTGTGTGTGGGGGGTGCTGCAGCGTAAAGCAAAGACGGATAACGGGGTGGGGTGGGGTAGAGCATTGTGGAGGTAAAGGGCTGAATTAAAAGCTGGCCGAAGCAGCTACATGGTATTGCTTTTATATCTGAGAGACAAAAGTGGAGAGGTAAAAGAAGAAAGAGCAAGAGTGCAGAATTATGAGAGAGTGAAGTAAACAGAAAAGTGTTTAGAGGGCTCAACATGCATAACAAAGTCCTCAGTTTCTGATATCAGAGTTAACATGTTAATGATCAAAGATTTGACATTTCTGGATCATATTTTGGATCCACCGTTTGTATGAATCTGATGTTCCCTATGGCTCATTATTTGAACAGTACCCAGGTTTTTGGACTAGGACGATGTGACACCTTTGATTGATGCTCTTACTACTCAGAATAAATAACTGTTGTTAAGGGGTCTGACCAATCAGAATCAACTATTCAACACAGCAGGGTGATTGGCAAGGTACAGGTTTTGCAAATCTTCTATATTAATCCTTTCTTGCTCCTCTACATTGTTTATCTATTTAGCATTTTGGAACAATAATTAGCATTTGTGAGTCTTCCTTTTCTAAAGTTGCACGAAAGAAAGTGCTCAAGCCAAGAACTGGTAGCTCAAAACTGTGGGTAAGTTTACTTTTTGAGTGTATGTAGCTCAATACTTGCACCTCTGAAAAAAATGTTCAATATTCACAACAGCTGATCCATATTGTGAGTGTGTGTGAGTCTGCGGTTTGGAGAGGGAGCAAGCTGCAGTGTCAAAAGCGAAACGCTCAGAGGAAAATTGAAGCCCCATAATGGAAGCATAATGGGCTTAGTGTCAGAGTCTTGCAGACGATCTGGGGGGCGAAGCAGGCCCGCCGTCACCCTCTCTTACCTCAAGGCAGCATAACGGGGTTACAGAAGCAATGAGGAGACAACAGCAGGCCCCCAAACAGGCTTTAGAGATATACCAATGGCTTAATGGCTGCATGTGGATGGAATTCATAACAAAAGATGGTGGCTGCTCGTCCCTTTGTGAGATTGTACCAGGGCTGTGTCTCAGACTCAGGTTGAATACTCAAAAGGCTTCTTCTCAGCTTGAGTAGGGGTCCTCCTAAAAATTCATAAGGAGATGTGCAGACATGTAAGAAAGCTCAATGGCTGGAGTCTACTATAATACATGATGAAACTTTTGGGTCCCTATGTTTTGCATTTTTGAGGGAAGGACAGAAGGTAGATGCAGATACAAACATTATAAGGTCAGATTTGAATTCAGTTCATGTTTCCTGCTGCTCACTAGCATTTAAATTCACTCCAGGCACTGTAAACAGCTGTCAGGACAAAGATTGAATCTGAAGTGTTGTCTTTGGTGATGACTACCAATGCTGTGTAGACATCCGCCACCGTCATGGATCTGTGAGTGAGTGACAGACAGACATGTCGAGACGGTTATCTAACGCCTAGTGTCAGGGCAGATTTGAGTCAAACACTGGGGGGGATGAGGACAGGCGTGGAGCAAGGGAGCATGTTAGGGAGTAAAGGATTAAGCTTTGTTGTGTACAAAATGTGCATCTTCATGAAGCTGTAGTTAAGATCCAGGATCCAGATTTAGTGTTTTTTCATCTAATGGATTGTGTGTGTGTAAGCTGAGGCGGAGAGAATGTGCTGATCAGAGGGGCTTGAGGATGAGTAAAGCAGATTTGGACTTGGACCATGTGTTGGTTATTTTTGGAGAACATCCAGATCCTTTCTATATGACATAATACCTCACCGGTAGGTTGTAGAAAAGAGTGTCGAGCGTATTATGTGTGTGCGAGGAAGTTGAGTTTAGTGATAAACAGGTTAGTTTTTCTAATTTATAAAAAACAAATAATGCTATAGGGCTGGGCGATATGGCCTTAAATCAATATCACGACATATTGAGCAGTTCACCTCGATAATGATAAATGGATGATAACTACTTCACAAGTTGCTCACCCCCTCCCACATCAACTTCGTCTACTTCAGCCACCACTCCAGCCGCTCCAACTTTTAAACCGTCCTCCATCTCCTCACCTGTCTTTCCCTTTTTGTTACGGACTGGATGGGGTGGAGTCATGTCTCTGACATAGGACAGCTTCTTAAAGGGACATGAGACCATAGCCTACCAACACAAATCAAAACCCTAACTTTTATTTATTTTTTTGACAACAAATATACTGATATGGGCAAAATTACGTCAGTTATTGTCGTAAATTTTGGTATCAGTAAATTTTCAGTTTATCGCCCAGCCCTACGATGCTACTTGAAATAGTTGGCTTGTTTATGTCAAGTGATGCACACAAACTTTCATCACGCTGAACAAGTTTAACAAGTTAATGTTGACATTATTTGAAGTTGTCCTTAATATGTTCTTCTTTCAGCCAGTATGCTGTCTGCTTTGGGGTGGTGTGAGGATGCGGGCATGGGTTGGGGTAGATTCAGGTGTTCTTTGTTTCTTTTATTCCTTTGCAGTGTAAAGCACTTTGTGCTACATGGTTTTGTATGAAAAGTGCTATACAAATAAAGACTGATTGATTGATTGGTTGATATTTTGGGTTGACTGTGAGTTTAATAATTCACAGAGAAGAAGTCATTTTTTTTAACACTTTAATATGATAAAGAACAGATGATTAAAGCATTCCTTAAACATAACACAACTCGTTTATGAACAAACCGTCAGAGAGAGCTGACCCGGACTAAAAGACCTGGCTGGTTGTCAGACCTGGGCAGTAGGAGCGGGTGATATGTATACCTACTTCGGTAGCAGTAAGTCATTTCATATTGCAGTGACAGCACACAGAATAAGTGATATGAGTATTTAGGTTTTGCTTTTGAATGTTTATAAAGAAAATATGCAAATGGTAATGGTTGTTTTTGGTTCCTCTGTTGACACATTCTGGTAATTCATCACATCTGTACAGAAATCCCGTCATTCCAATATTGCCAATAAACAGTCCTGCTGATTGATTTGCAACATTTCCAGCAAATAACCTAAAACAAACTAGAGGTATTTAAGGTCCAGCTACCTCAGGAAAATCTCAACCAGTTAACAGATCTCTCTTGTTTTCATATCACCCAACCCTACTGGGGCAAATAAAGTCAATATACAGTATTTAGATGAGTAAAAATTCAGGTGGTGTGCTTCATTTCATGTAGTCTATCAAATGGAAGGGCTACCGTTTACACCCTGTGCTCCCAAAGAGCCAAGCCAAACAAAATCAAACTCACCTCAAGTATTTGGAAATAAAGTTGAATAAAATCTTTGAAATCCTGGTTTACTAACTGCAGGGGATGAACTGAGGGAGACAGGGATGGGGTCTGGAACCGGAGTGGTGGTGGGTGGATGGCCTAGCCTTTTGGAGAGGTGTACTGGCGGAGGAGAGAAGAGATGGCACTGGATTCAGTGACCTCCTCTGGAAGAGAGCCCTCCATGTCTTTGATGGACGGGTCAGCTCCAGCATTCAGTAGGAGCTCAACGATGTCGGCAAACTCGCATGCCGATGCTAAAAAAAGAAGAGAAAAAAGATTACAGGGAAGAATAGAGATACAAGAAGTTGAGGAAGGAACACAAAAATGTAGAAAACTCTTTTTAAGGGTGTGAACAGCACAGCCATGCTGGGAGAGCTGAACTTTGTGCAGATATCAATGGTTTCAAGGCTGAACTTGGTGATCTCTGACTTTTTTTGGAAACTAAATTGATCATCCTGAAGATGTTTTACTGGAATGGGTTTCCCTCATTCAGTTAAGAAGTCCATTGGGTGGTTTATCCTCAAAAATAATCCAGATTCATGGTTCTCCAATGGCGTTTGGATACAACTTTGGTATTACCCTGACTTTTCCCCCTGCATCGTCATCAGGCTCAAATCCTGGGGTTTTGTCTAAACAATCATTGGATGTAGTGCCTCAACAGTAATATTCCCCTGAAAAAATTATAATGATTAATGCCCTCCCCTGACATCTTATTAAGGACAATAAAAAAAGTTTAAATTTGAAAGTGAAAGACAGCCATGTATGAACTGACATGTTACCATGCCTAAAAAATAAGACTCAAATGCAGGAGATGTTAAACTTACACCAACTCAACACCAACATGCGTTCATTAGCTGTGTCTTTACTCAGGCTCTGCACATCCTTCAAATATTAGCTTCAAGGCTAACGGCGTTACAGCCGCGTGACAAGGCTGTCTCATTTCTGCGATACCTTTAAATCTAGCTGACTAATGTATACTTCTTTACTGAGTCGTTCCTTTGTACCTTATAGATTTTAATACAGTTTGTGGAGTGCTGCGGTTAATGAAAAGCTCATCTTCAGGTCCAGCACTGACACTGGGTTGGACCTGTGCTTATCTCAAACACTTCATTTCTGCCCCATTGGCAATTTGTGCCCCACTTAAAGGGTCCTCCCTCTCTCTCTTGTTCTAAGGGTGGAGGGAGGAGTGAGGGGGGCTTGCACTCTGCTAACCCGGTTAGTGGGTTCCCTGTTAGTCTGATGTACCTCTCAGCCCCTCTCTGGCACCTCACCCTCGTTCTCCCTCTCTCCTCCTCTCTCGCTCTGAGTGCTCTTCTCTGTCAGTGTCAATCCCGTGCTCCTCTTAAAGAGCGGACTCTGTGCTGCGGCCATGATTGCTGATGTCAGCAGCTGCGGTGATTGACAGCCAGGCCTTTTAACCTCCAGCTCATAGGTGGCTGGCGGGCAGGCTGGCAGGAGTGCGTGTGCATGAGATATGATGATACATTGGAATGCATCTAAGCGTGTGTGAAAGTGTGGGTGCGCGCTGAAGTTGTGTCCATGTGTGGTAACTAAGAGGTGTGTACATTTCACTACACAACAAAACACACTTATCTTTCAGCCAAATCAGACTAACAAAGCTTGTTTTTTTTTTCTAGCCACGCTTGCAGTCTTCCTCTTGTTCCTCTAAACTGTATTTTATTTAGCCAGCCGTGCGTTTGTGTGAGTGTGTGCGTGCGTGTGGCGGGTGTCTCGCCTGGGCCTTGAGCTGTAAAAAGTGGCTGGCCCTCTGGGGAGCCGTAGAGGGGGAGAACAATTTATGGTGAGCAGTAAACCCTCAATTAATCACTTGCCAGCCGCTGTGGCCCTGTGCAAAGAGAGGTGGGAATGAATTTTCATTCTCTGCTATTTGTCTCCAGGAGTTCATCGCTTATGTTTATTAGTCATCTTTTTATGCCCCATCCTCGGGGCTTCCTCCACTCACTGTGTTTGTGTGTGTGTGTGTGGATTGGCTGTGGGTGATGCAACATGCCCACCACAACGCCACCAAGCTAGAGGACAGATGGTGCAGCAACACACGCAGACACACACACGTAGAGGACAGGGGAACCGCCCCTCAGGGACATGTGTGTTGGGGCATGAGAGGGTCAGGGGAGTCTGAGGACCAGTGCTGATTTCCTCTGGGAGGGCCGGTGATTATTACACACACACACACACACACACACACACGCATGCATGCACACACATACACACACAATATCACATAGAAGAATGAAACAAAATGGGTGAAAAAGAGTCAGGGAAATAAGAAAACAAAAAATAGAGGAGAGCAGGAAAGAGGGAAGACAAATCCCACAAAAATGTTGGGCAGCTGTGGTTATGTGTGTGTATGAAACAAGAAACAGTACAAAGATCCCACTCGAGATATTAAAGAAAACTAACTTGCCAAAAGTTTTCTGGCAAAATAAAATCCAAAATCTAACTGTGCTATATTTCAGTTTTTGTTGAAAGTTTTGGACTGTTTGAAACACAATACAATACAATAAGAGAGACCTTCTTACCATAATGTAGTGCTGTCTGTCCTTCATTATCCTGCAAGACAAAAACAAGTCTTCAGTGGAGTAAAGTGCACCCTTAAGCGTGCAGATTCAAAGAACAATCTCAGGACAAAACAAAACATAAATCACTCGCTGCTGTAGAAACAAAAATTGCACATTATCTGGATCAACAAAGAAGAATCAACAGTTAAACTTTCTAATAATGACCTTCATCTTATTGGCTGCGAGGAAAAGGCAACAAGCTGTGATGAGGTATTGATTTCAGAAACACAAAACTGGCGAATGTTTGAAAAGTTTAGTTTGTTTTTTGTGGGTTCAAGAAGTTTTACTAACTTTAACTCCATTTACTGCTTCATGCAAGTGTTGACATTTTTTCTAACTTTTGAAACATAATTCTCAGCAATTTGGGGTGTTAAGGGGAAAGTCATTGCAATTTATTAAGGTTCTGTTGTTCTGTGAGCTAAGTGAAAGGTTTTAAAGTTGTCTAATATATTGTTTCTGGATAAAATTTCATGGCTGAAGTGAGAAGATTGTGCAACTTGGCAGATTGTTTTGTTAACCAGCACATGGAGCTTTCAATCGTAATTTTTGGCTTCTTGATTCTGAAACACTCAGTCCAAATGTTCCCACTGAATTAGTACATGTTTAAAATGTCTCACAGATTTTTTTAATGTTGATTGGTATTTTAAAACGTCTTCTGGACAACATCAGAGGTCAGTGACACATCTTTTAACTTTGCCTCTAAACTGGCCAATGTTTCACACAGTACAGTGTAGCCAACAGGGCCATGCGTGACCTCCTGCTTACATTTCCTAAAAAATCTGAGATAAATGTTACATTGTGGAGGAGAAAACGTCACTTGTTATTGGAGCAACTCATTGTTGGTTTAGTTAAAAGAAATACACTAAATTTACAGCTTCGTCCTTTAAATAAACTAACCATGAAAACGGTTGACCCTGGCACACAACAAGCTCAGGGACAATGAAGAGAGCAGAGGAAACGAGGGTCAGGGGGTGACCAGGAAATCAGTGGTGGTCTCTTGCATGTGTGTGAGTGTGCAAGTATAAGTGTGTATGTGTGTGTGTGTGTATGTATTTGTGTGGGTGGGTGTTTTTTTGAACAGTAAAAATGATACTTGAGGTCAAGCGGTCAGTGCTGGAGATATCACTCATGTAGGAAGTGTGGTGGGAGGTGTGTGTGTGTGCGTGTGTGTGCAGGTATAACAGAGACGATATATGACAGGCCTCATCAACAGCAGATTTAGTTCGTAATCACTGGTCCACGCAGCCTTTGCGGCTCATAATGATGATAAATGCTCAAACTGTTGTCTCCGGTCTCAGAACAAGAGCCAAGTAGGAAAGTATCAAACACTCAGAAAGAGATTAAAAGCTGCGGACACACTGACATTTCCTGCTGTGCTGGAAAATGTCACTTCAAGGGACAAATTACTCAAACTGTTCTGTTCAAATTATTCATTAGTATCTCCACCTCTGTCCACCTCTCATGCACCCTCCAGTTTGGTAACTTCCACATCCTTTTTCCTCTCTCTTTTAATCCTTTCTCCTCTTCTTCTTCTGACCTCTCTTCTTCCAAAACACACCTCCCTCATCACTTTTCTTTTATTTCAATCCCTCCTCTTTGTCCTTTTCTCTCTCCTTTCATTACCTCCACCACCTTTCTCCCTCGTTTTCGTTCCGTCTCCTCCTCAATCTTAATCCTGTTCAATCCCTCCTTTCCATTCCTTCGCCTGTGTTTTTTTTGTCTCTTTCCTGTCCTCTCTCTCTAGCTACGCTCAGTGCAGAGTGATCCTATTGATGTGTCACTCTCTCTCTCTCCCTCTCTCTCTCTTTCTGTCTGTCTCAGGGGCAGCACTTCAGGGACCTGCTGATTGGATTAGAGCTTTCTATTCCCTGTGGGTGGATCACAGAGTACAGATGCAAATCACCACCAGCGTAGTAAGCGTGCCGTAGTTAACCCGGGACAACAATGCTGTCTGTCTGTGGGTTAAATCACAGCCTGTGATGTGTTACGGACATTGTGTCTGACTCTCACACTGACACTTATTCTCCAGGGGAGGTGGCAAGAACAGCAGGATCCAGTATAATTCTACTGTCCAGGTATTTTTGGAGAAATAAAAAGGGATTTGGCCGCCCAGTTTCTACAAAAGCAGAAGAGAAACCCTACTCAACTGATTTTGTCTTTGTTTCACTGTATGGTGCGAACATAGAAGCACACAAACCCAGACCCCCACGGCACAATGAGACAGTGACAGATGTTTACAGTGGGGGCAAAGTGAAAGACCTTGGTGCACATAAATACATACAGTCATAATTAAAGTGTAAGGGGTTTAAGCTGTAATCTGCAGTGAGCGCTAATCTGCCGTTCGTTGTTCAAAAGCTACACACACGCACACAGTAGAAAGCAAGACTGAATGGCCCATCGTTCATAAACAAAAAATAAAAGGGAGGAAAGAGTGGAGCTGAAGCTAAAGTGACTTAATCTGCTCTTTATCGTGACATCAGTAAATTTATCAGATTAAGAATTCTCTGGATAAAGATAGATGAAAAGGCAGAATAAGAGCCTGTAGATCTGTATCTTTACTCTGCTAAAAGATGTGCTGCTGGTGGAAGGAGTCCAATGATCTTTGAGTGAAAACACAAATACGACTCAGGGAGGATTCATGATGGGGTAAGTCAAAGAAACGCAGGTAACACTTAATAATAACTATCTGTTATAACTAGTTAATAGATCATTAGTAAACTGTTAATTATTGAGTATTAATGGCCTATTACGTGTTTGTTAACAGTTTGTTAAGGATTTACAATGATGCGTTATAGATAGTTAATATACTATTTATTAACTGTTAGTTGATGAGTTTTAAATGACTTGTTAACTGTATGTTGATGATATATAACTATACCTTATAAATTAGTAATAGATCATGAACAAACTATTAGTAAATTACTTACTAATGACTTATTAGAAATCAGTTAATAGTATAAATATGTTATTGGGATATGTTATTAACTGTTAATAACTGAGGGATAGTTGCAACTTTAGAATAAGGTCCCAATGACATATATAAACTATCAACTGATACTTAACCAGTCATTAGTAAGTAATTTACTAATAGTTTGTTCATAATCTATTACTAATTTATAAGGTACAGATATAAAGCATTAACATACAGTTAACAACTCATTTATAACTCATTAAGTAACAGTTTATTAATAATATATATAAACTATCCATAAGGCATAATTAAAATCCTAATTTATAATATTAATGTTTAATATTTTGTTCTGGGAACAATGGCTGATAATTAAGGACTTATTTCTCTGTGAGGTGTATCAACTCTTCAATAAATAATTTTTAAGAGGATGGTGTGTTCTAATCAAAACTGAAGCAGAATCAGCCTGTCTGCAACACAAACAACATACTTTCTGAGATTATTTGATCCCACCCAGAAGACCCCCCATCATCTTTGTCTGGTGAGTCTCAGTTTCACTGTGAGTAGGCAGGTTCACAATGGCTTCACTGTGAAACAGATTTTCTTGAGATCTACCAGCATTTAGGAGGTCTTATGTTATGAAAATCACATCTTTCTTCAGATTTGTAAATAGTTTTAAAAGGTTCTCTGTAATGTCTGGATAGATTTTTCTCATGTGTTGCAGGAATTCAGGGAATCTTTTACATCATCTCATCTTGCAGATTTGTTACTCAAGTTAATAATTTGAACTAGGATGGGTTCTTAGCTGCACTTGCATGTAAAAGTTGCAGTCATAGCTGTATACATTGTGAACGTGCTTCCTTCATGTTCATGTAAGGGGTCAGCGGCCTGTCCTCTCAGCCTTCCCTAATGCCCCTGTATCCAGGAGCAGGCTTGATGGAATCACAGGAAATTGGATTGTCTTCCATTTGCTTTTGAAGCAGCCTGGGAGAGACACCCCCTCCCTCCCCCCTCTCAATCCCACCACTCCCTCACATATACCTGCAGCTAGCCTACCATAGCCCCCCCTCCCCAACCTCTCTGGTGCACCCCTCTTCCCATCCCATTACGGAGGCATGTCACACTGAACCCCCAGCTTTTACATGTCATCCAAAGTTTTGCCTTGCTGTGCAGAAATGCCAGGCTGGATGTCAGCAGAGTGCTCAATAAAAGCAGCTGCTTGCACAATACCAGATCCAGCACTGTGGAGTGTATCACTCTAATGGGGTGCAGCAATATGCTTAGGAGCAGCATGGATAGAGATTGATCTATTAGTACAACTGCAGGTTTTTGCTGAATTTAAGCTACAACAATCTATCATTTCTACCACATGAACGACGTGTAACAGGATGGATGAAGAAGAGGAACGCCATATCAAAAAAGAGCAAAGATATAAGTGGTCTGACTTGTATTTTTTATTTTTGCTTTACAGAAAAATATAGGCTGCCAGAAGTAGGTCAAATTTTTTTAATCACGTAAAAAACAGATTTAAAGTATTTAAAGTGAGAGGGACCTCACTTGCAGCCTATCAACTAGAACAGAGCTCAACTGAAACATCCAGCAAGTGTGGTCACTTTTGTTTCCAAAAACCCCCAAAATCAAGGGAAAAAAAAAAGCTCAATTTGTTGTTCCAAAAAAGACCTTTCATTTTTTCTTTGCATACCATAAGTTTCTGTAAAAAAATGTTTACTTTGACAATGAGGACCTTTCACATTTATTTGAAAAGGACAAATATGTATTTCTTTTTAATCATCACTCCTACTCCAACTCTCACTCTCTCTTTTTCCCATCTCATCTCTCTGTGTCTTAGTAAACTTTCCCTGGGCTTTTCTTCCACTCTCCCTTTCCCCGCCTCCTCCTTTTTTCCTCCCTCTTACTGTCCTTGACAGCAACATTAAACAAGTGGGGAAAAATGGACAAGCAATTATGATTTATGATCAATGTATGCAGCAGTTGCTGACTTTTATAATGACAGTGGTCAGGAGTGGGGTGGGGGTGTGTGTATGTGTGTATATATATATGTGTGTGTGTGTGTGAAAGAAGAGGGTGAATCAATAGGTGAGTGGGATGGTTGGTATGCAGATTCAGGCAGATAGCATTATGATGAGCAGGTGCCATTAATCAGAGCAGAACACAGATCCGGAGGAGATAGAGGAAGATGAAGAAAGACCTCCATCACTGGGTCCATCTGGCGCCATCAGCATGGACCAAACCCAACCATCTCAGTCTGATTTATTTTTCAACACTGTGTTTTATGCACTCGTTTTCTATAAAATAAGAAATTCCACTAAAAGCAACTTGAAACCTTTTTGGACTAGGATGTAAAAGAGGACATGTAGTCTTCTTCATTTCAGTGTGACAGATACCATCTCGGCAAATCACTGTAGTTTTAAAGGTAAAATTTGTAAGTTTGCCCTCTTCCTGCTTTTTGTATTTGGGTGTGTGTGTTTACCATCAGATGTGTGTGTGTGTGTGTGTGTGCATCAGGAAGGCCCCCTGTTTTAAATGGATCTGCAGACCGAGGGCAGCCCTAATTGAATCTGGGTCTCTTCTCTGAGCAGGGAGAGGTAACCTTGCCACTCAGCGTGTGAGCACTGCCACCCATGGTCAAATTAGACAGACTCCCAACTCACTGCCCTTCACACCCCCCTGCAAGTGTCCTTCAGGTGCTCCTCTGATCCCCCTTCCCCCTCACACCCAAAGCTGCCATCAGTCACAATACAGTTTGGTGAAAACCTGAGTGACTTGCAGGACCAGAGCTGGGAGGGTTTCTGGAGGATACCGGGGATTATGGGTATTAATTGTGAAAGAGTTGACTAGAAACAAGAAAGGATGGCACGCCTTTCAAGGACACAGGAAACAATGTTCAAACACCTTTATTGCTATCCTCTATTTTGTTTCTGATACCTGCATTAGTCAATAACAAGTACCAGTCTTGTGACAAAGTGATTTTAAAAACAACACAACTTCAACTACCTGCCTCAGGTGGGATGTTCAAACACTAAGCTCACGTCTTTTTTTGGAAAATCCAGACTTCCTGCTGGTAAGTATGGCTTAGTTAGGAAAAAACTAAACTGGGGGGCTTATCTACTAGGGGTCGAAATCACCAGTGGCCCCACAATATGATATTATCACAATACTTGGACCATGGTACAATAATATTGCGATTTTTAACATTTTGCAATACAGTGAGTATTGTGATACAATATATTGGAATTTATACAATTTTTCCAACTGTTTAGCTAATTTAGCATTTGTCTTTCCTTTGTTTGTCTTATTTACGTTGCATTTTATTTTCATGTAGCACATCCTTCAAATCTTATATTTGTTGTACTAACTTTCACCTGCTCTATGATGTCACCTCTGCCAAACTCACTGGACAAACAGTTGATTTTATTTTTCCATCATCATAGATTTGAATTCATATTAGCACTTAATTTGAAAAATCGATACCTGGTAAATGTGATAATATGATATATCACCAGACAAAATATCACGATAATATGTTGTTACAATTAGACAAACAATTAAGCCTACAGAAAGGGTAATTCTTTGAATATTTGCACACTACTTATTTTATTACCAAATTTCCATATTTTATGAAGAAAGGATTCTTTCTCCTCAGATGGGAGAAAGATTTGAGCGTTTCTAGTACTGATGATGCAGTAAAGGCAGGATGGATGCATTAAAGCCACAGAGATTTCAGTTTACAATCAAACCAGATCTCCATTATGTTACCCTTTTATTGTGTTATATAATTATCATTAATGAGCTTGGCTTAATATTACTGGTAGCTCAGCTTGTAGCCTCTTTCAAAATGCTGTGTTGCTAAAGCATAAGTGAAACTTCAATAAAATGTGAAACTGCTTCACTGAAACAAACTTGGACAAATAAATGACTGATCTCTGTGCCACCAACAAAGATGGTTTCACAGCACTGCTCGCTGTTAGTTTTGGAGCAGTACAAAAAAAAAAAAAAAAAAAAAAGAGGCAAAAGGTGATTTTTTGGTTTAACTAAACAATATCATCTAAAGTAAATAAATTAAGGTATAGAGTTGATTCATGACTGCTGGCCAATACCCGCCACTGTATGTGGTTTTGGAGGCTTTTTCTCCTGGAAAAGGCAAATTGGAAAGTCTTAAGCTATACCTAAATGTGTAAAAGCTCATTCAAAAGGCTGAATATAGTCTGATTTAAAAATTTACCTTCTTTCATATTTCAATCACACCATCACGTAAAGAAACCTCTTCTTTACTCTAAGTCTCCTTCCTCTTAAACCCCGCTTTCTTCATGCACATCTTCCTTCCCCCTCCCTACATTGCCTTGCTTGCTTGTTCCCTTGAGACACCTTAGCGTCCATTAAAGCCATCAGAGAGGAGGATAAGGTTAAAACTGAGACTCCGCGTCACTAGAGGCCCCCCTGTCTGTCCCCTTGCGGCTCATCGATGATGTTTAAAAAGAAATATATGAAATAAATAAATACATAAAAGAGTGTAATATGAAAATCAATGGGCAGGCAGCTGAGGGGCTGGGGCTGAGGCATTTGGAGTGAGGGACTCATAAAGCTGAGTACTGCAGGGGGAGACTGATGGAAAGCAAAACACTTACTTTGTTTATTCTCTCTCCTCACCCCCTCCCCGTCTCCTCCCCCTCCCGTCGCTGTCTGTATCCAGCTCTCACTCTCTCACCCCCTCGCTCTCTGTCTGAAACGGTCGAGGACAGCTTTAATGCTCCTGACAATTTATGTGGATGGTTAAGAACGATGGAAATCAAATAGTTGAGTGTAGGCAAGGTCCAGAGAGTGGCCAATAAGAAAGAAACAACAGCTGATGATGGCAAAGAGGACTGTTACCTGCTGGAATGGCTCTTTAGGCCGCACTATCACTGTCAAGTGGCTGGCTCTTTTCTGAGTGCTCGTATTATAGCTTCATAACTGTATCTGCGTGCGATAGGCCCTTTTAACACAGCGCCGCAACGGCTTTCATTTCATCGAGTCAAGCTAATGTGCAGCAAGTACTAAATATGAATCCTATAAGAGCTCCTTAAAGTGGGGCTTGTAAAACCTCAAGGTGTGTGTACGGTGGATGTGTTCGGGGGCTTTCATGAGAGTTCTGAATCCTCTTTGCTTTGGGAACTGTAAACTTTTAAAAGACCTTTCAGATGGATTCTCTTTTATCGTTTTAACCTGTGTTAATCCTCAGAAAAGAACATCCAGAAGAAAAAAAAGAAACATTGCCCCTCTCTATTTAGACGGCTAAATGGGAAACTGCTTTCATCCTGCATGCTGGAGACACGTGTATGTGCGCAACACTGACCGTATGACACATCCTCACTTCCTCTCCTTGTGAAGAATGAAGCCAAATTATTCTAGGTGATGTTGTTGAAGCCAGAATTTGGGATATTGATGCACACACTTTTGACTCAGATACAACAGCAAAGATCCCTCATGCACCTGCATCTGTATTAATTTAACTGGTGATTTTGAAGCACAAAAAGATAAATGTTTTGGTATTCATGTAAATTAATTTAAATTAAAGACTGAGATTTTGGATGCTTGTAGAAAATGTAACAAAAAAAGGGTTTTTTTTTTGTCATTAGTTTAAAGCTGCTTAATGCCTCCACTGTGGCAGTGTTAGACTGTAACTAAGCCCTGACTGAGAGACAGGAGAGTCTATGATTTATTTTTAAGTGGTGTAGTCTATGAGCAGAGCGTCATCAAGGCTGCTCCCAACCTTTTTCATTTTGTGATCGCATTTCCTTCTCTTTTCAAAACAAGCCTGCGGTACGATAATCAGCTCATGTCAGTCGCTGACAGTAGACGGATCTGTTTCAATAGTCTCCGTGAGTCCAGCTCTCTGTAAACTGTCTGATATGAAGTTTAGTTTCTCTGCTGGATCCCACTTGGATATATTCAGCTGGGATGTCTAATCAGACATTGCATTTCTAACAAACCTAAGTAAGCGATGATAGCAACAATATTTACAGTTGCTCTCATAACCACTAGTTACAGCCACAGTGTATTTTTCTACTCACCTTTGGTTTGGGACATGCAAGACTTTAGTACAACACACATTCAGGTAGGTAGAACTGTTATAATGGAGATTAGTCCCTGCTGTGCCTTTCGATCTATACTATCACTGCAAAGAGTCAGGCATAAATCACAGCAACCAACAGGTAAACCAAACATGGTAAAATAGCTAGTAAGAGTCTCTCTGAATATGCGGGGTTCCTAAAATAACTTAAAACAGATGAACGCGATTAGTCTAGCCGACCTGTACACACTCACTCACTGGATAGATGATTGACAAGACAACCAAAGATGAGAAAAACCAGGTGTGTACAGTGAAGAATTATTTTAAGCTAAGTGTGGGAATCATGCAAAGGAAGTCAACAAATAAAACAGTTTCCCTGAATTCATATCGCGAACAAAGCTAACGTTGGCCTGTGTGCTTCTGCCCTGTGGTGCCTCCAGTTTTACCTCCTTTTGCTTTCACTTACTACAACATCAGTACGACGTCAGTCCAGAAAAAATCATTTGATGATCATTTTGATATTTTAGTTTGACCCATGTTCCATCTGTTTACATGGAGGAGGCAGGCTTTATGACCTCTACAGCAGTCACTCAGCAGGTAAAGCTCCAAATCTTTTGGCTTTACTGCTGGGGGACAGCCAAGTAATCACACTTTTTACACTCTATAGAGCAACAACGTCATACCTTCTCTTAGGCTGCATGAAAGTGTGTCATAGATGTATAACATCATAAAAATACAGTCAAAAACGCCTGATTACAGCTAGAGAGGTGAAAAGCACCCCAGCTAAGCTATAAGGAGTGTTGGATCATCTCAAAGAAACTAATATTGTATCTTTGTTTGCTCCATTTTTCTGTTCTCCATTTTCACTCTTTCCTTTCATACGATTCACCCTCTATCTTTTCCCACCTTGCTGCCCTCTCTTTCTTAAAGAGCCTTTATAATCTTGAGGAAAGAATGCACAATTACAAACACACACACACAGGCACACACACACACACGCACGCATACACAATTATGACAAATCTCGCTGGATATTTGTTATGACTGGCCTGACTACGCCATTAGTTATAGGAGGCTGTGCTGGGAAAGGGGAGGGATACAAACGTGTAATAATGCCTCCACCAGAGGAATTTCAATCAAGCACCATATTCTGTGTGTGTGTGTGTGTGTGTGTGTGCTGTTTACCACTATTGTCACACCACAGGTTGACACCACAGTGGAGGACGTCGATGAGGGTTCAGTGCTCTTTTTTTACCACAACAGCAGACCACGCTGAGATTTACAAAGCTAGCATAAAACAGCGAAACAACCAGAATAAAAGTTGCAATATTTAATTTTTGCTGAATATCGCAGTGTCAGTTTGAAAGGTTATAAATTTCCAAACAGGTTTACTATATTTTTGATGAAAATGTGCGTAGACAGATGCTAACGTTCACGATTTGGTTCAGTTTGATGAAAATGAATTATCTGCTCTGTAATACTTCTTGATTTGTGAGTCAGGGATTTGGCACAAGTCCAGGTGGCTTTATTTAGGAAGCTGTCCTGAACATGTTTTACTCTGGGAAAAAAAAGGGCCAGCCTCATGCTATTTGGTAATTAAAGCAGTCCATATTTATACTGAGCCCTTTTTACATTTTTCCATCCAATTTCCTTTGCAGTACATCTGCAAGGTGTCAGGGCGCTGGATAATTAAGCTAATCAATATGAAACAACCGCTTTCTTTAAGAGAGGGACTAACTGGTGTTTATCTGACCACAGTCAGAGCTGAGTTTGTCTCATCACACAAAAATAAGTCTAAAAACGGTCGGCTGAGTCAATGTTTGCAGACGCAGAAAAGTAAAACGCTCAAATGTAGACAAAACCACTGACAAAAAATGCTCAGAAATTGCTCTATCCATTCTGATGTAACTTTAGATTTTAACACCAGGTAATAAAATTAGAACACAGCCCTCTTTTCTCCTCTGTGCTTTGAGGTAAGAAAAAGCTGATTAAAATGCTTTTTTTGAGGCTATTTTGAGGCCTTGGTTGTGTATGTAACCTCTGCTAATTTCTGTTTTTATAATTTTGTGGGTCTGTCAGTATTTTTCATATTCAATGTGTAAGAGGCATCAACTTTAGTCCGACATCAGTTAACTTTCTCGTCATCAGTGTCACCAATTTTCCCTTCTTGAAGACAACTGTTTCTACCGATGAGCCACAGCTGCCCTGCAGTGTGTTTTTATAATTGTCTTTTCTGGCTGTCACATCGCTCCTCAGACATTATACATTATATAGACATTGTCAGACTTGTTCTTCATCATCATCATATTGAGGAATCACTAGACAAAAATGAGTTTAATCCGGTTTATATTAGACACATGTTCTTCAGGGATCTCTGTCGGCATCTGTTAATAAAGTTGAGATCTGCCACACAGTCACGGCTGAGAAAGTGGTCTTTCCCCAGTAAATAATCATACCATATAATGACACAACTGTGTCTTTATAAAACGCAAAAACATGCTCACTTAATTTCACATGCACGCCTGACGCCCTTCAAAGCCAACTCCTCACACACGACCAAGCTAAAAATCACTCCCACACTGCACCGAGGTCCCTGCAGGTTCCACACTCACACAGAGTGTACCAGACTTGTTGTGTGCTCTCTGGCCACCAATTGTGGGCCGCCCAGTCAGATATTTATTACTATTGATCTAGCTGGTCCTGGCTGGAGACTTTTGTTCTGCCGGCTCGAGGCTCTGACCTCAATTAAGTTATGAATTTCTATCTGATAGACTGGGAGCGCTTTGGGGCCTGCCGTGGCCGTGCTACCACGCTGGATTAATTAGAATTACTGGTGCTGCGAGTCGCCCTCTCCGACTCATGGATCATGTTGTTTTAATACAAAGTAGAGGCGGAGGAGAGGGAGGGATGGAGTGGAAGGGGACGAGGGCTGGAGGGGGGGAGGGTAGAGTGATGAGGAGAGGGGAAAAATTGGGAGCCAAATGAAAAAAAAGGCTAAAAATGGGCGGCTTGAGTTGACTAAAAGAACATGAGAAACAGGCATGTGTTTAAGACCCGCTCTGCCTTTTCTCTAAACTACTTAACTTAAACAATGTTTCCTTCCTTTCATTGTGTTTGTGTTGTTGTAACCTGTGTCTCACCTGTCCCCCCTCTTTGTCAGCCTAATCCCACCTCAGTCTCTCAGCCACTCAGCAATCACTCCGAGTCAGACATCATTCTCAGGGCCATTCCTGACCTTTGTTGGCGTCTGCTGCACCTCTGAACCAAAGCCCTTCCTCTTTGACTCCAATTTCTCCTGAACGGGGTGTAACCTCTCTATAAATGTTTATCTCCATGGTAACACTACAGCTCGTTAGAGGGAAGGTTTGGGATTTCCTTCCGAAAACTAAAAGTTGTGTGTTTGTGGGATAAGGATTAGCTGTGGGTGTGGGATTACACTGTCTGGACAGAGAAGGGACCACAGGGAGAGCAGACACACAAAGACACGTCCAACACACATTACAGACCACTTACCTGAGAATTCAGATTGTTTTATAAGTTATCTTTTTTTTTTTCTGCTAATTAAACTTTCTCAAAGGAACAATTACCAATACAACTTGGTCAATATTGTTAAACACTCTTTTAAATTAAATTACTGTACACCAGGAAAACAGTCATATAAGTATGTCTGTAAATGAAATATAAAGCTGTGGCAATTATTAGTGAAATAATTGGAACATGATCCTTGGAAGTAGTAAAAAACATTTTAAAAAGTACAGAAAAGAGTAATCTCTCTGTGCTCGAAACATATTCTGATTATGGGTATTACAAAGTGATCAGGCAAGAAAACATCCAAATCAAAACTGAGCGCAATTTTTTTGGCACAATTCAACATCAGATCACAGAGTCTGCATGTAAAAAATGTCAAACTGTTTGGCCCAGTTTCGCCAGCTAGCACCTCTAGCCTTAGTAACCACATGTCTGTGCTGGTTACACATTGCACTTGTTTAATGAGACACAGAGTAAATACAACTTCATTGTCATGATCTGTTATCTGTGCTTGTTTATATCTGAGTATTTGACTATCATAGCTGAAGCCATTAGCTTGTGCCACTGAACCCCCATGTCATGAGTGGCTGTGCTGGAGCCAAGACAACAATGCATATAACCTGCCAACAATGATAAAACTGTGACTTATTTGTTAAATCAAATCATCATTCTGGTGCCAACTAGTGAGGGGGATTACGTTCAATGATGTAGTTTATTTTCACAGATCTATTTCTAAAGAAGTCTTCATAGTGTCATCATCCACAGAATTTCTAACTTATGGTAAATAACTCTGAACATAAGAAAGGACGTTTTAGAAGACACATGCAACATTTTACATTGCATTTTATTTATTTTTTGGGGATTTAATAGTTATACTTCTTCCTACTTCTATTCTGATATGTAAACAGAGTTTACACAGGTTTGAAATGGTTTGTGTATTTCATTTTTTACATTTTCTTTTTATATCTGCCTGTGTGTAAGTTTGTAGTTGTTTTTATGTATGAGTGTATATGTATATGTACTTATGGATTTATATACTGTATATTTTTTTCTTCACTTTTCTCTTAACATGTTCAAAATAAACAATTACAATTCAATACATTGCTGGTCTCTTGGCCATTAAACTACATGCCCTGACTCTCTGAATCTGTCCTATTTAGCAACAACAACAAAAAAAGCCTAAATGTTTAAAATGTTTGTCACCAAACATTATCAAACTCTTTACTAGATTTACTAGATTGTTTCAATTTCCTTCATCCACATCTCAATGGTTTATGTTGTTTTGTAATCTTGTCACGTTCAATCCTTACGACATAATTTCTACTAAAGACAGAATCTTTTAACTGAGTTTTAATTCTATTACGTTTATCAAGTTCTGTTATGTTAATTCTTATTATCTTTTCTTTTGATTTGTCACTTTTATTAATAAAGAACTTTTCTTTGAATCCTTACCATCTGTTTTACAAACTTCTGTTTGAACAAGGATGTGAGGCTACTCTCAGAAACTGATATTTGATATTACCTGTATACACCTGTATAAAAATCAAATTTCTCCTCCAAGTTGAAGCAGTTTTTATTTATTTATCTGCGTTTATATGATGGAATGTGCTAAACTTGAGCTAATGCTGCATTAATGCTCTTAAACACATTCTCACACACAGACTGTAAGTCCAGAGTTTAAGCCTTAATTTCCATTATTATATTAAGAGAGGTTTAACTGTCATCTTTCCCACAGTTTGTGATCTGTGCTCCACTTTCTCTGTGAGTATTAGCTGAGGGGGCAACGATACAGAGAGGAGGAGGGGGAGGTTCACGTCCTGCACCAACAACAAGGCCTGAGCTACAGTTGGCAGGTGGTACAGCTGTGATCTGCATATTCACACACACACAGACACACACACACACACACACAAACACACACACACACACACACACACACACACACACACACACACACACACACACACACACACACAAACAGCTACCTATTGTAGTCCGTCCCCGCCTTGATCCAGGATTAACTATCAAACAAGCCCTTAATGCAGGTTATCAGGGTTTGGGGACAATTTACTAAAACAATCAGTTGATTAATTTCAAACAATTTCCTCCTCTTCTGGGCAAATAATACTTTTTGTTTAAACTCTTAAGTCCCCCCTCCCTTTTTTAATCAACAAATTAAGCATAAATCATGTTTGATCTTTATTTACTGGTTGCTCTGCAGTTAGTATAGGTCAGACTAGATTACTGGTGGCTCTTATAGCCTGCAAACATCTCCAACATTCCTCTATTCCGCTCATGAACACACAGAACCTCCCTGACTCTTGGTTTTATTTGGTCTTTCTCTAAATGAATGTCTTTCCCCCGTTGACCTCACCCCACAGAGGGAAACGAAATAAAAGGATGTTCGAGCAGGTTCTAATGAGGAGCATATTGTTCTGTAAGCTCTCCACAGTGAGATAATTTGGCATTGCGACAGAGTGGTATGATTTAGCTGACTATATTTTTCTTTCAGCCACCTCTTCGCTACCTCATAAATCTGCTCCCAGTAGCTCTGCGGCAGAGGTCCAGTGTCTCTGAAATCCTGTCCTGCTTCCTCTGACACCTGAGAGACAGCCAAGTGGAAAGGTCTTGATAGCCTAGATGTCTGAATTCAGAGTATATCTGCACTCTTGAGGATAAAATTTGCCTCTTAATCCACTACTGTAATTTAAAGTAATACCTAATTTATACTATCTTTCAGCTCTTAAAAGTTCATTTTTAAAGCCAGACAGGATTAAAAAATACGCAATAAAATCCAAGTTCACATCATTCGTCTGTTTTCTCTTTAACAAATATTGGGAACACCAAATGTAAAACTATTTCCCTCTGTATATTTGATACAGAAAGTTGTAAAATCTGAAAAAAAGTTCAATGCAAATGAATTAGAAGTGTACTCTTGTTTTCACTCCCTGTCCAGATTTCCTTTTCCCACCTCTTGGCACATGATGGTAACAATTGGTATTTTAATGATGAATACATGACTGTAAATACAATACCTCTTACAAAAGGACAAAAGCCTCCATCTATACATCCCTCATCCTCTGCTGTCATTATCTTGATATGGCTCTAAATCATTAGTGAAGTGTTTCGTAGTTATCCCACTGTTAAGTCTTTTATGAACAATTCACCACAAATCCCCCCCTCCTCCTCCTCTGCCAGCATTCAAAACAAAAGAGGCCATGCATGACCACAAAAGAGAAAGTCATTTGTGAAATGTCCTGATTATGTTGGTTGTGCAACGTGAAACAATTTGCCTGATTACTTCCAATTGATTCGGCCTTGCAGTTAAAGCCTCAGTGTGCGGCGCGCTGAGCTGCATTGTGTCATGCTGGGCAGAGGAGAGGAGTGGTAATTTCTCCGATGTGCAGCTGAGCCAGCTTACCGCCAAAGCTAAAGCCTCCTGGACGCTGCTAAAACCTCAGAGAGGCTAAACACCATGCTAGCTACCAGCTAACTCTGTCTGCTAAAGTCCTGAGGGATTTGTCTGCGGCACAAAGTGAATTAAAGGTGACCTTCTGGAGGGGATGGAGCGAGCGAAGAGGGCAGCGGGGATGTAGGAGATTTCACGATTTTGTCTTTGGTTTGGGTTCGATGTGTACAGAATTGTGTGTTCCCTTTCATTCCCATCTATTAGAAACTCAAACACGTATCTCACCGTGCTATTATGATGTAAGGAAATGTTATACATCTATTCAATCACTTCAATGGATTAAACAAACGGAAATTTTCAATCTGAGAAATTTGTGCCAAATGAAAAAAACGAGACTGTAAGTGTTGTGAATGTTGATGTAACTCCTCAAAGAGAAACTGTTTCTAGCTTTCACTTTGAATAAATTTAGCACTTTGATCATTTGAATCTGATAGATGTTCTCTGTTAACCTGAAAATGAGCTTTTCCATTTCCTCTGGTTTCACTGAGAATATTTCTGCAGCGCTTTCCTTTAATTTAGCTCGGCGGTTTTCAAGGTGTGAAGTGCACCTCCCCCCGGGGGCTGCCACAGGACTTCAGGGGAGGTGGAGGGGGAGAGAAAATTAAACAAAAACATCTGCAAAGTGTCAAGGACAATGACTCGATATTTTGTAAAAACAGAAAATTTAAGCCTTTCCCATGCAAACAGATGGAATTTGAGATAAACTAGATAAGTAACTTTTTAAACATGCTTGCAGTCATTATGGTTAGCTCATATCATGCTGGTTTATTGGCAATCACTTGTTTTCTGAGAAGTTATAGGAATTTGATATTGAGAAGACGACCGTTTATTGGCTTTCTCAACAACCTGCAGTATTATTTACTGGGTTAGCAGAATAGAGGAGGAACAAAGAGAGAAAACGAAACAAACACTCACTCAAGGGTCTTTAAACTTTTTAACAACCATGAGTGTCTGCTTCCAACCAACACAAGAATATGTTCTACTGTGAATTGTACCAACCAGAGGAATTAAGCAAGTTCTTTGGAACTAAGGTTCCACTGACACGCTTTGTCAGAGCCTATCATGGCTATACTTTGGCTTATCACACTCAATGGGAGGAGCATGGAGATACTGTGTCCGTATTGATATACAGTCATATACAGTCAATAGTTAAGCACACAGAGAAAGAGAGAGATGAGAGGAACTCTGGAGCGAATAGAAAAAGGAAGAAGTATAACCGTGGCCATTTAAAGCTTGACATTTTGTCACTTGTTCTCAATCATGTTCTACTTTTACAGAATGTGATTAACCAAGAGGTGCTTGAAAATGAACATGAGACTATGTAGGCTACACACTCATCAACATGTGTGGGAGCAAGTTTTCAAGTTTGGGGACTAAGCAGTAGGAGTGTGAGAAGCTCTGGTCATGGGAGAAATTAAAGTAGATATGAAGCACTGTAGATAACCACTGACTGATAAAGCCCATCCAGTGGGGTTACGCAATGCCAAGTCTGGAAAGTACCACATCTCTAATTAAACTACAGGCCAAAAACCAATTACTCGCCTCAAAGGTGCAGACTGACGAAAGCAAAGACGGTGCACGCATGATGTTAGTTAGTCATCTACAAAGCTGCAGCATGCACAGTTCGAAGTCATGACTCAAAAACGTTCTGACTAAAAATGCAGTGATAGGCCGTACAAAGTGAGACTATAGCTGGTAAAATCTACAGTCATTTTGACCAATGTATTGCAGAGGGTTAATGCTGAGTCCAATTAATGTGTTGTTCAACACGGAAATGACGTTCAAACAACATTAAAAAACTTAAAAGTGCTTATAAAAGCTGGTTAGAAGAAGATGTTAAGAAATAAAGTCTATTGCTGAAACACCCTGCACTGGGGGGCTGAAAAGGAAAGGCTGCTGTTCTTTTATGTCCTCCACAGAAAGGCTCACTGTCCTACATTTTAAAACTCCAGATCTTGCTCCTGAGAAGCTTAAACAAAGTCTCAAGTAACCATTTAGGATGTAGCTGCTGAATGCAAAATAGCAACTACTTCAACTATCATGGTGCCAAAATCACAAGTCTTCACTTGAGTAAAAGTTGTATTGAAAAGTAATGTTTTATCTGAGAAAGAGAGACAGGGTGTAGAGAAACATGCTGCTCACCTGACAGTTGATGTCTGCTTTATGCTGCAGTAATACCGACACCAGCTCCTTGTGTCCTCTGTCACAGGCCCAGTGCAAGAGAGCCCGGCCCTGTGAACCAGAACAGAATTATCATACAGCAACTATCAAACTTACAAAGGTATGTGCAAATATTTGAAGACAGACTTTAAACAGCATTGATGTCTTCAAATCTGTGAATGCATGAAGTTGTTTTAGGCTGTCATTCCCTAATGTCACCCTTCTACCCTGCGTAGGAGGATCACAGTAGCCTGCAAACACAGTCTGTAAAGCCTGATTGATGGGACAGTGTGCACAAAACAAAGAGCAGTCTCCAGATCAGCAACCCCTCACTGCCTCTCTTGCATAAACATACATACAAGCACACACACTCACTAACACAAACACACTCTCCTCAGGTCCAAGATCCTTGTTCTAATAAAACCACAGGAGCTCATTTTTCAGCGAGGCCAATTAGGTAAAGCAAACTCTCCAAGTCTAATTCTGTTGCTTAAATCATATTGATCACCACGGCTGCATGTTAAAATGGAGACTTATGAGCCAGGCCTGAATACAAATAAGTTGGTCTCTCGCTCCCTCACTCACTCACTCCTTCTCGCCGTCTTTCAGGTGCGCTGCTTGACTGCTCTCCATATTTTCCTCCAGGAGTTTGATACTCTTGACCCAAATCTGTGTCAGGGAGGAGGATGAGCGTGAGTGTTGCATTCAAATTTTGGGTTTTTCCAGATTATGATCACTCCTCCTGATCAGGGTTGAAAAAGTCCAGCCTAAGAGGGTGAATCAAAGTGCGCAAAACACTCAGTTCAAGAAGATGAATGGGCAAAACCTTCACTGTTCTTCATCACAGGGTGAGAACGACAGGAGAGCAGGAGAAATGTAAGAGGAAAGGTAAAGGTGGGAACTTCTCTGATCTGATCATACACACAGAAAGAACAACATAAATACCCTACCCTTTACTAAAAGTCTCTTCTGACTCTTCTTTCTCTCTATCCCCAATAAACACTTGAAGTTTACATAGTGGAATTTGCATAAAACATGAGGACTGCCACATTTTTAACAGATGCCACTCTTTAGTAAGTCACATCTAAACCTGGGTCACAGTCAAGTCAAACTAAACACTGTAGTCACTTCAACAGAGCACCCAAAGGCTACATTTACTTGAATCTTGGTCAGTTTCTAGGGGTTTGGGTCCATTTTAGGGTTTTATTCCACAACTTCTGTTGATGATAAGCTTGTTTCCTCTGTGGACTAGTTTTTGGCTGACTGTGGGGTCATTCAACAAACCCATGGTGCTCATAATCCTCAGTGCTGCTATGAAATAGAAGCCATGTGGTCATCGTGTCCCGCAATTCAGGATGATAAATATATATAACATAGGGCACTCAATTACATTTATTTTGCTTTAGAAATATTACTTTTCAATTTTTGATTATTGGGGCCAGCATTTTATAACTACAGAATATTTAACCCAACAGTCAATATTTATATATACACAAGTATAATGTTTAATCTGTTATTACTCTTTTACTACCGTTTCTAAACTTTAACAAACATGAATTAAAACTGACATTGTCATCGTCCTTGCTATGACTCAGTAACATTTTTGCAAAGTATGTGTCTTTCCAAAAAGTTTTAGCGTATGAAGATACATGTCCTGTCAAGATCTTATTACTGGACTTCATTAACAATAATCCTATGAAGATATCTTCATGTAGAGGAACTGCCATTTCATAAATATATGATATCGTAACTGTCTCTGTTCCTGTGCTACTTAAATATGACTGCGATGCTTTTGCCTTTATGATCCAGAATTCAGGGCCCTGTGAAGAATAGCAGAGTAGAATTCCTTTGAATGACCAAATTAGATCATTATTTACGAATGTTTATGCTTTGTTTGCAACAACCAACCATACAGCTGAACACTTGGCTACCAACTTGGAGACTAAGTGCTGGGTCAGACCCTCTTTCTGCTTCTTTTCCTGCCTGCCTGAGCTGTAAAATCAGGTCTGGGTTTTATACTGATGTGAAACTTCACCACTGCCCTCTGCTGTTAAACAAGCTGTACTGCAGGTGAGAAGACGAGGGCAGTGAACAGACAAAGCTGTCTCCACCGAGGTCCCTCAACCATCTGGCCTTTGGCTGGGAACTCTCCAGCCGCCTGCCTGCTTATCTGCAGAGCTGCGGTGATGAAAGAGAGGCAGCGAGCGAGCCATTTGGCCCAAACTGAGATGAATCTGGGGCAGATGAATGGATTTCGGGGTCAATCTGGAAAACATGGCGTGATGGTAAAAGCCGTTCACACAATATACAAATCTGAACCCGAGGAGAGGTTCCCAGGTGTCTGTGGCTTCAGATCATTGAAACCATTATGTAATGAATGCGGCATGAACTGTCCCACAGTGACCTGTATTTTCAATGATATTCTACTGATCATCTTCACCTGACCTCTGCATATAGACGATCACATCACATGCACCGACCATGCAGCTTGTACAGACCACTTGTTGTTTAAAGGACACTTCAGCAGAACAATGTTTCTTCTGTGGGGGCTTGTAATGTCACCATTTACCCACATCATGTATATTAATCACAGAGTTGGTTTATGTAGACACAAATAGTTTTAGTTACCTCTTCATCTTTAGTGTTGACATCCACTGTCTGGGAGCTGATGGCCTTGTTGATGTGGTCGATGTTATTTTCTCTGCAGTAGTCAAATATGTTCTTATCTTCTTCCCTGGAAAACAGAAAAAAGAGACAAAGACAGAGAGTGTTAAAGGAATAAACTCAGCAGCCGTACTTGTTTTTGGGTTTATTTTGGACCTTCAAATAGTGAGGGAGAACCAGATGACTTTGATTGAGGTTGGTTTGTTTTCAGTGGACAAATGTCAAGTGTTTTGGTTTGGATTTCAGGAGACGCTAAACCAACACAATGAAACCAGTACTCTTAGCATTTCCTGATATGAAAAAAAGGGTTTGAAAAATCAAAATACATTGAGCTACAGCAGTTTAGCCTACAGATCAAATAAAAGCAGAATAGGAGAGATCTGATTTGGTACAAGCTCTCCTTCCCCCTGCTCTCTATCAGTATCAGTTTGCTCAGCAGAGAAGTGGCAAAAAAGTGCTACATTTTTTTATTGCATATCTTTCTCAGCTTTCAGTATTTTTAATTGTTTTACCCTAAGGAGCTCATTTTAACCGCTTGGTGGAAATTCAGTGTTTAAGCGACTCACTGTGAACATTATTTATTTGATCTTTTTCTCTCCTCTCAAAACTGTTCTGAGCAAAAGTGTGCTTAATATGTTTCCCAGGATGGAAGATTAAATGTTTTCAAAATGTGTTACTGTCAAATGACTTAAACTGTATATTTGATCACAAATAATAGTTCACTCATCCACAATGACAGATATCACCAAATCAGTGTTTAGCAACATGGCCACACGTGCCGCGTCCCTGGGGAACGCTGGCATCTTACACACACCCACCCACACACACATACACACACACACACCCACAGCAGCGCCATCCCACCTCTGATCATATCTCTGTCTCTAATCACCTCCTGGCATTGGGGACTGGAGTGAATGCTGGGGGGGAGTAGTGGGGGGGCAGGTTGTGGTGAAGGGAGAGAAGGGGTGAAATCTCATTTAGAGCTTCACGCCTCTCTCTCCTTCTTACTCATGCTGGCCATTCACATTAATTGAATTTTGTGCTCTATTGTCCGACTGAAACCTGGTGTACCCACTGCTTCACCACTCCCACGCAGTGTGTCAGTCATCCCCCAAGGCCAAACCCTACCCCCTGTTCCCGTCTGGGATGCTTAATGGTTTTGCCTCACCTGGACCCAGGAGACCCTGGGATCAAGCATGGTCCCAGACACACACACAGGAGACACCATGGGGTGTAACTTGCATTAGGTCTGAGGGTGCTGTTGAAGCTCATTTGTTGAGTTTGTGGCTTTAACAAAGTCATAGTCATGTTACCCCTACACTGTCAGTCCTATTGATACAAAGCTCAGCAGTCATGTTAAAAAAAAGGGGATGGGTTCATGCTTTTCTGAAACTACACTCACTTGGAGCGCCATCTTTGAAAAATTAACTTTTATGTTTTCCTCTTTTGTGGTGAATGATATGTAAAAAACGTGAATATTGAAAGATACCAGAGTATATGGTGTAATAAATTCACAATGTAATTCTGAGAGGAGTGAGTATTTTGCATTAGTGAACCCCCTCCTCGCCTTTCTAGTGGTTTCACTGTATCTTTACGTCTGTAATGGCTCTGTACCTATGCCAGAAGGCTTTTTATTTTTATGCTCTGCCACTCATGATAGACAGGTTATAGCTACTGTATATTTTTAGTTAAACAGTACAACACCACCTTATGACTTTAGTGTGGTACAACACTTCCCCCTTAAATGGCTGTTATTTCACACCTGCTTAGTTTTACTGAAGAAGAAACTCACAATTGTAAATGACAGTAAGAGCATAAAAGCAGAGACTTGTGAATCTTAATGGATCAAAACTCAAGAACTCAACAATGGCAGATCAGTGAATATCTATGAATTGAATTAATTGGTAGTCAATGCAATGATGACAAATTGAATCTTGGATAAAAAAAGCTACCAGGGTTTTCTCACCAACATGTGTCAGGGTTGATTTTTGTTAATGAATTCAAGTTTCTGTGAGGAACTTTTGGTTTCTGAAGATTTTGGGATCCCTTTTGCTGACTTTGCTCTAGTTTGCACATGTGTAGATAGTGTTGCTTATCAAAAGTCTTTGCAGTAAAAGATGCAGGAAGTATCAGCGTGTGCAGTCAATCACTTGACCAAATGACCAAACTCTCACCCCCTGACAAAATCTAAACTATTTAAAGTTTGAAAAAACAAACAAGCCCTATGTAAACTTCAAAAAATTACTTCTTTATCTGTAATGTCTAGGTTCTTCGATATAGACTTAAATGGAAACAAATCTCAGCCCTGATGTGAGCCACTGCCCCCTCAACATCAACTCTCTCTCCATATGTTTGATCAACCACAACATAAAACTTTCCCCAGTCGAGACAAAACTCACAACCAACTGTTTTCCATTGTTAGCAAACAGCAGACACAAGCAAAGTTTTGTCTGCTGTTTGTTCTTTAATGAACCCCTGTACTTCCCTTTCTTCAGCTTTTCATCTACAAGCTTCTCTGCCAATTCTCCGGTTCCTCCCCTCCCTCTTCCCCGCCACCTCCTCATCAGCCTGTGATGAATTATGAATAACTCATTACACTTTTATTGCTGCTGGGTTATGTATGAGCACATTCATTTACATACTCCTGATTACCAGCACTATGTTTATTCATGAGTCCCCACACCGGGACACACCTACTTCCTTGTCTGATGGCCATGGTGACCTCGAGTGTCCCTGATGTGTGGCCGCCATCCGTCTCCTCGGCATCTAATCAATAAGCCGGCTCATCGGTCTTTCGATGATGGTCAGACATGGCCGGCCTGGCTGCTTCATGACATACTCTCATATATACATAAATACAGCACATGTACATACCGAAGTATAGAATAAGTTTATGAAAACACGCCTGACTGCTTAGAAAGAGCAGTCACACACACACACATACACACACCTGTACCACACTGAGACACACAAGCTACAAACAAACAAATGATTAATGTGCCTCTGGTAAACGAAGTGACATCAACAGCACCGCAATGCATGCTGGGAAGGTCACAGGCTACTCTGTCATCACAGCAGCTAGGGTTCCAAGGGTTTTTGTTTGTGTGTGTGTGTGTGTATGTATGTGCGTAGATGTGTGTGGGAGTGCTACAGGCTCACACGTGTGCGGGCCGGTCTGGTGTAGCTGCAGATATGTCCTTCATCCATCAGGCAAAACTGGCCATAGTTGTGGAGAACACTCATCTACCTGGCCTGAGCTTCACCCTGATCAACGCCACCACCACACCATCCATCACACACACACACGCACACCTACACAATCTGTCATAGCGTCCACTATAGGATCCCGGTGAACGCTTTCCAACATGGCTGAGCTCTATGGAAGGAGGAGGAGAAACAATGAAAATAACTCAGCAGCAGTTTCCAGCAGAAGGTCCACACAACTCAACCCACTTAGTGTTTATCAGAATCCTCTTTCAAGGTGGGAGAGCAGGTAACAAATGTAGCATTCAAAGCCTCTTCAATCACACTCTGATCAGCTCACTAGTCCAAGAATATTGCTAATCAATCCTGCTTTTGTCGATACACTACACAGACACACAGACACACAAACACACACACACAGATTGAGATGAGCAGTGAGCAAAGCAATTAACTCTGTCTGGTTAACAGGTGCTTGGATGTTTAATATGGAGTGTGTGCATGTGTGTGTGTAAGAGAGGAAATTGAAATGCAGCAGAGCAGTGAGTGTGACAGTTCCGGCAGGTTATGCACCAATTCAGACGCGATGGCGTCAACGTATAGCGGCAAGTTTATGTTTACATGTGCGGTGCCGTATTAATGACTTCCTCCTTTCTGGCTTCCCTTGAGACCTTGATGCTGCTGGAGATCACCAAAGGAAGCAGCGAGCTGGGAAACCTTCTGTACCTCCCTCCCTCTGCTGTACCCGGCATGTCTTCATCACCCCCTCCTCCCAAAAGTGCCCACCAAATCGTACCGTAATTAAAAAGGGGAGACCCTGGCTGGCTCATCTTGAGTCTGTGCATACTAATCACATGCAGCCATTTAAAGGAAAGACCTGCAGGATTCGCTTGTCTCATTTTCATCTCCAAAAGAGCTCCTTTTTCATTGAGATGAAGATGAGCTTTTTCAGCTTGAGTAAGTCTGCCAGGCAGAAGTAAATGGAGAATATTTTTCATTAACATAAATCAGAACTATGTGACATCTCGGGGCCCTTACTGCCGATTTGGTCGGTAGGACATCGAACACAGCATCAAGATCAGTGGTTAACAATGTCAAGCCAGACCAAGTTGACTCTAGGATTCAAGACGCGTTGAGTCGCAGGTGGAGGAGAGTCGAGTCTATTCCAGCATTTTCTTAACTGGGAATTAAATATGCGATGCTTTGCTTATTCAATCAATCAATTTTTATTTACATAGTGCCAAATCACAACAATTGTTACCTTGAGGCGCTTTCCAAAAGAGCAAGTCTAGACCATACTAATTGTTTGAAGTGTAACAATAAGTTATGTTTATTAAAAACACACATCCTAAGGAGTTAGGGAGTGTGCACGACAAGTAGGACAACAATCTACAATATGGGTCTGAAAGTATACAAGACACCGGTGGAGACTGAACAAAAGCAGGGGTGCAGTGTTCGCAAAGGGTAGATACTTGGACCACTGTTATTCTATCTTTATATGATCCCACTCACACATTACTCAGATGCACAAAATCAATTACTTCAATTATGCAAAGATTCACGACACTGCTTACTCTCCCTAAAGGCAATTTTAGAAAAGGATTTTATATTTTTGTCTTATAGTAAAAATAACCCAAAACAGTTTATTCTGGGGTTTAAAGGGAGGATGGATATGATTGTTGTGGTGATCTTCAAAGTAATTTTCTAGCAGCAGCTGAAATCCTGTGACAATTAGTGTCAGTCAGTGTATATATATTTTTTTTCAAACAAAGCCATAATGAGAGCACTTTGTGGGCTGCGTGATATTTATAAGAAGGTTCAGAGTTATTGTTAATTAAGATGTTTTAAACGTTTCCCACTGAGGAAGAAAAAAGGAGACCATGTATGTGCTGGTATGCAGGCTATGCAGCTATGACTAGTAAGGAGGAAAGACTCCTGGATGCTGACATGGTTGACTGATAACTGAAATCTTTCACAGATGGATGGTAAGCACAGTCTGTTCTGCAGAAAGTTACACAACTTTCCAAATGATGCCTTGATTTTTTTGTTTTTTACACAACTAAAATTTACTGTCTGACAATAATTTGATGCAACTTGACAATCAGCGTTAATATGTGGAAGAGTGTGTGGTGAATCTTATGACAGAAGCAGCAAATCTGGTCTGAACACAAAGACTGAATCCACAGCCAAAAATAATTAATAATTAAACATCTTTTTGGCAGCGATCACATACCTCCTTTGACCTTTTTTCCCACTTGAAAATGCTACCTATGTCATTTTTGGTGAAATCACTCTGATCTCAGCTCTTTGTCCTTAGTTAGAAAAGATTAAGCAAAAATATCTGGGTTACCTTGTGGACATCTATCAAAGGTTTAAAGGCCATATCAACCAAGTCAGAAAATCAGACTGTAAGTACCTGAAAATGTATCTCAAAACTCTATTTTAGATGCTGAAAATGCAATTCATGCGTCCAAGAATCAGCTTGTTCTATATTCCCTACATTAGCTCCCTGTCAGATTAAGAACTGATTTCAAAATCTTCTTACTTGTGCACAAAGCTCTGAATGACTTTGTCTCCCTGTATGTCGCAGCATGAATCTGTGTGTCTCTCATTGTGAATACCTGATCATCTCTTCCTGGTACAGAGAGCTGACAGCTGCTCCTCCAAAGCCCGTTCTTCTTTCTGCTCCTCGTCTTTCCTGTTAAAATAAAAGACAGCGACACATGAGAGAAAAATACCCACCTCATACACGTGTAAAGCTAAAGCTGGACATTTTCACTTCCGATGTTTTTCACTGTTGTTAAACCTGCTTCTGAAACACAGACCTTTTTAAAGCCTGGTCTCAGTCTGTGATGCTATCCCACATTGACAGAGGTTCTGATGTTATTGTTGTGTGTGATAGATGCAATACAAAAGGGTTGAGTCTACCTATTCACCATGAATAACTGTGCCTATAGCTTTTCAGCCAAAGCCTCAGAGGTCAACACATGAACCAGATAAAGTTTAAATTGTGTTTTGAAAAAAGTCTCTGGGGGTTCAGACATGACCTCATAGCTATTAATTGCCCAAAATATGTACAGAAGGGTTATAAAACCTATACAGTGCCTGAATTGTGACTCTTGTTAAATCTTCTGTGTTTTTTTATGGAAATTTATCCTACATTCAGTTCAGCCGAGACTTTATTATTCTTTAAAGACCAACCTCGCCTCACAAAGCAACCCGCACAAATCTGATTTCAGAAAATAGCCCGAGTGGGGGGAGAACATGACAAGCGAACCAAAACAACTGTGCGTGCACTTTTGGGGACAACCTAATTCACTTCAGAAACTCAGAATATTCGCTGATGCACTGGCCCTGCCTCCTCTGCAGTATAATGCAATATAGAGCCAGCGTCTGCCCAACAATTGAGGCAGGAACAGAGGTCAAATTCTGCCTATTATTCTCTCCCCTGCTTCTCTGTCTATGCACTTCTACTTTCACCATTTGACTGTGCCTGCGAAAGAATAGTCCCTGCCACGCTGTGGTGCTTTGTTAACACTAATACAATCAGGTTCCTTTCTTGGGGAGGAGGTTGGGGAGCATTTATGCGTCTACTGGCCTGTGTCTCTGCCGGTATTGTGCAGCTGAGGGGGCAGAGTCAGCGAGTATTGCCCCAAAGTAGAAAAGAATGTGTCAGGACTGAACATGTGGTTGACAGTGACACTATTAAAGAGACATAAACATGGAAGGCAAAGAGAAAAGAAAGGAGGGTATGGGTTGTAGGGAGGAAAGGAGGAAAGGAGGAAGAAAAGAAGCTGGGAGGAAGGATTAAAGGGAGGAGAAGCAGGTAGCATTGAGAAGGAAAATGAAGAGAAAAGTTGGGATAGGGACGATATACTGCTGTAGGTCAAATTGGACATCCTTGTTGTTAACTCTGGAAAATTTCTATTAAGGCATTCTGGAGAGAATTTTGGTTTTGGTGGTTTACAATAAAAAGCAGGTTCCAAAATGAAGGCTTTCTAATAAGCTGCAGCACATATACATAACAACAAGGTGCAGCAGTCCTTTTTTCACAAGTTTGAGATTTAATTTGTAAGAGGTCTGAGATATACAAGGCTCAGGACATTCAGGATTTATTTACATGTTGTCATTCAGGGAACTTGAACAGTGGTCCTATGTTTTAAAGCCATAAACACTCAGTTCAAAAACATTTTCTTTAGTCTAATCAAGCACTGACATAAAATCTGGAATATGTCTTCTGCACTAAACACTTAGAGTGAAAATGAGTAGTTTTAAATTTGACAGCAAATCCTGCGAAAATGTCAGAAGCTTCGTCAATAACATGATAACGTGATTCTATCATTACTTTGAAATAATCCACTGAAAATGCTGCTGTATAATATGGACATGTTCTCTGGTTTGATCTCTATTAACACTATTTTTTTCCAATCATGTCCAAATTTATATTTACTCACAGCACATTTTGACGTGAACCACACATATTCTATTTTACTGTTAATATTATTCCCCCAACTGGACTTAGTTGTTGTTATAGCTTGTCTGCTGCCACCCCCAAGGACGACCCATCCATGACAACACAGGTCTCCAGGCACAGTCTCTTGACATGACAAGACAGTACGCAGACATGTAAACAGTCTCTCTTTAGTCACTATACACACAGGCACACTGCGTATTTTGACAGTTTTTTCTTTTTGCATTATTCATAGCTCAAAATGTCAGCTATTGAGGAGGACGACATAATCTCTCATGTATTTTTCATGCTGCAAGTACAGAATAAAGAGGTACAAAAGAGGCATGGGACAGAATGACACAGTGATACTGACCTCTGCTGGCCAAAAAGCAGAATTGAATCTTAGAGGACAATGACTATGAATGACATTTCATTGATTTTTATGGCAATAGAGACGCAGAGTTTGGATGCAATCGTACGTTAATTTGAAAAACCTTAGATAGTTCGCTGAAATACACTTGAAGCTGATGGTGATTTCTTTTTCATTTAGCAAGTTTTGTGACTCTCAGTCTATGTCTTGAGCAGTAGTGGCAGCATCCAGGTTCTAGACTCAATATTTGACCTTCAGTTTCAGTTACTACAAGGGTCAATTTCAGCTTACACTGATCGTTTGATGTGACAGGATGAGCCCATCAGACTCACATCAGACAGATATATCTTTACCTAGTCTGTAATTCATTTACTCCTCTCCCCTAGAGTCATAAAAGCTTGTCCTGCTCTTAGAAGAAGCCTGTCTTCATAAGAACATGTTGCTTCCATCTATTTACTGCATGTTTACCAAAGAGTCAATATATCATGATACAGACTGGTCCAACACTGCATAGGTGCTGAAACATACAAACAAGACACACTTTGAGAACCAGCCCTTATTTCTCACTCACAGTGCTCCTTACCTTTGTACAGCCTTCAGGGTCTAACACATTGACACAGGATATGTACTCCTGCATCGCCTGCTCTGCGTCCATGTCTCCAAGCTGCTTCCATGCTTGCCTGTAGTAACAACACAATCATCGCAGAGATGAATAACAGCTGTAATCTTCCATGTATTTATTTGTTATTGTGATCCACGGCTTACATATAGTAATAATGATAATAATAATAAATGTTGTTTATAACACGCTTTTGCAGGTGCTCAAACACTCCTCATAAAGGAAAAGAAGAAAATAAAATAAAATAAAACAGTCAATTTGAGAAATAAAACCAACAATGTAAAAGGTTAAAAAAGACACAGTATGAGAAGACAATAAAAGAACAGTTCACAGGTTAAAAGACAATTTAAAAAGGTGTGTTTTTAGGAGTGATTTGAAAGTCTCAGATGGGTTTGGGGAGTGAATTCCAGCAAATGGGGGCGGCAGCGGAGAAGGCTCTGTCCCCCCAAGTTTGATGCTTGGTCCAAGGAGGTACGGTAAAAAGATTTCCTTCTGAGGGTTGGAGGGTACGGGAGGGGGTGTAGTAGTGGAGCAGGTCTGTGAGGCAGGTGGGGGCCATGTTGTTAAGTGATTTGTGGGTGAGCAGGAGGATTTTGAATTGTATGTAGTGTGAGATGGGGAGCCAGTGCAGTTTTTGGAGGACAGGGCTGGTGTGTTCTCGGGAGTTGGTGCAGCAGAGTTCTGATTGTATTGGAGTTTATTAAGGACTTTGGATCAGATAATCTAGTCTGGATGTTATAAAAGCATGGATGGATCAGGGTTTCATCCATGCTTTCACGGATGTTTATAGTGTCATGCAAACATGGGGGCATAAGAGACACATTCACTGATTTGAAAATGGAGCTGTAATTTGAGTTACTTACCATTTTCTCTGTCCTTCAAAGTCAAAGAAGCCAGGCTTTTGTGTATTGCACTTCCCCACTTTGGCCTGGAAACAAAACAAGTCCAAATAATTCAGTTATATTCAATAATTTCCAGTTTTATTATAAACTATACAGGCCAAATCAGCACATAGTTGACTGGGCCTATTGCACCTGTCAAGATGTGAAAACATTGGGGGTTCACTGGGCTATGAACGGCTCCTACATGTCGCCGGTCTACAAAAACCTCAGTGCAGTCTAATCCCATCCTCACCTGTTTATATCGAGCGTACAGGTACAGCAGCTGGTCTCTGCTGGCGGTCTGAACCAGATCTCGTACGCGGCCGGCTGCAGACTCGAACTCCCGCTCCAGCTCCTCTCCCTCCAGCCTGTCTCCCATTTCCACGGCGCTACAGTCAAATTTACCCAAACCCAGGTCCGAGTCCGAGTCAGAGCCTGCTCCACCGAGGGGTTCTCCCGTGTCCGGTCGAGCTGGATCTGTACCTGAGCCCGTCGCAGTGTCCGGGGAGGACGACGGTGACCCAGAAGCCATTGTTATTGTTGTTTACACCGCGCGCGTAACGCCAGCCACAACGCACGTGGGGATCCTTAAAACCTACTGCACACCGGCGTGAAACAGCGGCCTGAACCTGTGTTTTTGGGGAGAGTTCGCCTGTTAATCCGTCTTCGTTAAGATTCCGTGACAGTCGGATTTGTTTCTCCCCGTTGGTCCGTCTCCGGTCCTGCCAAATCAAAGCACGGGGTAAACTAGCTGATAAGAAAGAAAGGTTCCGGTTGTTCTACCGCGTGTGTCCCGCTGTGCTCCTTTTAGGACAGTAACTGAGAAACAACAACTTGATCATACAGGAATATCTTTGCAATGTGCACTGATTTATTTTTCTTATCCTCGTGAATACGCGCGCACAAATAATTTTTTTTTTTTTTTTTAAATGAATAAACAGCCAAGAAATCTAAAGCTGTATATGTACTGTATATAGGTACTGTCTAGATATAGTATATACAGTCTATGGTAAATATATATGCATTTTAAGCTAAGCGTAATAAACAGCCTGCTGATGTTAGTTTGATACATAGTTGTCTGTTGATAGCTTCAATAACGCAGGTAAAATTAATTTAAAGGGATATACCTGCGTAATATTAAGTTCGGGTCAAACACACCTCCGGGCGAGTCCATTGACTACAGCGGGGTGACGCAGCTCAAGGAAGAACATTTGTGATCATTACTTTGTCATTTCCTTTAAGTAATAATCACCATAATCATTTTGCACTGCAGACGCGATAGTTCATCTGCCTCAGCGTCTCTGTCTGATTGTATTTCCATAAAGTAATGATCATAAATGTTCTTCCTTGAGCTGCGTCACCCCCGCTGTAGTCGATGGACTCACCCGGAGGTCTCGATGTTTGGTGTCTCATGCTATGGCTAAGATCCCATATGTACTGTTAATGAAGTTAGGTGCTGTGCTGAGCATTATTTGTGGCATAGAGTGGCTTTTTTGTGGAGTGCATGGCTCTCTGTATTGCTATCTGCGGTCATTTCTAAAGTTGGTATAACTAAAGAAGCAAGCGGTCGGCAACATTCATCTCTCGAGTGGGTGTCTAACTTGGTGTTATGGTGTGTTTAACCCTAACTTAATTTTACACCGGAATATTCCTTTAACCCTTGATCGCGTTGTTGTCTGTGGAATTACAGCAGTCTAATTTAGGTGAAATGATCAACTATTTCGAACTTATAAGGACTGATAGGGGTCGAGCAGGACTTTCTGATTATACCACCGATGAAATAAGCTTCCAGACAGCGTATGTGAACGTTTTTGAGAATATTTACTATCAAGTTGCAAAAATGCACAAGCGCTGTTTGTCCAGCAGATGCCGCTCTTGGCACAGTGATAGTTTGCCACCTGGTGTTTTTACATCAGGCAGCTGTTATGGTTCACCCTGATTCAACAGAAAAAAAGCAGAAGTTGGCATTCATGAACACTTAATTTCAACCTGTTGGAAAGCCTCAATAGTTAAAGAGGAATGCAGATCATCATCTTTGCCAACAATTCAAGGCACTTGAGCAGTGGACAGCACAATAAGATCCATGAGAGAAATATTAGTCTTTTATTCAGTTCTCTTGAAACTGCTTTACAGAGTATAAAACGTTTCCTAATGTGAGTTTTAAAGCGTCCACTGGTTCGCTGTCTCATTTGATAAATTCTGTGGATGGACCAAAGAGCGAGGGGATGTAAGGACATTATTAACAGGCATATTTTAAATCATTGAACAGACTGTGGACGCTTATTGGACTCAAACCCGAGGTTGAATTAAGGCTTTCACGTGTTTTTTCAGGCTTTGATTCATGAGTGAAATTTTGCGCTCCTCTTTTCGCTGCCAACAAACCCTTTCAACACGGACTTCTCCACCCTGAATTGGTCTACCAGGATCATTTAGTCTTAATAGACCAAGCTAAAGTCAGAGGATTGCACCGCAAACTACTTTTCCCGTGGAGGTCCCAACAAGCACCCGGCGCTGCCTCTGCGCGCTCTGCTGACGCAACCACGTCGCTGTGGCTCAATTCGATGGCGGACCGCAGTGTCCCCAGACTTGCCCAGGGAGGGACGGAGCAAAGTCACTGAGCCACTCTCACCGGCGCTGTTAATCTGCCGTCTGACCACCTGTGAAAGAGAGGCTGCAGCCACCGTTCCCGTCCCTCCCGTGAAGTAGCATGCGGGACGGGCTGCGCGCTGACCGGGACGAGCCAGAAGTGGAGTGAAGAGCAGCAGTACCGTAGTGTGCCGGGCTGACGCGCCGCATGTTGAGCCAGCAAGTTCACTGAAACAACAAAAGTCGCGTTGACGGGGAAGGGGACAGTCGCTCTTGGATATAGCGGAGGTTTGAGGGGATACCTGTTCCGGCAAAATGAAATTCGCGGAACATCTTTCGTCTCATATCACTCCGGAGTGGAGGAAACAGTATCTTCAGTATGAGGTAAAGTGACATTTTCACCCTTTATTGTCATAAACACCTGGTGGATTTGTAGAAGGAAAAAAGGTAATAATGCCTTTATGAAAAAGTGTATTGAAGAGTCATTATTTTGTTTGGCACTGCTTCAAAATCTGTATGATTTTTATTTTCAGTCTGAGAAAGCTTTCTCCATGAAACCAAAAGGACGAGGAAAAGATAGGATGTCCTTTTGTTTATGAAGGGGAAATAGACTGCGGGAAAAGCCATAGGGAGCATTCAGCGCTTTAATTGCTCTTTGCTGAATTAACAAAGCCTATAAATGCACATGATGGACAATTAACTTTAAAATCAAATTCATTTAATGCTGGAATACATTAGAAAAGTACTTTTTAATCTAATCATTTATAGCAAACATATTTCGAAAAATAGAATAAATAATTAATATCACCAGCGTCTTTGTATGTGTATTTTTAGCAGTTTCTTTGCAAAATAACAGACAACATTTTAGTCGTTTTAATTTTGTTTTCTTATCTTTTGAAATGTTGGAGTCAGTCATATAACTGAGAGGCATAAAGAAAAAAAAAGGGAAACGGTTTTATTTCTAGTTGCTTCAGTTATTTTAGAGAAAACTTAAATTAGCACAACATGCCCTATATGTCTTAAAATAAAAAATGTAAGCATATGGGTTTAATATTATTATGTAGTGAACTCGTTTTTATTTGATTTTTCCCTCAATATTAAAGGAATGGTTGTCTCTTGGAGTCAGCCTGCAGCACTTAATATTACGTTATATCCTGTCTGATCTCTGATGGCTGTAGATTTAAAATAAGAACCTCTCTGTGTGTGCAAACATAGTCTTTGTTGGCTGGTGTACAGTACTTGAAGAGTATTTTAGTTTCACACCCCACTTCTTTGCCCTGCTGGCTCTACATTAAGAGCTTTAGAGCAGACGTGCAGTGACAGGACAGGTTGCTGGCTTCCATTTAGCTCTATGAATTATAGACAAAGACTGTTCTCTTCTACATCAGCAGCCTGCATCCAGACTCAACAGAAGCTCACTGCACTGGTTTTATTTTGGAAACATGCCCTGAGTGTTATGAATAAGTTGCATAATTGCTACAGCAGACATGTGGATATGTCTTTGCTGACAGGAGTGATAGATGGTCATCATTGTGCCATAAAAAAACATCTTCAGGAATCAAAACTTGATAGGAAATAAGACAGAGACCTCAGAAATGTGGTAGATAAAGTTAATAAAAGGACAACAGTTGTGTAGATTTATTAATGCCCAGCTTGTGTGGGGTCTTTGTATGCACAGACTGACACACAGTCAGCACAGGGACAGATGCACAGACATACCAGCCATTTTACACCTCCAGTTTTCAGTGCCGCACTCACTGACCTGAGATGGATGATGATAGATTTTCTCCGTCATTTGCGTTTAATGAAGGTCTTCACTTATTTTGAGTAAAATAACCCTGAATTGAAATTTGATTTTAAAGATTACACTATTTTGACAACACATTTATGATAGCAACATTAAATAATTCGATTTAAGTAAAAAGATAAGCTCTTAAGGTATTACTGCAATTTTGTTTACATATGAGCAGATCTTGCAAAGTTTTCAAAAGAAACCACATTTTTTAATGGAAAAGTATACCGGTGTTGAATTTCTGTTTGGCTTTTTCAATCTTTACTGAACACTTCAATATTTTTAGAGTTCAATCGAGAAGAAAAGAGGAAATCCTGTTAGACAACTGACCCACCATAAATACACAATTCACATTGGATCAAGGATTTTTTCAATCTTCCCGAAAATCGAGCCATCTCTGAGACATGTCTCTGCATGTGTAGCTGTTCTTGAATTCTTGAATAATGCAGAACAACAAGGTCAGACCTTAAGAATACGGTTTGTATTCTGTCTCAAATCTGAATTATATATAGTGTTTGCAGCAGTGATGGATATGTGGGTTTTTGGGTTACTATAGCTGCCCTCAGTTTTAGTGGACCCCTGTAAACATCATCACCTTCTGAGTGGGTGGAACAGGGAGTGGGGCTCTTAGCTGCTGATGATGATGAAAATTAGTTTCAACACTCTTATGTTCTCTGGAATCAGGAAGCATGGGCAGAAAAGTTATGCAATGAAGTGAGTTGATGTAAGAGAAGTGGGTCACTGAAATAAGCTAGACTTGAATGCAATCAATTTTAATATGGTTCTGAAAAATGCATAGACTTGATATGCTGCTGTGCTGCTGCATAGGCAGTGTCAGTCATTTACCATACAAATAGGTGTGGCAGGGGCCACTGAAAACAAGATTATGCAGCTCTGTTATAAATAGCCCCTCTGTCAAACCTTCTATTAACATGTCTTTTGCAGAATGCAGAAAAATGACATTTGAACACGAGCCATGTTACAGCTGCCCACGTCCTAATCGACAGTATTTTTAAAGTGATAGTCTTGCTTTTGTGTGCCAGTTGGATTAATTAACCTACTGCCCGCTTTTCATTGTCCTCCTTTTGTGTGGCAAACTGTGTGCTGTCTATTTAGATTGGTCAGCCTGTTTCTATGCAAATGAGAGGAATGCGGCATGGTGGCCAATCCAGCAAAGACACACTTGCGGTACCGAGGCACTTCATTCAGCCATGAAAGAATCGACAAGGCCATTGAATGATGGACTAATTAGGCGTGTGCCTCATCCTGTGGAATCATGGTTATGAACCTGTATGCTAAACAGCTGTTTGCTATGGAGGTGTGCATGTCCAGAGGTGATATGCTAAAGGACAGAGGTTGCAGGTCAATAGCTGGGGAGGGAATCTGACATTAAATGCATAGAGGCTGTGTGCAGAAATAATTGCGTAAACTCTTGAGTGATAAAAGTTTTTTGTTTTTTTTGAAAGCCTGAATTTTTTTCTCTGCAAAGCAAACTTGTTCCTTTTCATGTGAGGTGAGTGTAGATAATAAGGCTTTGAAACTGCTGAATCCAGATGTATCCTGAATACATAATGCACAGTGAACATAATAGAGGTACACAGAAAGAGCGAGAGATGTAGATTCAGGTGCGTGGGCAGGAGAACAACGCCACTTATGCATTTACCTCTGCAGTCTAATCACTTGTGTGAGCTTAGATGAGGAGGAGGAGGAGGAGGAGAGTGCATGTAGACACTCACATTTACAATTCAAACAAGCAGAGTGATATTATGTGAGGAATAACAGATGCCTGTGTGATTTCAGGGAGTCATCCCAGCTTGTTCCAACAAGTTATACACCATGTCAGTATGTCTACACCAGCTCTTTAAGTTTCTATTGTGATAGAAACAATGAAAAAAGGTCATAAAATGTACTCACTTTATGTGTGATTTGTGCTATGAAGTTGTGATTTATTAGCATGTTTAACATTATCAACATTATGTATGAACAACAGGCACTGCATGGTAACTGCTGAGAGGGCCCCTCCTCTGCCCCTCCCTCCTCCTTTCCATTCTCACCTCAGTGTTCCTCCCCCACTGGGAGGACATCTGGTCCCCAACGAGACCTGCCCTCCACTCCCCTTTTCCCCTCCCTGCATCCTCTCTCTCCATCCTCTTCAATTCTCCGTCTACTAGCAGGAATCCACTCAGACACGGATTGGAGTGATCCATTAGGAGCTCTTTTTGATGCCGATATCTCCTTCAGCCTAGCGCTGCATGCACACCGTGTGATCTCCTCAAGCACAGGAAGGATGATCTGAAGCATCCTAGAGGAAAGATTTACTCAAATGTTTTGGTTTGTGTCCACTCAATGTGTCCCACCTATTAAAGGATCCAGGCGACTACACACGCTGCACTGTCAGTCGCACACTTGTGTTACACTCATGTTTGCTTTAGTGTGTATGTATCATCATCACACTAATGCATGGTCATTCGAACTGATGGCCCCATTAGGCTTGGCTTAGTTATTGTCTACAGGTTTCAGCACTGATTACTGCCGAGCCCGAGGTTTATCTTGATTCCCTAAAGAGCCAACCCAACCCCCCTCCACCATCACCATGGCGATGCCTCCATGCCTGAATCTGAACATCTATTTCCCACCTATTAGGCAAGGGAGGGGGGGCTTTTAGCTCAAAGAGGCCTTCTAGGACTGGAACATGCACTAAGAATGTGTGTGTAGAGTTTGTATGAGCTCTCATAGATATGGCAGAGATGATGCTACACACAAATGAAATGTTGACCTTTTCGGTGCATGTAACTCACAGAGGGAGCTAAGCAGCAAGAGAGCAGGTCGCTGCTGCTAATGTACAGCAGTTTCTGAGTGGTTTCCACCCACACACAGGACTACTCACACTGGCCTTTAACTGTGATGTTACAAAAGCAGAGGGTTACATCGAAACCTGGACAGTGAGAGCACTCTGATTTGATCAGTGGTGAGTCAGGAAACATGCAGGTGGCCAGATCTGGATGACAGATTTTATTTACTGACAATATGAGCTGACGGTGTACTTTATTAAATGGTGCAGATTTTACGCTAAATGTTAAGACATGACTTGGTACATAGTGCACAATGAAGCCCCAGACCTATTTTCTATTTACCCAGTGCAGCTTGTATTTCTTAATCTTTATCAAGCAAAGGGGACTCAGTCTCTGTCTTTCCTCTGATTGCCACTGATATGTCAGATGAGCTGGCATGCAATTATCTGTCAGTTTCCATTATCTTCAAGATCAATCTTATTGTCTTGTGCAGAGAAACAACCTCATTCATCCACTGCAACTATCGCTCTCATTCTCTCTGCGCCTTTTGTCCATCAGTCCATCTTTCTATCTCTCTATCTTTCCTCTACTCAGCATACAGTTTGAATTACACAGGTCTTTTAATGAAAAACTGCGGTCTATCAGACTTAAGAATTATCAAAGAAGAATATTCATTTAGATTGGAAAGCACAAAATGTCTCATGAAAGAACGAGAAAGATTCTGAAAGAGACACATACTGGTTTGTGGTCATCTTCTATCATGAACAGAGATAAATCAGGCAACTGGACTAAGATAAGTTCATGTGGATCTATGTTGTAAGTTTTTTAAACTGTTATAGACACATCTTCGCAACTAGTGTTAGTTTGAGTTAGGGATGCACTGATCGGATATCAGCTCTGATATTGACAAATTAGCTGGATCGGATATCTGATGAATGACTCCGATCCAGCGTTCTGATCCAGTGTTTTTTCTTTTTTCTTACACAGCAACACAGCGATTCTGTTCGCTCTTTATTCTACGTCTGTCAATTTTTTTGCATTAAATGTTTACATGGAAGTCTTACTTCTTTTTGCTGTGTGCTAATGTGCAATTTGTTATCTGTTAATAACTAATATAAAGTAAATCTGTTTTATTATGTTACCTCTTTTTTTTTTTAAACAAGGCTAATGTCAAGCCTGAAGCCTTCACTCACAGGGCAAGAGGTATTCATTCAACGGTAGTACTGGATCAGTATTGGACATCATCCGATAAGCTCAGTCCAGGTATCAGTATCGGATCGGAATGGATTGGTGCATCTCTAATTTGAGTAAATGAGATCATTAAAACACCAGGGTTTGCGCGTGGTTGATTATGTTAACAGCTGTGTTGCGGTTGCTGTCATCCTCCCATATGGAGAATGAGAGTTTAGTTTATGGCTCTCAAATGGCTTCAGATGGTTTCATTGCTTCTATGAAAGCAGATGGACCTGACAGTTGTGTGATGCTTCATGATTTACTGTAAACACTTGTTACTCGTACTAATGTTTGTACTTAAATTCCCAATTTGTGCACATGATAATTAATTTTTTTGTCTCATTTTCTCCACAGGCGTTTAAGGAAACGCTCTATGCAGCCCAGGACCAAGCCCCATCCATAGAAGGTAAGGAGACTCCCTGTTCGGATAAACAAACTCTCACACACAGACACATCTTCACAGACACGCACTTCTGTACTCAGTGCTCTCTGCTCAGGGCCTGTTTGGGCATCCCCAGAATAACAGCTCTTCATCTGCTAAAAATAGGTGGAAATCAGTGCTCTCATGCTACCACTTACTGCATAGACTATGGCTTAACCAGACTAGGCCTGATTACTAAATCATTACCCTCTACCTTATCATAATATTGGCCAGCAGAAGTCAGTGAAGCTCCAAAGTGAATAAAAAAGTTTAAAGATGTGCATAAGTTGTAAAGTTGTGGATTTGTTGTGGTTTAAAGAGAAGCTCTTTCTCTCTCCTAGTGAGGTTAACTCTGAAAACAACAGTGTTTGATAAACCCGTGTGGCAGAGCGGTGCTGGAGTCCAACGACCAGCAGTATCAAATGTTGCTGCTCGACAGCAAAGATAAGGAAGGCCACCTGCTAAAATTAATCTTTGACATTAGACAGCAAGTGATTCATGCAGAGGGAAAGAATGCAAACCATTTGTTTTTATTTTAGATTCCTGTTTGAGGAGGTAAACAACTTCACTCAGCTGCAGACTTTTAGTTTATAAAGTGTTTATGAGGCTGTGGTCTGTTGAAAACGAAATTTATGCTGAAATACTGATCAAAAGTGACCCTAAATATGTCTGTATATTTGTATTTGTGATTGGACAAGTGTGTGACCCCATGCCCAAATGCGAGTGTCTACAACTGCCAGAGCTCAGTTTCAGCTAAGTAGTCTTGGTGTGTGTTGGAGTATAACGTGATCCCGTAAATGAGAGCCAGAGAAGTACCACAGAGTCTCAGAGAGTCTGGATGACAGAGCTCAGTGTGTATGAGTCAGCTTCAGGCACAGAAATCAGTTTCGGTTTCATTGGTAGACTTATTTTTGGCTGCAGTTGGTGTGAAAAGAGACTCCCAGAGTTTCTCATGTAGAAATAAGTTAAATGTTTGAAAGCTGACTGTGCCAGTAAGAGGGGTTTTTGTAGTTCTTTATCACACAGGTCTTGTATAGCGATAACAAATGGGCTGTGTCTCTCTTTATGAAAACCGTCTCCAGAGGCTGTTAGCAGCGCTCACAGTCCAGCACGGATGATAAATCACTTCCTGTCGCAGGTCTGAGCTGTACTCATAGGTCACTGCTTTGCTTCTGTCAGCTTGTCGCAAGATAGGTGAGGCTGTCTTACTCACAGGGGGAGGATAGATCAATCAGTATAAATTCATACTGTGTCAATCATCTTGTCCTGTTGTGACATTTTAACGTCCCCCTCTGAATCGAATTGATTTGTGTGCCTCCACACCCTTTAACACGGTACAGGGTGTAAACAATAACACTTGAGGAGCCAAAAGGAAAGATCAGCTGAAGAGTTTTCAGAAGGATGTCTTTTCTTCCTGTATCTTTAGTGGAAAGTCAGAAAGACTTTGAAATCATGATGATGAAAACAGCAGCAGACAAACAGTGCGATCGAGCCATGCGCACCTCTCTCTCCTGTGGCTGAGATTTTGTTGACTTTTCATAAGAGAAACCAGATTAGTAGGTGTTAAAAAAAACAAGCTCACTGCAGCACTGTTTTTTTTTTATCAGCCACAAGATCCAATCTGTAAAATCTGATCACATTTGAACTGGGCCAGACTGATATTGGAAAAATGATCTAAACTTATAAAGGTGCCTGGTTTGAGGCAGATGGTCTTTGGGGTTTTGCTACCAATCACACAGGAGCTTATTTGAAACCTTTATCAAATTTTCTTTGTCTTTTACCCATTGGCTTCGTTATTGATACATGAAATTTCATTTTCCATTTCCATGTGTTATACACCAACTATGAATTAATCTATGCAATCAAAATATCCATGGAAAACCACTGGAGCTGAAATCAGCACTTAGTGTTTCTCAAGTGATTCAAGTCCAATTTTTGTAGAACTCAAAGTGATGGCCTCATGTGTCTTGTATTATCTCCTACACTAGTTCATTTACCTGTCGAATGAAGAAGCTGAAATTAATCCAATCCTCAAAATTATTAGGCTAAAAAAAAAAACAGACTATTTTTTCACAAATACTAATCCTCAATCCGCTAAATAAAGAAACCACTTTGGTGCAAGAAACAAATGACCATCATTTTAATAATTACTTTTTGATTAAAATAGTGATTTTTTTTTAAGTGTAATTTAAAATCTCGATCACTACATTTAATTTATTCTAAACTGATCGATTGATTATGAGCCTACTTCTTCCTGTCTCAGTTTCTCTCCCTCTCTCTGAGTCTTCTGCCTCACTCATTAGGAAAAAGCAGCTTTTTTGGTATTCAGAGGACGCTCCCCTTGCCTAAGGGAGACAGTTTACCGGGTTATAATCACTCTGCTCGCTCACTGGACACCCCGCTACACCTGATAGAGCTGTGAGGGAGAGAGACTCAACTGAACAGGCAGCACTTCAAAGCCTCTGTCAGGGCCTTTTACATGTGTAGACTGTTACTACATGGCTGACAGCATCAGAAATAGTGTAATAGGGAATCACAGGAACCTCTGTGGGAACGCTCCGCTGAAAATCATCACCTCCATTTTTAGATTAATTAATCCTTTTAGTTCAAAGATAGGGGTAATGGACTGATTGATAGAAGGGATTAACACAGACATACTCAAATAAAGATGGTTCTGCCTCCACACATAACCCCTCACCCCTCATTAAAATCCTTTGTCCTCATCCTCCACGCCTCTCTTTCTGGGCTTGTGGAGCTGTAATTAAGACACACCTGTCCCTGTACAGAGATGAGCCACTGGACGACAAGAGAGAGAACAGCTGGCTGAATCTCGAGCTCCCTCTGTTCCAATCATTACAATGAGCTATAACACCATCTAATTCAATTAGTTCAGAGATCATAGCAGAGATATGAGAACAATGGTCTGGATAATAAACTCATAGCTGTAGCGGGGTGTGTGTGAGTGAATGTAATGCTATCTACGGCAATGTTGTAATGCTGTATGCTATACATACCTTTTGTTTGATGTATATTGGGATTTTTTCTGCATGGGGAAGAAGTTTCATACCAGTCATTCATTCACTCTTCCTCATTCATTCATTTCTTTATTCACTGTGCCATTCATTCTGCTGCTGTGTAATGAATGTCTATCACTGTGATGGTATCTGTGCTGGGCTAGAGTGAGTGGGAGCTGTGGGAAAATGGCAGTGATGGCACTGGTTGATTCACACTGGGACTATGGGTGGGGCTTACACACACATACACATACGAACGCTAACACAGGCATGTTGTCCAAGGAGGGGGTGGGTCGCTATCTTATCGACTTTCAGCTCAGGAGACCAGAGGATGGATTTCCTTCTGAGTCACAGGGTCTCCGTGTTGGAGATGAGTGAAACAGACAAAGAAGAAAATAACTATGATTGGATGATGTATAATCCAACATAATCATTTCTGTCTCCTCTAGTAAAGGTCTGTCTTCACCAAATTCCCACCTTATTTTTACCACAGCCTTGTGGCTCGGCTGGCAGTTGCCTCAACCCTTCAGGGCTTTCCATGTTTTCTGCAGCCAAATCGATAAGTGTACAAAAGCAGTGGTGTGAAAATAGGAAGCTTGCAGTGCTTCTTGGTATGGTGGAGAACTCCTGTACCATTTCTTACGAAGATACAACATGAAATTGACCTATAAATCTCTTCTTTATCAAATTCCATTAATGGTCAGTCAATCTTGAAAAAATGAAAAAAATGTACCTTAAGACGCTTGACAAAGTGAGCTGATCAGACCATACCCTTAATTATGTAAAGACACATCATCAAGATAGGACAAGATGAAGTCCCATCTTGTAGGAATAGAACCGCTCCTATAGCAGCATAAGCAGGACTAAACCTGAAAAGCTCTAACTTTACCAGAAAAGGAAGATTTTAAAGCACTTTTAAAAGTTGAGGGGATGTCTGCCTAACTAAGAAGACTCTGCCACCCAGACTACAGACGACAAGCATGCCTACACACTTGTTCTGGTATGGTAATAGGGAATTACAAGCCCAACTATGAAGAGCTCTGTAAGTCAGATGACGGGTTTTAAATTCTTTCCTAAAGAAACGAATACAGTAGAGATAAGCTCTCCGCTCTTGATTTGGGTCAGCACTCAATCTTCAGTGTTTTGGACCAGCTAAGGTCTTTAAAGACTTGTTAGGACAGCCTAATAGACAGAAATGACAGTAATCCAAATTTAGAGGGAACTCATGTTCTGGCTAGGTTTTCTTCTTTGTTAAAGGGTATATATCCTGATCAAAAAAACCTCCTAGATTCTTAACAGTGGTGCCTGATGCCAGACTAATGCCATCTTCTGCATTTATATTACTAGAAAATATATCTCCCTGATGTGTTTGGGGACCAGAACTGTATCTTCAGTTGTCAGAATCAAGCGGCAAAAAATTACAGGTCATCCAGGTCTTTATTTTGTAAATGCAGGCTTCAAGTTGGTGATAGATAAAATTAAATATCATCAGCATATCCATGAAAATATATCAAGATTTTATTTGTGATATTCCATAGAGAAAGCCCAAATGAAAGGTGAAAAGAATTGGTCCAAGCACTGAGCCATGTGGAACTCCATATTAATCTTGGTGGGCACCATCTGTGATCCAAATGATGTCAGTAAAAGATATTCATGTGCAGAGATTGTTACAGGGCCTTGCAAATTGAACATATGTGGCTGTTACTAACATGAGATATCTCCACCATTTTACTCTGCTGTGGCTGCTTCAAGTCTGTGCTGTCTCTTGTTCTTTAGTCGCTGTGTGTAAGTCTCTGTTTGTCTGTCTGTCCGTGTATTTGTCTATTTCTCTGCTACTTTCTCCTTCTTCACATTGCTCTGGTTGGGTGGTTGAATACCTTGTTGACCGAACACAGCCTACACACAACTTTACTGAATAAAATACAACAAAGAGACATTCTTTGTATGTTAAAAGTCACAAGAGGACTTTTATTGTGTTTCAGCCTTTGTAGGAAAAAAAAAGGGGGGGACTTACTGACAGACATGGTGTCGTGTTTAGGACCTGACTAGTCTTGAGCTAGACATGAAAATGAAATTCTCTCTGGATACTGTCCTGCTATTACAGCAGAAACATCAAGTCTTCTGGTAGTGTGAAGTAGACACAAAAACCACCAAAATTATCCAGTAGTTAAATTTCCAATCTCAGGCACCACCTCAACTCTACACCATGTCTGCTATTGTTCCCGCACCTTCTTGAACATTTTTTTCTCATTCACGTGGCTCTTTATGGCTTTTCACAGAACATTGAATCTGGAAACTGTTGCATCTTTTCCTGTTCTCCCAGTGGCCCTCTTACAGCTGTCTGCTGAATACTTTTGTGTCTGTGTGCGAACCATCATACCTGAACTACAGAGTGAAAATGGCAGCATGAATCACTGCCCCAAATTACCTCAAAAACACCTTTCGGCCATCACCTATACTGTTATTTTCTATTGGTCATGATGGTTGCTCACCAGCCATTTTGTCTGCTGTTGTTGACGAACATGATGAGAGGTTAGTCGAAGCCTGTATGATCCGGCGCTGATTGTTATTCCGCTGGCGTGTATGGTGGAACAGCAGCTGTTATTACTGTTTTGTTCCCCTCTGAGTCTGCACTTGCCCCCCTGTGAAGAAAAGCATCCTGATTTCTGTCATTTTTAAGCAGTCTTGCAAAAGAAGAGCTGCATCCATTTTTCTGTTCCATTTTAAATTCTCAAGAGTGATATTTACCTTTCCCTTGGTTCAAACCACTGCATCAATATGTTTCTTTTATAAGAATCCTTCATTTTAGGGTCATTTATGTTGCAGCTTTTCAACACAGCAGTGACTGTAATGCATTTAAAGTCCCACTCCAATCGTATTTTTTTACTACTTAAAGTGTTCTCATTGGTCTTTCATTGGGTTTTTAAAGTTTTCACCAAGAATAGCACCATTTCACCAAGCCTGTGTCATTTTCAAGGACTTTTCTTCTGCAGAGTTCCAGTAAATCATTAGCAATTCACCTCTGAGTCGTGGGCAGAGACAACGCTGCTCTGCACACTCGACTTCACGTTAGCTTACAGCCTAACAATGCAGGTATAGTAGAAGTGGCAGGTAACATAGGAGTTATTCAGCTCTCAGACACTAATGTCTTAAGGGACATGATAAAAGCTAATATCATAATTAGCTTTCTCATGAGCATTACAATCTGCTAACGCATAGGCTTGTTCCGCGTCCTCTGTATTTGTCCTCTATATGCAGAGTGTGGCCTGCATAGCGGGGCTCCAGAGGCGGAGCTTGGAATTGTGACATAAGAAATCTCACTGTGTCTGAACCTGCCGTTTGGGTCTGCCAGAGATTCACTGTGATTTTAATGAAGAAATACTAAGAAAAGCAATTTCACATTTAGTTTTCTCATGATATGTCCTGTAGCATCAGGAAAATGCCTTTGAACATATAGAAAACAAGAAAACATGATTTTCATCGGAGTGGGTCTTTAAAGTGCACAGTTGTCAGTATCACCTGCCTGGGTTTCTGGAGCCATAGTTGGCCTTATTTTGATTAGCTGTTGGAGCTGCTGAGAAGAGAGAAGGGTTAGCAAACACTAATTCAGCAAAGTTATTCATTTCCATGGCAGGACTAATACATTTGCTGGCTTGATTACAAGCCACTCAACACATGGTGAGATTCTTGGAAATTGCTTCCTATGAATGCTAGATTAATCAAGATCAAAAAAGAAAACTGGAGCACAAATTTATTGCACAACTTAACAGCAGCAAGCCATAAAAATTTTCTGGTACTTTCATGAAAAAGTCTCCATAACACAACAGCACCACAAATAAGGCCAAGATAACATTTTCAATGACTCAACGCACAAGAGTACTTTATGAATTATGAATACCTTTTTATGCATCTCGGAATAGTAAATAAATAAATGAATACATACATGTTCAGCAAGTCTCCCGGGCTCAGCTGCTCAAGGATACACACACAACAGACACCTGGGCAGTGGGGTTATAGAAATAAATACACCTGTGTGTGTGTGTGGTTGGAGAGACAGACATATGCTGGCAGGATGGCAAGAGGTCAGGCAGGCGCTCGGGAGGTGAGAAAGATGGTGGATATCAGGGAGACAGATGGACAGCAGACAGACAGGTAGACAGGCAGGGAGGGTTCAACAGGACGGCAGTGTGTCAGCTGAGGTCTCCCACCAGCCTGCATTATTGATGGGCTCTTTGACAAGCTGCTGCTCATGACTGGTTCCAAGCGCTAATTGTTGTTTTTTAGTGGGGGTTGGTTCCTCTTTTTGTCCTTAATTATGGTGCCATGTTGAAATTGGATTAAAAGAAAAAGCCAAGTCACACCTGATCCAATAGAGCATGATTGAAAGAGGACTGAGAGAGTAGGATTTTATTGGCACAGACTGAGGGAGACCTTTTGAGAATTTGAGCAGAAAAAAATGTATTCAAAATTTTATTCATTGCTAATAAAAATGCAAATAAAGACGACTAAGGCTTTTTTTTATACAGTGGGGATTTTTATTCCAAAGTATAGTGCAACTAATAGCCATTAAAAAGGGAAATTCTTGAGCCTCGGCATCTATAACAAATCCAAAGAATATTTCTCTTGGCACCTGAGCGCGTTAAGCTTCCAGCGTGGATTTAAGGCAGTCCTGATCCCTCAAAGCATTAATGAAGGAGGTGGATTGTGAGATTGGTCCTTTCTCGAGACTTCTAACAGTATAAGTAGGGGGAGAAGCAGGGGGGGTCAGGGTCAATACAGACCTGGGATCTCTATCCCAAGGTCAGGCACTAATTGAATGAAGGATAATGATCGATGAAAAAAGGTGATAGGGACATAGATGAAAACTAGAATGATAAAGATAGCCACTACTCTTTCTTTGACATTGATGTTGGTATTGTGATAGAATACAGAAAAGGAAGTATGTTGTAAAATAATGATAAACTGGTTATATGTAATTGTCATAAATGTCCAGTCTGTAAGAAGAAGACAGACTCAGAAAGAGAGATAGAGTGATCCTTCAGGCAGCAGACAGACAGACAAACAGACTGAGTGGGAGGTCCCTGGGCTCATCTCCAATGCATGTTGCCCTGCATTAGCACTACGGCCATCCTGCAAAAGAAAGACAGAAAGAGAGAAAGAGAACCTTGATAGATGAAAGTCTCCTATCCGTCCATCCATCCATCCATTATTCATTGGTGAATTAGATCTCGCCTGAATGAAGGAGAGGAGAAAGGGGAGGAGAGGGAGAGAGAGGAATCTGTTGTGACGTTGGGAAAGGGTGAGGAGTTCAGGTTAGGATGTGTTTCATGCAGAGAGGGTATTTTTAGAAATTTGGTACATTTTACAGAAGTGTGGACGGATGAGATTTCCAGTGGTGCAAATGTAGTGTTAGGAAAATCAGGGGAAGGGATTTGAGATTTAAGAGTGAAGAGAGCACAGGGCTCGGGTGTGTACAGGACATGGGATAATGAGTGGAAGGTTTTGTTGGGACTGTAAGTAGTGCTCAGAGGAGTCAAGGTCAGTCTACGACCCCGTGAGCTAGCAGCAGGGCTATCGAATAGTTATTAGGAAAGCTATGAGGGCTAGAGCACTTGTAGCAGGTGCTAGAGATTTATGGCACTGATAGAGAGCCCCAAAGTGCTATCGACAATTCTTCAAAAGATATCACATAAAAACCTAATCTGTTCCCCTAAGTAAAGAATTAAAATGCAGCTACAAGAAGGTACAATATAATTAAGTGTGCTAACAAAATACACACAAAAAGTACTCAACAACAACAACAATCACATTTCAAGTAAGGAAAAAAAAGAATTTACATCTAGTTAGCTAGATAGCAGCTACATGCCAGCTGTAGGGAAGGTATGTAAGGTAGCCTAGAAGTGGCATGCTTCTTCTTCTGACTACTAATGAGACAGTCCTGACTATTGGTGTCAAGTTCCCAAACATATTGGAAATGAGTGTTGTTGCTAGCTGAATTAACAGTCACCATCACAAACAAAAGCAGACAATTTTTTTTTTTAAGCTGAAATATCTTAGGCTGCTAGACAGTGAACTGTAGAGCCTGATTATACATTACACAAATATGAGATATGGGACAGCTGTATACGAGGCAACTAAATAAGTCATACAACAAGCAATGAAGGTCAATGATCATGGCTACTTGCATTAAACCGATGTTGTTTTCAGAAGGTATAACCCTATCTATGGTCTATGTATGTCTCCACATGTATTTTCATTATAAAGGTACACAGTCAGCATTGCCTGTTCAGTGAGGCTTAATACACTGCAACCCCTCTTTGGTCCTGGCTCTCAGTTCTCAAATGTAGTTGTGAGTGCTTTATAGGCTCAGAAGTCCTGGAGTCAACACTGTATTAATTCTTTCCCTGCATGTGTGACTAAATATGTGTGCACATCTGTCCCGGCCTTGGCGATGATCTCCTGATCTTCATAACTTCTGAACATGTTGCCAAACTAAGGGTGACAGGAACAGGCTGTGATCATCTTCAAAGACGGACAGAAACCTCGAGCCGCTTCTCAAGACAACTACAAAATAATTTTCTCTATCTATAAACCTTTCACTACAAAGAGACTTGAATCTTGCTAATGCTAAGAAAATAAGATATGGATAACATTATCTGGCTGTTTGCCATGTGTACAGCTGGGGATCATATACAAATCCGAGCTAAACTATCTGAAGCATGGGAGGCATGTGAATGTAATGAGAACTGTCTGCGTTGATCAGAAATCAGCTGTCCAGGCCTCAGGGCTTTGGTGTATTTGTTTAGCATTAGCATGGCTTCCAATGTATGATCTGACCTCTGTTATGAGGCAAGTTATTGTTATTAATTGGCAATGGGAAGCCCCATCAACAGATCTGGATGCGTGCCAAATAGATCAGCACAGCTCTGCTATGAAACGGATCAGTCAGAGCTGACTGTGTGGCATTTATCTAGTGAGGATTCACACGGGCTTGATTTAGCTGATGAATTTCAATGGATTTATTCACTGACTGAATTGCTCTGCTGGAATAATAAATGCTAAGTGGATCTTAAGATTTTGATGTCATGTGCGCCCATGTGTCGTCCATGTATGTTTCAAGACTGAGGATCAGCAGATTGAGTTACAGAGGGAAGAATGCAGAGCAGACAGGTGATGATGGATGGATAGAGAGAAGAATAGGGACATGCGACCTTGTCTGTGCTGTGTGTGTTTTGATGATTTTATCTTCTCTCTGCTACTCTGGTGTATATCTCACTCTAGACAGAAGCTCACACACACATACACATATTCATGCATGCAGAGATTCTCTCAAACAGACACACAAGCACATACAGAGTTGTATTCAACAGGGGGTGTGGGTGTGAGTGTGAGCTATAGGTGATGACAACAGGGCCATATGCTGATTTATTTCTGGTGTTTTTTTCTTTTGGCACCATAATAAGAGTACAGTCACTGATGATATTACATGGTATACACACTTGGCTTTGTATATGTATTTTTTCTATAAACAAATGGATATTAAAAAAACATTTGCTTGTTCTGTACACAAATTTCATTGTAATGCAGTTAAAGGCTTTAGGTTTAGTGTTTTATACTGCTTTAATTTTATCTGTATGGACATTAGCAACCTTTGGTTGTCGTTTTTGTCGTTTCATTGGCGTCTTTGTACTGTATGTGTTGGATAGTGTGAAGGTCATTGCAGAAGACGCAGCGTCCTTCACTGGACCAGTTTGCTGCATTGTCTCTCTCTGGAGAAATGGTCCGATCTTTGCTGAGATTGGCTCAGAGGCCTTGAAACGCTGGTACAATGTACCAATCACATGACGCTAATATAGAGCTGTCTCCTATATTGCCATATTGACTTTCAGCTGATTGTCAACATAATCACAGGCATCAGCGCTTCATCTTGCAGCATGGGAATTTATTTCCAAGCTGATATCTGATGGAAGAAAAATCTCTTGCTGCTGAGTTTGACTTCAAATTGAGCCTGGCACCATAAGGGTCATTTTCAGTGTATTCAGAGTGTGTGTTTGTGTGTATCTGTGCTTGGAGGGTGGGTTCCAGGGATGGCATATATTTGTGTTTGCTGTGCTCTTTATATATTTCATCCTCTACCGTTTGGCCCCTAAGAAAAATTGTAGCAACACAGGCTGAGAAAGACAAAGAAGTGAGCAGACAGACAGAGAGACACTCAGAAAAAATGAGAGAGAGCAACTATGAATGAGAAAAAGAGAGGTGACATTGGTGGTAATTGGAGGAAAAGAAGCGAAAGCCTCAGGGAGCCTCCTGTTTCAGGCGTTACTATGGCTGACAAAAAATGTGTGAGAAATGAAGGAGATCTGGAGGCAGAGTAAAATAGAGTAACACAAAGCTCTTTCAGTTGCTTATTAAATAAATTTGGATTCAAAGCACATCCATATTTCTCTCCTGTGATGGCAGCAATAAGAGTCATGATTTAGGTTTAATACATTTGAGTTCAGAGGGCAGAAGAATATTGGTCCAGATACATTTTTTTCTATATCAGCTTCTTCTATTTCTGAGACAAAAGAAGTGAGACAGATATCAATAATTCACAGCTGTTGTTTCCTCTAGGACAGCCTGTCTGATTTTTATATTAAATCCTGAATTATTAACAGTGTGTTAGATTGGAAAAGTGGTGAATCTCCCTCCTGATGCTCATGAATCAGTATATATCACCCACAAAAGCCTAAAACAGGTAAATAGTTCAAGTATTAAAGTAGGAGGTAAATGAGAGCTGTGTAAGTGCAGTTTTATTTGTAACAATTACATGGATTTCACACTAAATACTCCACAGAGACTTTAACTCACAAAGGAATACAAACGTGCACACACACACACACACACACACACGCACACAACTTTCGTATTACTCATACGATGTCTCTAACTTTGATTCTTGTTATAGTCTTTTTTTTTTTCAATTTCTCCAAACTATACTTGCAACATGCTGGCCTGAAGAAATATTCAAATTTCACATCCTAGTAAACATCTGCCTAATGAATACAATAATCAAAACCTTTAATAATGCTGTATTACCTCCGTGTCAGTTTATGTATTAATTCATTAGTTTTTGCAGCAATTTTCCGTTACACTGCACACTGCATTTTACATCAACGTATCAGTCTGTCCTTATTTGATTTATGTTTTACAATTGTTATATATATAATTTATTTGACTATTGAATATTTTTATCTTGTAGAGTCAGTATATTTTATAGTTCTGTCATATATATTTGCCAGGATATTTGTGATCAATAAAGGAGACCCATTTATCCACTTATCTTCATATCTACATCATTTGAGGCTGCGCAATTTTCAAAAAAGTGACATAAGAAATTTTTCCTTTTTGTAAGATACATTTTGTTCAGAAAACAAATAGAAACCAATGATGAATACTGAGGGTCTACTCTGTGTTCAATTCTGAAGTCTAAACTTGTGAAACTGTGTGGCTGCAGTTCTAACAAGCCGAGTGACACTTTACAGAAGCTTATAAAAGTTTTACAGATGGACCTGTGGGTCATTTACACCAATCGGCCATCACATTATGACCATCGACACATGAAGTGCATCATATTAATTCTGTCTTTACACTGACACCTGTCGGTGGGTGAGATATATGAGGCAGCCATTGAACAACTTGCCCTTGAAGTGTGATGGAAGCGGAAAAAAAGGGACAAGCAGAAGGATTTGACTGTGTGATCTAATCCAACAGAAAAGCTGGAAAAAGTTCATGCTGACCCTGTTACAAAGGTTTCAGTGCACACAGTGTGTCTGAGCTTGTTGTATAGGGGGCTGAATAGCTGCAGGCCTGTTAGGATGTCCATGCCAACCCTTTACACAACCAAAAGTGCCTATAGCCGGAATGTGAGCGTCAAAACTGGACCACAGAGCCATAAAAGTAGGTGGCCTGATAGAAACATAACAGTTTGACTCTTGAACATGCACACATCATAGTTGCACTGGTTAAATAATTTCTCTCAAAACCCCACCCACCCATCAACACCTACCTTTCCACCTATCAGCCATGAAAAGTATTGATGCAGGCCATGTAAATTGGCATTATTATAAATGTCCAAACTTAGCATTAGCGACTGTTTAGTCCAGAGGCAGGTGTAATGACAACCTCTAAATACTTTTGTAATGAACCACAAACTGTGGGCTTGAAATGCAGCAGAGCAAATATAGAAGTGTATACGGTACATTATGCATTTGTTATGATCTCTGACTCCTCTCTATAGCAGTCATCTTGACTTCTAACTGGCACCACTATAAAACATGGAGGCACTCCTTGATGGCTTTTCAGCAGAAACAACAGTTTGTCTCTGTTTTGCATTTTGTCCTTGGGGCAAACTGCACAGATTCTTCTCGACAAGTGCGATCTGATAATTAGGCCTCATAATCATCCTATTAGTATGCAGCTCGATTGAGCCGAGAACAGCTTATTGTTCCCCTGGCATGGGCTGCAGCCATTTGTAAGAGGATTATTGTAAATTTCTTGTTAGGGTTTTTATTACAATGGATCATATGTGTAATGACTTAAATTGCTGTTTTGTTAATCTCAGAAGCATTTGTTCTCAATGCAGCTAGTAGTCTGTGGTTGAAATGAAGGCAGTTTTGCTAAATCTTCTATTAGGATACTGGTAATGATTTTGGAGGCATAAAATCATTCAGAGGGGAGAGTGGCACCATACTTCTAAGTCTGTTTCACTGTAGAGTTGCAACCTTACTTTCTGCATCCTTCTGCAGAAACACAAAGCCGAGCTGAACCGTCTCCATCACGGTTACCATGGTGCCAAAGAAAGGGACCAGAATCACTTGAGCCTTGTTTTGTTCCTCTGACATTCAGGATCCAAACAGGACAACTGGAGAACACGTGGAACCAAGGCCCGGGTTGTTAGGTTGAATTTTAATACAGTCTGCTGAAAGCAGGCCGACACCTCCTGTGAAGACAGACAAACAAGCTAATGGGCCTAAACTAGCCAAACTAGTATAGGAACTATCTAAAGAAGAGTAACGCCATATATTATAGACTAAATATAAAGTGTGTTTAAAAGTTAGAGCCATTTTCTGATGTTTTTGGATAAAGGTGTTTATCCGTGGATATTCTTTTATTTTTGTATTTTTCAACTATCAACCAGCCAAGAAACATTTTTTTAGTACTCCTGTCTGTCACTGCTGCTCAGTGTACCATAATATAGAGAGATGCAGATTCTGGTTCTGCTGCTTACATTCATTAACTTACGTGTCTTTCAAACTGATGAAATCTGCGGTATGATGGGGTGTAATGAACCACTACTTCCTCCTACTTTGGTTAATGGTAGGGGTGGAATTAGAGTTGCCTTATGCATATTATTTGCCACAATATAGGTATTTAATTCTTTTAAAAGACTGTTATTATCAATACTGCATTGTGACATCCTTAGTAATGCACTAAAATATTTGAGAATGTCACTGTGTGCTTTTGGAAACAGTAATTATTTGTTTTAACTATTTTTTAACTATTTTTTATCAGCAAATAAATCTAAAACAACAAAAGTTGTTCAATTCAGCCTTCAAATCACCTTTCTGTCGTGGTTTTTATTCAAAGTATAAAGCTGTTTTGGTTTGACTCCAGTTTCTTAGTGTCTCCAGAGAAGTGAAGTGTGAGTGTGCAAGAGTTTGTGTTTCTCTGTGGACAACCTGGTTGACAAGGAACAGGTCAGATCTCTGAGAGTCGATTTGTCTGCCCTGAAAGGAGAAAAAAAAAACAGCAAGATACTGTTTGCTGCAGGCAAGGCTTTAGGAGGCTCAGCCAGTATGGTTCATCCTCTGATAGATACACACACATACACACACAAACACACGATCTCTCAACACCACTCTGAAACCACAGACATCTCAAGCTCTGATTTGTTGGTCTATTTATACGCAGGCCAGATGAAAGGGATGAATGGGAATTCGGTGCCCCTGTGCTGACTGGTGGTTGACAGACAGCGACTGCCTCTCCTTTACATGCTGCTCTTTAAACTCAGCCAGCATCTACCCCATGGTGCACACATTACCCCCACCACACACACACACACAAAACACAAATGCCACTCACTATGGATGCCCAGTTTGTATGCACGCTACTCTGCAGAGTCAGAAATAAACCATGTGCCCAAAAGCCTTTTTAAGTACCCCTCAAATCAAGTGTACCATAAACACAATTGTCTACTTGTGAGGGCTCTGATTGTCATAATGCATTTCCTAAATATTGACTGTTACTTTAGCCTCATGCTCATGATACAACATGCTGATATTTGGGACCAGAGTGTAACACGGCTTTTAAACAACAGCTCATAGCAGAAAGTAGCAGCAGGTGTACATTCATCTACAAGTTTTCATTTAGCTTGAAACTGCTGAAATAGTCTGATGGCATCTGTTTGGGTTGCATGTGTGATCCATCAAGCTAGATACAGACTATTTGCTAAATCACTGACTGTACTCCGAGCACCTAAAGCCATACATAGAGATAACATCCTAATTCAGTTGCACTCCTTTTTCAAATAGAGCTATTTTTCCAAATTTCTTGGTCAGACCTGTGATACAATTAACATTCATGTTTCAAACCCGAGCCACTGAAAGAAAGCTACCTGTTTCTGAAGGCCACCGATTTTGAGAAACACAGATTAAATGAAAATGAATGAGTTAATATTAGTGTTTGTTTTTGAATTAGTCCGAATAAAGATTGTCCTTCCTGCTCATTTGAAATCATTTTAATGAGATGACTTCCAAGCTTGACAAGGTCAATGTGCTCCTGATCCGATTGAGTCAGGAAATTGCTCCTAATCTAATAATATCAAGTACTGGATCCCTTCCTCGCTGCCTGGGTGACCAAGGTAAAATGGAGAGTATGATAGCCCATTCATAAGTTAGAGTTACAGAATCTTAATGAGGAGATGGAAACTGATGGTCAGTGGGAAAGTTGAGCTGCGAAATGCACCGCACTTTCACATTCTCTCATGTTTGACTGATGTTTTCGTTGATAAGAATGGAAAGGAGCAGAAAATCACCGCAGCTGGTATATCAACACAGATTTAAACACACCCCTTTTTTGTTTTCATTGTAAAGAACATTAAATTTCTCGTGTACTAAAAATCACCCATTACTCTAAGGTTGCTACAGTATTTCCTGACTATATTGACTGGCTGTCGTGTCAAAGAGGGTTGTTTTGCTCATCCTCGCACCACCTGAGCCTACAAGCATTGCAAACAGCTATTTTAGTGTCCATTCCTTTATACAGCCATCATGTTTAAGGTTGCTGTGTTGTAGGTCATGTGCACATAAATAATGCATCACCATTAACAGCAGAAATGTCACTATCTGGCAAGACTGATTATTAACTTTTAACGCTATTCTGTATCAATACTGATATTATTCTGATTACGGCATGCATCCTTACTTTTTGCACGTTTAAGTTATTAGTGTCTTTTTTTTATTTGGTTCATTTTCAGAAGTTGTGACCTTTTACCATTTGCCTATCCTTTCTTCCACTTGTGTCCTTAACACCCTTCCTAAACAACCTTCTTCTTCTTCCCCCTTTGAAAGTGTTACAGCCCCAAAGATTTGTAGTGTGGATGTAAATTGTCCTGTTAATTTCCAATGCATTTGTCTCTGCTGTTGAGAAATGCAGTTGAGGTGTGCATGGTTATAACTTTAGCTCTGCTTGACTGCAGCATTTCCAGCCACTGTGCAAGATTTGTTCCCCTTCTCTTTTGAAAGCGCCTTGTTTCATGTCCCACTAATCTGCTGGCTTCTGGATATCTGCCCTGTTTGTTATATGTGTGTGTGTGAGTTTTAGTGTGTGTGTCTGTGTCAGTGTGTTTTTTTCCCCCCTAAATGTTTCCCTCCTTCTTACATTTCAGTTCATTTTGTCTTCAAAGTCAAGCTGTTTAGTGCGACTCTTATCAAGAGGCTGCAGCTGTTGTTGGTTCGCCAGTGCGGCCTGGAGAGACACCTTCACACACATGCACACACACCAACACCCTTGGTTTACCCGAGCCAAGCTGACTACAGCACACACCTTTCACCGATCATGAATAATAATATCTAGTTGATGTATTTACCTGCAATATGAAATGGCTAAAAGGGGGATTGAGTGTCTCATATTGTTTTCAATAGAGGGCCCTGCCAGAGTATAATTTTTGAACATGCTCTTTACATTTCCTCTAATTATTTTCATCTTCAGTCATTACAATCAGCAGTGTTATTCATGCAGGTTTTGGACATTTTTCTGCTGAAATTACAATGATTACAATAACAGTTCAAATGGCAACCGGTTTCCTCTGTAGCTGTTCTAAGCAGTACACAAATAGCACGTAAGATAGTAAATATTGCACAAGTCTTTCCATGATACATGATGACGTTTCCCAGCCGACATGTTCAATCTCATGGGTGATGATGTATTTGAAGCCGTGGTAGTGTTCATGGTGTGCTAGCTATAATGTTACTCGCTGACCCCCTCTGTTAATGGCATGTCCCCACACTAGGTTAATGGATGCAGAGTTTCCTCCATCTCTACAGCACAGCCTGGCTGTGTCTTCTTCCATGGTTACGGTGGTGGAGCCTGAGCTCTTATTCAGCTCAGATTAATGGCCCCAGCTTGGACTATTGACACAACACTTATCTTGTTTTTATGAGTGCAGCGGTGGTTTCTATCTATAAATGTTAGAGGCCCACGTGTACACAGCCATGCACTAAAAATTGCACACACATACACACACGCTCACTCCCCTCACTGTGTCCCACATGTGGATAGAGTTCAGTTAGGGCTTAACAGTAGTTTAGTCCTAATGAGGCTAAGCTCAAGATAATGTGTACAGCTGATCTGGACTGTTACATGGAGTGTTAGCAATACTGAGACACATACTGGAAATGCCTTAGATATAAAATGCAACGATAAATTCGGCATCAGTGAGTAACTATTCAGATATCTTCATTATTTAGCCCTGCCTAAATAAAAGCATTCATTAAAAGTTATTTATTTTATTGAATTCATAATGGTTCAATTTCCTCCCCTTATTCTTCAAAGGATTAATCATGTTTCATTTGACATCTAAAATTTCACTGATGTTCCTATATTGTATCATGCACATGCTTTCACGTAGTTGTAGTGTGTGTGTCTCCTCTGTGTACTTCGTATTGTCTCAAATCTCGTTAATTGTTGATTTTAACAGCATGGAAAGAGAATGATGGTATTTAAATGCTATAAATTTAGATATTTCATTAGTTTAACCATAACCTTATCATACCTTCTTAGATTATCTTTGGTCTAAAGTCTATTACAAACTTGTGTCTTGGGGACATTTAGAGTGATCAGTTAACCCAACTTCTTGAAACAGGGCTTTTATCTCCTCCTTTCTTTGTTGTTTTTGTCCACCCCTCAGCTCCTGGATATACTCCAATCTGTAACAATCTGTCTGAGTTACACCTCTTCTCTGTATGAAGGTTCTGCTAAAGGGTGTCATTCTGAAGTTTGAGGGTATCTTATTTAACTCTCAGCTTCCCGATCTCCTCCTAGTCTTTGGGCATGAAAACTTTTTTCAGCTTAACCTCAAGGAATTCAGACCTTCCTTTTTTCTCCCTGAGCATGGTCCGGTACCTTTGGAGGACCTCCTTGGATGTATTTAGGAGTGCTTTAAGCTCACTTCTGTTTTCTCTTGCACTCTTCTGAAGATCCAGCTGATCCTTCAGGTCTTACTTATTTCTGGAGCGTGATCCTGTGTATCCGCTCCATCATACACTCAGCTTTTTCTCAACAAAATTGGTCCCAGTGTTGTTTGGCCTTGACATTTGCTCTGTGGTGCTCATAGGTGAAATACTCCACCTGACCCCAGAGTTCATTATTTTCACTTATCTCTGACTCGAGCTGGGCAGAAAGATCAGTGATCTTCTTTTCCTGATGGCAGCTTTGCTCCTTCACCATCTGCAGCTGAATCTTGATCTGGCTAAGCTGAAGACTTCAGAGATGTCTGTGATCTGCACACGGGCCTTTGCTGATGGACCTATTGTTGAAGTCATGGCAGAATGTAATAGCTGTACTCACAGTAGTTCGTCACCTGTTGATAGGTCTGAGATGAAATGAACTGATTTCGACTGGTAAGCTTCACTACAACAATATATTGCTGTATTGATATTTTGTCCCACCTCTGTTGTTTGCTGCCCGTTGGCAAACACTACCTAACATAATAACAGAATAACAGAGGCATGAGGTTTCTGCGGGGACTCATAGAGCTGTTTACAGAGCCTCTCTTGAGTTAAAGCTTTTATCAGGAACACCAGAAAGAAACAAATGTATAGAGAGACTCCAGCTTGTGTAATTCAGTTACAGAGAGAGTTCACCAAGCACTGCATATCGGTAATGTTTGTATTATAATACAGCCTCGCAGCAGATCAGAGGGAAAGAGAATGAGGATGAGCAGATAAGATGTCCCTGTAGACTTCACTTCCTCTGTACCTGGAGGATCAAACACAAAGACTGAACCAAACATCACAGACACTGTCAGTCATGGTTAGGATAACAGATTGCCTGAACTTCTGTCTGTCAGAGAGAAGAGGATGGTGTGTCATTGTGTGTGAGTGTGTGTAGAGAGGGTGGGGGGCATGACAGGGATTATAAAAGAGGAGTACAGTATATTTGTTACAGCCAAGCCAACTTTCCTTTGTCCACACAGCATTACCTTTGTTGTCAAGTGTGTATTGTTAGGGTACACACTCATAGTGGGGTTCACTCAGCAAGTTTTCAAGGTAAGAAGCCCTTTAATAGAACTGTGTAGTAGTAATATGTCAAAATAGATGACTTCACACTCAGAGAGCTCTTGAGACTCACCGGAGTGGAAACAGCTCCATATCTGGCTATGTTTGGAAAACTGAATATGTTTCCTGTCACGTTTCTTTACACTCCACGCCTCAGAGAGCATGTTTTCTCGTGGGTTTATGATATTTCAATCATACTCGGCAGTGTTGGGAGGAAAATGTAGAATGAGGAGTATCAGAGGGTCTAAAATAACAATAAATAATCTGTTTATTTACCGAGCCCTTTGAGTAAATGAGGTTACAAAGAGCTTTACACAGGCGGTAGAATAAAACTTAGTAAAACATAATAAAACAGGCAGGTAATAAAATCACACAAAGCAAGGACAAGAACTAACACACATTAAAATACACAAAGTGAGGGATAATGTTTTGGAAAACACCTAGAGGTTCAACAACCCACTTAATGTACTGTTGGAGAAATAATTGGATTCATAATGCATGATGACTGCTTCAGGGAGCGGTTAAAAGGTATACAAACAAACGAACAGTAGAAGAAGTTCACTAATTGAAAGTCTGTGACATGTAGATAAGTTATAGAAATGTCTATCCTAGAGCCTGAAATCGCTACAGTACACAGATACATGTAAACACAGGCTTGCTCTTGTGTTCTTTCTTATCTCAGGTAGATATTGTGTGCTTAAGGCCATCGTCTCTTTCACCCTTCAGATTCTCAAATGGCGCCCTGACAATCAGGTATTCGCTAAGCTGGTTGGCCGTGATTATAGCACCCCGCTGAACAGCAGCTGCTTGACTTCAGCCATCATTGGTTAAGGTGTGAGTTCACGCTCATGATTGGTTGATGGTGGTTGGATACAGACTGCCTATGGTAGCCGATCAGTTGCCTGGATACAGCCAACCCTCACTGTGTAAGTGGCCTTGGCAAAGTGACGGACAGCATAAGTGCTCTGCAGAGGAATTTGTCAGTCTGTTGATTTGGCTGAGGATGTCTTTATTTTTCTTTACAATGGATGCATTATTCTCTGCAGCTGTTGTAGTTCGTCATTTTTTTCAGTATTTTCATAAAGTGAAATATCTGCAGCACACAAATACAAAAACTCTTTAAAGAAAGCCAAAATATTTTGTTATTGTCATTTAAATTCAACAGTGTATTAGTGTATATATACTTGACCAACAAAGTTGATTTTGATTGTAGCTATTCTGATAGGTGCCCTCAGAAAATCGTTCTTTCCAATCGTTTCATCGTCTTATTTCAGAGGAAGATCGTGGCTCCTTTAATGTGATACTTTACTATTATGGTCCTCAGAGCTTATATACCTGGTGCGTTTATCAGTTTAAAGTGTTTAATGTGGAGCCACCCAAATTTACTTGGATTATTAAAGTAGACTTAATATTTATGAAGCTTAAATTTGTTTTGGAAAGTTTTCGTCCTGTATAGAGATAACCTCATGGTGTGAAATCTTTTTAGGTTTATCTCTCAGCAGAAATCTTGCCGTATCCATCTCATCTGTGCAACACATTATACGTCTGTAACTCCTGGATGTCAGACCATAAGCGGTGACTTTGATATGTAACTCTTGCTGGGTCTTTGGCTACTAACTGCGGTATCTTGTTTCGTCTTCATTGCTGCGTGTTCTGGCCACTCTCCCAAGTCTAAGCCCAGCTTGGTCACCGCTCACTAGTTTCCAGTGTCGCTTTTTCTCCCCAACACTTGTGGTTTTGGCGTGTGCAGCAGAGATGTAGACTGTTAGCCAGTCACTGTGAGAACTTGGCCAATGATGAACATCATCTTAGTCATATTTTAGCTACTGCATTAACGTTGCACACAAATATATTCACACAAAAACGCTTCATATTTTCCTCTGAAAAACACGAGATAGACTTCTAACCTTTTCAGCTCTGTCTGTTACCAAAAGGACAGTGGAGCAGCAGGGGGGGAATGTGAAAGTGAGATAAAGACATGAAAGGAGGGATTAAAAAGAGGTAGACATTTTCAGAATAAGGGCGGGAAAACAGACGGACATGGGGAGAAAAATGCCAGAGCTCTGCAGACGTTTATCTGTGGATGCACAAAGAAGATTAACCCATTAAAGTTAATGTTCTCAGTGGTCAGTCGAGTGGCCAGTGGAGCATAAACAGACCTGCAGATGGTCCCCCACAACTGGACTGTAGTTAAAAAGGACCATTACCACATCCCTACACCCTCTTCATCACCTGCTGTCAGCTGGACATTTCTACTTCATCATGGCAAACGCCTCAATCAACTATATGAGCCAGTGTCACCTACCTGCACTGCAATGCCCCCTCTACAGATTAAATGACTTTTTGTCAGCCCCTCCCTCCCTGATTATCTCTCAAGGCCGCTGACATGCTCCCATTGAACCCTCGCCGCAGTTGCCTTGACGACTGTTCTCACACTGGGCGGGGTAGCCCTCACTTTTCTGCGATGGTGGCTGTGATAAGTGCAACAATTATGTAAATTCTGTCCAACCAAAGTGTTTTTGCAGACTACACACAGAATGCTGAAAAGCTTTCAGCCAAATGTTCAAGCTCTGAAGTTTTGTTGTCTATTCAGTGCTGGTGCATTTATACGTGCCTCTGATTTAAACCTTTATTCATCACCTCTCTCTGTCGCACATGCTTATACATGAGGTGAGACTGATGAGAGAGTCTTTGCAATAGCAGTTTCCCAAATTACTCACTTGTTCCCCATTAACAATCACTAATGTGAACATTGACGTTCCTGTCGGGACTTTTTTTTTTTTTGGTCTAATCAGACTGAAATTAAAATTTCACAATTAGGAAGTCAAACTAACAGAGTCAGACTAATTATCAGGAGGACAGATAGTGTTGATTATGTTGATCAGGAAGCAATTAATGTCTAGAATGAGCTTTTCTTTTTGCACTTTCGTCTGTTGCTTTCAGCACGCCAGAGTTGTGCTGATGCTGCATCTTCCTGCTGCTGCAAAGATGGAAAATAACAACATCACTCTGCTTTTGAATCGTACAAATGATGCAAAAAAAAAAAAAAAAAATGACATCTCAGTTGACAGCTCAAAGGCAATATGCACTTTGCATCAAAACAATACCAAAGTACGTTAAGTTTCAGCATCCACCTATGAGCCGAGCGAACAAATGCAGCAAATCATACTGATCTAAGCAGGCCGCTGCATCACAGAACCAGTAGAGCACTATTTTAGAGTAAAATCACCACAAATCAACGGATAAAACACTTTGAAGCTGTCTCTAAGTCATGGTTTAAGACCACACCAGTGTAGAAGTGTAGCATTTATTTAGCTTAAAACATAAAACTGCATTTAGTTTGTTCCCAAACTGAGACATTGGTAAGATTTGTGGTACAATTTTAATATGGACCTAAAACTGGATTTAGAAAGCAAAATAAAGGCATTTCAAACGTGGTTTGAATACGAGTTACTGGAGAAATTCAGTTGTCATTTAGAATTTAAATATGAATTGTTTGACAGCTGCAATGATCTCTAAAGATTGTGACTAATGCAGCGTGCTAGGATGACCAATGAACAGCTTACAACCAAATCAGACATTTCACAAATTTTCCCTGTCAGGGTTGTGAGATGCATGTTATTTCATGTGTCTACTCTTAATTCACACCAAACTTCAGGAGCACTTCAGTGTGTTTTCTCAGTCATGTATAAGCTCCAAATTTCTCAGTTTATGTTTTTCTTTGTCACCCTCTGCTTTTTCATGTCCTCCGTTTCCAACCAAGCTGTGAAGTTTCCTCAATGCTGTTAGCGGAGCTTTGATTCTGGATGTCTGTGCATGCGAGCATTTTGAGAGTACTCTTGTTCTCACTTCCAATAACAACCCCGTCCCTGGGAGATGGGCTCTCAGAGGCTGCCACAGTTACACCAGCAGTGTTTGGCTTTGGCATGAGCTCCTCTTCTGTTACCAGGATTAACATGTATCCCCGGAGAGCTCAGGCTTGGATCCTGCCAACATGTTGCTATTCTTTTCTGTGTTGTCTCTGTAGACTCGACAATTTGTGAATTAAAAACACATTAAACTCAGTGTTATAGCTGAATAAAGGTTCAGCCTTGCTCAATTTTTTAAAAACTCTTCAGGAAAACTGTTTTCATTATGGAGAGGAGAAAACAGGTATTAGAATCTAATTCATATGGTGAATTAAGATAACTTGGCTGTCTAACTGGCTATTAACAATGGCATGTATTGCTATTTTTACTTGGTTATGCATGTATGAGCAAATCACAAAACTAAACATTTGTGGGGATTTTTTTATGCAGGAATGCCTACTTTAGAGTGGGAATGAAAAAAAACTACAGACTCTGAGTTCTCCTGTGCAGGAAATAAAAAGAAATGCAGCTGTAAATGACACTGACCTTTAAGGAAAATAGCAATTGTAGGAATACTTTTAATGCTTCTCTGTGCATATAATAATGAAAAAGAAGAATACACAACTTAAAGAAAGTTATAAACAAACTGTAAAATATTGTGATCAATTTAGTATCCTCCTCTGTTGAAAAAAAGGCCCACTCTGATATTAAATTAAAAAGTTTACATTTTGATGCATACTTTCAGCTTTCCTTAGTGTTTGAAAAACTGACCACCTGTAATGATTTCAAGTCTCAAATTTTCTGTCTTCAGCAAAATATAGAAATCGATCATCTGGCTTGAGACAACAAATCGATTTTCGGTGAAAATCACTCAAGAACAAAATAATGCAAAAAAAAGGATACTGGAAAGTTTTACCTATCAAAGGACAGTTTCCTCAACTGTGATTGGACTTCTGTATTTTTCTTCATAACTCAGAAGTAAGATGTAACTTGTATCCTCATCTTTACAGCAGGAGCAGTGTTTGGATAAAGTTCACAGCTAAAAAAATCTGCTCATGCGAGTGCTTTGAACCAGAGATGGCAGAATAGTCTTTGTGGTTTTGTGTGAGAGTTGCGCTCTGACCAGCAGCATTTTTGAGCAGTCCAGTGCAGAGTCATGGAAGCAGGGTATGACTCTTATTTAAAGTTGATAAATATTAAAAAACTATAAAAATATTTCAGAGCGAAGGCCAGACATTTTTTACAAGCAGAATTATAGTAAATGAAAAGTCAAAATAAAAAAGTAAAATGGCCTGACCTCTTGCTCTAGAGCTGTAGGTTCCTGACCTCTGGTCTAGAATAAATCAAATATTCACTGCAGGAGACTACGAAACTATTTCACTACTGTCATATTTCCTGAGATTCCTGTAGATAAACTGGAGTACGTTCCTTAGACTTTAGATAGAGGATGACTGTCCTCCACAGAGTTTGAAAACAGGTTTCAACTGCAGGTCTTTCACTTTTAACACCAGTTTTAAAGAAAGTCATTGCAAAGACAGAGTGAAGATAAGTTTTGAGTGTCCTTGTTTTGAATTTGTCTTTGCTGTTTTGAGTGAATGATTGAAATATACAGACATTTACATGTAATCTGTAGTTGTGGATCTTAGTTTTATTGCACAGCTAAACCCACAAACAAAGTGAGATGATACAGATGTAAAGGATGATTCACTGAGGCCATGTTTGTCAGTGTATGCATGTGTTTTTGTTTGTGCATTGGTAGATGCTCTGTTGAAAAGGTCTCTTTTGAACTTTGGGGCAGAGCTGGTCTTTGTTGTCTGTCGGTCTGTCAGTCGTCCTCCCTCCAGCTCACCCAGCTTCAACCCATCCTCCCATCGGCTTCCCCTCATCTCCCATCCTCCAACCACAGCTAGAGGCTCTTTCATCTCGCCTCTGTTGGAGGAGGAATGGAGGATATGTGTGTTCTTGGTGTGTGTGTGTGTATGTATGCGTAGGCCCCCACAGTAGGTGCACAAAAGCACCAAAACGAACATTTCATCAGAAGCAATTTGACCTTTCACCTTTTCTGTTGTTGCCATTCATTGTGTGAGTGGCCCATCATGCTCGCATTAGCAGTCAGAACACCAGAGATGACACCCACTGCTTGCCAATGGGAGACACACACACACACACACACACACACACACACACACACACACACACACACACACACACACACACACAGAAAAGAGGGAGATCAATTCTGTCCTCCGTGTCCCTCTAACTGGCTTCAGAATTACATTTGAATACTAATACCACAACATCAGCCACAGAGGCCCCAGTTGATAAAGGTCACTTCAGACACAACGCTGCAGCTGCAAAACGTGTGTCACAACAAAAACATCCTCCTGGGATGAATCTCAGACCAGCCTGCAACATAAAGTAATGTAGGTGCTGAAGAAGAATTCCAGGAAAAAATGATGTCAGCAACTATTTTTGCAAACCAATCAGTTGTTGAGGCAATTTACAGAAAATATCAAACACTGAGCTGAGTGAAGGGAAAATCACCAAAGATATATTTGTTTAAAAAGTTAAGAGCAGTCTTGTTTGTTTTTAGTTTTGAGGCTGACTCTCAGTGAAAAGACCAGGCTAACTTAATCTTTATTAGGATTGATCCAGGATTTTCCTATAAAGAATTTTTCTGGAGGAACAAGCTGGACGTAATAGAATTCACTACAATGACATCTATCTGTACACATGGTAATGCAATAAAGCGACCATTACAGGGCCTGTACATTCAGTAATGTACACACTTGATGCACACAGAAATATGCATGCAGCACACATACACACAGGCTCATTAGGAATAGTGGAGGAGGAGCTTAATAGTCTTTCTTCATGAGCCTGCATGAAAGAGACGAGTGGTGGATGGAGAAGCCTCAAAAACACAGCTCTGCGGTTTCTGTCTGAATACGTATGAGAGTGCTTCTTTTGCATTGATGCTGTTTTTCATTGTACTAAATCTATTCTTCAACTGTGCAATATCAAAGGTCATAAATGTAAGAGATGACAGTCCTTTGCGTTTTTGTTTGCTCGATAAATAATCTTTTATGTGCAGCTGTGCTCTCTACTTCTCCGCATTGTCATCCTCTGTCTCTCAGCAGATGCCTTGTTTGTCACTCGTACGGTCTTCTGGCCTCAATCCATCTCCCGCTGGCCCTGAGGCCAAAGTCCATTCAGCTGTAATCACTCCTCTTTAGCCCTGCTGCCCACACAGACCTTTGCACTGTCACTGCTACTGTCAGAGCAGAAGAGCGCTTCAGCAGTGTGAGCTCCTTTAATGATGGTTTATAAGCAGACCAGACACACAGGCAGCTGAGGGAGACGGTGTCATGTAGGAAATGTCTGCGAAGGAGACTAATATAATTCAGACTCGGCTCACCCTCAGATAAAGTTACAAGTGCTTGATGCCTGGTGTTTGTCTGAAGCAGCATGCAGGCAGATACTGATGAACGGGATATTTGTTGTGGCTGAGCCAAATGTGTGAACATGATGACTTTCCAAGTGTGAAATATTTGAGAACATTTTGATAGAGGGACAGTTTCTACTTTAGATTCTAAGATTTCATGTGCCATTTTTACAGCCTTTACAGATATGTTTAAAATTAAACTTTGAGCTCAGAGCTGCAGAGGTTTTAAGCTTCATGAAAACTCAGATGTAGGACGTGTTGCTCAATCACAAACACAAATGAGGCTCCTGCAACTCCTGTCTGGAAAATATTAACAGAATTTTGCCCCTGAGCAAACCTCATGACCTTTTTATCAGTGAATAAATAGGAAGGAGAATTTCGAGGCTGATCTCATTACTAATCATCCAGGATTAAAAAAAAACGAATTTATTTCAAGAATACATGCAAAGACAAGGTGATCTTCTTGTAAAATTTTGTTTATTTCTGGTTGTCAATACTAAAATTTGTTTAGGCATTTACTTATATTTGTTTTGATACAGTTCTCTCTCTTTTTGGCCTACCTGTCTATTCAACTTTTCATAGCCAAGCCCTCTGAGACAGAAGTCCTGCCTTTAATAAAAGCCTGCTGTATATTAAGGCCTGGTACCTTAGTATATAAGGGAAAGCAAGACACTTACTGTAAGTTAACATGCAAGTACACTAAAATTAATAGACTTCATTATTGTATCAGATCACAAGCTAAAGCTACAAGGGTGAGATTGTGCACAGGCAGCAGTAGCAGGAGGTGTACCTGTAGATCCAGCCGCTCTCCTACTGCCACATCCATCACAATACAGGCGTCTGTGCTGAGCACAGCTCTGCTTGTTGGCATTTTAGGGCCCCAAAAGGACAGTTGAAGCTGCCTGTAATGAATAAGCCATCAGCTAGTCTGGGGGTTCCCGCTGCCACAAGGACCCTCTCTGTCACATCCATCATGTGCCTGAAACCCACAGAGGAGGAGCACAGGTGTGTGTCCACAGAGAGGAGTGGTTTGTTTAAAGGTCTTTAGGTCACGTTTTCAGGGTCAGTGGCACAATGTGTGCTGCTGGTTGGAATTGCTTTTCTTTTTTTGATCACCTCTTCTTCAACATGAATAACTGCATACGTGGGGAATTGTGGGATATACGGGAATTAGACTGTGAGGAGGGTGTAGGGTGGAGGGCGAGGGCGTGGGGGTAAGTGGGAGAGGTTGTTCTGGTCCAGGGGGGTTTCAGAGACACAAAGAGCTGCAAGTCCCAGAGGACCCTCCTCCATCAGCCCTCCCTGTTTTTTTTTATTACTGGCTTGATTAAACTCAGCCGCCAGCCAGTAATGGAGTGATAATATATGATCTCTCCGACTCACACACACGCACGCACACACACACACACACACAAACGCACGCAAGGCTCTCATAGGTATTCTTAGTTGCATATCAACACACCCGTGTGGTTTGTCACATGACGAGCTCCCATGGTAACAGAGAAACAGATTAATTAGCATTCTTGATTAGTGCAGCATATTGGTGCCTTAAAGAATTTATGATGGAGAATTTTTCATCAGTTAACCTAAAAAAACAAAAAAGGATAAGCTCACCCAAATTTACTGTGACTCAAACTGCCTTTTTATCATGTTTAGAGGTTCAGTGACATTGTGAACATCAACTCGAATAACTTCCTTTAATTATCAGTAAAAAAATGCGGCCAAAGAGTGAGTTTCATTTCAGCATCTTCAGTGGGATTATTGCATATTATTATCAAAAGCTGCGTATCAGTGTTCAGTCATCTGATACAAACTGAAGATGATTTTCTTCCTCCCACATTTCTGATCCTTCATAAAAACACAGCCAGAGATTTCTGAGGAGTTTTTATACACTCACTTATTTTCCAGCAGGGCCCACAATATAAAAGGTTTTTCATGTTACAGAGCCAACAAGTGCCTGGAGTGTTGGCTCCGCTGTGCTGAAGGGTCAGTGTCAGTCTAAAGGTTACAACACTGCCAATTCTGTAGTTTATGTGTGGAAGTCTAGACAGTAAATGAGACCTACTTGGCTGTTTCTAAAGCGCTATTTAGCATTTTATTTCCTTTGCTGTGTAACGTCTGAGCAATGGATGTATGCAACTTTTTTATAAGGATGCATCTCACATGTTTGGTGTGTCTTATCTTTGAAAATCCTGTGATGATACCTACTTAGTCATATGCCAGACTTTAAGTGGGAGGGAAAAATAGAGGCCTGTCTGCATCTAAACTGTTCTCCTCTGCTGCCTTACAGGAACATGGATTCGGTTTAATTTGTGGTCAGGGAAACTAGGCCTGCAATTGTTTTCTTAAGGCCATCTATCATAGACTGGTCCTTTTTTTTTTGGTCTCATTTCACAGTCAGTTGGTGCGTCGTGCTCTTTTCCTCCGCTCAGTGAGATGTGGAGCCCGGCCTAATCAGAGATCTGAGTATTGATTTCCAAGCAAGCTGAAAAAAAAATGGCTGTTGCTTGCCATGCAATACAAAGGTACTGAGTAGGCCTAATCAACACCTATTGATTATTTTACACTGACCGCTCTCCTCTGTCAGACAGTTTTCTGTTCAGCATGCCCGCTCAGAAATCTCTGTCTCTTTCCCGCTGTGAAGACAAAGAGCCGCCCCGGAACATTTGTTCTAACATAGAAATAAATTTGGAATAAATGAATAACAGTGAGGCTGAATTTGATCAAATAATCAGCTCAGAGGTGCTCAGTCACAACAGAGCCATGACACACACACACACACATGCACAATTGCACACATAAAAAAGAACACCTGCTCATTCGCATGCATGCACACAGTCCCACCGTGATGTGAAAGCAATTGGCTGCAGCAGAGGAGAGGCCAGCTCCCAGAGTCGGTTGCTAATGGCTACAGGATCTAAGGGAGCGGAGAGAGATGTCGATAATGACATTGTCACTCCCAGCCAACCAGCCTGCAAAAATGGGACAGGACACACACACTTGCTCAAACACATGCAAGTCTGTCGGGGCATTTAGAGTAAAAGAGCAACACGTATACAGGAGCACATGCAGACGCTGAAATGGAAGAGCAATTTTCTTCCAACCAGAAGGCTGTGTTATTATAGCTGTCAAAATGCTTTTCTGCTACAACGAGTTTCTGGCTGCTGGTTCGATGTTTCAATAAAGTACTTTTTTTTTTCTATTGAGCACAGCTAGATGTATCATTAACCTTCATATGAAATACTTTTTAAATTAATTTATATTCCAAAGTAAAATAGAAAATTTTATTTTGGCAATTATTTCTTTTACTTGCTCTGGCATCATTTTAATCACCTAAGATGTTTCAGAGGGGAGGATTGACTTTTGCGACATTTGCACTGGTTCATTATGAATAAACTTAGATAGGTTGAGAGGTTTTATCAAAAGAAAATGGAGAGGTGAAGAAAATAAGAGTGCACAACAAAATAAAGTGTCGGGAAGCATCTATCAGTGCCCCACTATTTTATTCTTCACCCTTTTTTAACAGTATAATCACACTTCAACTCTCCAGTTTTCATGCAAGTTCAAAATTCTGTTGAAAAGTTCCCCACATATTATTCCCTTTCTTATTTTATAACTTTTTATCATTCAAAATTGACCAAAGGACTTTGACTTACGACATGCTCTGTGTTCCCTGTGTAACAACAGGACATAAGATTGCGCTGGAGCTGATGTAGATGATGTAAGGTCATGTAAAAGCTGCAGGACAGCTGCTCTACTCTGCTATCGAAAGTGTGTGTGTGCTGGTTTCCACAGGCTCTAATACTGAGCGGCAATTTGTGTCACTGATTGAGCCGCCCACAAGAGGAAAAAGAGAGGAAAGTCAGATTAGTCAAGGATTTTTGACACAGGTTAAAAGGCATTTACAGATGGAGATAACTGGGAAATGTAGCACGGTGTAGTAGCAGTCAGGACCTCAATGACTTCTCCTCTGGCTTCCCTGTACAGACCTCACTCTGATGTTTTCCATATGAATGCTGTACATTCAGGATCAACTGATCAAACTCAGTGAGGAGAAAAGAAGAGGAAAGAGAGGGGTGAGAGAAAAAGTAAACAGATTCCATTTCAGAAAGGGCAGAGGAGTGGTTATGAAGATGAAAACAAAGCATTTAAAAAGTAAAGGAGTTACTTGAGGAAGAATTACAGTGTCTACTCCGTCTCCAGCATAGCGGATAATTCAGACATCAGCAGAGTATTAAAGTACTTCTGGTGGTTTCTACCCTCTATAGACAAGATGATTAATATCAATCTTGTTTTCAGAAGGACATAAACCTTATTGTTATCTTAATGAGCCGTGACCATGTAGAGCAGCCCTGACTAATGGGGTTAAGCTGTATGTTGTGCTCCCAAAAGACAATCAGGGATACTGCACTCACTGTAATTCCTGCTTTGATCCTCTACTAAATGTGTGGGCTGTGGATCAAGATAAAATACAGAAATTGTTTGACATTTGATTAATACACCAAAAACCTCTTATCCCTTTCCTTTAATGCCTTAACCTATATCTGTAACATGCTATAAACTAATTCAATCTGCATTTAATGGCCATTGAATAACAGGAAGGAGTTATCCCCTTGTGGTATAAGAATCATACATTTTTCTCAGTCAGTGGGGATATGCTATGAATTTACTTTATGCAGACAGGACCTGGCGCCCTCCCTCTGTCTCTTCCAGTCTCACTCTTGTGTGTTTTGCACACTTCTGGTAATTTTGTAACAAGCTTCCCACAGCCTTTAGTTTTTCCAGCTCAGTGAATTATCGATCATTTACCAGCAGCAGCTAGGTCCTGTATATGTTGCACCCCTGAGTTTTTAGCTGACATATTGTCCAGTCACCTGAGACTAATACATCCTGACATGTTCAGTATGGAGTCCAGTTTACTGCATTGCAATGATGTCTTGCAGGAATAAATAAAGCTTCTTCTGTTGAGGCATAAACTTATCATGTACCTGGTGGTAACAATTACAATTTTTGAGCGTGGTTACAGTTTGAATAATAACCGTGGTTTAATGATCATTAGTTAATATGCATTCATTAATTTAGTAATACGTATTGTAGGGGAAAATGTACAATAGAGATATAAGTATAGATTACAGTAAAGTTGAAGACTAAAGAGCTGGAGACTAAAGAAAGTCTAAAAACAGACTTAATGACCTGTTTTTTCAATGTGTTGAAAAACAGGATGCAGGCCACGACCTGGTCGCACATGGTTCTGCCAAATTCGACGGGAAATCTGGCCAGCAAAACATGTCTACACAAAAGTCCCGTTGTTGGCTATCAGACACCAGTGTGAAGTACACTTATGGGAGAGACCATGGCTGATGTCACTGGAGAAGTATAAAGGATTTGGGATTGTTTGGTTCTGGGTCCGTCTGTCTGATTGTCATGACATTGTGGTTGATGCTTTGACTGGAATAAATCTTGCAAGAGGCTGCCATCTGATTCTGTCTTCAGGTGCTTCATTTTTGCACCTTCTGCATCCATGAAATCTACCATAGTCAAAATCACATGATTATTCTTTATGTAAATATATGTATAATACGTTATAATCATGTTATAGCACTGTATAACTATAGTTATAAAAACTCATAAATTATCATAATGCTTTATAGCAATAATCATAACACATTATAAAGCATTTTATCATGATGTATAAAGTCAGGTATTATAATGTGTTATAACTGTTAACAACTCACTGATGATGCCCACATAGATAATGCAATGCAGCTGTTGTTAACAGTTATAATACATTATAATACCTTACCTTCTAAGTCATAGAAAAATGCTTTATAATGTGTTGTGATTATTGCTATAAAGCATTATGATCATTTATGAGTGTTTAGAACTATAGTTATACAGTGCTATAACGTGATTGTAGTGAATTATAAATATGCTTATAATGCGCTGTAGAGATAAGCGTCAAAAATTGTTACCAAAATGTCATTGTGTAATTTACTGCTTCATTTTAAAACCCTTTGCTGCTATGTTGCGTTTGTTTAAAAGCCTTGCTTGTTGTGCAGGGCGGTGATCCTGCAGAAGCTGCATCAAGTTTAATGTGTTTGACCTTTGCAGCAGGTTTCGCAGACGGGTGATCCTCGGTCTTGAATAACCCCTCGGTAATTCTTGGTGTAGTCAACCTGAAATGCGATCACACTGCCAACTTCACTCAGCAGATACAAAACTTCACTGCATGGTGACTCTTCCACAGTTGAGCTGATGTAGTGCAGCCTCTATATCTCTCAAAAAGCACATAAAGGGGAGCTCTGTAGAATATGTAACCTTTACTGAATGAAATAAATTCATGCATGAATGAATAAATAAATGACGGGGTGTGTGGTTAAAAGTGCATCCATCCATCCTATGGGCGTCAGGCATCAAATGTTTTAGAGTTGTCTATTAGAGTGGTGATGATATCCTCTGATATGTAAAGACTAAAGGCACTCAAGTGATCAAGAAGCCTCAGGTTATCACTAATAGACATCAATATTTTATATCAGATGGACAAAATCCAAGAAACAAAAAGTTTCTATTTGTTGGCAAACTACCAAAAGTCAGAGAGGCATCACTGTTTATCCTTTGCAAATGTTTGTGCAGAAAAAAAACTCGCTAAAGTGGAGTCGAGCAGGGGGGCATGTGGTGTCCTGAAGGTGGCTCAACGCCAGTCTCTCAAAGGTTTTCATAACCACAGACGTTAGGGCAACAGGCCTGTAGTCATTTAACCTAGGGATGCACCGATCCAATATTTGATATCGGTATCGGTAGAAGAAAATTCTAGATCAGGTATCGTGACAATGGGCCCAATGCATGGGGGCCAATCTATTCAGTCTAACTCTATGCTATGCACCCTGAGTGGCATCCACAAGTAAACACAACAACAAAAGGTAATTCAGCGCAGCTTTTTTGTATCGTAATTGGATCGGTATCGGCCGACACTAAACTGTAGATAGCTGTATTGCATCAGAGGTGAAAAAAGTGGATCAGTGCATCCTAATTTAACCCTGTGATGAAGGGTTTCTTGTGGGAGGGGATGATAATTGAGTGTTTAAAGCAGGAGGAAACTGTGCACAGCTCCAGAGGTCTGTTAAAGACAGACTCTCAAGCAGGAAGGGGACACACCATCAGGTCCTGCAGCCTTCCGGATCCTCTTCACTGATCTTTAGGGATGGTGGAGGGTTGCAGCAGAGGGGGGTTGCAGGTTGTGGCAGGGGTTGCAGGTGGGTTTGAGACAGGTGAGTTTGAGTTGTCATTGTGGATTCATACAGATTACATATTGTATCTTTATGTTTGGGACTTGGCAGCAACACCTCCACTCTGGCAGATCATACAAAAATGAAAACTCATTATTGTGAGAGCAAATTATTTAATATATTGTGTAATCTTTCCTAACATAAGAGAAAATGATAGTCCCCTCTATCTGTACAGCGTCTTTCTTTCTTCACTTTTCGGCTCCACAGAGGCTGCTCCCTCCTAAGATTAGATTAGCTTCAATTAATGCTTATAAGGAATCTGTGCAGGATGTGAGTTTGCATACTGAAACACTGATACTTACCCACATCCTTTATTGGACTCCTGCCTCAGGAATAAAGTCTGTAGTAGACTGTGTTTGGAAACATGACACTAGCAATAAATATCACATTTGCAAGGCAGCATTGAAAATAAGAAATATAACACATGCTAATCAAAACAAAGTTTGATCAGACCAGACATTTTTGATCATAATACCCCTGCAGAGATATTTCCTGACAGACGGATATTATTCCATCCTTCTTCTGGGTCTTAAAGGATTTAAGATGTCTAACAAAGTTTGAGAGACGTGGTTGACCCTGAAACGTCTGTGTGAACATTTCACATGAATCAGCTGCCTTTTAATTCATGCTGTTATCAGTTTGCCTTTTCCTTCAGTCTTATCTACCTATAGAGATACACTCTGAAGGAAATTATCCTCCTCCACAAGGAGAGAGTGAGAGAGAGAGAGAGTTCTGGGCCAAACTTTCCTCTCCTCTGACAGTGAGAGATAACACTTCACAGCAGCAGCTTAACAAAATAAGAAGAGGCTGGGAAGAAGGGAGAAAGGGGAGCACTCCCGTCTGAAGAATAAAGAGCTGAGTAATTAACTTTCCCATCAGCTCCTCTGGTCAATAATGCTGCTTCTGTGGACTTCCTGTTTGTCTGATTGGAAATATCTATGACCTACTTTCTCTCTGTCCAGCCTTTCCTTGTCTAACTTCTTCCTTCATCTCTTTTATTCCCTAACTACCTGAGCCCCTAATCAGGCCTATTTAGCCCTCAAATAAACTCCAAACTCCATACAAATTGCTTTTTGTCTCTGTGATGTGCTGACCCAAATGATGTATGAGTGTGTCTCCATTCTGCGGTCAATGGGATGGTGTAGATCTGGGTATATAGGAAATACAGTCACTGTCGGGGCTCAGTCCGTGCTTTTTGAGTAAATGCAGGCAATGATAACTGACAGGGCAGATTTTGGACTAAGATTATGGGCAGTACAGACAATGGCAACATCACTCATGACCTACTTTATGTGGTTTTCAGAACTTGCCTATTTGTGAACTTCTGTCTTAACATGGATGTTTGATTTGATCACTGTTTGGTTAATTGCCGCAAAGTTCAAAAAGTGAAAAGGAGCACACTCAAACAATAAACTATCTTCAAGTCCATCCATGACCACATAAAGGCTTAAAATAGATAGGTCAGTTCACCAAATTAAATGTCCTTAGACAAGTAACTGATAAGGTTCAACTTCAGCCTATAAAAAGTTTTTTTGTGGCTTCATAGTTACTTTAATTCCTGTAAATGTTTTTGACTGTTATTAGATACTACATAGATATAAGGTATAGAGCATGTTTTATTCTTTTAAACACTGCCTCTGGGATCATCATTCCACATTTGTCTTTTATTCTTGCTGTATTCACACAATGAACTCCTGTTAACCAAACTGGCAGAATTTCTTTCCCCAATTTGACCCAGAATTTATCCCACTAACAGCAAAAAGTTGCTGCTGTGTGATTTTAGCAGGCAAGAGTCAGAAAAATTCATTAGGAGAAAGTGGTAGGGTTACAAAGCACAACAAGAGCATCAGCCTCTGCCACCTGCCATCTTAGATGTCATTTGACAAAACTGCAACTTCTGCAGCACCGTCTTTCTATCACATCTTGTTTCCCATCCCCCTCTCACCTGGGAAAACCTTGTGCTGTGAGAGACTTTGTGAATTAACAACTTTGGTAAGTTTCAGGAGGGCTGTCCTGACTCTTCCTGGGATTTTCAGTGGTCTGTATGAAAAAAAAATCTTCAATCTCTTCTCTTATTGGATTTTCACATTTCTCTCCTCTCTGTCTTTCTCTGTCTTTGGGTTTGTTTCCTTTATACATTGTTCTGTTTCTTTTTTCTTTCTTTGCCTGGTCCCTGGGATCATCTAACACCCCATCTGGCCTCTTGCATTGACTCTGTCTCTGAAACATTGACTTGGCTGCTATTGATAACTCCCCACCCCCCTATAAGACAAAGATATTAACACTTCCAGGAATGTGTTGAATGTGTGATCCTCTCAGTCGAATCATTCACTTCTCTTGCTCTGGTGTTGTATATTTCAAAGCTGTATGCTTAGCTTGCAGTCTGGCTGTATTAATAGATCCAAATAGCACAAAATAGATTTGGAGCTGCAGCAGTTCCTCCTGCTGCCTCCGGCCCTCCCTGGCTGGCGGTCTCGCCCGGTGAGTGTGCATTCTTAATGCTCCCCTGGCCTCCATGAGAGACATGATTGGTAGAATTAATTGTGGCCGGAGGGCCGAATGGGAATAAGTGGAGGGGGAGAAAAAGGAGCGATGGAGGATAGGAGGAGGAGGAGGAGGAGGAGGAGGAGGGTATTTGGCTGGTGTTAGTGTTGTGTTCCCTTCATGAACGCCTGGCACTGGGGGGTGTTGACGTTGTTTTTATACTCTTATACTCTCTTTGTCTCACTAGATTAATATTAGCCCAAACTTATTTTCTTTTATAGCTCAGTTTCAGTTTCAGTATCTCTTCATTTGTGATTTACACCTCTGTTGCTTGAAGGGAAGAGATTAGAGAGGCTAATACAGCAATCTGAGTGTAATGGCATCCCAAGCTCCCCAGGCAGTAATTCTCTCAAAACAAAGTGTAGTTCTCGTTATGACTTACCATTAAATGAGATAAAGTGGGCTTAAAATTGGACTATAAAACTTGATATTTTATGTACTTGTGTTGGCCTGATAAACCTGTTTGTTTTAGAGGATTTTAGAGGATAGTGTCGTGTGTTTTTGTGTTGCTGGCCTTCAGATAACATCTGAGCTCCTAACATAAAGGAAGCTATAACTCCTTTCTCTTTCTCTCTTAGTACCTGTTGACCTATCTTATCTTTCAGAACTTAAACAAGCTATGGGTGTCCAACACAGAAACACACATTAAACCTCTCTTTCTCCTTACCAATGTGTGTCTGCTCTGTTGACTGTATACTATATTGATTTGCATGTTGACAAAGCCTGCTGTTAATGATCATGCGTAATATCTTGACAATCCAAAACTAAAAGTACAGAAAAACATTTTCAGCGAAGCAGGTTGATAGTAAGAGGTTTAAGTATGTGTGTTAGTAAAGCAGAGGGAGGAAGTGAGCACAGAGACGAAAGCTGCAGTTTTCACAAGCATCAAGGAGCTAAAGATGGCCTGGCTAAACAGGGATCAACCATAGGTCAGTATATCATAAATAGGATGTACTGCAGATACAAACCATGAGCCACAGACCTCCCGTTTTAAAACCTGTATGATAGTTGACAATTAATCTGATTGTTCACTTACTTTTTGATACCACACTGTGAAAATTGACTCCATGTATTTTAATTCATATTAAGTATTTGAACAAATGTTTGGAGCCAGAGGGAGTCCAGTCCAGCTCTGACAAAAGGGGGTACATGTATTTTAAGTCTTTACAAAATGAACAAAAAACATCAACAACAAAAAATCGTCTAAAATTAGTAAATAATAGTGATTAGTAATAATAATCATAATAATCAAATGCTATTTTGGCCATAACCATGCATCCCTATGTTCAACATGTAAATGTCCTTCTCTGTGTCTATCATTTCTCACTTCAGAGTGAATATAGTTAAGATCATTGAAAAAAGGAGCATATTTTAGCTCAACAGTTGAATCCTGTCCTCGTGTGCAGAGGTTACATCTCCTCAGGGTTGGACTTCCTCTCCACATCACTCTCTCTTGCCTGTTTTTGACTCTAATTTTGGTCCTATCTCTCAATCAATCTTTTGTTTTATATAAACAGTTCAGGATGCCGATACGGGTTGTCTCGTACATGTTTGTTTGTGTTGTTGTTCTCCCTCACTGTCAGCAAACTGGAGGGTCTCTGAGCAGGATTTATGTGCTGGTTTTATGAGGTCGTGTCATAGAAATGCCTATATGGAAAAAAGAAGAAGGTGGGGGTAGGGTGTATGTGTGAGAAAGGGTTTCGGGGGTTTAGACGAAGAGGGGTTCTGGGGAAGCTGTCTCATCATTTATTTATACAATCTACAGAAGAAGGGGTTAGAGAGAGAGGGGGGCTGCCTGCTTCGAGCTGCCCTGGGAATACTGCGGGTCAAGAGTTGTTTTTCTAGCTACCAGCACAATTCTTTGTCTGGAAAAGTGGAGACAATGATGAACACAATATGCTGCAGTGGATCTGCTCTTCTTGTAGTTTGTTGTAAGAGGGAACATCTAATTATCTGTGATGCCAAACCCATTAATACCCTGCTGCTAGGAACCCTGAGACTCTTGCTTGTTTGACTATCTAGATCTTCGGTTTATTAGGGTTAGGAATAAAACGCCAATCTTAACACTGGTTGGGTTTTCTTGTTGAATATATGAATTAATATTTCTTTTCTTTGTTTGTCGTCCGGACTCTGAAATCAGTTTGCATCCATTGAGAGGAGGAGGTTCACTTTTTATCAGGTGTTTGTAGCTGATGTAATGTGTAGTGTAAAAACGAAAAGAAACCTATCAAGTCCATTAGATTTCTTTTTTCACAAACAGACTGATTATGAATAAATCAATTACTATCAGTTTTGTTATCGTTGTTAAACTGTAAATTAACACATTTCTTTAGGGGAGGAAATGGCAAATAGTTGAAAGTTATATTTTTTACATTTTTGCCTGTATTTGATAAGACAATCGAAATATGAAGAGTAGAGAATGGGGGATGGAATGCAGTAAAGGAGTCGAAATAGAAACCACTGCAACAAAGACTACAGCCTCTGTATAGGGTGTGCACTTGAACCACTAGGCCCAAATATTTGATACTTTTTCTCTGATAAAACAGTGAAGTAATGGATTGATTCATCATCCCGTGTAAAGGGAGAAATACAGCCAAAACTACGTTTACTTCATGGCTGTGATTTATGGTCAGTTTCTGTTTCTAAATCTAATTAAAGCACAAATTGATCTTCTCGAACTGTATAAATCAAAAAGTATTTCAGCTGCTGTTCATTGTCACCCTTGATGGTCACATGGGTAAATAAACATCTCACCTACTAAATATCCCACAGATCCTGTTAACACAGATTTATTCAGTCTCGTAGAGCAACAGAGGATGATATTTAGTGCTGGCACTTCAGGTGCTGGTGCCTGCATGCAGTACACACACACACACACACACACACACACACTGACTTACAGAGAGCAGAGGCATATATCAGCATACAGCCCTGTGGGGACAGAGACATTACTCCCTACTGAAGGGTTCTATCACCATCTTCCTGGCTTCTCACACACACATAAACACAAAATGCCATTGCATCAAAAGCTGCAGGAGATTGGTGCGCTGATAAAGGAGGCCAATAATGGCAGATTTTTATCTAGGAAGAAAACACATCCTGAGTTGGGATTTCATAGATGACCGATATTTGCAGCCGTGTCACAACATAAACATTGTCTAAATACCTTTTTCACTTAATCCATAGCAATAGCTGCTCTTGTTTGTTGGGCAGTAATCTCTGTTTGCATATTTAGCATAAGAATTTTGATAGATTTTGGCATAGGTGGTATTCTGGTTCCACTTTCTGCAGGATTTGACGTGATGCAGGGAAACAGCCTGTGTGCAGAGCAGAAGTGGCAGAATTCTCTCAACTATAATGCAGTTCAAGGAACTTCTGGTGGTGATTTAATAACCATTTAGCTTAAATTGATGACCACAAGTGGATATCTGCATGGTAGCACACCTTACAATTTGATCTTTTTCACCGTCTCTGATCCCATCTCTGTTCTCACTTGTTTAACTTTAGTCAACGAGTCCTTTATCCCTGGGTTCATTTAACGTTTATGGAACAGTATTTCTGCTCTAGCAAAATTAGGGCAAGGCCTTGGAAACTGAATACATAATTGTTTTTCTGGTGAAGTTTTCCAGTGTGAAACATCCACTCATTACTGTAGCTGGGTCAACACTTAGATTCCCTATTGACACCACACTGTTGTTGACTGCAACCATTGCTTGTTAATCTTAAATGAAATCTTCTTCACTCAGAAAATGGTCATGGCCAGTGGCAGTCAGAATGAGTTTACAGTAGCAGAGCAGTGCAGCTTCATGTCTGGACCACTGTTTTGGCTGGGGCAATAAAGACTATTGTTAAGTTGTCTAATTCTAATGAGAGAGCTACGTTTAATAAAAAAATAAGGGGTAAATACTAGCACACTTGCCTATTATTATTATTATTATATGAGTGGCAGTAGCTCAGGAGGTAGAGCGGTCGGTCAATAACTGGAAGGTTGGCGGTTTCAGTCCTGCCCTATCCCTTGTCTATCCGTTGTGTCCTTGGTACAACACTTAACCCACCTTGCTCCCAGTGTGTGTGCCCTCCACTGGTGTATGATTGTGAGTGTTATATGGTGGTGCTCGGAGAGGCCGTAGGCGCAAACTGGCAGCCATGTTTCAATCTGTCTGCCCCAGGGCAGCTGTGAAGGTAGTTTACCACCACAAATTTGTGACTGTGTGAGCGAATGAATGATATATCCAATGGAAAGCGCTTTGAGGTCACTGACAAAAAGCGCTCTGAAAAATCTGATGCATTATTATGGTTGCCTATTACTGTACCAGTTGGTAATTCTAATACTAACATTTTCTTTTATGATGGCTCATTGTATGTGTGGAGAGTCAGGATGTTCAATTATTTGTTGTCTCATTCAGGTTGAATAGTAAATTGACTTCCCTCATGTGGCTCTTTGTTAGTCTCCGGGTTCTGGAGTTGGAAACTGAACCGCAAACCCGTCCAACCTTTCCCCACAAATGTTGAACGACATTTTCCACATTGCTTGAGCGTTCCTCGAGCTGAATTTGAAAGTCGTTCCCTCTTCTTTACCCCTCATTTAACATGAAATCCAAGCATTCCCCTGTCGTCACATCTCTTTGGTAGACACAGTCAGGCTCAAGGAAGTGATCCCTTATATCCACCATGACTTGAGATAATGAGAAGCCACACTGTGAAGCCTGCAGTGAAGCTGTCAGATTTGTACCAACACTGACACCTAGATTATATTACAGACGGAATGTATTCCTTATAATTGAATGAATTCAGACTTTAATTTTGATTAAGCTTCACTACGTTTATTACAGCAGGATAGATCATCTTAGCGAGCAGGTAGGGGATAGAGACAGTGTGATCAAAACACAATGATGATGCTCAGGTAGGAGACAGGTGTTAGAGGAACACAGAGACACACCTTACACTCAGCTGTAAGGATGAACTCTCTCTGACTTCAGCCTTTGGTCTCACACATCACAAAGACACATAAATGGGTGGAAAGAAATCTATGTGGAATAGGTGCAAACACACACACACACACACACACACACCTCTACTGATGTGCTCAGTAGCGCATGAGGTCAGTGGGGAACAGAGAGAGAGAGAGGTGGGCAAGACTATTTCGTAACCCTTCTATACCTGCAAAGTGCTCCCACATCTACACTCTCATCCACCAACACACTCACTCAGTCAGTGTTTAAAAAAGGCAATTTCACAAAGTACATACACATGTATTCCTTTACATGCCTTTGCAAATGTACTTTGAGCACCAATGAGGATTTGAGAACAGCATTAAAAGAAGGAAGTGTAACGTGGTAATATGTCAACTGTGTGGCAGGAAATTACAGGTAATGTTGTTGACATTTTCATGTTGGTTTTCTGATTGGGATCACATTTTGATTACAACAAACTGTGGAGAGGATTTTTTTTCTTGATTATCAACTTCAGGAGATAAAATCTCTGTGTCAAATAAACAACAGTGAACTAACTACTCAAATCAACTCAGCTTTATTTACAGTGTGTGGAACCTTTCATCAAATTATGCAGCCGAAAGCGCCTCACCAAAGAACAGACAGAAATCGCAGCAATAACTTAAACGATAAAAGATTAAAGCAATAATACAAGACTAATATAAGATGATGAAAATAAAATGGAATCAATAGAGAAAATTAATAAGCTTGTAGGAGTGGAGAGCAAAATCAGATCAATGGAATAAAGAGGATTATATAAATACCAGACAAAAGGAATAATTGAACAAATTAAAAAAAAAGAAAATGTTACTTTATGTCTCTATCCTTCATCTCTCTTTCATACAAACTCTTCATCAGCTGTTTAACCCTTTACTTTAAATTACAGTGTAGCTCGGTCCGCTGTTTGCCCGCAGCTTTAACTAAAGGAGCAGGTTGGATCATTTCTCATTCTGCTGCCGCACACTGACTGGACGGGTTCACAGTCGTTTAGCAAACTTGCACAGCAGATCATCAGTCAGCGGTTCAAGCATTTGCCCTTTTATCCACATACTCACTCATCCTTTCATCCATCCCTGCGTGGATGTGGGGCTGAAAAGAGTTGTAGGTGCAGCTGAACTGTGCTGTTGGGTAGAAGTGTGAGGCAGATTGGAGACCATCTGTCTCCCTCTCCGGCTCTATTTACATTTCATTCCTGTTGTTCTCACCCTGGATGGTCATTTCATGGCCTCTTCTTCTCAAGCTTTCTTCAATAAGTGGGGTGTCTGGTTTGAGGATTTGTGCATCAAAACAAACTATTGATATTTTTTTTATCACTGTAGGTCTGCAATACTGGACATCTTTTATGCTTATAAAAGGATAACGCTTACGTTTATGCTTGCTGCTGTAATCCTAAAATGCACTTCTACTCAAATGTAAACAAGCTCCAAATGACAGAAGGTGTCTTATATTGGATCTAGAAAGTGGTGATGAAGTTGTATATGGGCTGTTTGAGGTTAAATTGGCATATGACCCAAAGACACAATGACCTTATATATAGCTTTAATGAATTAATGATGTTCAATTAGCTCGTTTTTTTGACCTTTAAACTAGTCTGTTTGTCCAAATTTGAATTGTCAGGACGCAAGTGATCCATTCGACTATATTGATTATCTCAGCTGTGTTGATCTTTCCTCTTCACTTGAACTTTAGTGTCCCCAACAGTGAACTACTCAACCATCAATGTACGGCATGTGTGTCCACATAAAGAATCACTGTTGACGCTGCATGTAGGGTTTAGTCTACTGGACCAACACCAGTTTAATGTGGTCCTATTTTCCAGTACTAAAAACCATGTTGGTTTTGTTTTGGAGGTATCATGAATCAAACTGTGACTAACGCATTGTTTTTGGACTCAACACTTGGATATGTTCCTGTCTTTTACTCATAAGGATTTTTTTTTTATCCCTTTCACAAGAAACTTAAGGTTTTACTCACCTGCAGAGAGCTGTTTGAATTACTTAGACTTAATTATCTTAGAGGGTGTGGGGGCAGTTTCTCATTTATTTTCCTTGTAAAGCTGTGCTGTTTTTCCACCTTTTCATAACAGGCTCACACATCCCTGCTGTGGATGTATGTACATATTTGTGTATTTATGTGTTTGTTTGTGTGTGTGTGTATAGAGCAGAGTGGTATCGACAGGCTGCAGCCTCAGGCATCTCTTTCTGATTGCTATGTTGAATAGAGAACCTCTCAATCTAGCAGCCACCGCCTAGGCTCGCTTTATATAACGGCAGATGTTTACTCTGCAGTATCAGTGTTTGATCGGGCGTTATATCTATTCTCTATCCTGCCTAGAATGAAATCCTCATTTGCCGTTAAGTTCCTGGTGACTGACCATGTCCAAATGATGAAAATGTCAACTGTACCCTGTAAAATCTGAGACATTTCGCTGAGTTAATACTGGATAAGTTTAGGAGGTTTTATTGGAAAGTATTATTTTGTCCCTGCTTTGACTGAGAGCCTTATCTGTCCAATCCCAGCATTTAAGATTCTGTCTAGGTATCAGGTAACCTGTTGTGAATGAGGCAGAGGAATATTTGAGACAGAGCATCGATGCTGATTGAATTTGCCACCCCTGAAAAAGACATGCACGGTCTTTCAGCCTGGAGAGAGAAACGGAAGGAAGCCGGTGATCTAATTTTGATGCTGAATGAAGGTCTGTGAGGACCAACCTGCAAGGAAGCATCTGCAGGAATAAGTTTGTGGAGTATTAGCTGAGAAGGGCAGTAGACCATGAAAACTTTGACACCAAAAAGGGGCAGCCTGTCGTTTTTTTAAGGGGTTAGAAAGAAGGCTGTTAAAGAAACTATGAAGAGTTTTGAACAGGTTGAGAACCACACTGGAACTTACACTGATGCCTCTTTGTGACCTTGAAAAGCAAATGTGAGCATCTGAACTAAGACTAATGGTTTCACTTAAGTAATTTATTGCCCTTAAAAAAAGGAGGGGGATAGGTGTGAGATCAGATGGCTGACATCAATCTAAAAGAGTGACTTTTCACTTTTGAAGCAGCGAATGCTATAAAGGAGTGACAGATTTCATTGTTAAAAAGCTGAGGTTCTTGTTTGAAAATACCACTTTCACCTGTTTGGGACATTGGATAACAGGTATCCCTTTGTCCACAAGGGGCGCCAAAGTCAACATGACCCAAAATGTCTTCACAGCTGCTTTAAGCCTTAGGTTCTACAAATGATCTAATATTGTCTGTGTTGAGACATTGGTGTTCCTGTAATTGTTGCCTTCAAGCTCAGTGTTTCACACCGTAGTATAAACAGTAAACAGTGACATCAGCATGACGTCTTAATATATGTATTAAAACTGTTGTGTTTTGTGCAAATTGTTGATGAATATTTCTCCTCTCTCCTTGTTTCCTTCAGTCACAGACGAAGACACGGTGAAAAGATACTACGCCAAGTTTGAGGAGAGATTTTTCCAGACCTGTGAGAAGGAGCTCCTGAAAATCAACACCTTCTACTCAGGTATTCATTTCTGAATATGATGTTTCTCTAAGAGTTTAGCGATTTTTAATTTAGATAAAGGACAAACTATGACATGCAGACATGAATGGGTTTATTTGTGGACAGACCATCTCTATTTTAGCAACATTAGTCTCTATTACTATCAGACATTGTAAATGGCTCTTCCATACACACCTCCTCATTATGGGGTAAACATCCCCAGCTGATTTCTTTGGCAATAATAGGTAGCTGCAGACTACTGTCAACTCCAGACTACGTTTGTTATTCCAGAATCTCGGACCGTAGAGTTTAGCATGCCAAAAGTACAGTCACATGTTTTGATGGAGCAGCAGCAGTGATCTAACCTGTCAAGTCATGCTGCCCTAACAAAATAAAAACTATAACTATAACAAAGAGTCGACTTACTTTGTACTTGTCTTCTTGTTTCAAAGCAAAACCACGCTGTGCCTTCTATTGCGCTGTTAATCGAAGCAGCCGGTGAATGTCATGTTTGTGCATGCTGGCATGTCTGTGTGTATTTCTGGGAGCAGTGGAGTATTTGTGTATGTGTAACATGAGAGGGGAGGCATAATATATTCTGGTATTCTGGTACCAAAAGGTTGCCTGCCGGTTTTGAACTTCAGCTCAGGAGGAAGTAAGAGTCGTATAAAAACAGAGAGTGCTTCCTCTAGAGGCTGAGTGGGAAACTGCAGGTCAGCCGAGGGCCAAGGTTGACTGGCAAGCTCTCGCTCCAGCTCGTAATGATGGGAAATAAACCGCGGATGGATGGCTGGAGTTGAAAACAAACAAGATATAAATCATTGCGGATCTTGTTAGCAGGAGGCTGATTTACTGAGCCGAAAGGATTTAGTCTTTTTGAAAATGAAATTTGCCAGATACTCCCAGTGTAGCTGCTATCCAGGCCATGCCTTGTTAAATTGTCTTTCGGTATCCTCATCTGCTGTCATCTGCACAAAAACAACAATGTAAATCCTTCGATCAGACAAGAAAAGTTTTATTTCTCCTTCATTCCAGCACAAATAAACAGATCATATACTGTATATGTGTAGAAGTGTTTTAACTGATCATTTTATAGTTTTATGTGAACATAAGATTTTTGAATATGTGCAGTATTTTAAAATTTATCCAGTGAAGACATACTTTAATTTGAAAAACTGTTTTGTTCATACAAAGTCAAGGTTTATGCACAAACCGTATCTCTTGGTATCTACAGAAGACGCTATAGTTTGTGACGTATAGATTTATAACTGCTAATAGCTGTACCATGGTTAGATAAGACTGCACTGATTGGGTGATTTAAGTTTGTATGTATGAGTGTCAATGCATTTAAACAGAGAGAGGACTCGAATGCAGACTTTAAAATGTGTCTAAAACAAGATAAAGTAAAAAAGAAAAAAGGCTCCATGAGGAACCAGCAACAAAATGATATCCTAAGCAAGGACAACATGGTCTTAAAAAAAACATGCAAACACCAGGACCACGACAGCTCAGACTTAAAAACAAGGTTTGAAGATGACCTGGCAGAAAGAGAGAAAAGGCTAAGACTGTTTACATATGGAAAGACAGGACAACTTTGCATAGCTGAAACAGACAACAATAGGACAGGAGATAACAAGTGAACTTGATTAAATGAAATTCATCAAAAAGAGAGAAGCCTTCACTCCCCGCACACACTAACAAGCCTTTACTGACCCCATAGGTCACTGGCTGTCCTACCTACCTACAAATAAAAAGGTCCTTCTTTGGTGGGACACTTGGATACTCAGAAACAAAAACCTTTAGGACTCTCATATCAGTTTTATTTCCCAACACAGGAAATCACCGCTTAATGTGACAAAATACAAGGCAGACAAAAATAAACCCATAATCACACTTTTACATGGTCTCAGCTCTACATGTGGTCTGTGATAGCAGAGTCACAGCATATCATTATTTCAGTCAGACACAGTCTCCTCTGCAGACCTGAGGTGTGTGAGTTCAGTTTAATGTTGTGAAATATGAAAACACCGACGTCTCCTCTCTGCTCTCAGGGATCTTGTTTATCCTCCACACTCAGGAGGGAGAGATGGGAAATTGCAGAGTTGTGTGCAACAGCCAGCTTTATCTCGATGCCCCTCACTCTGTGGGACGGTGTGTGTGTGTGTGTGTGTGTGTGTGTGTGTGTGTGTGTCTGTGTGTTTGTGTGTGTGTGTTTGTGTTCAGTGGTTTGAAAAACATGCCTAGTTGTGAGAAAGAAGCAGCAGCAGATAGACAGAGATAAATCGTGTGCTGACTTGACTTGAGACACTTTTCCTCCACACAGCTCATTCCCTCTGAAAGGGGTCATTGACCTCACAGAGACATCTTCTTGCTGCACTGCGCTGAGATCCAGCCTGCTGGTCAGAGCTCTCATCTCAATTGGTTAAAAACACACCAAAGATAGATTCTTTAGACTTCTGTACAAATTGAAATATCCGCCAAAGCTAAAATTCTGTATTTACCATCAACCACCAGTTAAAATCTGAACCACCAATGCTGATAAGGCTTGTTTGCCCAACACGAGTAATCCTAATCCAGGTTTGTCCTGTGTTTATAGGTCACACACTTATCCCAGACCTCTAATTAAATCAAAAAACCTGAAGCAGGCAGCCAGGGTCTTAAGATCCCTCCTGTTTTCATGTGTTCATCCAAGCATTGTGATGACAGAGTGTATGAGCTGAGCAGGAGGACAACTGTGAGTCCAGATATCAGGGGACGAACATGTTCATCTACAATTCATAATAATGTGGACCCATAAGGTTGATGTGTGTAAAATCTACTAAAAAATACAGTGTCTGAAGAATATACAGTCATATACAGTGAAATATGCACTTTCCATGATGAAGTATGTTGAAAGACCAATTACAGGTTGAGTTGTAGACTTAATCCATGTATGTTGAATATTCATTTTAATAAGTCTTAGAGTAAAGCAGAAGAAGTGAGAGAATGAAGATAATCATCAGGTGAGGAAAAGTGGGGGGGGGGGGGGGGTGTAGTTTGAGCTGGATAAAACCGGATTTATTTTGCTGAGTCAGCGTTTTTAAGTCTTATCCCCCTGGCCATATTTGGAGTTCCCTCAGGGCATGTTCTTGGCTCCCGGGTCAAATCCCTCAGTACACTTTTGGTTTTTAATGACTCAGATTGATGTGATCTGTCAATCAAAACAGCTACAGAGGGCACCAGGTATATAATATAGGTGACGATTTGGCAGTCTGTCCCAGAGTTTAGAGTTTCATGAAGATAAATCTGACTTAACCATCTCCAGAAACTTTATTTTATTTTATTTATTTTCCTCTTTCTTTGTTTGTGGGTCACAGGACTTCTTTCTTTCTTTGAGTAAATTTTGATCTGGACACTAGACCATCTTAAACTGTACACTCACACCTTAAAGCCTGTCCTCTCTGAACTACAAACTGAAGAAAAATAGTTGAATCTCTTTAGAAATAGGCTCAAAAATATTAAAGTAATGAATTGTCCTCGTTTTTAAGGGTTATGTGTGATTGTAAAAAACTTTGATCCACCAACCCTTAATCAACATGAAAAGGAACACATTTACAATAGTCGAGCAAAAGAAACGTCAGTCAGGGAGACACAGAGCTAATCTGTGTCAAAAAATGCAGATGGAGGTGCATGAGGAGTCAATGAAATTCAGTTTAGTGCCCTGTGTGATCCCTCTTCTCTCTCTTTCTCTCTCTGGGTTTATTAACCCATGTGTAACCCAGACAGGGGTTTCCACTGCAGCATTTACATATCAGCACAGGATAATGGTGTCCATGCAAAGGACCACAGAGAAAAATACAGTGTGGAAAAGGTTGTTTCTGTTACCTTAAGCTGCTTTTCCACTGAGCAGTTAAAGAAAGTATGGTCTGGGAGAAGAAATGGATCTGACTTTTGCTTTGAAAAACATTTTGAAAGTGTAATCTGTGTATTTAGATAATTGTGATAAATAGAGCTTGTAGAGAGTCATTGCTGCCCTCAACTTATCACTTTTTGGTATATTTCGGCTAGTAGAACCAAGATCAAGATCAAACGCACCATTGTATGTGTATGTTCTTCTCGATACCTGAAGCCTGATTTTGTATCAAGACAACCAGTGTCAAAGGGAGGCAGTTAAACTATAACAACAATGAACATTCCTGAGAAATACAAAACACAAACTTATATTTCTCTCTTACTTTGTTTTTGTGTCTGTCCACTCCACTCCAGAAAAACTTGCTGAGGCTCAGAGACGTTCTGCCACTCTGCAGAATGAGCTGCAGTCTTCACTTGACGCTCAGCGCGAGAGCAACGCTCCCCCCAGCCTGCGCAAACGCAAGACCATGTTTCACCTGTCGCAGGAAGAGCGCTGCAAACATCACAACATCAAGGACCTGAAGCTAGCCTTCAGCGAGTTCTACCTCAGTCTCATCCTGCTCCAGAACTACCAGGTTTCAACACACATACAGCCTAATTTCAGTCTGAAGGGTGTTCAATATGGTTAAAATTAAATGCATCTAAAAATGAAAAAACATTCCAATTTTATTTTTTTTGTTTTGAAGTGAATTTTTGAGTATTTTGTCTTAAATTAATTGAACGGTTGAAGAAAGACAGGAAATGGAATAGTAGAAATGAAGACAGACATGTAGTAGATTTAGTAGTTTGTTAATATCTGTTCACTGATTTCTGCCAACAGAACCTGAACTTCACCGGTTTCCGCAAAATCCTGAAGAAACATGACAAGATCCTGGATACGCCCCGTGGGGCCGACTGGCGTGTGGCTCACGTGGAGGTGGCGCCTTTCTACACCTGCAAGAAGATCACACAGCTCATCTCTGAGACAGAGGTGCTGGATCACACACTCACAGAGGCACACTTGGATACAAGGCTGTTGTCAAAAACTACAACAACAAAAAATGATTGTTGTGTTTGTGTTTAGACCCTGGTGACCACAGAGCTGGAGGGAGGAGATCGTCAGAGGGCCATGAAGAGGCTGAGAGTTCCTCCACTGGGGGCAGCTCAGGTCAGGAGACATACCTGTACTTCAGGAATCACTGAGTGACATGAACCTGATTTGTGCTAAACATGGCTAAAAGGCTAAACATGCAGTTTCAAATCACTAACAATGGCTATTTGTCCACTCAGCTCATCTTTAACTATCCAAATACACATTTCCGGTCTGTTTTTACATTTTTGACTCTTCGTTGTTACAAGTTTAATACGTTTTGTTGATGGTGGACCAAGACTAAAAACAAAAGGGAGGGGTTTTCTTTAAGAGTGAAACAGAGAGTTAAAGATGGACAGATGTGAAGTGGGTGAAACCGTGAGAGCCTCCAGTATTGATTTTGTAAGTGCTTCTCTTTGTTGAACAGACAGGATATCTTTCAGAAATCATGCAGGCTTGTGGCACATTACCCCTCTATGTTATTTCTGCTGTTAGTACTGCATTAATTACTGTCACGTCTTGAATTGTACTCTGTGAGTATCGATCGCTAAAATTCCCCTATATGTTTGTGCATTATAAATATATTCAGGCAGATAAAAGGAATCAAATGGCTTTATATGGAGACAGGCTTAATATGTTGGTGTTTGAAGAAGTGGAACCTTGTTGCATCAACTGTGTCTGAGAAATAAGAATATTTTTTTATTGGTACAGACAGTGATTAGCTGTCTTATATAATCTATAATATGTCCAAAAATAATGTTGTTGTTTTTGTAACCTCTTCCTGGTTCAGCCTGCTTTAGCTTGGACAACGTTTCGTGTGGGTCTCTACTGTGGCTTCTTTATCATTCTGGCCATATCCTTCGTTCTCACTGGTGAGTCGCACCAATACTCTGATTCATACATTTTTCATATCCTGTTAAGTCCTGTGCAATTTGTAAAATGTCACCACAAGATAACGGCAGTTCTGGTGAAATGGTTTACATAAACAGGGAACACTGCCCACAGATTTTATCTTTCAAAATCATAAAATCCACCCTGGTTTCAATTAGGTGCTGTGTTCATCCGCTTTGAGAACATATGGCCGCTGGTGCGGATCTATCGAGGCGGCTTCTTGTTGATCCAGTTCCTCTTTCTGTTGGGCATCAACACGTACGGATGGAGACAAGCTGGAGTCAACCATGTGCTCATCTTTGAGATCAACCCCAGGAACAACCTCTCACACCAGCACCTGTTTGAGGTCAGAGCAGGAAACGTAGACAAAGCAGATCTGTTCAATTAAAGTCCTGAGTGTTCAGAAAAATAAAGTTTTCTCTGTATAAGTAGATGTTTATAGGTATTAATTTATTCAACAAATATGAAGCTGGAAAGATTGAGGTTATATTGTCATCAGGGTAATTAAAAGATACAATATTCAAATCATCCCGAAATGTTTCTTTGTTTTCAAAAAAATAGTTTCCTCTAAATTATTCAGACCTGTTAATTTGTGATGATTATATGTCAAAAGTGTGTTCCTGTAACGTCAGTCTTTTCTGTTTCTGCTCTGTTTTCTGCAGATTGCTGGTTTTCTGGGGGTGTTGTGGTGTCTCAGCATCCTCTCCTGTCTGTACTCAGAGTACACCTACCTCCCCATGCAGATCAACCCTCTCATCCTCTACGGCTTCATGGTGCTCTTCCTCATCAACCCCTTCAAGACCTGCTACTACAAATCACGTTTCTGGCTCCTCAAACTGCTGGTCAGTAAACTCACTGGCTGAATGAAGCATTGTGTCGCACTCATAGACTGTACAGACACACTGCTGTGACTTTATTTAGTGCCACTCTGAAATTTGTCTGTGAGCTTTGTGTTTTTAAGAAAAAAACTAAGCTAAACAAATAAAGCTTACTGAAACACTTAAGAGATGTACAAAAAAAAACAGGTTCAGAGACGTGCAAAAAGTTGGAATTGATGCTTGACACAAATCAAAGGCTTATCAACCAAATGAAAACAAGATGAGACCAAACAATTCCTGTAGAATTACACAAAACTGCACAAAACAGTCTTTAGCAATAAATAAGTTTGTCCCAGCGCAGTCAGTGTCAAAGGCAGGATCAGAGCGCAAGTCCGAATCCTCCCTGCTTGAGTCCATATTGAGTCACGACACTTTGATATCAGCGCTTGAAATTTAAGTTTCAAGTCTATTTTCCAGTGTCATTAAATTAAAGACATTTCCTTTAACATTTTGTAAACAAAATTAATATGCTTTTTGAGGACCTTATTTATGAATTGCTAGACAAAAAGGCAAAGTAATTATTGTCGTTAGAGACTCAAGGTTTGATTAGACCGCTTAGTCCTTCAGGTTTGATACAACACGTTATTGTAACCAAAACGTAAATCAAAAAACATTATATATGAGCTTTTGTACCGTTTACAGATATTTTCACCACTGTATTGTGCTGCCGATACGATATTTCCCTGGATGTCTGTATTTGTGTGTGTATGTGTGTGTGTATGTGAGTGTGTGCGTGTCACATAATGGGTGCATGTTATATTCAGATTTCTATCTGGAGTCTCATGTTTACAAAAACCCTCCTCTATTACTCTGTTCTTTGTCTAAGCTGAGCTACAGGCCTGCAGGAGAGAGCGTGGTGTGTGTGTGTGTGTGTGTGTGTGTGTGTGTGTGTGTGTGTGTGTGTGTGTGTGTGTGTGTGTGTGTGTGTGTGTGTGTGTGTGTAGAGGGGGGTGTACTGAGACAGAGGGCAGAGGGATGAGGGATAATAGAATGCAGCCTCGTCCCCTGGGAGGTGGAGGTTGTGACTGTGCAATCATTACAGGCAGAGATCTATCAGTATGCTGATGCCCTCAGCTCCTCTGTCCTACCTCCTCCTCCTCTTCCTCCTCTTTCTCCTCTTCTTCTCCTCCTCTTTAGCCCCGCTCCCTCCTTTCCTGCCTCTCCCCACAGCAGAACCCCCCTTTTTTTTTTCGTCCTTGCCCTTGCAGCTTCCTGCTGATGTGGCTCTATTATCGGTCTGATTGGTCTTCAGAAATCACATCAAGCTACAAAGCATTTCTGCTGGACTGACCTGTTTTTAATGGTCCTCTATGTCGCCTCATTGAAGCAATAAGCTATTAATTAACTGTAGTTTTATTGGATCTAATTGGTTGTTAGTTTTCTAGCAGTGCTATAAAATACATCCGTGATATGTGAGCTAATTTCCTCTGACAATAAATACCCGTCAAAAGACAAAAATTTCATTACAGGACAAACTGCAGAGCAAGCACCTGGATCACAAGTGTTTGCTCTAGAAATGAAAAGTGAACCCCAACACTGCAGCAGGCTTAGCCTTGACTCGTCCGTACAGATGGAGCGGAAATGAGTTAGATGGTCCCTGGATCTATACAGCCTGATTGACAGGTTAAGAGAAATACATAATATGTATACAAAAAATCAATATACTTTGACATTTAGAGTGTGGGGATGGTGAGGTGTTTTATAGTACATACCTCTCTAAGGGTACATAGAAAGAAAAATGTATTTGAACACTCTTAAATGTCACACACGGCTCGAGGGAAAGTGGAAAAAGTGAGGGGAGGTTATATCGTTGTACAAAGTGTGGTCAATACCTGAGTCTCAGCCAAGAGTCATGATCCAAAACATACCCACAGAGGCAATGTGAACCAGGAAAACCATAAACCACGGCCTGGTTGTCTCATCAACAAGTAGTGATGTACAAATAAACACAGAGACACAGTGTGACTCATTAGGCTGTCCTGTTGTGAGCTGATAATGTAGTCTGGAGGCTCAATTCCTCTGTGTGTTAGTGATCCCATAATAGAGGATGTTCCCTGCTTTACACTGTACAGTACAACGAGGATTTCACACTAATTAATTGTTCATTAATTCAGTCCCAGCGTTGAAAGTACTCACAAATTAAAATGAAAATGTCAGCCAAGGTGTTTCTGCAGAGCATCAATAATTGTCATAATTTGTAGGACATATTTGTTCCTCTTAGATGCTTGAACTTGTACTTAAACAGACCACTAAAATCTGTGCTCTGTCTGTGTGCTCTTGTCTGCGTTCAGTTCCGTGTCCTCACAGCTCCGTTTCACCGAGTGGAGTTTGCAGACTTCTGGCTGGCCGATCAACTCAACTCTCTGGTGTTTGTTTTGATGGATCTGGAGTATCTCATCTGCTTCTACATCTTTGAACTGCAGTGGAGCAACAGCAAGGGTCTGCTGCCCAACGCCAAAGGTGAGACACTTGACTTTATGTCCTCTGCTATCAGTGAGCAGAGAGAAAACAACACTATTCTTATTTCTAAGAAGTATACGGCTGTACTCTGAGTGTCAGTGACTTGTCATGTAGCGGCATTTTATTTAAAAAAGAGTTTGTGGAAGAATAAACCCAGACAAGGTCAATCTGTTAAAACATCACTAAAGAAATGAGATTCTTGCTCAACATTCCTTATCTACTCCTGACTGTATGATATGTATTTTTGTTTTTACTTCAAGTTCCTTTGCATTTGCAATACAGTCCATACTTGTTCTGCAGGGTTTGTTAAACAACGCTTTATTAAAGATCAAAAACCCTGACTGAAACAGCTTAGATGCACATGAATGAGGCATATGGGAAGTGAAAACACCACGGTATACAGTAAACTGCTACATTCATAGCTTCTGTCCATTAATGCAGTTTTTTATTTTTGCATTGGCAGCACCTACAGCCAAAGCTTCAGAGTGCTTTTTACAGCACTTACTGTTGCAGGGTTACATGGGCTGTCTAGCGGCCCCTCCTCTTTACTTAATTGAGTTTATTTGTAGACCCTGTAGGCCTAATTTTCTCATATATTTAATTATATTTTAAATGCAAATTAAAAACAATGGGGAAAAAAAATCATGTTTAAGCTTCAGAGGCAGCTTGAAATTGTACCCTCAAAAATCCATTTAGTATTCATATGATAAACTAAGGCTGGTATCCTCCATATCTCTGAGCAAGTTGATATCAGAAGTCTTGCACTTTCTTGCTTTGGATTGGTCGATGTTGGAGAAGTAACATTGACAGATGCCCTGGTGCCCCTTGAGTTAAATTATTTTCAGCTGAGAAAAGCAGCTGACATCAAGAATGAATTTACACATGGGATGCTGAGCCCTAAAAAAGCTGCTAATAAATTAACAAAGAACCGCATCGCTTTGTGTGGAAAATAGGAGTAACAAGTGCAGAAAAAAGGCTGCCAATGGAAATAGGCCAGTAAAGATTTATACTGTAGAAAAAGAAGTTTGAATACACTATTCAATTATATTGATAAAATATGTTCACAATAATTAAACTATGAGCTCTTCACTTGTTGAAGGTAATTGTAAAAAGAGATAAAGTGAAAAATCATTTGCCTGTAAAAGTGTAAATGTGGCTGTAGTTGACAGCATGCCAAACTGCTGAGCTAACCTGTCAGGTGGTGCAAAGTGAGCTATGTCTTAATTGCAGATCGTCTACAGCACCAGCGGTGATACCTTAGCCCCTAAGCAGCCAATTAACATGGGGCTAATGGAACAGAAATGTTTGGCCACTCAGAGGTCGCCATGTGATTTGCATAATACTGAGTGTATGAGGGAAGTGTGGGGCAGGTGTTATTGGAGGAAATGATGAGAAAAACATGAGATGTCAACTTTATCACGCTCTGTTTATTCTTATTTTTAGACCCCGGGGGCTTTGTGTGCCACAGTTACTCGTACGGTCTGCGTGCCATCATCCAGTGTCTGCCTGCGTGGTTCCGCTTCATCCAATGCCTCAGGCGTTACCGTGACACCAAGAGGGCTTTCCCTCACCTGGTGAATGCTGGAAAATACTCCACCACCTTCTTTGTCGTCACCTTTGCTGCACTGTACGCCACACACAAAGGTAGGAAACAGGCCACACGAGGTACAATCTGAAATATTTTTTCACAGAGGTGGGTTCAGATTGTTTTTGATGAGGTGGCTGGACTTGAGTGGAGGGGTGGGGTGCACACAGAGTTGGTCTGCATAGGATTAGGAATGATAAGCATTTTTAAAAATTTCTATCCCATCTAACAAAGTTCATGTATTATAATATATTTTTTTTCATTTTAATATATTTTTTAACTTTAAAAAGTCACACACAGGGTTAGTCCAGTTGAAGTACTAAGAAATGGCTCGCATTGCAAAAAAGGAACCTGCTGTAGACTAGAAAGACCCATTCCTCATCTGTTGCTGTGACAACCAAAATAAACAACAAGGTAATTAAAAATGACTCCCACCTCTGACAAGGCAAATAACCAATCTTATCTTCCGATTCTTGGGTGGTACCAAACCCATCAAATTTCAAAGCAGCTGGTGTTTCCCCTGGCCACCCCTTTGGACATGCCCCACCTACTTCATGTGAGACAGATGGTTCAAAACCTCAGCTGAGTCTACGTGTTCATATAAAAAAGTATCTGCTATCAATTTCAGGCTGTAAAGTGAATCCCAGAATGACTTAGCAGATACAGAAGATCTCAAACATCAATATTTTGTGTTGGTGTTACAGGAGCATGTCAACAACTCTCAGGGTTTCTCGTCTTTGTACTCAGTCATATGTGTGCTTAGAAAGCAGAGGTGACCTTGCAAACAAATGCAAGCAGTCGGCCTTGGCTTCCACCTCATTGCCGGGAGCTTTTTTAATGGAAATGGGAAGGTTTGTGAAATGCTGCGATGGATAAACAAGGTTCTGCACTCACTGTATGGCGTTTAATCTAACTGCAGGAGAGGGAGAGAGAGGTAGCAGGTAGAAAAATAGAGGGTAGAGAGGTACTGTTGCCTTAGATCTACCAGAAAATGAGAGAAAAAGAGGAAATGAAAGAGACATTACATTAAAAGTCAAGTCACTCTGTTTCTGACAGCATTACAATTAGCCTGCAATTATTCACATTTAGAAGTCCTATCACAAAAGAGTTCACGTTCAAAGACACAGCGCCCAACAAATACAAGCGTTTGAGCAGCATTGATCTATTGTATTTTCCATATTCATCAGAGAAATGTTTTTATGAGCTGCACATACATTAAAACTCTTAGATGTCAGTTTACGTTATTTTCCTGCAAAAAGAATCTTTGTCTTTCATATTTGAACTGCTAAATGAGACCTCCCAGCTTGATTTTCTCCTTTTTCCAATTTAAATTGAAATCAATACTCTTGCTTCCTGAACGGACTGCTGGTAATCTGGTATTTCATGAACTGGGGAGACAGACACACAGACAGACAGACTTCCTTTTTTTCTGCCACAGCTCAACAGGAAAGGCGTCCATTAAAGCACATCCATCCTCCTCACTCCTCTTGTTTGAAGCCTGTAGACTAATGGCGCTCCTTCATACCTTATTCTGTATGAAGCTGTCTTTCATCCTGTGATGATAATGAAGGCCAAGACCAAGTGCTGCTTAAGTAAAGGAGCGGAAAGGGAAATCGGACATTTGCAAACATTGATAGTGAGGAAACTGTGGAATATTTGATCTGTACACTCACCGGTTATCTGATAAACTTCAACCTAATTATAAACAAAGAGAAGCAAACAGTCTGTCAGTTGTTAAAGTGGGAGTAAAGATGACTTTATCAGTGATGCTTCCTGTAGACCAGACAGATGATGCTCACCACATTACCCAGTACCTTCCTGATAACACAGCAGACTGGTGTCGTGTTCACACCACTGGGTCCAGCTGTAAAAGGTGGCTGCAGTCTCAGTCAGTATCTGGCATCGCTCCCAGCTTCTGTCTGTGGATGTGTCACCTTCATTATGAACCTGAGCACGGCCATGATGGCTCCTGTGTGACCTCACTGCCTCAAAGACTCACTCCTTCCTGGAACTGGAAAGGAAAACGCTGAAACCGTAAATGCAACGAATAAATCATGAGCTTCTCCGGAGAACATCGGTTTTTATTCACTGTCTGCTTCTTTCTTTTTTGCAAATCTAAGTCTGTGATGTCAGGGGCTCGTAACTAAAGATGGGATGTAGGACTTCCCGGTTTGGGCAGGATTCCCAGACCCTCGGAGATTCAGCGAAATGCCTGACAATAAAGCAGATTACTTTACTCGGGATCAATATTCAGACTTATTGCTGTTTCAAATGCAGTGGGGTTGCTTACAAGCCTAATGTTAATTTAACCTCCGAGGATTTATCTCATGGATAGAAAAAGGCAGAGTGTTGGACAGTGGACAGGAAATGGACAAAACTCTGATTAACAGAAGGATGTTTGAAGAGGTTATTAACTAAATTAACTTGAATAAATTACAAGGTAATACTGCAGCATATGCACTAGGGTTGTTTGGTTAATGTACACATGGTATCAAAGACACCTCACTGTATGAAACATTGATGAAAAAAGGACAAAATTTAACTAAGATATACTCGACAAAGAGGGACATTTATCCTGCTGGCTCTTGTAAGAACATGGTGGTCAAAGGCAGAAATAAAACAAGTTCAACTGTAAATGTCGAGGTACTGGAGCACAGAGGGGGAGGAAGAATTAAAGGGAAGATAGACGTGGAAAAAGAGACGCAGAGAAAATAACTGAGCGCCAGATTATATAGAGGTGTGAAAAACTGTGATGTGATGGGAAATTAGAGCTTCAAAGATATAGAAAATAAGATTATCAGGGAAAAAGAGGTGAAGAAGTTTCAGAAGAGAAAAGAGGAAAAAAGGAAAGGAGAGGATGAGGTGGTAAAGGGGGAGAGAAATATGGAGAAAAGAGGGGAAGGGAGGAGAGGGCAGATAAAGGAGAAAAGAGGAGGGTGGAGATAACAAAATAAAGAGAGGGGGGAGAGGAGAAGAAAGGAGATGAATGAGGAGAGGAGAGAAATAAGGAGAGAGGAGAGGAGGTGTAATCAGAAGCCTGGGGCTGAACACATGTCTGCTGGACTCTGCTGGAATAGAGATGAGCGCAGAGCTGACAGCTTTTATAACTTCATTTCATGTACTGACCCTTCTTCATAATAGGAAGATGAATGGCAACACACACACTTACACCACCTGTCAGTTAAACACAAGTTAACCATGAAGATAAAGACACACCTCTCTCTCTCTCTCTCTCTCTCTATCTTCTACTCTCTCTCTCCCGCCTTAGCTCTCTGCCTACTTGAACTCAGTTTCACCTCTGCTGTTTCTCCCTCCATAGATTACACACAGCATTTACATGTAGAGTCAGGACACGCTAAGGTTAGCCAGTGGATATACAGTTGATGGGTTGTGTGTAAAAAAAAAAAATTAACTGCAAGCTTATTCTTTCTTTCTGCTTGTCTTTTTAGAGAAATGTTATCACGTAGGACTCGCCAAACTTTCACCTGCTCACACTTGTAAACAGTTTTCCTTTGTAGGATTGGAGTTGGAATTAAAGATGCGGATGGTTGAGATCTGAGAGGCTGGGTTTTTAAGTACCCTTCTTGCTTATTTTGGTTGTCACAGCAACAGATGAGAAATCACCCCTTCTCGTATTATGAACAGGTTTCCATCAGTGAGCCTGTTTCTGAAAATGAACCTGTTAGAGTCCTCTGTTTCAGGGCTGTTCAACCCCATGGGTGTCTGTGGATTACAATAGCGAGCCTGTGTGTGTGTGTGTGTGTGTGTGTGTGTGTGTGTGTGTGTGTGTGTGTGTGTGTGTGTGTGTGTGTGTGTGTGTGTGTGTTTGTATGTGTGCATGTGTGACAGACTTAAAGTAATTGTGACAGGAGCCAGTGACCACCAGTCGTCTCCACTGAATCCCTATCAGTGTTCCTCCCAGCCTGCTCAGCCTTTTTTATGGCCCAGTGACTAACCAACCTGCTGGAAAAAATGAGCATCAGTCTGAACAGGAAGTGAAGGGTTAAATGCTCACACATTTCACTAACTGAGGGAATCACATCAGTCTCCTGTGAAAAGAGTCTATTGTCCACGACTAAGTTTAATGTACAGCTGGGAAATCTCAGCGGGGCCGTGGGGACTCCTTCCCCCGATGCATCGCTCAGCCGGAGCAGCAAACAGCACAAAAGCACTGACGGTTAATGTTGCGGTGTAGCAGTTACTCTCTGTTAGAAACATCCCGCTCTGCTCCTCGGCGTCTCGCTGGCTGCAACCGGGAAGACCGAGTGATAGTGACGAATGGGAATGAGTCTGGTCTCTTGTCTGTGTCTGTGTGAGTCACTGTGCGAGGCCACCGGGTGCTGATTTATATTTCAGCACCCTGTGAGGAACAAGCACATCACAGTTACAGTGATCAGTCAGAAACATCCAGACACTGCTGAGCCCTGCTGATCATCTAGACATCAACAGCTTCTAACTTAACTATCCTGTCAGCTGGAGTCTGACATCAGCTGGTTGACCAACAATAACCATTGGTATTATTGCAGTAAACATGCATGTTATACCTGTGTTTCCATAGGTGTATTTTTTGTAAATTTTACATGCATAAAACATGAACTCTGACAGTTACATTTTGTTTGTGAAGAGGAATCAGGAAAGAGTGTTTGGGACTGACTTTAATTTGTTTTCCTACATGCTTTCACAGCTCTGGGACACAAAGAAAAACAAACCTGTAGTGCATTATAAGTCCAGTGCTGATATCTTCCTACTCAGACGCTCTTTTAACCCAGCAAGTGAATGAGCAGCAACAAAGCATGTAATATGATCTTTAATCATCTTCAGAATGGAGGACCATGTTTTCATGGAAGAGGATGTTAGGCTTTTAATGCAATAGCAGCCCACAGGACAGCTATTAATCATTGCTGGAGTATTTGTGATAGGACGGCTCCCTCTAGTGGTCAAAGTATTGTTGCAGAAGTTGCTCTGACAAAGATATGTAACGTGCTGTGGATTAAGTTGATTCAGAAAGCAGCTTCTTTCATGACAGATCTTTAAACTGATTATTATTTCTTATATGAATGTTTTCTTTTTGTTGTGCATTTTCTCTGATTCCAGAGCAAGGACACACAGATGCTGACATGTTCTTCTACCTGCTGATCGTGTTCTCCACCATCAGCTCCCTCTACACACTGATCTGGGACCTGCGCATGGACTGGGGCCTGTTTGACAGAGGAGCTGGAGAAAATGTCTTTCTAAGAGAGGAAATCGTTTACCCACACAAGGTGGGGTCATCAGAATACCGTATCGTGTACCGTATAACAATCATTTTAAGATAATTAGCAGCACTTTCTAAAACAAAGTCACTCAACATTTACAAACACTGAGGGAATCTAACGTAATGCTGTTAGACTGTTTTCCTAAACTCTGTCCCTCTCCACCCAGGCCTATTACTACTGTGCCATCATAGAGGATGTGATCCTGCGTTTTGCCTGGACAATTCAAATTTCCCTGACTACAATGACAAAGATCCACTCAGTGGGTGATATCGTAGCCACTGTGCTGGCGCCTCTTGAAGTCTTCAGGTGAGTTTTAATCACATGTAACTCTGTCTACTCATACTCAAAGCTCTGTGGGTAAGGATTTTTTTTCCCCTCGTCTCTCTGTAGGCGTTTTGTGTGGAACTTCTTCCGTCTGGAGAACGAGCATCTGAATAACTGTGGTGAGTTTCGGGCTGTAAGGGATATCTCTGTGGCTCCTCTCAATGCTGATGACCAGACGCTGCTGGAGCAGATGATGGACCAGGAAGACGGCGTCCGTAACCGCTCGGGGAAGAAGACCTGGAAGAGATCCTACAGCCTGTCGCTCCGACGCCCCCTGCTGTCCTCCTCACAGTAAGAGAACACTGACACTCTTGAGACATCAGCTTTCTGCCAACGTCATTAGTTTAATCAGATAAACACTGAGCTAGTAGCTAATAAGAAAAAAAAGATCATTTTGATTGCTGGTCATCAAAACGTTTTTCCACACCTTCTTTTTTCTGCTGAGTTTGCAATATTTAAAATTTTTAATAAAGTAAAAAACAAAAATAAACGCACTTACAGAGACCAATGAAGCTTAAAATTACCTACATGGTTTTGCTTGATGTCCAACTCTGATCAACATATTAAAAATAGTTATTCAAACAAAAAATTTAGATTTTATGAACAAAGAAAACTAGAAATTTTCCATTAGCATTTTAAATTTCAGGTACTGATCCAGCACCTGGACTTTAGTATCGGCGATATCAAAAATTTCTTATAATTTCATCTTGATGCCAAAAAATTTTTTAACACAGTACTTGTTGCAGAAGACTGGTTACTAACATGCTATCACATTGACATTTAAAGTTATATTTAGGGATGGGAATCGAGAACCAGGTCTTGTCTTAACGATTCCCTTAACGATTCCTTTCTTCCGGGTGCCTTAAAAAAACGGTCCCGCGAGTGCCAGTCTATGCGAACAGGAACAGAGACAGAGAGAAAAACATGGTGGGTGGTACAAAAAGTCGGCAGAAACGAGCTAAATTTTAATTTTACTAAGAAAGACGACAACAGTGCAACATTTTTCGAGCAGTGATATCAAAGGCCAGTACCAGTACTGACACTGATATCTGTTTTATACTAATACTGACAATGATACTTATCACAAAGGTTGATATTAGAATACTAATACCAGCACTGATATTGGTATTTGATACTGATATCAGTATTGATAGTAACATAATTATTGGCACTGATATCAGTATTGGAACAACCCTCAATGAAAACTCTCTGCACGAACTAAAGACCTAGAAACTCGAGGAAAAACGACCATACAGAGGACAGTGGTTTTCTGAAGCGGTTAAAAAAAAGTTGCTGTTATTAAGTAAAATATTAAAATATGAGTCACTAACATGTTTGTTAAATTCTTAAGATGTTTTTTCACACCTCTTTTCCAGATCGAAAAAGGACACCAAGGTGCTAATCGAAGACACGGATGATGAAGCCTTCAGCTGAGTCCACAGCATCGGCACATACACTCAGAAAACACACTCACAGTCATAGTATACTTATAAGGACCTCATTCACTAACACCCAAACCTCAACCCTTTCCCCTTAGAGTAAAAAGTCTAGAAACCTCTAACCCTCAGTCTGAACCTTTAAAGCAGTGAGGACACACAATGCCCTCACTTTGGACATTTACCTCATCTTTACATCCTGTTGTGTACATTTGGTCTTTATAAGTATGGATAGAAACACACAAAACACACACAAAAAGAGAAACCTGCTGAAGCACAAACATAGTGTCACATTAATACATTCGAGGAGAGAGTTAATGACACACACAAACAAACACACAGACAAATAGATGGACAAACGCAAAGGGAAATCTCCTGCATGTAACTGGAAACACAGACCACACTGCCCTGGGATTGTTCTCTTCTTTTTAAAAAAGGACTTTTTATTGAATTATTTGTAGTTTTTTTTTAGAAACTTGTATTTCTTTAGAGTTTCTTTTCTTTACTTTCTCTGGATTTATTTTGAACAGCTGCATAAAAAGGCAGATGACTGTTTACATGTCTTTATAACTACTTTAGGATTAACAGGGAGAAGACAAGCCAATCTAAAGACTAAATATGAATCAATACAAACCAGAGGAAGGACTCGACACTTATCACAGCATATCAAAACAAATCAACTGGTTTCAGCTTGTTGATTCTTTTATACATCATCTTTTTTTGTTTGTTTTGTTTTAATACTGTCGATTGCAGCTTTGGGGGCACTTGCAGGAAAAGTGCATTTAATACACAAAACATGGAAAAAATAACAAAAAAGGATGTTTTTTGATTCAAACATTTCTAGTCTGTGAAGTTGCTTTGTAAAATATTGAATATATTTTGATGTGCATTGTTACTCTATTGTAGTCGTTCAGTACTTTTACATGTGTTGTTTATACTAGTTAGACTAGTTTGAGCATTCACACAATGATTGTTAAGATTGTTAATGTATTTTATAATGTTTGGAATGTTTTTCTTGGTTGTGCCACATTTTTAATAAGCTCATAGTTAGGCCGTAAGATATTCCCGGATTCAAATTAGTGCAAACTGATTGTGATAATTGTGTCATCTTAAAGTGCCCTATTAGCTGAAGTGTATTTACTTTTATTTGTGTTTACTACCAGAGCTTTCTTATATGAATGTGACTGTGGTTACAGTGGCTCTGTCTGTACATCCTGCACAAAGCTTGCAAGAGCTGTGTACAAAAGTTTATCTGATATCAGGCTGTTTGAGCAGGTAGTTTCCCTCTTTTTTTTAAAATCACAGTGATTTTAGCAGCTTCAGATTTATAGTTGATCTGCTAGCAACCCGATAACACAAATGGGAACGGGACCATGGAGGGAAAACATGAATTCATCCATCCATTTTTATCCATGCAGCAGCAGCCTGAGCTTTTCTAGGGTATTTGGAGGCGTTCTCAGGTCAGGTGGGGCATATTGTACACTGATATTGCTCTTTTGAGCTCTGGGTCTACCCCTGGGCCTTCTCTGAGTTAAACATGCCCAGAAAACCTCCAAAGAGAGGAGGCATCCTCATGTAATTAATATGAGTCATAAATGGTTTGATAAGCAAACAAAAGGTAACGAGTGCTACGATACAAACACGCCCGGTAAGAATTTGAAATAGCACAAAATGAAAAATTAAAACAGATTGATTGGTCAAAATATATACACAAAAGTTTTCTTTAATGTGTATATAAAAATCCTAGGAAATACATTAAAAGAAAGTCATTTCCAACTACATAAAATCAAACCCCAATCAGCTCTTTTTGAAGCAAAAATGAAAAATATTGTCAATTCTGTGTAAATCTAGTTGGAGGTACATGAAAAAAAGATTTGAGACCCACTGGTAAACAGTCAAAACACTACTTTTGTTAACACACTTCAGCGCTGCGACAAATTGTGACCCCTCTGAGAAAATGTCTTTGTTGCATGATGAGCATTTTTACACAGTCTGATTTGCTGCTGAAATGGTTTCAGGGAGTTTTTTGTGCCATACAGGGAGTTTCCTGCAACAGAAAGTTAGACTATAACACAATGACTGATCTGAGTTCACCTAAACTTTTAAAATATAACCTGCTACAGTTCAGATCTTGCAAATACAAAGGTGTTAAACAGTAAATATCTATAACCTGATATTGCCCTAACTCCCATCCACCCTAAGGTTTACGAATCATCTGCATTTCAGTCTCACAATATTTATTTTTTGTCTGATTGTAATATCGCCTTTTTAATTTTAGCACTTTAAAAATATTGATTGTTGAGATTTGTTTAATCAAATGTCTTTAACTCATGTGAGACGAGAAACAAATGTTTTTTTTCTTTTCCTTTGCCACTTGAGTCCCCTAGCTTCCAGAAAACGATGCTCATTTTTACTCTGACACGAGTTTCACTCTGTGTACTCTTTGGCCACCGTCCCTTCGCTCCCTGCTCTGCTGTTCCTCCCAGCGGCTGCGCTGCGTCACCACCAGCCCGCCATGATACAAACCAAGAGAGCTTTGAGACACATCACAGAGAAAGTCCTGTTTTTTCTTCTTTTTCTCCCGTCGCGGCTAAAAAAAAACTTCAAAAGCTTCTATAGCAAAGAGCTTTATGTGAACTGGAAAGTGAGAAAATGTGTTTTACCTGTTAAAATGTAGAAGATGGGTCGATTCCCCATCCACATGTCATGGGAACATGTCATATTATACACACACATAAACACACACACACACACTGCCTCTCTCCCAACACTACAGCAGATAGTTTTGTAAAAAGGCTGTGTTGTCTTGCCTGCATGCTGCTTTTCTTTTACATTGTACATAGATCTTAATTTATTTGACATGATGTGTATATTAGCAATCATTGCATCTACTGTGATGATGATTGAGCGCTTCTGTTGCCATTTTTGCTTCGAACAAGCAGTATTTTCTAGGTGATGAGGAGCCTTTTCTGATTGGTCACAATCCTGCACTCTTTTTCATGTGTAAAAATCTTTTCAAAATGTGTTTGTATTAAAAAGAATAGCATAGAAGCGATGAATGTGATTGGTCGTACCCTGTCGGTGATTTCCTCTGATTTTAAGGCTCCATTATCTCTGCAGGGGGTTTGTGTCCATAAAGAAAGAGGTGGGGGCAAAAGAGGCTGAATACTCTGTCTGGAAGAAGCTGTAACACTCCGTACATTTGTGGATGTGCATGAAAAATAGTGGAGGTTACATGCATTGTTGTTGCCGCCCTGCTGAAAGAAGCACTTTTATCCTACTGTAAGGCACAGGAACAGACCCCTGAGGAACCTCATCATAACAAGATGCTGTTCAACTGATCCCAGATCTGCCAACAAACACATCACAGATGTTTTATTTGCTCTCTGGAAGCATTTTTTAAATACTTCTCTGTGAGGGAAACAAATGTTAAAGTATGTGGTAACAAAAACAGGGTTCTTTTGTAAAATCATGACACCGAAAAGCCCTGACATCCCCATTTTTTTCTCATGGGTGAAGACCATTTTTTCACTGCTTGCTGAAACCCCCTCCCCTGATGTTAAAGTGCTTGATATTTGTCCCTCTCTTGATGTTCGTACCCGTTCTCTGATCTAGCTCAACGTGATAGTCCCTGTAGTTTGGTAGATGGATGTTCTACTTGGATAAGATACAAAAAAAAAAGACAACAGATGAAAAAACATTGTGGCTAAATGTGATTTGAAGAGACATAAAGAAAGATGTCTTACATTCTGAACCATCCCCCCCCCCCCTCCCGAGTCCCTTTTACAGAGTAGTTTGTACATGTTGAGTGTATAACTGTTCTATGATGGTTTTCCTGATGGTATTTGTATTTCTGTATCCACTTTGGTGATCCTGTCATATCTGGGTTTTATAAACCACAATTATTTTTAAAGCTCACCCTGCCTCTCGACTCCATTTTTTCCCCCTCTATCACTTGTTGAAGTCTGAGCTGTGAAAGCACATTCTCATGGTTCAGTTTTAGGGCTGTCTTTTCGGAGTGAGGGACCTTAAGTGAGCAAAGCTGCTTGCATAATTTCACATGCAGAAAACATCCCTCCAGATGTCAGATATTTGCTGTGGTTTTGAGGTATTTCTGTTTCCTCTGCTGCAGCGCGCTTTATCAGCTCCTTCTGCAGGATTTCTGCTTTTCCTTTACTTTATTTGTCAACATCTGCACTATGTTTTGCAGAGTAAGTAAGTACAAAGGTAGATCATAAACACAAATACCTTAAATGTAAGCCTTTCCTTCTTATGAGAGTCAAATAGACTGAACGTGTGTGCAGCCAGGTGGTGATAAGTGGCACTGCAGGTCTTGACACAAACTAGGTGTAGGCACCAGAAAAGCTTGAGGAACTCATCCAAAAGATCTGGCAGCGTTTGGGGATTTGAGTCTTTTTTTTTGTCAGTCCCTGTGGGTAGATGGAGTGTGAGTTGTAATGTTCAGTGTGCCAGAAAAGACAAATGAATCATCCTGAAAAAGCCTCAAATCTGACTTCCTGGTAGGGAGGGAAAACACCATATCAAAGGTGAACACAGTTAAGGTTATGACAGGCCGCCATCAAATAAACAACAAAATAGATAAATAAAACTCTTCCATTTAAAAGAAAAAAAATGCGTCACGTCAGATTTGAACCTCTCCTTTCAATTCAGAAATAGCAGTTTGATATAAAAATGTCACAAGGTCATCTCATCCCTTGTTTCCCCTCTGCAGACTAAATTTGTCATAAAATAGAATGCAACTTTCATCTTTCTTTGTAACTGAAGAGGATATGGAGCTCTCAAAGCGCACCATAGAAAGGAATCTAAAAATCTCCTGATCAGTTATTGTGTAATATGATCCAAAGCTTGGGAACAACTCCTTTGTGGCCTTTGTTGTGAGACTCTTTCAGGGTTTTTTCTCTTCAAGTACAAGGAAAGTAGAAACTTGTGCAGATGCATGTAATTGAGAGCAAAAGTGCTGAAATTAGTCCCACCTTTAACCAATAAAAACTGACATAATTTTGTTTTTAGTTAGCCCATATTCAGATAAATACAAACCTCTGTTCTAGCAATATTTTCACACTGCAGAAATAACTGCACACAGTTCGCCTCTATCTGTACAGTAAATATGAAGTTTTGACTGGAATTTCAAGTCTCATTTGTTGCACTTGTAAAAAAATAAATAAATAAATAAACTTAATCAAAATTCAGAAAGTGACACACTATCAGACAACTAGGTCCATGCCTAATGTAGAGATCTATTTTTGTTCTTTTTTTCTTGGATGTTGATTAAATGGGGGGGGGGTCACAAGAACATAGACAGGTCTGGTAACCATGGCAACTCTCACTCATACCTGCATGTGTGAGAGGGAGGAATGTTGTGCTGCTGCTGATCACTGAACTTACAAAAATGCAACATAAATGCAAAGGAAAAAGTGAAAAGTCCTGATTTTACAGCACCAGAATGTGGACGTATGTAGCTTTTGAGTTTCAGACCTTAGCAGCATCAAAGTTGGTTACAGCTTCTTCATTGTGGACACATGGACACAAAACACTGTTTGAAACCAGATCATACTCTAGTAGCTGAAGGCCCACGATCAGCTGGCAGATATCACTTTGAAAACTTATCAGAGCCTGTTCAATAAACACACGGCACATTGCTGTCGCTTCAAAACAACAGATTGAGTTCAAGCTCAACACAGACATGATCATCACTCATTTCAGCGCTAAATAGCACTCAGCAGCTTATTACCCTCTTCTTTTTAAATGCTTTATAACTGCCTGTCACCCCTCAACAGCTTGCTGTCAAGACTGCCTTTTAAAAATTCATCCTGTGATACACGGTAGACATTTAAAATACAGATGACTGACTTTTTCAGTCTGCTAACACTACTCAGAGGTACAGAACATGGCTAGCAAAGAGAAAATATTTCCAAGTTGTTCCCAAGGGTCTTCTCAATTAGAGGTGTCCTGATACAACCTTTTTTACCTCTGATACGATACCGATATTGTAGCCTTTAGTATTGGCCAGTACTGATATTGATCCAATATTGGCACAAACACTGCCGACATCACTCCTACTTCTTGCTACTTTGTTAGCACTTTAGCACACACTGTTGTTGTGATTACGTGGACTCTGCATGCTAGATCCGAGCGGAGTCTGGATTGGACTGCTTGTATTGGAGTGCTGCTATCGGAGATTTTAAATGCAGGTTGATATATTCCGATATTAGTTTTTTTGCTGATATCGGACCAATATCTGATATCAATATCGGAACAGCCATCAGACTTTATAACTCTTGTGTAAATAGTAGATAACTTTTAGAGACATGTCAAGTGAGACAGACAATTGAATTTCCCTTCAGGGATTAATTAAGTTCTCCTTCTTCTTCTTCTATTTCCAATAGACACGAGCCAAATGTCCTCACAGAAGCTTTAATTTTCTGCCTCTACGCTCCTCATTCCAGCTCAGAAAGCTCTATCTTGTTAGTTGTAATTTAAGCGTCTCTAAAAACCGGTAAACAAACAACCTGCCAGTCAACATCTAAGAAGGTCACAACTAGGTTGTTTATTTTGTGATAACTGATACAGGATAAATGTTATACATTCTATTTTAACACTGATATTTTGCTTTATTTTCAATGTCAGTATGCAAAAGAAAGACAATACAAAGTAAACATTTAGTATCATGAACATGATACATAAATTGACTGCTTCATCCATAATAAACCAATTAACTTTAAGGACTCTTTGTTGCCCCGGTGATATCTTGTTTAGCTACAACACAAAAAAGGGAAAGAAACGAAAAAAAAAAATGCAAACATCAAGAGTTGGCAGACAGCAAACACTGTAAAGAACCACATAATCTTAAGATGCTTCATTCAACTCATGTAGATGCATATATAAAAAGTCAGGATCCCTGTTGTATATATGCACGTACAGTAATAACAGAATTACTGGAGTTGTCGAGCCTGCACTGGGCAATACAAACAGACAAAATGAAGAGCGGGATACACATACATACACACATTTACCATAATCTCTCCATATGAACACGCATTAACCAACCAACCAACCAACCAACCAACCAACCAACAAACAGAAGGCTCTCCGGCTTTAGAAGCTAAAAACTACACTTGACTTAAAAAAATAAAGAAAAAAGAAACAGACATTCACATTTCTGAAACAAACTCCATGATCACTGAACTTCTCACCTGATCAATCGTCTGTGATCGTCAGTCTGATCAACGTTTAGTGCCACCAGAGAAGCTAAAATGATGGTGATGCTGCTGCTGCTGCTAACGTTTGTGCCGTCATGTCTGACCCGTCCCATCAATCAGGTCCGAGTTCACTTTCATTGATTTCCTCACTGTCTGTGTTGGTCGTCTTCCTCCGCACCATCACTCACTGTGCACACATTCACTGACTCACTCCAGTTTCTTCACCGATGAGTGAAAGTGAATGAGTGAGCACGTTGTTGAAGAGAAGGTGGAGAAGTGGGACTGCAGCTGTTTATGTCTGTGTTTAGTGTATAAATGTCCTGTACGTCCATGCATTTACCTGTGTGTATGTGTGTGTACTTGTGTATATGTGTGTGGGTGTGTGTGAGTGTGTGTTGGCGTTTGCTATGTGTCCATCTCTTGGCAGGCCTCTACGGTGAGGCTGGAGCTTTGCTACTGCTGTAATGAACTTGGTATCTGTTCACTGATTGGCCTTTCACCTCAGTCGACAGGCAGGTAGTTTTGCAGGGGATCATGTCCTCTTCCTCCTCTCCCATAAGCCAGTTATGCACCGAGCGTTCAGACGACGCTGTGACGTGATTGGCCAGCCAGCCCTGGTGCCACTTGTCAAAGCGCTCATGCTGGCCTGCTGCCACTCTGTGCTGCGACTGTGGGGGAAGAGCGAAAAAACTGTCAGAGCTTCATCTATGAGACATCGAGCTGGATTGAGAAAGAAGACACACATCCTCCAACCAGATTTTCTACAACACGAGAGCGAAATCTTACAACACGAGAAAACTAGGAACTGTTGACCGACCTTCCTTGCCTTCACCAAGGCTCCTCTGCGGTACATGTAGTCCTCAGAGTTCATCACAAACACCATCTTGTGGGTGTTGAGCTTAAATCGACAGTCCAGGCTTCCGGCGTTCTCCACACCCAGCTGGCGGTGCCACTCTCTCCTGCAGCGCATCGCCTCCACCTGCCGCACCTGCCAGCGACGGAAACGACGCAGATTCCTACAAGAAGGGACGAAATTATTGGGTGGTTAATTGCTGACTGGATTAAATACTTTTCCCGTTATATCCGACAAACAAATAACTGGATCAAAATAATAAATGCGATCTGAAATGATGGGGATCCAAGACAAAATCATCACTCTGATGTCAGTCTCATGTTTGAACAGAAACTCTGTCTTTACGATCTTCAGGTCAAACTGAATTAGATATTTTCTTGTTTTAAAAGGAGGCAAAGGTCAACAAAGAGTGTGTGGGATTTTACAGAATGGGTGACTAAAAGGTTTTCTTCCCAAAACAATTAACCTCTGGGATCATTACATCACTGTACCTGGGAAGAAATACAGGTTTGAAGAAGTAGCCCTCTACTTGAGAGCACAAACTCGACTCCGTCCCGATGAACTGCTCCATGTAGCTCGACAGGCACTGAGGGAGGAGACATCAGAGATCAGTGACGGTTGAAAAAATGAAATATTGCTTTTTCTGTGCCTGAGATTTGTCCGTATTCACCTGTACGTCTAACGGGTCATCAGCTTGTGCTTCCTCAGTGTCTAGCAGCTCGATGGTCATCGTCACATGACCCTTGTTTTGGAGGAACATCACCTGGTAACGCAAAAAAAAAAAACTCACTAAAAGGTAAGTCAAAGTGATGTAAAGGTTAAACATCACAGTTAAGAGATCAAACTTGATCAGTTGTGTTAACCCTCCTCCTGTGTTAGGGTCTGCACCGACCCTTTCTTGTTTTTAAATGAACCTAAATTAGCTTTTCTGCATCATGATTTTTTGACTTTGTCAGGATCCTCTACTTCAACAAAATAAAAATTTAAAAAATTAAATTGAATAAAGTATAAAATGCTCTTATTAAAATTATGGCACTTGTTGTTTTAGGGTCGCTGTTGACTTGGTTAGATCAACATCTAATGATTAGAGCAAAAACTAAAACCATATGTGCACTTTCAGGCACCACACTGACAGTCAGATCCTCTTCCAATCATGTGAGATTTAGGAAATTCTCATTTTGCCGTGTTTTTCCCTGCACAAAAAAAAAAAAAAACATTGTGTATGTTCAGACATATGAGATCAATTCAGCAAAATTTTCATGGATAATGAAGCCAAACAAGGTAACCTAGAGATGAGAACAAAACTGGATGATAGAGATTTGTTTTTAGTGTAATTTGCAGCTGATTTAAGACACGGGTCAAAACCAACCCATTAACATAGTGGGTGTGTAGTAAAAGCTAACGCAGGAGGAAGGTTAGGAGGACTTTGCTTGTAAAAGGAGACAAGAACAACATTTAAATTTTAAGAGACGGTTAATTCAGAAGGCTAAGTACGGTTGTGTCTTTCACAAATAACGGTAACTCAGTGTTGAAAATCCTCTGAAAACAGGTTTTGAAAGAAAGTGATTAACAAGCTGAACTCAGAAGGGAGCAGATCCCTCAGATCATTACTCCTCAAATTACTTAATAATGACTTACTTTAAAATGTGCTTTTCCAGTCTAAGTGGCAGACCTTTTATTTCATCTAAAGTTACTCAGCATGTTTCAAAAGATTTCTCAGTAAATGTGTGGTTTTTAATTTTTTGCCACCTCAGCGCAAAGTCGCAGCCAGATCTGTAAATCAGTATTCGATTCTCCAGGACTTTGAGCTCACCTTGAAGCAGTTCTCCTCAGCCATGACTCTCTCGGCTTTCCACTGGTAGCTCGTTTCCCAGGCCGCCCTGACACACTGTGAGGACAGGTTTCCCCCTGCTGCCCCCCTCTTCCTCTCAGCCAGGTAAACATCAACCACCTGCAGACACACCTCGTCGCTCACCAGGTGCTGCAGCTGGGGTCAAGGAAAATGCAGATTAGAACGTGGCGTTATAAAACACTGCATGATGTGTCTGAATTGTGAAATACGGAATAAACTTCGCTTACCTGTCGAATGATGTTGTGGATGACTTTATCGATGGTGAAGCCGATGTAGGCGTGAATGGTGAACATCTCCCTCAGCGTGTCTTCATACTGTGTGGAGTCGAGGTTTCCATCCAGCAGGCTGCGCACCATATCAAGGAATGCTGGGTAGTACTCCTCTAGCTCAACCTCGCCTGTGTTGGGAAAGTGACATCACATTTGTTACTACACCATGCAGTCACAGTGACGTTACATCATCTATGTGGTACTGTGATATTAGGGCCACATTAAGGAAAAAAAAAAAATCAAGACTTCCAGATTAAAGACATCAAGTTTAGAGAATAAAGTCATAAGAAATTACTTATGAAAATTAAGTTGTAATTAAATCATTACGTACGAGAATAAAGTTGTTGTTAGGTAATCACTTACGAGAATAAAGTCAGAATAAAGTCCTTATATTCTAACCCAGACCTGGGCATTTTACAGACCGAGGGCCACATCCGGCCCTTTGGATGTCCTTGCCTGGCCCTTCATGAGGTCCAATCAAATCATCAACATGCTATAAAAGTGTGTCGCTTTTATTTTGAAAACCTAGCCATTGTTTTATTTCTGTTTGGATGAACATGCGTACATCCTAGATCTGCATTTGTGAACAGAGAAAAATGTAATTCATAGACGCCTTAGAGTTGCCAAGTCCGCTTATTATAAACGACTTAAGGTTGTTTCTCTCAAAAGTAGCTTGTAAAATTTGTGAGTGGGCTTGTTTTTAACTCGTAGTTGCTTATTTGGGCTTATTTTTCTGTATGCGTGGCCCCCCCTGATTTGAGGTTGAAGTTATTGTTGTTTCAGCCCTCTAACACAGTTCAGGTTTCTCATGTGGCCCCATGTAAACATTAATTGCCCACTCCTGTTCTAACCTGCTGTTTAAGATGACAGTTGTTGAAATGAGAGCCATGGAGTATTTCATGAAAATGTACTTCAACATAGGTTTCTCAAACAAGGAGATACTTTGATCTTTTGGCACATCAGCACCACATTATCAAAAGTATCAGAATGATTTCATTACGACTTTATTCTCGGAAGTAATTACTTCAGTGGTTCTCAAGTCCAGTCCTCGAGGCCCACTGTCCTGCATGTTTTCAATGTGTCCCTGCTCCAACACACCTGATTCAAATGATTAGCTCGTTATCAAGCTCTGTAATGGCTTGATAACGAGCTAATCATTTGAATCAGGTGTGTTGGAGCAGGGAAACATCTAAAACATGCAGGACGGGGGGCCTCGAGGACTGGACTTGAGAACCACTGAATTACTTAATAATTTGATTCTTGCAAGTAATTACTATATTTGAACTTTATTCTCGTAAATTAACAACTGTAACCTCTAAATTTAATATTTTTTTTCTTAATGTGGCTCCAATACTCCATCGTAGTGTGGAGACGTGGATCTGTTACATCTTCTCCACCTCTGCTACGAATGAAATCTTTGCGTGTAAAAGCAGTTATACTCCCTCTTACAGCCACCTAAAACAGCTATGGTGTTATTCCAGCTTATCTCAGAGAAACATCACTGTTCCACACTCCTCCAAAACAAGATCAGCAGAATAAATCCCATCAAACATAATGTCTTCTCTCTGTTTTGTTTCTTTGGTCGAATTTTCCAGTCTTCAATACTTTCCTGCTTAATAACAGCGTCAGCCTGCGCACACATTTATCAAACAAGCCTATATTGTGTCGTGTGACTCACACAGTGAATCCCGGCATAATTGAGTGAACTGACATAAAACATAAAACAGTTTGACTAAGTAACCTTCACAATCAGTGCTCATAAATTAAAGCTTATTTGCTCATCCTCTTGATGAGGTGATATTTTTATGGCAGCTCTTGATCATAATTCAGAGTCTAAAACAAAACACTACCTCCCACGCTGAGTTTATCTGTGATGAGTCAGATGTGACTCCTTGTTAAAACAACTCAGAATAAATACTTCAGTCTAACTATCGGAGCATTCAGAGGATACACTTACTGGGCTGTTTGAGGCGCAGCTCCATGGCGAGGTCACATGCCTTTTCTCTCCTCCCCTCTGCCATCAACAGCCTCTCCCGGCTCTGCTCCGCTCGGTGCTCCAGCAGCTGCCGCTCTGCCTGCCGGTAAACCCGTAGGAGACGCGAACACAGCGTCTGGTGCAGCCGCAGGAAGAAATACCAGTTGTTGTTGACGAAGAAGAGGTTGTAAACCCCGTCCAGATCCTTCTGGTGCTCTGCTTCGGGGTCACGCAGATCCACTTTTTCCCCTGTTACACCTGAACTCGTCTCCATAGGTGTTGATCCCGGGGTGGATGCGGCTGTACCTGCAGGCTGGCTTATGCTACTCGAGGTGGTAGAGGCCTCCGTGTCTGCAGTTTGGGAAGGGCTGCAGCGCCTCCGTCTGGACTCCCCGTTAAGCTGCTGCGGAGGTTGGGACAGGATCTGGGACTGTGACAGGGCAGGATGAAGTTGAGACTGACTACCTGTGGCTGCTGATGCTGCTGCTGCTGCTGATCCTGGTGCATTATTTGAATTCCCGTTTCCTCCTCCTCCTCCTGCTGCTGCTGCTGCTGATGATGCTGAACCTCCACTACCGACTCCTCCACCTCTCTCACCACCCTCCTCAGGCTCCGCTTCTTCATCAGTCCAATCTTCAGTGTCGCTGAGCTCGCCGCGGCGGGAGAAGAAAAGGTCAGGGACAAAGTGCTGGATGATGCGCTTGATGTGGTCCTTGTCGTCTTTGTGGATGGTGGGCTGACGTTTGACGTGGTAGATAATGAGGGAGGCAGCGTCCTCCAGGATCTGTTTGTCTTCGTACGTAAACACCATGTGAGGCTCGCTCGATGAGGCCGCGCCAGAGCCGTTACGACCCTGCTGCCCGACGCCGCCCTCCTCTGTGCTCTGCTCTTGTCGCTGAAACACAGAAAAGAAAAAGACTAAACGCAGGTAAGAGACACATTGTCACCCATCAAAAGGTTTTTACAGTTTTAATGAATCAGCCAGCAGGTTTTTACAAGTTTAATTAGTCTATCACAGCTACAAAGTTGAGCCTGAACAGCGGCTTCACTTCGGGAAAGGATGAAAAGACTTGCAATTACCACCTCAGATAGTGTCTCTACTAACAAGACGAATTAGTGTTACCCTCACGTATATATAAATAGAGCATAAGTAGACCAACATTCAGAGTGATGTTTGCAGCACAATCACTTACTAGGAGAAAATAAATAAACAAAACATGTCTCTCACAACAGATACCAAAGACAGAGTGAGGAAAGATTTCAGATGACAGAAAGAGTCGTGGGTAAAATTAAAGAAACAAATCAGATGTAAAATATTCCCTTCACCGTGTCTTCGATATCCTCCTCACAGGAATAGAACTAACTTGAGGTCAAACTCAGCTTGACCTTTGACCTAGAAACACATAGAGTTCAGTGATCGGCCAAAGGGGAAAATTCAAGGACAGTCTCTTGAGAAATTGAAACCAACAGCCATAAAGTGTAGTACAATTCATGATTATTTGTTTTCAATGGTGTTGTAGTTTGTGTCATAATTCCTGAATTATCACAGATTACAATCCCTTTTATTTTAGTTTTAAAGTCTTAACCTTTTAGGATTGTGTTTTTTTCTTTACTAAGGCTAAACATACATGTAAGGGCCAGTGGTTAGAAAATTCAACAGCTTTGCTAAGATGTTGTGCTCAATAAAAGACCTTTGAGCGACAAAAATCCACCTTCAGTTCAAGAAATTAAGCAAAGCATCGCCTCACTCAAACATGGATAAGGACAGACACCTTCACTTTGTTATTACTCAGAAACATCTTTGATTCTCGACAGTAATTCTACTTCTTTTGAGTGGACTGTGTCAGCCCCTCATGTTAAGATCATCTCTTAAAGTCCTCTCTTATCTCCAAGGTCAGAAATGAACTGAAAAGCAAATAAGAAGAATAAAAAGTAGAAAAATTCGTGTGCCTTGATATCCCTTAACAGAAAAACTCACCTTAAAACTTTTCCAGTACTGAACACTGTGAGTGGGTACTGTTGAGAGGTTTACACGCAAAGGTAAACAGTGGTGTTAACTCCACTATTCACTCTTTTATCTTATTGTTTCTTACTGTGCCGAACATCTGCAGTAACTCCTCAACCCAGCCCTAAAAATAAACCGAACCATGACACACAAGTGTTTACCTCGTCGTATACGCTCTCGATCTCATTGAGCAGACTCTTGGAGCGGAGGGCCTTCATGTCGTTCTGTTTGAAGTTGACTCCTTGGTGGTCGAGGGACTTCAGGTATGCCTTCTCATACTGCTCTCTCCATATTTTATTGAAACCCTGCTGGGCCTCTCTCCACTCCTCCTCCTTGGCTTTCAACCTGTAGAGATCCACACACCTCACATGAACTCTCCAAAACAAACTGAGGCTAGAACTATGACAGGTGAACATGTCTGCCGGTGGAGTATCCTGCAAACATGGCCGACTGATTGTAAGGCTGGATGATTATCTGCAAGAGGGAACAGCTCTGTTTATTTTACAGTTTACTTGATATGTAAAAGCCTGTCACGAATCAGTCTCATAATTAAAACTGAGCTGGTTTGGTTCACCTTCAATGATCAAGCAGAACAACACTTCTGTCACAGCTTATCTCAATTAAACAAACACTTGATCTGCAAAGACTGTCTTCAAGAAAACTAGTCGAGGCATCAATATTATTTCCCACAAATCATGTAACATTCACATCAAGTTCAAGATTATCCCATCAAGCTTTTTATAGGTGAGGTATGAAACACAAAAGACAAGCCTGACCTCTTGAGCACAACAGGCACAGCGGTAGCAGGACTCCTCTTCAGTCCCTCAATGATCTCCGGGGCTTTGTCGCCATAGATACGATACACAGCACGGCGCTGGATGACCTCAGAGGTGCCACCCAGGCAGTCGTCTAATCTGAATCTGTCCTGGTCCTCTGGAGAAAGACGGGAGAGCTTCTTCTGAACGCTCTCCAGTACCCTGATGGTGGCCAGGTTAGTCTCCAGAACGACATCCAACTGCAGGTGAAGAGTTACAGGTATAGAGAAGTAAAACATCAAGTCAGTGTGTGTCAAAAGCTCCCAGGCTGAAGATTTATAACTACTCTCTTATTACAAACGCAGATTAAGTTGTAATGTTTACACAAGCCTCCTCACTGTTGAGGATGTGTAAATAAAACACGACTTGCGATGTACACACCTCGAATCTTTCGTCCTCACAGCGATGAAGCTGTTCCTCGTAGGGAGTCTTCTTTGAGCTGACGAATGTCGAGTCTTCTGACCAGGAGGGGAATGACACCCAGGTGTCATTTAACACCTACACTCACAAAAACAAGGCAAAAATGTTAATCAGATCCTTCATACAAGAATATGTGTAATATTTGAAAACAAAATTACTTAAGAAAACACAGCAATACGCCTAAAAAGGCTGTGAAGAGGGATGAATGTGCTAGTAAAACTTTGTTAACAGCTAAACTACAACTCAGCCATGCATTCACTCATTGGTGAATTGGTAATAACTCTGCAGCTAAGTAGAAGTGAGTGTACCTCCTTGCATAGGGCAGTGCGTCCGCTGCATTTAGGCTGCTGGTAGGTCTTGGGCAGAGCTCTGTAGCTGGACCCGAGGCGCTTGCAGGAGGCGTAATCTACCTCTCGGCCCCCTCCCCCCTCCATGTAGCGATCTGACAGCCCTGACACAGCATGAGAGAGCTCTTTGTCCCCCAGAAACGACTTGAACTGTGTGTACAGTTCAGGAAACTTCCTGGAAGGAGATGATTGAAGTTATGAGTTACGGAGAAACCAGGACAAGAGCTGACCAAAAAACAAACAGACATCAGAAAAAAATTCCCAGCAGTGTAAACACAAAGGAAATACAAACAAGTAGATAGAAATGATTCGTTTGAGAGTTCTAGAAAAGTCAGCGTTTTTACAGCTTTTGTTGTCCTACCATGTTTCCCTCTACAATAGTAAACATTACGATCTACACCTGTCAGCACTTGCAGTCACTGTTTCTATTCACTTGTGCATCCATCTATTTTCATTCCCTCCTGCCATCTCACACACTCATTTTGCCCCATCATCTTTGTATCCACTCACCCCAGGAAAGGAGTGACGAGCTGTAGCAGTTCGGCTCCTGAAACGACTTCCTGGTTAAACAAGGCGATGCAGCGCAAGAAGTTCTCGTACACTTCCTGGCTTTTAAAAAGGCGGCGAACCTGAGTGATGAGAAAGGAAAATGATGGGAAAATCAGACCGGCAGATGTAATGAAGGTCGCCCGAGGAAGGAAAACAGAAAAATAAGAGAGAATCTAGAAAAAAGGAGGTACAGAGGCTGTGAGCCAAAAGAACAGCATGAACCGAGGAAGAGGGAAATCCTACTTGGTTGCCAAAATCTCTGATGCCTCACCTTATCGAAGAAGGAAAATTCTCTTAAGACTCCATGTTTCCCAACTGAAGCGAAGGACTGGTCTTTGGTACAGGAATACTTCATTTTTTTCTTGAGGAGCAAAAATCACATCAAGAAACGTCATTTATTGAGGTCACGGTGAATAGCACTCAAAGTTACTTTCAGGAAGACACAAAAAGCTGTTTAACTTTTTCCAGACCAAGGACGTTTGCAGTGTGTTCGTAAGTGCATTTATACAAGGCTTTGGATCTAAACAGAGAGTTTACCTTAAGCAGGGGGGACATGTGCTGTAGGAGAATGGGCCGAGGCCTCTTTTTGTTCTGTTTGGATATCGTGTCCTCTTCCTCGGGCCTCTTCAGCTGCTCTTTCCCTCCTGTCAGCGAGCTCCCTGTGAACTGCAGGACGAAGCACCCAGGAAAACAGAAAGTGTCACAAATTTGTGGACAACAACTTAAATAACTTTTTATAGCACAATTTTGAAAATCTTCAGATTGAGGTAATATATCAGATTTTTTTTTGCAGCTGAACAATTATCTCAAAGATAGCCAATTTACGTCTGTGGATTGACGTATTGTCTGAGCTCTAAATTGGACTGAATCTCTGTCAATTGACTCATTACATTTACTGAAAAATAAGAATACCAAACCAATTCTAAGAAGGAAAACATAAAAGGTGTGAGATATGCAAACATCAGGCAAAAAGTACATTTAAAAAGTCAATGAAATCTGATGGGTGTGTTGCCAATTGAATTATGAAGAACAACAACCTTTCCACATACATTTGGAAGTGCAGCACCACACTTATCTCAGTCTACAGCTGCTTTACTGACCAGTGATCTCTTGGCATCTGGTAAGAACTGTCCAAACTCTGCCAGCAGGTCCTCTTGCCCTTTGAAAAGACTGGCAACTTTCGAAAACACCTCATCTTCCGTCATCCCACTGCTGCCTCTGCTTCCTCGACTCTCTTTAACCTCCAGCTGCTCCTTCTAAAAGGTGGCGAGAGGAAAAAATGGGGATCAGAAATGAGATCAAAGGAGCTCATTTAAGAAAAACAGCTGAACAAAACTGTCATTATTTGACCTGAACTGTGCATTGTCAAATGTCATGATACAGGAGACACGCTCTCTCTCTCACACTCTCCTCCCAGGAAATGACAGCTGTGGATTTGTGATCCTGGACAATAACACCTCTACCATCGTGTTTATTATTTATGAACTTCACCCGTTGTATTTCCTTTCTTCAATACCTGGTATGTGTGCAGAATCTCTAGGAAGGCTCTGTAGATCTCTGGGTGGTCCAGGAAACGGTTTTTGATCTTGTTTACGTAGCTGATGGCGCTGTCAAACTCCACGGGACTCGTCTCTGAGGCAGGAGGGGATACAGACGAAGTGGTTGCCTGAGTCTGACTTTCTCTGCTCATCAGAGGAAGAGAGAGTCTACTCTGGGGCTCTGGAGGCCCTGCTGGGATTGAAGGGGATACGGATTCTGATGAGGCCGTCTTCACTTCCGTTGTCTGGGCTGGTCCAGCTTCAGTCTGGGCTGCAGAGGCACTCCCTGAGGTTGTAGTCACTGCAGAGGTGGTTAGAGTCTTCCCCTGCTGGCCAGGAGATACCTGAACGGAAAAGAAAATACAGAAGTTGAGATTGGTGGATACAAATGCTAAATCCAGGCACATTTTTGTGAACCTAAACCTTTGGGAAGAAATATTAGTCAGTAAATGAAAGCCCCGGTTATGTTTAAAATTCATTCATGAGCATTTTTGAGGAATAATACTTGAACTCTTTTGATCTGTGTGACTGTATGTAGTACGGCTCTCTGAATCACTCTCTCACTTCATCCCATTCTGCAAATAATGCATCAAATATTGAGCAATAAATGTCATTTATGACCCCTACCATTCATCATGTTAAATACCACATCAGGAGTTAAAACTCTGCAATACTAGTCAGTCAGTTTTCAAGATAAAATACAACTCCTACAAGCAAAACTCTCTTAAATGCCACTTTTATATCTGTCATTAAGAACAGTGTGCAGAAAGTGATGCACAAAAAACGAAACTATATATTTGTTCTTTGTTGAGATTTTGTTCAATTTGCAGAAATTTAATTGCAGGAAATTTAGACTCAGATTTGACAGTAAGATAAATTGATCAGCAGAAAAAAACTGCATGTTGTAAAAGCAAATTTTGGAAACTTATACGATTGAGTGCAAACATTGAGCTCTGCTGACGCCACTTAAGAAACATCACAGTGATCTTAAATTAGTTTGAGTAAAACCAGGATGAGAAGTTTTATACAACGTCAACACAGGCCCATGATCCACAGTGAGTTTGAAATGACGACATACATATGAACCATGAGTAGAGACAGCCATACAAACATGTATGAAACACGCCTCCCTGGGTCCTTCGATTGCACAATCAAATCCCTGAGTCACTCTTCTGTCACTTTGTTAACAGAAGAAAACTTGTCCTGAGAGAGAAGCCCATCAACATACGGTCTGATCAAAACACTGACATTAAGAACTCTAAGACGGGCATTTAATAGTTCAATTTTATCAGGCAGGTTGATTTACAAAGTAGCTTGAGTTGGATCAAAAGCACCTTTAAGACTTACCGCACTTGATTCCTTGTGATTTCCGTTTTTTATGCTACAGTTAATCAAAAAACACATTTTTATAAATTAAATTGTGAAATTTGGGCTCATTCAAAATATGAACTCAAGCTGAGCTAAAGCAACTTTCACCAACCAAACTTTGAATTTTAAATAGTTACAAACTTAATCCAATAGTTGTAGTGTTGGAGAATACATTGTGTAAATGTCTGAAGTAATCAACAATGATCCAAACTAATGCATTTTATACACATGTCAACTAAGCTGATCTTTATACACTTGTGATCTTGACTTAACTTTAAAAACCCTCCCTGCTGCATTTTAAAGTGTGTTTGTTTAGTGACAGGATGTATTTACAATGATAAAAATGGACTGGACCACCTCTTGTCTTGATTAATTCTGTGTATTTCTTTTAAAACTACCAAAGTGACAATAAACTTCATTGTTTTTGTGCTATTAAGTCTTTCATAGCAGCGCAGCACCTAACAGAAGACCTGCCAAAAAAAATATATGATTCCCTCTTAAGAATTCAAAAGCTCTCTCACCTGCAACATCTTAAAGCACTGTGAGATGATACACCGGCAGAAAGTCTAATAGTTTCAAAACTTAGAGAAAAGGGTAGTTTGAGAGTTTACCAACTCTGCCTCTGAGCATGTCTCTCACCTGTGCGGAGAAGGGAGATTGGAGGAAAGCCACCCCATTCTTAGGGACCTCTATTCGATACCCTGGCGGTAGGAACGCATTGAAGCCCAATACGAGGTCCGGGTGTCCGTGGAAGAGTTGAGACACACGGTTTATCACCCCTGGTGTGTCAATGCTATTCAAGAGAACAGGCAGAAACAGATACAGTTGTGGTGAGGGTGACAGAAGTAAATACAGACAAACCATAACACCCAGCTCTGTTTACCCCAGGGACCACCTCTAATTTCTTGTTTGTGCACCTTTGTAAAATGTTTGGTAAATCCCTGGATATTGAAGTAAGTTTAGCATTGCAATTTAAGTCAAGACAATGGATTTACATATCATCTCAAGTAAGTAACATTTTGCATAAATACCTCTGTGACTTGAACTCCTTCATGATGTCGAGAAACTTGTTGTATATTCCAGGATCATTCGCAAATCGGATTTTGACCTGATCTAGATATGACAAGGCATCTTCAACCTGAGAACAAAGAATAACAAAAATCATCACGGCGCTGCAAAGCACTTTGGACTCACCTGGACCCGTGGAAAAGCTGTAAGGCACACATCCTGTTGTACAGCTGATGAGGAAGGATCCTGACAAAGCTCTGAAAAAGTCTCGATCATATTGAGGGCAATGAAGTTGTGTGCTTGTTTGCGTATGTAATTTTATTAAAAAACGTGGGGAACAAATTAAAAGAGAAGTATGACAAAGCCAACCCAAACACTGCTAATATGTTTAAACACAAGCGTCATACGTTTGGAGGTAAAATTTTAAACTTATTAAACGTATCCCCCAAAACCACAATGTTAATACCTAAAGAAAATAAATCTGTAAATGGATACTTTCCTCTCCACTCCTTGCTCTACCTGTTGAAGATATTTACAGTATAATTGTTTGGCATAAATAAGTTCAGGCTTGACTTGAGTTTAGTGTTGAAACTGTGTAACCGGGCCACTCTGCAGACTATTATGCATTTACTTATCAATGTTGTCAAAGCACATAGTTCCTTCAGATTCAGACCTTTAAATCATTATCCACAACCCCCTTTTAGTATTTTAGAAATAATTCACGTCTTATTTTACACACTATCTGTGCTGTGTCCTAGCTTATCGGATACAAACACTTGAGTACATCGGCCTTGTGCTTAGTGTTGTCAATAGTTGTATGGTGGCATTTCTACATGAGCAAACCTCTTGTTACAGAAAACAAAAGCAAAAACAAAAAAATATCGCACATTGTGAGACAAGAAACTGGATAAAAAGTGGCTAGCTTCCATTTTTGACGACAGTCCTCTATCAACAAATGCTCTATTTAGCTGTACAAGCTGTACAAGTAAGCGATAAATATATAAATAAATAAATGGGCGAATATAAGACACAGCTTCACAGCTTTTGTTCACTGCACCTCAGCTTTTCTTCATCCATCCAAGCCTCGCCAGGTCAGGTTACGATAAAAATATGTGATCTCACTCACACAAAGCCTTGTCACAAACAGTGCACATTTACAGGGGGCTAACATTAGCCAGTCTACTGACGATTATAACTCCATGAAACACTCACAACACCTACCCACCTATGAATTTATACAATACGGTTAGTCACAGCAGGTTCCCGGTCTGCAGTGTCGTGCTGGCATAATGTGCTTGATGAAATTCAGACACTGCGATAACAAAGAAATGTGTAATGAAGCTGCTAATCATCAGAAATAGCTGTTTTGTTGGCTGGCCTGGCTGGCTGACGTCCTCCACTTTGTTCAGGGGAGGCTAGAAAAAAAAAACCAACAAGGAGGAACTTCCCACAACCGAGGTCTGAGTTAACATTTGTGCCTGTTATTGACACCGTAAATAAGAAACTACCTCCAAGTGTGTCATTGCACTGTCCCACAACACATCCATTAATGAAACACAGCTTCCACATCTAACCTTAAATGTCAACGCTCGACTGTTAAGCAATGAATTACTTTTAATAGGCCAGTGAGCTAACTAACATTAGCCAGCCGATCCTTTCACTCCCCTCGACGTGAGAGAAAAGCCTCAAATCCAATGCAACGATACGACCAACAAAATGGTTCTGACTCTGAGGGGACTTTTCCCTCGTCGTGTCTGTTGTCTTCTTACCTTCAGCTTCTGGAAGTGCTGCTGCTGCACTTGCTTTTGTGTTATAACATAAGGCTTGTCTTGGATTTGGTTTATTTGCTTCGCGGTGCTGTGTGCCTGAATCTTCGCCATTATATCCCCGGCGACAGGAGGAGGCTTGAGAGAGCCACAACCACACAACTTGAGAGGGAAAGCTTCGGTGTTACCTCCAGTTGTTGGCTAGCCGACAAACCTTCCTCTCGGTCGGGAAGCCAGCCTGCCAGCAAGCAACCCTACTTTGCCTGGCTGGACAGTCTCGGCTCCGCGCAAAGAAGACGGGAAATCCAGCAGAGTGGAGGTTGATGACAGACAAGCTACTACTCGCTGCGACTTTCCTCAAACATCTCTGTCGAAATAAACACGCCGAGGTAAAAGCGAGGGGAAATAAGCGAAGGGACAATGGTTGCCGTTTATCGTATTTAAAATAACTATTGCCTGTCTCTTTAAATTCGGCGGCAGCGGTCTGTCTTGGCGTCCGGAAGCCAGAGTAGGAGTGAAAAATTGAAAAAAAAAGGAGTGAAAAATTAAACAGCGCATGCGCACCAATGGGAGGAGCTCAGTTCACAAGAATCAGATTGCTCCACTCCCCCTTCACTGCTACAAAGGAACAATGTTACTCTGAGCCCAACGACTGCCTTAATCCTAACATTGTCCTTACGACTCCGACATACACCGACCAGCCATGACATTTTCAACAACTGAGAAATCCAGTGCAACCCCAAAATACAACCCCTACCACCAACCCTACTCTTACGTAGCTTCTACATTGTCCTCAACGTTGGTGTCAACAAAAAAGGACATATGTTGTTTTAACTCAGCGATTAAGTTTTAATAGGTAAACTAGCGGTGTTTGCAATACTTTGCTCCCCCACGTTTGTTGAAGAATAAACGAACATCTTCAAATATCATACTTAAGTAGCTACACCTCAACAAATCGTAGGGGAGAGTGGGTTAAGTTAAGCCAAAGGGTAAGTTGAGCCACCCCCTGTTGCTGGGAAATAGTAAAAGAAATTGATCGTGTGACCAAATATTTAGGAGATGGGCAACAATTCATGGAGTCTGTGAAGGTTAGAAGCACATGGGTGAAGGGGTTAGACATTTTTCACTCTGAATTTAGTCTGTCATGAGTTTTGTTAGAATTGTGTTCAGACCAAAAAAGCTCATTTTAAATTTGTTGTACACATCAATTGTGGTATCTCTGAGCTTAAATATGAGGTCAAAAACCTAGAATAAAAGTCCACCATTTTAGCTTAGAGGACTCATAAAGTCATAATAGTAGTTCTGGGGTAAGTTGAGCCAGTGACTCAACTGAGAAAGTAAAGGAGTCTGATGAGAGGATCAGAGTTTCAGTTCAGATTGTTGAAATGTTTTACTTTTTCTTTTCAAAAATACAGCTGTGAATGTTCTGAATCACTTAAAGACATTCTCATGTTAAAATAGCTTTTTACAAAACAGCCTTTTAGCAGTTATATGCAACTGCCACTTTTTTTGGCATGCTATATTATCAAGACTGTTATGTTTACACTCATTCTGTTGGTTTGCAGGGATGCACAACATCTTGAAATATATGCAGATACACTAGTTAGAGACAAAACTATGATTGCCTTGATGTGGTGATCCAAAATATCAAAAAATGGCTCATCTTACCCCACTCTCTCCTACCTCTTCAATAAACATGTCACCGGTCTGGCCATAAAGGTGTAAAAATTTCATAGAAGCATAGAAAGCTCAAATTACAGTAGAATAGTTTCTTTTGTGTGTGTGTGTAGCATTACAATTACATGGCCCATGTGCTCATGTTATGGCTGGTTGATGTATACGGCTCATTCAGTATGCATATTGGCAGAATGCTGCACTGATCGATGCGGCTGGTTCAATAAGGAGTACAAGGCAGTTTTTAACAGCTTATTTGTCTTTTTCAATAAATTTCCAAGAAGACAAGAACAAGTAATTGAATTCGAAATGATTTATTGGTGAGTGACTAACATGGTAAAACATCAAATAAAGTAATGACATTGCAAAAGCAAGAAAAAGAACAGTGGTATTTTATTAAAGTCAGTAAGTGTTGTTATTTTTTAAACTATGATAGCGTTGACAGATAGCCACTTGAAGGTGCTGTAAGTGTAATGATTTTCTTTTTCAATTAAGAGCCTTAAGAGCCCTTAGCAGCAAGTTTCCATCTTTGTAGCCACTGTTGAAAAGTCAGTCCTCCTTTACTGACCTCCTGTAGGACATGCTGGGCTGGCCTGTCCCACCTGAATTAACACAGAGAACAGAGGAAGTTAACTAATATAATACAAAGACATCGATAAACCAAATACAGTCAAAAGAAAAATCATAAACAGACCCTCTTCCTTAGTTGTTTTGATCAAAGCTCCTGCTATGAATGATAGTTTTACGGCTTACCTCATTTAAAAATCACAAAACACAATGAATGTAATGTCAGGAAAAGGATTAGAAAGAGCACCTGTTTCTATAATCAAAAACATTCCTGATAAAAATTAAAAAAGGGAGATTATGATGTTCTTTTTACTGCCCAAGAGACTACATCGCAGGAAGAACCACAATCAGAGATGAAGTTCATTGACTTTTAAAATACTTGACTGGAAAGTTCAATTAAGGCACTATGTAAAAGTTAAAACAGATAGGAGTGACTTAGTCAGCGCTTCACAGGCCAAGTGTCATTTCTACATGCAGATGTGGTTCTGGTAACAAAGACAGGAAAGATGAAAAGCCAGCATGACTGTGGTAAAATATTAACTGACAAGAATGCTGGTAAACTACGAAAACAGACCAAAGGAGCAATATTGAGCCGTCTTCCATGGAAGAAAATGAAACACTTTTGAGCAGCTTATGTGCTATTTAATGAGAAATTTACTCTGGAAATGTTCCTCACCAGTAAGAGATGGCCGTTTTTACTTGGTTTCCGTATGAAAGGCCTTGGCTGCAGCGTTGGGTAAAGCTTCTGACTCTTGACACCAGAGCCTTCAGAAGTTTCTGATCCTGCTCCATCACTTTGGACAGCAGAGCTGTATAGAGAACACACATTTCTTTTTGTTAGCTTCACAAAAACTCTCCAAACTTGATTTTTGTTTTTGTACAAAGAGCCAAACACAGACCCTCCTTCTATTCTGAGTATGATAAAAAGCTTCCTGATTACCTTTCTGATCAGATGCATGCAACATCTCTGTTTCTTTTTGTGTTTTTTGCAGAGAGGCAGAGTGAAGCTGCAGTAACTGGCAGAGAAAACGTAACTCAAGCTGAAGGGACCGCGTCTGGGAACACAACTCCTCTGGAGCCTGTAAAAAAAACGGGGACATGCGATTTGTTTAGATACAGAGACAGAAGTAGAAGCTGGATGAGATTTAATACATTCAATATACAGCAACATTTCACACTGAAATTGGGAGACTGGCAGGGCAAATGCTCAGTCGCCTTGAAAGTACAAAGCTGTTGGGGCTACGCAGTAAAATAGATCTTAATGGTTAAATTTCTTTTTTAGCACTGCGAGTGAGAGAACTGAGGTCAAGTATTAGCAGAGACAGTCAGCTGGATAATGAAAACCACACTCAGTATACAGACTCCAAAGAGCTGGAGCAAATCTTAGTCACTGGCACAACTTTTATGGTAATGCAATAAAATTCCACAGGGAAACTTTGCATGCAAAATTACAAATTTAAAGTGTGGAATAAAGTATGTATTTCAACTGTTAAGTCCTTCACTTTGAAATACAGTTTAATGGCCTATTCTCATATCATTCAGCACTTTTAAATCAGTAAAAATGTATATTGAAACTAATTTCAACGTGTCTTATTGCAGAGGTGTCCTGGTTACAGAATAATAGCTTAAAGTTACTTGTTGCCTTTGTATAAAATAATCAACCACTGAAATATGAATTATACTGACTTCGTATTTGGGATGATAGACATGTGAAGTGCTTCGATTCTAATACAGCAGATTTGATGCTATACAAACCCAAACTCACCTTGTACAGTGGAAACGCCAGGCTCTGACACAGGCTGCTGAAAACTGGGGACTTCAAGCGATTGATGGACAACCATGAAGAAGGGATTCTTTGAGTTCTGAAACAACAGAGAAAAGGAAAAAAAAGTCAATTTCAAACAGCAGCTGTAACCGTCTGATCGAGAGATTCTCTTTCTTTTGGTGCACTCTCCTGAGATTTTATTTGGCCACTTCTGCGAGACAAAGAGGCGTATAAATGAAGAGATAATTAGCCTTTTCCATCTTCACACCATTTTCAAATAGTAACAGATGCTCAGGAATCCTTCTGTACACTGGGTGTTATTGATCTGACTGAAGTTTCAATATATTTACAGTCACAACTCGTACCCTGCGACGGTCCTTCGATCAAGAGCAACTAGAGAAACCATTCCCAGCTGTCGAGCCTCCTTGGATATAGAGTTCCTGAGACTGTTGGCTGAAGTGATTACATCTTTACACTGTGGCACCAGTTTGCTCCTGATAAATTCATGTAACTGTTAGATAAGAATAGAGAGAGAGAGAGAAATCATTAAAGAGATACAAAAGCCAAAACACCATCAATCTCAAAAATTAAACCCATCAGTATATACGAGTCTATGCACACCTCTGCTTGCAGATGGATCAGCTCCACCTTTGCTGCAGAGTTCCCCTTAATCAAACCTCTGATCTGCTCCTGTCTGAGAGCCTGGAGAGAAACAGTGACATTTTAGATGTAAGTTTCTAAAGGACTGAGAGATAAAGGTTGTTATCTTGAGAGTTTTCAAGATCCAAGAGAGCTCAGGCTAAGAAAGGTCTCACATCAGTTGACTCTCACCACAAGTTGTCTGAAGTCAAGGATGCTCTGCCACTGGCTGCGGAGGTTCTTTAGAGCCTCCTGTCTGCTTCTGGCATACTGGTCGAGTTGAATACACCTGTCTCTGATAAAATCCCTTGCTGCCGCCTGCATCACACACTGAAGTTCAACCTTAAGAGCTGACCTGACAAGAACAATGAAAAAAGGTTCAGGAAAAAAAGAAATAAAAACTTTGCGGTCTCTTCATTGATCCAGTAACTCTCCACTGTTGCAGAAAACCTGCCCTAATATTACTGGGACAATTATAAAATTCATAACTTGTGGGAAAATCATTAGTACTCTCTACAGTGATTCAGCTTACAGTGCCATGGTGTCATTGTGGGATTCATCTGCAGTAACAGACACCTCCAGGATAGCCTCCTTCCTGCAGGCCTGCAGCTGGTCATGGAGCTGCTGGACCCTGGCGCGAGTCTGGGCCAGTTCCACCAAACTCTGCTGTACCTCTTCCCAAGCAGCCTTGAACAACAAATGTATAATTCCATAAAGAAAAACAAAAATTAACTATGAATACATGAAAACATTTCAACACGCTCTCACTACTCTAAACTTCTGGTGTAAAAGACAGGGGGGTGTTTGTGTTGAGCACCTGAAGGAGGGTCTTCACCGGTGGCAAATCCTTATCTTCTTCTGTTGACATATCCAGGAGATGATTGTTTTCATACCGGAAGCTGCAATATAAAAGCAAAATAAATACTTAAAAAATGTTTTAACATTTTTAATGCTGGAGAGAAAGTCATAATAACACTGAGGTTTGCTGTACCGTAGAGCTGTCACATCCCATGTCACATCCAAGGAGGCAAGTTTCTCCTCTAGTTCCCTCTGCTCTCTGGAAGCTAAATACTCCAATGCTGAGAGGATGTGGTTAGGAGGATAACTGCCCAACAGATTCTGGACAAGAGACAAGCAAGAACATGTTGATGTAAAGTGCAAACAAAGACATATTCAGAAGTAGCAATAAAGTTTGAGAATTTTATTCAAAAATAAAAATCACCTCCACAGCACTGAGCCAGTACTGAAACACAGCTGTCCGTTGATTACTGCTCAAACTGAGAGGAAACAGAAAGAGATGCTGTCAATTCTCAAAGGGAAAGTTTTTTCTCCTGGGATAGCTTTTTGCAAGGTTGGTTTCTGGTATCCATCGTATTTCTTACTGTTTGGCTGCAGAGTGCATGGCTTTCAGTTCGCTCTCTTGTAGAGAACAATAAAAGTGGATCCTGTCGTCACACAGCTCTCTCACCTCTCGCTAACAGGAAAGAGATAAGAGAGAGAGCGAGAGAGTGAGATGCACTGAATGCTGTACATAAGTCACCACTGTATACATAAAAAGGACACCATCAACATTACTCAGATCTGCATGAACGCCTGTTATAAACCGGTATACTGTATTTATACAATCCTAATTTTCATTCTAAAAAGTTTGGCATATTGCATAACATGCTGAAAAAACTGATTATGAAAATTGTGCAAAAACAGCATATAAAGTGTTGAAACTTCAGAAAAGGTTGAAAAAAAAAAACCCCTGAGAAAACAGCTCCCAACTAAGTAAATTAATCTGCAACTGCCTATGAACAATGTCAATGCTTTTTTGGAACAGCTGTTTTACTTTGAATTATGCTTATTTAACATATTTACCCACTTTAAATATGGAATCACTTTCTTATTCATTCCTCCCTAGAAAATAGTGCAAATACCTCATAGTTTACTCTTTACTAAGTGGTGCATAGAATAGTTAGACTATAAAGTTTGAAGCATTTTTCAGTTGGTCTATTCATTTGTCATTCCTGGAAACTTTTAAGAGAGACCTATTAGTGGGTCTGCCTGATTAAGAATGACAGTGCTGTATAACTGTATACTTTAACATTTTGTATAAAGTAATAAAAAAACCAAATTTTGGAGAGCACCTACCAAGACCTGTGCCTCTGCAGCCGCTTTGGAGTTGGGGTCATCTCCATCACTGCTGGAAGGCTTATCATCAAAAGGCACTTCTATCTCTGCTTTCCTGTAAAACACATTACAATACCTTTGACACTGTTTAAATTAAGAGCAAAAATATATGAGCAATGCTTTCTATTTTTTTTTAAACTCACACCTGAACATTGAATGATCTGTCTTACCTGGCCATTTGTTCCAGTGCTTGGCAGTGTCCACTAATATTTTGTGAATCATCAGAAAGCACCTTGCGACTCAACATGCAGCGCTGCTTAAAGGCCTGCAGGAGCAGCTCTCTGTGGTGATTCTCCTCCACTTTGGCCCAGGTATGACTGATGGACCGCTCTGTAAGAAAAAAAACAAGAAAAAAACTGAAAATATTGTCTGATCAGATCCTCAGCCCTTTCTGCATCTGAAAGAAGTACCTTGTGCCGCCATCTGTTCCTCTGTTCCACTGATCTGAGAATCCAGGTGAGTGATCTCTGCTCTCAACTGGTCTATCTTCCTCTGAAGCTCTCTCTGCTTGGCAGTTTCACTTTGGCTTTCAACTTGTTCCAACTGAGCACGCAAAAACACATGCAGATAAGAATCATTTTATGTGTGACTTTTCTGTATGAAAACAAACCACCACTTTGTGTATCATGTCTTTTGTGCTGCCCCTTAAGATCAGTCAAGTACTTCATTCAGCACATTATTAAAAACTGCAAAAAAAAACTTTATGAATGTATGCTCATTAGAGTAAACGGTAACCGGGAGGAAGTAGTGGCGACTCTCTGGGACAGTTTCTGGACCTTCATGGCAGTTGACAACAGGTCTGAACAGACAGCAGTCTCCCACATGACTGCATGATCCCGTAATATGTTTATGTGTTTTATGATGAGACAAAACTTTCTCTCCACTAGACTGTTTTTTTTTTTCCTGGATGTAAGCACCTTTTTATTTTATTTTCATGGGACTCGAATACTGGAGTCTACCTTCATATCGCAACATAATACAAATGTGCCAGATGTTTTTGTGATCTGGAAACAGCAGCTTGTGAAATATATGCCATGTACCATGCCTTTTGAAAAAATGAATAAAAATGAAACTATATATTTTTTAAAAACTGCAAACTACAATATGAGAAATATGATTTCCAACTTACCTCTTTGTCTTGGAGAACCTTGTACCTTAGAGATTATATTGTCAAGGAAATTACTGGATAAATAAAACAGCCAAAGTAAAGACAGACGGATGATATAAAAATGCTGCGAGTGTATTAATACAGAGAACACAGAAGATGAATAAGAATTGAATTATAAAGTTCACTCTCCAGTATCCCAGTCTCCTTATTATATTATATTATATTATATTATATTATATTATATTATATACAACTTTATTTATCCTTTTTGGGAAGGTTTCCTCCTCAAGGAAATCAAAAAATTGATCATACCCAATCACTAAAGCCAAAGATGTTTGCAGCCTTGGCAAGTCTTTTACAAGATGCTCATTCTCCTGTGCAGAGATGACCCCTGAGAGAAATCTTTAAATGCTTTGGTTTAATGCACACATTGAGTTTTCATCGCTCCTGTCAAAACAGTATCTTTCAAATGTCTCTATCAGAGTCTGCATGGATACCACTGTAGATTCCCACGCATAATCCTCACGGTCCTGAAAAACAAAAACAGTCAAGAGGTTGAGATCTGTTACATAAACATCTGCTTTATTCACGGACAGACTGCAGCATTATTTATGACACAGAGACAATCTGTCAAATATTTCCTAAGACTTAGACACTTGGTAGAAAACTAGCTGTGATTACAAATACAAACCTTTGTTGAAAAATGTGTTGGATGGTATATTTCCAAATGGACTTCCCAGACCCAACACAAAGCCTGAAAACAAACAAACAAAACAAACAAAGAAACAGTAATTGTATGTTAGCTCGCTTGTATCAATAATAAAGTACAGAATAAAGTTTAAAGGAGAGTTAATACGTACGTTTTAATGTAGCTGTCATTTGGTAGGCTTTCTACGGGCAGGTTGAACTCCTCTGTCGCCCATCGTTTCAGCTCCTGTACCAGATTTTTGTCCGCCATCCTGACAACACTTCACAGAGGGGAGTTAACGAACTGCGGCAGACTGTTGAACCGAGACCACAACAACCCGGAATAAACAAAAGTTTAACTTCCCGCCATTTTGCAAAACTTCCGGGTACTACATCCGTAGATACAGCGCCTCTGCTGGCTGGAGTTGATTATTACCATGGAGATTGCTAAAATATTAATACATTTTTTGAATTTCACTGCCATTAAAAAAACAACCACATATGTATGTTGTGTATTATTTGGATAACGAGTTAATAACTTCATGTTTATTAATTGTTTGTAACAGTGTGTCAGTTTTTCACAGTCAATGGTCTCAGTGCAGGTCGGTTTCTTGTCATGTCGGAGTCCTAAACATAGAGGGCGTGCTAGTTCTACTCTCAACACCTCCAGACCCAGTTGAAGGAAGGACAGACTGCTGTAGTGTACCTTGTCACTTCCTTGTAGACTAAGAAAGCATGTTGCTCTCTTGAAACACTTGTTTTAACTTTTCTGGTTGTCTTCTATTGACCATTTTCCCTATCCTTGCCCACAAAACTTGTTTTGTATTTACTACAATGGAATATGAGCCTTAAGACATGTGTTTTAGTGTGTGAAATGATGAAATTAATAACATAATAATAATAATAATAATAATAATTTTATTTATATAGCACCTTTAAAAACAGAAGTTTACAAAGTGCTTAGACAACAGTTGTAAGCACAGAGCATCAGCACATTGAAAATAAAAACACATAAAAACAAAAGCTCAGTTAAAAACAGGCCTCTGAATTGTAGGCCTGTTTCAACATCAGAGCCAGCCCAAGCCTCAATGGGGCCCTAAGCAAAATTTGATTTTGGGGCCCTCTATTTCTGTCAATAATACTGATTGTTGATCATTCACTCACCTACTACATTATAATTTAATGCACCTGACATGTCTTTACACATTGAAGGCATAGGTAATAGCATAAATAATACCAGTGCAACCGTACAAATAAATAATACCAATAACTGACTAATGAATGATGTTCAGGGTACCACACATATGGTTTTTAATTTCATAATGTAACACATTCAGCTGCAAGAGCGGCCTGGGGTTGATTTTTAACATTCCAAGTGATAAAGCATTTTTTTTTTTTTTTTGATTGCTCTTGGGGGCCCCTACTGGCCGCGGGGCCCTAAGCAGGTGCTTAGTTCGCTTATGCCTTGGGCTGGCTCTGAATAACATAAACAAATAAGAATAAATAAGATTAGATTAAACACAATTTTTGACAGCATCTTCAAATTTAGGATTATAATTCTTGAGTCTGAAGTGCTCCTCTTTGACTTTGTCAGATTGTTTCATGTAGAAATTATCCACACCTCTGTAAAAAGATGCCTTGCTCAAAGGCCCTCCAATGACATAAATAGAGAGATCCTCCACTGGATAGTTTTGGGCTCATTCTCTGTCCCAATCCCGGACATTCAGACTATAGTGACGTCAGAATTTTTCTAAGAAAACAGGTGCAGATTTGTGATGTAATATTGGATAATCTAATCAGGCGTGAAGTCTTGTTTTGGTTCATGACAGTCTGAGATATATTTTTAGCTCTTAGAGCTTGCATGCCTTACCTGATATATTAGATTAAACCCCAACAAGATTATAAATTCATGATGTGTGTGTTTGTGATAAATCTTTTGACTTTAAGTTTTGCTCTTGTCCATGATCACTGCTGAATGTACTCTTCCATCACTCCCTTTTCTTCTGTATGATCATGCAGCCTCTGAGGTGCACTGCTAATGACCACGTAGTTGTAACAAAAGGCCGAGCACTGTGCCTTTAATGCTAGCAAGTGCAGTGGTAATAATCACACACTGAGTGCACAGAGGGCCCCATGTGAACCTCGCTGTGTGCTTTCTGGTGACTGCGCCAATAGAAATTTACCACATCAGACACACAACATAGTTCTACAAGTGTGAAGGAAGCAACCCCCCCTCCCCTCCATGTCTGTCTATCTGTCTCCCTCACAGACACACCCACACAACACTGGCGCCAACAAGCAATCCCCCAACCACCCCCCCATACCCGACCCCCTCAACTGACCTCTAATTATGTCATGCGAAAAAGCTGTGTCCCATTGAAAAGCTCTCTTAATCAAACCCAATTAATTCCGCTATTTTCCCTTATTGTCCTGTGCAAGGAACGCGTCTTCCCAATAAGACTGTTAACTCCAGCCGTGGCCCTTCAGATCTGCTGGGCTGCAGGAGCGAAATAATAGACCACACAATTAAGCAATTAGTCAACTGGGATTCAGTGGTCCTTAATGAACATAGTAACCGGACTTGAGGTGAGTCAGGGCTCTTGCTGCTATTTCCAAGAATGTCATTACGTCTCTGACATAATTCCTTGGTTACCTGTCATACCCTCCCTTAATTTAGGAGCCCTTTTTTTAGCTTTAGGGGCTAAATATTGTTACAGAAATAACATTTTCATTCAAAAGGCTTACAGCTCAAATTCACTGCCATTACCCACAGTAATCAGCTAACAACAACACAAGGGTATGTAAAATACGAAAGGGAATTTTTTATTGGTTTGTACCTGAAGCATATATCCTTAATATGTAACCAGTGTCACCAAACAACAGTGACATCAAACTGTAATGATGGTACTGATGAAATAATCTGTGCTCATAGAGATAAAGTAGGAGTAAAAAGTCGTTCTAATACAGCGAGAATGGAGTGCCCAGCAGATGCCCTACAGCAGGTATAACCATCTGTTTAAGTTATACCACCTTTGAAAATAATGAAGACCCACATCTTATGGAGAACTTTGCAACAAATGTCAACCTCCAGGCTTAAGAAATTACACCAATGCAGAACTTCTAAATACAGCAGTTCCTCAAATGTCCACTTGAGGCTGTCCCCTAAAGCATATGAAACCACATACACACCCATTCAAAAACACCCATCTTTACTGCAAAATATAAACATGTACAGTACAGCACAAACTCAAGTTTTTTGGTTTGAAAAGCTCATTTCTCTTCCTGCACACACTGGGTCTCATTCATGAAACATGGATTATATCCTTTCATAAGTCAACCCATCGCCACCATCCTCAGAGTTGGTAAAAAGCCATGTTCTGTCACACGCGGTAAAGCACTACCTTTGACACCGACCCAATGGCAGTAGTTTCAGGCATTTTGAATGACAATAGAGGATTATTTAGTCTTCTTTATGGGTGGATGGATTATATCCTTTCATAAGTCATTCAGAGGCATTATTATCAGTTTTATTTGGTTTCATGGCCAGACTTTGAATTTCAGATTTAGTGTACATGGATATTTCTGAATACAGTCCCTTCAGTACTGTAAGATTTTATGGTGAAGAAAAACTCCATGTATTTTTTTCCCGTTAATTTTTTATTTTATCCATTTATCTCATGAATATGTTTGCTATGTACTGTTGATGCTGCTGTTTATTCAATTAATTTATTATTATTATCATTATTTTTTTTCTTTCCTGTAATCGTCCAAATTTAACGTTACCCTCGAGACAAGGGTGCGGGCAAGGGGTGTGGACAAATGGAAATGTAATGAAATAAAACAAAATAAAAAACTGACCATGAAAAAAAAGAAGGCAGAGAAAAGAAAAGAAAAGAAAAGAAAAGAAAAGAAAAACTTCATGTAAACTTTTTTAAAATTTCTGTATCTGAGCTCATTGGATTAAAGAGTCATTAAAACATGACATTTGAATTAAACCGTGAAAGTAGCTTTTTCATACAGATGTTTTAATGGATAAAAGTGGTCATTAAATATTGAGCTGTGCATATTTTTCCCTGTTAAAAGCAGATTTTATTTCTTAATTTTCAGGCCTATACATCAGAAATAAAATAAAAGAAGTAAACAGGCCTTGAATTCTTCGACAGTATTTCCTTGTGTTTTGAAATGAATGCTTAGGTCTCAAGTTTCCTCAAACATTGTTTTATTCTTCTCTGCATCCATGCAATAATTCTCTTAATATCTTCTGAAAGTCAAAATGCTTTTGTCTCATTTATAAGACTGATGTTCACATGTATTGTCCCTAGGACCAGCCCACACTGATGAAATGCTTGGCGTCTGTGTCTTATCTTCTCATGACTGAGGCTTTGCCATCTTTTTATTTATTTGTTTTGTCATAAAGCAGCATCTGGACTGATGATTCTCTGTACAATCCAGATGTCAAGACCAGATTAGGTTGTGTTTCAGATGAGCACATATGTAATGTTGTTCCAAAGTAGATGTGTCAACCAAGAGCATTTAGCTGGTAAAATGTTAGCATAGGTCAGCAGTCTTGCAACAGATTTCGGCACGCAGAAATATCCAGTATCTTTTCAAAGAAAGGTTACTTTTTGACAACTTCTCAGGCGCAATTGAAAGTAAATCATAAACAGCTTCATAAAACTGCCTCCCCACGATTCTGTGAGATTTTGCATGATAGTGGATGACTCTTAACCAGGCCTTTTTCCATGTTGTTCTACTGCTGCTCTTTTTCCCATGCTTTTCTTTGTGCCACTCACTCGGTGCTAAACGCATGCCTACCCCGGCCCCTGGCTGTGGCTATAGCCCCGACCCGGCCCCAGCTGAGCAGTGCCAAGCTGTCCAGCAGTTAGTTAGTGTCTGTGCAGGCCCGGCTTGGCTCGGCTCGGCCCGGCATGGGTACTAATCCTTGGGCTGTCAGAGGACCCCGCTCTGAACTCATCCTGCAACACAGGAAAACGCTCTAATTGGGGGATTTTCTACATCATTAACTCTGATGAGCAGCCATTCTACCCTCCCGCTCCCCTCCCCTCTTCCTCTTCACTCTTACTCTCTCTCCCACACTTTTCTCCAGCTTAATCTTTTTTTAATGTTTGTCTTTTTCCTTTCTTTCCTCTGACTTCCTCAAGTTTACTGGCTCATCTTTGGTGCTTTCTTCCTCAGATCATTTTTCCCTTTTTATAGGGTGATATTTATTCACTGTTAAAACTTTACACTGAATGAGATATGATAAACAGAAGTCAATGTGTAAAAGTAAAGAAAGTGCTACATACGGCATCTCTTTAGTATATTGTGTTGTAACATTATATGCATTAAAGGCAATGTCGGATCTCTGAGATTTGAAGCAAACGTGGCTTTGACTGAATTCATATCTCAGTAACTCTGTAACAGGTGGAAGAAGACTGATAGTGGGTTTTTAAGAAACACGTCACTGTAACTCCTCTAGTATTTTTGGTTATCCATAGTGTATCTAGTTACTTATCAAATCCAGAAATGATGTTACAATTATAAAAAATCATAAGAAATTTATACCCATTGAAAACTTAAGATCAGTCATTCAACTCATTGACATAGTTACGCCTTTGTCAACCCAGCAGCATCCTGGGAGTAAGAATATCTTGTGCTGTAAATACAATAGATGATGATCATTCATGCATGAGCTGTCTGTCAAGGAAATATTAACCTTATTTTTGCTCTCAGGTTTTAGGACAAAAATATAAAGGCTGTCGTCTATGTGCAGGTTGGAAAACTTGGCCCACCACCAAAACTCATCTCACGAAGCACCTAACCAAACAACACACTTCTAAGCTAGCTGTTGGAGAGCCCGAAACAACAGTGACTCAGGTGTAGCCGACGTCAGCTTGGCAGACCAAGGAGGAGCCACAACATCTAAGCAGCAATAGTTTGATGTGAAATCACTGCCAGCTCCACAATTTGTAATCCAGGAAGGACTAAAAAGGCTGATTACAGGAGGTGTTATCAATGACAAGCTTCCCTTATCGACTGCTGAGTACTGAAGCTACAAGAGATAACACCAAAGTTACCTCCTCAAGTAACGTACCCTGCACTCATATAAACATGTGTGGGGAAAAGCATGCCTGAATATTGTTATCTCTAAAGAAAAAGATGTCATTTGGCTATACAGACTGTTCATGAAGATACTCCTGGATGTTTTTTTTGCGCAACTTAAACTCTTAAAAGATTCAAGAAATTCCCTCAAAGTTGTGGTAAATGTTGTTAAATACTTTTATGAATTTACAAAGATCAACAAGTTTTTTTCTGGGACTCAGGAGCTTTGGAGGCACAAACCAACTTCAGCGTAATGCAGTAACTTATCACTCAAGAGCAACATTTCAACTTTACATTCACTGGTTGTCCCGTATGTCCCCAGTACTTGGGTTTACTCAGACCTCCATCTGTCCTTGAAAGTGATTCATACCAGGAGGCCAGCTCGCACGGCGGCACCGGTCCCTCTGTGAACATGTGTTGCAGCGGCTGAGCTACCGGCCTGCCTCCCTGCCTGGAGGCAATTAGGGAGCTGGGCCCTGCGGTCAGAGGCCCCCCTGGGAAGCCCTGATTGATTGGAGTCTCATCTTCCTAACAGGCTGGCACCCTGCCACCAATCCATGGAACAGCAGAGAGGATCGGGAGGGGTAAAGAAAAAATGAGAGAAAGAGAGAGAGAGAGAGAGAGAGAGATAGAGGGAAAAAGAAAGAGCCCTTATATGACAGAGAGAAAGAGACAGGGCACAAGTGTTGGAGGAAAAGAAAGAAAAATGTCTCTGCCCCTGTATGTCAGATGATAACGATTATACTGTAATAATCTTGGATTGCTCTTTAGACTTACTGGAAAAAAAAGGAGCTGTGACTGTGTGGGAACAAGTGCACAGGTCAACATGAAAGCACTACTGAGAGAAAGTGGGAGACATATTCTACCAAACTATATTTATTTTCAGTAAATCTTACTCTTTTTCTCCAGAACACAGACATCAATGATCCAGACAAGTCAATAAAGAAAGAAAAACACTACGGGAAAGATCAAACTAGAACATGTAAGAAACAAAACAGCCATACGAGAAAAATACCCTGTACCTTTTTACATAAAAAAAAAACACTAAACTGTTAAACTTCTAGTGCATTTTGTTTGTTAGCTAACCTTTGGCTTGTTCTTGGTCCCAAGTCACATTTATGTAATATTCTAAAGACACTCTCAATGTGAAAGGTAATCCTCATTTCCTCTGTGGTGTGAGGTGAAGCGAGGTCCTGGCTTTGTTCAACAGGGAGCCTTAATACACTAATCAACAACATTATAAAAGTAGATGAGGACAGATGACGAGCAGCGGATGTCAAAGTGTGTTTTAACCCTCTGAGCAGCATGACGATACATTTTAAACTGAACAAGAAACAACTTCTTATTTTTCTTGTTTTTAAATTTTTTAAAATTTTGGGGGATGTTGATGACAGACAACTAATTTCGTGTTATTTATAAGTGACATAATAAAACCACATGAGGGGCTGTCATGGGTTAAATAGAATTTTGGGGGGAATATAAAGAAGCGTTTTTTTTAAAATTGCACTTAAAGAAGAAGGTTTTCCCTACCTATTTTTTTAAAACAGTCCAAGTATGAGGTTATAGTATAACTTTTCTGTCAGTGTATAGTCAGGTATGGAGATGCAATCTGTACGCCTTGACTCAAATACAAAGTTATTAAACTAAACAGCTCTCATTATTATAGTTAAAGGTTCTGTGAGGAGCATTTTATCATTTTTGCGCCTCGTATAGACAAAGAATTGTGTCTTATCTGTTTACTGATATGTCCTGCATATTTGTAGGTAAGGTTTTTATATGAAAATCACATCCTACTTTCCTTTAGCAGTAAAACATATCACTCATCGTGATGTTTTGCAGTGGAACCTGTTTCTGCAGTCGTGTCTTTTGTTGTTGCTGTTGTTTTTGTGGGTGTTAAATTTCAGCCTTTTTCACGATCAGCCAAAAGCTCCTCACAGTAGCATTATGTTTAAAAAGTAACCCAGAGCTTGACTCTGTAACAGATGCTAAAAGACTGATACTGTGTCACTAATGACCATAGCAGCTACAATCTGGGTTTCTTCTCCTTTGATTGAAAAAAAAAGAAAACTTTCAATGACAAAATGGTTACAAGGGCCTATTTAGTGCAGCCTGCACTTTAGTGCAGTCCCCCCGCCACCCCCCAAACCCCCTTCAGTTTCAGACAAAGAGGATACACTTGGATCAATTGTGCTGAACAAAGACTAAACTATGTGGGGTGACGCATCACACAGGGCTCTTTCTGCTGCCCTGCACGTACACGCAGTCACCCAACACTGAGCTGCCAACAGGTCTTCTCCTCCAACAGCCACTCAAGCAAAAAGAGGGTTACTCTGCTCACCAGCCTGTCTTTCTTCTTCCTATACCTCCTTTCCTCCCTCCCTTCCTCATTTAAAGCATCTCAGCACAAATCAGGGTTGTAAATGTGCACAGTTGTTTTTGGTTTATTCTCAGCTGTGGTCTATTTAAAAGGTGCCATCATATTTCTAATTCTAATGAATGTTCCCATAAAACTCGTACTCATTCAACAGTTTCTGACCCCATTATCGAGAAATGTCCTCCCCCAATGACAACAGACCAAACTGGTCACTGCTGTCCTTGTTTTCCATTCAAACCAGTGCATCTACACAAAAGGCCCACAAATATAAACTGGTTATTACCTGAAAACCAAAATAACAGCTTATATGAATCGACAGGTTAGTGAGAGGTGCACTGCTATGTGTCTTCATGAATTGAGTTTTAAAAGCTGCTCACATTAAACCCAGACTGGACTTTCATTCATGAGGTTCTCAGAGATTAGCTGACCCATGAAAACACGACAATTGGATTAATTCATAAAAACACAAACTTTGTAAAAAATGGAAAGGAAAAGGGGCATACGAACCGCTTCAAGGCAGCTGACTCAGTATCTGATGGTTGATAAAAACACAGTGTTCATGATGAGAATACTCATGAAATAGGGATTGTTTGCTCATCTCAAATGTGCCCTCAAAAAGGACATAAAGATATGTTTTCCTGCTGTTTGTTAATATGAATCAACAACCAAAGGTGTTCACTCAGTTAGCTTTGAAATGTATGTTTTTTAACCAGAAAAGAAATATCCTTTATCCTGTGGTGAAAAGAGGACAGAATTTTTAACAGCAACCAAGGCAGGACAAAAACCACAGAGGAGGGACAGATGTCTGGTTAAGATTTAACAACGTAACAAGGCTGTGGAGTTAAGTTATTTGCTTTTAGTCCTTGAGAAAAAGAAAAACAATATGTAAGGAAAGTTCAGCAAAAACCCTCGGATATCAAAGTTCAAAATCCATCACAGGTAACAGAAATGTCACTCTCATTTTCCATCATTTTAGTCCGTGTCTGTTCCTCGAAATACTCTCAAAACAAGTGGAACGTCTCCATCGGTCTGCCATGTTTGTTTGGTCACATGGGTTGCCAGGTCTTGTCCATAGACTGGATATGTTCCTTGGCTTTCATTCTGAGCGCAGCGATACTCGAGCTGCGCTGGTCCACATCCTCCAAAGGGTATTTATCAGAGTACGGTGCAGGACACTGGTATGGCGGAGGAGCCATACTTTGCATCCCCTGACCCATGGACGAGTGGGAGTGAGAGTGAGGGTGAGGATGAGGGTGAGGAGGATGAGGATGAGGGCTAGAGTTAAGGAAGCTGTGGCTGGAGTAGCTCGGCTGGAGGCCTTGAGACGGACCCATGAAGCCTGGGATGCTGTGGACGGGTGTGGCGCTGGACAGGGGGGAAGACAACCAGGGGTCCAAGGGAAGGGGGTTGGTCATGGAGCCCATACTAGTGTGAACAGGCGCAGAGCGGTTGAAGGACAGCATGGGTGAGTCGTGGAGCTTCATTGTGCTGGCGTCCATTTTTTCCTGTCGACGCCATTTTGCTCGGCGGTTTTGGAACCAAACCTGGAGAAGGAAACCAGAGAAATCACGCTGCTGAATATGAAGAACGATGTTTGAACCTGTGCATGCAAGGACTGCTTTGTCTGTTGGCCTATGATTGCTTTTAACCAACAAAAAAGAGGCCAGACATGGATTTAAAGCAACATTTAAATGAAGTCATTACAAACACATGAAACTACTGGATCCTGCCTGTATCACTATCCTATTAAACCACAAGTACAGAGTGTTTTTCAGTGTAGTTATACTTCTTGAGGCTAAACTCCCAGACAACGTAATTAGCAAAATCACTGTTTTTCAACCAGGTGTTATTTTGTTATAAAACGTTTCCTCATTTAGTCATTTGTTAACCACAAAAGATCTTTCCCACTCACTGAGAAAACTTCAGATCACCAAAAGGTCACAAAATGTATCTTAAAAGCAACCGTTTGTTTCTTTATAACTTAAAAAACTGCCATTGTGTTTAGAAATAGATGTCCAATTCTTCGACTGGTCAATCAAGCTCTTCTTGGTGACTCTGACATGATATATTGTCCCAACCCAGGCCTATGTGTTCCTCTGAATCAAGGTTTGTCCAATACTCCTGGATGTTTTCACAGTTCTCTATGATACTGAAACTGTGTGTTAACCGTTGGGAACATACATCTTTCTTGTGTAACTGTTTTTTCCAATCTTCTAACCTGAATCCTCACCAGCCAAAGGCTTACAGATTCTCATTTTTTCCTGAACAACGCCTCCACTTTTAGAGAAACAACCAGTTCAGCTCCTCAGAATAACTTCCACCCTGTGATGGAGATGCCTTCATTCTACTTAGCCAAATATGACAGAACAAGAAAACTTGATTTTTTTTTACCTGGACTCGGACTTCAGGAAGATTGACCTTCATGGCGAGCTCCTCGCGGCTGTACACGTCAGGGTAGTGGGACTTCTCAAAGGCACGCTCCAGCTCGTGCAGCTGGTAGGTAGTGAAGGTGGTGCGGTTGCGTCTGTGCTTCTTCTTGGGCTGATCGTCTTTGCATGACTCAGGCGACTTGCCTTCATCGCTCTCTACACTCTTCCTCAGCTCGCTCAGCTCTTCATCGCATTTGTTAGTGAACAGGCCAGAATCTGTTCACAACACAAGAAAAATGAGTCAGGATAGTAATCTTACTCCACTGTTCTTTATTTGAGGATTAGGATGAAAAAATACAAATGAAAGCTGATAATAAAGAGCAAAGCAGGATGGTTAGACTGTAGTCCCCTCTTTCCAGTAGAGCAGACATTAGTTTGACACCTGCAACAATAGGCTACTGTAGGTCAGTGAAGCAAGCAATCCCCTGAACTTCAATGAAACTGAAAAACATTCCTAATCGGATTTGGAGAAGTTGTTTCCAGTGTTTATCTTCTCCAAATGTAAACTGCTCTCAAAAAGATGTTTGGAAACATGAGTGTTTCCTCTTTTTTTACTTTCTGAACTTTTAATCCCATCAAAATATTTTTTTTTTCCTGTAACAGTAGCTACTGTTACCGCAGTATCCACCTGAAACATTAAGAATATCTACATCCTGTCAACAAAAACAACAAAACCAGCCAGTGACAAGGAGGATTCAACAACAGTCACCCCTAATCAACCACTTCCTCCTTGTTTGTGTACCACTTCCATCACTACTGTAAATCACAGAAGAAAAAAGGCGGAAAGAGGAGTGTACTCTAAGATATAATCCAGAAGAGACTTGTGGTTCATTAGTTTGACCTGCAGGTTATCAAACACGCAAAGAATAAAAATCAATCCGATCCTGGAAAGCAGCTCCTCTAAAATACTTGATGTCTATTATTTATCATTCACAATCATTCAGGTTGTCTGGTGTACTTCGTCGATCGAAGAAAATGACTGTAAACACTTATTTATGGTTTATATTTCATGTAAGAAGTTAAATTTGGCATCAAAGCAGAGAGACAATCATCAGGCCCCAAAATTTGGGGATGCAGACAAAGTTTTCATCATTTTCTCATTTTCTTATGGCTGTAAATTATAAAAAGTATCATTTTATCTTGCAATAAGAAGTTGAAATAAAAAATTCAGCATAAGGAAATAAAGCGTGTTCTCTGAAGCTTATATACGAGCATCAACATGAGGACATCTGTTGCATATTGAAACAGCAGTCATTTAGAGTGTCAAAATGTTATCGCAGATGCAGCCAAACTGACTCAGGATGGAGGGATAAAATAAAACCTTTGCCACATTATTCTTTTGAAGAGTATTTAGAGAACAGCAAATGCAACCACAGGACATCTTTAGCTATTGTTAGGAGTCACTTTTTTACACTTTCTAGTCAATTTCACATCAAACTTGATTTGATTTAACTTTGTTTTGGTCTGCAACTTCATTTCAGGGAAATACCTATTAAGCTACTGCAGAGTCATCACTGTGACCCAACCCATCTTTTTACTATTATAGTTCAATATAGCTTATCATGTATAATACATGAAATAAATGAATTTATGTCATATATAAATTTGTACAAATCTATAAAACACTTGGGTGCTGATTTGGCTCAGCGGTTTAAGTATGCACCTCAGCTACAAAGACTCTTGTCCAGGTTTGACTCCAGCTTCTGTATCCTCTAATCTCTGCTCCTAACATCTCCTGTCTCTCCTTATCTGTCCTATCTATAAAAAGCATGAATAATTATGATAAAAGCAGTTTTAAAATATTGCTCAATGTGTTTTTAACTCCCAGTTGTCATACGTGTTGCATGCTAACTACCGTCAACTTCAATAAACAACTATAAAAATGTTTGAGCAGGCTTGTGTCTGTGACGGAGACGTGTTGACGGAGATGGAGGAGGAGGTCACTGTGGTCTTTTAACTGACGAACAGGAGCAGAAGCAAAGGCAGCGCAGGGTTTTTACGGGTTCATTTATCCACCACTCATTAAGCAGCTATGACAAAGGCCAGGCTCAGACAAAGGCAGAGGTCAGGTCTGGTTCAGTGACCAGCTCTCGGCCTGTCAGACCATCACAGCCGCTGGTCTGAAGGCTGCCCACTGTTTATCAGCCGGCAGAACGTCTCAGCGCAGAGAGGGAGGGGGGGGGGGGTTGACTGACACCAAACACAGAAAAGTTGCTCATTCAGGAGGAAACTGGGCTGACTTCACAGGATAGTTACACACAATGGAGTGATGTCATTAGTGTTGATGTACGTTAATCAAAGGAAACTAACAACCCCCCTGGATCCAACATCTGAATCTGAGCCTCAAACCGGACCTCTCTTCATCTCCACTTTAGGGAAATGTCATTTTTATTTGTTTCTGCCTCAAAACAAAATCATCAACCACCTGCCTGATCCTACATGCAAAAATAGCTTCAGATTAAACGTGATAAATTTGATTCTAAGACGGGGGACAATAACAATAACTGAATGAACTACTGTAAAATCTAATCTGCACAGAATAGAAGATTAGGGGAATTCCACAAGGGGATGGGATTGGGCTTGGGGACATAAAGCCCCTGCACCATCTTGTTCTGTGATTTATCTTTCAATCTCAGCCCACTCTGTTAATGTAGGTGGCTCTACATGGCAGCACTGTTAACTGGGAACAGGGCAGCAAAACATATGATCCTCTGGTACGCCAGCTGTGTCATTTCAGATGATACAGATTTCTGGTGTTATTTTCTTTCACTCCAGTATGAGAGCGTGTGATTTCAATGCTTTATTCACAATTCTAGTTTGAGATCAGGTGATGTTGAACCAAAATGATGTTCTGTTGGTCATCCCTTTGTAGTCTCAATATTTCAACAGTGCAGATTTGTTAACATGCAAAGAATGAAACAAAGCTTTTGCTTTAGTGGTGGTTCTTTGTATTATTGAGTGTTTTTTTGTTTTTTTTTGCCTAAAACTTTGAAAAACTTTTCAAAGTGTGTCTTTTTAGTGCATTTGGTGCCTTTCATACACAATCTATGGTGTGTTTCCAAATGAAAAACTTCACGCTTGGCCATTTTAGACTTAAAAAAATGTATTTTGGCCCTCAAATACGTTTTAGTTTTGACCAAACTGCAACTGTTTGGTAGCCTGATTTTTTAAATCAATTCAGCTTTTACGTATGTTTTCAAAAGCACCACTAAACAAACTTCTGTGCAGCAAAATCAGTTCTTTCCTCTGCGGTTTGACTGTTTCAAACACTGAAACTGAGCTGCTGTAGCTACAACTATTCAAAAACTTTGTTGCATGATCAGAGGGTTCAAAACAAACTCTTTCTAAATCGGAAAAGAAGCCTGAGTTTGAGCACTTTTTAGTTAAGAAAAGTGTTTTCAAACTGGAGACCAGCATCCCCAGCATCAGCAGCTCCACTCACCATGATACTGCTGCTGTGGCTGCTGCTGCTGCTGCTCTGTGCCTCCGTTTCTCAGAGAGGAGAGGTGCCCGCTGTAGGTTGGGTGTGATGAGGGCTCTTGCTGCTTCCCAGGCTCTGCCAGGCCCTCCATATCCACTTTGTGGGGCCGCTGGGCCCCAGCAGGGCTGAGCAGGGGTTCCTGGTCTTTGCTGAAGCCTAGTATAACATCAATGCTGTGGACGCGGCCCCCTGCAGCGATGCCCCCACCTTTCCCCATCTCGTGGAAGTTGCTGGGTGAGAGGCAGCTGTCGTCCACCATGCTCATGGTATCCAGTGATAAATGCATTCGAGCGTCCTGGCACTGGGGAACCAGAGGGGAGACGAGTAAAGGTTTTAAGTGGAGGACTAAAGGTGCAAGACAGGTCAGAGATCACCCGAGGACCTGGGATGATTGTCCTGATGTCTCTGTTCGTCTAAACCAGCTTATCTTCTGAAGAGACACAGGGAGTCTAGGGTCGATCCCTCACACTTGGAAAGCTGCAGTACTTACAGAGTTTGACAAAGTGTTTTTTTTTTCATGTATTTTCAAACAAAATCCTTCAACAGCCAGTCTCCTGTGTTTCAGTGACTCTGACATTACAAATGAAAACTTTCATTTACACTCACAAGTCTGAGCCAAAGTCTTCAAACCGGAGTGAAAATATGGATGAAATTATGAAAAGTAATGTTTTTTATTTGAGTCAAAATGAACTCAACAGTGGACAACAACCAGAATGTCTGCTTTTTGTGACTCTTTTTATCTAGAAAATCATTCCTCGATTGCTAAACTTTTGGGTAAAGTTAAAGATTGATTTCTAAGAATCATCAGCAAAAGAAGTGAGCAGATTTTTGGAAAGCAGCTCAAATCATCGAGCACACTGACATTAATAAATATTTGCTGTCCTTAATCAATAATAAATAACACATACTATTAGATACTTTTTGTGCATCTGCAGACACGTAAAAGAACAAGATTTACATCAGAGATCTATAATACTTGTGAGTGTCACAGCTTTTTGGTCTTATGGTCTTTTTGAACTGACACATCTTCATTTGCCTGATAAGTGGCATATTTGAAGATCAGAGTCACTTCAAGTATGAGAACCTTACAAGAAGACAATATTTAAGCTCCTCACCTTTTGGAGGTTATATGTTGAAGTGTAAAAGTTGCTGATGCCAGTGCTCCACCTGTTCTTCTAAACTTCACTCTTCCCAGCACCGCTGTGTGCCCTGCTCGCAGTCATTCAACCTGCTCTGTTGTTCTCTCATCGCTGTCTGAATGATGTCTCTGTGTAGAAAATGCTCCTTACAGAAAAAGTCAGAAAAACTCTCCAACAAAATCCAAATAAAATACAGAAACCCGGTTCAGGGAGCGTTCATAAACACAGACCAGCCGCCATGCACTCAGGCTCAGAGAGGAGAGTGGAAGTGGAGGAAGACAAGAGAGGGAGAGGTGGACAGAGCTGAGGGGGGCGTAGGAGGTGAAACAAGGGGATTAGGAGGAGGTTATTAATTGGAATCCTTCCCCTTTAAGAGTGATTGGCAGCTGGTTTCTACCCAAGTAATTGTTTTAAATGTCATTTTCATTCAGGAGGAGGGCCATGTTGATGAAGCATAGACAGGACTTTCTATCATAAAGTTATTGTTTTTAAGACAAGCTGAAAGTTTATGAGGAGTTTCAAATAGAAGAAGGAAAATTAGAGCAGACAAGGTCAGGTTATGTATTATTATTGTGTACAAAGTCTATTTTCATCAACAAATATAGACTTTTTTAATCTACTGTTATGAATCAAAAGCTTCTCAGCCATACATCTGTGAACTGACACTGCATTAAAACTGTTTAAGAATCACATTTTAAAAGGATTTTAAAATATTAAACTTTCCCATGTTTTTCTTTACTCTGTGGCTTTCCTATAAATGAACAGTCTTGGTTAAGTCTCTGTTGACATTTAAGTACCAACTTATTTTGAAATGTAATCTTACTAATGGTGTTTTGTTTAGTTTTTTAACAAGGCATTTAGAGCTGTCATCTAAAGTCGTTACACAATGAATTTATTCTTTATTATTTCAAAACAATAAAAATGATGAACCATGGAAAGTTATTAATTAAGTCTGATTTATTAGGTTGATTTGAAGACTTTTAACTTTTGATGTTATTGTAAATACAGTGTAAGATTGATTTGATGAGAATTCCTTCACTGGTTGATTTTGCAAATATCGTAGTGCACGTTTGATATTTCACAAAGAACTTGTTATAATTGGTTAAGATTAACAGTACTGCTGCATCAGTTTTGACTGTTTTTTTCTCTGCTCTCCATGTACCTATTCAACATACATTTCTTTTTTCAAGAAAACTTTTTCTCATTCATTTTCTAACAATTAAAAAATATTTACTACAGTGGACTACTTTTTTCTGATTAATAGACCGGCTACTCTACCTGAACAACTGCTATAATCATCAAAATAGTCAATGCAACAGATTATAGGTAAGACACTATTAAACATCAACATTTCAATTTGTATCTCTCTGCAGTATTCTCAGGTACTTTTAATGACTGTAATATATAAAGCTGTGTTGTATTTTTGGTAATGCAATACCAACAGCAATGTTTCAAGAAACAAACTAGTCCTAAGGTTCATCACTTAGAGATGATGTAAAATGCAAAGTGATCACCTGGCAACTGCTTTCAAAGTGAAAATAACACCAAACAATAGCAGAGGCACCTTTATAAAACATTATATTATAACTCAGTTTAGCATCCATCAACTCTTCTATATAAAACAAAGAAAACCTGTATATAAATGTATAAGGGTAAAGAAAATATGTTATCAGACAATGAAAAACCTTTCAGTAATCCAAAAAAGCATGGTGCATCATGCATTGTTCTCTTGCACTGTCATGGACACTAGAGGATGAAACAGGATGCATTATGGTCATTGCAGCTCTCCATGAGGGAAAAGTGTGAAGCCCTCCTAGCAGTGGGAATCCTTTAAGGCTCACTTTTGAATATAAAATTGTATTTTGATAAATTGATGATAATTTGATAGTTTGATGTCCACTTTGGCTCTTTTCCAAATGCCTCTTTAGAAAATGTAAAATCATAACCCTTATCTCTAGTTTGTGGTGCTGAATAGGCTTTCTTGGACTTTAATTCTTTGTGGAGAGGAGCACAAAAGAGTCTGCTGTATCCCAGTCATTGGTGTCTGTGGAGTTCTGGGTTCACCTCAGCTTAGTGTCACTGAAATCTACCACGACACCAAAGAGGCTAAAGAGATTTCCTGTGACCTCGCACATATCTACAGCTACAGAAACATCTTACACATCAGACAATGAATTCAAGACGTAGAGGAAGTTCATTCAATAGTTTGTCTGTAATACTGGGGAGATATGGCTAAAGGAAGAAGAGAAATAGACGCTGGTGTTTATGGTTTTAGCAAAGACTTTAAATCATTGATGACCAAAAATGTAGATGCAGGTTCTTTAGGTCAGGTAATCCATAACTAAAAAGTCACCTCATCCTCCAAAGGTGCAGTTAATATCTGCCTTGGAGTTTCTATTACCAACAATGGAGCTTAGACAACTGAGCTAAATAAGCTGGCTAGCTTCAAATCAGAGCCAAGTGTTGATCACTTGAGGACAAAGTTGCATAAATGTATTCCAATAAGCCCTGCTGACAAAGCTAATTCTGATCTCTTCCTTTACGCTGTTGTGGGTCACCTGTATATTCTCTAATAGAACGTTATATAATATAAATATTGTTCTTTGACATGCTTTCCACCGAAGGGATGACCTACTGCTCCACAAACAAAAGGGACTCATCAACAAAAGTATAAATCTACTTCAAACACAAATGCATAAAGTATAAAGTAAATCTCTAAATGTGGCACCAGTCATCTGAGTTTCTGTCTGCTGCACCAGAGTGTGGCACAATAACATTAGTTTTCCTAATTTTCATTAATGTCACTCTACTGAAAATGACTCTCACCGCCACAGAGTAATGGCGGTCGAAGGGTCTTGATTATCCATTCAGGATCTTGTTAATACATTTTTGTCCTTCCTTTGTTTCTCTGTTTTCCTAATTGAGCATAAATTGGTTAAGAAGGAGCAGTGTAGTTATCAAGCTTCTTAGTTTTATCAGATGACAGTGTAAGTCCCTCTGATCCTATTAGTGGTAAAAGCAGCTAACGTGTAAATGCGCAGTGTCCGCTTACTGTGGGTGGTGGGGGGTTAGAGGAAGGGGGAGAGGCTGGGGAGGAGGGGGAGGTATGGTGGTGTGACAGGGAAAGCAAATTCATGTGATTCTCTGTCATGCAAAATCACACACACACACGCACACACAGGAATTAGGTGGTGGTACATACTTACAGCAGCTAGTCGGATAAAGATGATATATTCTGTATAGATCTTTTTAGAATAACTGAATTGTTTTATTATTGTTAAGGTAGGAGGATTTTAATGGGATATAAATCACTGCTTACCAGAAAATATAAATGAACAAACTAATTTTATTTGCTATGTGAGCCTGATCAAGTTCCCTCTCTGTTCAGACTGATTTTTTTCGGACAGATCACATTTATCAGTAATCATGTAGGTTTAAACCCTGTAGCCAACACAAAAGGGCCAAAAACTGCAGTTCCAAGAGTGGCCACTTGAGGCTTACTTAACAATTGAGTACATACCTATTAAACTTTATATCAAATTAATAAATTTGCACCTTCAATCTTTCAATACTTGTCTCCTGCTTGTGATAGAGGTAAGCAACTTTGCCAGAAATTTCCAGTCAATTCATAAGCAGTATATAGACTTTGTTAGACCACATGAAATACAATCAAAACCCTATTTTTGTTGGCTTGGATGAAACATAACACCACAATAACATTAAATACAATCCCCAGTTCCCTGGGACACATTAAACAGGAGACAGGTCTGGACTGCGGGCTAGCCTACAATGAGTGCTGAATTTGTCTTTGCATTCACGTACAAAAAAAATCATATATATTATAGAAAAGTAATAGCACACCAATCCCGATCAAACAGTACATTTTAAACTTCAACTTTTTAAGCAACAATAATGCCTCAGGCTTCGTCCTGAGGAATGACTGTATAAAGGCCTATTGTAAAGTTTAGAGCATCTCTATTGTATCGGGGCTAGTGCCTCAGCGTTTTCCCTGTGGTCCTAAGAAAGATTCTAATTGAGAGTCAGTGTTTCAGTGTTAATCAAATTGCTCTAAATCTAATTTAATAATGCAGAAATATCAGAGCAGTCACTGATTAGTGAATTGGTCTCACCTGTGGGCCTGGCCTGAGGCTCACAGGTTACCATGGCAACTTGAGCTGATTGCCCATGAAGATAAACGCACTGCTGAAAAAGAGTGATTTTTTGCCTCGGTGCTGGTCTCACATCTGGGCTTATTCTGACAAAATGGTATCTCATATCAGAAAAAAAGACAGACCCTGATCATCGTAGCGACTCCCTGAATGCTTTGATATGGTTTTGGTGTTTCTACAGTACATAGTTACATACTTGCAAGTTATAAACGGGACTCTCTTCTGCTTCTCTTAGAAAGTCTTTGTATTAGCATCGATGAGGAGCAGAGAGCCATTGCCACACTTAGAAGTTCAGCGTTTAAATTCTGTAAGTCTCTCTGCTTAGATGAACACATCGTTGGAGATAGACCAAGTGTGTCTACAACAGTGGAAAAAAAAAACAACATTTTAGTTAAATAAAATCAAATAGATGTAAATACTTAAAAACAAAGTGTGTCATTATTTATTTTTCTAAGAGTGTAATGACGATCTGTGTTAACTGACAATGGTTTTCCAAAGTGTTTCTGAGCCCAGGTGGTGATAGTCTTTACAGAGTGATGTGGGTTTTTAATGCTGTACCAGCTGAGGGATCAGAGGTCACAGGCATTCATATTGTCTTTTGACGATATTACGCACTATGGATGACGAAATCACTAAATTCCTGGAATTGTACATTGACTATTTGCTCATAAAGTGGTGAACTTTACCCCACCCTTGTTTATGAATGACTGAACCTTTCAGAGATACTCCTTTTATATTCAGTAATGACACTCACCTGTTTCCAATGAACCTGCTTACCTGTAGAATGGTCTGTACGAAGTAAAGATTTGCCTGATAAATGGGTACAAATTTTATTTCCAACTATCTTTTTACTATTTGAGTTAATGCAATTTTCCTGGCTATAAATAAAACTCCTAAAATGGATCTTTGAATGCACAGGAGCCCTGTGTCACCTCCACACGTTTTATCTTTTAATGTGCATCGCTCTCAGGCTGACGTCTAAGGGATAACAATACTTGGATAGCGTTGATTAGAGTTGGTGGATTAAACTTCTAAAATCCAATTAAGAGCATGACAGAACAGCTCATCTTACCATTAACTTGATATTGACCAGGGCCAACTTCCTTACTGTGGATCTATTGCACTGTTGTGCCACTCGTGAACAGGGTTTTGTTCTTTACATAAGCTAGCACACAAACCTATGTAGTAAACTAATTAAATCCTTGTCCTCAAAGTACCTTTCCATTAAGTAATTAATTGTTGCTGCCACTGTTGCTGGTAGGTAGCCTGCTGTAGGATGTTGCACAGGTTTTTCTGTTATTTATACATTGGATTTTCCTTCCCCTTGTTAACAGCGCATGAAGCATCAAGCTTTAGCTACATCAGGGCCAGAGACGACGGTTGATCCGTCACTCTCGGGCTGGATCCAATGTTATGCTGTAAGCGTGCTGCATTAGTTTGATAAAACTAATTAAACATGTTAAAATCAAAGCCCAAACAACTTATCCACTGAGCGTTCTTATACATTTAAACCTACAGTGCAGTTAAAACTATTTTGACTTTAATGTTAAACTGAGCCTGGGTGTGAATTTGGCTTTTTCAAAATTCAATTATGTGCCTTTAGTAGTAGAGAAGAAACCCTCGGTTACACAGGTCATATATGAATATACATGATAAATATTAAAGCTCCTGTGAGGAGTTTTTGATTAATTATAAAACAGCCTTAAATGAACAGTGATGCATCTCTATGATGTAAAACAACAATCTAGAACAACAACAACAACAAGACTGACTATTCCTATATTGTAATTTCTCATGCTTGTGACTGCTGTGAAGGTAAAGGATGGGTGCACTGGGGAAACAGCCTTTGTTATGTGTCCAACCATAAATATTCACAGGGATTGATTCATTTCACTGTCAAAAAAAAAAAAGGGAAGAAAGAAAGAAAACGGGGGGAATTTTTGGTCAAGTAAAGCCACCTTTGCAAGAACAAGACAAATCAGACACAATATGAGGGTTGCTACTTTGTCCACAGGGGGCGCCAAAGTCAACACATACCAAAAGTTCCTCATAGGAGCTTTAAGCATTTTAATACAAGTAAAGGATAACTGAAAAATGCCAAAATAAAAAAATCTATGATTTTCTAACTTAACATTCCTTTTTATCTTGTGAGCAATTCTATCAACTTTTTTCAAATTTTGATTTTCCCATTTTAACCAGGTGATTTAAATTAATGAGGAAAAAAAGAAACATCAACAGTAAGTAGTGGAAGAAAAATGTTCACTTTCATGTTAAATTGCCCGGTATTTTACCAAAATGTTATTGTCTTGTTTATACATAAAAATAAGGCCAGCAGTTAATATATTATGTTCCACAAATAACAGGGTTTCTTTTAACCTAAAAAAGTTAACTTTCTAAAATACTTGACAGATCCTGGATCAGTACTGAAATTAGGATTTTTTTAAAGGAACAATGAACAATTAGTTTCATAATCTGTGCTGAAACCATATTATTGAAAAAGTAGCACCTATCTCATTAAGTTACACAGATTTTATTTGAGCTGCAATGTTCCGCAAAAGTACTCAATATAGAGGTAAAATTTTTGAACTCCCAGAAGTAAAAATACTAGTGTCAAAAGTATGACGCCATAAGCCATACTTGTTTACAAGAAACAAACCTGCAGCACATGCACAAGTCTGGCTGTCTGAGGTGATGAACAGCTTTTTTAGAGTTTATAGTAAATACCCCATGAGCTGCTGCTGAGATACAGTTTTCTAGGAAGAGCATCTTATGTCTAATACCTGTGTTGGCTCAAGGAGCCAGACTGCCTCTCTCCCCTTGGCCTTAGACCTTCTGATGTGATCACGATCTACTTAAACTTAACCAACTTAACCACTTAACCCGTTAGCAACCAGTTTAGTACATCCCCACTCACACTGCTGCACGTTTAGAGACCGTCAGGTGCCGAGTTGGCTCTGAGTGGAGAGGACAATCTTGGATGGCTATGAGACCGTTTTCTGAAACAGACACATGTAGGATTGTTTTTGTTTACATTGATTTACTTACATCATGGTGCTTTTCTGTGTTGTTCTAGCAAACTAAGCAAATTGATTGGACTAGAAACCAAACTTTAATCCAAGGATATTTACACCTACGTATAAAAAAACAAACAATGTAAGTTGATGTCATATTGAGCTAAATTCTTTCTTTAATCGTTTAAAAGTAGAAGGCAAAAACATCCAAGACCAGCCTGAAGGCAAAAATCCCCCAAAGATGTTGAACAGAAGAGCATCAGCAGACAAAGACAAAGTCCTTTTATACTAAGAGAATCCAAATGATTTACAACCAAGTAATCAATAGAAGTCATGTTAAAGAAAGACTGACTGTGTTGGCAAAAATGAGAAAACATTCACTGTTCTGACAACAATGGACAGTGCTGATCGTCTGACTGCAACTTTCCTATTTTGAGTAACTACTTAAAGCAACAGCTGTCAGGTCATTGTGTCTGTGTCAAGCCACTGATAAGCTCTTAAGGGGCTATAAGTAGAGGCTAAATGTATGAACTGAGGAGAATGAAATGAGGGATATGGCTGACAGCAAGCAAGAGATGTCACTTATTTCTGATTCTGTACTGATAAAAAAGATGTTTTATTTTTCATTTTCATTTTTACCCTGAAGCCGAGAAAGCACTTCCTTTCAGGCCCCCATTATAAGAGGTGTTTTGCCATAGCAATAACTTTCTAACATGACCCAAAAGTAGACCAAAAGTTAAAGTTTGTTAGATGTTTTGAACTTGGCCTTGCAGGCACTTCTGCTTGATGCCCCTCTGTGTGCACTGTTTTACCATAAAAACCTCAATAAAGCCATAGCTGTGGAAGGATTTAGAATCACAAATACACGGTGGCAAGATTATGAAGTGAGACAGAAATAGTCTACAAACATGCTTCCTGCAGGTTTCTGCTCTGTGGGTTATCTGTTTCTTACTCAAACATGAGTTAATTTGGATTTTGCAATGAAGAGGTTAAGGAGATACAGATGCAAAGTTACCTTTCAAAATTTCAGATTATCACCGGGAAAAAAAAAATACTTTCAGTGGGGCATCCTCCCCTGTTTAAAAGACCATTTTTTTTCATCTAACATGTGGTTGCCTCATAAAACCTTGTGGAGAAAATTGCTGCTCATCCCATTAAGGGAAAACAGAGCAGATTGAACAAATCGTAAAGGACCTTTGCTTGCACTGTGTGATAACAAGAGACCAACAAGGGATCAAACCTCAATTTGAGGTTGGTCTCCCAGGACAGTGACAAATACCAGGCTTACAGAGACTTACAGCAAATGACATCTTTAATTTGGTGTCATGACGTGACAGCTGCCCAAAAAAGGGTTCATTTTGAACTGAATCTGCACTATTTTTTATCAGAGATTAACTTTTATTGTATTTATAATTAAAAATAAAACAGCTGGAATTCACATACAGTGAAATAAGTGATTCATGAACTTAAATACACTATTTTCATATAAACATTTAACAATCATCTGCAGTCAAAAACCTTTTCCCCACAGATCAGGAAATCAGAAAACATTTTCTTCCTACCAATATCCGAAAAGATCCTCGGAGGACACTCCTTTAATCTCAGAATCCAAATAAACAGAAAGAGAAGTAGAAATAAAAGCAGTGTTTCCCATAGATTTAGTCTTACACAACAAATGAAATATGAATGAATCCAATCAAAGCCTCCCTCAAGTACACTGACCAGCAGGGTGACAGACGAACTAACAAAAGTTTTTTGAGGATAACTTAAAAAGAAAAAAAAACCCACATAAATCCAAATAAATACATGCCAAAGTTCCTCTTCGGTCTCTGGCTTTTGTTGAAGTCAGAGAGTTTCCTGGCTGTGTGAGATTTAACCTACAGTATGCAGACAATTTAACGTAAACGTGTTGTCAAACCCCCTAAATGCAAACAAAATACTTCTACAGGTTCTTTACATGAAGTCTTTTCTTTCTGTAAACCAGCAATAACACTCAGTATCTTTACTAAAAGTCCACTGCATCAATGTTAGATCATAAATTTGAGGTTAAATCCAAGGTAACATCTCTCACATGCTCCTTGAAAATAAAAGGGTTTGTCACTTTGATGACAAGTAGATCCATGGCACAAAAAGGTATCAAAGAAAATAAACTCTTTTGCTAAAAAGAAATATTGTTGGTTTTTAATTGTTATGGAAACTTGAAATAGCGTGTAGCAAACAACACATTAAGTATGTGGACAGATTTCACTAATAAGCCTGTGTATTATGTGTGTAGGTTCATAGTTTGGCACCTCATTAAAGTCAAAAACATTATTTTACTCAGATTAAGCTGTTTGGGTCATTGTCTTTGAATCATGTATGTCGGCTCAAAATGCCAGGGATGTAAAGATGATTTTGTACTTGAGGATGCACTGCAAGTGTTTTCGACATATATATATATATAACACCTGAACTGCCCCCCCAAACTATATTTTTGGCTATTTAAAATTTCGGACTTTTTCATCAATACCTATCTACATTATATCAGCTAGTGGGTGACCTCTCCTTCTCCACACCTGCTCTTGAAAGAGTGACCTGGTGAGGTTATGACATTGTTTTAGCTCATGTAGTGTACCGCGAACTACGATCAAGGCTACATCTGGGATGCCTCAGGACTTCTCAACAGAGAATCCAGCATGTTGACTGTTCATTGATTCTTCTTTCTGCCCCCAACATCGTGCTTCATGTCAGTGACATTGACCAATGAGAGCATGAACAAAAGATGACGTTGATACTGTGGGATGGAACTTTGTCACAGACGAAAAGTTTGGTGAACTCTGCCTTTAAGATGTGTCATTGAGGGACAGCCATGGCAAACTGATAAAAAAGTAAGATAACTGTCTCATAGGTGGACAAACATACTTTTAACACTCATTTGGCAGTTTATTGGCTATACCGAGCTAAAATAAAAGCTGGTCCCAACAACAATTCTTCTTTTCAGGTGTCATCTAGCCCAGACCCTCTCTGGTCGTGATGATTGGTCAAGTATGCATGTCTGTTGGTCAAACCAGGGCACAGACACAGCGACCATCGCAACAGACGAAAAGAAGTAATCTGACCTCAGTGTGGTACATTCATTCAACCAAACAAACAGGTTAAGGGGTTCATGGGTCTTTTTACTGCTTTCGTTCACTCCTGTGATTTTGTGATCAACCAGAGGTACCCTTGGAGTTTTTTCAAAATAAAAGCACCTTTGTTTTCAAGACAGGAATTAAAGCAGCCAAGGCATAAGGCAGAAAAAACAGCACAATTCACTGTTTTCTGGAGCGATCTGTTCCCTCAGTCTCGAGGGTTTACAGTGTTTCACAGATCAAATAAATCCCAGTTTTCATTTTACTAGCATCCTCTCAAAACTCCTTCCCATGGCTGTCACATGATGTCCAGTCACGTAGCTCCAGGTTTGTTTCATCCGACGAATTCAAATGAAAGTTATTGAAGGCAAATGAGTGTGACAATAAATAGAACTGTGAATCCACAGGTAGTATGGGCCAGGGGGGCCCTGCCCTTTGTGTGAACTCCTGTTTAGTTATTTCCAGGCCATTTTTTGATGTCCTTAAGCTTTTGGCAGTGCATGTGTGTAACCACAGCTGGTAAAAGCACCAAGGGTGTCAAATAGTCCACCAGCAACTAAGAGGCAGATTGTAAGAGTGCATCAAGAGGGAGAAGAAGGAAGGTACAGGCCTCCTGGAGTTGGGGCAGGGGGGTCATTGTAAAATGTTTTTGTGTACAGACCACATTTCACAAATCCTCCTGTCTTTCAGTCTTTGAGGATATTCCTTCCAGGCCATCTTGTGTGCTGCATGCCAAACCAAAGGTGCAACCCATCCGTGAAAAAGGATTCCCACAAATTGAGGGTCCAAGAATCAACACCGAGATCAGCATCCAGATCCAGATCTGATCCCCTCCCGACACTCAGATCCAAGGTCTAGATTGAGTTTACCCATCTCCCGCTCAAGTTTCTCTCTCAGCTTGTGGAAAGTGGGTCTTCTGCGCGGTTCCTGCTCCCAGCAAATCCTCATCAGGGAGTAAACATCGGGGTGACAGTCTTCTGGAGCCTCCATGCGATAGCCCCCCTCCACCTTAACCTTCACCTCATTCAGAGACTACAGGAGCCAGAGAGATGAGAGAGGCAGGATCAAAAGTCGATGATATGGAAAGTGAGATTTTGTTGTAGTTTGTTGTAAAATTGGATCATAATTAGAAAATTATAAATACAGAATTTGGAAGTGTGCTGATTTGAATGCAGCCATGGACTCTCTGTTCACTGTCTGCCAGCAGGTAACTAATTACCAGGCCCACATAAATTAGGCTGCGTATGTGTTAAATAGGCTGTAATTAGGAGGTAATCATCTGCATTTAAATGGATGCCACCTGATGAAAGGTGCAAAAGGCAGGCCCTGAGTGCGGGGCTAATTGTCCGTTCGATTAATGCTGCCTGATCCTCCTGTCCTGAGTGACCCGTCGGCCAAAACACAAATCACCTCAGCAGGGATTACCTGAGAGAGTCTGCTGTAACATCTCAAGCTGCGTTTAAGTAGCCTAGTTTCTGCTTTTCAGACAGAGTGCGGTTGTCATAGTGTCAACATGATCCGGCTTCTTGTGACGTCAAACTCTGTTACAACAGACACCCACCTGATCTGACGTGGACAGGTATGGCACAGTGTCTCTTCCTCTCTCAAAGTGGATTAGCTAATTACTTAGAACAATAAGTTTATTTCTATTCTTCCAATCACACTGTACATGAACAGTGGAGGCGTTTTTCCTGCCTGCTAAACCTCTCTCCGCACTGACGCACTTTCATGATGTCAGTAACCTGAGGTGGTTTCCTGCTCAGACACGTTAAGTCCTTACAAAGATGACGACCCAGTGTCGACTCTGACCACCGGGCCTGACAGCTTTCCGCTGTGCCACCCACTAGAGACACAGATCATGGCATGGCACGGAAACAGAGTTTCATAACGAGCTCGAAAATCTCCCCTGTCTGTTTCAGAGGCATTAGGAAAGAAAATATCTCCTGTGTTTTAACTTGTTAGATTCTTATCAAGTGTCCTAACACAACGTCACAAACAGAATACATGTTTGAAGAACTTGTTTTGAGAAGATCCTTTTTTCTGACATTTATGAGGAGACATACAACTTAGTGGAACTGAAAGGTTCTAGTAGGCAGATTTTGTTTCCTGTAAAGAGCCTAACTTCTACCCCTATTTCCAGGCTTCATGCTAAGCTAAGCTAAGCTAAGCTAAGATCAAACAAGATAAGCAAACTGTCCCCTGACTGAACATATTTACCTAAAAGACAGAAGACTGATTTGGTCTCCTTTCTCTTGGTAAGAAACAGCGTGCAGGCGCTCTGAATATATCTTGACACCAAACTGTTACTTTAAGTCTAATTTGTTGGTAACTGACTGTCTTTTGATTCCACCATCCTATCATATTGACACAAACACACATAATTGTTAATGTGCTACATACCATCTTTGGGTAAGGTTGACGGCCATAAGAGAAGATCTCCCACAGAAGAACACCATAGCTCCAAACATCAGACTTTGTGGAGAATTTCTGCAAGATGGGAGAAAATGCATGCCAAAATTAAAACGTACTTTTATATATACTTGTATACAAATGTACATACAAGCAATTAAAATCTCTTCTAAATGATCACAAGTTTTACTTTAAGCTCCAGTGCAGAAATTTTGGTTCGTGTTGACTCGGGTCCCTCTTACTTGTCTGTCCTGTATATGTGTTTGTGGTTTTAAAAAGATCTCATGCTGCTTTCTTTCTGCTTTCTAACACGTAGCTTGATCTGTTGTTGTAGAAAACTTTTATTTCATCTTGCATTTACCTGAGGCTTTGTGTACTTTCCTTTGAAGAATAAGAATAACTTTATTGATCCCCAAAGTGAAATTCAATTGTCTGTCGTCTCAAAAGTCATCGACTATTTTTAGGAGACGTATTCACTCTGTTACTGAGCACTCTGGTCACATCTTCATGTCTCATCCTACGTTGTTTTGTTTGTTGTCTGTTGTCTGTCTGTCTGTATAAAGAGAGGCCGACTCAATCGCTGTAGATCTAATCTACCTACAGGTATAAATAAAGTAACCTTGAACCTTGAACCACTTTGTCTGACACCTGGCAGCAGCAGTTTCACACGTTAAGAACAACAACATAACCGATGAGTGTGCTCATTGTCTTGTTAAGGTAGCTTTGTAGCTTTAAATAGGCATCAATACTGGTTTATTTTAATTAATTTCATAACAAGCTAAACTCCTTACAGGGGTATTAGGATGACATGAGTGTTAAGCTTAAATCAAATCACTAAATGGTGTCATGATATACAATTATAGAGTCAGAGCAGGATGTGAAGAAAAACAGGAGACAAAACCAAAGTACAGAAAAAAGGAAAATAAATCTGTAAAAACCTTAAAAAACAACAACAAAATTTTGGTTTAAGAATATGTAATAAAATGTATATATAAATATAAACATATATACTGACCTCTTTTTTCAGGGCCTCAGGAGCGGTCCATTTGACAGGCAGTTTGACATTATCTGCCACTTTCGGGTCCAACTTGGTCAAACCAAAGTCGCTGACTTTAGCCGTGACGTCATCAGACACCAACACGTTACGGGCTGCCAAATCTCTGTGCACCAATTTCTTTGATTCCAGGTACTCCATCCCTTCACACACATCACTAAAGACACAAATAATAACGGTGTAACTTCCCCCTGTAGACTGTTGTGTGCATAATGTGTATGTAGTTTGAACTCACAGGGCAAAGCGGAGGAGCTGGGCTAAGCCTACTACTGAGCGCCCCCTCGTCCTCAGAAAGTTAACAAGGTTTCCCTGCGAAACGAAAACAAATTTACACTTAAATGAGGTTTGAAGATTTCTCTCATAGTAATATAACATAATTCTTAGCTCACTGTAGAAGCTGGAGGGCAACTTTTTGGTGTTGCAGTATGTCTGCAAATGTGTTGACCTTGCACTAAAATAGTTGAACAGAACCTTTAAAAGTCCCCTTTAGTTGTAAATAACCATCAACAATACCCTGCAAACACAATGAACTTCTGGCTCTGTGCCTAATGTCTTTAACTAGGAGAGGAAGGAGGACTCTGACTCTTTAAAGCTGCATTAGCATCAGTATGAACCATTGCTCACTAACTTCTTGTTGTACTAGCAGGTAACTCTGGAAACATCTAGTACAATAAAACCCACACATGTTGGTCTTAAGGTCATCTACTTCTCAAAGCATACACACCACAGAAGATATAATGAGTAAACAGATACGGATCACTCTAGATGCTTACAGGTAAATAGGATTGAAAACTTAATTATCCCTAAAAAATAAAATAAAGCATCTACACCTCGACTTCTGCACATTTCTTGTCAAGCACTTTCAGTTGCAGAGGTCTCACACCAATGACTAGTTTTCACATCTAAAGTAGCATCCCCACAGGCTTTAACCCAATATCTTTCACATCCTTTTGAATTTGTGATAAACAGATATATATTGCGTCTAAATTATTTCATATTGTTACTGGTTGTTATGATAACTGTTTAGCACTGATGTACCTTTGTCATGAGCTCTGTGACGATATGAAGCCCCTTATGGAGAATAACGCCCAAAAGTCGCACAAGGTTTTTATGCTGCAGCTTCCTGGAAATAAAAATGTATTTGAAACACAAATCTTATCAAGTTACACAAAAATACTGTAAAACAAAACAACTTGCATATTTTTTTCCATCATAAAACCCATGAAATGCGTTTTTTAAGTGTTTAATGTTTATACAATTCAAACAGAGGGACTCTTGGACTCACGTCATGACTGTGGTCTCCTGCAGGAAGGCCTGAGCCGTGACATCACACTTAATGGTCTTTACTGCCACCCTCTGGCCCATATACTCTCCCTCATAAACAGCTGGGGAATAAGAGTCACACATTAGAGTACTGTCCTATCAGTGATGGGGCATTACTGTTATATAGCTCATCTGATGGTTGGTGTATAAATTATGAGGATCTGGTATATAAGAACATTTCTGTCAGCAGGTGAAAAGGCTGCCATGCCTCTTCGCTAAATGAGATTAACACATCAAATCCTATGATGGGATAGAAATGATAAACAAGAGTACAAATGATAATAAATTTGTCATAGTGTGGCAATTATTTTCTCTCTTATGATATTTTTTTCTGATTGGATCAGGTGAACGTAGTATCTGTAATCATATTGATGAATTTAATCTGGCTTACTGGTTAAGAATATAATGTGATTGTATCATTTTATTGACTAGAACACCAAGCTTAACTATCTACCTTTCTTTTTTTGTTACTATTTTCTAGACCCTTAAAAAAGCTAAAAGCATTTTTATTATAACAAAGGCGAGGACAGTCCATGTTCTGATGTAAATAATTCAAGTCAATGGTCTGAGGAAAAGTCTCTGGAGGAGCCTGGCTGTTGGACCTGAGTCAGACCTATGCTGCTTTTTTTTCTCTTGAGTGGGTACAATGATATGTTCATGACACAATTTTTAAAAGTACATTTTTGACTAAATAAATGTTGAAAAACTGAAAAAAATACAAGCTTACCTCCAAACTCCCCCTCGCCAATGTTCTCTCCCAGTGTGAGCTTCGAAATGTCGAGCAGCCATCCAGCTGGAGAACAAGATCAGAATTTTAAACCTCACATCATTACATGTTCAGATTACCAAATTAAGTGTTACATCTGATGGAAAGATAATTTAAATATATCACTAAAATGCAGTTCCTAAACATTGACATCGACTCACTTTTGGAGAGCTCCACCTCAGCTGACTTGGCTCCGTGTTTCTGCTTGGGCTTCAAAAGAGTTGTAGCAATGGAGCCTTTATTCTTTGAATAGAACTGCAAAGGCAAAAAAAAAACACACCACATTAACACATCAATCAGGTAGATGTCTAAACATATCTGTAATACCTCTACTGATGTCTGCTACTTCCTCATAATAGTCATTTGTTTTTATGTCGTTATGGTTATTGAGTAAATAGTCAGCGTTATTAATATCTGAAACCGTTGAAATGATGATGGGTTTTTAGGAACCCACACTTGATACCTTCACAGTGCACAGGAAGCTTTTTGCACACCGTGGTTTTTGAGCACAAGATAAACCCATACTTAGTCATCTGAATTCATAAGAAGAGAGAACCAAAGACGGCACAAAGTGTGAGACAGGTGTTCTGCAAAGACAGTGAAACTTTAAAAATCTGCCAAATCAATAAATTATCAGCTGCACAACAAAGACACATCAAAGTTTGTGTTTTACAAAGCCAGCTGTTCAGCCGAGTGTGACAGAGCATTTCTAAACGAGCACTTATCAGGAGCTGCCTCTGTTTCCTTGCTGGAGTTAGTCCACTCTGTTCACTCAGGTCTGAGGCTGGCTGATAACATGCTGCTGAACAAGAGCTGACCATCTCTCTGTGTTATGTCCCCAAGGCTTACAGCAGCAAAGCTTTCAGTCCACCACTCACACACAGCAATACAAACATGAACACAAACACACACACATATACAGAGAGGCTAAAAACAGATAGAGTACAAAGGGCTGTGCTACATGAGTTTTCTTGTTTCTGCTTTGGAGTGCAAATAGACTGCAAACCCCCCACACTCCTTGACAATGACTGTTAAGATCTCTTACTGAAAATTCAGCTGAAGACTGTTTGATTATCGATGGTGAGCAACAATGATTCACATTCATATCATGGTGGCCACCAGACAGTAAAGGGAAATCATGTCATGAGGCAGGAGGGAGTTGTCTTTTGCCTGGGAGAGGTTTCTGAAATGAAACGCTCTTTTGTTCGTGGGCTGGATTTTGCAGAAGTCCTTACTATGACTAAACTGTGACCGATGAATTATACATTTGTACTAACATGTTCCTGCAAAATGGACTCAAACTCAAATCCTCTCACCTCTATCATGTCTATGAGGTTGTAGAAATACTGGGTGTTGTCAATGGTCAGCTTGTTGTCTTGGTAAATCACCCGGTAGTGGATAACCTTTCCAGAGATGCTGACACACAGGACATAGTCCCCAGGATGGCGGATGGACTCTCGAACCAAGAACAGACCGTCTTCTGCCGGCTGCAGTTTACACACTGCATCTGGACCGGAGATCTTCCCGTGGAACCATCTGTTTCAATACAGCACAGGGTCAACCACAGTGAGCATGCACACAAATTAATCTGATGAAAACTCGTATATATAAATATAAAAATACACACTGCAAAAAGCACCATGTTTCACACAAATGCTAAATTTAGAAGGTAGAAACAAGTACCCCAGAAAGGGAAGTTGATTCATCCTGTGTTTGTTTGTAGATCACGCTGCAGCCCACAGTGTGATCACAAGATGTGTTTTGTGACCAAAAGATTGAACCAAAAAACAGCAAAAAATAGAAACTGGCAAGTCATAGCGACACTTGTGCATGCGGAAAGAGTGCACCCCACTGATATGAGAGGGAAAAAGACACTCCGCCAAAAGTAGAAGTCAATGAAAAAGTCAAAAACTCTGAATAGACATACGGCATGAGGCTGAGGCTGGGGTCCACACGCAGAGCCTCTCTTTCACGAACATTGGTGGAGTTGATGAGTCCCTCCTCTCCCGTAGAGTTGTGTTTGGCCTTGTAGCATCCCTTCTTCTGGAAGAGAGGATTAGGAGATGAGTAACTTATAGTGGAAAAATACAGTAAACACTTTAATTAAACATGGCCTAAAGCTCCCTATACACATGACAACGATCCAACATCGACATTTTTTCTGCTGCTGAAAGACTCCAAATCTCAATTTGTTATCATTATTTCCTCTAACCCAAGTTCCAGATATATTTATGATCTGTCCTCTAGCCTGAGTGTCCTAAGTAATAATGTTTATAAAGAGTGATTTTTGACTGCAATCTGTCCTTTGACACCCAAGTGACTGAGTAATTCATGCATTGAAATACTGCTAACAGGCTTTTAACACATAGCAAAAGACGCAGTCATATAACACCAGTCTTTCCGGCCGCTGTCTACCTGTGAGAAAAGATTTTACTGCTTGTTTTTAAAGACTTGAACCTTCCTGCCAACAGTATGTCTGCAAGCTACTAACTCCCCATATCCCTGACTGCAGCCTGAGGTCTTCTAGCAGGGCCCTGATCGTGGTTCCTAAAAAGCCTGGCCTTTTCTTGACCATTAGCTGTGTTGTGTTTGTCTCTTTTAACTCATTTACTGAATTATTGGATTTGATTTGTTTTGGATCCTATTTTATTCATTTTTTCATTGTATTAAATGTTACCGTATTTGTTTAGCACTTCACTTATTTGATCAAAATGAAACAAAGTTATCATTATCAACATCACAGTACCGTGCTGGTCTCAATAATAGTGAGGATGTCTCCTTTGTGGTACGCTAGCTCGTCAGGTTTTGGTTTCCTGTGGTCACCTTTGGCCACACACTGAGTACCTGCAGCCCAGCTCATCTGCAACAGAAGCACCGGAAGAACAAGAGAGGAAAGAACACTTTTAAAAAAAACTGTGAGTGAAATAAGTACGTTAGACTTCATAAACGATTAATAAAGACAAATAAAAATGTATCTTGTTCTAATGTAGGTGGTTGTTATTATTATATTTGTTCCAATACTATTACGGGTCTTATGCTACAACCTAACATGCCCTATCAGTGACTATGCCAGGCATTGTATCGATCCATACCATCACTGATAAGAATGATAACATGTCTTGACAGTGTGGTGCTAGCATAGAGTGAAACAAAATACTAAAAAAAACACCTGAATACAGTCCGATAAATGATAAAAATTCCCTCTTGTAGTTTATCAGTTTCCAAAAACATCTAATGTATCAAACAGGATAAATAAATATATTTGTTAAATTTTAAGGACATTTTGATTTTTTGGTTTTCAGTAGTAAGTGAAATAAACATTTCAGCTCCAAAAAAATTGAATTTTCTGGCCATAATTTGTGGCGTCAGACATTAAAGGGCTACGATAACTGTACAAATAATAATAGTAATAAAAAATGATGATAGTGCAGTTATGTCAATCAGCCTATAACATATTCAACACTCATTTATACAGTAGATATAATCATAGACAGATACAGTACACCTCAATATGAACCATCACAATGTTTACAATAATGCAGCAATAAGAGATGGGTAGGGGCACGCGACAGCCCCGCGCACCGCCCCTGAACCTTAAAATGACATTTACATCCAATTTATTAATCTGATTGTATTGATTCATTTGAGTTATACCTCCTTTTTTCAGGGAGTAGTCTTTAAAAACGCTAACATAAAATTAAAAAACAATATCTTCAGCCTTTCTACTGACGACACTTTGAGTTAACTACTTCAATTCACACACTGTTGTAAACCACAGTACATACCTCTGCCATCAGCAGCAGGGCTGGGCGGTGGGATGAGTCTGTATTAAAGAGAAAAAATGTTATTAAACAACATAAATGTGTAAACACCCTGCAATTAAATACTTATAAGTGCTTCAAAAGGCAAAAATCTGCTGCTGTCGAGGTAAAGCAAAAAGGAGGATACAAAAAGAAAGAGCAGAGATGTTGTTAGCAGGTGTAGAGAGAGCTTCGTGTTTGTCTGCTCCTGTCGCATAAATCAAAAGTAAATGGCAGAGGGTTACATCTTGTGCTGTCTGCTCTCTGCTCGACATGAATGTTTCAGTACCTGCGGCTCCTGTGGACAGAGGGGAGCTCCGTTTTCCTCTTCACGACAGCCGGGTGTCGGTATATTCACAGAAAATAAACACCCATCTCCAGCATGGCTACTTCTTCACACCCTTCGCTGTTTCCGAGTCCTCTTTGTCTCACCCTGCGATGACTCCTGATGTCCAATTTGATCATTAAACACATAAGCAGGAACTGATTCTGGAGCTATTCATGCTCTCTAGACAAGCCCTGCAGCTGTGGTGACAGCTCACTTCCTCGGTATTTAGGAAAATGCACTTCATGTTTCATGAAGCGACGCAAGAAGTGACGCTGAGTGACTTCTCCCTCTGTGTTCCTCACATTTTTTTTTCTCATTCAGGTTCAATTTGCAGACACAGACGGACCAAAATGGCTTAAAAGTGTTTTAATATTTCCTCTTATTTTAGGCAACACTACAAAGACATTCAAATACTAGACAGCAACACTCACACGTTCCTTTTAACAATACAAAACAGATTGCAACATCCTTCAAAAATAAAATAAACAGTACTTAAATATGATGCTCTCCATAAATGAAAAACCCAGCTAAAAACTGCACAATAATTCTCTCACTTTTAAGCCAAAAGAGTTGTGCAACTGTCCCTTCCCTGCCCCACATCTTTGTGTAATAAGATCATTACAATATTCACTCATTAATCCTCCTCGTACTCAGTCTTTTGTAACACACAACATGATGCAGGCACAAGGAAGAAAGTCAAAGGACTACTTGATCATAGCAGTAGATATTCAGTCTTTAGAACTAAAGCTCCTCTCTCTTTCTGGAAGAAAAAAGATTACTAGGCATATTATTTTTTTTTATTATTTGAATGATAAAATTATGGCTGCATACAGTAACATTGTCATTTCTTAAGTGCTTCATTCCCTCAGCATGCTACAGACTGTGCAACATAAGACCCTTTCTCTCTCTCTTCAGAGACAGATTTACTCTCCAGTGTGACTTTAACTGAAAACCTCATGGGAGATACTTCACAAAGCAACGCCTAGTGTCCTTGAATGTTTCTCACTACGAATGTAACAGTGTTTGCTATGGGGAAGTTATTTTAGTGTAGTCATGTGATGCAAGGCTTTTATTATCCACTCTTTCAACTCACTTCAAGTTTTTTTTAAATCAAATGGTGCGAAAATGTTTTAACTCTTGAACAGGAGATATTAGTAGAGGGGAAGAGGAGGAGTTCTCTGTGAGGTTCATCACAGCTTAACACTATATTATCATCCCTGTGTCATCTTAGGCACTATAAACATCACAGTACTTATTGTATGTCAATCCCAAATGTAGTCCGTCTCCTCTGATCTTAAGCAGTTTGTTAACCTAAAGAAATGTAACCCACATCTGAACAAAACTTTAAAAAAAAAACACACACCTCAGTGTATCACATGCACCAATGGTAGTGCAGCGAGTCTTGATTCAAACTGAACTTGGCTGGAGGAGCAGCAGGGTTCAGACGCTTCTTTAGGAGATGAGCTCGGAGGAAAGCTTAAGGTGCTGTTGATTTTACTCGTCTTTAATACCACAGAAAACAATAGGATTATTTTGAAAGAACGGGAAATATACGTTCAGTAGTTAGCGTGCAATTCTGTCTTTTTCATGTTTTTTTTTTACTGAGCCAATTTCTTTGTCCACTTTATAAACATTATCTGCAGGGAGTATCTATACACGGGAAGGGATTGCAGTCCGGATTCTCACATTTCAGTCTCCTCCTCCGACACATTATTCTTCTTAATCCGACAGTAGACATGTAACGGGTACAGTCAGTTATATCCATATGTGTATAGCTGCATGTTAAGATTGTTTTCAAGATAAGAAAAGTTTAAAGATGACATTCTACCAGTCTCTGAACTAGTAAACGCCTCCACTCTGGAGGTGGAGGTCAAGCACTCTCCACTTCCTCCTTCTTGTCTTTTTTGCCCTCTCCTTCCCCTTCGCCGGCATCGCTGCCGTCCCGTCGACGTTTGCGGTTGCGGGCGCTCGCCTTAGATGCGGGCAGAGACTCCATGCCCAGAACCTTGTGGATCTGACGGAAAGCGAGCAGCCGTAGAGCGTGCTGGAACCAAACAGGAGAGACAGGAATTGATTTGAAGAATTGCAGTTTTAACCCACAGAGGTGCTGAAGGGGAGGGGTGTGATAACGGTCAAGTTTGTGCTTCTTTTCACTTTCTTTTTCTAGCTATAAAAACATCCCTAACACCAACTAAATGCTCCAGATGTGTACCTGTGCACTGGCTGTTATATCCTCTCTGGCTTGAGGGATCATACTCTCCAAAGCATCTGTTGGCTCTTTCTCACAGGGGTCCATCAACCCTGGTCCATCTGAAGGAGTGGATGAACAAAAGGTTAATAATGTGATGTGAAAATGTTACCTAATCAGAGGCAGAAAAACTTTGATGCAAGGTTATTTCTCTGACGTCTGATTTAAACCTGCCTATTCACTCCCAATAGAGATGTGGGTTTGTCTGACCTTGCAACAGAATTCCTGTGGAGATACACTCCAGCACTCTGCGCATTGCTTCTCCTGGGCTCAGAGGACCTGTAGCACTGCTGATCACTTTTTCCACTAGCAGCTCCATCGCCTGCAGGAACAAACACATACAGACCACACAGTGAAATAGAAAGTAACACTGTCGCATTTAAGCTCATCCTCTACTATTCAAAGTCTTGGTGTGATGGGGCATCTGGTCAAGTTGTTTGTTTCTCTTCTCAGTGCAGCTCTGATTCAGAACTAAAGGAGTGATGTTTCTTAAAATACCGGCCAATAGAAAAATGAGAAAAAAAAGGGGGGAATTCTTGCAAAATATTAGTTGACAGATTACATCAGATGTGCGAAAAGCTTGCTTAGGTGATAAGGTAACCATTAGGTAACACATAAGAAAGAAAACTGACGTGATATAAGACACTTACCCAACCAGGAAGCTTCCCCCATGTGGGAACCCGCTGACACAAATCTCTCAGCACCCGAATGATGATGACACATGACTGCAGCCCGTTAGCACGAGCCTTCAGAAACAAGGAACAAAAAATACTCTAAATAACAAGTAGAAGGACTCAACCTCAAAGTTATCTCATGGAAAATAGTCCACAGAATCTGAATTTAAGTCTGTGCATTAAAAATCCAAACAAAAAGAAATAAAATTTTGAGAGCAGAAATCTTCAAATCAAAGAAAAGACTACATCACACTGAGCTGGTCAAAACAATCTCAATCAAAACAAGTAGGACAGGGTAGGATGAGCCGAAACAATGCATTTACCTGAAACCACTTGGCGTGACGTAAAGCTGCCAGATACTCCAGACATTTCCTTTTATTCAGGAGATCAGGAGGATCCTTCTCAGCCACATCTGGTGAAGGTAAGGTAACATTCACTAGATCATGAGTTACAGTCTCATTACAGCAGAGCTTCAACGACAGAAGAACAGCGACATGGTAACAAACGCTGATCTGGGATGAGTATTAAAAACACTGAATGCTTGTATTATCCTAACATGCTGTATGGGCTGAACATGAGAAAATTATGAGGGAAAGCAAGAAGAGAAAGGGCAAGCATTTCACAATCAAATCAGAAAATCTGGAGTATTGTGATGTTTTACAGGTATATTTTGAGGGGACAGAAAAAAAATACCAGTGTGCTCTTTGGAGTCAGAGAAAAATGCAAAACAGAAAGACATCCAAGTGGCTCAGAAAAATCAGAGTTCTGTTTCACTTTTCAGTTTCAGATAAATAGTAGATATAGATATAGATATATATATTAGATCAGATATATACATACAAAGAAATATATTTTGCCTGTTCACAGATTTAGCCCCAAATTTAGACCCCATCATTATCCACCCAAGTTAATCTTTGTCTACAGAAACATCCAGATTTGTCAAACATCATGTATCAAAAGTTTGAAGTTATCAATCAATGCTGGTTCACTTGCATGACTAACTTAAACACCTGACATGGAGTACTTCTTAAATTGTATAAATAAATTATTTTAAAATCATCTTTGAATAAATATTTTTGGGTCAAATTGTTACCAGCAACTTGGTTGCATAGTATAGTATTATGTTGTGTGTAATGTATAATGAGCTGGTGGTTATGCAAGTTTGTATCCTGATAGGGTGAGCAGGACCTGACGCAAAGTGGAGAGGCCGGATCACATACTGACCAGTGAAAAGACTGTTGTTAAAGAATGGTTTAAAACAAGCACAAAGGCAAAATTAATTTTAAAAAAGGCAAAGCCTGACACTTATTTATGCTTAAAATAACCTGAGAGAGCACTGACTTGCTGCATTAATGCTGCTATGGTCAATCTTTTCTTATTTTACCCATCTCCTGCCTTCTTTTATGACTATGAAATCTCTGAAAATATAAAAAGCTCTTTTTTGCTTGTTGGCATGAGACCTATTTTTGAAAAAATTTCACTTTTTTACCATGTAATAAATATATGTACCATATCAGTTATGTAATAAGTTTTAATTTAAGGCTGTTCACACTGAGAATCTTCTTTCAAAACTCCATCTCTGACTGTTGTAGATTTCTTCTTTTTTGCATTTGACTGTCAGACACAGGTGCTTCAGATCAAAAATTAATAAATTTCACAGCTTTTTAATCTTTCAACAACTGAAAATGGACATAAGCCCTTTGGGAATCTCCTCCATTAATACCAGACTTTGGAAAAACACTTGTCCTGTACACTCAAAGGGGGGAGGGGGGGTCTCATTACTGTTCTGATCCTGAGAAAAATCGTCAATAAGGCACCAAAACATGGATTCTTCTTTCCTTCGTGCCTCCATTCTTGAGACAAACCAAAATCAATCATCTTTAGGGTTTATTCATAAATAAGGAATGAAACAAAGGAGATAAATTAAGGTTGTGTTTGAATAAAAAGTGTTTTTCTCTGTGTCAAATTTAAACATTAATTTAAGTTTGAAAAAAATGAGATCAAATAGAAGACACATTTACAAAGGTGACAGACGACAGGTTGTCAAAACATTCAATGTGGTTATTCATGACTATAGAGGTATTAATCACATGATCAGCCTTGGGGCTTTCCACACTTCTATTTTCACGAGAACTGTAGCAACAACAGAGGATGTAAGCTCGCTGTTAGGGGGAAATTCAGAACAAAAACAAAGCCATTTTTTGAAGTCTACACTACCATACCACTTAGAATCAATCACCCATATTTATTATGCCTCTTAGAGCTGGAAGCACCTGAGTCTTTCTATTAATAAAGAATAAGGGGGGGTTTCCTTCTCTGAAAAAGCTTAACAAACATGGGCAACCTATAGCTCCTTTGAACGCTCTATTCTTAGTGGTATGTAAATAAGTGTGGTCTTCAGGTCAGCCACCGGCTTGCCTAGGTCTGCTGATACAGAGTTTGGAGAACTGATCAACAAACCCAAACAAAACTAGAAAAGAAGAAAAACACAGCCGCCACAGAAAACATCTCTACCATGTTTTCGAAATGGGAAAAAAACACATTGAAATACTGACAGTCACTGGAGCAGGTGGAGGAGTGTTTGCAACACAATCATCTCAGAAATTACCCTCACTGTTCAATAGCAGGGGAGTCATGGTTAATATTCTGATAATGATCATTGTGAGGCAATAAAACGACACTCCAACACCTCATCATTGATAATGCCACATAATGATGCAGGGATGAGAGACGAGGGGATGGGAAGTCTTTGGACCTCAAAATCCGCTCAGGTTACTCGGCCAAAGAGCAAAAAGAGGAGAAGCTTTCCTCCTGTCTAAAAATATGTAGACACAGTGTCAACATTTGAAGCAGGTTCATCCCTGGACATTATCTGAACACGGATCATCATTTCTGTTGATTATCAAAGTTTCCCAAAGGTTTGATCTGAGCATGTGTTTAGCAGATAAACACACACCCTAGTGGCACAGAAAGGTCGGAGAGCCCGGCTTTTGATTCCCATGTTGTGGAAAAAGAAATAAAGAAATCAGGGTCTAGCGTAACTGCAGAAAATGGGGGAAATGAAAAAGAGGGGGACAAATGAATGAGTGAGTTAACTTTTATTGTGGGAGAGGGGGTAAAAAAAAGAAAATGTTTCGGTGGGCTTCGTTACAAGTCCCACCTTCTTGTTTTATGAGCTTTTCAGCCTAAAATTTAGGCTGTTACTTGGCGGCAGGGTGGAGCAGGGGGGTATATATATATATATTTGTATATAAGTGTTTACACATTTATACTTTGTTGTCTGGTACTGAAAGCTTTGGCTTCTCTAACCTTTCTCAGCCGCTTTTCCTCCTGCCTGCTTGTCCTTCTCAGCAGCAGTGTCCTCCCTCATCAGCGGCGAGGTGAGAGAAATGGTCACCTGCATTTTGGGCTCCTTGCTTGAAAATATCACGATGTTCGCCTCCTCGGGGTGAGCCTGCACCTCATACTGATCTTCAGAAAAAGTCTGCCGGTTAAAAGGACACTTGGGATTACTCACTACAGAGGAGGAGGGGTGTGTGGGCAAAGACTAGCCTTGTTTGGCATAGTAGTAGGGCATTACTCTTTTTCTTTTCAACCTGGATTGTGTAAGTTTTTTTTTAAGCAGTTCCTTTATTTTAAACAGGGTTGGGACATCGAGGTAAATGTGTAATATGTAATGAATCATGATGTCTTTTGAATTGTTGTTATAAGGAAAGCATTGGGGCAATTAAAGGAGGAAAGCCCCATCTCACTCTGTAGGATTCAGGTGTCATAACCAGGCAGTGAATCTAAAGATCAGTCAGAGCACCTTAAATAAAACACTCATTACGGCTAAAGCAGGAGGGAGGAAGAGTTAGGAATTACAACACATCACAACCTTTATTCATGTTCATTTACTGTCTTTGTGGCTTTAAAGAGGAATGCCAGTAAACTCCAAACAGTTTTTGATCTTTGGGCGGTGGGCAGTTCACTTTCTCCCATAGCTTCAAACTGTTGTTTCAGGCTGTGGAGGACTGATGTATCAGGGGGGTCTGGTCATGTTTTTTTTTACATGTGTCTTTCTCCACATCTCTTTGTATTACAAAAGCATTTAAGGTGAAAACCTCTAATCAAGCCCACGTCACAGGGCAGCAGATGTCAAAAACTGTTTCCTCTTTTTTTTTCGAAAATCTACTGCCCCTAAAAAAGACAATAATAAACGAATCAGTTCCTTAAATTGAAGACTTTGTGCTTCCTTTTTGAGGTTTTTGTTAAAACTTGTCTTTTCAGATTCAAGCCCACATGATTCAGTGATAATCTAATATTTAATATATATTAGAATCACAGTGTTGTGATTTCCAGTTTACCTCCATTCTTCCATCCCTCAACCTCAACCAGAGTCTACATCAACAATCTGTTAAGAAGTGGAGTTCTCTTACCTCGAGCTCCTTCGGCAGCTGCTTCGCGATGCTCTTCAGTAAAGAGATGGTGGGTTTCTTTGCTGTAAGGAGGATGAGCTCAACATTTCTGTCCCCGCGGAGCAGCAGGCCTTTGGCCAGAATTCCCACCCGCATCACGCCTTTTAGCAGCCGGGCTGAGTTCTCTGAGCTGTCAGAAGATGAATAGAGGCCGAGATTAACACACAAAGCGCTGGTTTTATTATCAATTCAGCAGATCTGTTGAGGTAACTTCAGTGTTGTTTTTGGCAGGCATTTTAGATTTAGTTTTAGTTTTAGTCATTTTGACGAAATGCTTCTTCGTTTTAGTCCCATTTTAGTCATTTCTATCCTTGATAGTTTTAGTCTAGTTTTAGTCGACGAAAAGGAGCCTTTTGAGGTTCGTGGTGTTCTTTCCCGATAGTTTGAAGCCGCAGCATGAGGAAGCTGTGGCTCCACAACTGTCGCCTGTTTCGTCTCCCCGTCCAGGACATTGTGTTTTATTGTCACTTGGACTGTATCTGAAGTAGGACCATAAATCATCCCTCTTTTTTCGGCCACCGGGCACCGCTGCTGTGCCTGCCGCCATGGTGTGTGTGTGTGCGCGCCTCTTCCACCTGCCGCTCTGTGTATGTGCATGAGTGTGTGCGTGCAGCTGTGCGCGAGCGAGGCTTTTGGTGCGTGTGTGATGGGGGCGTGACTGTTAGGACAAAAAAAAGCATGTTTTGAAACTTTGTTCGTCCCCCTGATAACAATTTAGTCTCGTCTCGTTCTCGTCTGACGAAAATGAAAACAATTTTCGTCGAATTTTAGTCTTTACAGAGCTTTGGTGACGTTCATCTTAGTCTCATTTTCGTCAAGGACGTCTGACGTCGTCATTTAAGTTTTCGTCCTGCCTGACGAAAACAACACTGGGTAACTTGATGAACACCTGTGGTAGTGACATTCAAGTAGCAGAGGTGCAGGAGACAGAAACTGTGGGCACCCTGACAGTTGGTACAGTTTAGTCAGTACTATTCTGATACAAACATTTACACACCAAAGGGCACACAGCTCTAAGAGAATTAGGCTTACCAAACGGCAAAACCACCCACTTTTGGTGCTGGTGTTGCTTTGGGTGCTCAATCTTTGACTATCTAGATGATGCCAGATGTATTAGGACCTCATAGATGCAGATCTATGGCAGCTAAACAAATGCCCACTAACTCAAAAGCAAACAAACTGTGCAAAAAATTGACTTTAATTTTTCTTACTCGCTTTGGATAATTGACAAAATCGGAATGACATGATGGTGGCTGAAGCTATTTATTACTTGTAATAGCCATAAATTGAGCTAAGTGGTCACCATGCAAACATCTTAATTTGCATCATAACCCTCTGCAAAGGTTTGACTCCCTTGATTCTCTGTGTAGCTCAGTAAGCCAAAGCTTTTATCTTTCTGGTTTCCCAGCATGCCAGGAGAGAAATATGGATCCTCTTTACCCTTTTTCCTCTCCTCCTTCAGTGGCAGCAGGGACAGCTGGTGTCTCCTTGTCCAGCAAGGAGTCTGACACCAGTTTCAGAGCTCTTTCAGAGTGGGACACGATCTTCTGTACAGCCTGCAGCTCTTCTTCAACTGGGTAAATGGTGGAGTGTTTCGCCATGATGTGGCGGTCATCAGGGGAGTCTGGTCGGCGCACGCATGTCTTAAAAGAGAGGAAGGGAATAAAGAAATGTCAGTGAGTTAGGTTTTGTTTCTTCATTTCTGAGATTTGAAACAAAATGAACTACAGCAGTTGCAAGACTTACCAGTAGAGGGGGTACTGGCATACCAGGACGGCTCATCAGTGGTGGAGGCGCCATCCTCCGTCTCTGCTCCCCCCAGTACATCTGCTCCTCCTCCATCCTCCTCCAGTACATATCCTCCTCGTATCGCCTGCAGGAAAGAGGGATGCCATTAATGTCCATCATCAAAAGTAGTTTTATGGCTGCCATTAATAGAGCAAAGTAGTCCATTAAAAAAGCAGTTAACCAAAACTTGTACTCTACTCTCCTGTTAATCCTTTACAAGAACTACTTGACTCGTGTTGTGGGTTACAGGAATTGATCAAATTTCAGAATAATCCACATCAATGTTCAATATATAAGAATTTCTTTAGGCTGCAGGGGAAACTACAATTTGTGTTTCTCCAGAGTCAGAAGAATATCAAAAACAGGGATAGAGCTTCAGGCTAACAGCCAACTGGTCTGCTTTACAACTTACTCGTTGCTGATCTAACTTTTACCCTATAATCCATTTCCCCTTTTACCCTACTACTTTGCTCACCAGTCTGACCTCATCTCCATGTGCCAGCGCTGCTCATCGTCCCTCTGCCTCTTCAGCACAGCCTTCTGCTTCTGCTTCTTCAGCTTGCTCTCCTGCAGCTTCCTGGCCCGATTACTCGGCTTGATTTCTACAGGAAGCTCCGGGTTTACTTTCTTCTACAGAGACGCAGAGAGAAGGACAGCATGAGTTTAAGAGCGATGTAACAAGAATGTAATGAATGTCAGTGCACAAATGAGACCTTGTATTCACCAGCAATTTCCACAATAAAACATTGCATTTCATTTGCACTTTTATCCCCTCTAAACCAGATTGTTCACTCTCTGCTGCACAGCAAATATGAGGATTAAAGTCTAAAACTGAACATCCATGTCAACTAGCCCACAGCTACATTTTCAACAAAAAATACTGGTTCACTGCTGCCATTGACTTATCATTAGAATCATGGGATACAACTGGGCATCACTTCAGCTTAAAGAGATATTCCGGCATAAATTTAAGTTAGGGTCAAACACACTGTAACACCGAGTTAGACACCCCCCTCAAGAGATGAATGTTGCTGACTGCTTGCCTCTCTAGTTATACCAACTTCACAGCAATACACAGGGGTCTATGGATCCATGCGCACACCTCAACCAAAAAGCCACTTTGTAGCCACAAAACTCAGCATATATTAAACCTTTCTCTTCACCAGGTGATCACTGATATTTATAGTTTTTTTTACCAGCTCAAAGTGAGGCAGAATTTAGAGTCATTTTAATCTATTTAGTCGAAATGATTCACAGTGTGTGGCTACTTTTTGGGATAATCTGTAGATAATGTGAATCAATAAAACTGTTAATCTCAGCTGCGTTCAGTTATACAGCCTGGAAAACTTATCAGACAGGGATCAGCGCAGAGAAGTTTAAAAAGTCTTACTTTGTACTGCAGTCTGTGTCTTCTTCCTTTAAGGTGCATGTCTTTAGCATTGGGATCGTTGAAGCTGCACTCGCACAGTTTACAGTGGAATCTTATCACCTTGCCGTCGTCATTACGGACCTTAGAAATTCAGACAGTAGATATTCAGTTTATAGAGAACCCACAAAACATAAACATCTCACACCACACTATTCTAGATGACAGAAATCTCTAAATAAATATAAAGCTGTTACTAATCATTTTAACCGTTTCCAGTTCTTTATTTGCCACAATTTGTTTTCTAATTTTCACAATTACCATGAGACACTAGTCCTCTAATATTTCAGTTGGCTGTGATCAAGTCTATAACCATCAATGCGTCAACTAAAGCGATCCTTTTTCTTCCGTTTTCTGCTCACCTCCTCTACATAGTCATGTCCCACCGGCTGGATGTCACCCTGGCTTCCTGCTCTGTCACCATCCTCATCCTCACTCTGAGGCTCCATCTTCTGAGTCGATTGTTGCATTGGCTCCTCCACCTTGGCAGCCACCACCGCTGCTGCTGCTGCTGCTGCTGTCACTGCAGCTGCTGGAGTGCTGGCAGGCTTGTTAGCTATGCAGAAGACAAAATATAACAGATTAAAAGAAAAACAATAGTATTTTTTTCATAAACAGTCCTATTCCAAAGGTTGATGATAACCTTAGTTAGGTTATCCTTGATCTCCACAAGGTTTTTGTTGTTTTTATTTAGGTCAGCTAGCAGTTGTTGATTGTTTATACAATAAACTGTTTGTTCAGATTTCTTTACTCCTTAGTGAAGAAAATATTTCGTGTCTTTGGAGCCGGGCAAAGTTCTGCTAGTTCTTAAAGTAATTTCAAACTTCAGCATTTTGGTCATGAAGCAAAAGCAACGTTGCGACTTAAACCTGTCCCAATCCTCAATTCTCTGTATCGGACTAACACTGAATTTTTACTGCGCCCTCTAGTGCTCGTTTTCGGCAGTACTACATACTTGAGGTTGCCTTAAGAAAACCTTTAAAATATTAAGAAAATCCTGGCTCTAAAATTCCCCATTGTGAGCTTTATGCAAAAAAACGGTCTTTATGGTTGCACAAGAAGAAGCAAAAATGATGAATTTTGCCAATTTGAATATAAAGCAAAGTTTTGCATAACTGTGATACAAAGTAAACTTGAATATAAGATTAGTAATAGATCAGCAGACTTACAAATGATAGTTATTTTTGAAGGAGCTGGTTTCTTGACTGGCGCTGCTGTTTTGGTTGTGTTTACTGTGTTTACAGCTGCCTGCTTTGGTGTCACAGTGGGAGTTGTAGTGGTTGATACCGCAGCAGGAGTGGACGTGGAGACTGGAGGTTTTCCAGCGGTTGAGGTTGTGACTACTGGGGCAGAATTCACCAGCACAGGCTCAGTTGACGGTATGGGTTTTCCCAGCTTGGTGTGAAGTTTCACCACCTTTTCGTTTCAAAGAAGAGACACAAAGACAGATTCAACCATCTAAGGCAGCTGAAACTTAATCCCGTTCTAAATCCCTGAAGCAGATATTGTTCCAAGACTTGGCAGCTGAGATGAAACATCACATGAGGACACCACTGTCATGTTCAATACTGAAAGAATGTCCAGTCAGCAGCTTCCAAAGCTGCCTATATTCCCTAAATCACAACTAGTACTGAATGATTCGAGGATAACAGCACGGCAGCTGGGCTTACCTTCTGGTGTTTGGCCCCACGGATGTGTGCCGCATAGGCATCCACTCCAGTACAGGAGACGTCGCATAACTCACAGCGTAGCTGAGTCTGGACCCCTCTGGGCCCATTACTGGTCCCTGCTTGGCCCCCAGATTTAAGTGCTGCCTCTTTTTTCTTATGCTTCTGGCCTTCCAGGTGCTCCCTGTATGTCTGATGTATGATAATGAAAAGATTAGAAAGTTTCAAACACAGATTGAGAATATTTTCCCTTTTAATTGATTTTTCTATGAGATGGGCTCAATTTAGATAAGATGTAGATACCACAGGATGACAATGAGCTGAACTTCAGTAACATTTGAGTGGACATAATTATTTTTCCTGTATTCAGAAGTCAGACACATTAATTGTGATCTCTGTCTAGATAGTAAAACAGAAGCTTTCATGTCAACTTGTTTATTAAACACAAGAAACATATTATCCTACCTGGGGGCCTGCACAGCTGATTTTGCAGATGTCACAGTAATGGAGCTGGGGCTGCTTGGGAGGTCCTTTGGGCTTCTGCGGCTTGTTTATGTGAAATGTTGGCTTTTTGTAGGAGTTCACGGACGGAGCAGTCACCATGTTGCTGCCTGAATTGCTCCAGGATGAGCTTGTCAGCTGCTTGGGTGGGGGCTGGATGGGGGGCTGAGGTTGCTGTGGCTGCTGTGGCTGTTGCGGAGGAGGCTGTGGCTGAGTGAGAGTCTGCTGAGCAGACTGGTAATAAGAGGGGGTGGATGTGGAGGTGTAGCCCGTTGAATCATAAGTGGAGTAACTTATGCCTGAGGGTGTGAAAGGAGGAGGAAAAAAGAAGGGAGAGAGAGCTTTAAGAGATAAGAAAAGCAAACAAGATGTGGGTCGAACATGGACAGCCAGCAGTCACGAAGCAATAAGCTTCCCTGAGAGACAGAGAACACTCCAAAAATATCAAAGACACAAAAACATACCCTGGCTTAACGCTTATGAGTTATAAATGTTAGTATACACCTGACTCAGCTACTTGATATGACCTCCTTCATTTTCTCAGCATCCACTGCTCCTTCAATAACAAAATAAAATTCATAATTTGAAACAAATGTCAGTGTAAGGAGCCCAGAGTTACCAGAGATTAGCTAAAATTAAAAAAGCTTATGTGATCGTTTTGAGAGGCAGGTCCTGACCTGGCTTGCATGTTAAAGGTCACCCTGCCAGCTTAAGTAGTTAACCTACTCACCCTAAATTTAGCCTCAACGTCAGCAAGTTCACAGAGAAACTTTTTTTCATTTCACTGTGTCAGTGTCTTGGACCTGTGTTGAACAATATAATAATGTGGGCGAGTAATGTATCAACTACTGTGTGCTTGTACCCACACAGCAAAAAATCAACTTACTGTATATCAATACGTTCTAACATGTTACTGACATATCAACCACGTCTCTCCTCAAAGTTTCACAAATGAATCATTTTGAACACAAAGGTGTTTGATATCCACACGTGGAATTACGACAGAAATCAGTATCACCTTACTGAATCTGAATGAAATAGCCATGTCTGTAGCTCAGCAGATAGGACATAGTCTTTATTGATGTAAAAAGTCATTACGACATTTCCTCTGAATGACAACGTTTCCACACCACCATTTCAAGGATAGATAGGAGGTTTTGCTTCAAACTGTTTCTCTAGCCTTCATGGCCTTGGCAGTTACATGGTACATATTTCCTGGTGCATGAATAAAGTTCAGTCACATGGTGTCTCTTTGCTCACGTTACCTGAGTAGGTGGTGGCAGCAACAGTGGAGCCGAAGGAAGATCCAAGGGTATAAGAAGAAATGGGCGTTGGGGGCTGTTGAACACTAGTGGACACTGGGTAGATGTTGTAGCTGGTTGACACAGCGCTGGAGGGAACCACAGGTTTGAGGGCTGTTACCTGCCTCTGTGGAGGAGGAGGCTGGCTGTACACAGTGGAAGGGGCAGGACTGTACGCACTCTTTACTCCGACTGCAACACAAAATTGTGGGTGGGAGGGCAGTAGGGGTTAAGGGGTGAAGAAAAGAGAGAGAGGAATGGGGAAGGAGAGAAATGAGTAGGAAGCAAAAGAGATCTGTAATGTCCATCAACATCTCCTGGAATCTGTCTGTCTCTGTCTGAAGTCTGGGTACGGAAAAAGGATCCTCATTTCATGAGCCAATGAGCTGCAGAAACCTTCCACATAAGTTATCTTCCCCTTGAAGAATGAAGTAGAATGACACCAATGCTTATTATCCATCTACAGCAAAACTGAAGTCTTTATGTGTTCTATTTTGAAGGCTTAATTTTCACAATATGGCTGTTACTGTCTTGGTCTTAGGAACTTAATGGGCCAGATTTGTTGTTTAGGACGGACATGCATTTTTATTTTTCTAAATGATTAAGAAATGGGGAGCTGGATTATTTTTTCATTTGCTTCCACACAACTGGATTTCTTCAGAACCAGAGCTACCGGTGCAAACCCTGCTGGTCATGGAAGAGATTGCAGCTTTTACTTAGATCTACATGGGGCTTCTCGTCTGAAACCAAGAGGTTACATCCATGACTCACAAACAGTTTTTGGGTCCAAGATTTTGGGTCTCTCAAGCCATTAGCAGCTAAAGTAGATCGGTAAGTATGCTGCCGAAAGTGACATTGGAAGATTATCAAATATTTTAACCCAAAACTGTAACGTGTTCAATCATCAACCCTCTCCTTCAACATTGCGTGATGGCTCAGCCTTAATAATGAAAAAAACTGGATAAAATCACATGGTAACAGTAAGCAGACTCACCTGTCTGGTAGTAATTCTCGGTGGGTGTCCTCTGAGCAGATGCTATACTGGTCTGGTAGTACTGTTTATTGTCATAGGTTGTCACAGCTGCAGGTCGCCCGTAGCTGTAGTTGTCCTGCTGGTATTTACATGAGAACACTCAATCCAGAGTAGCATGTTCCTAACATTACATTGCATTTATTTTGGTAGTTAAAACGGTAAAATCTCTGTAAATCCTGGTGCAGGAACGACATGCATAGCTATCTGCCAAAACGCCCTGGATAAAAATCTTTCTAACGACCAAAATAAAAGTGATTACAAAGCATTCGAACAACCTGACTAACACGCAGAAATCATAAGAGAAGCAGAAAGCAGACTGACCGTGTCCGAGTATACCTGGTACGTCTGTGGGGTGGTGGTGGGCTGTGGGGGTGCTGGAGGGTCAGGCTGCCTATAGGCGTAGTCAGGCGGGGCTTGGTGGCTCTGATAGGCGGGGTAAGGGGCAGTTACTACAGGCCGGGCCGCCTGGACAGGAGCTGGAGAATAGGACGCAGTCACAGCGTGAGCCACAGCTGGAGCCTGCTGGACGCTGTAACTGGCTGTGGAGGGATGGGAGTAGGCTGGGGGCGGCTGAGTACTGACGGAAAAAAGAGAGAGTGAGGAGTTGAGTGAAGCAAGAAGGTTGACTTCAAAACTGCTTTCAGAGGAACTTTATAAAACACATTACAGTTCAGAAAAGTTCAGACTGCTTGAGTGTTTACTTTGGGTTAATGGATCCATGTGGGTTGCAATCATAATAATCAGTTTTGTCAGGGAGGTCATTTAATATACGGCGGCTCACATCTAAAGCAACAGCCTACACTTTGACTCATCTTGTTAAAATTCTTTAGTTTCACACGACTGCATGAACCATACTGGCTACTACTGGCTACGTGAAACCATGTGTGACCATTTGTTTAAAAAAAGATCATCAGACCGTTTTCATTAGCATACAGATAAAAGGGACAACCCCTGCACAGCTCAGCAGGGTTTGTTACTTGGACCGCATCCATTACTGTCAATAATATCAGGAAGTCATGCTCTTTGCATCTTCTTTAGCTTTTAGCAACTTGATGAGCAACATCATGACGGAGCAAAATAAGGCTTTACAGTCATGAATGAATAAAAGGACAGAGTGCTTCAAGAGTATTCGGATTCCTGTTTGATCCTAACATACTGAAAAAAATGCTGTATAAAAAGGATCAGCTATAAAATGTTCTCATGAGGACAAAAGTTGCTTCTCTGCCAAAACTACCCAGAACTTTCAGTATTATGGGATTGTTTAAAAAGGAATGAAGGTTCCTCCGGTCAGTCCTCACCTGTAGCCAGGACTAATACACTCTTGTTAAGCCTCACTATTTTTGTAAAAGGTATGGAGGTATGAAGATGAGACAAAGTCCTTCTGAGGCAGAGCCCACACTGAAGGTGGTTACAGAGAGAAAACCTGAGATTGTGTATACAGTGGAGCCAGTCAGACAAACTAAAGGTGTATGAATGTAGCACTTTATTGTTTGTTTGAAGGTATCCTCTTTTGTTTTTGTAATACTAAGATCTCAGACTACAACTGGGTAATTTGATAATACTGAAGGTGTAACTGTAAGGCAGCAACACAACAACTGCAAGGAAGCATTATAACTTCTTACTCTAACTATTCCCCCTCTCGAACGCCAAGCCGAATGGTGTTGTGGTGAAACGGACAGCAACAACTTTAATCTGAGCATCTTAGGTCCTGTCCCAGTCGCACGGACCTTTTGAGAATCTAATTAAAATCCCCTTTTTCAGACCTTGTTCCCAGCAGTAGATACAACTTAAGTACCTCTGAAAGTCCCTCGTGCCTGGTGAAGTGGCAAAAGCTCCTTCAGTGGAAACTCAGCTCAGCAGATAAAGGAACCAACAAGAGGGGATTTGGAAAAAACCTATTTTAACAAGATCGAAGTCTCTGCATTACCTTTTTTGAGGTTAAATTGTAATGCAAATGTATGTATTTTAATAATCTCTAACTCTGGGCAAGAACCGTCAGGATCTAGAATTTATATAATGCTATGCTGTTACTCATCCTTAATGCTCTTGATATCATGGTAGTCAAGATATTTCACAGAAACAGGAAAAAAAATATCAAATTTGGCTGAACACTATGCTGTCTGCTCTGAGCCATGCTTCCCTACAAATCTGCCCTCAGAATGCGTCATTGATAGATATTCTGAAACTGGATTTTTGAGCTCTGAATGAACAAACACTGTTACTATCTGCTATCTTTGTTGTTTCATGTCAACAAATGTAAAACCTAATAAATACTAAAAAAATTCTGTGCTTCTTCTGACATAAATCCACTCTGAAAGGTAATTTAGTGTACTTGTTTAAATGAATTAAAAATCCATGTCCCTAACGCACATTACTGGCTAAAACAACCATGTATAATACATTGTAATGTGCATGAAATAATAGAAACATACATGCTCACCCAAATATTTACCTTTTATTTATTCTAACTTATGATTATGTTAATATTATTAAAAAACGTCATATTATCAAGTGCAGAAAAAGAGGGTCTGATAGCTGCATTATGTATCAATCTTCCGCCAACGTGCTCTCTCATTTTTTGCATCAGCTGAAAAAGAAATCAATGGCTTATCTGAGAGATTTGCCCCTGCAGCAGTTTCTGACTTGAACATTTATGTGAAAAGACAATTACAGAATCTCTATCAAAAGCTCAAAATTTGTGGACAAATCAATGGCTATGATTAGAGGATCTTTGTTGTTTCAAATTCTCGCTGGTTGAAAACTTAAGGATTTAAGCAACTTAGCAGGTTAGGACAGGAGCTGAGGTGGTTCTACACAACTCCTGAGTCTGCGCCTGTAAAGAAACTGATTTAGAGCAACATGGAGTCACCAAAAACAGTCTCTTGTTGTTGTCATCATAGGGTAATTTTGCAGCAAACCTACTCTGACTGATCTGCTCTAAATTATTTCTCACACATGTACAGAATTTCAAGATAAGCCCTTCATGCTTGATTCTTTGTTAATAACCAGTTTCCACTTTTTTCAAGTCCTGAAATACAGCAACATGAAGGTTATTGACACTAATATGGCCGCAGAATTTCACCCAAATCTTTCATCAAATCAAAAATTTGTAATGCAACAAGCTCAAAGAGAAAAAAATAAACTAATGTGTGGAAAGTGTGCACAAAGATGTAAGCATGAAAAGGAATATATAGAGAGAAATGTGTGGCGCCGAGAAAACTGCCCACTCCTGTTTGTCAGGATTGTTGGCTTGCCAACATAACATAACAAAACAATAGACAATCTTTTAATATCACTAACCGCATCAATGATCATTATATTGATAATAACCAACACCATTCATGCTAATTATGCTCGTGACCTGTCCAAGTAGCAATTATAACCTGTCATACCTGTCATGAATTCCAACCTGTGTAAGATTTTCAATGACAGCCTCATTCCCTGTGCTCACACTAGCATGCAAATCACACTTCTATTATAATATGTAGTTGGTATCGTACATACACATCTGATGCACTGACTGTCAGACCCCAGACCTCAAGCTATATCAGGGCTGCTGGCCAAATTCTCACCCATCACACCAGCCACATATATTCTATAACTGAACGACACTTTCAATGGTCACTGTTTGGTTACGTTGAGGTCACCGTGTCTTCAAACTCTGGACTATTATTTCAGTTTACCACCCGCTTATCACTGCACCAGGGAGACCTAACGTCAATCAGCGTGTCGGCGGAGAGCGTCGGCCTGCGGGCTCCGCTAGCTAACCACAGCTAACACATCGTTAGCTAACTAACAGGCTACGCAGTGAAACCGCTCCGGCGACTATGTCTCCGCCAAAATGCGCCAGCTACTGAAACATGGGACGCAAAAGACACGCTGACATCAACCCTCATCGCACGAATTACCTGTACTGCGGACCGGCACCATGTGTGAAGCCGAAATAGTTGCTTGCAGCCATCTTGGCATCTCCAGCACAGTACAGTACTGGCAGACAGCAGTGACGCTCTGCCGCTGACGGTCAAGATAGTTCACTCCGCTGCCGCAGCCAGTGGAAACAGTCGTCTGCTACACAGGAACTGCATACTGGGGGGGAATTCATCTTACATACATGAGCAGTTCACGACATGCAAACAAAAGCGAGAAGATGTCACTAAAGTGTTATTTGTGGGCCGATTGGGAAAGTTTTCAAGCCTTTACTTTTAAACAACGTTTGGCGCATGCGCATCATGAGATAAACCTCTGGTAAGTGGCGTTTTAAATTTTTTTTGCTTGAGAGACAAATTCCGGCATACATAAAAAAAGCAAAAAGCAACGCCACAGAGTTAGAAAAAAATGAAAAGGCGGAAAGAGACTCTTTACAGTCTACTCCTCAAAAATGGGGATTGAATTATCTCAAAAACAGGGTATGAGCGAATACAGAAGTATATTTAGGGGAGTCCTCTTGGTCCATGTGTGCGACATTTATCTGCGGTTTCTGCTGATTGACGCATGTGTTTGCATCACGTTTGCATTTGATGAAAGATACAAGCAAATGAGAGTGGAATGAGTCAGTAGCTCACAGTAGACAGGTCTTCTGTCACCTTGAAATTTAAGTATTTAAAAAATGTATAATCTTCTGAATAGCTTATGCGGTAAAAACGACCTTGAATATTGGAGACTAAGTCGAAGACTGGCAAAAAAAAATGGTCCAATCCCAAAGGGGATAAAAATGCCAGATAAAAGAATTAACCCGTATTTAATTACAACTGCAGCCTGTAGGATTAGCCCGGCTAACAGGACCTAATTATGCCTGCATTAGGAATATGCAGAGTAATTGTTTGCAGCTGAAAACTGAGCAGGGGTGATATGATTGGTTGGGTACAAGTGAAGTAATGGACTGAATAATTCATGTGTGTGGTGAGAGTTGGGTAGGTAGGAAAGGACTTGAGTGAGGACACAGAGAAGGAGGGGTGAAGCTATGGATGGAAAGAGAAAGAGGCTGTTGCCAGGGAACGGCAGCCACATTGAGGACCACTGAAAACAACAGCAAGAATATCTAATGGAATGAAGGGACCCAGACTAGTGTTTTTTTTTTTAATCCAAAGTTGCTGTAGTGATATATAAGCTGCCTTCACAGAGAGATTTGGAGGATTTTAAATGAAGGATTTGAATTGATGTCTGGGAGCAGAAAGACACCCACAAATGCATTTGGAGCTACAGGCAGAGAAAACAGCAAGATAGAGGGAGATCATGATGCCAGAGCAGATGCGTTCTGATTAAAGGAATTTTGTGTCTTGGTGTTGTGGATGTAGGACCAAAGAGGCGGGCTGTCGGCTCGCTCTTCACGGCCAGTCTTTTTCCAACAAAGGTGGCCAGAGGCAGAGGAGAGGAGAGGGGTCCAGCACAGAGGTGCCCCCTGTCTTCAGACACCTGCTGCTGGCTCATGGCTGACATTGGGGACACTGTATGACTGTGTCTTTGCATGAGCGTGTGCATGTGAATGAGAGGAGAAATTTCAGCCTGACCTCTGCTTTGCTGTGGGTGTGGGGGATCAGAACTTTCTTCTCTTCAACGCTTTGCATCTTTGGCTGAAGAGCAGGACGAAGGACACACAGATACAGACCAGCGAGGGGTTTCAGTGAGATTGCAAACCGCTCATGTGAGTATATTCACTGACATGACATGCATGCATTTTACTCTGCACCCTGCACAGGCAGACACCTTTAACTGACTGCATGCATACTGAAATGTCCACTCACACGAGAAATGCAGCTTTGAATGGATGTGCCATTTCAAGTGACCTAGAAAGGCTGTGAAACCATTTAACGCTGCGTTGTATTTACCTTTTTTTCATGATAAATATCATTTAGTAGAGTGAACAGGTTGACAGATGCACTATAATACACGTTGTTCCAACTCTTGATCACACATTTGGTTGCTTTCTTCTTACCTATTGCAGATTGACAATGCAAAACGTGAATGCTTTCTCCCTTAAGAATGATGCCACATGTACAAACAAGAGTGTTATCTGTTTGTGGGTTTGGCTCCATAAAACAGTCATGTAAAATATGGAAATAATTAATTTTCTTTTGGTGAGGCTTGACTGTTTTCCTACTCATCAGCATATGTTGCTGCCAAAACCACCAAAACCACTCCACTCCCTCTTTTAGTTACAGCACAGACAGCCATGCTTTTCTTGTCTTCTTTTCATCAGGGTTATGAACTGCCAGCAAGAACCTCAGGAATACACTGGATTTGTTTATAATAACAGCCTTTAGTTGCAGTACATTCACATACAACACTGTAATCTTTGAGTACTTCTTGACTTTAGTACTTTACATCTCTGCTTACAAGTAAAACCTACAACACAGACGTGGGCATCCTTAGTCACTGAGACAATGTGGATTTTACATTTGACTAGAGAACTACATAGAAAGCAGGATTTCAGGTCCAATTAAACACTCCTAGTGCTGCTCTCATGCTGTTTAGCAGCCACCAGCGCCTCTTTTTACTGTTGTCTTTTGTGTTGTGATAATGCATGTGTGAGAAACTCCTATAATCTAGAGTGGAGTACATCCTAACAAAAGCATGTCCATTCTTTTTTGATTGGGGTGGCCTGACTGGGGCATTGACATGCAGAGTACATTAAGTACTATATGTGTGAGCACACACAAACAGCCAACCACTGGTTAAATCTAATTTACATACTAGTATTTGGTAAGGTTTTGAGTTTTGCAAAAAACATCACAAACTCAGTCTCTGTGAGGGATCTACAGTCTTCATATAAATATTACCAATTTTATTAGGGCCATTGTCAAAGCAAATCCAGTCTAGTCCAGAACACATGGTGTGTTTTTTTTTTGCAACCAACCAGTTGATGTGTGTAACTCTAACCTTTGACATCTTGGCATAATTCCAGTACCATTGGAAGAAATTTGAGGACTGGGAGAAGGAGGGGTTTTGCATACATGCTTGTGCAAATCATTCCTGCATCCACAAGAGGCATCTAGATCACCTTATAGAGTCCTTTTTCTAAGGTGGGCTACAGAAACAAAGCAGAGTCCATTTTTCTCCCTCATTCTCAGGATTGCCCGGCTTAAGGACAAACATGTTTTTCTTGACACAGGACTCTTTAGTTGTCTAAACCACAAGACAAAATGTAAATCAATATTATAAGTCATGATTAATGGTACTGTCGGTCAAAAATACATTTACCGTCAACTTCCTAGCATCAAATCATTTAAAGCAGTTGTGGTTTTTTGTGTTTTGTTTAATGTGGGTAGCAAATGTTCTTTTATTTAGAGTAACAACAAAAAAGGATTAGATTTAAGTACAAAGAAAGCTACAAGCAGCTTATTGCAACAAAGTCCAGACTTGGTTTTAAGAGAAGTCCTCTTCCGTCTGGGCAATTGGCCAATCATTGGCTAAGTTCAGAGTTGAGGGGTGGCACCAGGGCAGGCGAATCAGATTTCAGGGGGGTCAGTACCACCCCTGGCTGCCCCTCTGGACATGCCCCTGCACCCTAAGGCCCATCTTGGCAGACGACGTGGCAAAGATTCATCAGCAAGTGAATTGCTTTCATTCTATTCAAGCTTAGTGTTTTCTGATATTATAACCAGCTACATAAACATCAGTATGAGAAGAGATCAAACAGGCTGCGGTCAGTCTCAGTGGTAGGATTAGGGAGCAAAGAAAGGGGATTAAATCTGCACGTTTTACTCCTCACTGGCTTCTTGAGTTCCACCCAGGAAGACATAAGAAAATAATATTACACTTGAAAGAAATTGGAGTTCAGAGAGTGGGATCTGTCCAAGTCAGTCACATGCCTCTCACATGTGCTTCACCGGGCGAGGGGATAAAAACCATGTGATCAGCAGCCCCCAAATTGTCTTGAACATTATTTGTATAAACACTTTGTTTCTTACAATGTCGATACCTGTGTCTTTACTGTTGCCATGGATCTGATTGTCTAGTAAGTACACCGATGTTGTGAGACAGTTTTCGTTTTCTTCTGTTTTATGTGTCTGCTAAAATCTTTCCTGTTACCTCCAGGCCCTGGCTCTCCTCTCTGAGGGATGGGCACCACAGAGGCAACACTGCGAATGGAGAACATGGAAGTGAAAGACGAGTGGCAGGATGAGGACTTCCCCAGGTGAGGGAAACCCCTTTACTTCTCAATAATCATCATGATTTAAATCTTTCTTTTGGTTTGAGTTCAATATTTAATAACTATGATTTGGCTGAGGGAAAGATGCATCTTCAAAGCACATTTAAAGCTCTGTGTTGTGCCTGCAGCATGTTCTTGTGTTTGTGCGTGTTAATGAATATGCAGCAGATTTGAGTTCATGCATAAATACCCCATATCAAAGATGAACTTGGATTTTTGCTTCAAGGACAGGATATTTTGGGTAAAATGGGAAACTTCACTATTGATGTTACTTAGAGTTTATAGATTTACTCTCTTTTATTTTCTAAAGATTTACTTATTTTTTATAATAGTTTCATAGGCGGAGGTTTTCTTTTCTATGTCTGACGGGTTTACCAGTTGTCTAATACAAATAAAACTAATTCTTTGGATGTGAAATGATTGAAACACAGAGGGACACTCTGGATTGACACCGCTGATTAAGAATTTGTCAAAGAGGGATGAATCATAAAAAGGAAGATAGATGCAGAAGCATGGATCATCAGTGATTGAGATGCAGAGGTTGATGGGCAGAAAAAGAGCAAACAGGGGACAATACTCCCCCTCCTCCTCCTCCTCCTCCCTCCTTCTTCCCCTCCTCCGTCAGATTGGGAGGCAGGAAGCCAGGGAGCAGGTGCAGCTCTGTCTGTAAATGGTCTCAGGCTACGTCACGTGACGCTATAGCAGTCGCTGATCAACAACAGAGCATCGCCAGGAAAATGGAGGCAGGTTTTGGTTAAAGACAGACAGAGACGCAGCAAATGTATTATCAGGGTAGCCTGTGAGAGATGCTCTGCTCTGGGTGCTGCGTTTTCATCTAATAGGACAGGGAATGATTAAGCAAACAGAGTTTAAAGGTGTGAGAGGCTAAAAAGCTCATCTGAGTCATCTCTGTGCTATTTCCTGAAGGTAAGCATCATTATTTCATACTGATATTGATGTTTGTAGCTGAAGGACAATGAAGCCCTGACTAGAACAAGAGAGGTTATCGTGCTGTTGTTAAAAGAAAGAATTAATCCATTAATCTGTGACACTTTTATAAAGGGGGTTCAATTCTAACAATAGGAAGCAAACACTGCAGGGGTCCCTAGGGGACCACGGCGGGTGTTGTTGGCACACACACTGCTACACACTGCACTGTCCTCTTCAAGATGGGAGTTGGCTTTCTCACTGAAGCAGCCAAGATGAGCACAGAGGCTGTGTCGCACCAACAAAGATGGTGTAAAACTTGTTTACCTTGGCTGCTCCCAGTGTTGTAGCTAATATGCAAAAAGCTCAGGCACATGGAAGCACATCTAATGTGAGGATGTGTGCATGGTTGTGTTTTCTGAACAGTAAACACAGTCTATCCTACACAGAGGCACACACAAACAGATTTTGACCTCCCACTCCTTCTTATGTGCAAGGAGGGTGTGAGCAGTAAATAGCAGGCAGCGTGTTAAGAGAGCTGCACCACTGTGTCAGTATGCAGATGCTCACTTCTGTCTCTGTCTCAAATTGCCCCTCTCCTCTCCTCTCATTTCCCCTCCCCTCCTGTTATGTCCACTCTTTCGCCTCCTCTCACCCCCTGCCTGGCAGCCCTGTAATCTTCATCTCTCCCCTGAGAGAGGTTAATTACCATCTCCATCCTCCTCTGCATGCTCCACTTTTTAGCACTTAGCCAGATCAGTGACAACACCCACACTTTGACCGCCTCATTGAACAACATCCTAATCACAATGTTATCAATAGGCCATCATTATGGACTTATTATCTGGAGTATTTGCAGATACTGAAACTGCTAAAATTTAAAATTTTATTCACAGATGACACAAATCTATATTATAATAAGTATGCAGAAGAATGCATCCATCCACATATTATCTATACTGCTTATCCAAGGTTGCAGGGGGCCAGAGGCTGTCATTGGTGAGACAAAGGATACACTCTGTGCAGTACAGGTCTATCACAGGGCTAAGAAATGTTGATTGTTTACTTTTTCATTTTCTGTTTGTGTAAATCTCAAACCTAGAAATGAAAGTGTTGCCCATAAATACATGTTATATCACAGTATTTGAAAAGTTGGTGTTTATCAGTATGGACTGAACCATGTTGTTTGTGTGTGTGGGTGGGATGGGGTGCAAATAAAGACTTAAATAAACTACTGCAACAATAAATTCTAATACTTCTACTAAAGATGCAACAAAATAGATGTTATTGTTCTGAATCTGAGGATGCTTTCTTTTAATATCTAGTAATATTTTACACAGCTAGATCATTATCATAAGACATAAATGTAGTATAAACACGAGTCACTTCCCTGTTTTTGTTTACCACTAGACCGCTTCCTGAGTACGGCGACATGGATCCCTCTTGTGGTCTCACAGACGACAGGGCCCGTAAGTAAAACTGTAGGATAAAGGGTTCTATATTGATTAGACCACAATATCATCATCTCATGACTTGAGTTACGTTTCCTCAACTGTTTTTCTCCTCCTGATCTGCTGCTGCAGCCCCTCCTAACACGCTGACTGTGAGCCCACCAGGAGGAGGTGAAGGCATGTCTTCCCACAGAAAACGTCGCACGCTGATTGCCCCGGAGATGAACCTCTCATTGGACCAGAGTGAGGGCTCTTTGCTGTCAGATGACTTCCTGGATACCCCAGATGACCTGGACATAAATGTTGATGATATTGATACACCTGATGAGACAGATTCTCTGGAGTTTATCACTAATGGCAATGAGCTGGAGTGGGAAGGTGAGCTTTGAAAATGCCCCTGTATGATCGCTGATTGTCCACTATTTTAACCCCTTTTATTTTGCTCTCATTAAGCCATAACACTGACCTTTATCTGTCTAAATAAGCTATAACATTATATTTCCCTTCATCAGAATCTTGTTTGTAATTGACAAAAATCTCAATGTCACATATTTTGGTGGCCTAATCTGTCTCTTTATCTGTCCAGATGACACACCTGTAGCCTCGGCCAAAGCAGGACCAGGGGTCAGTTCAGGACAAGCAGATGAAGACGGTAATGCCAACAGTGGACGTCTGTGGAGGACGGTGATCATTGGAGAGCAGGAGCATCGTATTGATATGCAGGTCATCAGACCGTACCTGCGGGTCATCACACACGGGGGTCAGTCAATTTGATAACTCATGAGTTGACAAAACAAACAGTTTACCACTAACACAACAACATATACAACTTATATTTACATGGGTATTACAAAGTGAGATCTATTTTCCTCTGAATGAAGCTGTAAAAGCTTTCCTCCTCTCCTGTTGTGGCAGTATGTAGTGTGAAACATTATTTACCACTGAAATTCTCCCCTATCAGGTTACTATGGCGAGGGCCTCAACGCCATTATTGTTTTCTCTGCGTGTTACCTTCCGGACAGCAGCTGTTCAGACTACCACTACATCATGGAGAACCTCTTTCTGTGAGTCAGCCCGGGATGACTCTTGGTTTACAAGGACAAGATTTGATTCTGATCAGGAATCAGCCAACTATGATAAAATTTTTCATAATAGTTTTATGCTAACATGTTATCATGAACCAAAGACAAGTCTGGGTCATGTTGTTTTGGCTCTTTTTATGTGCCAATAGCTCTGTCTGTTGTCTCATTATCCTCACGACTCCTCACTCTTTTATTCAGATACGTGGTGAGCAGTCTGGAGATGCTGGTGGCTGAAGATTACCTGATCATCTACATGAACGGAGGCACACCCAGGAATAAGATGCCCGGGATCAGCTGGCTGAAGAAATGTTACCAAATGATTGACAGAAGGTGGGTAATAAGAAACTGAGTAGAAGCCACTGCAACATTTTGATTATTTTTACATGAGTTAGACCCACAGTATCACTGAGTGCAGACTTCATCTACTGCAAGAATCTGTGGATTTTTTTTTAAACCTTTAACCTTTACCTCACTGTTTATTCAAAATACAGCTTTCTAACCTGTGAACACTTACCAAACTGTGGATGTGCTCATTATTTGTATTTATCCACAGGTTAAGAAAGAACCTGAAGTCTTTGGTCATTGCTCATCCCACCTGGTTCATTCGTACTGTCCTGGCTATATCAAGACCATTCATTAGGTAAGACCAAAAAACATTTTTGAATCAATCGCTCAAATGTTCACGTGTTTAGACTGAAATAGCATCAATAACTTGGCAGCTTGTTTCAAACAATGAAAACTGGGTAACGCTTTATATGAACCCACCTCTTATAATGCAGCATAACCACATTTATAAAGCCTTAGACACGTATCGACAAGGTTTTATAGCTCATAGCATTACACACATTAAAAATAATACTTATAAAGGTATAATTTAAAATGCATTCTTAAAATTATTGTAAAAAGAACTGTGTGCTACATGTGTTATTAAAAAAGCTGTAATTTGTATCATTTCCAAGTTGGAAAATGTCTTATAATACTCGCAACATGCTAAGACATGTAATACTGTTTTTATTCCTCAGTTGTGAGTTTGATCTAAACTGGCTCCAAAATTTAAATGGTTTGTCCAAACTAACTTCACCTTTCCAGTGATTTTTATAACATCAGATTTTTTTTGGTTGTATTTCTTTCAAACTGACAATTTCTGACAATGTAACACAACGCCTGTGTTCAAATATTTGTTTGGCACAAAAATTTATGAACTAGTAAGATCCAAGTCATTGTATCCTCAGTCTTTCCTCTATGAAACAACAAGGGTTTAGTTCAGAGATGCTACCTTGTATATGAAACACGATAGTCGTATAATACTGTATATATCACTGTGACATCTGTGACTTGCAGACTGTTACAGTGGTTGTGTTGTTGTTGCCCTGTCACTTTCTGCAGTGTGAAGTTCATGAATAAGATCCAGTATGTCCACAGCCTGGATGAACTAGCAGAGATCGTCCCCATGGAGCATGTCCATGTTCCTGAGAGTGTGGTGCAGTAAGTACATTTGACCAGTAGAGGGAGGAAAAGAGCGGCAGCTGTGATGATGTAGGGCTGTTCATATATATCTGTAGCACAAAAAGTCTTGTGTGGCATTTAATGTGTTTGAGTGAAAGACTTCTTTAAAATGACTTGAGTTAGAGAATAAAGTGAAGCTTTAACAGTGTAACTCATTTTCAGATTTGACGAGGAGAGGATTAAAGCACGGAGGGAAAGGTAAAACATGTCAGCCATGTCTTGTCTAAATTAGATGAAGCATCAAAACTAAATAAATTTGCTTCTGAATGCTTTTAATCTATGCCCATTTTAACTCTGTGCACCTGCATCCCTGTTTTGTGTGAATATGAAGGATGGAGCAGGAGAGCAGACAGCAGGAGCAGCAGTCAGTCCCACAGGAACCAATGAAAAAGTCAGAGAGGTACAAGATCCCGCAAGATTTTGCTTTATGATAAAAACTAGTTTAGAAACCCATCTTTTTAAAAACACATTAAACACTTTAGTCGAGACAAGTTTTCGATAAACATTTTTCTTCCTTTTTTAGGCCAAAGTCAACGATCGTAGAATGAGGAAAGACAAAAAGACCGACTCTTCAAGTGATGGTAATTTAAACCAGTTTAATATTTCTTCTTGAGTGTCCTTTTGAGTGTTTCTTTTGTTTTAATCACCACTGAGCCTTAACATTGTCACAGAGACAGATTAATATTGATAAACTGCAGACTACAAGATTTTTACTAATGATTTCAGTGCACTTAATGGAAGAAAGTTTTTAATTAAAGTTAGTTTTACTTAAAGAAGCATCCCAATCAGCAAAATATTTATGTTTTTACACAGTTTTAGGAAACACTCAAATGCATTTTTTGGGTTCACTGCAGGCTGGAATTCAATAGTTACCTTGCCTTGTTGCATTTGCATGAGCATTGAGATCTCTAAAGAACAAGTATTCACAAGTGCATTGTTGTTCGAAGAGCAGCCAGAGTGCTCAAGGAGAGAGGGATTTATATGCAATGGGGGGTTGGGGGTGTAAAGGGTTTTATGTGTTGTCTTTTCAAACATTCATTTAAATCCTGGTTCACATTCATCAAGTTGACAATCCTCTATTGTCAGGGAAATGATTTTCTAACTTTAGACTCGCTTTCCTCTTCTGCTCTTTTCTTTGATGTGTTGCTTTTCTGACTTGAGTATGCAAGAATCTAGTTAGCTTCACTGCAGGACTGATTTTAGCAACAAATCGAGAGAATTTGTAAGAGTTATTTAAGGAGGTATGTGATGGTTTACTCTGAATGAGTCTGATTGGACCTGGGATGGAGACACAGAGGAGGAAAAAGTGTGAAAGTAGTTAACTGGTGTAACTCAGAGGTGACTCCAGCAGGCTTGAAGGACTGAGGCTGGTTTGTTTGGTCTGGGGCTGAAGCTGACAGGAGGGGGCATTTGAAAGAGCAGAGGGTTCATCCACTGGTTATATAATAACATATTGTTCAGTATCTCACAAAACAGGCTGGGCTACCACAGGGGAACCAAAGAGGTGCATTACCTGCTGCTGCTGCTGATTGGGGCTCGATGGGCTGCAGCTGTGTTGAGAGGCCTCAGAGCAGGAAAAGCAAACTTCCAGCCTCTGAAAGAATAAGACCAAGAAACACAAAAACACACAGCCGGTCCATAACCAATCCCAAACTAACAACAATTAACACTTAACCACAAAATTAAACACTGCAGGTCTACCAAAACTGGTAAAGCTGACTGAAAATGCATTATCCTGTCATGAGGGAGACCTGTGACAAGGGCATTATTCTCCCTATTGAATACACAGCACCTATAAGAGAATGAGTCATGCCACTCCTCAGAGCCAGGGTTATTATGACGTACACACTCTAGGAGCTGGTTGAAGCCAGCTCTCAGAGGGATATTTACAGTAGCCTGCTGTAACTGACAAGCTGAAAATTTCTTTGATAAAGGTCATGCGACTCAAACAATGTTATGGCACACAGAGAAGTCATATGAGCGACATGGAAAAACAAAACAAAACACTTAGACCAGAACCATGACCTTAGTGAAAGAGAACTGGACCAGGACTCAGTCTAACCTGGCATATTTCCAATTTAACATTTACACAAGACCATACAGGTTTTGACTCCAGCATATATTCTGTTTCACAGGCAGAGACAAAATTAAACTGACATATTTCTTATTATGAGTTTTAACTGATCTTCATAATATCCGAAAACATTTAATTCTTTTTGCACTGTCTGTTATGAATGAACATATTCTCATGACACATGAAAACTGTGTTACACCACATCACCACATCGCATCAAAATGACTTTTTGTCTTGTCATTTTCAGATCAAGATGGTGACAGCTCCTCCCTTCTGTCCTCCATAGACTTTCACATCCCAGCTCAAATGTGTTAAAGGAAGTTGTTGCTCTGTCACCTTAGAAGCTGTTGATGTCTTTGTCAGTTTGTTAACATACATTTGAAATTAGCAAAGGTATATTAGGTTTGGGCCTGGCATTTGTGGCATGTACATATGTATAAATGATTTAACATTTTGTGAGACTAGAGGCATCTAACAACAACATCACAGTGTTACTGATGCTGAGCTTTTGTCAAGTGTGTGACTGCCAAACTAAGCTGGTCACACATATTTCCTTTATGTGCAAGGGTAATGTGTAAATACTGATGGTTTTGCGATGCTTTGGATGCCTTCATCTTTATTTATGTGCCATACCTGCTGTGTAACATGGCCTTCTCAAGCTCTCTCTTCTGCTGTACTACATTTTAAAGATCTCCTAACACTAACGTCTGTACTGTTTGTACTTTGAGTTATGATGTGCCTCTGTCGTCTTATGCTTAAAAGATGGATTTTTTTTTGCCTGGAGTAGAAATGAGAAAATTGCATAACAGGACTTTCTTTCACATTTTTTCCCACAAACATCATTATGCATTGTTGATTGTGCATTACCTTAGGTTACATTTACTCTCTCTGATGTCTTCCATCAGTTGTAGCAGGAGGACAGAGGGATACGTGGGTACAAGTAAGGTATTTTTATTTTTGTAAAGAAATGTATAACTGTAGGCTATAGCCTGCCTGCCTCATTTTGCACTATTGAATGGTTTTGGCAGATTATGTGATTGTGTTAAGGGGTAAAATTGTCCTCCTGAAAACCATTTGCCATTTGTTTTTAAGATAGATGACTGATATTAGGCAGTACTGTAGCTGTTACCATGGGATGATAATGCCTATGCTTCTTTTGTACAGAAATAGGATTCATGTCATTTCTGTTGCTAAAGTGCCAACTCGGTTTAGTGTTTGTCTTTTTTTTCTGCCTTGCTGGTGCAGGAATGTCAAAAAACCTTCAGCTTTTAAGACCCATTTAGTCCTGTGTTCAACAACAAACCAAACTTTAGCAGTTCAGTCCTTCAATTTTATCCTCAAATGCAACATTTTATGCAGCTCTTCATTCTTTGGGAACATTTCTTTGAGATTTGTTAGCTGCACTGAGTGCCTATTATCAAACTAAATGTTGAAGAGAAATCCAGAAAATGTGAAGGAATGCAATTCATTGCTTCTTTGTTTTGGTTAAAGGGGTTTGTAACAGTCACACAAAAGCAAGGTTTGCATAGAAGTCACTGATCTGCTCTTGGTCATTTAACCAGATAAGCACAACATTTATAGTATAACAAATAGTCTGCCTTCCATTTGTCTGCTGTTCAGTGTTTGCTCCGATCAAGATGGGATGGATGATGTAACATTCATGGATCTTTGAATTTATATGATTGTTTGTCCTTGTAGAAATGATTGATTAAACTGTTCCTCCAAAATAATGTTTGTTTTTTTCATGAATGAACTTAAAGAGGCCTCCAAATCTGCTTTTTTTTTTTTTTTTTTTGAGTGCATATGCCTATTTTCTGATCACACATTATAAAGCAAAGGTGCTGTTTTAATTATTTGACCATTGATGCCACATGTTTGTTCATAAGCCTGTCAGGGTTGGTTTGAAATTACATCCAGCTACTTCATATGAACAGGACCAACAGTAGCAAGTTAGACCTTTTGTTAATCTCTCTTAGTTTATGGTTTATGTTTCTTAATTCTGGGCTCACCTGCAGAGATATTGGCCTGAGACCCCCTACTATCTGCAAAAAATGGTAACTAAGAATAGTTTCTGTCTCGAACGGGGGGGGGGGGGGGGGGTTCCTGTGACGTCCACTGAGCCACAAGGTGATCACATGAGTTACCCTTTATGTTATGCCAGCTCTCTTTACACACGTATAAAGACAGAGAGGGACTGCAGTGGTTGACCTCTGACCCCAGAGGGCTAAGACAGGATTCACATTGCAATTGGACACATACACACAAATAGACGTGTCAGTCTCTCTTAAATGCAGAAATGTACCATTACAACAGAAAAATGTGGTATTATTTTAAAATGTTACAGATTAATCAAGGTAAATTACTTGTGACTCATAGTGTGAATTTTTATAAAATAAAAATATTTTAAAATACATTTTTTAATGTAATATAATTAAATATAACACAACTAGTAACACTTCCTTAAACACTTGAAAATCTGCACATTGCTTGGACTTAAACCTAAACATGACGTCCATCTTAGCCAAACTGTTACCCTTGAAATTAAGGCTTTGTCTTAGTGGCTTAATGTCCTGACACTTCTGATCAACACATTAAAGTTTATCTTAAATTAGAGCTCTATAAAGTGAGCTTATCACATGAAGTTTAGAAAGTGTCAACTAAGAAGATATAAAAATTATGGATAAAAAAAGATATTTCACAGCACAACTAAACAATTTACTACCAACCAGGTTGCGTATTTGAGTAAATTATAAGTTTAAATTTAGATTACTGAAGGTGACTTTACAGTGTGTTGATATTTTGTGTTAAAAACAGGTGGCAGATTTACAACCACGCACAACCTGTAGGAATCAACAATGGGACAAAAAGAGTGACTTTTACTCAAAGATATTTTTATTAGTTTTATATAGTATATACGAAGGAAACACAATACAATCACCCCCTTTCCCTCAAAATCCTGTCCACTGCTGGATATCCCTATTACTGTACTTAAATTACAATTTTTGGGGCTTAAACAAAAATAATAATAAAAATTAAATAAATGAATAAATAAAAGTAATTGCTGGTATTCAGGTTTTGTAGATCTTGAAATATGTAAGATGTGGAGGAATAAAAAGTAAAAAGAAAATAAGTTAAATGAACTACTGTACGTGAACATTCACAGCAGTAACCTGTACCTAATCTAAGAACACTAAAAACTATCTTTGCCCTGTTACAGTAGTATTGTTTCACTGGTTTTCTACATTATAATTAAGGATGTTGCTTACTGCTTTACACGGGTGTTTGATACTCGTGACATCAGATGTGATTAGAAAACACACTCTATGCTGATATTAAAGTCCTATTTTGGGAAATATACATACAGTGTGTTGGTTTACTGGTAAACGCGAGTACAGGACGGAATTAGCTTTTAATCTCATGATCTCTAGGACTGCATCAGTGGTAGTTTTCCACAGTCAGCCTGGTAATCAGGTGTGTGGACAGCTGATGAAACAGTACGAGATGCTGGTCATCCACCGCTGTGATGGACAGCGACAGATGCTGTCTTATATGTTAATATGTGAAAGTTCGAGGGCTCTGATTGGCTGGTTGCAGGCATTCTAAGGAAACCGATTGGCTGCTTGAAGAAGGCACGTAGCAGGCGTGGCAAGGGGCATGAGCACGTCCCATCACGAGAGCGCTGTATGCCTGCTTGTGACGTAATAGGATGCAAGTTGGATATAAATTGGTGTGCCTCGCGCGCAGATAGTGAATGGAGACGAAGAGAGAAACGTGACCACAAAACAACTTTGATTTTCGGATTTTCTCAAACGCTTTATTGTCTGGAAATCTACCTTTGAGTTTAGTTTGAGGTACACTCCACCAGTTCTTCAACTGTCGCTGAGCAGGACTCATCCAAAGCGGATAAAAGATGAAATACATCATAGGAATTGGCGGGTAAGTTTTTCTGTTCAATTGAAAACATTAATATTTGGATTTAGTACTAAATGAAGTTGCCATTTACAGAATTTAAAGGTTGTCTTTGCCTAAATAGCAGATGAATTGTGTACATGTATGCAGTCAGTGTTAGTGTGCTGTGTCGAATCATCTGTGTTCCTATCAAAATGGACCGGAAACAACACTATTAATTGTAGTAACTAAAAAATTATTTGTAATTTACACTTAATCTAGTCTGTCTTTTTGGCGGCCACATGTTTTATCAGCTGCCCGCCAGAACTCCTTAACACAGCCGGACTGTTAAACCGGTTTAAAGTCACATCCGCTGTGTGTGTGTGTGTGTGTGTGTGTGTGTGTGTGTGTGTGTGTGTGTGTGTGTGTGTGTGTGTGTGTGTGTGTGTGTGTGTGTGTGTGTGGTTTGTTGTCATAAATCGAGCGGGACATTTGAAAATTCACCGCGAGATTCGAGCTCAAAAGTGGAGGGAGATCTAACACAAGTACAACCCAAATAAAACAATTCAACATTTTAACCAAGAGCTTGTATCTAAACATTTTTATCAGAAAATCTCACAACTTGATAGAAGTAGTTTGCATTAAAACAGAGCAAAGCGTTTTCCACTTAGTACTTCCGACAGCTTTGGCGGTTCAACTTGTAAACACACAACATACATACTTTTTTACATCACATTTCAGTGTGTTTCAGGCAATTATTACTTTTTGTGTGTCTCTAAAAAACACAATTAAGGGCACAGCACCACATTGCCCACTAATTAACCTATAACCCTTTGTAACATAAAATCCCATTCTGTTTCCTTGACAGTGTCACCAATGGTGGCAAAACCACCCTGACGAATAAATTGATCAAGACTTTGCCCAACTGCTGTGTTGTGCACCAAGATGACTTTTTCAAGGTGAGTGTCAGACAGTTGAAAATAGGTTTATTTATTTAAATGTTGTTACTTCCTCATTTTTGAGCACTGAATGGCTATTGCATTGCATGTAAGCAAAATAGCTGTGTATCCTCTCTTTTTAGTTCTCTGTGTAGCTAATATGTAAATCACCTTTCAGTCTGTATAGCATAGTTTCTGTTGTCTTCTACTGCTTAAATTTTTATCTTCTTCTGTGTTATGCTCTGTATTAACTTTGTTCACTGTATGAACTGCTGTAGCTTATTGACACATTTTTAAATGATGAGCAAGCTTCTATTCAATCTTAGCTTTAAGTGCTTTCCTTTTTTTTCTCACTTTCATTGAAGCTGCGTAGCTACTTAAATGTGCATGCTCTTTTTTTCTTTGTATTTCCCTCTGTCCTCTGTGTGCACTGCTTTGGTCGGGTTACTCTGGCATGTGAGTGGGGACTGCAAGTGTTCAGAAGCTGTGAGGTTGCAGCAATATTTTATTGGTGACTGTTATTTCAGAAACCTGATCAGATAGAAGTTGGGGAGGACGGCTTTAAACAATGGGATGGTAAGACTTCACTGAAGACTGCCAATGACTCATGGTTTTCTTTGCACTGTCATAGACCCACACCTGCGAACCTAGGATACGTTATAAACATTTCACATACGCACCATTCAATGATAAATCAAGCAGACAATGACCTCCAGTAAGCTGGAGCAAACGACAAAACACAATTTCAAATTTTCATACTCTTATCTGTATCCACTCTAATTAACTTTCTCCCCTCTATTATATTCCTCTCTATTCTTCTTCTTTTTATAGTGATCACATCTTTGGACATGGAGGCCATGACCAACACAGTAAAAGGCTGGGTTGAGAATCCAGTGAAGTTCGCCCGCTCCCACGGAGTCAGCCTGTCTCCCCCATCTGATGAGTCAAACCCTGACGAGCAGATCCACATCCTCATCGTGGAGGGCTTCCTGCTTTACAACTACGAGTGAGTTGATTATCATTCATCTGTTTGACTTTCAGTTTCTCGGTCACACAAGGCTGTTTAAAACATATTACATGGGAATTTTTGTGTATCAGCAGTTTGCTGTATTTATCCTGTGGGTTCTTGAACTCCCTGGATCTTCTTGATAACATAGAACCATCAGTTTAGTAAATTGGACCACTTGTTCCAGAAATTCCTAGAAATTCATGACGACACACGTGGCTCACATGTGTTGTATTTACTATGGCACGTGCCACTCCACATGCTTACTGCTGGAGCACATAACCAGGCGAGTCTTGCAGATAGAGATAAGAGCTTCAGCAGAGAGAGGCTCTCTGAGTGGTCCTCAAAGCTGGCCTAGGTGATGAGAACACGGTGTATTAGGAATGTATGTCAGGCGCGCTGCAGAGTTAGAGATAAGGGTCAGAGTGAGCAGCTGCATGACTCTGCTTCTTTACTTTTTGTACATACTGACCTTGTTCATCTTCTTCTGCCTCTAGGCCTCTTTTGGGTGTGTTCAACAAGAGCTATTACATAACGATACCCTACGAAGAGTGCAAGTTGAGGAGGAGGTAAGAGAAAAGTGTCGCACAGACATTTTATCAGTCCAGTCATAGTCCCTTCTAAATGACATGACTGCAGTTTGGTTTCATTGATAGATTCCATTTTCACACAGTGTGTTTCCTCTTCCAGTACAAGACAGTACACTGTCCCTGACCCCCCTGGCCTGTTTGATGGTCACGTTTGGCCGATGTACCTGAAACACAGGAAAGCAATGGAGGAGTGCGGTTTGAATATCGGTATGTCACACCTGACAGACTTTTGACAAAGATTCTTTTGAGAATATTTCTGACACTACTCTGGAGATGTCTGTGTCCTACACTTTTAAAGATGGGTTTCAAAGATTTATGTAATTCTTTTGGTCACAGAGTACCTTGATGGTGTGAAGTCCAAAGAGGAGATCTACAACCAAGTGTATGAAGACATTCAGAACAACCTGCTCAATCGTTTATAGGTAAAAAACAAACAGGTCTTAAGTGAATCATTAGAACATAGGATATTCAGAGATGTGTATAATGATCTTGATATGGACAACCCCATTAAACTTTCTTTTCTTTTCTTTTTGCAGCAGGAAGACTCCTCTCCAACCCTGTACAGATTTTGTAAATAGAGAACCAAGGATCCCTTTTTTATGACCTGTTTTCTAATTTTATTCTTTGTTTGTAAATGGAACGCAGCAGCTTTAATTTATAATTGTTTAATCATCTTCAGATGATCAATAGTGTTTTTTTCTTTTTTCTTTTATAGAAGTGATTGTTGAAAAGATCATTTGTATGTCACCTGTATATTAAACTGCTACCTTGTATTGGATCACTTGTTGCAGTCTCCTGTGAATAAATGCAGTAGTTGCTGTTTATATGCAGTAAATCAAGAATCTGGGCCTTTTCTGTGTCAACATATTTACATTTCATTCAACCTACTGGATTTCCACTAAATGTCCAATAGTGCCTTTGTATGAAAAGTCCTGATTTTTACACTTTCATGAATTCATAATATCTCAAACTAATCTCCTTAAACTGAAAGCTTTGGGGGGAAATGTTCTGTACCAGTGAAACCTCTGTACTTGCCTCATAGTTCTACATACAGTCTCAGTTACAGTTATAGAGGCTGTAAACTTTGATGTAGAGCCAGTGATTGTCAGATATTTTGGTCACTTAAGATCTGGGCCCCTGTAAACTTCAAGCCCCTCATTTTCACCTGGACCTTCATATTAAAATTAAGCTGAACATTTCAGGGTTGTCAGGAAACATGTCACTAAGACAACAAACAATCCATTGGGGTCCCATGCAGGTGAAGCTAATTTTGTATGCATCTATTTTTGAATCAAGAGAGACCTACTTCATCCTCTGTTGGGTATTTTTTTAGCATTCAAACTCTTAAATAGCTGCCCTCACTTGCCTCTAGTGGATGTCTGAGTAGGTCAAAGCCTAACCGCATGATTTAGGTTATTAGCACAAGATTTACAGCACATGAAGCCAGAGCATGTGCTCGTATCATTTTACACTTATAAATAGACCAGGCTTATTTCTAATTTCCCTTTGAGGAATACCTTATACACTGTTATACACTGATAAGCCTAAAAAGAGAGGGGGCTTGCAGGTGTGTGCATTAGGCTCTGTATTTTTAATCTTGAATTAGAGGAACAAGGACAACTTCAAAAAATGTACTCCAGCTCAGTCATTTACGTGTACAAATATATAGTTGAGGATAAATAAGAAAGCTTTGTTTGACCTGTGAGTGCCCCAACCATCAAATGGCTCATGACAGCAGCAGAATGTACACATCTGTTGTGTGGATACCTTGGGCACACACACATAGAGACAGACAAGGTGACTGTCGTGACGCCCTAACAAGAGACGTGCTTGCTGTGAACAACACTTGCCTGGACTCTGAGTCCTGTAACGACAACAACAGGAGAGGTGGCTGTGAAAGCACGCACGTACATAAGTGGATGTATTCACTAGGACTCTCATGAACCTGAAAATAAACTACAGAGGGAAAAAAAATGCTTTGGCTCATTTGTGGAAACAGTCAGACAGTGTGTGGTTAGCAAATGTCAACCCATACACTCCTGAACTGTGTGAAACAGTAGCCTCTTTAAGCAGTTTTACAGAGAAAACAAATCCAGTCTAGACGTTTTCCTGGACAAACCTGACCTCATTATTCACAGCTCGGTTGAACCATGTGAGGGCAACATGTCCATCAGCAGTCTGGGCCTGAGTGAAGGCACGTATATCACTTCACGATTGTTACACTGAGGGTGTGGGCTATTTCATTTTTTTTGTTTTGTTTTGTTTTTATTGGAGTGTTTGTATAGGGTGCAAAACTTCACTATGTACCTTTGTGCAGGCACGTTCTGGCTTTAATATCTCCAAAATGCCTTTTTTTAAAATAGAGAGCTACAATGTCTGACTGTCATCCCATTAAACAACATACTAGAGACAGCGCTGATGAACCATGATTGAAAGTGGGTCATTAGTCAACAGTTTATAGCTTCTCTGCCCTTTTGTTATCTCTACCCTCAATGTTCAACACAGGACACTAAGGTTTACTACCTGCATGGAAGAATTCTCACTGTGTTGCCACACACACACTCAAGTTCATAACTCACATGTTCACATTCAGATCCAGTTTTGAGGCTCAGATAAGTGCACGTACTCATGTCCTGTTCTTAAGTATAGTTCTCAGATACTTGGGGTTACTGGACTTCACTTTATGTCAAGTGGAAGTATATTTGTCTTATACCGCTTTAAAAGTTATTTGCAGACATATTTTTTTCCTTCAAACCAAAACATGGTTTATTTTTACATTTTCTTCAGTGTTTCAAGATTGACTATAATTAAACATACTGTTCAGTGACACATGGTTTCCCTGCTCCCTGGGACATTGTGCCAAAGGTCTTGAACAGACTGTTCAAGATTGTGATCTGCGTTTCATTCTCTTTTTTCTTTTTTACACAAATATCCTTGCTCCTTTCTGTAAAAGTTATACAACCAGGCCTCAAGTACAATCCGGCCTCATTAACCTCACAGCACTTCTAGGTGAAACCAAAGCCTGTGCCCATTGATGGCATCAGATAACACATGTTGGAAGAGAGTCCTGGCGTTTTCAATCATGTTTGTCAACAAGTTACAGTTGACAGAGTGTCACTGACACAGATATCTTAAAATGTCTACACAGTCAGGGGACACCTAGTATGTAGGAGGAATGGCAGTCATCCAGTTGCAGCGGGTCTGTGCAGACTAGACCCAGACCGCATATAATGTCCCACCACTTATACACACACCTTGTCCCTATCTCACACTCACTTGAGGATTAATCCCCTCAATGCAGATAGTGCCTCTAGGGGCTTTGTGGGTATATTTGGAGAGCTGTACTGGTGGTGTCAGTTCTGGAGTTTATACTGGAGGTTTCACTCATATTGCTAATTTAGAGGTTGCTTTTGTATTATTGTTTTCAGGCACCATGCTCCCGATTATTGGTTTCCAGATCCGTCTAGAAAGTTACTGTAACTGAGGTAAAGAAAAAGCTCAGGGCAAAGAACAAAGCCTTCACCAACAAACAATATAAATCATATTGCAAGGAAGTGCAAAACATTTAAATAAGTGGAAATGAAAAAATCAATGTGAGGAAATGCAAAAGTATATTGAAGAAAAGCAAAAGTCTCAAGGAAATGCAAACTATATTGATAGGGACTCAAACTAAATTGCATAGAAATACAAAGTACAGCAGGGAAATTTTAGAAATATTTTAAGGAAAGAACATGTATTGCAAAGAAATGTAAAAAAAAAAACCTGATAATAATTCAACAAACAGATTGCAGGTAGCTACATAAGTGTTGCAGGGAACAAGGAATTACAAGACAAACTGAGCGAAATGCAAAACAAATGTGAGGGAATACCAAACACATTTCAAGGAAAGATATTTTGAGCTGATGTTAAAGAATGATGAGGGAAGGACAAAAGCATTGAAAGGTGAAAAACAAATATACTGCTGAGGAATTCAGTTCATATCATGAGGGAGTTCTGCAAGTTAATGCAAAAGTTTACTGAGGGTATGTTAAAGTTTTGTTTGGTCACACCTAAGTATTGCAAGATCATACAAATAATATTGGCTATATGCTCAGGAGCTTTGTACTTTCTACTGTGTAAAATTTCACAACAAATAAGTCAGGGTTACTTTTTCACCTCTAGTTCTGGAAATTGTTTTTGTGCAACCTTTTAGACAGGTTATGCAGGATTTTATGAGAGGCATTGTTTCATTTATAAATAAATTGCTGTTATTTCTGTCCCCAAAGCGTGCAAGTGCTGCATGTTTAAATATCAACAATCCTAAACTCACGTGGAGCAGGTGTACCACAAGATAATGACTTGTTGTTGTTCTATGAGTATAATCACAAGTGTAGATTTATATGGGATCAGACACAATAAAACTGATATTTAGAAAATTAAGGCCATATATGGTTGAATAATACCAAAATGTGGCCTGTCACTTGTAATAATCACCATAATGGCTTAAAGGGATCATACACTCTAAAAACCCCTGGGTTGAAAAGGGACCGACTACTTATTGGGGGTTGACTCAATAACTCTTTTTAAGGGTCAAGTTAACCTAATCTTTGTGTTAATCTGACTCATGATTTTGGGTTAAATTGAAATATGCATTTGGGGAGCTTTGCTTTTACAACCTGTACCGTCTGAGCCAGTTTGGCTTTCAATGGTACATACTCATGTTTATGAGGTAGGTCATAGTGCTAAGGGTCTTGCCTAAGGACCTGCGCTGGTAGATATAGTTTGCTCCTTACAGATGTGTTTCATGTGGGATTCAAACCCAAGTTGGGAACTGGATGCTCTACCTGCTGAGCTACTCATATTGTATATAAAATCAAGGCCAAAGTTCACAAGGTCACCAGGTCACTTTAATTGCCATTAGGCCTAGAAACCACACAGAGTCAATCGAACCCAATGTTCTGACCCAATTATTGGGTTACTCTCAGAAAAATAACCCATAGTTATCGACCCATTCAAATAAAAAAAAAATATTGGGTTACGAAAGAATCCATATGACCCAAGAAATGGGTATGGATCTGAATAATAACCCAGAAAGAGTTTTTAGAGTGTAGATAAAAGACTTTAAAGTGGGTTTGGGGACTCAGAGACCCCCTGATACAGTAACAGGTTGTCTTATTTACACAATTCCTATGACAGCTTGGGACATGCTTCACGCAACAGTTATGTGCCTTAGAGAAAACATGGGTTCAAGTTTAGAGCATCATTGCAGCGCTGAATTTCAGTGAGGGTCCTCTACTGCCATCATGTGGCGACTTTAGACAGCGTGGAGATTTTTTCAACAGGTCTAAAACTCTCCCAGGGGTGGGTGGTGCACTGGCGGGCTGTTCACCAACAGGAGTCACTAAACCCGGGAAAATGTGTGTGAGGAGGCGCGACTTGATCTCACATGCAGTAACTCAACGTGTGACCATTTAACCGGTTGAATGAAGTATGGGCTGAGTTTCTTCATGCGCAAAACCCCTTTTTTCCTCGTTGAAATTACTTTACTTACATTAGTGCACAACCCACGTGCTCTCTGTTTCTCTCTCTTCATCTCCCTCCCTCTCGCCGTCCTTTTCTCTGCTGTGATGCTGTGCGCAACTGCGTGACGGAATCGCGAGTATCCAAAACGCCCCCATCACTCATGTCAAACTCAAATGTTCTTCGTTGATGTTTCAGTGTTAAAGTTGTTCGGATAAAACCCCCATCATATGTAGACATGGAGAAGCTTTTCCTCCTTATTTTCCTGTTGTTTGTGCTCGTGTGTTTGGGTGCTGGGCAGCAACATCTACACACACGTGTGGGACCATGGAGGCACCGGTTTCAGTGGGAGAATAACGGACAGGTGTATAGTTTACTAAGCACAGGGACTCAGTACCGCTTACCTTCGCAGACAAGAAGACGCACTGAACTCTTTTTGACGACAAAAAACAATTTTAACCGACTTCATCCTCCTGCTGCGCTCAGCAGACCAAGCAGGATCAGGTCTGGAGGGGCAGCAGGGGGTCCCTCTCCACAGAACGACATCTTTCACATGGATGCGTCTATCCTGGGTGCTGATGCAGGGCAATATTTACTCGCTTCTGGGCGTCCCGGGACACACAGCCAGTCCTCACTGCGTCTCTCAACCACCAGAGAAGCTGCGCCTGGGAGGCAACGTGCGCCACAGACACCGTCCAACGCCAGCGCTGCAGCTTTTACCACAATCCAGGAGTTCTCAGGCAGCGGGGTCCCTCGGGGTGGCCGGAGTACAGCTGGAGATGACTCTGGTGCGCCACAAACCACTGCATCACCGGAAAGATCACCGGGATCTACGCAAAGCCGGTCACCTGCCACGGGTGGATGGGTCACAATGTCTGAGGATATTGAGAATGCACCTCGAGCTGCGCAAAGAGCTCAGTCACTGACCAGAATCACCGAGGAGTCCCCCACAGCGCTATCCAGCAACGCCGTGGAGATCACCTTTCCGCAAAGCGATACAGCCAGGGTTGAAACTACTGATCCACGAGATCCACACAGCATCCATCACAGAAACTCCGTTTTCTACAACGTTTATCCAGCGGACCGCAGAAACAGGATCACTGTGCGTCTCCCACCATCAGCAGGATTTGGGACCAGGTTCTTCCACAATGGTGAGAGAAAACCTGACACAAAGTTTGAATGAAGTACAAAAGATGTTTTAATGATACCCTTAAACTCATTATTAAAACTATTAATCTTAAAACTTTCACTGAATTGTCAGTAAAGTTTGCAGAGTTATCTTCTATGCAGCCTTAAGCTGAAGTTTAATGTCTTTATGCATCAGAAGTAATACTTTGTGGATTTAACACCACGTTTGTATAATTTATATGTCATAATTTCCTTTTATAGTCTTTTTTATATGCACTTGAGATGCAAAAAGTAATATTCTGATGATGTATGCGCTCATATGCAAATCAACACTCTTCAATTCTTCTGCCCATGAGGAAATATCTTAAAAGCTTCCAACCCCTTTTCCTTGAAAAGTGATAACAAGTGCAATAAAGGCTACTCTTCAGTGGTCATGATGTACGACAAATACCTGAGCATTTCTGAAACCATGCATGACTTTCCATAAACTTGAAACTGTGAAACACTTTTGCTGCAGGCCTCCCAGATTTGGTTCCTGACCCATACTACATCCAGGCTGCCTCTTACATCCAGAGAGTGCAGATGTATGCTCTGCGCTGTGCTGCTGAAGAGAACTGTCTTTCCAGGTAAACTTATTTATTTGAAATATCACCACATTATCTAATCCATCAAGTCAAGGCTGCTTGGTCAAATCATAAATCACAATAAGGAGATGGAGAGTCAGCCTAAATCAATGTTTTTGTGACTTCTTGTGATACCCTCAATCATCATCTGACATTTTGTTATACTCATAGTCTGTGCTGTGTCATTAATATTGTACCTTTAGACACATAAATCAATGGATTTTTAATCTATAAAGGACCAATTACATAATTAAGATAGCATTAAAGATTGCTTTAAAGTCGGTACATTAGAAAGTTTGTTGGCCTTGATCCAACGGGGACGCTGTAGCTGAGCAACTGAGGAGCTTGACACAAACCTGGCAACCGCTCAAGACTCTCTTCTGATCCGAGCAGCCACACGGCCAACTAAAAGAAGCTCCAAAATGAAAGGAAAAGATTCCTGAGGTGAAGTCAAAAACTTCTGAAGCAAGACCAGAAACCACCTCAGTGGCTTGGACAGTAAATCAACATTATGTAAAGTGGTCATGGAGGAGGAGGAGGAGACCAAGTTCAGTGTGCAGTGAAGAGTGTGTGGAGGAAATGTGATGTTAGAAAAGATACCACAAACATAAAGGTGATACGAGTCAACTCCAGCTGTGCACTCAGTGTTTTAATGAATGCACTTGAAGTAAGTTTCACTCACTCTCTTCCTGTTTTCTTTCCCGCCAGGTCCGCATATCATCCGAGTGTCAGGGACCTGGACTACAGAGTCCTGCTACGCTTCCCTCAGCGGGTCAAAAACCAGGGAACAGCAGATTTTCTTCCCGTGAAGCCCAGACATGATTGGGAATGGCACAGCTGTCACCAGTAAGATCAGTGTTGTTAAAGAGAACCAAAACACCCAGAACACACCGGTGTCAGACTCTGATTCTTTATCTCCAAGACTCTGCTGTGGAGACCAGATCATACTGTAACTGTGTCTGTTATTACTCAGAAACTCTTCAAGGGATATTCAGAGCAAGTTTAAAACATAATGCACTTCAAATGTGCATGAAGTGACGAAGATAACAATTATTTTAAACACAGCTAATGCAGCATCTGTTATTACGAGTGCAGCTTTAGTGATACGACCTTATGTTGGTACAGTATGTAAACTGGTGATTAAAAACAGACCCCAGTGGTTTGCAAGTAATTAAGACACTATAAATAATCCAAAGACAAGATATAAAATGATTTAACTGATGAATTGTGTCCTGTGGTCTGATGAGTAAACATTTGAAATCTTGTCATCAAGGCTGTGTCCCATACTCTCAAGAGGAGAGGGACCACCCAGCTTGTGGTCAGTGCAAAGTTCAAAGGCTAGCATCTGTGATGGTGAGGTTGCATAGGTGTCAATGACAGAGGTAGCTTACATATCCAAGGACCCTAATCGCTGAGCAGTTAATATTGTGAGAAACATATGCTTCCTCGTATTACAACAGCATGGCTCTGGAGTAGAAGGGTCTGGATGCTAAATTGACTTGCTTACAATATGGACTTGTCAACCACTGAAAACTTTTGTCCCATCATGAAACAAAACATACTTGAAAGGAAACCTCTGAGCAGCTCCAATACTGGACCTGGCAAGAATAAGAACACATGACATCCCAACTTGTTTGGAATATAAAGTCATTAGAAGTCATGTTCAGTGGGCAGACCTTTTGTGTCACTTTGAAACCATGATTCAAAGATGAGGGCTGGAGAGTTGTAAGCTAACTCCCTGTAAATGTTTTCTTGGCCACCACATACAAACTCCAAAAACTGTTCCTAATGTTTGGGCCAACTTACCGACTTGTGTGTTGGGTGAATGTGTGGCCAATTATAAAGCACTCTGGGTAAAAGCGCAATTTAAATGCAGCCAGGTACCATTTGTTGAGCACCACTTTAGTTCAGTAAACACACCTGCTTCTCACACACTCATTCTGAGAGAAGGCCAAATCTCTCTGTACAAAAAAACCAAAGCTCTGTGTGATCATTAAAGCCTGATTTTGTGCCAGCTACAATTTTGTTCTGCACTTTAATGATGTTGATGAAACAGTTTGGGAACAGAAGAAACTCTTATTCTTTCTAGAAACAAAAATGAACAAATGTACTATCTTACTTTGGTCCCAACAGGTTAATATGAGCTGGATAGTATTCCCAATAACACATTTTCTAAATGTCTTTCTCTCTGCATCATTAGGCATTATCACAGTATGGAGGCATTCAGTAACTATGACCTGCTGGATGTCTCCACTGAGCAGAAGGTCGCTGAGGGACACAAGGCCAGTTTCTGTCTGGAGGACACGTCCTGTGACCCAGGGACACGCAGACGCTTTGCTTGCACCGCTCACACTCAGGTTGGTTTTCTTGAACAATAAAACATGTCTTCTTTCATGATTCAATCCGTTGTTGTGTATACTGAAGACATTTTAAACCTCCACATGGGTTATTTAAGTTTCTGTTTCTCGCAGGGGCTTGGTCCTGGTTGCTATGATACGTATCATGCTAACATTGACTGCCAGTGGATCGACATCACTGATGTACCACCTGGAAACTACATACTGAAGGTTTGGGTGCAGAGCTGCTCCATGAGCAGAACAAGATCCATTGAACTTCAGTAGAAATCTCATCAGAATATTTGTTTATCTGAAATCAAATTAAGTAACGGTATTTATGCTTCTGCTGTTTCTCAGGTGACAGTGAACCCGTCTCAGCTGGTTCAGGAGTCTGACTTCTCCAACAATGAGGTGCGATGTGACATCAGGTACACAGGGAGCTATGTGCAAGCCAGAAACTGCAGAATAATCGGGTACGCCAGTAAAACAATACTCCCACTCTTGATGTCTGAAATAATACACAAAAAGAAGCCCTCATTGCTGACGTGCTTTTACTTTTTTCACAGAAGTCACTGATCTGGCTGCAGTTTTTCCACTCAGATGTAAACTTCATCACTTCTTGTTGCTCTTCTGTGTGATTGCTTCTCATTTGTGCAGTTTTTTTACATCCAAGTCTCTGCTACAAATTTATCAGTTTATATTTTTATGTTATGATTTATTGAAGCAACAGCCAGGCTGGCTAATTGTTATTGTGTTTTGTTTTTTTTTTTTTTGTAAGATTATTAATTTTGTTTCAAAGCAATGCAAGACTGAAATACCTGCTCCATATTTTCAGAAAACTTGTGAAAAGTCTTAACAAGTCACAGATACAAAGGAAGCAAGTTATTCTTTGGGAAGTTGTGTAATTAAGTCAAACTGTAGTGTTGAATTGGTGCTGATTCTGATTAAGTTAGCCATGCTCTTCCTCTTTCTTGAATTACATCAATGTTTTGCCTCATCAGAGTTTATTTGCATGTTTTTTTATTAACTTAATATGTACCGAAGTTATGGACCTATAAGTGCTGCTAAAATACAAAAACAAATACATGCATTTAGATTAGCAAAGTGGTAAGAGTTTTTAAATATTTATATTTATGACGCCCACACATATGTAAAATATTGTGTCTCACAAGCTGGAGAAACGAGTGAGAGTGCAAAAGTTGTTTTAACAATTGTGAGATGTTAAAATAAAGAGATGTTGTTGGTTACTAAAGTTCCTCTGTGGACTGATGCCTTACTTCACTTGCTCCAAATAGCTGCAGCTGATGGGATAATTTAACAAAATATTTAACTGCATGAAGTCATTTCAGTGCTCATTTAGTGTCAACACACAGCGAGGGGTATTAGCGTGTGGAGTGGCACATATTTGTGTATTATTTCAGAGTAACACACCACAGAGAAATACCTGAAATGATTCCACTTAGTGTGGTTACGTCTCTCGGAAGTGTCACCAGAAGACAGAGAGCTTTACACCACAGGTTTGTGTGTGTGCGTGTTTGTTGTGTTGTGTTATCGTGGATGAGTGACAGAGAAAACATTTATTCACCTGCTAATATAATAACTTCACATGACGTGCATGGGAACACTCCCCCCCTCCTCCTGTTTACACCCTGTCACCAGATTTATTAAGGACACTGTCTGACTGGTGCATGGAAATGAGTATTAATAATCCCCACAACTATTTCAAACATAATTCATTCCTTATTCGTTTTTCTCCTCAGCTATTCTCTGAACTTTCCAGCTGACATTTTGTATACTGCCTCACAGACTTGTAATGTTACATATGCAGCATAAGACTGGAGGGTTTGATCCGTATTAACTCTCATTTCTTACATAAATAGATATATCTTCCACCACATGAGATGAGATCTGGAGGTGTTTCAGTCTACACATTTTCAAGGCAGTGAGTTTAACTCTCATAAAATGTAAGGTTGAAACAAACTGCAGCATCTGGAGTGATAGTGTCTCAACAGTTTCCCAGTTGTGGTCCTTATGGAAGATGTAACAACTTTTATGCAGGAAAGAACAATGTTTATGAGCTGGAAATGCAAGCAGGTGGGACCTGGTGCCCTGGAGTTTATTTCCTCTCGCATCTGTTACTGCCTCAGACTGCTTCACTTCCCTAAATAAGAAAAGGTTTGTTTTTTTTACATAGCATACTGTTAGTTTTTTTAGATACTGTTCTGTTTCTTGTTTCTCGGTTTAATGAGAACGTCTGTTTTTATACATTTTAAAATTCCTGCAGTTACAGAGACAAGCAGAGAAAAGTTTTGGAAGAGTAAGAAACTTACACTTCATTAACAGAAGATGAATAGCATATATGGCATATATTGATATGAAACTTGGAAAATAATCCATTCACAAATGAATTCTTGCTCTTAGAGCTTTACCTTTAGATAAAACAGTGGTTTATTAAAATGTGTTACAGACAGAATTTTGGGAGACAAAAAGTTTTAATTATGTATTTGTGTTTTACGTATTTACCTTGTCTTCTGAACTTTTGGTTTGTGACAATTTTGGCGCCCCCTGTGGACAAAGCAGCCTTTGCTTTTCTTTTCATCTACATGCTCAGGTGTTGTGTCTTGACAAAAAACAGATATCATCTTGACTTAAACATAAAATGAATCATTTATATTGACTATTTTATATGGAAAATGTTAAAACGGGGTTTATCTACAGCTGTCTGGCTGACACCAATCCCCTCCCGTTGTTTCATACATTAAAAATTAGGGTATGAAAATCATCAGCCCTGTCCCTGATGGTCTTGTTTGCTTCTGTATGTCATAAAAGACAATTGATATGAATTTCAGTCTATTTCACAAACATCAAAAAACTCCTCAACGGAGCTTTAAGTAGAGAACTAAGCTGAAAAGTTTAGGTACAAGTGTACAAAGGACATATTCAGTTTCCTACTTGTACATACATCTCAAACTTTAACGTCAGGCCATGAGTCCTGACGTTTACCTTCCACGTGAGTCAATGTGTAAAATGGAAAAGTGTCGGTGATGGGGAAAATCTCCATGTCTGCACCCTCTTATATCAACACTACACTGGGCTTTAACTCATTTTACTCATCCTCTTACCCAAACATGGCCTCTCCGTCAATCCCTCACCATCTTTGGTCAGAGAGCGTTGATGTGATCCGTTGATGTGAATCGTGTGACAGAGGGTCAAGCCACACAGCCTCCTCCTCCTTCTTCAGGTGCTGTTTGGACAGGGCAGGCTGACGTGCTAAGCCCGCAGGGTGTGCAAAGAGGAGCAGAGCGTCCCTGCCTTCCCCCGCTGGAGATGGCGAGGAGGAGAGAAATTCCACAGATCTGCAGACGGCCAGAAAACCGGAGTGCAAACTGCTGACCTCAGCAGCACCACAAAAACCATAGTTATCACGGGCGGATTGTGTGTGAGGCTGTGCCCAGAGGACTGGCTGTCTGAGACTCCCAGTCAACAAGAGACAGAGCCAAGAGGCGAGACTGCAGTGACACATTGTGGCAGTCAGTTTGGTCGTCTTACAGACACACAATGCTACATTGCTTACTGAACCTTTTAACCTTCAGATGCTCCTTGGAGGTTTGAGTGAGTCTTCAAGAGAAGGTTTGACTCGAGGGATGTTATCAGTTGAGCAGACAAAGGTTTTGCCACACAGATGCATTATTATCTTTTCACAGGTAGGGTAAGAGATCCGTACAATTCTCATTGATGACTTCTTGTGATATCCAAAAGTAAACAAGAGCATCAGGGATGAGTATGACTATTTGATTATCATCATTTTATAGCCTATAACCAGTGAGTGGGGGTAGGTGTCAGCCAGACAGCTTAATCCTGAGAACTCCCTGCTATAATTTGCTATTTTTGGTCTGCCTGTTTTTTCTTAATAATCTATGTAGCCACTCTGTCTTTTCAAGCACAGCAAATATATACACATCTTTTATTTTCAGTACAACCTCAGCTGTCAGTTTATGGGTGCAAAAATTACATAAAATAAATGTGACAGTAGATCCAGAACCATCAAAGTCAACCAAAAAACAAAAATGGAAATTGATATCAACAGTACTTTGCACAAAAACATATAAATCTACAGTGACCAAGCCTTCTCTCACCTGCACATCATTCTTTCAAGTCTTGGCTATCAGGAGAAGAAATACTGGGATTGGAACAAACACACAACAGAAACTATTTACGTATTTACACAAATTTTTCCTGCCGTTTTTTGCTATGAACAGTTGTTTATGCCACTCATTTAAGCAGTTCCTGTCTTTCCAAGCATTGAGGACCATTATTTCTTATTTTGCAGACAAGCAGGGAACTTTCGTCTCTTGTTGATCTTTGGTTGCCTCTTATTGGACACTACTGTCGAGGGAACAATAGAAGAAAAATATGAGACCATGTAATTGGTCGAAAGTTTGACAGAAAAAGACGTCGTCAAAACAGCTTGTCAAACCCAGAAGACATTAGCGGCATTTAGATCCAGATCCCCACATAAATGATGCATTTCACTGTCAAAATATACTACCTAATCATGTACAGGACAAAACAAAGACTGCCCTGTCCACAGGGGGTGCCAAAGTCGACACAAGCTAAAAGTTCCTTACAGGAGCTTTAATAAACTTACGTTTAAGAAGCACAGTGTGGCACCTAGTAGCAGAAATTCAACCTGCTGAAGCTGTTTGAAGAACATCTGGAAGCATTTCGATGCAATTTATAAATTCAAAGTTGAAAATTAGCTGCCTGATTACTCTGTAACACTTATGGCTAATATAAACTTTTATTAAGTCAAGCATTTTGATACTGTGGCTCTTTTAAAAGAGATACAGTCACGCCTTTGTACTTGTTAAGTGTGCTAAACTCTCTCACCAAGAAGCAGTCAGGAGGAGCAGGCTTAACCAGGCTAATGAACATTCATGTGGCGTTACAGAGGAAAAGAACCTGAAAAAGTGCACCTACTTCCTCTTATCACTGATGTCAAACAGAAAAGTTACATAAAGTCTTTGAATTAAAAACTTTCCTCCCCAGCTGTCCTAGACATTTCCATTTCTGGTGTCTGTGCGAGCAAACATTTTAGTATTTACACATCTAAAAGAGATGGAATAGCATTCATTTTTATTTAGAGCTGTTTTTGTCCACCACCTGGCTAAAGTTAAACTTAACATTTACTCCTCTTTTAGCTCTGGCTTTGCTCTGTACCTATTTTAAAGGAGTTTTATGACAACAGTTTGTTTGCCAGCTCGTCTCTAACTTTGTATGCTGTGCAATACTGAACAGATAGAGTTTAATGAGCTTCTAAAGAGAGAAAATTAGCATTTTCTGGCTGTAAATGGTGCCGATGAGTGTCTGTTTGAACCTTACGATTTTGCAGAAAGGGCCCAGAGAGGTGATAGGCCCAGTCTTTACTTTGGGTCAAATCAATCATGAGAAGTGCACCTTTGCATGTACCAACAAATCTCTGAAGTTGATTTTTGAATATTTATGTAGCATGATTTAATTTATTTACATCGTCTTAGACTTTAAATGAACTCCCTCAGGTTTCAGGCAAAGCTAATTTACACAGTGAGAGTTCATTATGCTAGACCTGCTGAGCAATCTGTGGGGTTTAGGAGATGAATTACCCCAAATGTGTAATAGTCGAGTATGAACTCACACAACAGCTTCATGACAAAATTAACAATAATACATGTTAAATACATCAACCATATGCCAAACAATCCAGAGCTGCAGACGCCAGTGATTCAATTCTCAAACAGCTGATTCAAAAGTGTTAAACTGACTCTGATTGCCGTCAATTATAAATCTTCACCCACAACTGCTTAAGTGTTGATTCTGAACCGGATTACTGTGTGCGTACTGTCTGAAGGATGAGCTGTCATCATTAGTGAAATATACTGACGCCAGATCCTCACTAATGTTGTGTTTTTTGCCCGACTGTGCAGTCTGTATTTACCTTTTGGAGCATGATTTGTTTTTAGCAAAGAGCAGATGCTGTTTGTATACGCACAGTGGAAATGGGAGAACAGTTTTCTCTTCTTGAGATTTTTTTTTTTTTTATATCCTGAGAAGAGAGACAATGTTTACCTGGGCAGGACGAAGACTCCCTGACCCTGACCATTTACACATCATTACAGATTTAACAGCTCTATCTGATTGAAATAGAAGAATGTGTGCTTGATGAGCCCTGTAGTTTTCCTCTCCGGGCTGCTGTGTAAATATTAAAACACTCTACAGGCTGTCTGAGAGGATGCATGCTGTTATAAATCCTGTTATTGTATTATTTTTGGGCAGGGTAGCAGCCCGGATGAGGCTGGAAACAGGGAGAGAGGAGGGAGGAGAGGGTGAGTGAAGGGTGACGGGGGCGGACAGGTTCTTCAGCTGAGGCCCTCCAGATATATTTGGTCTGAATTTGCTTCTAAATGCTCATATTAGTTTATGGTTTTTACACCTGAGTGTCAGACAATGTTCAGGTGGCTCCTCTTGGGGCAAACACATGTTCATGTTTCAGCAGGAAGATCCTTCATAGCTCATGGGACATGCGTAGAAAAACACACATTACACAAACGTCTCAGCACACACAAGTCTGTATTTGTATCCTCTTTTGTGAGATATTCTGCATTGTGAAAAACAGAGGACTTTACTGTCCTTGTTCTTCACACTGGAGAAGTATACCTCAGGTTTGATGTGAGTTGTTGCTGGTGAAACTTAATCACTTACAATGTTTTGTGCAATTTTGTGCAAAAAGTTATTATGAGTGGCTAATTTCTTCAAGTGAAGGTTGCTTTAGAGAGGATGATGATAAAATGCATGGCATCTTATTCAAAAGAAGTTTCACAGAAAGTCCTGGATAAAAGGATGTGATGAAGATTTATGTGTTTCTCTTTCTAAATTCCTCCAAAATATTTTGAGTTTAAGCCACACAGAAATGTGAGGGTTTTTTCCTAAAAAATAAATAAATAAATAATAATAATAATAAAAGATATATATATATATATGCGCAAGAAAATACCAAATAATCTCACTCTTAATAAATGATCTAAGCAGCTGTGAAACCTGTAAGCCTATGTTGAGCAGAAATAATCAGCGTAATGACACAGAGACTTGTTGTGTATGTTAACTGTACAAATTGCCCCTTTAGTGCTTGCAAGTCTCACCATGGGCTTAAACTACAAGGTGAAAGGAAAATATTTAGTACTTACTGTGTTTTTATCTGTACTCCTTTGAGTCGAGCGGTCCTCTCATCCAGGGCACTTCACTGCATTGTTGACCTTGTTTAACTTGCATATGACACATGAACAAATCTTGAAATCTTGAATCTTGAGCTTGATCAACACACAAGGTAAGCCTAAATTTTTTGTGTGTGTTTTAAATTGTCCCACTTGGTTTTAGGTAGGTATAACCAGACAAAAGAAAAAAAAAGAAAGTAAAGAAAAAGAAAATGAAGTTTTTAGGGCATAAACCATTCTAAAAAAATGTCGTGCAACTTTGGATCTTGAGCTGTCAGCATCATCATCACCTGTGCATCAAGTTGTCATTGAGATAACTTAGTTTATATGAACTCAAACTATTTCTTGTTTCTTGTTTTTTTCTTTTAAAGAACTGCCAGACACATATTAGATTTCTTAAAATATTGTCAGCTTGTCTCTTTTAAGTCCGTCTCTTATTTACGGCATTAGGCACCACAAAATAGTCTGATTAAGAGCGACACCATGTGGCCATAAGTGGTCGACTTATATACAGAATACTTTATATACAATACTGCTAACAGTTGATATGCACAAATTAACATTACGCTGTCTTAAAAGAGTTCAGTGGTTCAGAGTTCACTGTGGTTTTAAATTAAAGCTGCTGTTTTATTTCCGGCTCTTTTTTGTTTTACTCTGTGACGACAGCTGTGACGACTATAATCGTCGACGGGATACCTGCTCAGCCGGGCGTCCAGATTGCACAGTGCACCTACATCTGATGAGGAGGATGGCGACTCTAAACCACTTGTGTTCGGTCCATTTCGCCCCACTGCTTCTGTTTCTCCTGACAGCAGCTCTAGTCCCGGTTCAGGCCTCTGCTGATCGGACAAAGACGGTGGAGTTTAACGTCAAACCTGGAGGAGTGGTTCACACCTTCACTGATGGGATAGTAAGTTTTAATATCGTCCTTTGTTCAATGAACCGGGTATCGTTGTTTAGCCTTAGTTGGACCTGGTTAACGCCTTCACCTTATGTTATCTACAGTAAAAGCAAGTTTAAGCAAGCAGACTGTACTCGATAGAGTTGATTTGGATTTCCTCCATTGTTATAAAGAAAGGTAGCCGACATGATTTCTTTAAAGCAAAAGCTAGTAGAGGTCTGTTCGTTTGTTTCAGTTTAGTATGCCCTTTTTAAAATGCATGTCATAGTCCACATACCAGAGGAATAAATGGACAAAAGTGGAAAAACTACATTCCTCTGCTCAGCTGTAGTCGCAGCGTGATGACGACACAGCCCGTAAGAGGCTGACACGTCGATGCCAGAGCGCCACAAAGACTCCGTTCATTGGCTGACGTTTTTTTAAAGCTTCAGATTGAAAGCACATAGTAATAACTAATAATTTCATTAAATTACCTATTTCAAATGGATTTACCGTCGTTTTTGTCGGTGTGGTTCATTCTGTTTGAATTCCTTATTAAAATATAACTTAAACATCCAAATGGCTTGACGAAAATAACAAATGTGCATTACATCAGGCATTCAAACCGGACACCATAGCGGAAACAGCCATTAATATTAAGGCTAAGAATGACTCTGGCACTTGACTTGAAACCAGTTTCATGCAAGTTTCAGCTTTTCTGTCTTTAGATACTGAAAAACTAAACTGTCATGGGTTTCTCAAGCCTGTTATCGTTGTTGTTGTTGTTGTTGTTGTTATTTGTAGTATTAGTAATTGCTGTTTTAGTATTTTCTTAACTAAACCAGTGGTTCTCAGCTGGGCTCACTCTGGGATCCACATTTTCCCATGGTCCTTAACTCACGACCCACTTTTATAAAATTCATGCCAAGCAAAAAAACCTTAGACTATAAAAGACTATAATCTTGAACATAACTACACCTATTTTATTGAGTAAAGTGCATTTCAGAGCACATGAACTGAGGATGACAACTACTTAAGTTGCATATATACAGAAAATATCAAATTGCAAACAAATAAAAAAAACATGTATTGTACTGCATACAGGCCACATATATAAGAAACCTAGGAGGACCACAACAGAACACATGCCTTTCAAAATAAGCTATTTTTCAAAACAAAAGACATGTCAAACATCAGATGCGCATTAAATATTTACTTTTTATGACCAGCTGTTCACGACCCATCCAGAATATGTCCACAACCCGCTTTTGGGTCGGGACCCACCAGTTGAGAACCACTGATCTAAACTCGATAATTCTTTAAAAACTGTACAGAAAATTTAACTGGTTAAAGTGAGTAAGAACCAAGCATAGAAGCCAAACATGGTCACAGTTCAGCTTTTTTCTATACATGTACATTTCTGAACAGAGTTTCTTATTTAATCATGATCCAAGACAGAGCAAACGCAAGCCAAATGGAAAGTTTGCCATGTTGTAGGTTTGCTGATGATTATTTATTCAAGAAAACAGTCTAATAGTAACACACACTCTCATTACCGCAAAGCCATTGTAAAGAAATGCCTGCTATACTTATTATGTATTATGATTACATTAAAAGAAATTTTAATTAAAAGCATGAAATAATGGATCAATAATGACCAGGATGGACAGATTAAACTTTGCACTAAGTGGCACTTTGTTACTCTATTATTTCAGAGGGAGTATGAATGCTCATTCACTTATGCCTCACAAGGGGGAACTAATGAGGTGAGTCTCTCTTTCTCTCTCTCTCTCTCTCTCTCTCCATCGCTCTCTCTCTCTCCCAGTCTCATATTATTTATTTCAAACTACAGCAGTTTTTTGCATAAATTTTCATCTGTTTTCTTGCCAAACAGCAATGGCTAATGAGTGTGGGTCTGAGTGATGATGACAGACTGTTTTCCTGCACTGTGTGGAGGTGAGACCCACACAGAAGAAAACACACACAAACACACACACACATACAGAGTGAGGATGAAGATACTAATCTTGCTGTGGCATCAGTCCTTTTCAGCTCAGTGACCCCGATGGTCAGTGTGTCTTTAGTGAGAATCCATCCTGTCTGTTTTTTCCCACTGAGTCACTTTGATTTTAGTTAATCGTGACAGTCCCGGAGGAGAGCAGGAGAGAATCAACACAACAGAGCTCATGGTTTAAATGTATTCTTGTCCAACATCGACTTAATAAGTGAATGAATGAATACAAATGAATTGACGTCGCTAACACTTATTTTTTTTTTGTCTTCTCTTCTAGGCCCCAGGGGAAGTCGTACCTGTTTTTCACTCAGTTCAAAGCCGAACTGAAAGGAACCAAAATTGAATATGCCAACGCATATGTAAGTAGAAAAGAAACACTATTCCCTTAACTGTGAGATGCAAATGTTGCCTGCCCACACATGTCTTTTTTTATGTTTTCAACTAATCCTTGTACTCAGTAGGGGATACTTAGCCTGGATAATTAGTGACTTTCTTCTTTATTAGACCAATAAAATTGATAATTTTCATTTTTATCTCATCTTCTTTGCTCCTTTTGAGTAATAAATTGGAGTGTAGTTTATACTGGACAGCAAGGAGTCCTTTTAGACTTCACAGCTTAACAGAGACAAGCTGTTATAAAGTTTCTCTGCATGTTGTCTCACAGTTTAAAACACTCTGTCTGTGTTGAGACCCTGCTCCTGCTTTCTGAGCCCAGGATAATATCTTAGCTTAAGATTTACAACATGTGCCCAAATCAAGAGGAAAAGCACACTTGATAAACATCTTTGTGTGGCCTGCAAATAATAAAACAGCCACCTACACACTAACAAATTCGGCAGCATATAAATCAGGCTCAGGGGGGAGATTAAGGTGTTTTTATCCTGTCTTGTGTTATCTTAAATTTGCCTTTTGGTTGTTTGCTGTCAGATAAAATCAGCACTTAAGCTTTTCTCCTCTGGGTTAAGAGTAGTGAAAAATAACATGATAACACAGCTGATTTTGACACAGAGGTCGCTTAATCCTGGATATTCATCTGTGTGTTAAACACCACACACTTATCATTGAAGGTGGGATTTGGATAAGTCTTGAGTTTTATTAATGAGCAGGATTAAGCACCAACTCAGTGAAGCATCCTAATTGTGACTTATCATACCCAGAGGTTTGGAGATCTGGAAGATTCAATCCAGCCGCAAATATTTTAATATGTAATTTAGTCAAAACTCTTCAATTACTTCAAATATCTTTCCCCTTGTTAAATCTCAAAAACATCTGAAGTTTCCTCTACAGTTTCCCAGTGCCTGTCAGTAGATTTTATAGTCGCTGTTTTTGTTTGAGTTATAGTATAAAACCCAAAGCTTTCCACATGGACTGTGAAAAAAGCAGAGAAAAGTGTGAAACCCTTGAATCTGAGAAGCTGGCATCAGAGATTGACTTGCAGTTTTTTTCTCTTTCACCTTGAACCCTCAGCACTGCATGCTATTCCACCACACTAAATGTCCATGAAGCTCTATCCTTTTAAAATAATTCATGAGAGATTTTCTCCTCTGGCCTGTGTTAGCTTGGTGCCATTAAAGGGTTGCTAAGCACGATTCAGTATATCTGACATTAGTGCAGAGTGTGCCTGACCATACAGTCTAAATAGAACTGAATCAAATAGTCACCTGCACTTTGGACCCGTCTTTTGCTGTGCTGCACTTCTCCTTCTGCTAACATTCATGTCTCCATGGTAACCCATCATGTGCCCTACATGTTTCTGTACATTTTTAGATCTTTTATCCTCTACTGAAGGTTTGAGCTCCATCCCAGCTGGTAGTAACTCTGAAAAACTAGCACAGGAAGCAGACAACCAGAGGAACACAAACTCTTTATTTCTCCTGGAAGTCAAACCCAGAACACGGTGCCTTTGCTCTTAATGTTTCACTGAAGGTTAATGCCCGGAGTCTCTCTGAGTTCAGTCACTTAGCCGAGGTCTGCTGTGTCTGATGTGGTCGTCTGTGAAGTGAAGCACACCTTGACACGCCTCCTTCCCCCAGCAAGGACAGTCCTGACACTGTCATTAGAGCGAGCACATGTTTCCTCCTCTCCTGCTCAGGCTGCGTGCCCTGCAAGTAGAAGATGCACACACAGAAAAAAACTTCACTAAATGATTCGACAAAAATAACCTCTCTTTCTCTCTCTCTCACACACACACATGCACACTCACACAAACAAGCACACCTGCAACCCCCGCGCTGCGTTTCCTTGACCTTGGCATCACATCCTCCTACTTTCCCGTCCAATCTGTTGCGAAAAAATTGCTGTCTCTTGTGCCGCCTCTCATTCTGTTTTGTTTATTTTTTCCTTTTCTCCTCCTCTCCTTTCCTCCCTCTCGTCTTTATTACTGTTGTCTTCAGTCGCAGACAGCAGCAGGCGGACAAGGTGATGTGCCTTTGAAGCCGGAGGAATTTACCGTAGGAGACTCAACAGGTGAGAAATTTATTGTATTTCCATGAGTTTAATCCACTCCCTCTGCTGTCATGTCAGTCTCCTGCTCCCTCTCTTCCTTCCTACCCCCTCCCTTCCTCTCTACCTCTTTTATCAAATTGTGAGTTCCCTGTTGATTTCCCCCTTAAGCACATGCTCCAGCTGTGAGTGGGCTGCCATTTGTCCCTGTAGCATTGTTTGCTTGGTTTTCAGTTTTCTGCACAAATACCCACTGAGGCTTCAGTTCCGGACTGTGATTAGTAGGATTTGACAAGTCACACAGCAATTTACTGTAGCAGCAGATTAGACGCCACAGAACAGAGGCTTATTGACTTAAAAACCTGCAACTATCACAGACTTAACGGTAATCCCCTCTCTGTCAGACCTCATGAGAACACTTCCTGTTTGAATTTTTAGGGATAGTCTCCTTACCTCAGAGACAACCTCAGCGACAAACTGAAATGTTCACACTAAGTACGGTGCAGAGTCTCCGAAAGCGAGGACTCTTCAGATTCTGTCTTATCATTTGCACACAAACTGACCATGAACTGTATTAAACAAATTGACGTGGTCTGTGTGACATCACCTCTTGGTTCTTTTTAAGCCCAAAGATAATGGAAGATGCTGACTCAAACCAATATTTGATCAAGGAGCCTGAGTTTGGCTTCCAGCCTCCTGGCAAACAGCTACAGCACACAACCTCTTGTATGCAAACTGAGTCACGCCCCTTATTATGGAAATTTATGTCTTACTCTAAGTTGTACCTCGACTCAACAGAAAAAATCCCCCCCTCACAGTGTTGGCTACATACCCCAAGTATTTTATTAACTTGTTTGATAATGCTGGATGGAAGGGCATTTTAACCTGATGGGATTTCTTCTGGTGCCATCCTCAAGTGGACACTCTAGGAACTGCATTTTCTCTGCACTTCTACATTGGCTGGATTTCAACAGCAGAGACCGCCTCTTAAATCCAACATGCTCTACTTATTGGAAGGAAGTGTAATTGCAGTGTAAATCCTGCAAACACCGGTAGATGTTGCCCCTTTCTGGGCAAACTTATCTGCTGTTATCACAGTTTCTTAATATATGCCACCTTCAGGCGATGGGAGTCACATCAGCAGTCTGTAATTACTGCTCATAGCTTTGTTTGTGGGTTTGGGGCTTTTCCAAAAATGATTTAGAAACAAGCTTCAGGCTATCTTAATCTTTGGGTGATGACAGGCAAATAAGAACACCTTTTCTTGACTCAGGAAACATCTCGAAAATGTCATATGTTTGTGCTTTAGAAATTAGCTCTAATAGGACTTAGCTGTTTGCTTATCAGAGTTGGTTGTCAACAGTTTTTTTTCACATTTAAAAAGATTTATGGGAATGACTTCTTGAGCTGCTTTAGTTTTTTTTTCTTTTAGTTGCACTGCTGCAAAGTGCCACTGAGAACACATTTGCATTTAGCTGATCAAGATATTTTCCTTTTTTTGGACCGATGTTTTCAAAATTTACATTTTCCGTTTCTACTTTATTCAGAAAATAATCATGGACAACACCCCCTCTCTTGGAGATAAGTAAATGGCAGAATAAAACTCATATTTTGAGAGAGAGTGTGTAAACAAAGTTAGCAAATTGTCCCCCTTTTCCGATTCATTCATGAGCAAGAGCTTTCAGGTACATTAACATCAGAATAGTGAGCTGAAGTGATGCTTTTACTGTGCGACCGGTAATTGATTCAGATCCCACCGCTAAATTCCAGTGACAGTCAGCATATTTATGTGCATAAACAAGAACAAGTGCATTGGAATTGAGTTAGAACAAGTGCATTTGAATATTTGAACAATGTCTGAGCACAGTGTTAAAATATTCAGCGGACATTTTCATGAGGAGCAGGACATGTACCCATTTCGGCAGAAAATATGCCCTTATAAACAAAAGTGACATCATTTTGATGGGTTTAACTTTTAAAATAAAGAAAAACAAGCAGTAAGAGTTTAAAAAAAATGAGTCAGAGTTATGACACTAACTAGATGCAGATGGCACCAGTCGTGTTGATGGTGCGTACCTCATCTGGAGTTTGTGTACATTTACAGATCCAAACAGCTGATGTGTTCGTTTTTTTTTTCCAGTTAGTTCTGGTTGGACTGGACCTGCAGGTCTCAGGGTGTCTACTCTGCAGTTAGTTGGCACTGTCTGGTTTCACATTATTAGCACCAGCGATGACCCTTGTTTCTGTCTCAACATTTTCACTCTCTCTCCTCCCTCACCTCCAGTGACCCATACGGAAGGAAAGTTCAATGCTCAACTCTCCAAGCTGACTGCCATTGGAAAAACACAACACGATGAGCTGTAACTCGTCTGACACCTGACTTTTCTGTGGTCATATTTTAACCATCCAGAACACGTTGATGAGCTCTGGGAGGAGCTTCTGGGTTTCATCTTTCAAGTGAATAAAAGATGAACTTAGGAGGGTTTCATCTGAGTGACTACCACAAACTGAAGTTGGATGATTGTGCTGTTGCTTGTGCTGCACTTTGTGTGTCAGTACATAAATTACCTGCAACGTTTTAATGATGGATTTATATGTGAAAATGCAATGTGATAAAATATACCACAAGAAATCTGTGGAGCTTTCAGATTTTTTACAACATAATGCCCTAGTTAAATTCTACCACAAGATAAAGTGCTTCCATCTTTGTGTCTTAGTTACTGAAGCTTTAAGATTTACAGAAAGCAAATCTGCTCTGATCCACTGGGGATGTATGAGAACGTGTAGACGATTGATGTTGTGGGGGGGCTCATAGAGTATAGATAACATATTTAGAGTAGGGAGGGATTTATCCATCTTGTGTAATCCTGAGAGAAAAATGAGTAATCCTCGACAGGGTTGTTGCGCACACAAAAACAATTATATTTTCCTCAATCTCATTCTGTTCTAGAAAAATGTACGCACTCATTAGATCCAATAAATCACAAATTAGTACCACTTTAAGAACACTCTTCTGCTTTTTTAGGGAGGGGAGACTTAAAATGGTGCAGAAAGCAGTTTTGCAACAAAACATTGAAAGAGAGGAATACAGAAACACTAAAGATAACACAGTGTTTCTGCATTTTTAGATGAGAATTAATTGTTAAAACTCAATGCACACACTTTTTAAAAAAATACAGCAGTGATTTTTTATTTGACATCTGCAGCAAACAGTGCAGAAATAGATACAACTTTTTTTCCTCATCTGTAACATGTTTGCTTCCTACTACAATAACAGTATGACTAAGAGAATTATCATATATAGGGGTGCACAGGCAATTGAATTAAAGAGTACACATAGTGAAGACGTGTTTTCACATACTCCTGAGCCCTTATTGAAACTTTTACTTTCATCCCTCTGTACCGCATGTGTGGATCAGCGAGGATTGTGCAGGTTTCAGATGTACAGCCCCATGATTACAGGTCCCCCTCCTCTCCCTGATCCCTTATGCGGCGTGTAGGATTGCCTTTATCTTCCTTACATTGATCCAACCCTCTAAGATCCACACAGGAGTCCAGAAGATGAGTTCTGGGGATTGATATCAGATTTGAGGATTTTGCTGATTTCATTCTGAGGTGGGATTACTCACTGAGATTTGTGCCATGTTTGGTCCAGGGTTTGGATCCTCTCATCTGTCGAGAGATGTTCTGTAGCTGGAGTTGAGAGAATGCTCAGATTGTTTGTTCCTCTTGTCACAGGCAAAGGTCACTCTGGGGTCACAAACAGGAAATAACCACGTCCGGATGCTGACCTAGGACAGAAAAACACACAAGCTGTTAACTTTCTTCAAACATTTCCTTTTTTTTTTTCTATTTCTTGACTGTCCTGTTTCCTAATGAAATGTGATGGATGTTTCAATAAAGACACATTGTCACCATGCTGGAGATAACTCTATTTTTCTGTCTCGTTATGTCAGTCATGATCTGATCGAACCTCCCACAGCCTCGCTAAAGGGTAAATATGAAAAGAGAGGAGAAATCTGAGCGCAGGCAGAGGGGTGTTAAATATTCTGAACACTGTCACAGCCAGGCCACAGTGAACACGGAGGAGAGTGGTTTTTGTATGCCCCTGTCATATCTGTCCAAAAAAAGCAACCCCATTGCAAGCTAATGTATTCCTAAATTAAAGTCAGTTTGCATGCTTTAGATAAGCTAGTTTTTCAGCATACAAATGAGGCTTCATTTAAAACTTAACATTCAAATAAACATAGTGAAAAATGTACTCTGTAAGCACATCAATTAACATATATTGTCTGTGGATAAATGTTTTCCGTGAGATAAAGAGCTCCCATTGTTTCTTGTTAATTTCTAGGGAGAGAGGCTTTGCAGGAAGGATCTACTAAATCCAGGAGCACATATGGGAATGTATAGCACGTTGATCTTTGGGGGCTTATAGAGATATAGAGGCCCAAGGGATTTATTCATCTTATGTTAAGCCAACAGTAACTCAGCAATCATGATTGTCCTGAAATTGGCACTACTTTAGTTTGAATTCTGGAAATATAAGAACTCAACTTTCATCCTGGGAACTAAATATTTAATCAGTACTTTCAGGTGAAATCAAATGATGGCTCTAACTCTGAAACATCAGCAATCTATGTCCAGAAAATCTATTTTGTAGTAGCACCTTCAGCAGAGCTTGCACAAGCTGTGCCAGGAAACTCCCACAGATTCTCCTACTTGTTCTCAGTGCATCATGTGGCAAAGATGTGACTATTTCAGACTCAGGTCTCAAGCTTTGCGGCCTTATAGACAGAAATTTTACATTTTGTTCTCAAGCTGGTCGTTCCATTGAGTAATAGGTCTCTGTTGCACAATGGTTATATGTTTACGACCAGTTCACTCTTTCTCTGAGACCTAAAATTGAGTCAGCGCTGCCATCAAAACTCTGAATAACATATCACAACTATTTAACATCTGTTGCCGTTAAAGATGTTTACTTTCAACTTTCCCCCTACAGTGCCACAATCAGTAAGATATATATACACTTGATGCTGCCAAACGCTGGCGTACATTATTATGGCTTGCTTTTAAAAGCCCCGATCAATGATGTTTTGAGCAAAGCTAGGAAAGAGGCCCCAGAACCTTTGGCTTCAAACTCCTCATATTCTGTAACAGATGTTTACTTATCCCACTTATCTTAAGCTTTCCAGCTGAAACCACTTCAGCCAAAATATAATTAAAATTTCCTTTAGAGAATAATTTAGCATTGGTAAGCTTAATGTTGCCAGGCTAATGCTAAGCTAATGTGGGCCGTTGTGAGCACGGGTCAATGCCTGTGCTCCCACAGTCTTATGTTCCCACAGTCCTGTATTCCCACATTTGAGATTGATCACACAGTGCATGTTCTGCTGAGATGAGACCTCCGTGTAAATATATGTGGAAAGATGTCTATGGGTGTGATGTTATGTGTACAAAATGGTCAATGTATGCAGATGGAAACAATTACCCTTGCAAAGGGCGGTAAAATCTAAATTATAATCTAATATATCCACAGTGTAACTTATACCCCCTAAGTATCCAGACATATTGTTATTGTCACTGAGTAATATGGGACGATAGGGCTGTGGGAACACGAGGCCTAATTTTCAGTGAAAGAGAAAAAGTGGGAACATAGGAATGACCCCTGTGCGCTTGTTAGCATGCTAATCTTAGCATTGAACTGCAAGCGATGATGTAGATGCTTTGAGGTAAGACGTATTTCTGAATATTGAAAAAAAAAAAGATGAAATTACAAAAACAATAGTGCAGTAATACAACCAACAAGTTTTTGCGCACAAGTTCAAAGATTTCCCTATGCCAGTGGCTACATAAAAGCTAAAAGCCATGGCCAAACTCTTTGCAGCCTTTGACGCCATTTTTCATTGTGATGATGTAAGTATGCATCGTAAATTCAGCTGCAAATCAATAGAAGTATAAAGAAATGTCTCCAAAGGAATACAGTCTGTTCTCCTGGTTCAGAAATGTACTTAGCCTTGATGCTGTTACATATCTGTGGGCTATTTTTCTTTTTACCAAGTGTTGAGGGACAGACATTTTATTTGATTTCTGGGACGAGAGACTTACAACAGTGTTATTGTGTGGATTACAAAGAGCCACAATGAGGTGATATAAAATTTCAAAAAGAACAACTTCAGACGACCACGAAGAATACGCCATTGATTTGCAGCACTGTTTTGTTTAATCATTGAAGCTCAGTTTTTCCTTTCTTTCTTTTCTCCCCTTTCTTTACAACCACCTGTGCCCTATTTCTCCCTCTTTATATATCCTAACAGATGGAGATGGTGGCCAGGGCAGTCAAGCCAGAGGCAGCAAAGGATATGGGATTTCTATAACACCAGGGGCCTGTTGAGGGGCACAGCGAACAACCAGCTGCCCCCTGTCTCTTATCCTGTTTACTTCCTATCTGGCCTAGCTAACTTCTTTATAGGCTTGTTGTTTCTCCCTTTTTCTCCCTCATTTCTTGTTGGTTTCCATGCCTCTCCGCTCAGCTGTAAATGCAGCCGTAGTCACTCTGAGCTCTTGTTAGACCATCACAGCTCTTGACAGCAATTACCTTACCCAGACATCGCTGACATATATGACTCGATATGTCTGGCTGCTTAAGTTGAAGTGCAATCAAGTCTCCTCTTTCTCTTGTCATCTTGCAATAATTTCTATTTCCTTCATATTTCTATCTAATTAGGCCTTCTTCTTTGCCCTTTTGCCGCGCAATCTGTGGGAATCGGAGAGCCGGGGTATAGAGAGAGCATCTGTATAGAAGCTCTTGTTACCTAGACAGATGTTTATGACGCCCTGTGTAAATTCAACCTAGCACTCAAGAGATTTTTCATAGGAGGACGTCTGCAGAACCAAGCTGTTCGACCTGGCATACTCACCCCAAGTTGCAACTCGTCACCTTGGAAACTTTGTCACAGCTCAACTTGGCGAGCCTTAAATCACTCTCCGCTCTCAGGGTCTCGTGGCTGGTTGCTGTGGATATGGCTCTGTTCGATCAGCCTCTCTCGCCCTTTGCTGCTGCATCATCTCACACTGTGGTCGAGAGCAGCCTTCTTTTCTCAGGGTATGGAGGAGCTTTGCGGGGCTCCTTTGCTTTCTCCGTGGGGTCAGAGAGTCTGTGGTGGGGATATGGAGGGGGCTTGCGACCTCTGCGGCCTTGTGCGGTCGGTGGTTTAGTCTCTGAGGGTTTTTGGACAGGGCCTGCTGAGGATGCTCGCCTCTCTCTGTCTGTGTTGGACTCTGTTTGAATTTCTGAGTTGGTGGGTGGGCAGCTGGCAGATGGAGCTTGGGCAGATGGGTGGTCAATTTGTGGGGTCTCCTGAGTCCTTGCTTTATTTTCTATGACAACAGAAGGGTGGCTGATGGGGAGTGGGGGAGGCTTTGGAGACACAGGGGAGGGAGGGGAGATCCTGATGGAGGATAGAGGCACAGGAGAGTGAGGTTGAGACACTGGGCTGCTGGGGTGATGGAGGTTTACAGTCAGTGGGGAAAGACCGGGAGTTGGAGGCCGAACAGGAAGGTTTCTTTGGGGTGACACACTGGGGTCATTTGAGGCATGATTTTGAAACTGATGGGGGTTGGATGACGTAGAAACATGCCCACCTTGTCTGGGAGATGACCCCAAACTGCAGGTTAAGCGAAGAGTCCGACTTGGACACAGCAGCATCTTTGGTGGAGATTGGCTCCTACTGTAAGAATAATCTCTCCTAAACTTGCCAGATGAGTCTGACGTCCTTGGCAGCGGTTCTTGCTCTGAGGGCCTGTGATTGGTGCTTCCTACCATGACTTCACCGGAGCTGGACGCCGAAGCGGGGCTGCTGTCACTGGAAGGCCTGGCAGTGTCTCCTCCTTCAGTCCTCAGCTGTTCCTCCTCATTCAGATCGATGGATGATGTGAGGTAGTCAATCTGATGCACCACCTGGGCGATACACACAGAGATAAACACATTCTGATCATGAGATTTTACACCAGTATTAGTTTTGAGATTTGGATAATGTCATGACTGTATATAGAATGGACAGCGTCTGCCTTCTGGCTGGGTGAAGCCACCCTGAGAACAGCACCCTCTGGTGACGGGCTGCAGTATGGGTCATAAATCCCACCTCTTCCAGTAATCCCTATGGAGCCGTTGGCAAACTTTAGAAATGTATTACACAGAATATACGTTTTTCTCCCTCCTGCTTGTGATGTTGACATGTAGTTACAGTAAGACTGGTTTGTGCTCAAGTCCTCTTTTTTTCTGTACAGCTCCATTTTTAAAAGTTATTAGGGGGTTCATGTTTTCTATGATTGACACTTGATACAGCCTATGGGTGTACAATGATTTCGTAGCTCACCTGGGGGATACGCTGTTTGAGCCGAGCGTCATCACAGCGACTCTTGGCGGCTCTCTTGCCAAATGTGCACAACGCTACTGCGCAAGCGGTATGCAAGTGGATTGCATACAACGCTTTTGCGCAATGTTGGTTTCAGGAAGTGCAGAAAAAAACGCAGAATTACAGAGAGCTTTTAGGCTTCAAATCTGTATACTGGCGGAAGGCAGAACCAAGTTGTCCATAGTATAAACAGTCTAAGGATAATGTCTTCTGTTGCTCTTTAGTGGAGCTTTGAGGTGTAAGACACTGATGCTATGATGATGTCGCCTGGGTCACCACAGCTTGGCATCAGAGACTTGAAGTGTCGAACAAAAAGTCCAAACTGGAGGTCAGAAGTTACAGAGATGTGGATGTTCAACAAGCCAAGAATGTCTTACTCTTATAGGACCACTTGCATCATAGAAAATGTAGGATAATGTTTTTTCTGAGAGTGTAAGACTGAACTGACTGTCTAGATATTTCCACCCCTGCTTCTCCAAGTTTGAGATTCATAAAAATTAATCTTTCATGAGTCTCCACGAATTATGGGAGCAGAACAGTACTTCAATACTGGAGTGCCTTTAATGACTATGGAGTCTAGTACTTGGAGGCCCAAGGTGTGACATCTGCAAATGTTTGTCTGCTTTTCTAATGGCACTCTGAAACAAAAGAGATTCAATCTGAAATTATTCACAAAGAAAGAAAAAATTGCAGCAAATTCTCTCGAATGAGGGCCTTGATTGAGAGAGAATCATGAATTAAATGCTCATTACTGAGTACTGAAAGCCCTTCAACACTTGAAGCTGTTTTTGCACTCATTTGAGTTCCAGGCATGAGTGCTGAGGTGAAGGCAAAAGGGAAAAAACAGGAATCCACTATGCTAGATTTGGACGCTGCGTTTTCCCTCGGTCATCAGATTAAAACCCTTATGTCACCGGGACAGTCCAACATTAATCCCAAGACCCCTTTTTCCAATTTCATTAATCTTAAACAAAATGCTTGAAAACATGCAAAACCAATCCAACTCCTTCTACCTCTATAACAAGGATGATGTGAAATGCCAGAGTGATTTTCACGTGATGTACTTGTATTACTGCATGTGTAATCCAGAGTTTTACGAACGTGAACTCTTGTAGGAGTCCTTTTTACAAGATATATGACGATAATATGTAAGTGTGTCACACAAGCTGCAGCAGAGTGCAAAATGTACCCCAGCCTAGATAATATGGCATTACAGTTCCAAGAAATGCGTTGGGTATATTTAGATTTATCCGCTGCTACTGTAATAAGTCTTTGTGTGCAGTGCAAATTACTCTGTACAATAGATCACACACAAGTATAATCATCTATAGGTGCATATGTTTGAGTGAGTGCATTGCAAGAGCATGTAAAAGAGGAGATAAACACATCAGTGTTGAACACAAAGATGTTTTAAAATTTGTGGATATGCACGCTCGCACTAATGCACACACCAAAACACACATGCACCCATTGATGGAGGCAGGAGAGATTGGAGAAAATTACACTGGGGAAAATGTTTGACCTATCTCTCCACCTGCTCTGTGTGCACTGATAAATCCTCTGCCCTGCTGGAACAGATGAATTATTGTTTTGTTCTGTGTGTTCAACAACATCCTTGCTGATGTCAAAAGATGACCTGGTTTGTCTGTTATTTTTTTTGTTTTTTAATATTGTAGCCCTGGGTGAGGAGGGGGGAGGCTTTTCATATTACTTTGAAGTGCAGCATGTACTCACATCTTGTGACTCTTTCAGGTGCTGCTTGTTAATGTCAGAAATCAGGGGGAGAAAAGAAAGAGCAGAAGACCCTGAATTTCATCTGCTGCTCTCTGGGGTATTTATTAAAAACAATGTGTTTTGACCCCTCAGGTCCTTGCATTGCGTGATGACTGCTGGGACATGTTTGTTGTGGAGATAAGTCGGTCGAGTTAACCCCTCTAGTTTAACTCTACTGTTGTGTAGCTCGGTGTTGAGTCATAGAGGATCTGTCAGAATCAGATTCATTCGTCAGATGTGTGAGGGTGGTCTTTAGTGTTGCTTAAATATTTGTTTGGTCTCTGTCTGAAATGCTTTACAGGCTCTTTCCAATTCCTTTTTATAGCAGTGATTGATTATTAAATAAAAACCGAGGGTTGCTGCTCATGCAACAGAATGATAAAACAGGGCTTTGAAATAAATATGCGACCAAAGTCTTCTCGGGTGCCTTATCCTGCTTTGATCTGTCGTCTCTGTTGTGAAAATTTGCGATTTTCTATCACAGTGTCTGCGAGCCCTCCCTTTCTTTTTGTGAAGCTGATATGCACTTTCATCAATTTTGTATCAACACTGTCATAGAAAAACCTCGCAGCCAGGATGATGAGGTTACTAACTCGGGCTTAGCTGCGACCTCATAGATGCGGATCACATTGCGAGAGGCGAGGTTTTATGTGTCACTTGTACTGGACGAGGCAGAAATGCATGGACATAAATGGATTATAAAGAAAGCGCAGGACGCTACCCAGCTGTGCCTGGAGCGACATCTGTCCATACTGAGGGAGAGTGGAGGAGGCGGAGATGAGAGGAGACAGAGAGAGAGGGATATAGATGCAAAGAGGGAAGGCTATTGCTTTGCCTGAAGTCACACGGCGTCATATCAGCATCCTCAGAATGCATCATGCAAATGGGGCATAGCAATTGTCTCAATCACCTCTATGTAAATGTTTGAGCGTGGTGGTGTAAATATTTGGAGACAGATGACAGAGGAGGGTTAAAGAAACAGTTTGCAGACTGTGGCAGATTCTTGCAGACCTTGCTGCTGACTTTTTAATGCATGTTAATGCATCGTGCTGAGGCTGTGCAGTGTTATCTACAAGCCCTAAAGGTTTAAAAGAGTTAGCATGAACATTTCCTGCAAAAGGAGGCAAGAAGGTGTAAATTAATGAGAGAGGATTTATTACTGCTCTACTTTTGTTGTGGACTAATTTATGGATGTTCTTCTGTCAGTGCAGGGGAGAAAATGCAGGCAGGACGATTGAATTAGCAACACTTTTCTTAAAATCTCTTATACGTTACCTCTCTCATTTCCTCTTGAACATCTCTCAGAGCTGTCAGAACCTGCTCCAGATTGTCCACCACTCTTTTGATCTGGTTGCGAACCACTTTCCTGCTGCAGCCCGCCTCCTTCCTGTGTGACTCCCTGTCGTTTTTCGGCCTGTACTGGACCCACGTCTGATTCTGTCCCAGGATCGAGATACGCTCCAAACCTTGTCTGGGTTTCCTGGGTCGTCGTAGAGTGGCAGTGCAGCCCGGGCCTCTCTGAGGGACCTCGGTAGAGAAGATGACTCCGTTGAGTGGCCTATTGAAACTCTCCACAGGTGGCTCCCTCAGGTCTCTCTGGCTCTGCGAGGTCCTGCTTTGCTGTTTGATGTAGCTGAAGCTGGAGGTGAAACCGTGCTGCCTCTCGATGAGCCCTCGACTGTCTGAGCTCACCCAGCTGGAGGAATGCAGATCTCTGTGGCGGTAGGTGGTGTTGCTGCTGTAGTCCCACACCTTCTTGCTCCTATCCTCCAGGCCCATCACCACAGGTACGTCACAGTTTGTCTCCTCAGAGGCAGGAAGAGGAGGAGGTGCCACTAGAGGCCCGTATTTCCTGACTTGGGTGCCTGTGCCGTCCTTCTTTGACTGAGGAAGGCTCGGGTGCCCGCTCTGGTTCTTCGTGGAGCTTTTGCTTAGACTCTGCGGTGCATCCTCTGGACTTTTCTGGGTGCCTGAATCTGGTTGCAGCTCCGGAGACTGGTTCCATCTGGCAGGGCTCTCCTCCCTCTGCTTCCCCAGACTCCCCTGAAGGATGTTGTGCCCCCTCAGCACCACTGGTAGCATCCTCGCCATCCCCACGCCATTGCACCGGAGCTCCCCTTTCTTGGCCCGATCTTTCCCTTGGATGGAGAAGAACCCGATGCCTTTGGCTCTTTCCAGCGGGGTCAGGTTGTTGCGGGCCTCTGAGCCGGATTTGAACTGTCCGTTGAGCCCCAGGTCGCCGCTGTGGTGAGGCTTCAGACTATTCCGCAGCCAGGGGATGAAGTGAGGGGCGTGCTGTTTAAAGCCTTTCTGCTCCCCTGGCGCCGGAGCCCTGCTGTCAGAGAACATGGTGATGGATGATGTCCAGCAGCCTCAAAGACAGGAGAAGAAGAAGAAGAACAGGAGGACTCCTGGGACACAACACTTCTTTTTCTTTTTCCATGAATCTCCTCCTCCCTTTTCCATGACACTATACGACTATCTCCAGTCTTTTGTTGCCTTCTCTCTCCTGCTCCAAAACTTTTATCCGCTGTTTCTCCTCCTCATCACAGAACACACCCACCGATCTACTCCCCTTTCCCCGCTGAAGCCTCCCTCTAAAATAATCCCCTTTTCTGATATCCCTCCGTTTCTTCTTCTCTTCCTACTATCCTCTCGGTGATGGTGCTCTTGAGCCCCTCACCCCCTCATTGGGCCGGCCACGGAGGTGCCTTGGAGGGCCTCTCTCTCTTCCTCTCTCTCCCTCTCTGTCTTCTCTCTCCGCCTGCCTGCGTCTCACTGGCTCAGTAGCAGTAGAGGCTTCCTGTCTCTACATCTCTCTCTCTCTCTCTCTGACTCTCTCTCTCTTCCTGTATCTCTACCCCCCCACACTGCGCTGCGCTGCCTCCTCTCCTCGCTCTTTCTTCCTCCCACTCCCTCTCACTGCTCTAACTCCCTTTCTCTATTACCCTCTTCTTTCCCCATCTCTGTCTCCTCTCCCTTTTACTCTCATCTTATCGTCCTCCGGCTTTGCAACTCTGTCCTTTACTCTCTTTTTCCTCCTCCTCCTTTCTGTCACTGTCTTTCTCCCCCACCTCCAATTTGCCGGTCAGAGCAGCTGAACTATAGCTATTAATCCCCCCGTTAGCCAATGTATACCCACGTGATTCCCCCTTGCCTCCTTTCTCATCTGATTACTCCTTTCCCGGCTCAGCCCCTCACAATTAAATGCTGCTTAGGAGACCAGAGGGGGTTTAGAGTAGTAGAGAAGGATGGCAGCAGGAAGGGATGGAAGAGAAATGGTAGGGGGGCACATAATTGCAACCCACAAGATCAGAGATCAGACCCAGTTTGACAGAAACTATAAGCTGGCTGCCTATAAACAACAGCCTGCCTGTGGCACGGCTGTCCCCAGATTATTCTGACTGTCAGCAAATAGTGTCCCGTTACATCCCAGTTGTTTTCCTTGTTTTATTTATTGCCGCATATCCAACTTCCATTTGTTCCAATTACGCAGAGACAGCTGCTATTTTTGAGATTCTCATTCACATTCCAATTCTGGGTTGTCGGGATTAGATTTCTTGTGTCTGACAAGCCCAAAAAATGCCTCCTAGGTGCCTTTTTTTCCCTCAACTGCGGCTGCCTGAATGGGACCCTCCCTCTCTGGCAGCATGTGAAATGAAAAGACAGAAACACAGGCACACAAAAAGCCACTGACAGTTTGCTGTCACTCAGCAGTGAGCCACTCAAAGCATCTGTCATTCTGTTAGTCAGCATGCCAATGTATTCCTCTGGTAGTGCCCAGTGAAAACACGACTCCATTCACTGACATGTTTTACATTACAGGTAGAAAGAGGAGGGGGGTAAAGAGGAAACAGACTGAAGCTCTGTGTAATCTGTGGACTAAGAAGATTCCTGCCTACATGTTGACAGACTGCTGTCAGCGAGTAATGACTGTTAGTCTGGATGAAAAAAAAAAAAAAAAAAACTATAAAGAGTGGAAGTAATGGAGCAACCACTATTAATCCTCTAGAGGATTGTTCCTCACGGCATGCGAGTGCTCAGCGCTAAAGACTGTCCCTGCATTAAAGCGGGTTCACTTTGGCATTTAGAGATTTGATAAACATCCATATCTGCATGCATGAATGTTCAAAGGTTCAGAGATTTCCAACTGAAACTCATTTTGCATGTAAATTTAACACTTTAGTTCAAGTTCATTTGCAAACTACAGTGTCATGCAAAATCACTTATTCCCTGACACGCCAGAATATGATGAAGTAAATAATAAGATCAGAACATTAAGTGTAAATACACACAAACACACGCACATGAATAATCACAGTGATGATGATGGGTCAAAAGCTAAACTCAACATGTTTATTCAGTGTTGGCACAAACCTGCATCCACTCAAAAACACTGTTCGTGTTTTGTGAGTTTTAAAAACTCCACAAATATTTGTACACTGTGTAATATTTGGATAATTTTAATCAAGCTTGTTTAAACGAGAAGACATCCTGCAGTAAAGAATAAGAGTTTAAATTCAGTTCAAGTTAAACAACGCTATTTATCCCTGAAGGGCCATTCAACTTGGCAGTCTACCAATAATATTTGGTAATATTTATATGTATATGAGGGACTCAGTATTATATGTGGAATACATGGAATTAATGACCAAATCTTGTTGGATATAAATCAGAAGATCTTTAATTTCATTTAGATTAAGTGCAAATAAAGTCACTGTGAGGAGTTTTCTGGTTGTGACCATGTTTGACGTAGTCAGAAGACATAGTCATTTCCTATGTGCGCAATCACTTCCTGTCATGATGTTGCCTTTGCATTGGAAGCAAATCAATTGACCAAGATCTTTTTGAATCTAACTTTTCTCCATCAGAGGCAACTTTTTGCAGGATTTGGAGAAATGATTGATTGATTGATTGATTGATTGATTGATTGATTGATTGATTGATTGATTGATTGATTGATTGATTGATTGATTGATTGATTGATTGATTGATTGATTGATTGTCCTGTAGGAAGATTTGTTTTCACTGACAGTACATGGACACATCTCAGTCAACAACGGACACTACATACACACCAGCAATAAGTGACATGCATAACAACAATGGCAACTCATATAATGAGGAAGTGTATAATGATTTGTGGTGGCATAAAATCATTAACTACAACATGGCAAGGACAAAACTAAACTCAGGGCCCAGTATAGATCAGTTAGTGGAACAGACACAACATGTAAAGAGGCAACAGCCCCCGTTACACTGACTGTGGGATTGATTCCAGACCGCTGTCATCCCTGACTCTCTCCCCATGTTTCCTGTCTCTCTTTAGCTGTACAATACAATAAAGGTGAAAAGACAACAAAGGTAATCTTTGAAAAAAACAACAAGAAAACTTTGTAAAGTGATAATGGCTGTTAGTGATCTCACAAGAGGTGAACAGATATACCAGTTTAATATCACCCGTCATAGCTTGAAACCAAAAGTCTCAACAAATGTCTGGAGAATGTAAATATGAGCACAACTCATATATCCTCAGTAATCAGTGAAGCATTTAGATGCAGGCATAATAAGCAGTAAATCCTGCTCAAAGCTGTTTTACTTTTTGAAGGTGCAAAGTCCAAGTTGAAGAGTTTCTCCTTCTAAAACTTTGCATCTACAGAAAACATATGTCTTTGTGCTAATCCTGTCTCAGTATATGAGCCATGAGTACCAAACATTATGCTAAGAGAAAATGATCTAAAGAGAAAAAAAACTTCTGCTTACTAAATTGCAGAATTACACAAACAGATTTTTAACCATCTAAACATACCTTTGAAAGTCCGGCACTGAAATTTTAATCATTTATCATGTATTAAAAAACTTGTTGCTGATTGTCACATTCTACTGTATTAGAAGGTATTAGTATACAAGAGACACTATTTAGCCAAGCTGTTAAAATGAACCCCTCATGCACAGACGGCTCTGTTTCCTGCTCTATCCACTTTCCCATCCTGTCAAATTAAAGCCCCAAAAGCCCAAACGTTAATTAAAAAAAAGTGACTCTATTACAAAATCAGCCGAAAACTCCCCACAGTGCCTTTTAAGTCATAAAACATTCAACAAAAACCAAAATAGACAAACCACGAATGTAAAATTAAGAGGTTGTAGATATGTTTCTGAAAGGTTGCATCAAAAGTGTGTCACCCTCAGCGCAGATTCAGTGTCAGCAATCCTCGATAATGAAGGGATAATTAACGCCCAGGCGAATTCATTTACAGGTCAAAAAAAATGCTGCTAACCATATTTAAAAGAGGGATATTGATGTCGAAGGTAATCGCTGTTTTATTAGGACGGGCACTTTCTGCTTATGAGGCAAACTTTGGAATAAAAGAGAAACTAAGACCAGGTAGAAAACTCAGTGAAGCTATCAGGGATGTTACTATAGATCTTGGTTTCCAAATAACTCAGTATACTGCAGCTGTCATTTAATGTATTTTTAAATATCATTTTATTAATTCAATTTTTCACTCATTATTTTTATTTACTCCGCTTTCATACACATTTATATACCCTTAAAAAGACGAGCTGTCATTTTGCTGGCACATATACGTTACATGTCACATGATTATATATTTAAAAGAGAACTCCCACCATCTCTCAATCTCTTACTGTTTATGTGTGCGTGTGTTTCTATCACAAACCTTAAATTTGTGTCTCTTAAGTGTCTGTTTTCCTTCATCCAGCCACCCACTTTGAGAGGACTGTAAATAACATGGCAATGAAACACACGCTATCATTGCACAGCCATTTCAAGTCAATGTGGTGTAATAAGTAGCTGTCACAGATGCTGTCTGTTTGCTCTCTGCCTGGTTAACCACTTGAGTTCTGCTGCCTTGACTCCACGTCTTCATTAGTGTGATGAATATATGTGAGTGATTGGACTAAAACAGACTGATGCCGTTAAAAGCAGGAAAAAAAACCCTCCCTTAATTTATCTGCAGTGTCTCTTCTGACTCCTCCAGAGCAGAAGGTGTTTTGTCACCATCCTGTAGTTTCAGTTCAAGTTAGAACGGTTGGTTTTAAGTGGGAGGCAGAGCATATGGCCTCGTTGTAACCTTGTCCGCCGCCTCCTGTGGTGCTGCCTTGCTTGTTTTTGAGTCCTGTGACAAACTGACGGCCCGTCCAGAAGCAGTAGAGCGTGTGTGTTGGAGCTCTTCAGCTGCATGAATGGATGTGTGTCAGCTGAACTCTACACTGCCGCTGCTACAGTTTCCCTGTTTGAATTTGTCGAAGCACACTCAGACAGAAAGGGAGATAGGGAGGACATCACTGAACAGCTTACATAACTCAGCGGAAAAGATAAATGTTCAAGCGAGCCTCTGAAAGCAAAGGTCCCATGTCTGTCCAAATTTCCTGTGTGAAAAATGGCGTTTAGTCACACAGTCGATGAGTTTGGGTGCTTGGGAGTTTTTTCTATAACCACCTGGACAGCAGAAATGTGCGGTTTTGTGGGGATTACTTGTGTTTGCACTTCTGAATTTGGCTCTACACAAGTAAAAAGTTTCCTGAGAACACATTGTTCTTTTTTATGATATTAAATATGGAAGTGAGCAGATGCTGTCTTCCCTGAAGTGTCCAGTGTCGCGCTGCTGATAATCCTCAGGGCCTCACCAGTGAGTTGTCTGTCTCTGTCTGTGTGTGTGTGTTTGTGCGCGCCGCAGTGTCTTTCCCGTCGATTCATATATTTTTGTGTTGTTTGCTTTTGGATTCCCCTCCGCTGTGCTTTTCATCCTTGAACAACACGTCAGTCAGGTGCTCTCTGAGGACTTGAGTGAGAAAGGAAGAGAGAGAGAGAGAGAGAGAGAGAGAAGAAGAAGGGACACCAAGAAAGAGTAAAGAGAGGCAGAGAAAAAGAGAGTTTTGAAAGACTCCTAACTTCCAAAGCCGACTGTCATAGCTGTGCTTGCCAGAGGGGAGAGCACCTTTAAGCATACCGGATGAGTAACGATGTGGAGGGACTACAAAAGCAAAGTAATACATAATAAGCAGCGCTCGCTCTGCTGTGCACTGCCAGCTAACCTACATGAGATAGGTGTTGAGTAAAAAATCTGCAAGTGCACGAAAGGTCAGCAAAGGCCTGGCGCTGCTTCTTTAAAACTCTGCACATGCTGTAATGAGGTTTAGAAAGTATGGATGTAATTGTTTGATTGAGATGTCAGGCCTGAAACCAGCATTTCCATAGAAATGGGGAACAAAAAGCAGGCATTGTGGCAGCTAAATCAAAACGTGACAAAATGTTTTGCATACGGTTGGCAACCACAAGTTTATTCGCACTGTAACTCACTTGTTATCTGCAGCTGAGGATATAAACCTGCTTCTCCTTTACGCTGCGGCATAAATCAACAAAAATACATATTCTCTTGTGTCATCAAAGCTGCAATCATTGGAGAAGCTGCAATCGTTTTGTTCTTTAGTGCCACTCATCTATTGACTGCAATCACGGGGCTTTTTTCTCTCATTAGGCCTAAAAGGCATTTTCGCCAGCATTGATGATAAAAAGAAAATCTAGAAATATGGCCGTGTGATGCTGTACGAGTGCAGAGAATAGCCTGCTGTTTGAACACAATGCCCTGTGGTTTGTTTTGTTGCACCACCCAGAACTCAAACATTAGGGTGTTTGTGCCCGTATTGACAGGCAGCCAGACTTTGTAGTGTTATGCCAAAACCAACTGCTGTATCCTTGCAGGGATGGACCGTGATAATCCGGCTGGGTTTGTCCTTCCTAACAGGGTTTTATGTGTGCACAGCCACGCTAGAAAATCACTCCTTTGATCCTGGAGAAGAGGGGGATGCTACAGTGCCCTAGCTCAACTTTGTTTAGTTCAGGTTAGGGGTCTGTTGCACAAATCATTACTTAGTAAGCCGTGCTTCAACACAAGTGGAAAGAGTAATGGGTCCTCTGCACGCTTAATTTTTCTCCCTTCTTGGGATGCAGGACAGCTCCTTTGTAGTCTCTTCATTATGTCAGAATGATAATTACGCCCCAGTGGAAGCTAGCCTCACCAAATGTATTAAGAGTCTTCAGTCACATCCACTGATAATCATGTCGTGACTGTCGTTTCATTTCCACAAAATGTTTGACTGAGACACACAGATGCTGGGAAGAGAGGAGAGAAATAAGCAAACTGAAATCCTAAACTTTTATCCACCCCGTCTCGTCTGTTATTCTACCCCTTACACAACTCCCCAACAGTGGCAGACAGAATTGAATCATATTAGTTGTTTTTTTTCAGGGTGTATTTTGCTTTACTTGACATCACAGTTGCATCAAATAAGAACAGGAATAGGTAAACAAGGAGAGTGAGACGTGACTGGGATGGGCTCACATCTCAGTTTAGTCAGAACTCTCTCAGCTCCAGGGTGCATCCACTAAAAGAAGAAATGCACGTTGAGATAATGACCATTAGATGATAATTGGGCACTCGGTGCTGCAGAAGCCTTTCAAGTGGGCTGCAGGGAGGATGTGCAGACGTGCTACTGGCAAAATTATCATTCCAAAGTCTGAGGAGAAGCAAAGTCATTGACAGATTAAACCCAAACTGAATTCACATTGAGTGTTTCTCTTCTCTCGCTACACTTGCAGCTGAGCTGAATGTTTAAAAATTTCCCAAAACAGAAGCACAAAGTCTTTCCGACTTAGTCATTTCCTGCTTTACCTTTGACCACAGCCTGGGCCTACAGGAAGTGGAAAAAAGCGACCCATATCTTGGATTGTTTGTCCGTCAGAAGGGTTTGTGCTTGCTTTTATGGCTTCTTAACAATGCAGCAAGCAGGAGGAAGGGATTTGGCAGACTAAATCCAGGTCAAACATTCAGTCAGATTACCCTCCTGATCTGACCGGAAAATTCCAGCATCCCGTGTACAGATGGAAAGCCACTCGATTGATTGACACAAGGAAAAAAAGACAAGAAATTTATTCTTTAAAAAAAAGTATATTTGCATTATATTTGTTGTGCCTGGGTACAATATAGAGACACAATAACAGTTATATGTACACAAGTGACAATTAAACAGTTCTCAGTTCACAAAAGTAAAAAAAGCATCAAGATCTGAATGTTTCGTTTCAAGGACTCAGAAAAACGAGTGGGGCTGTTGCAGAGGTTTGTGGTGATTTCTGCAAAGTGTGTCATGCATTTTAAACCAAGGGGAGATTTAAACTAACCCTGAGATGTGGAGGGATTGGAGAAAATGACATCCAAAGACAATTAAAGTCAACTGTTTTGGGGGGAATTAGGAAAAAGGATTTACTTCAAAGCCTGCCAAAATAGTGTAGCAGGAGTCAACGGGGTCCGACAAATGAGAACGAGACTCAGGGAAGTCATCGAAGAATTAAAAAGACATATTTAAAAAAAAAAAAAAGAAATCCACAACAGCCACCACCTTTGTCTTCATTATCACCATAAGCAGAGTTATAATCATCAAGTGCACACTGTTTTTCAGAAATGTTCCCCCGGAAAGAGACCCCATTTGAAGTGACATCAGTCTTCTTTTCTTTGGCAGAGCTGCTGTGGATGGAGTTAAAGTTTCAGCAATCCTATCTGGAAAAGCACAGCGCTTATTACACGGCTCAATTTCCAATTCTCTCACAGGTACGCACACAAACACACATACACACACACACACATGCAGAATACAAAATGAGGCCGCAGCACAAAACAATCTCCCAGACAGGCTCAGTGATACAAAAACACATAGACAAAAAGGAAAGACAGCTATTATGTGAGGTTAGAGAGGGATAGTAGTAACTATTCATATGCTCCTTTATATGGAAGAAACACAACAGCATCTTTCACTCCATTAAAAGGACTTGCATCTCACAAACAGTGATGGTAATCTCCATCACATTACATGAGGCTGCTGTGTGCTCAAAAACGGAGAGGCGGCTCGACAGAGGCAGGCTCCGGGCCATTATACCACCCTGGAGTGTGGAGCTATAATTGCAGAGGGAGAGTACAATCAGGTACTGTGTTTGTCTCTGCTCTAATCTCTGTATACCCTGCCTGGTCCTTTTCATAGATACAGAGCTACAGTTTTGGTCCAGCCTTTCATCTGACTGCTCATGGGGAGTCTTTCTAGTCCAGATCCATCAGAATTTGAACCACAGTTTTTGTGCTTTTATGGATGAACCCGTGGCAATACCGATAAACCTGAAACGAGACTGACCCCAGGCTCAAACATCTATTATGATGAGTATTTCTGCTGTACTCATGCTTTATTCCCCCTCTGACAAACTGACAGGGCAGCCTTGCACCTGACGCCTCATTGTGTGGCACCCCTGCTGTGTTTTTGACATTTATTAAACCGAAAAAGAAGTTTGTCAGAGCAGAAAAGCCCAAAGCCAGCAAGACGTTTGAGTCAACAATGCCCAGTAGAACCAGATTCCTTCATGTTTACGGTCCCACCCTGACCCAAATACTTCATCTTTGATGCGGTGGCTATAAACCGGGCTATTATAAAGCAAAACTAGGTTTATAGGTGCCTTCTAGAGAAAGTGGACTTCAGTGCGCGACGGTGGGAGCTGTGAAATGCAGGGTAAGCGGGATTATTGTGTTGCTTCACATAGTTACATGTATGCAGGGATGTACAGTACAGCGCTTGTTCAAGATTGAGTGCAATTGTACTTAAAGACACAAACAAACAAAGAAATCACTTTTATGTGTCCTTGGGTATTTGAAAAAGATATAAATTCACTTTTTTCAGGCGCTCCGAGAGCAATTTGTCCGTTCTAAGCACCTTACAGAGATAAAACAGGAGGCCTGTGCCTGGATTCATGTCTGTGTGATTGAGTAAGAGAGCAAGCAAGCTGCCCTTGGAATGAAGATAAAAATATGTATTCGAAGGCACAGTTGTCACGGCTCCTACCCCTGAATATACTGATAAGAGCTTAGAGTTTCTACATTCATTCAAAATAAAACATCTGCTGTAGATTAACAAAACAATCCGACTTTGGACAAACTAGCGAAGAGAGTTTCAGTGTTACAGTAATGGCTGAAGGCACACAACACAAAGCAGGATACGTGAAATAAATTGTTCGTCATTGTCACCTTAAAAAAAAAAAAAAAAAAGTTGCTGCATGATGGTAAATTTGAGGGTGACTAGAGGTAAAGGTGTGGTCAGAGATTCCCTTCGTCGAGCATCTTGTTGACCCCGTTACAGATCCTCTGCAGGTGAGCGCGGTAAACCTCAGAGGGCCCGTACAGAGCCGCTAGGAAATCACAGTCGGCGAAGTGATTGAACACGTGGTTGACTCGGGAGTGGCTCTTGGCTGTCAGGTGGCGTTTGATGGCCTGGTGCAGCAGTTCACGGCAATCATTTAAAATGGCGCTCATGACGCGGCGGTCAAAGGTGAACTCGATCTGGTGGAAACTGACCGCCGTCATGGCCAGAGTGTGAACTTTCTTCCTGTGAGACGACAGAAGAGAGAAGAGAGGCTGTCAGTTTCTAATTCTGACTGGAGCAGCAGTCAGAGGCAAGTAAAAATAGAAACTGCTGTCTTATGATTTTCTTTTGAAAAGTTTCACCCCCCCTCCCCCAACCACACACACACTCACAGACACACACACACTCACACACACACTCCCCATCAGTTAAAGGATTGTCCTTCACAGCGATGCATCTCCATGCTAACACAATCACCATTCTCCATACTGTGCACTAATGTCAGCTTCAAATGCCTCCAAGCTGCCTTTTACTTTTTTAGTGGGTAATATATAAACTGATGTGAAAGACAATTTCCTTAATTTGCCACCATCAGCACATTAAAACATACTTGGCTGCAGACTTTTTTTTCTGCTTGAATCTCTCAACCAGGACCAGCTGAAGATCTGTCAAATCCAGATACGCCTTGAAACAATATTTTAATAGCTGGTAGAATCTGACAGTGGTTTAGTGTTGACCATGTTGGAGCTATGTTGGTGTCCTAATTTTAGAAATATGACAAAAGAACTGACACTTTTCTTATGTGTGTGTACTTTGCAGAGCAAGAACAGGAAGTATTTGCCTCGCTTTGCACAAGATACTGACAGCAGCTTGCTGACATATTTGAGTTTGAAAATACCAACTAGGGGTGTGCACATCTATTTGATGAAACAATTGAACACTGGTAGGAACCAGAGTAACCAGAAACCAGTTAAAATGTATTTAAATTTTAACCATTGCAGGCTCAAAATGATGCTCATCTTCAAGCTGTGGGTGATACATTTCTATATCCTTAACCTGTGCAATACATGTCCATGTATATTTTAACAAGATATATAAACATATATATGTATATTATTCTTAATATTTATCCTCCTCTTATTCTTGTATATAGTTTTCATTGCACTGTTTGCACTGCACTGGAGAATTTTATCTTGTAAATATTTTGTACCTTTTGTTTTTCTTACAACTATTTTGTACTCTTAATTCGTTTCTGTTTTTCTTTTTTTTTGTATCTATTGCACTGGAAATAGAGAAGTTCTCCAATCTCGTCAGTATGATGTCAATAAAGGGCACTCTGATTCTGATTCTGATATTGGTGTGAGACACTCTGTTTAAGGAGTTCTTCAGATATTTTGCTTCCACTTTCGTAAGACGTATGTGCTGTAAGGCTGCAGGATATTGGAAAAACTAACATGGCAATTTTTTTCAACCCTGCGATATATACTGCGATATTACAAAATAAAGGGATTTTCACCAGATGACCTGAATAGCACTTTATGTTATGCTGCACTGCTGAAATCTTGTGGACAGTTAACCTGCACTGATCTTTCCTCTTTTGTGAATGTTAGTAGAATGGCTTCTGTCTGTCTCAGAGATATTTTTAGCTTTTATTGTGCTGGGACGTTATTGTGGAAACAGGTGAAAGGCACTGCCGACACAGAACAGGTGTTTTGGTCGACATCATCCTTTTTGTAACTGAAATAATTCCAGATAACTGACTTTCCTTTTCTTTTTAGCAACAAGTCTTCATTTTTGGTGGTTGTCTCTTGTTTGTTGCTTATTTTGCAATCTTGTTGTTGTTACCGGTGTTGTGATAAGAAACTTATGCCCGCCGAGAATTGCATGTACCTCGCAAAACACGCACCGCTTATAGTAGAGTTGTCCATGGAAATGCATCATTTCAAACCCATACAGTTTTTATTTCTTGGGCTAAACAGTGATGAAGAATGTTCTCAAAGTAATTCTCAGCGGACACCCGTTTCTCTGCACAACACCGACACCGTTTCCTCCTCTCTGATTTTGATTGACAGCTGGTAGGGCAGTCGGATTGGCAACTGAGTAAAGAACGAATGTGATTGATGGATCGCTGTACAGCCCATGTAGAGTCACATGTGGTGTATGTCAATCAGCTACCCTTGAAATTAGATGTGTTCATTCGCCTCCTATATCGCAGGCTTTGCAATGTGACTATCACACACACGTACATCGCGATGACGATGCTCAAACGATATATCGTGCAGCCCTTATGTGCTGTATCGTACCTGAAGTTCTCCACCAGAATCAGCTCCTCGGTGTTAAACTGGTTGTTTCTGTAGAGAACTCCCAGCTTCACCACCATCTTGATCAGGTTCTTGATGATCTTCTGGGACTCTTTGCGGTTGTGGGTGTACTCCTTGGTGACGCGGTACAGCTCATCCAGCACCTCGCTGCTGGTGTCGTCAATGAAGAGGTTGGCCACGCTCTTCGTGGCCATCTTACTCATCAGCTTCTTCTGCGCCTGCAAGGCTAAGCTCTTGGTGCTGAAGGAGTCCATGGCCGGGTCTGTAAGAGACAAACGGAGAGGACATCTGTATTTGGAATAGGAACTGACATATTGCTGATCTTTTTTTCAAAGACAATAGAAATAAATTGAAGCAGTGCCACTTCTTAAATAGAAGCTAGGCCCCCTCTCATCTTGAGGAACAAACATTAACACAATGACAGCCTGCAAAGTGTGAGGTTATTACAAATAACATCTACACTAATGCTTTTTAAACTGCAGGGCCAAGAACTGTCCCCTTTATTAGATAATGAGCCGTGGCAGCTGTCAAATTAGTCCCAGCAACCCCCTGGCTCGGAGCCGACACTGTAGTTAGACAAAAATGTGTCATAACGCTCACCGGATTAAAGTCAGTTACAGCGAGCAAAGAAAGGGCAATGAGAAGTGGCTGGCACATGCCGAGAGTGCAGCTTGAGAAGAAGGTGTGCATGTATGTGTGAGTCAGACGGTACAAAGTCACTCCTCACACATGTTGCTTGATTTATGTGTGATGCTGTTTCTGTGTGCCAGGGTGACTCAGTGAAAGGCTACGCCCACAACAGGGGTGCATTAATAGTGGAGGTCACTGGCTTTCACTACAACTCCCCATCTTTCTAAACAATGAGGCATGTCCACAGCATGCCACAGCATTTCAGCCTCCACCTCCTAATGTATTCAGCAGGTCACTTTTAAAGGGTCATACTTTCTGTTGTTATTAAAAGTAAAATCAACGATTTCTCAAAAGACTCCCCTGTCCAACCTTGATGGATCTCAAGGACAACCTGAGAGCACACGCAGAGGAGAGAGTTCACAAAGACACGATTTCACCAACTGCTCTTCAATAACAGCGCAGGTGAGTAAGAGGAAAAGAAACTCTGTTTGAAATCAAACCATTTACAAAAATGTTCTCTGACAGAACAGTGAGAAAAAGAGGGAAAAAATCCTTCTTTATAACCATGGATCAGATTTATAGAATAACTCTTTTAAAATGAGGTTAGGACAACGTTAACTTTTTTCCCCTAATATTTCTCATTTAATATCTGAAACAGTTCATTAGATTTACTAAAAGGTGTTGTCCTTGAACTGCTCGCAGTTTTCAAAGTGTCAAACTCAAACTTACAAAAAAAACTTATTTAAAAGAATTTTGTTGTTGTTGAATTTTGTTTAAAAAAGTAACCTGACATATTAACAGGCAGTGGTTTATTTCTGATGCAGCTATTAGATGAGAATTTTCTTCACTTCAGAGTCTAGTTTCATTAAGAGCACAAAGACACACGCACACACACCATCTATCCTATTCAGTAAAACAGCAAACAGTGGCATCCAAGTCAGTATAGGCATACAGGGAAATACCTTAGTTTTGTACGAGTGTGGTTTATCAGATGATGAGATATACTCATAGGCTAACTTATCAAATCTATTGAAGCTAGATGCTTCCCTCCTGTATCATTTTTTTGGATGGCTGGTAGTCAATATACAAAACTGATCTCGCTGTTAGCACTTGATGAAATAAAACTATATTGTAATACTAGATATTAAATTGAATACCAAGGGTGGGGATTACCAGTGGCCTCACGATACAATATTATTGCGATTTTTAGCTCTAATTTAGCTTTTGGCTTTCCTCTATCTTTGTCTTTTTTATGCTGTAATTTATTTTCATGAAGCACATCTTGCAAACCTTTCATATATTTGTTGTACTTTCTCCTGCTCTATGACGTCACCTCTGCCAACCTCACTGGACAAACATGATTTTATTTTTTCCATTTTTTGATACTTCGTAAATGAGACAATACGATATATCACCATACAAAATATCGCGATACTATGCTGCATCAATTTTTTCTTCCACCTCTATTGAAAACCATTAAATACTTTTATCATTAAAGCTACTATAAGGAACTTTGGATTTGTGTTGATATTGTCGCCTTCTCTGGACAAAGTGGTACCTGATAGTCTACACATATACGGCTATGTTCACACTGCAGGTCAATTCCGATTTTTTAACCTTATGTGACACATATCTGATTTTACGTGTAAGTGTGAACAGTGCAATTCAGATTTTTTCAAATCCAACCCAGGCCTCTTTTGTATGTGGATATAAATCAGATATGTATCTGATGTGACTGCAGTGTGGACGCTTAGGTCGCGTTCATCCGACCTATACGTCATCAATATGCGACAAACGTCACCATTGTTCGACAACACAAACAGGCGCAGAAAGCACTTTGTGCTTTGTGCACATGCGGGTCACTTCACGGACGCATTCCGTTCACATTAGATGCCGCATTCGTTGTTGTAATGCAGTGTTTTCAGACAGATACCTCACCCTTTTTTCTATTAACAATGAAATCTATCATTTACTGTGAGGATTTGCTGTGAAGAAGTAAAAAATTCAGTTTTTAACCTGCTGCCCATCATCTTTTTTAGACACCTAACCCCTCTCAGCGTTTTAAGCAGTTAAATCACTTAAGTGAAGTCAGATTTGTTGCTGATGGTCCTGTCTGCTTTTGAAATTCCCAGAGGCATCAGTATCAGTTTCAGTTTGATTCTCAACCAGTGATTCATCATTAATTAAAAAAAAAACAAAAGAAAAACAAATATAGAGGGTTATGCTATAGATTTCAGACAATAAATGATATATATGTCAGAGGCAATGGAAACTGCAATCTACACCTAAAAATAGATTGTATATAAAACACTTATGGGGAGCAGTTAAAGATTTTATAAGCTGTCATTTAGGGTTCAAACTACGTGTTATCCTTTAGAAAGGAGAGAGGTGACGTCGGCCTTGTGAGGGCTGATGCAGTTTATGTCAAAATACCATTAATCAGGGCGATTAATCAGCAGACTGACTGATTGGTCTCTCTCTAGTTTTGATCTGAACTACTTTCCAACACTGAGTGCTGAAAACTGTCAGGAAGTGAAAGTTGGCATCAATCACATTATGCTTATGCTCGTCCTCTTAGAGTTCTGTATTTATGCAGTCCTTTTAAGAATATGATTACTTTTAAAGACTAAATATACTTGAAAAATAAAACCCAGACTGAGGTTATATCATTTAAAAGAAGAGAGATGGTAAATAAATAGGTAGATTATTTTTTGGAAGAAATACAGCTTGTTTTGAAAAGTTAACAATCCAAAACAGTACAGCAATTAATTTAAGCTGGTTATAGAACACACTGAAAATAACATTGATGCCTTCTTGTAACTTAAAAAAAGGCAAACAAGTCCATCAACTAGAAGAGTGTCTACATCTTTATAGAGTTCATTTTGCACTGGTTTGGAGAGTGTCTACTCAGCTCTACAGATATGTTAACATTATAAAGTTGTCCCAGGTCTCTGAAGAAAAAGGTCTTTGTACAGCGTCTTTGGAGTCAGGAAAGTCCTCACCCAAGGTAGTGTCACACATCTTCACTTAGAGGTAAGAAGGAACCACCAGTCAGATCTTATTTCTCGATATCTAGGCTAGCTTTTCTAGATGTGTCCTATTAGGTGTCTGCACAAATATAATTATTTTGTTTTCACTGTGACAAAAGTGTCCCATCTACATCACAATAGGGGTTTAATCTCTTTACAATATCCCTCCACATGAAAGAATCTCCAAAGCTTTACTGAAAATCTCTGACTGGCAGAGTGCTTTTCCACGTGCTGCTGAATAATAATACAGATCCAAAGCAGGAGAGATTCTGTTAGCGGAGCAGCAGACAATATGAACGATGACATATCCCTGCTGGGCGACTAGTGATTTTTTTCCCTTTTTCTTTCTTTTTTTTTTTTTTTTACCGTTGTTGGTACTAGAAGGCAGTGCGTCTGCTGCTACAGTGTGACTTTCATTCCCCTCTTTCTTTCTTTCTTTCTCTCTCCCCCTGCAATGCCTCTCCAAGAATATCAATAAGACTCCTTGGAGAGAGTGTCAGCAGGATGCTTCCCAGGGAGGAAACACACGAGAGGAGAGGGAGAGCAAAGACAAGAGGCAGAGAGATGGAGACACAAAGGGCGGGTGTGCGTGTGAGTTATAAATCAATCCTGAAACATGGAGGGAGAGTGTAGCTGTTTGAATGAGAGGTCATTTACACACAGCTTCAGCTGAATCTAGTTTCCCTTCTTCTTTTTCTTCTTCTTCTTTAAGCAGACGGATGCTTCAAATCAGGCCTGTCTGCCAGATCACTATAAGATCCCTCGCCTTTTCCTCATGATTGTAACTCCAAACTTGTCGAGCTGCACTTGATACAGAAAATCCTGCCCTGATGCAATGTGTGTGAAATGGATAACAAGGAGAAAGACACTAATGATCACACTGGAAGAAGAAGAAGAAAAAAAAAGAGGAAAACTTGCAATCTTCCTTTGCTGTTTCAGCGGTGACTGAAAACAATCACTCAGTCCTGCCGCCCTCTTATCACAGCCGAGGACCTCATGAGGACAATCGACCGTCCCAAAACACTTCAAGGAAGTCATCATTTACCTCCCTCTCTTCCTCTCTGTCTCTGCGCCCTTGCTGATGGACGTTTAAGAGTTTTGAGAAGTGTGAATGGATGATGGGCACATTAAGAAGAGCAACCCTCTTTCTCAGATTGGAGGGTGATTTCATTGTGCTCATTAAATCCCCCTCTTTTTCCGGAGACCGGAGCCACCAGAGCTGTCAACTCTGTGTCGCCTGCAGACAAACAGCACAAAAAAAAGGAAGAGGAGGCAGAAGAATGAAACCGAGGAGGATTGTTTCGCTTTCATACAAACAATTTTTACGCAGTGCTTCTTTGGATTGTCTGTTTGAGGTTTCACTCAAGGCTGAAGAGTGACACTGGCACTCTTAAAGATGGAGCGAGATCCTCACTCACGCTGTCGCTCTCACCCCTCTATTTCACCCCAAAGCAGGGAAAAGTAAAGGCTGTGAGGAAAAGGGTCCTTGAGGGACAGATGCTCGCAGCGATGAAAACCTTTTCTATCAAGGAATCTTTTTTTTTTTTTGGGGTGACTCTGCAGCATGAGGGTGTAGTGCCAAATCTAAATGGCCTGTGAAGTCCTGTGCCCAGGGACCCGCCTGGCCAGCCCTGACACAGCTTCTCTGCAGAATTTATAGGAGGCAACATTTTTTTTTACGGATTTAAAGCAGAACAAGACATGACAGCGGCAAACCCTGCTGAGTGTTTCTGTGCAGGAACATAAAAGCTGCAGCCAGCACTGCACGCAGCAATCGCACCAACCGACATCTGCATCACTGATAGGTCTGCTTTGCTGAGCAGCTGAAAATGAAAAACAAAGACAGATTGCGGCCGCCAACAGATCCTCGGCATAATTACAGCAGTTAGACGAGCTACAAAATCATCAACTGGCTTAGAAAAAAAAAAAAAGCCTGCATAAAGTCACTCACAAAGACACGAGCTGAGCAAACAGATCTCATGGAAATGAAACCAGATCCTCTGCGGTGTTGGATGGATGTCTAGTGACAGTGAGGCAGCCTTGGTGATGCATTCAGGGACTCTCACACCCTCATGCAGGTGCAGACGGCCCTGTCTTCCATGCGTGACATCCCGACTGAGGGATTGAGGTAAAAAAGAAGCTGTGATGACGAAGTAATAACCCAGCTGTCCTCTCTCTAGTCCTTGGAGGATTATTGAAGCTGGGTCAGATGAAGCCGGATAGGCCCTTTTATTATCTGGCTTTAATTTGTGTGGCTTCTTTGAGTTTCAGGGCATGCAGGATGATGCTTGCATTGGGGACATTTCAGCCAAAAGCTTTTTCCTAATTCATTTGGGGGAAAAGGGAAATGCGTGGGATGACAACTCCCACTGGCTGTCGTTTTCATTTAGCGGTTTAACAATGCAGCCGTTGTGGAGACCTTTGAGACTGATGTAGGGAATAAGGGCTGTAAAAAACTACGTCTACAGCTTGTTGTTACCACTCTGTTGGAGAGCAGTGTGGTGGATGGAAATGTCGGCCTGACCGAGGGTCAGTGCACCCATTAAGCCCGGGCTGAAATGTCTCAGCAGCAATTGATTTCTCCAAAGTTTGGTTCAGGCATTTATGCTCCCCCAGGTTGAATTGTGTTCACTTTGCCGAGATCCACAAGTCACATTTTCTGTTTTCTCAAATAAGGTTTAACCCTGCGAATCAAACTGCCGTAAATTTGCTATCAACCCAAGCCACAATCTGAGTGGAGGGTTTGTTTGTATGCTTGCACGGTTCAAACTAATACTATTGCCGGTTAAGCTGCTAAACAAAAGAATGTTAGCATTTTTACCGTCAGCATTAAAATGTGGTAACATCAGCGTTTCATCCGCAGCACCATTTTAAAGCATTTCTTCTAACAACCTGACAGCTGTGGAGTGTAATAATGTTTTTTTTTTTAACATTGTTTCTCCTTCAATCATTGGAATGACAGCAAAATTTCTCTGCTTGAGCTGCCACGACAAAATGGCCAACAGACTGCTATTTAACTTTGCATTTATACATTTCCCGTAAAGGCAGGCACCTGTGGAGGACGTATTACAGATAAAGTTCTACATTTGGAGTTGTAGTTAAGGTTGTGAATAATCAAAGCTGAAATGATTTGCTGCTGATTTCAATACAGAAGTGTCTCGTGGTTCTTTTCTTTGTGTCTGGTTTTCAAACAAGCAATCACACTTGATCTTCCTAAATTGTTGTGAGCTGTCACTCTTTAAATGTCAGTGGAACACGTCTAGCAAACTGCACGTTGCTGATATTTTTCAGAGGCTGTGCAATTACTCCATACTTTACACATTTGACAACAAATCACTGTTTACATAACAGGTGACTTTTGTACAAACCTCCTCTCTGAATCAGCAGTCAAGTGGCAATCTCTGCGGCTGAAAATGAGGCCGCTGTAGAGGTACAAAAAAAAAGTTGTTGAAGCTCCTGTGAGGAATTTTTGGTTGATGACAATCTTGGTGCATCCTGGTATACCTCATCTCCTTGATGATCTTGTCCTAAACATGAGTATGTTTATATTTAAAAGTTTCATTCTACATTCACTTATTGTGCAGGTTAAAAAGGTGTTATGTGGAATGACATTTCCCATGAGATGTGCTACTACCAGCTCTGCATGTCAATCTTATCACCCTTGAGTAGGGCTGGGCGATATGGCCTCAAATCAATATCACGATATATTGAGCAGATCACCTTGATAACGATAAATGGACGATAACTACTCCACTGCACCCCCTACGCAAAAAAGGTTTAGCCAATAGATGTGGCTGTGGCAGTTATGTTGATAGTATGACTCCCCTGGACCATTTATTGTCATTATTTTACATGTCAACACCGCACCAGGGGGGAGAAAAATGTATATTCTGTGTAATAAATTTCTAAAGTTTGTCCACAGCTCCATAAGCTTTGCTGGCGGAGGTGGGATTTATGACCTTTACTGCAGCCCGACACCAGAGGGTGCTGTACTTGGAGTGACCCAGCGAGGAGGCAAACGGCATCCATTCTATATACAGTTTATGGCAAAATGGCTTAGGTTATTGTCGTAAATTTCAGTAACGGTTAATTTTCGGCTTCTTGCCTAGCCCTACCCTTGAGGGTATTGTTTTTCAATGTTTAAAAGGGAACACTGACACACTGAAAAAATACTTCTCTTAAATTTTTGAATAAAAGTTTCAAATTATATACAAAAACATGCTGCCTCATTCTTACAGTTAACGTACATTTCCCTGTTTAAGGCCTAATAACTTTAATAAATGGTGCAAACCGACCACCTGTTACTGATTTGTCGACAGCAGCATATTTCAGCCAGTAGCCAGACTAGACAGAACACCAGCCACACAATAAACATCAAAACTCCTCACGTTCTCCCCCTCCTGCTTCTTGCAGTAAAATATCCAAAAGAATTCCCCTGTATTCTCACAAGCTCAACCACTTTCTCTGGACTTTAATCAAAACTGTATCAAGGGGCTGGCAGGAAAAATTCAGGGTGAAGTTGAGGTGAAAATCTCAGCTGTTTGTGTTCACACGTGCAGCTAACTCACGCAGTTTCAGGAAATTTTCAGGAACTTTGTACACCACTGAAAGGAGCTTATAGTCTACAAACATTATCTGCACATTTGCAGATGGGCTGATGTAGGCTAAACTAGTGTGTTCAACAAATACTGTCCTGTTTATCCCATGCAATACTTGCAAATGCCCCAGAGCACAGGGTTAGACGTCAACAATATTTGTGCTCTTCATTATGAATATGGTTGCATACACTTCATTCTGGACATCAGACTTGCATAACTTGAGTATATTCTGATTTCATGGGAACTTAAAACTATTATCTGTGTTCTTGGACTCACTTCTTTTTAAAGGGCTTTATAAGAAGCTGAAAACCACTGGTAGAAAACAGGAAAATAGAGTAATAAAATGTTCATAATTTCAAAAGGCTCAAAAAGATAAATTAAAAATTTCTTGTTTTAATCTTACAAGCAGTCCAAAACCCGAGGATATGGAAATTAAATTGGTATTAGAAAGTACAGAAACTGAAAATCCCCACATCAAACAGTGTGTGATTGGTTTTCTGACAGTTATTTCATTTGATGTCTTTGTTGATTTAGTAACCAATTTATGAAACCAAAATGGAGTTTGTTATTGCAAACCGCTCAGTGCTATTTACAGTACATGAACATCTTTTTCCCCGTGGCTGCTCATATTAAGAGTAAATCCAACAGGGTGAGAGCGTGGCACTAGTTTCCTCGAGGGAGCACTGGCTGAGATCCAGGGTGCAACCTCTGCATCCACTGTACTCTCATATCAGTCAAACTAAAGCTTAGGTGTGACAGGTGAGAGAGGAAAAAAATCAGATATACCTGTAGCTTCTTTCCACACTAACCCATGCCATCATGCTAGATGAGGAACGGGACGTCGCCACAGCACCCAAAATATAACCTCTTTAAAACCTGCTGCCAAGCTAGACAGCATGGTAGAAACTGATAACAGTCCACATATAGAGACAAACCAATGAAAAAAAATGGGTTTCTTCATATACTTGGCCACCTCAAGTTGCTAAAAAGGCTTTGGCAGAAATGGCAGAACTTTCCATGACACATCATTTTACAAGTGATTGGTTGATGGCAGCAGAAAATGTCACGACTTTCATTCTCTTCAGGGATCAGTAGTCACATGGATTGGGGCACTGTGACCCTGACAGAGACGACTCCATCAGCAGAGAGGATCTTCACTGCTGGAAGATGGAGGCGATTACAGAGCGCAGCTCTGTATTTGTAGAGATTGACTGCTCTCTAGCTCTATAAATCATACCTGAATCATGAGCCAGACAACTCAAATAACCTCAATTATCTGCTTTCAACATAACCTGTGTCCAAAATAACTTCTTCCTTTTTCACACTTGTGTTTTTTTTAATCTAATGTACACGACATACTCAGTCAAAACCAGAAGTCGATCATAAATACTCTGAGTGGATGATAAGGATTAGCATTTCCTGAACAGTGATTGAGAGGTCACATTATGTAACTGAGATGCTTCCTGCCCTTGAACCCTTTTCTTTTCGTCTCCATCCTGCTGTTCCCTACAATTCTGAATAGGTGAAAATGACATGACTGCAATACTTCAAATAATCTCTTAAGTTTTATATCATTTCTTATTTGTCCATACTTGGTAAAATATGTTGACCTCAGAACACTTAAGCAAATATATTGTAGCTGCCTTATTTATCTGGCTAACAAAAGAGATTCAGTTCAGTACAAAAGACATAGAATACATTCACTTTTGTTAAGTTAAACTTCTTGTATTTCTTAGACTTGCCCCTGTACTGGCCTCTGCTACCACTAAAATCTGGTATCAAACATTGGCAAACACGTCAGTCAATGCAAAATAGAGGACCATAATTTAGGGCTTATCTCCAGTCATGCAATTTTTGAGTTTGCAGCATGTTTTCTTGGCAAAACCAACACAGTTCAGCAGTTCAGCAGTCAAGTGTCCTTAGCACAAGAACACACTCATCATGTTTACTGTCATGCCAACGTCACATCGTTATCATTGTAATCAACAATACAAGGCAGTGAGAAATGCTTTGAAATTGAGGTCGCCAGCTAAAAAACAGCACCAAAGGAGACAGGCCCTTATTTTTCAGTCCTCAAATCCACGTGTCTATCAAGTGAAGATGACAAACCAAAAGCATTGTGATGCTTGTTGAAAGTTAACAGTATCCATTTTTCCAAACAAAATAATAACAAAAAGTATTTTATCACACTGATACCAGAAGAATAGAGAGTACCTGCTAATGCTTGACTATCATCTCAGGTACAAAGATGGCAAAAATATAAATAATAATTTAAAAAATCCTAATATTCTGGTGTTTTTAAGATCAACTACTTTGCTTCTTTCAGTGGACAACAACCTAAAACTTAATTACAATAAAAAGGACAAAGATGAACAGAAAATGGTCTCAGCTGAGAGGTCGCTTCAAGGACTTACAAATTGATTATTAAAAGTAGTACTAGTTTTTATTCTGACCGTCAATAACCATTGCATGTCTGTTAGAGTTTTGTTAACTTTTAATACAGTCTGAGTCGTGTAGTTCTTATGTGTTTTGATTCTACATGACACACCACATAAAGGGCAGATATAATAATACAGAGACTTTCTAATAAAACCCCCCTACAAGGACTTACATGAACTCCTCACTAACACAGTGCCAACAAAAGCCAAACATGATAAGCCCTATAAAGTGTCTATTTATTACAAGGCAGTTGCGTCAGGATTGGATCTTACTGAACTGTGTACACTCTCTGAACATATTGTATTTGTTTTGCTGCCTTTTGGTTGAACTCCCACGAGTAAAGGGTAAATAAAAAGCAGCCACCGTGCAAGAAGTGTGGAGTGAGTCTGCAGGAACCACTCCCTGAAAGAATAAACGCTGAAGTAAATGAAGAGTATAATTATTCCGGAGAAAGTTTCATTATAGCACCTTAATGAAGACTAAAAGCGTTTGGATGTCATTAGAGGGAATTCTAATCAGAATATCTTAAAACAGAAAACTTTATCCTTAACAGATCTTACCCAGCTGTATGATATAACCGGTCTCCACTTTGAGAAACAATAGACAATCCTGCTTGTTATATAAGGTACATCCGTGCTTTGTGTTCAGAGAGGACAAGTAACCACTCAAACGAGCACCGATGCTGGAACCACTCCGCTATGAGGGAATCAACAACAGGATTTCAGGACAAGTGAATGCTGCAATTCCATCTTTCATCAAGTTTGGTGGTGTTTGTCTCACTCTTTCTCCTGAGATGTTGCATAACAGAGGAGGCACTGACTGCTAATAAAGAGAGCCAATGCTGGGAACAGAGTATATCCGTCTACAGTTCTATATGTCAAACCCTTATGTATTGGTGTAATCGTTTCTTTGTACATACGCTGGTCTGGTTCAGCAGCTTTGACATGCACGCCATAACTGCATCCAATGTGTAAATGATGCACAAATGTGATTGTGCGGGTTTGGGATAAAATACTAGATCTTTGTATGATGTTTCCTCTCATCTTCCCACACAGTCGTCTCTTGTGAAGATTTGTGCAGATTTGCTGAGAGAGGAGGCAATCAGTACCTCCTGCTCAGACATCCTGCCCCATCCTACTCCTTTTTTTTTTTTTTTTTTAGGTTTTCTCAGATCTGCCAGGGCCTGCTGCAAAATTAATAATTAACACATCGCTATATAATGGATCGCAGATTAATAATTCAGCCTGCCGATTTGGACTAAAATAGACCCGGGGCGAATGGGAGCAGACTACGGTGCAACAGGTTGGGCCAGAAGTGTGAGACAGGCGGAATAAAGCCTGCTCGACTGGCAGCAGATACAGTAGGAGACAGTTGCTGCACGCTGACGTTAACTCTGCAATGTCAGCCAGCGTTATGCATGTATATGAAGACTGGGAATACAGGAGCTGCTGTGCTGCCTGAGGCTGAGCCAACCAACACAACACTCACCGACAACATTTTTTCAAGCAATAACAATGTTTCGTGCAGACATCTTCATATCTGAGAGCATTCAGACTAGTGCACCGTGAAATATCCTACATTTAATTACACATCGCCTCAAATGTAATAAGCATTTCAGAGCACAATGCATGACATATCCAAGGTGCTAACTCGAGCTATGATTGATGTCTGGGCCTTTGACATTTTAATTAAGGCCACCATAAGAGCACGACCATTATAACTAATTTTATTCACTTGCAGCCCGGAGAGTGTAATTTGTTAACCGAGTATGTCAATTGAGTGAAAAATACCAGTCTAAGTGGCTGCGGTAACAGCAGGGATAAAGATCAGTGAAAACAGGAGGGTGGTCAATACAAGAGGAAAAGACTGTGACTAATAAATGACTGAAGAGGGATCTCATGAGTCTGCTCTCGGGGTTCATATCAACAGCCTTCACCCTCTCTATTACGAACAATGCTGTGATATTTACAGGTCAGGCGGCTCTGCTCTTTTAGCCAAGGCCACATGCGCTGTGTGTTTTGGGTTTCCACGGAAACTGGAGGCCACCTGGTATGGTGGGCTGAACTTTGCAGCCTAGTAAAAGCAGGTCAAAACACCTCTCGTGTCTTGTCGGTGAGTTTCCATGGATCCCCCTCAGCAGGACTCAACTGTGTCTCTAGCATTACTGCCGCAATTTCCAGCTCTGCCCTTAATAACACTGCATGGGGAATGTCTGGCAACGTGACTGTATTGTCCTTCTCTAACACACACACAGAGGAGGGAATCAGCAGTGCAGATACAGTTACACTGAAATATACATAGACCAGGCTAACCAGAATGGACTTAATTCTACTGGACAGTTATTATTATTTCTTGTCTTTCAGAATCCCATTGTGCCTCTGCTGAAACTATAATAAAGCTGTTGTCAGGCACAAAGCTATAATTAATGATGAAAAGCAAATACTCATTAGAGGCAGTCAAGGATGAAATCTAAAATAAACTCACTTTAATTGTTCTACTTTACTGTATTTCACCTTCGCTACATTTTTTATGCATTCTCAGGCAACTCTTGGCTTCATTTTCAGGGTTGCAATCTGGGATTAAATGCATCATTGATTATCTAATTGATCGGCAAATTTTTTGGGAGGGAGCTAAATGTCAAAATGTTGAGGGAAAAAAGTATCATAGCTGTCTCCTTCTTAATTAGGGGCCTTAAAGTTGCTTGTGTGGTGTACAGCAGCATTAAACCCAAGTATATGAAACTTCCCCTTGAGGCTTTTAGTCTTATGAATGAGTCACCAACTGGGTTAGCACTTCAAGTGTTCAAAAAAGGAGCAAAATATATATCCTCTACAACCTACAAGAGCTTATAACACTTCATGCAAATTGCCATTCATTTGATCAAATGCCTCTTTCCTTAATTTCAGGACTAAAACTGGGAAATTTTTGGCATGTGTGGTTTAAAAACCACCCCGATGACTACTGCAAAGAGCTGCAAACAGATTTCCCTGATAGTTTCTGACCCTGCAGAAGCTCAAGGAGCATAACTAAGCCACAAAAAAGCCACAGTATCCGAATAAAGTAGATCCAAAAAAAGGAAAATCATATCATCACTGATACGGCTAATGCAGGGAGAGAGGCAACTCTGAGTTCTGATCCAGGACCATAATTCATTTGACATGTCTGTTGAGGCTGTGCATGATAATGTGTGCTGCTACCTGCCAGAGCCCCGGCTGCACAGTGGAACCATTCATCCACTCCACCAGCCTTGTTCTGGAGGGAGGCTTTACAATGTAAACACAGCAATGTGTTACAAAACATATCAGTGTTTGCAAAACATATGTCATCTGCACCCACTTCAGTCTGGGCTGGGTACAGACTGGAGCTATGAGGGGGCTTATAAGGCCTTCAATCCAGCAGAATGAAAAGCCTTTTTTAATCTGCCTTCATTCTTGTTCCTACACTTTTCCCACAAAGACTCAGTGTCGACTTTGTGTATTCACCGCAAAAGTAAAATACAAGACATTCAAAAAACACACAGCGTCAAAAGGTTGCACTAAGATCTGTTTGTTGCTCCGGGTTTTATATAATCTCTTTTCTTCACAAACAAGACATGCCAAAGGGAATATTCAAGTTTATTTTTTTAACAGATGATAACTTAGTTTAAAACTTTCAAAATACCCTGACACTGAAACTGGGTTAAAATTAGTTCAAGTAGACTACCATCTGAAATATGATCAACTCAACCATTGCTTTTAGGTGACATTCAATATGGTTAGCTCAGCTGTTCTGCAATATTCACATTACTCATCAATAACTTCTCACTGATTAGTAAATTTCTCAGTAATCCACTGCTGGCTTCTATGAAAGAAAAACTTCATTGGCAAGTTCTTGACCTGAATGAATAAAAGCTGCTTAACCCTAGAACAACATCACCGGGTGATATTCACCCGACCAAACACGTTTACGTGATTTTCATTATGTTGCATTTGTCTGAGTATCACAGGTCATTGTCTTTGACATCTTTGAAGGCATATTTGTTTCCCTGATCCAAAACCTGCTTCTTCCTACCGTCACATGTTCGGGGGATTTTCACCCAGATAGATAGAGGGTAAGTAGGTTTAGGTAGCTTTGATAGCTGTATGTAGACAAATAAGGCAAGAATTTGCAGGAATTTGAATGCTATCCTTATTTAGCGCAGTGGTTATGAATAACTATCACAAAGTAGTGATTTTCAAGGGAATTCATACGGTGATAAAAAAATATTTTAGTCAGCTGGTTATTTTTACTCACTCAAAATATGCCATATTTTGGTTCTCTGTCCTCATGCAGCTGTTATTGTGCCAAGGACCCTGAGTCTTCACCAGGAGAGACTCACATGCCCCAGGAGTAGGTGGAAAAGAAACTGAGTTTACAGTTTCGATATACACATATATTTTTTAGGAATTTTTTTGTTCATGAATGCCTGATTTCAGTCATTTTGTTGCATTTCTATACAGTCCCCTCATGGCACTTTTTTCCTCTCTTTGGACATTGCACAGTTAAAAAGAAAAGAAAAGAAAACTACTTTAATTTGTCATGTATTGTCCTATTTTGATGACAAATACTTTTTCTTGGGTATATTATTTCGATAGTGATGGTATTACTTATTTTAGTGATAGTGTTCTAGGGTTCAAAACTAAAGTTAATGCATAGATATCACAGCATGACTCAGGTTTATTTCTATAATTACTGGTTGTGGTCTATAATGGCGCTGTTTAGCACCACAAACTGAAGCCATTTTGTTACCATTTGTTGCAAAAATGCGATATTTGACTCACATCCTGACTAATAAACTGGTGATTGACTTCCGCTATGTCTGTGTGAATCACAGTCTGCTATGAGAGGTAAAGTGACTCTAAACAAAGCTGAGTTAATCCTGTTTCAGTTTGTTAATTGAGTGTTCAAAAAGCTGCTCTGTGTTGACAAGTTTGATGTCTTAATAAGAGAAGAGGTGATGTGACCACAGGCCTCTCTGACCGTCGGTTGTTAGTCGAGATGTTTCACTAGAAACCAGTGGAGCCTTAAGTTCAGCCGGTAAACTCACCTTTCTGTCAGCTCAGTACAGGGATACAGGAGTTTGTCAGCCTACAAGACAATCTGAACAAAACCCTCTCAGCTCTTCACATCCTGGCAGCAGAGCAGTCAGACTCACGGAGCAGCCGCCTCACTGCATGTTTGTCGGCTTGTTTTGTTGGATCTCGATAAGGGAGAAAAAAAACACGTCCTCCTCTTGTATTGCTGTTGCTTTCTGTTCTGAAACTGTGTATCAGGCACAGATGTTTAAATTATTGAAAGAGTGTTTTCTTCTCTCGGCTGCGGTGAGATCGGTTACAAGAGTTGCTTGTAATCCGATTCCTCCTCCTCCTACTCGTAAAAAAAAGTTTCAAACTTGAGGGGGACCTGTGAGTAACAGATTGATGTTGGTTTGGGCCAATGAAGAAGCAACAAGGGGAGTGGTCCAGCCCAATCAGACCTAAAGAAAGCACCATTTACAGCCAGCACGTTCCCTGCCCCCATTAGGGTTTCCAGTAATTATCCTGGTCCAGACTGAGTCCTGAGGCTGACAGTTTCCCAGAGGAAATGGTATTAAGAGAACAATGAACAGGAACTGTGGGGACCAGTGTTTCACTCATTGGCATAATGATATACTGGTGTGTTAAGTTCACATGAATTAAATATATTTAACCTCATACCCACCATCTAAAATATTGGATTTTCATTTTATCATCTATTTTTCAGGAATGCATTATATTTAAAAAGTTATGAGGACAGGGGGAGGGGGGATTTTTTTTAGCGGATGTTTTTAGGACACAGGAAGTTTTTCCTCATCTGTGTAATGAGGACACAGGACTTCCTGAGGTCAAAATAGCCTTGTATTGTTACCTTACACTGAGCTAATTTGACAGTATTCAATATGAGGATATGCTACAGTTAGAGGCTCCAACGCAGGAACACAATATCATACCCTGGTTTACTTGGATTATTAGACAGATTAATTAGCTCAGCCTTTTCATTTGCTCAAACATCACTTATATGTACTGACTGAAATACAGTTTGTCTCGTTTTGAGTAGATTGAAGTAACTATCATAGGACACCTGCAGTGGGGAGATTGGGCTGGCGCGCCCTCTAGTGGTACGATCTAATAAGTGGGGAAACGCTGTGGGCCACTGAATCATTGAGAGAACCTGGATTGTACACAAACAGAGGTGGTTTGGGGGATCAGACTTTTGGGGGTGCTTAGTCCCTGAGGGGATCATGATATACTCACTTTTGAACTTCCTTTTAGATGTTAAAATGCTGAATGTCAAAGACAGTTTTCTCTAAGGTGAGGCCGCTTCTCTTTCTGAGCAACACAGAGAGACTAGTAGGGTAGAGTGGGGTAAGTTGAGTTGCTTGGAAATGCAGATATATGCAGATACACTAGTTAGAGACAAAACTGTGATTGCCTTGATGTATTGATTTGAAATATGATAAATGGTTAATCTTACCCCACTCTCCCCTACATGCTTTTGTGACCAGCAGGCTAGACTACTATAATGCTCTCCTCACGGTTCTACCAAAAAGTACCATAAACTAGCTGCAGCTAACTCAAAATGCTGCAGCAAGAGTGCTGAGTCACACTAGAAGGAGAGCACACAACTCCCATTTAGTTCTCGTATTGATTTTTAAGTTTCTTTACTTGTTTATAGCTAAGGCCCTGCATGGCCTTCTTGCACCAGGCTACATCTCAGAGAGGCTTTTTCGTGTTTGGACATCCTCCAGCAGTTCTATTTTAACTGTTCCTCAGAGAAGAACCAAAACATTTAGGGATACTACTTTCAGTCATTATGCTCCAAGAGTCTGGAACAGTCTGCCAGGGGATCTGAGAGGAGCAGCAGTATTGAGACTTTTGAACTTAAAGACCTATCTGTTCAGTCTGGCTTTTGTGTAGAGATTTTACTAGTTTTGTTATTTGCTGTTTTAGATGCTAGTGTATATGCTTTATTCTAAACTATTGCAGTCTTATTATTTAATTACTCATTCTTATTGCTAGCTTGGTGTTTTGTTTATATATTTAGCTACTTATATTTCTTCCATTTAACATGATATATTGTGTTTTAACTTATTTTGATGTCTTTTAATGTTTTAATTCCACACATTTTACTGCTATTAGTGTGCATTTGTCTCTACCTATCCTGTTTTTTTCCCTTTAGTTGTTCTATTTCTGTCATTTATATCTATTTTTTTTATTTAATTGTATTCATTTGCATTCATAGTAGTGAGCCTTTGCGTGGGTTTCATTTATGTATTAGATTGGACAAACTGAAGAAACATTGTGTTTTCCGTGTTTACGTAGAACTCAATTTCCCACAATCCTCAGAGGAGCAGGGTTACGTACTTGTGCTACGTGTCAGGAAACACTGTTGACAACATGGCGGCGCAGCAGAGTGATGTTGACGAGCTCTTCGATGTGAAAAATGCCTATTATATCGGCAGCTATCAACAATGTATAAACGAGGCTCAAAAAGTGAAGGTGAGTATCTAACTGCATCAGCAGACTGTTTTAAAATATATCAGTTTATTTGAACGTCTCTGGTTAACTGAAGCTAACATCTCTAGCAAGAATGCTAACTGTGCTCGGAACTATTTTGCTGTAAAATCCTTAATTTCAGTCTGTTTTTCTGTCTTCAAAGCCCTCGAGCCCAGAGAAGGAGACCGAAAGGGATATGTTTTTGTACAGAGCTTATATTGCCCAGGTAAAAGACGATTTTCTCCTCGTATAGTTCAGTGTCCAATAGTGCTCCATTAGCCTAATTTTAATGAATCGACAGAAATTGTACATTATTCTTTACCATAGCGACTTGTCTCTTTATTACATGATCTCAAACCCTGCTGCTCACCTCCACCTGTTCTGATTTCCTGTGCTACAGAGAAAGTATGCTGTTGTCCTGGATGACATCAAGGCTAACTCTTCACCCGAGCTCCAGGCTGTCAGGATGTTTGCTGAGTATCTGTCCAATGAGAGCAAAAGGTACGAGGTTGTATTTTACATTTAGGTGAACGGGAGAGTGACATACGGTTGAATGATTGGTCTAATAAATGTAATACAGTGTAGACTCACTTTGATTATGGGAATGCCCAACAATAGAACTTCTCATCTCTGCTTATAACAATGGCTTTAGTCATTAATACCCGACTCTTGAGGAGTTTTCATGCCTGACCAGATCGTGCTCAGCATTTCGCACACCCTAAAGGTAAACACGGTCTATGCTGGAGTTGTACTGCTGATGATGAGTCCTGCTTTTACATGCTTGAGCTGTAAAATGCAAATGCAGTGAATGAAATTGACTACTACCAGTTTGCACAAGTTGTCAATTGTCTTTGGTGTCAAACTTTGTTCATTGTACATTAACTTAATGTTTTTTAATAAAAGGAAAGCATTGTGTACACTTTATTATATGTAAATTCTGCTCAATATTTAATATGTTACCCAACGAATGAGTTCTTCACTGTCTTTAGAGTCCTGGTTGTTATTGTGACTGTACATTATCTAGCAGCCTCTCTTGCAGATCATGCTATGTGCTAAATTAGAGCTTCATTAGTTGTGAAACAAAGATTATCTATAGTGTATAGTCTTTATTTTAGCTGGTATTTTTGTTGTTGTTGCAGGGATGCTATTGTTGCTGATCTAGAAAAGAAGATGGCTAAGAGTGTTGATGCTGCCAACACCACCTTCCTCCTCATGGCTGCCTCCATCTATTACCATGAGATGAACACAGATGCTGCTCTAAGGACTCTGCACCAAGGAGAAAGCCTTGAGTGGTAAGAACAGATTAAAAGGGTTTCAAGAAAGTGTTGGCACAACCGCAAAGAAGTCTACCAGCTGGGGAAGTTTTTACTACTCAATTCAAAGTAATATTATAAGTTGCAAAGTTGTTTATCCTTGTTCTGTGTAACAGAAAACACATCACTTGCTCTCCATGTGTCCACACAGGTAGAAAAGTCATTGCCATATTATTTCTGTGTCAAATCCACTTTGGGCTTTGACACTGATTTTCCAAATGCAGAGGTTTACTATTACAAGATATTCTAATGATGTGTTTTATGACAATTGAAAGCAGCTAAAGTATGAACAAGGCTGTCAAGAAAAACAATAGATGCATTTGCATACATTTGCATTTATATGAACTCAATTTGCAATGATATACTTCATGTTTACAGATTTACGATGTATAAGACATATGAAACATACAGCAGTTTATAAACACATTGATTTGTTAGTTTTTGAGTCACTGATTACTCTAGATGGGTCACTGGGTTTGTCAGGTTGAAGACCAAATTTACCTAAACATTTGTTTGTTTTTCAGCATGGCCATGAGCATTCAGGTGTTGCTGAGCTTGGATCGGGTTGACCTTGCTAGGTACGGCAATAAACATCAACAGCGCATGATTTGCATCAGATTGTTAAGGCAGCTTTGTTATTTGACTACTCATGGAAAACATGCAGGTGCTCTGTAAATGTGCCTCTGATATTATTCAACGGTTAGCATGTTGACCATTGTGAATATTTAAAAAAAAAAATTGCAAGGGAACATGTTGATTCTTGAATTTAAGCAAGGTTAGCAATATTAGGAGAAACTCTTTCCTTTTGTGTGACTTTGTGTTCTCTGGTTGACAGAAAAGAGCTGAAGAAGATGCAGGAGCAGGATGAGGATGCCACTCTGACCCAGCTGGCCACAGCTTGGGTTAATATTGCTGTGGTGAGGAAACCAGATATTTAGCTGCATTTTTGTTACATCTAAAAAAAACATGAATCAGATGAGATAATTTAAAGGTCTACCATATAGAAAATGTCATGCATTTGTCAGTGAATGACAGGGACGCGTATTGTGATTTAGTGAACCATAAACTGGTGAAACGAATATCAGGATGGACAGTGCGAGTAGTAATAACTAGTGCAGTATAAAGCTTATTTTAACAAACCGCTTTTGAAAGGATCCGATCAAGGTGCAGTGTTCCTCCTGGCACCAGTACAAGCCCAAAATTAAACGAGTAGCTGTTATCTTCTTCTCTTGTTGTTGGCTTTTTAACATGATCACAACCTCAAAGAAACAATTCTCTTGTGTAAATTCCTTTACAATCTGTTTGTTTCAGGGTGGAGAGAAGCTGCAGGATGCTTACTACATCTTCCAGGAGATGTCTGACAAATATTCGTCTACACTGCTACTCCTAAACGGGCAGGCGGCCTGCTACATGGCCCAGAACAAGTGGGAGGAGGCTGAGGGAGTGCTGCAGGAGGCACTTGACAAGGTTAGAGGACAGTAGTTTGTTTTTGTCCCTCTTAAATTTCCGACAGCCACACATTATGTTATCCTACTTCGTGTTAAGCCCAGTTTGTTTCGCGGAAGCTCTCACTGTCTTGTCAGTTCGGTGTTCCTGTCATACTCTATAGTTAAACACTTAATATCCTATTCTGACAAGGTTATATATTGAGCTGTGTTAAAAAAATCGATACGGCAGTGCATCTTCTTGTACTGCGTGCATCTTTGCTTATGTTACAGAAACGATGTGGCAGCAAATGCTGTAATGGCAGTTTTTAATCATGCGTTGCATATGGTGCAGTGCATAACATAGACTGCAGGTGGCAGTTGGAGTCCAACCTCATCATGTGGTGCACATCTGAAATCAACAATCAACATACACAAGTAGTTTACCAGAAAAGCAAAGGAATGGGAGCATTTAGGATGAAATACTGCAGCAACACAACAAACATCCGTCAGCACATGACAAGACACCATTCTGATTAGCTGTATCTTACACAGCTAGTGCAGCGCCCCAAAAACACACAATGGAGCTCTCAACTCAACATATCCCTCAACTTATCAAAGGGGTCAAAAGTTGAAAAACACACTATGTTTTATTTATAAGGACTTGATCAGGCTTGAAGCAGCTGATTGATTAGGGTGAGTCATGCTCTGTAATCCCCCGTCATTTGTTTGTATCACAGAAACTGCTGAAGTAGAAAAGTTAAATGAAGCTGTAAAGCAAAAACATTTGACATTCATATACTCAGATCTGTTATTAACTCCCTGAGAAAACAGTCATCTGGGATCGCTTTAGTCTCCCCTTCATCTCCACTCCTGCAGTGCCTGTTGTGACAAAGGCATACATTTGCTCTAATGTATAACATACACACAAGCTTAAAGCTGTTTACAACATGGTAAGAGTCAGAGATAACATTGTTAGCCAGCCACAACATGTCAAATTGTAGATGTATTCATAGAGCCAGCACTTAAATCCGGACTTCATGTGCAATGATTGTAGTAAAACATTTTCCAATCATTGCTAATTTACCAACCTTTATGGACTAATGTGTTACTGTAATGGGATTACATTCTCCTGTAATGCAGTAATGGGATGTATCAATATTGCTGTCTTAGCAATCACATTACCTTTACTAATAAAACAATTAGCTTGTTACCTGCATTACTTTGAACTTTTCAACTACCAGGGAGAACACTCAAACAAATCAGAGACCCCTTTTATATATTATCAACTCTACATAGACCTCTACATCAACATAAACCTACCTACATGAGAGCTGAGTCCCTGTCTTTCTCTATAACAATGAAAGATTTAACTGAAAGGAAAATGGAAACAACTGTGTATGTATTATATTTGATATAATTATATGTAATAAATGTATAATATCAAATATGGCATATCAACAGAGCTTTAGGGATGACAGTCAGGTCAGCCAGTTTGTGAGGTTCTTCATTAAGAGCAAATGATCTGCTGTTTCCACTGAAACAGCAGATGGCGCTATAGACTCTTTCTTGGTCCTCAGTTAGTGCTCAAAACCAAACCAGGGTCAGCTGGAACTGCTAAAAACTGAAGTGCCTGTTTTGGCCAACTGCAGTGAACATTTTTCTCCCTCTTTGATTATGTTTTATTTTTCACTTACATTCAGCCTTCCCCGCAAAAGCCAAGCGTAGTATTTCTGCTCAGTGTGACAGGTAATTCATGGATGACTTGAATGAGCAGCCTGATGCAAAGCATTCTGGTTAAATTTTTACAGGGTGTCAGTTACTCAATCAAGTTATCTTTCACACAACAGATAAGAGTGTAACAAGGTTATAATGTCACTCTACATGAATGTCAGTGCTCCTGTCTTCTTAACAAAACAAGCAAATGTTTATTTTCTTGGCAATGAGTGACAGGAATTTTGAAAAAATATGAAGTGAAGTTATGTTTACACGTGGCTTTTCTTGTGAAGGAATATAAATCATATCATGAGGGTTTTATTTCAGTAAAGGGTATGAACATGTGAGGATTGATTTTCTGTTACTGCATGACCTCCACTTTGAGTTTCTGAAGTCGTTCTTTGGTGAGATTGACCAACTCCTTCTTTCTCCATCTGTCTGCCTCCCCCCCTTTAGGACAGCAGCCACCCTGAGACGTTGATCAACCTCATCGTGCTAACTCAGCATCTGGGCAAAGCTCCTGAGGTGAGACTTTGAACCATCGACTGTTAACGAAGGAGCTGCTTTGAAATTCCTCAGTTAATCGGTTTCTTCAATGAGACAAACTCATCCGCAGTCAAAACAAACCCAAAATCTTCCAATAATGCTCTGCACTTCAATTGAAAAAATGCTCTCCTCAGTCATTTTCTGTTTGCTCTGATTAAAGCAGGTGACGGTTTTCAATGAGGTGATTCCTTGATTGCGTTAGTCCCGTATCATGGAAAATGTCATCTAAGCGTTTTCCTGTTTTAGTGCTGTGAGTGTTATCCACTCATGAACTCAGAGTTCGAAAGGATAAAGACTCTATCAGTTTAACGTTTGATGATCTTGATAATAACGCAATAGAACGCTGACCAAATGACACAAAGGATCATTTCAAAGTTTCCAAGTGTGATAACCACTGATTAGCACGCTGCACCAAAGGTTAGCTGGAAATAGAAGTGTAACTCTGACACACAGGCCTCTGAGTAGAAGATAGCAACCTTTGAATGTACTTAGTTTAAAAGGAGGAATGAGGATTATTTTCTTTTTGTTACATTTGTGAAAAGAAAAGAGTCAATATTTCAGTGGTATAATGGTGAGGATGCTGTATAACTTACAGATCCTGAAATAATTCATATTTGAAGACTTTGTGAACTATTTTCCCTTTACAATATGAGAATTAATTTGAGACTGTCAGTGTTATAAAATTCTATATTTTTGTATTAATTTTTGCACTGTACAACTTTAATTGCATTTGATAATATTTGATTGTTGTGTAATTAAATATTAATTTAATGAATAATTGATTATAGCCAAACTGCCCCACCACCTTTTAACTGAGTCTGACCTCTTTGTAGTAAGGAGAGCATAGATAACACATATGTATGTATTTGTTAAATGAGTGTTTCCAGGTTCCTGATGAACAGGTTTGATTGTTCAAACTGTGTTATGTTTTACACTCTTATTGTCCCGGTCTGTAAAACAGGCTGATATGTCCCGTGTATACATGGCTCTTTTATTTCTGTTTCCCCCTGTTAGTACTCTAACTTTTTATATCATCTGTTATGACAATCCCCAGGTAACCAATCGCTACCTCTCTCAGCTGAAAGATGCACACAGAGCCCATCCATTCCTCAAAGACTATTTAGCCAAGGTAAGTTCTTATGCTTGTACGTATTTGATGCTGTTTAACTCGCACTGATGCTGCTGACCTTTGATAAGGGCTACTCAAGTTTATTAGATGTACGCATTATTGTTGACAAACCTTCATAACCCCGACTATGTCATTATTTGATTACATAGTGTACTTGTTTTGATGATTTTTCACAAGCCAGTGTCCTTGAAATGAAGTCATGTCAAATATTAAACTTTGAATCTAGAGTATGAATCGTTGTCACTCATTGTGTTGTAATGATGCTGGACTGCAGATGTACATCAACACTCCAAAACTAGGTTAGACTGTTACCAAACAAACTGTGTGATTTACAGCTGTTCTTATGGTTGATGTTTTTCCCCTGTGTTTAACTGTTTCCTCTGCTCTTTGTTTTTCCTGCAGGAGAATGAGTTTGACAGGCAAGTGATGCAGTATGCTCCCACTGCTACTGCATAAAACCTCTGCTCTTGTTAACACCTATCATCAGTGGATTTCAGTATCACACCATGAGGACTCTACAGTACTCCTTTTGTCTCGAACCTCTATACCTATATTTGTTTTGATATTTTTACTTGTAAAGAAAGTGTATTAAAATGAAAATTGGCTGTTTTATTTAAACCAGAGCAGAGCTTGTCATCACTCGGTGCAGATGAAACACATCTGCCTTTGTATATCCAGTCTTTATAGATTAACATGTCTTTAGGAAGGTATCAACAGACCTGCTAAATGTAAGCATTCCCTTTGAAATGATAATAAATGTTTCATACCAGTGTTGTGTTTGAAATGTGGTTTTGTGGAAAAAATTCAAGGGTAGCACAAGCTTTCACCATGTATTTAACCCAAGAACACTATCCCAGGGTGATTTTCACCCGCCAAACATGTTTACGAGATTTTCATCATGTTGTGTTTGTCTGAGTATCATGGGTCCCTGGGTAGCTTCAGCATTTCCTTTGACATCTTTGAAGGCATATTTGTTTCCCTGATCCAAAACCAGCTGTTCCTACAGGCACGTGTTCGGGTGATTTTCACCCGGCAATAGTAATAGAGGGTAAGTAGGTTTAGGTAGCTTTGATAGCTGCATGTAGGCGAATAAGGTAAGTAAGAGTGGTCTTTATTATTGATAATAATTATCATTATTAGTCCCCGGCAGCTCACTTTTATCATGGCTTTTGTTATTTCTATCCTTTTATTTTCGCAGTAAGTAACTTTTTTTCTCCATCGCCACTTTTTTTTCTTATTTTACCTCATCAACTTCTGTTATTTATTTTTTAATCTGCATGTTTCTTTTTTTATTTGCAGCAGGCTTTGGTTTCTTGTTTTTTTTTCTGCATGAGTAACTTCCATTGTGGTTTCTTTTTATGCATTTTTTTTTTTTTTTTAATTTTCAGCAATGGCACTTCTTGGCCATCGTACATAAACAATTAGCAGACTTGTAACAGTGTTCTGGCGCTTCTAGAGTCCAAACACATATTCAGAACTCTGTATATCCTGCGTGTGCTCTCCTACACCGCATTTGTCTGCACTGTCCCTTTAAGTCATCCTTTTTTAACCCTCCGCGGCTCAAGCTGAAGGTTCAAAAAGAAGATAGCGGCCCTAATTACGTCACGCCCCCTCGGGTTTTTTTCCTCCTCCTTTCGGCACAAACGTACGCGGTCCTCTTTTCACGTACCAGTTGTATCCCACTGAAGGCAGAGCGCGGCTTGTCAAAACGCAGACTGGAACACGTTGACCAGTGCGGAGCGGCAGCGGCAGAAGCGGAGGAGAGGAAGAAGAAGAAGCGACGACAGCGTCTGTGTAGGATAATTTTCCTCTCATTTATCCTTGTATTTTTTTCCTCACCGGGATAACTTGGCCTCGTGTGGGATTTGCCGGTCGGTGAAGCGGTGTATGGACGTTATATAAGGCGAATAACGGACAGAGATGAGCCCGCACGGACGTTACAGTAAAGCGGCACAATAATCGCATGTGGCTGCCTGGCGCTGTAAAAGGCGACCGAAACGAGAGACCTCAAACGGAATTCGTTGATATATGTGTGCTTCATCACCTTTTAGATTTTTTTATTCACAAAGCTAGCTAGCTCGGAAGCCGCTGCCAATGTTGGACCATACACTATTGTATGTGTGTGTGTGCGCATGATTTAACTTAGCTAGGCGGCTAACCAGGACGCGCTGCTGCTGGTGCTGATGAGCCTGTGTGTGTGCGTAGCGGAATGATGATCAGAAGAAACCACCATACAGGCTCTAATGGCTCTGAATAACTGTCAAAACCCGGCTTCATAAATGGTTTATGTGATTATTAAATACAGCCACACAGTAGATGTGTGTTTTAGAGCCAGTGGGCCCTGCTATCATTCATAAAACTCTCCTGAAGGCGAAGAATGGGCCCATGTCTTAATTTGGACAACAAAGAATTAGGCTGCTGAAGAGGTTAAGCTGGTTAGATAAGCTTGTTTTAGCATTTTTAAGTGAGCTAGCAAGCTGGTTGGCAGATTAGTCACACAGTCTGGACAGTACAGCTCCCTGCACTCCCTTTGGCACTCGTTGGAGTATTTTTCTATCGCACGTTTTTTTGTTCTCTCCCTCTACGCCGCACCACAATGAGCAGTCACACCGGGGAAACCGGTGACGCCGGGCCAGTGGAAGTGGAGCCCATGCCGGGATACTTGGACCTCATCACTAGAGCCTCCACCGTAATGCTTGGCGCATGGAGAGACTGTAGTACATGCGGGCTGGAGCTCTCCAAACAGACTCTCCTGGATAACGCATACATTACCCTGACCGAAATCGCCCTGTTCTTCTTTTGCGCCTTTTTGTGGACGCAGGTCAGGCGGGGACTGACAGAAAGTCTGTTTAAGGTGGGTGACGCACACTCCCAAAACACGCTGATCCCCCAGTTCCTCCAAGGTTATTTTATTAACACTCTTAATTAAGGGGTTTAGTGGATGGTTCCTCTCATTAGAGCACAATGTGTGGCCTCTGAACGTCTCCTCCCTCAGGAGTTGTCCCTGTTGGCACTACATGCTCTGGGCTCAAGAGACTGACTGATATTGGGGAAGTAAACATGTTACTAAATATTAGATCCAGATGTAGCTGCAGTTGTAAACACCCTCATCTGCACTTGTCTTGGGAAAACAGGAACTGAGCAGGTCTTACAAAAATGAGCACATTTACTTTTCTGTTCAAAGATCCTAAAATGAGGGAAAAGTTGATGCTATGCTTTGGCACGAGCTCATAAACATACACATTGGGTCATGTTAGTGCTCAGCGTGGAATAAAGTATCTATATAAAAGTTATAAATCCGACAAAATGATCCCAAGAGACTAAAACCAGAGAGCCAATCTTCATCTGAGATCTTACACCCTCTGGTAACCTGGTATTAGATCACAAGTCTCTTTGTTTTCAAGCAAATATTGAGCTCAAGTTCAAAGTAAACAAAAAATAACACCAGCTTGTTCCCATTGATTCCAGTGTGAATACAGGCCAATCATATACATCCATGCAAACCTTTGGACTCTTATGGGAAACATTACACTCAGTTCAACTATATTGCATTTTGGTTAACCCCTCTTTCCCCCTCTTACTCTCTTTACCTTTCTTTTTGAAACATCTGTATTTATTTAAAATGGTCCTAGAAAATTACTTGTAATTTGGGTAATTAGGAAATAATAAAAGTGGTTTTCGTCGTCATAATCACGTCCTCCAGAGAATGGAGACAGGCCACAGTTGTTTGACTGAATGTCCAAATCTGCCCGTGAACAAATGTACTGGAGAATCAGTAGGCTGGCTACTTCATTTACATAATAATAATAAAGGATTTGTTACTACAAGTGAGAAAAGAGAACATCACATCAGACTCATGCCCCACTCTTGTAGTAGAAAGTCGTGCCTCTCTTTGGGCACTTGAGGATGTGCATTTACAAAACTGCAGCGTCTCTAAAAGCAGCATCACAACATTACTCTTGTCCTAATAGAGAGAACGGGCGCACAGGCAATGAATGCTCTGATAGACTGGCTCCATGCCCAGGACTTCCATACTGCCTTTGCCCAGCTGAGTCCTGAGTACCTCCACCCAATCAGGGGAGGGGCTTCTCCTCCACGGATAACCTGGATGTGGCTGCCATGATTGTGTGCGAGGGTTGAGTGGCCACACGTGGTGGATGCTCTGATGATGATGATGTCATAGCAGTGTAGTGTAGCAGTGGGCCTCATGTATGGAGCCAGATGTGACCTGAGAATGTTAGGAATGAGGCCTGTTCTCCCCCCCCTTACTTTGTGTTTGTGGGTCTTACTGGGTTGTGGAAAACTTTAGGAAAGGCCCCATTTACAGCCAGCATACTTTGAAGACTGTAAAGATTGAGGTGGGATTTTTAATACAGGATGAAGTCATAATCTATCAGTGTGCCCTCAGTTATTTAGTGCATGTGTAATATCACCTCAGCAGTGCTTATATTAGAGGTGAAGAGGATGGGTTCAGTGTTAGGTCAGCCATGCTGAGCTAATGCTATAAGAGAATTGCTGTCATACATCACAAAACTATGCCAGACTAATACGACTACATAATCCGTCGTTTTAGTCGAGCACAGAGTATTGTGTCCACTTGAATTGAACCGGGTGTTTTCTTACAGTTCAGTAAACCTCAACCCATCCCCTCGTTGCGCTTATTGAAATATGTTTTTGTTATTTTTGAGTGTTGAAATAGACATTTTCATGAAGTGGCTCAGCTGTCAAACAGTACGAGTACGATAAATGACGGCATGGACAATTGTGAGCACACACACTTAATTAAGTTCAGAGCTCATTAAACTTCACGGACATTAAATATTGGCCTTGACATCAGGGAACAAAGCACTGTGTAATCTGACCCTGTTGTGGCTTGGTGAAGACTATGATGATGTGTTTTGACATGAGAGGAATGAGCGTTTGGTGCTGTGATAAACTCAACAAACATCACTTACGGACTCCAAAGAGTAGTCTGCTGTATGCATCAGTATTAGTGTAATTTAAGACTCTGTTAGCCAAGCCTTGCTCAACGTTAATGGATCTCTTTTTGTATGACTTGTTTGCAGGAGTTTAGTGCAAATGTTCAGGAAACTAAGTGATAAGTTGAGAACAGAAAATGATCACTTTCCTCTCAGAAAATAGTGGCTGTATGAATTACAGATGGAAGAGTTTGCTCTACATGCTGAAGTTGTGCCTGAATTACAGAGGAAATCTGCGGAAAAGAGCTGATGGATAAAAATAATTAGTTTCCTGTTTTCATTTACAGAACTCCCAGTCCTGTTTGAAGACTGAGAGTTGACCCACTTTAAGATATTTATTCACTTCAGCGTGCACTTTCCACAGAACACTCAAAATCAAATGATGAACCCGTAATTATGGATACTTTATTATTTTGATATGACTGTGACTGAGCTTTGCTGAGGTTGCACATCAATGAGCATGCTGTGGGGGGGTTGCCCCTGTGCTGTGCTCTGCTCTGCACACTGCAGTGAGTGGTTTTCATCATGTTTTACTTCTGCTCTGATGCTTGAGTGTACGAGTAAGAGCAGCGCCTAATCTGGAGTTAAATAAAACACAACTTGTTGATGAGCCAATTACACTCTACTCGTACACAGACACAACAGAGTTTTTAAATTTAGACCAAACACAAGATGATCTTCAAGTTGAGCTTATTATTATATGAATGCTTGCTTAAAATGTCACGTGACGTGTGTGGCTACGCTTCTTCCTCATTATCTTTTAAAAGTCTCCCTGCACGCACACATGCACACAGACCAATCTCCGTCAAGCAGTTTGTGTGACTGTGCCTGCATAATGTAAATGGGCGTCCATGAGGTGGTTTCTGAGTTGCATTTAAAAGCCATGCAAGTGTTTGTGTTTGTAAGAGTCTGAGGTTTCAGATACGCCTGTGTTTGCATACATTTTGTCAGTCAAAAGCACGCTTCCTGAAAAATTAGTGCAAAGCATCTGCGGATGAGAGAGTACAGACAACACTAGGTAATAGCAGAGAGGTGGATGAATAAAACAGAGGGGGAAGAGAGAGAGAGTTAAAGGAAGGAAGGAAGGGAGAAGAGAAGTAGGCAGAGAGGTTTTGTGGGGCCAAGTCTGCTGACTCAGCACGCAGCAGCCAATCATTAACATGATTTCAAACGTGTGCCCAATCACACGCATGTTTGTGGGAAAAATGTTCAGACACATTGCAAAAATTTTTTTTTTGTCAATTGTGGCACCAAAGAGAGTTTGTGTTTGAAGATAGACACACACACTTGCTGCTTCGCTTTGGTCAAACCTTTCTTGTAGCAGTAGTTTATAACCACTCTCACAAATGCACAGTCTCTCATGCGCGCGCGCACACACACACACACACACGTAGGCATTCAGTCAGAGAAGTGAGCGGCAGTGTGCTTGCCAGCTCCAGTCCTCTTGCAGAGCTTATCTTCCTGCATAGAGCAGCTGAGCAGCACCTCATCCCCTGCTGCTGTTCTAAATGTGAAAGCAGCCGGAGGTTCGACAAGGTCCCCGACCACAGATCCCAGATCACGTTCCACTAAGCCCCTGCTCATTGTTGTACATTAGCCACAGTGAGACACCTGATACTGGATTTGTGGTGGAGGGGAAGTGCTATCCATTCAGCCAAAAGTGCCCACTCAGGTGAAACTTGCTTGTAATTCTGACACTGATTGTGTGCAATTGTTATGGAGATTGACTTTCATATGTTTTCCCCTTTCCTCTGTCCTCTCCTCTCATCCCCTCTCCTCTCGTGACTCAGCTCCCTCATTCATCATCACATATTGCTTAGGTGAGCAGCACTTTTGCCATCACTTGGCATGCGATCTACTGCCCTATGTGTCATAAATCACGAATACATAGAGCTTATTCTTTTACAAAACTCTCAACTCCTCATCTAATACCAACACACCCTTTGATCAGTTGTCTGTCACCATGATGGCTGCTGTTATAAAGGGTTATTCAGTATGTTTTATTAAGAGCATGGCAACATTTGGTTGTAACATAATGTCAAAAACCTTTGATGCTCGCTGACTTTAAGCACTTAAACTTGGCTTTGTACACACCTATGATTATGAGTGGCTGCTTTTAGTTATTTTTTCCAGCCTGTAACGCATCCAGCATCAAACTGTGTTGTGTAAATTTCCAACTGAAGTTCCCGACCTTTTCCTTAAGCTTTACAGCTGAGTCCAGTTCACGCCTGCCTTTTAAATCATTTGGATTTGCTATTATAATTTTTTTTTTTTACATTTCAAAAAGTGAAATCAAATGACCATGTTTCAGGTTATTTAAATCTCTGTTTTGGGAAAGAAGTGGGAACCACTTTGTTGAAAAACTTGGCTTTTTTGGGGTTCTCTAGAGTAAACAAAGCATTTTGTGACCACAGAGGAAAAGAGCTCTCAGGTGTGTTAAAAAAAAAACCCTGTAAGAGAATAACAAGATAAAAACCTGAAAATCATTCCTGGCATTCCATTAGGATCCTTGCCGCAGCTTTTGGTGCTAAGGCCCTATAAGAACAAGACTTAAAGTACACAACTATTTAGACGTTGGCTGGAGTTGTTGTAGACGCACAAAGCAGACAGCAGGTCTATAAATTATTCGGCCGAAGTGAGAAACAGGGGGGTGGCTGTGCACTCTTTAACACGGTGAATCATAGCCAGAGCAGCCATATGTAGCACCAGCTACAAAGCAGCATCATGAATCAGCTCTGTTTGCCGACTGTGACAGTCAGACTCTTTTCTGGTCAGCTGGAATGTGCTGTGAGGCCTTGACCGCTGCAGAGCGCTGTGGCTGGCCTCTCGGTCTTTTTCCTCCTTCCTCTCTCTTTCTGTCCCTCTTAGTTGCCTCCGGATAGACACAGTGGACAGGCTGTCATTAGACAAGAACACACTGTCCGTGCAGGATTCACACTTGGCAGCTGCCTCTCTTCTAACATGGCCTCTCTATAACAGACTGAGAGATTGAGTGGCTGGAGGAAACCAAAGTTCATTTTTGCTTGGTGTGCCTGTTGTGCTTTGTCTGCATCCCCACAGGGTGTTTATAGTGATGAGTTTTACTTCTAGTATGTGTGATCGCAGAAGCATTCCTTGGATGTAATTGGATCATTGTCCCTCTCCTAGTTTTCTCTGTGTCTGTGGAAGCCTCTGGTACATCCGCATGGACTCACAATCAGAAAGGGGGCACTTTCCTCTGCCAACATTGATGGGAAAAGTTGCGTGTCACCTCCTTCACAGTCCCCCCTACACCCACAGTTCTCTTTATTCCATATCCTTGAGCTAGCTCTGACCTAGCTCTAAGGAGATGCATGGCAGTAGGGCTGGGCGATATGGGAAAAAGTTAATCACGATATATTTTTTTCATATCAGTCAATATCGATATATATCACGATATAAAAAAATCACTTGTCAATCTCAAATGTTCCGTGTTAAGGTCCTTACACACCGGGACCGTTTTTGTCGTGCGATTATTTCGGATGTCAATATTTTTTTCAAATCCATATCCTGTCAGTACAAGTGTTCACATCAGCGACATCTTCTCATTCTGTGATATTGCGGCATTTATTTTTTCGTATCATGGTCGATTTTTCTAAACATTACAAAGATAACGACCTGAAGGACATCTTGTAGAGAGTCATAGCGTCGGATCTCTTATATGACGATGGTCTGTGAACTTTAACAGTTTGCTAGTCATCTTTGTTTTAACTTTCATCTATGCTAACGTAAGCTAACGGTTGTTACCATAGTTTCATGTGCTTATCTGGTACTGGCCCCGACTCAGTATTTGCTATCATGACAGAAAGCCATCTCAACACTAGTGTCTCATCAGAACTGTAAACAATCAGCAACTGTGGTACAGTTTCAGTTCCTGAACCAAGCAGTGAAACTCACCAATTCTCTTCTTTTTTGTAATATTGGATGCACCCATGTGCTACGTTTCTCTTTCTTCTGAAAAAAAAAAAAGAAGTACCAATTCGCCATCACTTGAAGTTGAAGTAGACTCCATTTTCATCCTCTCGCTTCCACCCGGGATGCTAGTTGTTAAGGGAAGGTCCCGCCCTCCTTCGCCTCTGATTGGCTATAAGTGCTGACCGTTTGGCTTGAGCGTGTGATGATGTTTACAGCTTTTCAAGCCAATCAGAGGCGAAGAGGCGGGACTTTCCCCTGGAAATCGCACCGGGCTTGATGTGTATAGTCAGGCGCGTCAAAATTCGCCTCTGAATATTTTGTGATTTCGCGTTCTATATTCGTGTCGGCCCCGGTGTGTAAGGACCTTCACTCTTAAATGAAGCAGACTGAATGGTCAGTTCAGCGTGTCACAGGCAGGGAGCAACTTCCCTTTTTAATTGCTATTCATATTGTCTACCAAATATGGCAGAATGTCGGCTATCAAAAAAGCATATTAACCATGTTTCATATCGATATCGGGGGAAATTAATTTTTGATATATATCATTATCGTTTTATCACCCAGCCCTACATGGCAGTAATCAAAGATATTTTCTGACAAGCCTTTTCAGCTACATTTGACAACATGATGTCAGCACAATATGAGCATACCCAAAAACAACACAAACACTCTCTGAAACCAACAAGTATGAGACAACACTCGGGATACTAACATTTGACTCAGACAGCCATCAGCTACAGTCATTTAGTGGTTGTCACTTTGGTGATGACTTTGGTGTAAAGAAAGGCTGTGAGGTGAGAAGAGCAAGTGTACAAATGTTCTCAGGGAAGGCCTCTTGTTGTAGAAAACATCATTTCTGCTGTTTGTAATCATTCTGGATATAAAAAGACAAGCTAACTTTGAAACGCATGGAGAGATTATCAGTTATAGAGTAATCACACCCCTCAGTAACTCCTTGTATGGATAAATTAAGAAGCTAAGAATATGACAGCTTTACCTGAAATAAGATGTCTCACCATCTTTGATCTCATTTGTCTTCTCGTGTATCGAGGACTGTCTGCAGTATTAAGGCTTTCATTGCCTGCTTGGCAGAGCTTTGTTAATCAGTGGAAAATTTTGGCCTAGTGAAATTAAAAACACACACTAACACTTATCTTGTTTTCCCTCTTGTGGCATTGTCAGCTCTGTAAGACAATTAGCCATTAAAAAGGATTAAATGAGATCTTTCAGTGCAACACTACAAGAAGTCACACCATGCCTATTTAACCTTTTTATTTCATTTTCCGTGTCTGTCAGTTTTACATTATTTGAGTCTGTTTTTGTGCGGTGTAGGTATTGTGACAGATGCCTAACTTTATATTGTTCAACAAGCTCTTATCACTGAACCCTGAATTGGCTGAAATCAGGAAAGCAGCAGATTTTGAATGCACTGTGTGGGCAGTCGGTGCTCAAAGTGTCTCACAGCACTTCACATTTGTTTTTTCTTTCCAGCACATGTGTGCACACTCATCAAAGAATGAGTCAATATTATTTTGGCCATTGAGAATTCCTACACTCACCAAGATGATTGCATGACCAGGCGTGTCATTGATTTTTTATTAAAGATGTAAAGGACAGATAATGGTGAGTAACTCTTTGGATTTTCACATCTCTGTTCGTCAACATTTCTGTCTGTTTATGAATTTGTGTGCATGAGAGTGTTTTGAACAAGCTGTCGAACTCCTGTGGGTGGATAATTACAGCAAGCTCATGAACCCGCTCCTGTTGATTTGTACATAAAATATACTGGCCTATTGGACAAATGTACGATCACATCTATACCAGCACACTCAGACTTCATCCTCTCAGTTTTGCCAAATGACATGGGTTGTGCATAATGTATGACAGCCATATGTCTGCTGGCTGTCGACTTGTACAGGGAGCAGCTTGAGTGAATATCTCAACACTTCATTGAGACTATACCTTTGTATCACTTTAAATTTTTGCTATTTCTGCTTAAACATAACAAAGATAGATAGACAGTTGGAGGCCTACAAATACAAGACAATGATAGTGTAAGTGAATATATATTTGTGATCAATCCTGTGACAGTCTTTTATGTGAACCATCGTGTCGACTTTGATGCTCAGGGAGATAATTTGACAAGTAGGTGTGAATAAGTGCCTTCGCAGGGGTTGCAACTGGGTTAGACCCCCTCTTAACAGGTGCATTATGCCGTCTCACATCTTTGCAAACACACACACACACACAGATGCTGATACATTTCATATTCATGCGCCTACATCAAACACAGAGCACTTTCAAACACACCCCTTATTTGAATACATTTTATGCTTCTATTTATGTCACAGGAACTGAAACCATCGTATGTTTAATTTTAAATCAATGAACCCCGTTTCTCAGAACCAGATGAAGTGATGTGCGTGACAGTCGCAGAGGCAACTTTCATGGTACCGATGATTTCTGCTCTGCCCAATCTGCAATGGCCAAAAGACCTCAGTGCATAAAGGTCACTGTTTCAGAGAGTGTGTTTTTAACATGCCACTTAATCATCACTTGTGGTCACTCTTTACTTATGTATAAACAAAAGCGATCATTCAGTCACGTTCTTGGTTGCAAATTAGCCAGCGACCAAGTAAAACAATGGTGCATTTGGTTATCATGTGTTTTTAATCAAATCGAGTTCAAACATTCAGTCTGTCTCTTAGACGAGCAGGACTGTTAACAGCAGCGCTGAACTGGCCATCTGTAGAAGTTTGGCATTTCCTGGTGAGCCTGCAGTTCAGAAACACCCATATGGAAAGATGAAACATATCACATGCTGTGTGGTTAGCTTCATCCAGATGTGCTTAAATACATTTGTGACCCCTTTGAAAAACTGTTGTCCTTCTCGGTCATTGAATTAGCCGTGAATTAGCCGTGAAGAACATCCATGATTGCTAGAAAAGGAAATCTCTAAACTAGCTCTCAATCAGAGACTGGCCTACATACAGTATTGATCTTATTCTAATATTTTAGTGTAGTAGTGCGACATGACTGTGCCCGGGATATTTATGGCATTACTTGCGCAATGGGAGAAGATGGAGACGTCATCTCTTCACACATAGTCAGTAAATTTTACCCGAAGATGTGTGTATTCCTTCTCGACATGACTAATGTCGCTCTCTGCCAAATCACTCGAAGTCCTCATCAGTCATGGTGAGCTGATTGATCAGACACTTTCACAGAATGTCTGTCATCAGTGGTCTCTCTCTTCCTAACGAGGCATGTACGATTTAACAGCTGACTCATCTCAGCATGCTTTCAGCAAGCACAGGATGTGTGTGAGGGGGTCATGACTGGAAAAGCTGCCATTACCCAACATTAGTGCCCCAGAGGGGTTAGGAGAGAGCAAAGTCATTTTTTTTCTATCGTTCTTGTTTGTGCAGGAGACATGAAACACAGAAGAGTGCTGGATGGGAGGTTATGACGCGTATTAAGGAACCCATAATGCAATTTCATCACGGAAGTTAAAAGTTCCTTAGCTGTCTCAGTTCCTTCCCACTCTTTATTACACCTTGATGCGACCTACTTCAGTTTGAAGTGAGCTGTTTTCTCTGCTGCTTCTTTGCTTTGAATCTGGCACTGTTAAGTAGCCTGTTAAAAATTAAAGACATCACATTAAAATCCTTTTGATAATGAACCAACCACTTAAAAGCCTTTGATGAAACCACCAGCAGCTAAAGCAGACCTCTGCTTCAGCAGTGAAAGGTTGATGGTTCCCATGTATCGCTGTTTCTGTCAGTGTAATTATCACTTGACCAGTCAGAGTGAAGTAGGTGAGGTTTCAAAGGTTCATGTCAGTTTCCTCAATGACAAACTAACTTAAGAGCAACGTCAATGAAAAGTAAGACAGACTGTGAGTCATGATAATAACACATGTCCACCAGTTCAAATTTAATAGCAGCATATAATCAGACTGAAAGAAAAACTGAAAGTGTTAAGTAGTCTTGCCTCCCTGTGAACTTTAACAATATCTCATCAGAACAGATATGGCACCCTATTGCCTCCATTAAAGCCTTGTTTTCTACTGGGTTGGTGTCATTTTTCAGAGGGCTGCAGGTCGCTTGCTGTTACACACATGAAATGAGGCTGAAAATATCAAATTAAAATCCATGTTAAAAAATCATTTCTCAAACATGCTCTTTGTCATGATAGACAGTTCCTATCTTCCAGATTTCTGCTCAAGGGTTCCTTTTTATTGGTTCATCATTTTAGTTAGTAATTAGATTTTGGAAAGCTGATAGGACAACTATGTAATGATGTCACCCTTGGCACCAGAATTACAAATGGGTTGGATGAATCTGTGTTGTATTGCCTTAGGCCTGAAATGCTGTGGTGCTGCCACTCAGGAGAAAACGTGGCTTAAATGACAAAAGAGCTCAAAGAACTATTGCATTTATCTTCCACCTCTGTGTGCATTTCACATCATCTTGATTAGAAAAATGTATCCTGTGTATGACTTTAAAATGGATGAGTGCAATACGAGCACATGATGCAACAGTACACACCCCTTTCACAAATTTGGAATTTCAAGATTCGCTTAAAAACACATTTATTGGCAAACATCGGGCAGGAATTCTGAAATGTACTAAGAGGAATTAAATGATGTAAATGTGCCTTTTACCTCCACAGGATCTGTATCAATACTATTTACTAATTTGTGGTATGAGACCTGAAGCAGACTGATGCTGCGGCTAGACTTCTGGATTAAAACAGGAGAGGGCGTGGCTGCACATATCTGGTCAAGAGCATTAACAGTAGATAAAATCTCAGGAAGTCTGTCCCCAGAGAAAAGCCTTCAGGAGACTCCCAAAGTAACGAAGTGGATTCATCCTGGTAGAAAAAAAAGAAAACCATCAATACATATAAAAAAAGTCCCAAAATTGTTCATCTGCCAACAAAAGTGAGTTAAACCCCAAAGAGGAAGGGAAGAGTTATGTCTAGATTACTTAATTTTGATGAACAGGGTTTGACTGATCTGAAATTACAATGCAAGAATAATCAAAGGAAAAAACATAAAAATGAGAGAATTATCTACGAACAATTACAGTATTTTCTGAACTATAAGTCATTGGAAACCATGTGTAAGTCGTACCTGTGTCTAAGTTGCAAACCCAGCCAAACTATGAAAAAAAGACATAGTCATAGAAAATACCGTAATCAATCCTTGAGTAAGATTGATGCACTGTAGAATAAAATAACTTCCTGCTGGAGGGGTTTCGAAATCTCCAAGAGGGATTTAGTAATTTCTGATTATGAAATGCTGAGACAGGAGTGAACAAGAATTGGATCACCCACAGTTAAAATCTGAACAAGTGTGTATTTAGAGAAGGTATGTTGCTGAACATGAAACCTAGGGGTAATACGATGGAGTCTCTCAGCAATGGCTTGGTGGTTCTATTCATCCAACCTGGATTCAAGATCTTCACACTTGTTCTCCAACTTAGTGTTGAGAACAATCGATCCTAACCCTCAGCTTGCTGATGCTGACAAAGAGCGACTTCTCCGTTACTTCATTGGTGCCTTTGAGTGGAGAAATCGTGGCCTTAAAAGCAACTTGATAGTCTAGCTTAAAAATCTCTGCCATGTTTTTCCGCAAAGATGCTAATAATTGTAGCTTAAAGGCTTCGGCTAGCAGGAGAGCCTCCGGTGATGGGGAGCAGTTTGGTGGAGAAGCTGCATTTGTCGAGGTTGGTGCCTGAGAGACACCGCAGCCAGTGAATGGTAAAAAGAAGTAGCTACAGGAGACTGACTAGATGAAGAACTGCTAACTATATTTTAAGCCTCAAATTTCCAAGTAATGTCATGTGACAAGCGCACCAACAAGCGTCAGGCCTCCCAACTATGTAGAAATCCAGCTATTAAGTGCTCTCTGGATCCTTCCGCCTCCATCATAAGCAAGAGCTTTATCCCAAATGACAGCTGCCCCCTCATAGTGAGGTCATAGTCTCTGTTTAAGGTGAGGAAGAGTAGATGGGCAATGACAGCAGTGTTTGATATACGAAGAGGAAAATTGCTGTCAGACCTTCTTAGATCCCCAGAAAGGTCCAGAAAACACCCAGATCAAGTGAATCTTCGAGAGATATGCTATAAATACTTGAATGTCTTAATAGAGTTGAACACTCTAGTTATCCATCAGATAAGCTGTTGTAAATCCTATCGGTCGTCAGTCTCAAAGAAAGATGTAAACACAGCAGAGGGATGGAAACTGTGACAGAGCACTAAATTGAAGAGAGTGGCGTCAGATTAAGAGAGAGAGAGATAGAAGCTGGACGTGGTTGAAGGATTGAATGAGGGTGAATGGGATTGTAAGCCTTATCGAACAGATCCACAGATGAGCCGTCATCCTGACTCACCCATTTAACTTTCTTACGCAACAGGCCGGCGGAGTCCATTCACCCGCTCTGCTCCACCCTCATCACTCGCTCGCAGGAAATGCTAAGAGGGGAACTGAGAACTTTTAGAGAGGTGGAGTCGAAGGAAAGAAATGGGGTGCATCTGCAGACGATGACAGAAAAAAAGACATGATGATGGATGAGACAGGACTGGAGTGGAAAGGAGACTAAGATGGATTTAAGCCATAGTGTAGGCTTTTGCCAGCATCTCTTCACGGTTGCTAAGGGAACCGCTTATTTGTCGCGACGTCGCTCTCACACTGACTCTTCCTTTTAGACACCGCTTCTGCAATTTCCTCTTCTCCTTATGTTCGAAGGCTGCTTCTCTTCCTTCTCTTGGATGGTGGAGTGAAACGCAGTGATACTCTGAAGTAGAGAACGAGTTCAGTCAGAATCTGTCTGTCAGAGAAGGCGAGGAAGAGGAGGGGGGAGCTGTTGAGCCGGCGAGGTCCCAGCTGAGTGTAATTCAAGGCCCTGTCATTTCTCCGACAGAGGACGAGTGGATTATCTCCTTGACCTGCTATACCCCCTCTCTGTAGGCCAGCATAGAAAAGTAAAGGGTAGATAGATAGAGTGGGTGGATGGGACATAGTGTGATGGTGGGCTGACTGGCACAGAGAGACAAGAATGTAGCCATTGGCAGGCTGTTATGTAATCTCTCACAATCTGCATTTGAAACAAAGGTTTGTCCCTGCTGTGTGGTTTTGACTGCTCGGAGGCCTAGACCAGAATACATACAGAGGACAGCCTACCTCTATCCAAAACACCAACAAACACCACTATTCCAACCCTGAAGGGAAAGTTGGTCCTTGTTATAGCTCAGTCATCCATGTTGATGCTGACAGGAAAGGCCGGTTTGTTTACCTGCTTTTCACCTGCACTTCTACACTTCAGAAGTTCATTGTTCGGGTGAGTTAATTCCTAAAGTTAGGGTTTGCTGGAGACTGAATGCTGGAACTGAACTTAGTAAGGAGAGTAGCTGTGTCTACATGGGCACAAATAAACGGAATAAAGACCCGATCGGAGAAAAAGTGCGTCATGTAAACATGTCGATCAGAAGATACAATTCAGCTCAATCAGAAAAAATTGTATTGCGATCATAGACAGTATATAAAATGGACGCCGTCTGCCTCCTCGCTGGGTGAAGCCACCCCGAGAACAGCACCCTCTGGTGACGGGCTGCAGTATAGCCTCTTCGTTGTTAGGGGTTGTTAGGGGGTTCATGTTTTCTATGATTGACATTTGATACAGCCTTTGGGAGTAGGAAGATTGCGTAGCTCACCAGGAGGGATACACTGTTTGAGCCGAGCGTCATCACAGCAACTCTCGGCGAGTCTCCCGCTGAATGCGTACAACACTACTGCACGATGTTGGTTTCAGGAAATGGAGAAAAATCGCAGAAATATTGAGAGCTTTTCAGCTTCAAATCCATATACTGGATGGAGGCGGAATCAAGTTGTCCATAGTATAGACAGTCTGTGATTGCGATAGATTGGGGTGGTTTATGCAGATCGTTTATTCTAAAACGCGTCCATGTCATTCTGGTCGTGACTCTCTGTTGGGGCAAAACTAGCCTGACTGCCCATGTGTGCGCTACATCATGACGTGTTTCCGCCGCTAGTGACAAGACGTAAACATGGCGGGATCAATGAGCAACTGGTCTGTGTCTGACACTACTTTCTTGCTGGATACAGTCTCCTCATGTAATGCAGGGTCAGTGTGCGCTGCCTGTTGGGCCCTCTTGATGATCATGTATGCCAGGAGCAATACAACTGCTCTTAGAACCTGGCTCAGGTCCATTCTGAGTGGAGCGAAAAATCCTGAATTGGAGTGAGCCAGTAGTGGTGTAGGGCAATAATTCAGAAACAGCAAACTGATGAAAAATGTAGACTCACTTTAGATAATGGATTCATGTATTGGTTTGCTTAAGAGGCATATTATCTAATTTGTTTAATTAATTTCTTGTACTAAGGGTTAGACAATGTAAATTCGCTTTTTTCTGCCCCCTTGCATTCAAGAGTTACAGTATTGTCTTTTTTTAATGAGTTTTATTTTTTATTTGATGCTCGATAAATGAATGAAATAAATAGATCAACTAAACTAAAATAAACTAAGCTTGTGGGAAACCAAACCACTGCTTTTCTGCTTATGTCACTTTAGGTTGGGACTTTACAGCTTTGCAAAAGGAATTGAACTTTTTATTTTTGAAAAACACACTCCATCAGGAAATTGCACCACTCTTACTGAAATGGCTTAACAAATATCACGGCTGTAGTGTACAGACCAAATGTGATGGCATTGAACTATTGCAACAATCATAAATGTAACATGTATTTTCATGCCATGTACAGAAAAGCAGGAGAAAGTGTGATACCCTTAAGTTGACACAGAGTAAACTGTGTAAGAGAAGCAGCAGATACGCTGTGATGGACTCAGACACGCACATACCAGAAGTGAGAAAGCAGAAGTGGTGATGAACAAGTCAGACATGAGCTGCAGAGGCCCGGCTGGTGTCTGCAGTAACATGTGTCAGCCACTAGTGGTGTTTCAGCCCTTGTATGTGTGTGTGTGCACAAGTGTGTGTACGCTTATGCTTTTGTGTGTGAGGGGGTGATGTGGTGGAGAACTGAGGGGGGTATGCGTTGTACTGACAGCTGGCTTCTATAAATAAATGTCACAGGCAGGGGGGAGACGCAGGGGTGGATAGAGAGAGAGAGAGAGAGTGAAAGAGAAAGAAACCAAGGGGAGAGTGAGAGGGGTGACAAATTAAAGGGAAGGAGGGGGAGTGAAGAGAGGGGAGACAGATGATGGGAGGCCTGATGGAGAGGAACTGATACAAACGTACTGAGAGATCTGAAAGAATGTGGCGAGTGTCCTGCACTCCACTGCACTCAGGTCATGACTTACTGAAAACACACCACACGTCGCCCTAGTCTCGGCCAATCAGCAGCCTCGCTTCAGATCATGTGCTTCCTTTGTGATGCCATCTTTTTCACATCTGAGGCCCACAAAATCTGTTCCTGTTACGGTCTATCTCACAACGCCGTTGCCCCGTCCACTTCCTTCCCTGTCTTGTTTTGTCTTGTTTGTGCGCGACACGTCAAAAGAGACCCTAACCAAACCAAAAACAAAAAAAAGAAAGAGAGAAAAAAGAGAAAAGAAATGAATGAAGACAGGGGACAAAATGTATTGAAAGAGTTTGAGGGAGACCTGTGAATGTGACTTTCAAAGCCTGAAGGGTTTACTTTTACCTCCATTAATTTGTCATGTAATCTGTCACTGAGACGTCTCAGATCACATCCTGCAGATGAGCTGCCTGGTAACAACTGACTGAGACACACTGTGTCACTGATACCTTCCACTTTCACTTTCCTGCCTCTTGTTGCACTGTTTCATTGCCTTTCAAAGTGGAGTGTTTGTGCTGGGTGTGTGTATGTGGGGGGGGTGTTTATGAGGCAGTGAGCTGGGTTTGGTTTCCTTGTCTTGGCACCACTATGAAAAACTGATCACCTGTCTGTCTTACAGCCAAACGACTGTACCTATTCAACCTACTGTAACTATCTTTTGTTGTGTCCTCATCTCCTCTCTATTTCATTCTCTGACGTTGCACCTCCTCGTCTGTGTGTGTGTGTGTGTGTGTGTGTGTGTGTGTCTTTGCAGAGAACTTCTTTATTCCCTTTTCTGTTGATTTTGACTTTCGGTTGATAGAGAATGATTCAGAGTTTCTGATGTCACAACAGAGATAGAGCCTACAAGAAAGAGAGAAATAGGGAGTGAGGAGTCCGTTAGATTAAGGAGGGGAAGGAGGAAGATAACATGGGTCAACATGGGTGAGGAGGTGGGGGCCTGTTATTATCAGGCTACATCAGGACTTCAGGGGCCTTCTCTCTAACTTCCTGCTTACAAAGCAAACCATAAGAAGGGTTGGGAAAGACATTTGTCTGTGTTCAGATGCTAAAATTTAAGAGATATATGAGTCACCATCATCACTGGCAGTCGGAGTTAACTAATAATAAGTTTTTTTACACCTTTACACAGAGGTCAGTTTGTGGCTGTGACTGTGTTAACATCTGACTCAAATTCTGAGATACCTCTCCAGCACAGAGGATGTTGTCATCATCAAGTTTGAGCTCAACAATTTCACAAGTTCCCTTTGGGTGGTGAATCAGTACACAGTCTGTCTTGAATGTTGTATAATACATATAAAGATACATTATGTACAAGCCTCCTAATTTCTTCATTATCCCATTATTTTCTGTGGACAGTGTTTATAAAAAATGATTTTCTTTCTCAAACACTTTCCATCTATCTTAAAAAAAACATCTGTGGTCCAACTGGCCAAAGTCTTACTCAAGATTTCCCTCTAAGTGCTTCTGCTCGTTCTTCCTACCGCAACATGTGGTTTGGAAAAAAAGCCGTTATTAAGTCGTTGGACAGATGCACAGTTTGATGAAACAATATAAACTGTAATTGAAAGGAAAACAAGTGTAACCAAATATTTCATTTCAGCTCAGCAGCCACAACATGCATTAACAGAATCGTTGGCTCAACCGCACATTGGATTGAGAGCTTCGTATCAAACAACACCCTCTGAATTCATCTGTTATTGTGTCCGGAGGCCTCTCAGCAGTTCACCCAGTGTAGTTCACTTAGTGGTATTCCAACAAAAACAACCACGTTCATCCTGATTGTGACTTCCTCACACTTCCTCTGCTCTGTCTGACAGTGTTTTTTCCCTCTCTGTTCTGTCCACACAGCCTCTAGCACAGTGGTGGAGGCTGCTTCCCAAAGATGCTGCCAAGATGCCGGAGAGCGCGTGGAAGCTGGTCTTCTACACCATGTCGTGGTCATACAGCACCTACCTGCTCTTCTTTACCTCCTACTCTTTTTTCCACGACCCGCCCTCTGTCTTCTACAGTAAGATACTCCACATTGTGATCCTCCTGATGCCTGTTATATGACAGAGTTGACTCATCACAAGAAGAAGAAGTAGAGACCTGTAGAATGTCGAAGTTATTTCTCAGTGTTTGATAAGTTGAACGGAAGTTGAACGAACTCTTTTGAACAAGTTCTGAAAAAATCTCCATATTTTCCTGTTAATTATAATAATGATCATTATGTTAGTTAATAAGACAGTGGTAACACTTTTTTGATGCTCTATAATGCATTATAAATATGTGTATAATGTGTTATAATCATGCTATAGCACTGTATAACTATAGTTATAAACACTCATAAATGATCATAATGCTTTATAGCAATAATCATAACATATTATAAAGCATTTTTGTGTTATGCTTATTGTTATAAAGCCTTATGATAATTAATGAGTGTTTATAATGATAGTTGTATAAGTTTAAAAGCAAATTATAACACATCATAAATATATGTATAATGTATTATCTATGTGGGCATTGTCAGTGAGTTGTTAACAGTTAAAACACATGATAATACCTGACCTTATAAGTCATGATAAAATGCTATATAATGTGTAGTGATTATTACTATAAAGCATTATGATCATTTATGAGTGTTTATGATTGTAGTTATACAGTGCTGTAATGTGATTATAATGCATTATACGTATATTTATAATGCATTATAGAGATAGGCATCCAGTGAGGTGTTACCGTGATGTTAAGTTTCTATAACTATCTTGCAATAGTTAATGATTAACATTAGTTGAACCCCTGAGCAATCTTGTAATATGCAATATAAAGGTCCAGTAATTTACCACCGTTATGATCAAGAAGTGATTCATCACAGGGTCATTAACCCGTCCTGAAGTGAAGGAGCAATAAGCTTTTGGTGCTCTTGTTATGAGAGACTCCCTTGTGTAAAGACAGGGATTGTGGACAGGGTATAAATGAAATAAAGACAAAGGATAAATTTAGCAAATTTCCAGCAGACCTCAGTGAAGGCTGCGGCTCAGCTGGAAGGAAAAACCTGGAAGATCCCAAACCTCGATATTTTGTTTATTTGAACAGCGTTGCTTTACGTCAGAGGAAACACTTTCCTTCTTGTCTGATTTTACACTGGAGCTGGGGCCATAGAGAGAGAAGTTGATTGACAGCACTCTAGTATGAGATAAAAGCTTGTGTTTGCTATTATTGCACACCGTTGGCACCAGGCTGGTAATGGCAGCCAGCTCAAGAGAGGTAAGAAGAGCGTCAAAGGAAGTCCTTTTACATAGAAATCAGTTCACAGGCTATAACTGGAGAACCAAGAACAGAATAGGCCTTAATTAGTTAAATACACAAAGAATAAGAAATCATATTAATTGTTTCAAGCCGTGTCTCAGAAGTGGAAAGATCAGTTTGTTTGTTTTTCATTATCATGAGAACGACAATAAATGAACAATCAAGTCGAGAGCAAAGTCCTCATAATTGCACCTGATGGAGGACTAATGCTGCTAATGGGGATAGATCTTTCATGGGTGTTACACTAACAGTCCAGGGTTGTCTTTCAAGTCTCTTTGTCTCCTCCATCAGTCATGGATGTGTCAGTGCTGCTGTCCAACTCCATCCCTTTTGAGTGGAGCGAGCAAAGGCTGCTTGACAGTGCCAGCTTCATCTTTAATAGCTGCATCACCTCTAATAACTGTCATGCTGAGATGTATACAGGGTCAGAGTAATATAGCTTGACTCTTAGGGCGGGAGGGGCAGAGAGAGAGATGGGAAGTTAAAAAGAGAAAGTAAAAGCTTGAAAAAGTGGGAATGTATGAGGTAAAACATTGGCAGAAGGAAAGAGGGGCTGAGTTTTTGTATTCTAGAGAAAGAAGAGAAGAAAAAAAAAGGTCCAGTCTTTTGGGGAGAGAGAAAAAAAGGTCTCTGGTTCCCATGCCTCCTCTTGGCAGCTCTTCTGTTGTGATCCATCTAGCAGCCTTCCTCTCAATGTTTAATGATGGAAGGTCCGATCAATAAACATTACACAAGGCCCAAGTGTAACCCCATCCTGCCAGGGATGAACCAAACTCAAACACAGGAGGAGAAAGTTTCCGTCTAACATCTGAGAAGTACCCAAGACATGAGCTAACCAAGCAGTCTTAACATACATTCAGCCTATTTTGCCTGTTTTACTTTAGAGACTCTCATAAATTCTCAAGAGGTTAAACCTGATCCCTCCAGCCTTACTCCAGCCTACCCTTTACATCTTGTATCCCCTACACCGGAAGTCATGGAGGCTCAGTTTACAGTGATATTGCTTAGTCCACTATTTTCATTCATGTGGGGTAATATATCCAGAAACAGATCGAGCTCAGACTAAAGAGGCCTGTTATTGTGCAGGTTTTCTTTTCCTTAATGGTTGTCATGCGCTCAAGTCCCTGAGGGAGTCCCTAACTTAGCAAAAGAAAAGAGATACTCAGACGAAGGATAAATACAAGGACATGCATGTGAGGAAACTACTGTGGCAAAGACTGCAGCACAATATGAGTCTCAGTTTATGGTAAAAATATAATATTTTAACTGAAGAAACATACAGACTTTCCTGACCATAATCTGGTGATGGGTTGATGTCAATCATGATCCTTTGATAGTACACTGTAAACAAAGATGAGTTGTTCATAACTACAGATGAGGTAATACTCAGTTTAAGGTCAAAGACCTGTGGCTTTGGATGTGGAGGATGTAACTGTAGTGCCACCTGTAGACTGAGTCCTACCAAGGAGAACAGTAACAGAAGCAAGTAAACAGATACGGCAAAATAAATTTAAGCAAAACATTCACTGACAAGCTTAAATCTTGGATGGAGTTTCAATGTAGAATTTTTGAAAAAAAAAAGAGCTTTGTGCAACTTTTAAATTACTAAATAAATTATTTTATCTAGACAGATGAGTAGAAAGACGAGTAAACCTCTTGGCCCTTGAGCAAACAAAGAAATACGAAGTGAAAAGCACAACCTCTTTGGTAGTGATGCTAAAACAAAGACTGGGACTACTCAGTTTGTATTTCTCTGAACTCAAAGGAAGTCTCTCTCTCTCTCTCTCTTTATCTGTTATTGTGTGTGTCACAGTTTCTGACACAAGCTGGAGAAAAAAACAAAACCCTTCTTACTCTGCTCCTTGTATCAGTCTTTCATCTCTCCTCTTCTACCTTGACATACAGCTTGATGAAAAGGTTTTATTAAAATATCATGGGAGCGCATTAGCCTCTGAGTTGTAACAGAAACTTGGCTATCCATACAGAAATAAATCCAGTTTTCCACTGTCCTGCAGGAGGAATTAAGTGATTGAAGCAGAACCGTGATGCACTGAACTTGGACCATCTGTGTTTTCCTTTGACGGCTCTAATTCTTGAAATACCCTTTAACAAAGTCTAAAGATTCAAGACTCAAAAAAAATGGGTTTCAAATTGTGACTGTGTTGATCAATTTCCATGTTTTTGTGATTATCTCTTGTTATCTCAAACTGAAAACGGTTTTCTCCATATCTGTCCAGACTGGAAGAGTGGTATGTCAGTGCCTACAGACATCGCCATAGCCTACTTGATCCAGGGGAGCTTCTACGGCCACTCTATCTACGCTACAGTCTACATGGACGCATGGAGGAAGGATTCAGCCGTCATGGTGGTGCACCACATCATCACGCTGGCACTCATTATCTTCTCCTACGCTTTTAGGTATGTCAAGCCCGCTTTGATTTTGGAATTGTTAGTTGAAACGGTTTTGTCTGGTGTTGGTTTCAAAGTGTCGTACAGAATTTTTGATGATCTAAACTCCAGTCGTTGCGATCCATCAACACATGCTAAGTGCCAGACATCTTCCTTTGAGCGTAACGGCTCCTAAAATCAACGAAAAAGCATAACTTCACTGTTTTTGTATTGAAACACCTGTACAAAACACAGCAGTGTTTCAACCTCATGATAAAGTGATTTAATTGAGACATGAACCGCTTGTTCCTTTTGTTTTAAATAGACAGGAATGACAGAAATGCTTGAAGGCATCATTGCCTGCAAGATAAAGTGAGTTATGTCACCGTATCAGACAAGGATATCCTGTTTATTTTTATAGATTTACCACATGTAAAAATACAAAAAACAACAATCAACCTTTGATTTACACATACCTCTCTGTTTGCAAAGCATAGTCTGACTACACATACACACTGTCTGCTTTTCCTGACCTCTAGATACCACAATGTTGGCATTCTGGTGTTGTTCCTCCATGACATCAACGACATCCAGCTGGAGTTCACCAAGCTCAACGTCTACCTGAAGTCCAGAGGAGGAGGATATTACCTGCTCAACGATATTCTGTCTAACATGGGCTCAGTCAGCTTCAGCATCACCTGGTGAGGCTCCACACAAATAAACACACAAACACACACACTTTGTGACTCATTTTCTCCTCTTTGTTTGTTTGTTTTTCTCTGAAGGTTAGATGTTTTGTTGCCCGGGCAGCTGCAAAATATTTTCATGTGTTCCTTGAGATCTTAAAGAAGAAAAAACCCGAACCTAATTTCTGTTGATCTTGTGTCTCCATCCCTCAGGTTCTGGTTCCGCCTCTACTGGTTCCCTCTCAAAGTGCTGTATGCCACATGTGTATCCAGCCTCCAGTCTGTCCCTGGCATTCCCTTCTACTTCTTCTTCAACGCTCTTCTCCTCGCTCTGCTGCTTATGAACATCTATTGGTTCTTGGTGAGGACATGCAGATTATTTGAGTCAAATCCAAAGAGCGTTTAGGAGTTTTGTTTGTTTTTTGTGAAACCTGCTGAGCACTGACACATAATGTTCTCTTCTCTGCTTCTCACCCCTTTGACCCATTCAGTTCATCGTGGTTTTTGTGGTGAAAGTGTTAAAAATGAAAGAGGTGAACGACGTCAGGGAGTACGAGGACGAGGACGGCAGCAAGGCGGCAGCAGCAGCAGCAGCAGCGGGCCTGCTTAAAGAGCCGAAGGCAGAAAACAGTGATGATGATGCTGGACATCACATCTCTGCCCAGGGGTGAGCTTCGCCATCGTTTGTTTAATCTGACAGAAAGACCTCCGCGCAGGACGGAAAAAATATCACCAGCCAACTGCTGGCAGATTTTCACTACAAACGTAGAGTTTGTTTTTACTCGCAGCAGGTTTGGCAGGAGACCAGACCAGCAGTTTAAGGTGCTATTTGTAGAGTTTCCGCATTAATAAATCATTGAGTAGGCCTGTTGCGGTGTAACAGATTTTTACACAAGTGTGAAGTTCTAATTTTAAAGGCAAACTAAGTGCTGTAAGACTGAGGACTCAGCTTTGCTCATAAAATATTACATAAATACAATCAAAAATACTTTTAAACTGCCTGAGCCAGCTATAATTTACCATCTCCAGGCTACATCAGTGCTAGCAGATCTGTTAGACTGTACTTTGAACAGCTTTTTAGCGAAATGCTATTATCAGCATCAAACAGTGACACCAATTTAATTTTTATTGTGTCATTAATCATAAGTTTAGTTTGTTTAGCATGCCAAATTAGCTTTCTTTCACAGAACGGTTAGCAACAATGAAGCTAACAGGATTACATTTAGCTTCCAGCTTAGCTTAGTGTGGTCCAACAGCTTTAGTCCTGTATGTCTAGATTTCATAATTCAAGTCTATCAATAGTTTAAAACAGCTTCATGCAAGTAACTCTTCCCTGAAAACAGAGAACCACTCTGCTGCTATGCCAAACTGGTCTTTTGATTGTATCTAACATTAGCAGTGCTAGCACAACCAGCCCAGTGAATGTGCCTGTGGTCTGCTCTGGTCTGCTCTGGTAAGTATGTGTCAGTTTAACCTAAAACAGCCGACATACAACTTTATCTTCATTCTCTGGATCAAAATACTGTCAAAACACACCGGACTACAAGGTTTCATCTATCATTAGCGTGTGTTTACATCTGATTAGTTAATCTTTTATTGTTTACTTAACAAAACATTTACATCCCCAGTTATGACCTCAGTTGTCATGTCACCATAAAAGAGGAAATTTATGAAATAATGATGAGATTTCAAAACTATTTATTTTCTTAATTCCCCCAGATTATCTCTCTTGCAGAATACGTGTTTCTCTGAATGTCAGTGGGTGTTCTGCCCCCTGTAATCCTGAAAATACTACCTTTGCTTGACTTTATCATACCTGATGTACCTTTATCTGGGGTCAGGGTCTTCTCTCTTTATCTGAGGAGCTGCCTTTAGCCCCCTCTCTGACTGTCAGATGTCCTTCTATCATCTGTGCTGGTTATCTCGGCAGCCTTTGACTACAGACACTTATTTTTATTTTTATTTTTTTAAGGGTTTCAGAGCTGAATTTGCTCCTCTGTATTTTTGGGGTTACAGTCCTAAGATTTGGTGTCACAGGTCTAACACCTTCTCCTCCCCTGACAGCTGGTGTCCGTGCTAAAAAGGAGCAGATCTCCCACTTAGCTTGTGTAAGCAGCGGCCCTCGCAGGTAGATAGGATCAAAGAGCCTGAGACCATATGGAGATGTGATTATGTGGCTCACCTTATCTTCCTGGCCTTGAACCCTGTTGATATCCTCTCTGCCTGCTAATGCCTCACATCTGCTGATCACCTCACCTGTTAAGCTTATTCTCTCTTCCTCTCCCCGTCCGAGACTTCCTCGTTCGTACTCCCAGCCCCCCTCTGACCCTCTGTTCTCGCTCTCTCCCTCTCTTTTTGTAGGAAGCATGTGCAGAACGGGATCACCAAGGAGAAGCATCTATAACAGGCTCTCCGTCGCCACCACCTGGCACTGGGCTGCGAATACAAAGCAAGACAAGATGCCCTCCTCGGACTGCTCGAGCTCCAAACATGGCTGAAAGGAAGAGTGTCACAAAAAAAAGAAAAGAAAAGGAAAAAAACAAGTTAGGCTGCGATACATTTTTACACTTTTTACTTGTTTTAGAGCATTTCATTTCATCACTGTTATTTTATTTTCAGTTTTTTTTTTTTTTTTTTTTTTTATTAGAGCACTGTGAATGTTATTTCAGGTGACTTTTTGTCTTATTGTTGCTACCTTTACATTTGATAGATCCAGTAGAAACAAAGCAGTTTGAGTGAGAGATGGACTGTGATTGTCAGGTACGTACAGTAGTAATGGGTAACTATCACCATCGCCCTGAACAGCAGCACCCTGCAGCACCCAGATAAGGAAAAGGTTCAGGCGTGTCGTGGTTCTGTAGACTTTTAGACTCACAGTCAGCGTTAGTTACATGGTAAATAAGCAATATGCTGATTTTTAAAGGGTGCACTGTCTTCGCTGTCAGTGAAACGTGTTTCCTAATGAATTCCTTTCCTTTTTTATTCTCGTAAAAACTCCGTCCATCCTCTCTGACTCCAGACATGAAGAGAAAAGGCGAGAAAAAAAAAAAGAAAAAAAAAATCATGACTCACATGGGAAACAAAGCTCTTGTTCTTAGTATTGCTCTCATGGCTGCAGTGTTGCAGGGAGAGCCTGCCTGCCTGTCTGCCTGCGTTTGTCTGGTGCTGTTTCACCACATTTATTGATTTCCATATCATTGCACAAATCGGTGGTGGCGACCAAACAGTTCTGCCCCCACCCTGTGTCCATTAGTATGTATTAAAAAGCCACATCGGTGGGTGTAGGTATGTGTGTGTGTGTGTGTGTGTGTGTTAGGCGGAGAGTATGGATGTAGCTAAAGCTTTTTAGCTCCTTTGTTTCACAACATTTCACCTCTCACTTTGATTTCTTTGATCTCTTTTAATGATCAACAACTGTCTCTTGTATAGTTAGATCAATTTTTTAGCTTTTCCTCTGTGTTGCAAGCATCTGTTGCTGCGCTGACATGAAGGCATACAAGCTGATCGCTGGTTTAATGACAGCAAATAGCTCGAATTGATTGACTGGGTTTCAGCATCGTCATTATCATGATTTCATTTCTTTAAACGATATGAATTTGAATAATGTTTATAAACAGTTCCCGGGTGGTGGTGGCTACCAGGTTCACAAAAATTTGGAACAATAGCCCTGAACTTGTGTAAAGATAAAAATCAGTATGATAAACAAAAAAAAAAAAAACATTATGTATGCACACTCTATGGTATTCAGGAATGCATGACAACGAATGATTTTAGAAATATGCTATGAAATTGTCTTTCAAACAAAGAAGAAAATTTCTCTCGCTATCTAATCTCAATGTCTTTATTTATGTCTAAAACATGTCCGAAAAAGTGAACTTTGTCGGAGCAGCAGTGGCCACTGAACACACGTAAACACACGCTGACATGCCAGTTTGTGAGAAACCCCTGTAAGTCATTCTCACCCGGGTGTTTCAGATATACCTCATGACTCTTACAGAAATCAGAGTCAAGTCTAAAAAGGTCCTGAGATTTCTGAGGTCCTCTATCATTCAAAACACATAGGAAAAGAAACAACGGCGAAAAGGGACCTATGTGGTGTAATTGATTTCTCTGGTTTACTGTGTGTGTTTGTGAAAACAGCTGCTGCACCTGTAATAAATAAGGGATGTTTCTATTTTTCTTACCTTCTCGATCAAATTCAAGCTCTTGTTTGGATGAACAGCATGCTTGTGCTGCTGGAGCAGGCCGCAGATGTCGTCCGTCAGTAGAAGTGTCTGTCTGTTTTTATTTTTAGGTTTGTTTGTCTTCCATAATCCTCTTGTCGAGGGAAGTACAAACGTTTATTTTTTTTTCTTATTTTAAGTTAAACTATCACTATTACTGATGTAGTTCAGGTTAATGTTTTTTGTTTTTTTTTTAATTGCTGCTGGGTTATTTTTTTTGTTTTGTTTTCCTCTGAGAGCACTGTCGGTATTCCAGTTGTGTTTTTTTTTTTTTTTTTTTCTGCTGTGTGTGATGAGTTGGTAATAGTCTCCAGGGACCAGGGAGAGTTGTTGTGTTGAACTACATTTCAATCTGGATTTAGTCTCAGATCTCTACCTTCCGATCTGAAAGCTGGCTCATTTGACACTCTTGTTTTACTGTAGACCTTTTACACCTGTACTGTAAGTAACATGCTCTATCAGACATGTTACTGTGTGTAATATATCAGAGCCCTGCGGCGAACAGGTTTTACTAGCATGGTGTTATGGCAGGAAATGCCCTGCACACTCAACTGTGAGACAAGTATCCGTAGATTGTTGATTTATTTTTTCTTAGTGGTGGTAGATGACAGGGGGGGTGAAGTTTGCTGTAAACCCACAAAGACCTGTGATCTGGATTAGGTGTGACTCGTCCCTCCAGTCTGGTATGGTACTGTGTGCTTAAAAAAAGTGCACCTTCAATCCCTCCCACTGTGTCATGCTACAAAACTGTCCTGTGATGTGATGTGTAAAAGAGGAACTTGTGCAGCGGGTGGGCGATATGACGAATCAGACAGTGAGCATTTCTGAACCTTTGAAACTATGATTTATTTCATTCGAACAAGCCTCCCTGTAGTGAGGCATCATGGGAATTGTGGAAAATCAGTTTTAAATTTTGGCATATTGAAGTTTTTAGCAGTTGTGCAAATTTAGATGCTTAATTCCATTACTTTTCCACATGTTTATTCTTCCAACAATGGTATCATGAAATGAAGTAACGTAAATCATAAAAGATGGTATATGAATGTCGCCCACCCCTGACTACCCCCCACAAGAAACTAAAAATTCCCCAAATGATAGAAATTTCATGGTTAAGTTATTTGAGGTTGTCACTTTATTATTAATTTAAACTTAAATTGATTTGGATAATTCCTATTGAAGTGTTTTGACTCCATAAATCCACAGTCCTTGTGTCATCTTTCAATAAAGTTCAGGCTTGTGAAGCTATGTTCAGTCAGACAGCTCACCTGAGACGTAGTGGGTGATACGTGAAGTCCAGGTTCTGCGTGTCGCTGCCTATTGGCTTAAAGCTCCTGTAAGGAACTTTACATTTGTGTCAAATTTGGCTCCCCCTTGTGGACTAAGCAGTCTTTGCTTAAAAAAATCTCTTTTTTTAGAATCAAATGTATCATTTATTGTGAATATTTACCAGGAAATTATAAGTGCAGGGTTGTTTTTTTCAGCTACTTGACTGACACCTGTGCGAGGCGTTAAAAATTAGGGTGTACAAATCCTCTGTCTTGTTGCCTTTGATCTTGTTTGCTTTTAGATATGAGAAGTCATCTTTATGAATTTCAGTCTGTTTCTCCTCACAGGAGCTTTAAAACAAGATCAGCAAACAGGGGGATCAGAGAATGATGACAGCATGACAAGATGGTGAAGAAGTATCAGTACTTTTATCCCTTCACCTTATGTTAAACTCAGAGATAAGGAAATAAGGGAAAGTGCTTACTGAATTATGTAAATTACAATCCCTTTATAGTGAAGAAGAAGCTAACACCTTCGCCCCAAAGTGGATCTGTACAGAACAACAACATAAACTCTTAGATTTGCCTCAGCGCCCAAGCACAGGTAAAACCCTCTTTTCTATATGACGTGTGATCAGTTTGTTTAGAATTAATCAACCAATCAGAAATAAGTGTTTGATGCAGTCTTAGTATTAAAAAAAAAGCACATTAAGAAGGGAATTAAAGATCTAGCTGTTCAAGCCAGCTCAGCTTTAAGTCTGTATGTGTTATTGTAGAGGAGAGCAAATCCTATAAATGATGTAAACTCTGTCCAGATCACTTTCTCGATTTCCATTTAAACAGACAAAATAAGGAAGCGAAGAATAGGAAAAGTAGTTTTGATTACTGAGCAAGAAAACTGCAAAGGCTGCAGTGTGTTTTTGCTGTGTTGTGCAAAAAGTAATGCATGCTAAGTCTGTCGTCTCCAGCCTCTTCCCCTTCTGTTTGCATGCGTAAAGATCAGAACAAAGACCATCAAGGGGAGCAGCGATTCAATCAGCAACACTAGTCTTCACCACGTTTTCTCCAGTGTCGGCTGGTTTCACACTTAACATGACTCAGGAGATGGCTGTCTGAAGTAGCTCACTAAATGACACAAACAATCCTCCCCAACGGTTTGACCGTTGCGAACTGTCCACCCAAATTAGGAGACAAGTGTTTGTGGGAGCTGGTGACAATGAAGAGGAAAGATGGTAGAGGCAGGAGAGCCCTGCAGGTATTTCTTATAAATTGCACTGTAATTTATTAGTATTACTTTTATTGTTTATTAGTAGAACAAATTTAGAAAAGTGAAGGGAGAATTTGGGGATTTTTATGACTTTCTTGAAGAATCACTAACAAAACTCTCATTAATTCAAAGTGTATTTTAACGACACGTTTCTTGGACCATTGATGCGAGCTGTAATCTATGAAAAAAAAAATTGCCCCGATTTTTCAAAACTGAATTTGACCACTCGATAAAGACACAGACTTGCTCTTTTGTAATGCAATTTTAATACCATTCAGCCAATGTTATTGTTTCATTATTTTTTCCCATAAAATAAAACATGTCAGTAAACAAAAAAAAAAACACAGCCTCTTTGTGGTTTCTCTTTTTGAATTTTTATTCTTTAAATCACAGCTGATATCATTTTCATAGCAGAGATCAAGTGTTGTGGATGAGGTGAAACAGAGTTCAGACCGGAAGAGAGTTCATTTCAGTGCACAAAAATGAAAAACTGCTTCAATAAATTAAAAATGTACCACACAGTTTTCCTTTCATACGGGTCAATGAAGAAAATCCTGTTTTTGTTACTGTGGCGACCAAGGAGATCATGCAGAGAAAAAAAAAGGAAATTACAAACAAGAGGGGAAAAAAAAAAAACAAAGTTCACCCACAACAAGACAAGACCAAGACAGAGACGAGGTCAGGGAAACACTGCAGTATTAATTTAACAAACACCAACATGTGAAAGGATTAAAATCAAGTGTTTAAGACATTCCCTCCACTAAATTTTCACTCTTTTTTTGTGTTATTGCACTTTGTAAGACACCCATTGTGTTCACTGCAGTGCTGATTTGACATATGTCTTAACATGGCTTTAAACATATCTGAAATTTAATCACATTTATCCTGTAGTCAGCAAAAGATCAAATTCACCTCCACATTTCTTCACTGATGATAAGGGGAATCTTATCTCCACATGTTGTTTTTGCACACTTTCACACTTTCCACGTGTGCTCTGATTAGGAAGAAAAAAACATGATGGTTGCATCAATGTGAACTTTGAGATAACCTCGACTGCATGGCTTAGGAAATCATTTCAGGGTTTTTTTTACGAAAGGTTAAAGTAAAAAAGCAAAATAAGACACACCAGGAAATAATCATTAAATACAGGAGAAGGCAAAAAAAGTTAAACCAGCATTAATTTTCTAGAAGTTTCTAAATACAAGATCTTAATCTAGTGAGACTTTCTTTTCTCATTCATTCAAAAGTTTTAGTTTAATCATCAAAGCGATAGAATCCAGATTACGCAAAGACCACTTCACATTTTATTCAGACAGACTTGTCTTATTTGTAAACTTAGGTTACAGGAGCTGTTTTCACAGGATGTTTAAAGGCGGATTTCATATATTTTGTCCACGTCTGCCTCCACAAAATCACCGCTAATATGAGGACATTATTGGCCTGTGATCACTTCTTCCCTTGATACTCCAAAAAACTCTTTCAAGCACAAACACACACTGAGAGATGTGGAGCTGGAGGAACAGGTCTATGAATCTAGGAAAGGAAAATCCAGATAGTTCTCAGACTCGTTTTGCCGTTACAGTTTAAACATTTAAAGGGTCTCGGGTGATTTTTCTTCTCTAAAGATAATTTTTATTGAAAGTGATTTGATTTTTTAAACATTTTCTGTCATTTAAACCTTTGAATTTTGAAGGCTGAGTGTTTGCGACAAAATTTTTTGTGATATTTGTAGAAATTCTCGCAATTCTGACAGAAATAAATAAAGAGAAACAACACCGCTAACTGTACTAAATGAAAACTAAAATTAGACCTTAAAGCTGACAAACTGTATATCCTTAAATGTGATTTGTTTTATGGTTATAAAGTGTTTATATAGGGGCTGTGCGGGGTCCACTTCCACAAAGAGGTAACCATATATGAAAGAGGATGTCAGTATCGAGGGAAGGAGTGGTTACACCGGGCCGATAACTTGATCAGGGTTTCTGGGAGTTGAGGTGTTTTACGTGGGCAGACTGGATGAATATAAACAGGATCTTTAACGGAAAAGCTGGGGAGCGTGTATCATGTCGACAGAAATTCTAGGTTAAACTCTGTGTGGTCAGTTTCTCCCTATAGCTGCCTGAGACAACACATGACATCAGTTTGGCAGTCGATCAGTCATACAGTATACTGAGAGAGAGGGATTAAAGAACAATCAGTGATACAACAGCATCAGGAACTCAAGAATAATCTCAGAAGGATCTCAGAGGTCTGGACAAATTGTTATCATCCATCACGAGGAGTCATATAATGAAATGCTTTGCCTTTGTTGGAGAGTGACAAATGATTCCTGATAATTCTGGTCCATCAGACCAAACGGATTCTGTTGGCAGCAGGACAGGATCTGACATCATAGTTTGTGGATCAGGATGGAGGATGTGGAAGTGATTCTGCTGGTTTGAAAACTGTCGTCAGAACAGCAGCTCGGCCCAGCACACGTGTTCTTATTGGCTAAAGTTTCTGGACTTGAGAAAAGAGTGAGATCTGGGAGAAGAAACAGTGTTGTGCACCTCAGTGAGCCTTCGCCTTAGGTTGGGTGATTCTGCGGACAACGCTGTACAGGAACCCGAAATTCTGAAAAAGAGGAATGAGACAAAAAGGAGGGATTTATTTTCTGTTTTCACACGAGAGAACCAACAAAGCATCTGCAAAAACAAACCAGCAACTACACAAGCATGAGCCGCCTGAGGCTCTGCAGCTTCAGTCATCTTCCTTTGCCCCTCCCCTCGGGTTTCATTTAGGACCAAAATCCACAAAGTCCTTTGAAATAAACTGTAGATTCATCAGGATCTGTTATTTTCCTCCATTTAAAAAAAAAAGCCCCAGTCAAAAGTCATTTCACTAAGTCCTCATTATTTCAGTTCCTCAGTGGGTAACATGGACCACGTCTCTTTAGATCCATCAGGCTGCACACGGTCGGTTAGAGTCTCCCATTGAGAGGGAGGAACTCATAAATGGACCTTATCAGGGTTCCTACACAGATGGGGTTTCCATACTTTTCCATACGCTACATTTTAGAATTATTTTTGGAAAAACCTACTTTTCTATTTTAGAAGACAGTATTTTATAACTGTGGTAATATAGTCTGTTAACATAAATATTTTTCCATACTTTATTTTTCATTGACCATACTTTAGAAGACCTGGAAATTGATCAAATTACTTCCATACTTGAGTAGGAACCCTGCCTTATGTTTGTCAGGAGGATTTCTTTAAGTCTTGCAAACTCCATCAGGACTGAAGTCTGTAGCTTCTGACTGTACACATACATTTCCTTTTTTTCACTGTGACTTACCTGGATGGCCAGATACATCATACCCAAGTAGGCTGCAATGCAGACTGCCAGCAACAAGTCAAAAATAGCAGGCTTTACTCTGCAAGGAGAGACAGAGAGAGAGAGAGAGAGTGAGAGAGAGAACACAATACAGTCAAAGAGAAAAAAAAGTCAGTCTTTGAGATTATGTGAAGGTAGTTTCTATGACTCGATTTTATCCCACAAGCAGAGTTTTCTGAGGAACCGTTAATGAGAGTGGGCTGAAGCGAGGTGTCCCAGTAGAGCAGAGAAGCTCATTACCTGTATGCATTCATCGTCTGCTTTAGCTGGTCGTAGAATACGAACTCTGGATCCCTGAGGAAGAACAAGGAGACGGCTGTCATCTAACGCTGCGATCACACAGATCAGGCAGTTCAAGACAGAAATAGTGACGGAAAAAGCACCTGTACTCTGGTTTATTTTCCCTTATGATGGGCGTTTAAAGTTTTTATTTCAGCACGGATAGTTGGTCTTTACCTTTTGTCAGCTTTGACGTAGTGTCTCTTGACATCTTTAAGGTAGTGTCCGAGGTGATACTCCAGAGTGGACACTAAGCTGCTGTCTTTGTCCACCAGCTGAGCGGCTCTGGGCTGTGCTGTGAGCCAGTCCACCAGCGCTGACAGCTGCTCTTCCTGCACCTGCTGACGAGGATGGGAGAACTTACCCTACAATATCATAAGCTGTGTGTGGTGCAGAAATTACCACGTGGCATCAGGACATAAAACCTAAACAGCCTGATTGATGAAATAACAAAAAGCAACACAAACTCTGTGTTGTGACTTTTAGATGTTGAAGAAGTCAGGGGTGTTTTTTAACCAGTGTAAGTCAAGAATACTGTATCATGTGAGTTCCTGTTCAGAGGCAGCTTGATCTCTGGCTTCAGGCCTTTCATATTCTGTTATTAAATTTGTGAATCTCTTTAACACTCTCAAAACTAAAAAAAAAAGCTTTCTTTTTTAATAATTCAAGTCTTACTGAAGGTGGAGAGACTTTGTGACTGTGTCCACAGTTCATGAGCCTTTGGAACAACAAAAGACTTTTCACAAAGAACGACTTCAACAACAAATGAAACACAGATACAAATCATCCCTACGAGTGATCGTTGATTTGCCTGTGTGGACAGTCTTGTAAAGGATGTGCTGAACATGTACAACAACTGGAAAACATTCAAATGAATCCTTTCACATTGAAAATTTACATATACAGACTATGTAGTGAATTTAAAGTAATGTTCACTCATATTGGAATATTTTTTAAAAAATGAGATTCAAATGTGAAAAATAATATTTGAATATTAAATCAACACCAGGAATAAACGGGAGAAAAAGTGGGAGAAAAAAACAGCGGCTGCTTTGTGAGTGAGCGCAGTGTAACAACTGGTCAGGGACAGGTCACAGGAGCTGCACCTGCAGTGAGATTCGACAAAAACCGTCCGTGGTACATGCAGAGAGAGGTGGAGGGATATTTGGAGCCAAACTCGGAGAGAGAGGTCTGTACTCCGACGAACTTTAGAAGCTGCATTTGGAAATTCTTCGGATTTTGGACAGACACAGTAGACGGAAAAATGCGAGATGAAGTTATATGCAAGCTGTGTACACTAGAATTAGCCTATCATCATTGCTTCAATCACTGAAATCACTGAAAGCGTGTCTATACAGACAAGAGTCAGGACCAAATATAGATATTTGAATATGTTCGAACCTATGTGTTATTTTTAGAAAGAATTTTTGAACGTCATTTTGGAGCAATTTTGACAGCCCTATCACTCACTGATCCATCATAACTGTTTTTTTTTTTATTTCAGTTTAAGGTATCCTAACATTATACACTGTAGCATTGTGTGTGCAGCATTATGTCCCACTTTAAATAAGATTTTGTTCATCTAAAAATATATACATATTTTGAGAATGATGAGTTTTCTATCATATTTGAACAAACTGACTATGGGAAGATAAACCAGTGGTATAACTCACCACCTTTTAGTTTCTTTTTCATGCAGTGAATCACTGTATTTCATCAGCAAATGATCCAATGGCTGACACTGACATCAGAGTCAGCGCAGAATGGTGACCTACCATTTGTTCGGTGAAGATCTGCAGGTCTCCAGGAGCCCCCTGAGCAGCAGAAGAAGAAAAACGAAACATGCCACATCACAGGTTAAAAAAAAACAGACTGAGTATCTGGTATCGATACGTTTTCTCCATTGATGTTGTTTACCTTTTCTGTGAGGTTGTATATGACCCGGGCCAAAGCTTCTGCTACCACCTTTGTGTTCCTGCTGAGTTTCTTCACGTCAACGTGAGGCCTGTAAGACACAAAAACACAAGCGTGCAGAAAGTTAAGAGAAGAAACTTAAAATCCAAAACAACAAAACAGGAGAGAAAATCAGAAACCCTGGAGGAACTTGGGAAGAAAGAGAAACCCATTAAGAGTATCTGCAGAGATTTGAGACAGGAAGTAAGTGAATCACAAATCAGCTGAGAAATCAAGAGTGAAACTGTCTTCACGGAAATGGTAAATGGTTTTTGGCAGACAGAAAGACGGGGGAGATGGATAGCTACAGGAAGAGAATGAAGATAAAGAAATGCTTTTATTGCACTTGAGTCGGATGTGGAGGCAGTGTTTAAGGTTTTGTTTTGACTCCTTCTAAGGTTGGCAGAGACACTTTAGTCGCCTCCTTTCTTCAGGTCAGGAGGGTTGAAAGCTACTGTATACACCGGTCACATGACTTCAGTCTCTCCACGGGAAAACAACAAGATGAGTGGGACACGAACTGCTCTACAACAACAACGACAACAACAACCAATGACAAGGAGTGAAAAATGAGCTAGAATGGGGAAAACGCTTTTTCTTTCGGTGATTCTGAGACTTGCAGTAATGAACCCACCCAGCAGGGGGCTCTCCCGCTCCGTGGCGAGAGGAGGGGGACACTGACCGCACGTCCATGATGCTGGAGCGCTGAGCCAGGCGGTGGGACGACAGGTGGGACAACGTGAAGGCCGGCAGCCGACGGATCCCGAAGCGCTCGTGCTCCCACGCCAGCATGTCATCTGCCAGGTTGATCTTCTTGTGGACCATGGAGAACTTGACCTCAGGGTACTGACTGGAGACCACCTGAGAGGACAGAACATGTAATCTTCAACTGTAATCGAGCAAAGGTACTCTGGAGGGTTTTTTTAAGGTTGAATTGAGGGTTTCTGGCGATTCAAAGCTCTTGTGAGAAGATTTTCGTCGGTTATGAAACAGACTTGAATTAACACTAATGATCCCTAATCAACCATGAGAGCGCCTTTTTCTGACCCTAAATTAATTTTATGCCGGAATATCCCTTTAACTGTCAGAATCAATACAAACTAAAAGTTCCTCACAAAAGCTTTAAGGGACTTGATTTTTAGCAGTTTTTACCATCTCCAGTTCTTTAAGCAGAGAAAACTGAGGTGATCCCTCTTTAGGGGGTTTGGACACGTGGAGGTGCAGCGAGTCTCCATTTCCCAGAGTGTCCAAACACAAAACAAAAGCCACGTTGTCCTGCAGCAGACTGGAGTCTGTGGAGAAACAGAGGGAAATGTACAAAAAACACAGAATATCAAAAATTAAGAAAGAGAAAGTTGAAGAATAAAGACAACAGAAGTAACCGTAACCACCACCATCATCATCATCATCATCATCATCATCAAAGCACCAAAATGCAAAGTGCTGAACTGTTTACAAGGATGAAGGTCAAAAGTGTGGTGAGTAAAATCACTCAAACCATATCTGATCTACACAGATCTCTTCTAGTTTACAGAGAGCTATAATGTTATAATGTTATTATAGTTATAATGAAAATAAACATATATAAATGTGATTAGTCCCATTTACAGTATTTTTACTATTTACAGGTTTGGAATTCCAGGTCAATGTGACATCCTGACATATAATCCTGCTACCTGATTGTTCTTCCTCATGTTGTTTCATTCACATTTGTTCTTTTCTTTGATCGTATTTTTAAGAGTGTGCTATGTTCACAAACACGGACTTGATTTAAAGTGAATATGTAACAAATGGTCTAAATGTAGTTTTTTAACACTGCGACATATAGACGGACTCATGAGGACTACTCATTCAAACTCTTTTCTTCTCACTGCTGTCAGGTCGTTTCATACTAGTCACAGTAATTGATGGAAAGACCTGTTCCTGTTAACTTGTATTTGATGAGGTGTCTGCAAATATATAAAATGCTTTTCTAGGATGAGAAAGTTTTTTGAAATCTGAATTTTGAATCTTTGTACATCAAACAAAATCAAACAAAACTTGTATGGTTGTCTGTTGGTAATGTAATAATAATAATAATAATAATAATTTTATTTATATAGCACCTTTAAAAACAGAAGTTTACAAAGTGCTTAGACAACAGTTGTAAGCACAGAGCATCAGCACATTGAAAATAAAAACACATAAAAACAAAAGCTCAGTTAAAAACAGGCCTCTGAATTGTAGGCCTGTTTCACTTTTCGTAAGAAACCCAGGCAATACAAGAACCCTACAAAATAAATGGGACCATGAGGACCAAAATAAAAGCAAAAAAAAAAGAAATAGACAAGGAGGGAAGAAAACAGGCTAGTAAGTATAAAAGAGGATATTAATAATAATAATAATAAAATCATAATAAAATAAAATGATGGTAATATAAATGATAAATGAATGTAGTACCTGTATGGTCCAGATTGTCCTCCAGCCAGCGTTTTGTGCCCTGGTAGTTGAACTTTCCTCCTCCAGACACAAAGAACAGCAGGTTGTACCTGAACACATGACATGATCCACACATAAGTCAAATCTATACGAGGAATCATCTGAGGGGGATGGATGTGGACACAGAATCTGGACGTGAGTATTTTGGCTAATAAACAAATCAAAAGTCTTATGTTAGAAAGGTGAATAAATCAACAACAGGAGAAAGTTTACTCTCTACTCTGACACTCCATCTCACCCACTGACCACTCTGCATGAACCACTCAGCTATTAAAGAGCTTGTAGCGTTTCCCACAATCCATTTCAATTCTCACTGCGAGCAGTGATCACAGATAATGTTCAGTTTAGTTCTCAAAGGACATTGAAGCACTTCACTGATCTTCAAATGAAAGTAACAGACAAAACAAATGGACTTTATGTAGTGTTCAGATGAATCACTCAGGTACGTCGATACCACTTTAACATCTTATCATACTGTCTATACAATACTTATTAGAGTGAGAGAGCAGCAAAGAGCTTCAAGAATGCATAAGATAATATAATATTGTATTTTTCAACACAGCTAATAATCCATTCAACTTTTATTTGAGACACAACAGTCTCAGATTCAGCGCTATCACTGATACTCACCCAGCGTGTGTCCTCTTGTAGGTGTAAAGTTTCGAGAACAGACGAGCCAGCTCTAATAACATGGACACTCCGCTACCATTCGAGTCTGCTCCGTATGACAGCCACTGCAGACAAAAACACACCAGGAGACATTACTTTCTCAGCCTGCTCTCTTTTTACAGACCGCATCACAAACACCGGATCTGACTCAACCCATGGGAGGCAGTTTTAGCTACCTAAGAAGAGACATACCCAGATCATGCAGATTCTTGAGGATTTAATGTCCTTTCAGCTACAAAAATTGTTGCTTTTTTTTTCTTTTTTTGAGTGATAGAAAAGAAGAAATGAACTTACTGGCGCAACACCAAAGGAGTCATAGTGAGCAACCACCACAATAGTGGGCAGGTCTTCTCCTCCAAGTCCAGACAAACGGCCCTTGTGGGTGAAAAGACAGTCATCACAACAGCTCATTAAAACAGAACTCAGAAATGACACTACAAACCATTACAGTCAGAGGAGTGTGGATATTACTATCAATACTTTCAGAGTGAAGAAGGTTACAGTCATAGTTAACCTCCTGACCACATACTTTGGTGGTAAAAAACCTCAGTCTTTCGCCTAATCCCCCTGCAGAGGGACTAAACCTCTTACTCTCTGGTTTTTGACACGCTCAGATTAGAAAGTTTCAAAGTAACACTTCACTCCTGCTTTGTTTTCCCTGTCTGACCCACACACTTGGATCCAAAATACAAACAATGACAAAAGCCGTCCAAATCCCTCTGTGAAGGAACAAAAGAACAGCAGAGAGTGACTCCTGTCAGCCTGAGTGTAGAAACTCAAAGAAACAGATTTGCTCTGGTTGAGGGTTATTCAGGGATTTCACATTTTCACATTACACTAAATTAAAATCCACTTGACCATGAGGGCAAGGATTTTTGGTCCGGCCACCAGGCTCCATTAAACCAGTGTATAAATATTCGTGTGTGCAATTAGAGTAATAAAACCTCTCAACTTAAGCTTCATATTCATAGTTTGCACTCCATTTGAAATCCATTAAGATTTAAATTCCAGGCTTTCAGGTCACACAAGTGCTTTTGTTCTGGGATTTTCATGCCCACCCACACGGTCAGGAAACACTCAATAGACACAAAAAAGCAAGAGGGAGACATAATATTAAGAGAGCTTAAACTCCACTGGCTACATTCGTAAACTTACATTTTCAGATAATTTCCTAAAAAGATGGAACTGGATCCTGGCAAAAATAAAAGTTTTACATGCAACTGTTTTACTTTGGATCCCTTCTCCCTGTGAAGGGAGACTTGATATTAATGTTTAAACTAAACCAAGTGAGTGCAGAGCAACGTCGGCAGCAACAAAACAGTTTGATCAAGGTTCATATTTATCGTGAGTCACCACACTCTGATCTATGCAACACAATAACTGATCAGCTTCAATGACAAGGCTGATGAATAACTCCACTCATCTTCAGTGAACGATATCACTCAGTGTTACTTTTTCTCTTCTTGTGGATCAATCAATAACAGCTTTTGAGAGTTTCCTGTCATACTAACAGGGTCAACCATGGTTCCTGAGTGAGATCAAAGTTTCTGTCCTATCCTAGCTCACAGTCACTCCTAGTCTGGGAGTCCTGATGAAAAGTTTTGAAGCTAAATTTTACTATGTTTAAGAATTTGAGTAAAACGCTATCAGGAAGTATATACACCCATATGGAGGTAATCCTGGTTAAACAGGTTTATGGGTTTTTTCTCACTGACAGATGATTATCATCTCTTTTTTGTGTGTGTGTGTGTGTGGGGTTCACATAGCTTACATAGCTCAACATTTGTTATCTTCTAAAACCCTTTTTGTTTATAATACAGAAAAGTAATGTTACAATAAAGCTTGAAAGAAAACTGAGGGAGGTGTCCTAATTTGAAAACGGTTCAGATATCACCACATAGAAAAATTTCATCATGTACACAATATCACTCTGAGCAAGTCAGATTGTCTGATTTTCATGACTGTGACTTGAAAACTCGAGGCAAGACTGCACTCAAAATAAAAACTGACACAGGACCGATTCACATCCAGAACATTTCTGAGGTGAGTCAACAAGCCTCACACTGTTCTACTCGATGTTACTGCGATATCATCCTGCCCCCTCTCTGTGTTCAGTTTCGAAGGTTATTTCTGTGCACAGGAATCTGAAGATTTATTTCTGCATCATTTAAAAAACGTGTAATAGAAGAAAAATAAAACTTGAACAAGACAGAAATCTGGTTTAGTGTCTCACCTCTAGACTGGTGATAGCCCAGTCACTAATAGCTTTACTCTGAGCTCCACTGGTCACCATCTGGAAGCCGTTGGCTGTGGCTGTATGCAGCAGCACTGCAGAAAATAAAAGAATAAAACAATCATAACGGATCTGCTTATTACTAGGGAATACAAACTGCTCAGCTACATGAATATGTCCCTGATTATGTCTGTGAACAGCTGATCGAACAGCAGGTTCAGATTCCATACCTTCAGCTGCTGATAGAGAGCCCTGCGAGGAGGAAGAGGTCAACGTTTGACTGTAGATAGACAGCAGCTCCTCATCCTCCACAGCAAAGTAGACTGGGACAATGGTCTCTGTAGACAACATCTCTGGCTCAAGCTCCATGAACTGCTAGACAAGACAAACAGAGGAGTGATAACATTTGACAAACTAAATCATACAGCTTTGCAGGTATCGGCAGAAGATAGAAATTATAGCCAGAGCGAGAATCTGCAAGTTCACTGTTGTCAGTTTTCAACAGGAATGACAGTGACTGATGGTGGCATCAGTGAAAAAATAGGAGAGGTCTCATCACAAAGAAACAGTTTTCTATAAAAACCTGACTAAAAAAGATTTCCCTCAGTTATGTAATCAAATGAGGAACTAAACAAATACCTACCCACTGATTTCATTAGTCACAGCTTGTGCAACATACAACCGTGAAACACATCCAATCTCTGCCATGGGTTTACTTTTAAACAACATCAGGACGTGTTAAAGTTAAATGAAAAAGCTTCAAACTTGTAATAAAAAAGATTTTCTTAAAATTAAGAAGTCCTCATGCAAAACACATCACATCCTCAATCAATCAGAGGAAAATGTTTGTACCTGCACTATGTCTTGGGGCACAGCAGACATGTTCTTGGGCAGGATGATGACTACAGCACCAGCCGATTGCCGCAAGGCCTTCTGGTACTCTTCATAAGAGAAATCTGCCAGCCGCATGATAACACAGCGACGACTTAGTACCTCTGCTTCTACAGTACGGGCCTCTGTATTCAAGATGGCATTCCTGGTACCTATAGAAAACAAAGAAACATTGATTATGAAACATCATACTTAACAGTTTGATAAAATGCATCTCTAACACTGTGTTAGTGCTGAAGCTTAAAAGCAATTAAGTAAAACAAAAAAAAGAAAGAAGGTTGTGGCTCTTTGTTTGGTTTACACCTTCATTATAGCTTGAATTATTAGTTCTGACTAGTTTATCCCCACAACAAGTCAAGATAAATTCTTACTGGGGCTTTAAGATTTTTTTAAAGCTGGGACGATATGCTTTTCTGCCGATTCGATTTAAATTCCGATTCTAGGATATTGCAGATTTTCTCGATTTTTAGTCTGCATTTTTAACACCAGTGATACAGTTGAATGATTATGATTGTCCACTGACTATTCCAGGAACCATACTTCCCCAAAAAATAGACATAACATGAAAGCCAGTTTTTAATATGTATTCTTAGGTTTAAAAAAATCGTGAATGAACATAAAAATCGATTTAAAAATTGTAAAACAAACAATCCCGATACTTATGTGAGTCGATTTTTTTCTTCCACCCCTAATTTTTTCAATAATATTTTTCTCTATAGTGATATTTAGAAAATCATGAAATGGAACCCTCTTTTTTTAGACAATGTATTGTTTAAACGTTCCGCCTCGGTTCATATTTTCGGCAGAAACGGTCCTGATTTGCATTTAGCCTGGATACTAGCATTGCTAAGCTACATTAGCTTAGCTGTCATTGAAACGCTGCTCCGGACGTGACAGCTCGGCTCGTTTAAATAAGCAGCTGGGGACCGGATTAAATACTGTTCAGTTTATTTAAGAACTACTTTGACTTATTGTTGTTTGATTAAACAAAGGTGAACAGCTGACTTACCGTAGGGCTGTCCCTGCAGGTCGTACTGCTGCATGCGATACACCGTGAACTCATGTGCAGCCTCGGCCGGGAGCGGAGAGACCAGGATCAGCACCGCGGGGATAAACACAATGAAGGTGAGGGGGAAAGAGGATTTAAACATGTTATCGAACACTTCACTGGCCTCCTCGAACATTGTGGCGATTGTACTCTGCGCACAGCCACGAATAAAAGACTATTTTCGGCTGTCACTGTTTTCGGCAGCTGTGACAGCAGCGGGTCCCAAGCAGAGCTAACCAACCACACAGATCATTCTCATCAGGCGACCCAAAACTCTGGACTAATGACATTTATTCCAAAATTACTGATAGCTTATTGAAAGAGGATCATATTTTGCTATTTTAAATTACAGAAACTTTATACTTCAAACATTAATCCTATATTTAAATGCTTTAAACCGAATTTAATCAGGGGTCCACCAGGAACCCTACAGGACAGCTATGATTGAGGTTCCGCGTTTCATTCAAGGACGCAGGGTGGCGCAGTACACCACCTAAAGTGTGTGATAGAGTCATGTCAAACTAATTCCTTTTAAAGATGGAAATATTCATACGGCAGATATTGAAGGTGTCCCTGTCAAATAAGGAGTAACTTAATAAGTAAGTAAGTAAGTAAACTTTATTTGTATAGCACTTTTCACAGACAAAAATATCACAAAGTTCTTCACATAGACAAAAATAAAAATGTACATACAAATTAAAGGCCAAGACAACAACATTGAACAGTCATAGCAGCACCATAACAATTACACAAAAGCCTGAGCAAATAAATAAGTTTTGAGTTGACTTTTAAAGGAGTCAACAGAGTCAATTATTGAGTGAGGAAGATCATTCCAAAGCCTGGGGGCAACAGCCTGGAAGGATAGGTCTCCTCTGGTCCGAAAATGAGATCAGCAGATTCTGATCCATGGACCTCAGAGCCCAGATAAGGGGTGTAAGGCTGGATCAGATCACAAATGTTAGATGGAGCCTGACCATGCAAAGCTCTAAATGTTAGGACCAGAATTTTAAAATTGATCCTAAAAGATACAGGCAGCCAGTGTAGATACCAATGCCAATGTGGACACAGGAATAAATATTTGTAAAAATCAAGCAAACAGAATAGAGTCAAACTTCCAACCCCTTATCCCAAAAATTGAAAATAAATTTAACATGTGGCTCATGAGGGACTTATCACTCAAAGGCTGAGATTTTTTTAACGAAAACTGAAGGACTACCATGTCTGGTTTACCCAGCAAAAGTATTACATGTACCCAAATCAGTTGTAAAAAATAAAAATAGACTCTTCTCTATTTAACTTTCTCTGGAAAAACAAATCTCACTACTTTGAACAGGAGTGCGTTATGTCATTCATAGTCATCAAGGTGAACTGGATCAAACATTATATCCAAAATTAGGATAAATTATGGTACTTAATTCCCAATATTATCTTTGAAAAGGTCGGTGGTATAGAGTTCTTTCTTTAATGTAATTTTGATATAAATAAACTCCAGATTCAGCTATCTAACTTACAGACAGACGCTTTTATGTTGGCTTCTTCTATACAAACATAATTTCTCTTCCCACAAACATTTAATTTGAAACCCTGCATACATCAGATATAAAATATATCAATATTTTTTGAGAACTGGGTTAGAAACAAGATTCTGTTTGTTTAGAAAAACAACAACAACAAAGATTCATGTCTAACAAAGAGCTTTTGGTTTGGATTTCACTTCAACTCGTGTTAAAATTTAACCACTGCACAGTTTTGACTCACAAAACTTTTATTGAATTGATAGGCTAATATGAAAGGTTCAGTGCGTAATGCTTCACTGCATTTTGCGGCACAGCCTTGATGGCAGGAGAATATAATATTTATAGATGTGTATACATCAGTGTAACATCACCAAAATTTAACAGTTTGAAGTGTTTGTGAGCTTTTTATAATCGCATAATAAATGGCAAGTCCCCCTCCAGTGTGGCTCCTATGTCGCACTATATGTATCTCCAGGAGCAAAGAAAAGACACATTTGCGATAGTGTTATGAATTTTTGTATTTAATGAGTGAAATACACCTGTTGCAAGATGAACATAAGGGAGAAGATTGTTGTGCACAAAAGAATTTGTATCAATAGAAGTGTTTGATAGGTTACACATGACAAACTAAGGATTTTACTTATTAAGAGCTTCCTGTCCTTTAAGGTCGCTGTTACTATCTGAGTATATATATCTATTCAAATCTGTTAATATGTCCTAGAGCCCAGAAAGTTTGGCTAAACATGAGAAAGTATATCCTTTTAAATTGTGGTCAAACTGACACTGAAACACAAATTATCCTCCACCCTTTTATTTTCGCCATGAGTATTGAAGCGCAAATTTGTCTTAACCACAAAATAAAAGCTTTGCATTTTTTTAGTAACTGCCGGTTTACTTTTGCCTCTGTTTCTGCATCTGCAATTCAGTTTCCTCATGGTCGAATAGTCAATAAATATCTCTTTGTTTCTCTATTTCTAACAACTACACATTATTGATGACTAATCTCGCAAGTTGGAGCACAAGACTTAATGAAATCCCATGATATCATTTTGAAAGAACCAACAAATGGCTTTATTATAGTGCAAAAATAAAGTCATGGGATCACAAAATCAAGTTGTTCCCACAAAGTTCCACAGATTTTATTATTACATTTATATGATACAAAACAGCAGGCTAATTAAAATTAAAATAAGTTCAGTTCAAAAGAGATGAAATGAATATCTCTCTGCCTCTCTTTCTCTCTCTCTCTCTCCTCTTTCCTCCCTGTCTCCAGCTCCTGAGGCCGCTTTGCTAAGTGGCAGATTAATGCTGATATGATGTCCTGCAATCCCACTTAATGGACCTTGGCGTCATTATTTCCTGAGATGGAGTAATCCCTGCCCAGGTCTGGAGAGAGAGCAAGCAACAAACCAGCCCTGCAGCAAGTATGGATGCTATAGCTAATTGTAAATATTAACCATTAAAAAGAAACTATCACTCAAGAATCAGCTGACACGGATCTATAAAATAAGACAGACTTTAAAGCTTCAAAGAGGAAACTGTGGTCTTGAGTGATTAGTTTTTAAGCTCCATTTATGTCACATGAATTCAGTTCTTAATTTATGATGTCCTTTTATCGCAGCACCATCAGACAAATAAATCTACTTGGTCACATTTCTCATATGCTGTCCCCTTTTCAAGGAACAAAAACATTTTCCTAATCATAGTATGGCACTTACAGTGAAGTCTGCAAGTCCCACACACACTCACACAGAGACACGCACAATGCATGAGCTGTTTCGTGTCCTCATTTCTTTCCAGTGCTCCTGGGAATGTCCTGAATCAGTCCAGCCTTTGCTCCCGACCCCCGGCTGCAGAAAAACACTTTCTCTGTGCGACCACACAAAAGGTGCAGTCAGTGTGTGTGCTGGTAAGTAGCATGGATTAACGAGAGATTAGCTACCTAGCAGTAAGCAAGCAATTTCTGTGTGGCATGCCTATATAAGAAGCCCTCTCCTCAGTTTGTTGCCCCTTCCTGTTCCCAGTGGATGCTGTCATTTTCTCACCGCACTGGAAGCTTGCTTAAATTAAACACTGGCCACACTGAAGTGTGTGAACCGCATTGTAACAAGGTCAGAATCACAGAATACCAAAGATATACAGTGAGATGAGGTGAATCTTGGCATTAGAGACACCACTATCAGTCCACAATGGTGAGTTTTCTGAGACTTCTGGAGCAAGTCCTCTGACTCACTCTCTCCTCAGGACATCGCCCATTATGATCCTCTTGTTAATGAGCAGAGTCTTAACAAGCAACAAAGTCCCGCCCAGTGGATACATGTTTAGATGACTAACAGGCTCTACTACAAACAGGAAGGTCTATAAATTCATTTTAATGATCATCTAAATACAAGTTTTTAACGAGTAGCGACAAGAGTTTATAATGTTGCAAATCGACAAGTGACGGATCCTGGAATGAGTGCAAATATTAAAACAATGATTTTGACTCCAAAACCCTTTAAATCACAATTAAGAGTCTCTAATTTTGTCACACTCTGAGTGTAATGTCCAGTTAAGCTACCATACAACCCAGTGTGGAAAATGCCAGTCACTTAAACAGTGATGCTAGTGCGCTGGAACTCTTGGTAGAGGAAAAAAACAGTTAAAAAGTCCAAAAACTAAGTAACATACGATGTAAATATTTAAAGGCAATACAAATACCTCAATATGTAACACAAGTTAAGTAGTACAGAAGTTATTATCCACCAGTAACAAATGATGTAAATATGTGAACTGCTGTTGCTCTCTCAATATAAACTGGTTGTGATGGATCTGGTTTGTTACTAAGACGATAGCTGAATCTCAACACAAGATCCAACCTTCCTTTTTCTCTCTTCTCCTTCTGATCTGCTGTGATTTGTGGCCAGCGGCCTGGTGGAGGCAATATTGCGCTGGCTTCTTTACGTACCAGGGAATTGATTTAACAATCATTTTCATTAAGGCCGGAGGAAATAAGACAAAGAAAAAAGGAGAGCATGGTGCATGACAGCCTCTGAGGCTGCAAGCCTTTTGGTTGCACTGGGCAACAGTCAGATAATGGATGATGAGGCCTCTTGGAGCCAGCCTTTCCATTAGGTTTTGTTAATGTGGTCAGAGGAGGCTCATCCGCCTTCATATCCACTTTCAGAGATGCTCACTCATGCTGCATCCAGCTTATATCTCTCTCTCTTTTTGCTCTCTCTCCATTGTCTTGCTTTCTGCTCTCAACTTCCTCCTCAGCTCACAGTGTATCATTGTGTTTGTTACTCATATTCTTATCTTGCTTGTCGTTCTTTCGCTCTTCTTGTCTCAGTTTTCATGATACCTGATGAGTTTCAAGTAGATTTATTTTGTCATGCTGCTTCACATTAGTTGGTGGTTTTTTTAAATGTACCATCATGGTTATTGCAAAACAGAAGAGAGTACACATTGTCTCGTAGTTCCTGCCCGGAAGAATTTGTGGTTGATTAACAATTTTGCAATGGAGAATTCGTAGAGGCTTTTTGTGCTGTCCTTATGTGAGTGTGTGAGTGAGTGAGTGTGTGCAACATCTGTGGCCTACTAGGAACTCCGAGCTTGTGAAAGAGCTGCATGTGTCATGACCCACTGAGTACTGTGTGAACTGTACATTTAGTGGGAGGAACAGAGAGAAATTCATGAATGAAAAAAGTGCAAGTGTATGTGTGTGTGTGTGTGTGTCTGTGCGCGT